AGTTAACGCAAAATATACGTTATCGTAATGTACCTCTCTCGTAATCTCCGACGATCTATCTCGTAATCGTACTATTACCTACTCTAGCCTTATATAGGCTCGGATCTATAGAGTAGACCGAAGACGTATATAGTTAAAGGGCGCCTAGTTAGTCGATAAAGTAGTTATATAATAACTACTAAGTATTCCTCCTAGTTAGAGTATATCCTTATATCGTACTATAAGGTTATTATATTACTAAAAATAGTCGATTATTAAGCTTAAATATAACTATAAGTAATAATATATAAATTAACGCGAAGAACTAAATATATATAGGTAAATAAGCGTCCTTATATATCTAATCCTTCCGTTGCTCTAATAGGACCTTTCCTATTAATAGTCAGGTCCGTTCCGTTGAACGGAACGGATTATCACGTGATCCTATACTTAGGTATTATAGTCTAAGTATCTCGATAGATTATTCGGTAGAATCTATCTAACCGCCTTATTGCTGAACTGATTGGTTCAGGCGAGTCCATAATTAGCATCCTAGGGGTGGGTCTGTAACACTACTCCGCTAGCTTCCCGCGAGGCTATATCTAGCCTAGTTTATAATTTTATCTAGCCTACTTAATCAATTCAAGTATCTTAATCCCGCGGCCTTCGGAATAGAACCGGAGGTCGATAGCGTAGTAGACTAAATATAAGCGTTAGGCAATGGTCCTACAGGACCGATAGGGTATAAAATTAAGGGCGAGCTGCTAGGAACTCGACTTGCCCTCTTGATTACGACTAACAAGCAGAAGCGGCGACGGCCACGTATAAGAAGTAGTAGGAGTAAGAGTAGGAGAGCAGCGTCAAATCGAGATCTAGTGATTCGGATCTACTACTAGCAATAATAACTAGCAACCTGATAATTCAGAACTCGGTAACACGAGCTGCTAGGGATATAGGAGCGAGGAAGGGAGTAGGAAGAGGGATAGTGTATATAGACTAGTGTATATAGGATATAGGAGTTAGTGATACGGGACACGGAGGTCGGGCGGTAAGATTCTACTACTATATAACCTTATTATCAATCTACAGGATAAGGCCGGCGGTGTGGTTCTGCCTTGTCATTACTCTGCAAGATAAGGCCGGCAGTTTCTCCGCCCGTATGTAGGATGTTAATACTAGATGTTGTATGCAGGATTGCTGAGGCTATAGTGTATAGCAGGTGCACTCGGCTCCGCCGGGATACGCGGGATACCGCGGAGGCGGATCCCTTCTTTCGTTTGATTCTTTCCTTTGTCGTTCGATTTCATCTGTTCGTTCCAGCGTTATGCTAGCCCTTGCCTTGATAGCAACTTCTCATGCGCACTAGGCTAGCACTAGAAGGCGCAAATCCCTGCATAGCACCTTGTATATAGAGGAAGCTCCATCAGGAATAAGATTATTGATTGATTGACACTTAGTAGTTATCAGATAAATACTTCGTCGACTAACTAGGCGCCCTTCAACTACATACGTCTTCGATCTACTTGTTAGGGAATAACTACTTATATAGAATAGAAAGCCTATCGACTAGGTAGGAAGATAAATATTAAGTAAGGAAAGCAAAACACTATTTCTTACTATTATAGATCTCTCTATAGTCCTTAATTTATATACAGGTTTTAATACCTTCCTATATAACCAAGGCAAAGGCGATAGATGTATTATAATATACGGTCTAACGTAGCCTACATATAATAGAGGTAAGCAAAGGCTATAGGGAAGAGGGGTTCACGAATCCCTAATAGAAGGGCACCGAACCATTAGGGCCTTGTAGGTTATACATCTATGTTAGGGAGAAGTAGGGCTATCATAATGAAGCCTAACCGATAAGGTGTCGAACTGACACCTGAGGCATAGGGTTAGGAATAGCCTCATGTTTCAATATCATATGACACTACTCTATAGATTCGAGCCTATATAAGGCTAGAGCAGGCAAGGGTACGATTGCGAAATAGATCGTCGGAGCTCACGAGAAAGGTACGTTACGATAACGCACATTTTACGTTAACCAGTTAGCAGCGCGTAACACGCCAGGACTGTCGCGGGACTGAGGGGACTGAGCCAAGGGGGGGGGGGGGGGCGGTAATCCCTTCTCTCGTTTATTTGTTTACCTCTCCTTTGTCTGTTTGATTTCATATCCTTTCTTTCTGACAGCGTGCGTTACATACTCGTCAGCCCCGTTGCTGGCAACTTCTCATACGCACTAGGCTGGACACTAGAAGGCGTAAATCCCCGCAGAGCACCTTGTATATAGAGGAAGCTCCATCAGGAATAATAATATTGATTGATTGATACCATACAAACTTCTTGAAATTAGGGATATTTTGATAGTAGTATTAGATAGGGATGCAAAAATAGGGTGGTAGGGAGAAAGTGGTATTTCATGTATGTTTAGTGATTTATACGTGGCGGCCGTATAACTTGAAGCGGTATAGGTAGGTCGGGCATAAATAGTGAATTACGTCAATTCTTGGACGTGAGTCGTTTATTAATATATATATTTACGTGATTATCGCTGCGGGGTGTTTAGTTGGCTGATAATTAAGTACCTTTATTTATTCCGTAGCATTTTTTTAGAGAACATAAAGCCGCAGATAAATTGATCCTTCTTCTCCACTTAGATACACTGATACACTAGTCGATATTTATTGCGACATAGGCGGTTTCATCTATTAAAAAATGCTCTCCCTTGCAAGTCCAACACCAACACACCAATACTTGTACGGACGTAAGCTACCGTTTGACTGATTCGCGCTCTTAAGCCCCTGACCTTTCGCATCCTGGAAAATCGAATCCTAATATGCCTGAGTTATATATCTTCGTGTCATGTGGTAGATTCCTTCATTCCAAAAACCTGGAAACCTGTGACAAGATTGCAAACGGCGGCAACGTTGTGTTGGATCAGAGGGAAGGACCCTCACTTCCTCTTGCGGCTAAATTTCCATTTCTAATATGCTCCGTACTGCTTAATATGTTGTTGATTATCGTTGAGCTAAGAGCTGCAGTTGAGCTCCGTTAAATATAGAGTGATTGATGTCCCTCATTACCAGCGCCGACGTCCACGAGTATTGGAGATTCTCCACTTCGCGATGCCAAAGGCGCGCGAATCCAAGCCATAAATGATATACTGGACGGTGTACCAGTGTTTCGGTCTCATCAAAGACCGTGGCAGGGTAGAGGGTCGTATTCTTTTCCGAGGCCGATGCCTTTTTATAGCCTCCGTCGCCCGTCATATTCTTTCTCTATTTAAGACGCACTTGCCGGTCCCCTTTACGGGCAAGACACACACAGAGAGAGACAGAAAGAGGATAGCAGACACAACAGAAGTATTCGTATTCTTCGGAGTGCTTGCTCTCCTGCGCTGATAATTCTTTGATTGACTCTGATTCTATATTCAGTCAAATAACTAGACGCATCCAGTCATCGAAGTTTACAGGGAGGGAGGAGAAACCTGTTCGTTATTCCTCCTCTTCGTTGCCTTAGCTCCGACAAATCCCGACATCCCGACATTCAACGTAGTGTGTATTCCGCGGTGTTCCTGCATCCCGAGCCCCTGGAAAACACAAAGTGTGCTAATAGGATCTCTTTGAATCTTCAATCGCTAGGAGTCCTCCAACTGTGCTGATTATGCCGATTACACTCCAGGAGGCGTATGAAAAATATGATGCCAACAAGAACACCCCGATGAAGGATATTCACAAAAAGTGGAAAGCACGGTGTAAAGATTACAGCCCTAATAATGCAGGGTATGTCAACTCTTTAGATTCCTTAAAAGAATTAGCAGATAGGGAGTACAAAGAATGGGACACTGCATATAACATGATCAAAGATGCGAGAGAGAACCAAAAAGGGTCAGACGATGACTCCCCCGATGCTCGCCGATCCAAGAGGTATGAGTTTCAGCCGACGGAAGAGCAGTCGCGGGGGAATGACGTTCCCCACATGCCCCCTCGTGGTCAGAGTCGCGATCGGAGTTGTGATCGGAGTCGTCATTGGAGTGGAAGTAGAGACACATCTTCGGACAGGAGATCTCGCACGGAGGTCCCCGGAGTGGAAGCCAGAGTCAGAAATGATAATGGACAGACAGTCGAAATAAGGATGGGAGCACCCAGGGGGTATGAGGGTTCTGGGTCTTCGCATGCCACCTCCTTCACGCACAATCCAGGCGGCCAGTTCATCCACAGAGTGTCTCCGCCCCCACAACGAAGCTCAATGCTGTCAACTCGCAGCAGGGTAACTACCAGACGGATTGGTGGGATAACTGTAAAACGAGTTGTAGGACAGGGATCGCAAAGCTCAACCGCCCCGTACCACCCGGAGGATGAGGCTAGACGGACTAGTCATCAGCCCTCAGGACAAAGCTCAACCGCCGCCCAGACGGGGGACGGACGTATTGAGATCAGACGAACTGTAATAAAAAAGTCCAAGCATTCTAAGCCTGGAATACTAGACGATTGGTTTTAGGGACCGTCGGCTGGGAGATAATAAAGGAACTGAGTGGTTAGAATGCTTGAACTTGAACAGAAGTATGCGATATTCCTAGGGAGCTTGGACCTTCTATCCTCTCCACTATTTGCACTAATAGCGTACATATACTTCTATTTATGCTTCCATATTGAATATATCTTCGTCTCTGAGACTGTGACACCATTTAGTGCTAATCTCGTCTGCTTTTGGATAGCTAGCAAAGAGAGCTCCCACCAGACCAGCTCCAGAGATCAAATCAAGGAACACAGAGCGAAACCCCCGCTTCTCGAGCGAGTGATCTACTCTCCCAGATGATACTATATGGTGCGTGGGGCAAAAGCGGTCTGTCTGGCGGTGCCAAAAATAGGGCACAGGTACATAGTTCTGCCAGGCGGTCGCCAGAAATAACATGACATCAGGGCGTGCCCTCTTCTTTCTCTTCCGAGATCCTCTTTTAGCCCTTGGTTGGCGGCCGCCCTTACTCCTGCTCTATCTTCCTCACCTCAACTCCCCAAATGGAACCAGGCAACAAGCGCAAACTTGATTTGCCCCCTTCTGCTGCTCGCAGTGGCAATGAAGTCTCCCCTCCGCCCAAGAAAAGGCTGGCTGGGCCTGCTTTTCCTCCATCGCAGTCCACGGGGTCCGAACAGAACAAAGACAACAGAGAAACTGGTCCAAGCGACAGTGAACATGATAGCGAGAGCGATAGCGATGATGACTTTGGACCTAGCCTGCCTCCTCCCCAAGGGGCGCCTCTACCTGTCGAGCAGCCTGACAATACGCCGACTTCTATGACCTTGCAGCAGCCCGACGCGAAGAAAGACAGCCAGCGAGACCACTGGATGCTACACCCCCCAGACCAAAGTGATTGGGCGTCTAAGATAGATCCAACGCAACTTCGCAACCGGAAATTTCAAAGCGGCAAGTCTGCTCGCTCGTCTACGTCGAAACATGTTGATGTGTCGTGGATGGAAACCCCAGAGGAGAGAATCAAGAGACTGGAAGATGAAGTAATGGGTGTTGGTACATCGCATAGTAGCAAAGGTCGGGGCATCGCGTCCACTTCAAGTAAAATTCGAGCCCAATCTATGGAAGAAAAGATCAAGAAGTTCAATGTCAGTAGCCGCCTGTTCATGGTTCGGTGTCGATCGCTAAAATGCTGACCACACTCCATAGGACCGAACAGGAAAAAATATCCGTCTTAATGACCGAGCGCCCCCACGGAACGAGGAAGAGGATGACCCGAGTAAGCGTGCGTTCGATCGGGAGAAGGACATGGCAGCTTCGTCGAAAATATCCAATGCCCAGCGCCGAGAAATGATGAATAAGGCAAGTGGTTACAGCTCACGCTTCACGAAAGGGGACTTCCTCTGAGGACAAGACCTAAATACAGAATGAGCACCAGCGTGGCAAGACTTCTCGCAGCGGCCAGAAAAATGGTTCTATGTTCTTTCACATCGATCCTGCAATCAACGCCGCTTACTTCCAGGAAATCAGAGGACTCGAAATTGCCCCAGATTATGTTTGCAAATTCCGTAGGCTCTTTTCGAGGAACGTTTCAAATGCGCTTTCTGTGCAACATCATAAATCAAATATTCAAATGGGTGCAGTCTATCCTGTGGGGATCGATTGGCCTCGACTGGAGAGACCAGGGAATTTCGTTTCTGCTGAAAAGGAATAGAAGTGGAATGAGCATACTGTCCCATTCCCTCTCTCCCCCCCCGACGAAAGGGAGAATACCGGCACCAGATTGAAATTAGTCCCTAGCCTGGGATTATGGAGATCCACAACAAAAGCCAGAAATTCTACACTATTTCATCACGCCTCTATGTTACCATATACTCTCAAAATTTACGAAGGCGTCATTTCGATACCACGAGGATCGTCCCCGAAAAGCGCCTGTGAAAGGCTGCAAGTATGGTAGTGGCTTCGTCCAAGAGCTCCAATCCACCCTGCACCGGCTATCCACAAGCCCCAAGAGCTTTCACAGGCGATGAATTCTTGCCAAAAGTCATAGCCATTTAACCCTAGGATGATTGATTCATGTCGCCGTGATGCAGCATTGGATGATCGCTTGACCACGGAGTTCTGGGAACTTTCGATTGTTGATAGAGATTATAGATTTACTCAGTGAAGTAGATTGAATCAGTCTTGTCGATTTCTTGCCTGATCTAGATATTACCTCATTATTTGAAGGACCAGAGTTTAATTGCTAGGCTTTAATGACGGGAGACGTATCCGTATGGCCTCGTCCATATAGCTGTCCAGATAGCTAAGGCCGTGAGCTCTACCTGACTGGCTGGAATTGTCTTTGATCATTTGTGCTCCATACCATTGAGCCCTCAATATGGTTCTCAATATGTTTCTCTACCCTCTGGAAAATATAGGATCTGAATATCGCTCCTAGACACCCCCAGGGGACTTCCGTGTATCCGGCCTTCTGCCAATCACGGCGCCTCGGTTTCGCCTTACCCGCTCGACTCTCGGCCGATCACTTTTTCCCCGAAACAACGGACTCTCAATCGCCACAGATGGAACCTCGTCCCCATACACCCCTGTTCGATTGATTTCATCGTCTTGCTTTCTTCCCCAGTAGTCCACGACAGACTGTCATGTCTTTCTCAAATCTTGTCTCCGACATAGCCTTCCGAGACTCCCATGCAGATGAGCGGGGCTCGCAAATTTCCCACGCCCCCTCCCGCGCCGCCCGGTCATACACTAGCACCACGGCCACGAGCGTGAGCGTGAGCATATCTGGAGATATCTCCAGCCAGTTGCATGCTGGATACAGCCACCCTTTGAGCAGATCATGGCAGGCAGAACGGCAATTAACAAAGGTTGGCGATGTCAATGGTCATTTGGTAACTTCTCTTTCCAGGCTAACACGCAACTGCTAGGAGATGCTGATCTATCCACTGTTCATCACCGATGACCCGGACGAAGAAACGCCAATCCCCTCGCTACCGAACCAATATCGTCGAGGTGTCAATCGCCTAGTACCCTTCTTGTCCCCACTTGTGCGTAAAGGGCTGCGCTCCGTGATTCTTTTCGGCGTCCCCCTTCAACCCTCAGCCAAGGACGCGCTTGGGACTTCGGCGGACGACCCCGCCGGCCCCGTGATCCAAGCCATTCGCCTTCTCCGATCTCGTTTCCCTCAGCTCTACATCACAACCGACGTGTGTCTGTGCGAGTACACGTCGCATGGCCACTGTGGCATCCTGCGAGAGGACGGGTCCCTTGATAATGCGCAATCCGTTGATCGGATTTCCGATGTCGCTTTGGCCTATGCAGTTGCCGGTGCTCACTGTGTTGCGCCATCTGATATGAATGACGGTCGTGTGCGGGCTATCAAACTGAAGCTGATTGAGGCGGGTTTGGCGCATCGTGTGCTTCTCATGTCGTACAGCGCTAAATTCAGCGGCTGCCTCTACGGTCCTTTCCGAGATGCAGCCGGCTCATGTCCCTCGTTTGGGGATCGTCGGTGCTACCAACTGCCCCCGGGCGGGCGTGGTCTTGCTCGCCGTGCCATCCAAAGAGATATGGCCGAGGGTGCCGACATCATTATGGTCAAACCTGCCAGTAGCTATCTAGACATTATTCGTGATGCAAAGGATCTGGCTCAGGATCTCCCGGTAGCTGCCTACCAGGTGAGCGGAGAATTCGCCATGATCCATGCCGCTGCTAAGGCAGGAGTCTTTGATCTGAAAGCCATGGCCTTTGAGAGTACTGAGGGAATTCTTCGCGCGGGGGCTGGGATTGTGATCACTTACTTTGTCCCAGAGTTCTTGGACTGGCTCTAAGAAAGAGCCGCAGGAATGTGATTCAAGCCGATACGAGAGGGGCGTGGGTGTTCATGCACCATAAATTTCGGGTTACTATGAGATTCAAAAAAAACGTTGATCTCTTCATAATGGGGTACATTGTGTTATTCAAAAACCAAAATACAAGACTAGCAGCGAATAGATACCCATCAAATGACTCATTTAATGTTTCCAGGAGTCTCGAGTTGCATTTCCTTCGTCAGCCCTCCTTTCCATGAAAATAAAAGGCATAAGAGATATTTCCAATCAAACAAATGTGAATATTACATATGTACTGCATAAATCATACGCCCAGCTCGCCATGATGAAAGAAGAGCTAAAAACTGAGGTAGTGACAATCAAAAACATAAAAATGGAAATGGAAGGAAGGATACGCAAACGAACAAGAGAGAAGAGCAAAAAAAAAAAATCAGGACGAGGAGAACTCAAATGACCCACGTATGGCAATGTTTATTTATATATGGAGATGCCGCGCGCAAAACAAGCACGGAGCCAGAATGGGATATGTCCCGGGCTTGACTGGCGAAAAAAAATCCAAGCCGACGTCAAAATAGCCGGGAGGAGAATAAGTCCCGAATCCATATGGTCGTCACGAATTGAGTTCACATATAGCTAGGTTTGTATCCCTGGAATCCATATGCGACGATATCGGTCTTCACAACCTCCCCAGGAGCAACGTACGCGCCTCGATAGAGGTGGACACCGGGATAGATGGTGCATCCTGCTCCGAGATAACAGTCTTCTTCGATGGTGACGCGGCGGCCTTGATACCGGCTCTGGGATCCTTTACGCTCCTGCATACTGGAATGAGCCATCGAGCTAAGTAAGGTCACATTGGGCCCAATCCAGGTGTGGGCACCAACACTGATCCCACAATCGTCCACGAATAGACAATTTTGGGAAACCATTACGTCCTCTCCGATCTGGATGTTGTATCCGTAGTAGCAGGTGAAGGGGGCCTCCACGACGGTACCTTGCCCAATGGTGCCCACGGACCGAGGCACTGCAACCCCAGAGGGTGAATTGACAACGGAGTTGGAGGGCGGGACCAGAATTTCCTTGAGGAGCCGATTCTGCTCTTTAGAGCTGAGCCCGGACAGTGGGTTGGAGGCATTGTTGAATCGCCACACAGCACGTTTGCATCGATCTCGTTCCTCGACCAGCTGCATATCAAATGGTCGATAGAGTTCACCACGAATCATCTTGTCCTTCTCAGTTTCTTCGCCATTGATGGCCCGCCCGGACAGCTGATGCTCAATATTGAGAGCCATTCGTGCTTGGGCTTGAGGACTACTGGTATCGATTGTGGCAACTGGCGTTGGGACTGCCGGCGCGGTCGGCGTGGGGGGCATTGGTCGTTGTTCCACACCGCTATGAAACAAGGGCATGTTCGGTTTTGGTGGAGGCGCATGAGAAGGAGGCGCATGGGAAGGCTGTGCATGAGGGGGTGGTGGGTGAGATGACTGGACATGCGACTGCGGTGCGTGTGGCGGTGCAGGCGGCGGTGCGTGAGCTGGCTGGGTATGAGATGGCGGCGCATGAGACGACTGGACATGAGGTGGTGTAATATGAGATGGCGGAACATGGGATTGCGGAATATGAGATGGTGATGCTTGCGAGAGCTCTCGAATTGATGGAACCACGGGGTAATCCGGCTTGGGATGACTCTCTCGGGGTAGCTCGTGGATTGGAGGCACATCTCGATAATCGGGTTTTGGCAAATGTTCAGGGACATAGCTTGGGTGACTGGGGCCCGGCCATCCCCTTTTGGCCCAAGACGCAGACGGATGAGGGGTCGCCGAGTTGGTCGGGCTGGAGTTATACGGTTGTGGGGGGCGCTCACTCTCATCAACCACAATGGGTCTCATCTTTCGGGAGTCGACATGTTCCACAAGCGTCGATGGCCGATCGTGGTGTTGCGTTGTTTCAGGTAGATACGGTGCGCTGATGTCGGGATAGCCTTCCTTGGACTGCAAGGGGACCGGCGCTTTGGTGGTGGCGGGTTTTTGCCAGGTACTTCTTGAAGTATAGCCTTCACAGAGGAAGCCACCTCGTATACAGTTATTACCTGGCAATCGTTTGGTTTTAGTCTCCGATTATTTCTCTCATCATCGGGGTTGCCCCTCCCCGCCTCAACCTTCAACCAGCACCTCCACACACATAGATGCAAGAAAAGGTGAAGAACACTTACATGCAGGGTGCATCTCGTCACACTTCTTCTTTCGACGGCGACATGTCATGCATCCCGTCTTGGTGCGGTTACTGAAGACTCGTTTTCGCTTCGGTGCCACCTGCACCGGTGCCGTCGACCGATCGGAAGGATATGCAGGGGAGGAGGTTGGTTGGACATGATGAGAGCCCGATACGGCCGCGCGACTGGCCCCCAAGCCTCGAGGCTCCTGTCCCTGGGCTTCTCGCTGGAGCGCATCGGCCAAGTGAGCATCCGAGGCATCTATTTGCTGTGCGCGTTGCGCTTGGCTGACCAACTGGGCGTCGTACTCGGGCCAGGGGCCATTGGACGAGGGTTGGGAGGTCTCGTTCGTATCGGATCGAGGTCCCTGCGTGGACGGGTTGGCAGGGTCGATCTCTGAGACGGACCCCGACCCAGATCGCACCCCATTGGTATGGAGCGGGACGTCGTCGGAATGATGAATGCCTCGCACGGCAGGGTAGCTTGGTTCAGATGCTGGGCGGAGCTCTCGGTCCCCGGACCCCGATCGTTTTCGCTTATGCTTGTTGGCGGACGGCGATGCGCGTTGGGACTCCTCACGATCGGGATCTCCTCGTGCGACGCTCTCGCGCGAGGCGGGCGGGTCTCGGGTCCCGGGGGAGGCGACCGGTTCGCCATGACTGGGCGGCAAGCTGGGGAGCGCGGTTGTCCCTAGACTCGGTCCGGGGGCGGCATCTCGACCGTTGACATTGACGGCTGTGAAGCGAGATGGACTGTGGTCCGTTCCCGTTTCGGTGCCAGAATCGTGGTTGCTCATCGCGGCGGCGGTTGCGACGGTGGTCACGGTCATATGGTCTGGAACGTGGGCGGATGGGTTCCCCACGAGTCAACAGATCCACGGGGAGGGGAACACGGAGTCAGAGGGGAGAGAAGGGGGAGGGGGATAAGGCAAAGGAGGGAAGTGATGTTCAAGATTCCAGCGAATGCAGCGCGCGACGAGAACCGCCCGGATCTCAAGGCGATAAGACTGTCCCCGTACGCGGTTGCAGAGAAATGGAGGGAGGTTGGGACAGAGCAGGGGAGGATTCAATAATGAGCGCGCGGCCCCCGGCGAAGCACACTTCTCCTCAGCCGCAGATGGGGGCCGATTCTAGGCGTGCCCGAGCCGGTCACCACGGAGAGTTACCAAGCCTTGTCAATTGACTAACAGGCGCGGCTGATCCCCAGGGAGGTTGCCTCGAAGAATCTCCGGATCTTTGGGAATGAGGGGGGAGGGGCGGGGATCAATTCTCTTTGTTTCTCCTCCGAATTGCAATTGTACGGGGATCGCGGTAACCTCGCCTCGGGGAGGGGTGGGGCGTACCGGGCGTACCGCGATGCTCCAAAACGGGGAATGCGATCAAAGATGAAGTCTCGGGTAGTATATAAACCCAGATCTCTCCAAGCCCAAACAGGCGTGGGTTGTGGAATGTACGAAAAATCGAGATGGGAAGAAAAAAAACCCCCCGGAGGGGGAGGGTGGAAAGAGAGAAGGGGGGTGAGGAGGAAAAGAAGAGAGGAGCCAATGACCGTGGCAGGCCACAGAACAAGGAAAAGAGGAGGCAAGAAATGAGACGGGAAACCGAGGAAGTGAGGGCAAACAGGTCTCAATTCGCGTTCTGGACAATAGAGAGGATGGAGAATGTGAAGAGGAGAGGAGGAGGGGGGTGGAAAAGAGAGAGAAAGAGAGAGAGAAAGAGAGAGAGAAAGAGAGAGAGAAAGAGAGAGAGAAAGAGAGAGAGAGAGGAGAAGAGTGGAGAGCGAAGAGGAGGAGGAGGAGGAGGAGGGGAAAAGGTCGAGATGATTAGGTTAGGGTGTTGGTTGGGACTAGTCGAAGGATTGGGAAGAATCACGAGGGACGGTGAGGAGGAAGTCGAGAGTCAAGACAGGCAAGAAAGGCCAGAAAGGCCAGAAACATTGGGCGTAGGAAGGAAATCGAGACAGTCGAGGAAGTCGAGCCGGTCGAAGCGCCCGGGGTCTTGCTATACAGTCGTCGTGCGTCCCATCGACGGGCAATCCGTGCAGCCCCGTCTGGCGCGCGGCCCGACTGGCGCTGTGCGGGCTCCTCCGGACTCGAGGGCCTGGCGGTCCTGGCGGTCCTGGCGTCTTGGCCCCCAAAGGCGCATGACTAGTTTCGAGGGCGAAACGACAGGGGGCAATTCAGCGGCGGGCGTTAGCGCGCGATCGGCATGGCCGGCGTCACCCCGGCTGCCAATCGGAAGGACCAAGCACGCAGGTGAGCAGGGTACGCGGGTCTGAGACACCCTTCTTCTGCCCGCCGACCAGTGAGTGGCGCGCGTTCGTGTTGCGGGGCCTGTTGGGTTGGAACTGTTGCGGACCGTAGGTTTTCCTGGTTGCTTTTGGAGTTTGGGTCCCGTTTGGATCCCGTTTGGGTCCTGCGTCGTCCTGTTTGGGGCCGGGGGAAGGGAGGGGGTGGAGGAGAGAGAGAGAGAGGAGGTCCCACTAGGAGTGGAGGGAGGAGGGAGAGGAGGCCGTGACGCCGAAGACGGCGCCGCGCGGGTTGGCGGGTTGGCGGGTTGGGCGGTTATGCATCGCTTATCAGCTGGTCACCTTTTTTTTAGGTTCCTTTTTTGGGGGGAAACGGGGGTTTGGAGAAAGAGCGAGGGAGCGAGACGCTTCCCACTCTTTCTTTCTCTCTTTCTCTTTTTCTGTCTCTCTCTCTCTCTCTCTTTCTCTCTTTTTCTCCTATTTGTCTCCCCCCCCCTTCTCTCTTTCTCTTTCTCTTTCTCTCTCTCCTGATCGCGGTTTTCCTCCCTTCTCTTCTGTCGTTTTTCCTACCAGACCACTGTACCGACAGCCTTGATGAGAGTACCAAGTAACTAGTGACTATCCACCAAAGTATTAGTTAACATGATCCCGAACCCTAAATTCTACATTCTGAATTCCAAATCCTAAATCCTAAATCCTAAATCTTAAATTATCAATTATAGATCATAGATCTCCAGGTCCATCCGCAGGCAGATCACGGGAAAGGTCTCTCCTGTGAGCCGCTGCCGATGATGGACGGGGATGATGAGTGTCCCCCTGCGCTCTTCCGCTAGCACGACCGCTCTTTCCACTGCTTCCACTGCTTCCACGGAGAAAATCCTACCTAGCATAACTTATAATTATCATATGAAACGATCCCCAAGGACCCCTAAGGTGCCCCCGGTATCTCCAAGTGTCTCCTCAACTGTCGATATATTCTAGATATTGATATTTCCAGCACGATATTTTAGGTCGGGGAATGATCTCATCGCGGGCCATTGGAGGGAGGGGGGATATCAGGACTTGAAGTTACGAATCGAAAACTACTGGGGAGCCCGTCAACGATCCAGCATGCGTAATGAGAAATGCGAGAAGATAGTGAGAATCTGTGGGCGCTGCATTCTTCATAGACTTGGGATCCTGATCCCATCCATAGATTGAGAATGTCTGCATGTAGCTATCTGATCGTATCCAACCGCCGTTCCCGCGGTGGGCCCCTCCTAACATTCCATTGTCCTGTGTAGCAGAAGAGAAGAATAGAAATCGATACCCTCACCCTCAATACCTCACAGTTGCAAGAGTAGTCTTCAATGCCAAAATCTACCCATGGTACAGGGCAAAAAAACCGAGACAGATGAAGCAAAAAAAAAAGAAAAAGAAAAGAGACAGAGAGCGATAGAGAGAGCATGACTCCGACCGAACTCATAAGCTTTGCCCGCACCTCTCTCCCTCTACCCTCTTGTCCCTCTTCTCCTCTCTCTCCAGGACTCTCAATTGCATGGTTGTCAATCAATTGTCGCCATTCAACATCACTCTGGGGGGATCCCATCAAGTTGCGGTCCGATGTCTGCGGGAGAACGAAGAGGACGACGATGGCCATCTCGAATGTTTTGATGGCGCTGACTAAGATCCGCGGTTGAGCGTCAAAGTCCAACGTGAACGCGCTCCCACCTCTTCACCGCCAGTGCCTCTCCCAATCTGCAACTTCAAATCTTTTTTTCCCATTCCCTTGTTCCCCCCTCCTCCCTCCCCCACTCCGGATCCCCTTGTCATTCACCCGTCCTTGCGGTCGTGCACTCCTGCCGCCTCTCGGTCTCCCTCACACCCCCAGCTGGAGGATTCTCGGGTTTGCTGCCAATCATCTCGCCGCCAGAGCTCAGGTGCTGCTGACCCAACCCCTCCTCCAAAGCACTCCCTGTTACCCCACCAGTCCCGAGCCTCTTTTCTCCTGGGAACCACCACCACCACCACCACACAACTTTTCCCCCTCCTCCGCATTCTGACTGGTGACGTGATTTGCATCACCCCGGTCAATCTCCCCTCCCCTCCCGTCCCGGTCAACTCTTATTCATTCCTTCGATCGTCTTCTCTGCGGCGACGTGTGACGGCCACTTCGTGAGGGCGGAATCGCCAATCCCTGCGACGGCATGTCTGTTTCTGTACAAGAGCTGGACAACACGGTCCGGGCCTTTTTCGAAGGCAAGGGCGATGTGGTAGGTTTTCTTACCCGTCAGCGCGGTTCCTGTTACGCAGGCCTCAATGGGAGCTCGTGCTCTCTCCAAGACATCAAACTAACATCTCTCTTCAGCAAAAACAAGCGCAACAAACCCTAACAGAAGTAAGCTGCAATCCATCTTTCTTTCTCAATTTCCCCCATCATGTGAAATGAGACTCATACGGTTGGGGGTGGTAGTTTAAGCAAAATCCCGAGGCATGGGTGACCGTGGGCAACATCCTCCAGGAGGCAACGTACCCTCAGACTAAATGTAAGTAACTCGGGTAAGAGTATAAATCTCTCGTTTCCCCTTGCCCTGCTTCAGGAAAAGAAAAGAAAAGAAAATCCCAGCGGCACTGACGCTAATTCTTACAGACATTGCGCTCCAAGTTCTCGACGATGTGATTATGACCCGATGGAAGGTTTTACCAAGAGATCAGTGCCAGGGTATTTGAGACTCCCTTCATCCCTCCGTCCTTCCTCATTTACCCTCTACCATCCCCTCCCAACTGCCTTCCTCCTGCATCGCCTACCGATGGCACCATTGAAGCCAGAGCACTAATCGCCTTTGCTATCCTCATTCTAGGAATTCGGAACTTCATCGTCAATTTCATCATCGAGAACTCCGGCTCCGAAGAAAAGCTCCGAACCGAGCGTGCGTTCGTGAACAAATTGAATCTAGTTCTGGTGTCGATCCTGAAGCAAGAATGGCCGCACAACTGGCCGACCTTTATCAACGAGATCATTTCCTCCTGTCATGCCAGCCTTTCTATCTGTGAAAACAACATGGCCATCCTTCGCTTGCTATCCGAGGAGGTCTTCGATTTCTCGCAGGATCAGATGACCTCGGCCAAGGCACGAAATTTGAAGACCTCCATGACCCAGGAATTTGCCTCCATCTTCCAACTGTGCTCTGAAGTCCTGAACACAGCCAATCAACCTAGCCTGGTGAAGGCAACCCTCGAAACTCTTCTTCGCTTCCTGAACTGGATTCCCTTGGGCTATATTTTCGAAACTCCCATCATTAATACCCTTTTGACCCGTTTTCTGGATGTGCCCGATTTTCGAAACGTGACCCTAAAATGTCTGACGGAAATCGGCGGATTGCAAATTGGTGCACCCTACAACTATGACGAGAGGCTGGTGCACATGTTCACTGAGACTCTGACAAAGGTCTCGAACGTCATCCCCTTGTCTATGGACTTGAAGGAGACCTACGTGCGGAGTAACGGAAGAGATCAGGAGTTTGTCTCAAACCTGGCTCTCTTCCTCTCCAGTTTTTTCAGTGCCCACTTGGATGTATGTCTACGCCTCAATCCATTACGGTTTACAATTCTGATTCATTTTGCTGGCGATGATACTAACCGCTGAACTTTTTCCCACTCGTCTAGCTCGTCGAAAAGTTGCCGAATCAAGACTATCTCACCCACGCACACTTCTATTTGATTCGGATCAGTCAGATCGAGGATCGTGAAGTGTTCAAGATCTGCTTGGACTACTGGACTCGACTGGTCCAAGAGCTCTATGAAGAAATGCAACAACTCCCGATCACTGACATTAACCCGCTCGTTACCATGGGCGTGAGCGGGCTTTCTAACGGTGGTGCGCCTAACCCCAGCACTCTGGCCAACTATCCTCTTCGAAAGCATAAATACGAGACGGTGTTGTCAAACCTGCGCACGGTCATGATTGAGAAGATGGTCCGCCCAGAAGAGGTTCTAGTTGTCGAGAATGACGAGGGTGAGATTGTGCGTGAATTTGTCAAAGAGAGTGATACAATTCAGCTCTACAAGACCATCCGCGAGTGTTTGGTTTATCTGACTCACCTGGATGTCGTGGACACGGAGACCATCATGATTGACAAGCTGGCCAAGCAAGTGGACGGCTCCGAGTGGTCTTGGGCAAATTGTAACACCCTGTGCTGGGCAATTGGCTCCATCTCTGGTGCGATGAATGAGGAAACCGAAAAGCGGTTCTTGGTGACTGTCATTAAAGACCTTCTCGGTCTTACCGAGCAGAAACGCGGGAAAGACAACAAGGCTGTCGTGGCTAGTAACATCATGTACATTGTCGGCCAATATCCTCGATTCCTGAAGGCTCATTGGAAGTTCCTGAAGACAGTTGTCAACAAGCTCTTCGAGTTCATGCATGAAACCCATGAAGGTGTGCCCCCCTCCCCGCCGCTTGCAATAACTTTCTGCTTTTGAACGCGATTCCCTCCGTTACTTCGACTTTTGTGTCCCTTGGCTAACTTCCAATTAGGTGTCCAGGATATGGCTTGCGATACCTTCATCAAGATCGCCAACAAGTGCCGGCGGCACTTTGTGGCCCTCCAGCCCGGAGAAAACGAGCCGTTTATTGAAGAGATTGTCCGCAACATGCGGAAGATCACCATGGACCTTTCTCCTCAGCAAATTCACACATTCTACGAAGCTTGCGGTTACATGATCTCCGCGCAGGGCCAGAAGACGCTCCAGGACCGATTGATCGAGAATTTGATGGCATTGCCTAACTCGGCCTGGGACCAAATAATTGCGGAGGCCAACCAGAATGCGGCTATTCTCCAAGATGGCAACACCATTAAAATCATTGGAAATATCATGAAGACGAATGTTGCCGCATGCTCCTCAATCGGAACTTATTTCTATTCTCAGATTGGCCGCATTTACCACGACATGTTGAACATGTACCGTGCCTCCAGCCAGCTCATCAATGATGCAGTTGCCAATGACGGTATATTTCTCCCTTTTCCTCTAATTGGCCCATAAGAGTAAGACTCACATGCTGACGGAGAGGTTACAGGACAAATTGCCCCCAAGACCCCCAAAGTTCGAGGTCTTCGAACTATCAAAAAGGAGATTTTGAAGCTTATCGATACGTATGTGGAGAAGTCCGATGACCTTGAGATGGTGAATGCGAATATGGTCCCTCCACTACTTGAGGCTGTTCTCATTGATTACCACCGTAATGTGCCGGACGCGCGCGAGGCGGAGGTGTTGAACGTCATGACAACAATCATCCACAAGCTTCATGTGTGTAACAACCTACATGTACCTTGTCTCTACTATAACCTTTTCCATGGTAATACTGACATCGGCTTAAATCTAGAATCTCATGGAGGACAAAATTCCAGCCATCATGGACAGCGTTTTCAGTTGTACTTTGGAGATGATCAACAAAGATTTCCATGAATATCCTGAGCATCGGGTTCAGTTTTTCAAGCTTCTTCAGGCCATCAACCTGTACTGCTTCCAAGCACTCCTAAAGCTTGATACTCCACAGTTCAAGTTTGTCATTGATTCCTGCATGTGGGCCTCTAAGCACGACAACCGTGAAGTTGAGAATACGGGTCTCACCATGTGTCTGGAACTGATGAACAACATGGCCGAGACTGATTTGCAGATATCAAGCGTATTTTTCCAACAGTTCTACATTCCGATTCTTCAGGATGTCTTCTTCGTTCTCACGGACAGTGACCACAAGGCCGGTATGCTTCTTCCCCCCCCCCGTCACCCATCTTGTCAATGAAGTTACTCATCGGTTTATCCTATTCTTCAGGTTTCAAGTCTCAGGCTATGCTATTGTCACGCATGTTCTACTTCATCGAATCTGGCAAGATCCAAGAGCCCATCTATTCCCCCGATCAGGCGCCCGCCGGTACTTCCAACAAGAATTTCCTTCAGGAGTATGTTGCAAACCTGCTTCAAAATGCTTTTAAAAATCTGCAAGAGTAAGTTCTCAGTCTGTTCCATTTTGGAACTTCATCACCGAGAAGTCGCTTGACAACAACTAACAATCCATTCTAGGGCACAAATCAAACAGTTTGTTCTTGGCCTGTTCGCATACACCGATGACCTGAACAAATTCAAGACTCACCTACGTGACTTCCTGATTTCTCTGAAGGAGTTCTCTGACGATAACGCCGAGCTCTATGCGGAAGAAAGAGAGCAGGCAGTGCGCGATGCACAGACCGCCGAGAGAAACCGCGCCATGAAAGTGGGAGGCTTGTTGAAGCCCTCGGAGATGGATCAAGAGGATGAGCTCTGACTTGACCAAGAATTAAGAACCGAATACCCCCGGCTTACGTTGGCTGGCTCTTCTGAATGGTTGGGGAAACCAGGTTCGACAGTCAACGACAGCCTTGATGGCTGGTCTTTCTACGAGCTTTGAAGCACAGGTCATATTATTGCCGCAGCATCGTCCGAAGCCTGGGGATAGCATACAGCATAGAACCTCGATGCCCTTGAAGCCACTCATCCCCTTTGATTTGTTGGCGTAAGCTCATGCGATGAAACCGTTCCCATCTTTGTACTCTGCCTTGCCACCTCTACTGAGGTTATGTTTGATATATCTCCTTTTTTTCTCTCTCTTTATGATAGCCTCTGAAAAAAAATATATCATTGAGAAACCTTTCGATTCAACCCTTTAAATTCCTTGATCGACCCTCTCGCACTTGATATTTCTCTATGGTAGTCAGGGGAAAGATTATGGTGGAGTGCGTGAAGGCGGTGAGGCCTTATCAGTTGCATCACTTTCGGATTTGCGGCCATACGAAATCACCATTTCTTTCCAAACCACTTTCTCACAATGTCCCGGACGCGCCAACCAGCAGCAGGGAATTCCCAGGTGCAGAGCACAATTGAGCCGCCCCAGGAATCCTCTTCCTTTCGGCTTTCAGGAACCCTCCGCTTGAGGGGTGATGACAATACCGCCGCCGCAAATGACTCCTCGTCTTCCCGTCACATTAGATGGAGCGAAGATGTCGTGGACAATGAAGGCATGGGAAAGAAGAGCTCTAAAGGTAATGAAATATGTTTCTTCACTTCCTCAGTAGTTCCCACCCATAGTGTGAATGGCCGTTGACTTTTCCTTCAGTTTGCTGTATCTACCACAAAGCTCGACCGGTGGGCGAAAGCAGCTCCGAATCTGAGTCCTCTGATTCCAGTTCATCTGATTCAGACAGTGATAGTGATGGCGGTCATTCGCGCCATCTAGCGAATCGCTCTCACCATTCACACCATCGAGGGCGGCGATCGCCAGACGGTCACCAGTCTGGGGAGTCGGCGGATGCAGATTCGACTGCCTGCTGCTCAGACCATCACACCACAAAACACAAGAGGAGGAAGCCGAGTCCAAATGCATATGAGAAAATGCCTAAATATTCGAAGAACCACTCACAAGGCTCTTGAATGGGGTTTCCGGCGCGGAGGTGACAAGGGGGAACTCAATCTAGAATATGGATGTGGGGTGCGAATCTCTCTTGGAGCCTGACTCTCATTTCTCAAGTCCAAGTCGGCATCACTTGCCACTGGACTGGAATTGCCGTGGCTTCTTCATGCCCAAGCTCAGCGGCTAGCCAGTCCCCTTTAGCTGTCGATCTGCGATACAGGCCGCCTTCTGGCTGGAACATCACTCAGTATCAGCGTTATATGACATTTCTAATTTCGACTGGTGCAAAAGCGCTGCTTGCACATTCATAGGAGCTAACAAATCACTCGTGAAGATACGAAATCACTTGTCACAAGGCTTGAACATCAATCGAGGGAGACTACCCTGAATTTGCAAAATCCGAGAAACGCCACTATAAAAAGAAGAAACAGGGTATCTGGATAGAAACTGCAGCCACTGCAGTATTGGAATGTAAATGTACACGTGTATTAGAGCGCATTATACCAGAGGTATTGCAACTTTGAAGCCTTTCAAACCATCATACTCTTCCTCCGTGCGGCAACCCGAGTCTCTCGTCGATGACCTGCATCTATTGCAGACGCATTCCTCCATCCCATAATATCGTCGCCTTCTAGGCTGCTGTCTAGCTCTCCACTTATATCGGCATCATGCTGAACTGATGCATGTCGAGCAAGGCTTTTGGAGTTTGATGAATGCCGCCGAGATTGCTCTCTGCATCCCATTGATTCCTTGGAGGCCTTCATAGGATCGGTTGTGCTGCCAGCATTGGAAGTTGATATGGTGTCGGCATCTCCATTCAACGCAACCTTACGCCTCCGTCGAGACACCGTCGCTGACAACTGATCTGACGTGTCTTCTGGAGCAAAGGGCTCTGCTGCTTGGTCTGCTGAAGCTAGACTGGTGAAATTTCTCGTGAAATCAGCAGAAGGGCATGGGCTCATATTAGCTTTCTGTTCACCATCTTCTGCTTCCAAACTGTCTCGCACAAACTGGAAGCTGGACGACCGACGGGAGCCGTGGCCTCCAACAGCATCGATCATCTCTTTTGTAGGGCGGCGCATCTTGTCTCGTAGATTTGGCTCCGCATAACTAACCACAGCACGCTGCCGCCTTGAAGGTCGAGATCCGGCTGTCATATCGATCATCCCGGTAAGACTATCTACCGGTTTCGCCACCGGTGAGTCCCTCAGTACAACCTTCGTGTGGGCTTGGAATGAATCTTCATTGTTGGATCGACTCGTGCGCTTTTGTTTCTGAGAGGCAGCGGCTGGTCGGGCAACGCGGGTCTTTTGACTCAATGTCTTGTTGTTTGGAGTCTCGGGCTCCTTCGATTTTTGAGGCGAGATTATATTTTCGTCCACCTTCGGTCTCTGTGAAATTTTGCTATCCGAAAGCAAAGAGGATCGAGCTTTTCGGGGAGAGCCTAGGCTCGTATTCACACTCTCTGATTTAGGCAGTAGACAGTCAGCCAGTTCGTCCGACAATTTATTCCAAAAAAAATGAGAGGGGCAATTCATACTTGGTTCAAGAACCTTGCGTTTCGTGGCTCCAATCTTGGACGAGCTGCTCTTCGGGTCAACTGATGTTTTGCTGGGTGAAGCATCCTGGCGCATAAAATCAAATACGTCGTTAGATTTTCGAGGGTTGTGTTTTGCGCGGCTAAATTGAAATCCATCCTCCCTCGGTTCGAAGCCAGGCATTAGGCCATCCTCGTCTGGGCTGAACTTGCGCTTTGATCCCGATGCAGTATGCTGCAATGAAGGGGCGCCAGGGCTTGCCCGCTCGCCCTCGGTTGTAGATTCAGTGGGTATAGTCGCCGTATCGAACTTCTTCTTCTTCTTCTTCCGGGTCTCGAGGGTTGGTGGAAGGAGTCCTGGATGGTCGGTTGAATCGTCAAGTTGATCCACTGGTAAAATTTCGTTCGGCTCAGGGCTGGGACTTTCCGCAACAGGATCCGAAATTCTATACATCTTGGATGGGCTATGTGGTGATTCCAGGATTGATCCATCTTGGACCATGTTCTGGATTTCGTATGATCTATGGATGATTTAGCCATCGACTTTATTTCAGCGTGAAAGGAAGCATTTCAACTCACTCCAATGTTCTCCGAGGATAGTATTTATCTTCGAGAATGGCTGGAAGCCGGCCATATTCGACCCCTGAACTAGGGTCCACGTCTGTGACTCGAGATCGGGGCTCGGTCGCAAGGATCTTTGGACGATTGGAGTCGACGTCCGGGTTATCGCTCGGTGATTTTCCAAGCTTGCGAGGCAACGTCCCTAATTCCGACGCTAAAGTGCTCAGCTCCAACAGCTTTGCATCCAGGCGGGATTTGATTGCATAGACCCCGTCTTGAAGCATCTTGGATGACTCTAGACGTTCGACCTCCTGGTTGAGATTGATGACCTGTTCTCGGAGAGACACATTTTCGGCGAGGAGATGAGAAACTTCTGATTCCAAGCTGCGGATGCGCAAAGATTGCATGGAGTTGACGCGGGCAATCTCACGGTTCTGTCGTACAAATCGTCGTTTCACTTGAGAAGGCTCGAGTTAATTTGGATCTAGCAGAGGAGACAGAGGGGTAGGTCAATCCGAGCGAAAGACCAGGTGGACTCACGCGCCTCAACCGACTCCAAGGGAGCCGTGAGATCATTCAAACGGGCCATGGCTGAGCGGAGGGGGAGGGAAAGGCGCCCGAGAATGACGAGAATGACGGTCGCAAGTGGCTCCGAAGAAGAGTAAACACAGTTGTTGATGTTTGTCTGCTTCTGGATTAGCGTCCATGTTTGGGTGACTCAGCAGTCGCGGTGGATCATCACATGACTCTGTTTGGAGAAGGAAAGCGACTTGGGCATCAAAACTCCACTGACATTCCGGCCGTTTGAATGCCCTCAGAGATCGTCCCATCTTGGAACGCGTCCGACCGCTCTGCAATGGCGTACTCATCGCGGCCAACTTCCATGCTGCCGGGCGGTGGGCTTCGTCAGCCCGCCTCCCAGCCCTCGTCCGCGCTGACAACGCGTATCGCGGCCAAAAAGGCCGAGCTCGAGAATCTCCGCCAGCTGCGGGATTTGAGCAGGACCCTAGCCACGCAGATGCAGGCGCTCGAGAACAAGATTGCCACGTTGAAAGATGGCACCGAAGGTCGGTTCTTGTGCCCCTCTCCTTTCCCCTCTCCTCGCGCCCCGGGTGGATTGGGGGAATATCTTAAAACTGACTCGATCCAGCGGTTGCATGTGTACTTGCGAATTGGGACAATGTCCTGCGCGCCATCAGTCTGGCCTCCAGTAAGCGTGAGAGAAAGGCTTATCAGGATCGGCTCCAGGTACTAACGCGACACAGACAAGGCTGGTGGGCTACGTGAGGCCACCGGGCCCGAGAACGAGGCGCCTCCGACTGAACCCCGCTTACCAGCCACCTTGGTTCGCATCCCCGCTGAGCCACGAGAGAAAACTGGGGAATGAAGCCGTGTAACGCTGCAAACCACCACTTGAGAATCCAAGATCCAAGATGCTCTAATGATTCTATTTTTTTTGGCTATCTTGGGTTCTTTATCTTCTTTCTTTTCCCAAGGGGTCGTTGATTCTTCCCGCCCCCGCCTTCGCGCCTGCTGGTGTTGGTCATTATGCCAGGCACAAATCATCCCTGGTCTCCAGACTGCAATCTCTATTTGACCCATGGTGTCCTCGCTACCCGAAGGCTGCAGGACTAGTCCGGAAGCACGTTCCACCTTGATCTGCCATGAAGCCCCAGTCAGAGCAGCTTTTTCAGATGACTGAGCATCCTCCTTTCCCCGCATTTTCGGAGCTGTGTGAAACCAGAAAGGGGGAGGGGAAGAGGACCGCGTTGGAACCTGTGACATTGCCGTTCCTCGCGTGACATAAAGAACCAGTGGGATCCATCTTGTCGACCTGCAGCTCTAGTCGATCGTGCATAGTGGTGGAGGGTAAGGTTCGGTGGTCGTGCACAGTTTCGTACTCTGTGGAGGTCAAGTTGTGGGCGTGTTTGGGTGGGATAGAATTGAATCCAAAGAAGCTCCCAGTGTCCTGTTAGACTTCAGTCCGAAGTCCGAAATCTCCGTTCCATCTTTCCCATCGTCCTAATTTGCCTTGCCAAACAGTCCATGATTCCTGCGGCTCGCTCGATCGGGTGACGCTCAGGCCCAGCAGATGACAGGAGCCACTGGGACCAAGTGGGGGGGGGGGGGGGGGATGACTTGCCCGTTCGCCCTTCCTGCAGCCCGTCGTCCCTCTGATTCAGCCCAGCAAGCCAAAGGGGACTCGCCGTCGTCATGATCCTCGTCTGTCCGGACCATCGGCACCATGCACCTTCCAACCCCCTAAAAACAGCACTGGAAACCCCCCCCCCCCCAAAAAATAGACCTGCACCTTATCCGGGGGTTGCAGGGCTCAACCTTCTCTCGCTCGCTCTTGTTGCTTTGCCTATCAGACGGAGGGGATCTTCTCCTCGATGCCCACGTCTGGATCCTGCCCATCCTCGTCCCTATCTTCCTATCGTTTTATCGTCCTATCATCATATCGGTTGCAACCGGGCAGATAAGCATGTCTGGGATGCCAGAATTAGTGGTTTGTCGCCCATGAGTGGCCCCGATCTGTGTCCACTCTTGATGAGGGGTCCCAGGAGCCAAGGTTGAGAAGAGGGACAAGAAAGCAGGATCTGGGAGGATACGGATCTATAGTATCTGAATTTAGCTCATCATGCTCGTCATGCTATCTTGTTGTTCCGCTTTTGCATGGAGAGGGAATTGAAGGATTTTCCTCGTTCCCTCGTACATCGCAAGGTCCTCTCGTATAGATATTTAGATGGGTTGGATGTTAAGATATTGGATGTTGTGTATTATGTACTGCATATTGTCTATAACCAGAAAACCCATGCTCGACATGTATATCATTACATACTATCGTACTAGATTCGACGCGATTCGTCCTCTCTCTCTCGTATACCCATCCAAAATCAACTCGGTTAGTTTCGTGCTTGCTGGGTCACTTGGTCCCAAAGTCCCAAAGTCCCTAATAAATCGCTCTCGCAAAGTTCGGCCGGGATCATTTGGGCTGTGGATGGGTGTCAACGCCCGCATTGGCCAGGGCCAGGAGCAAAATCCTCGTCGACTGGGAGCCATGCCCCTGATTTGCTCCACCACATTCTCTCTGTTTTTGCCTTAAGCGCCCGAACCACGCCAGAAATGGCCCCCCCCCCCCAAGTGCAACCAGTGGCAGGCGGCCAGGGGTCATCCGTGCGACGATCCACTTCCCCCCTCTTTTGACGCAAACTGCGTGCCCGGTGGCATGATGAATGGTGAATGGTGACACTGCACGTGTTTTGCCTTTTTATTCTTCTCCTCCACCTCGTCTCATTTTCAATCCTTCAATCCTTAAGTCCTTCAAACTCATCCAGATATCCAACTTCAATCTTCCTTGAATCTTTTCTTGAATCTTTTTTGACTCTGTTCGCCCCTGGACCCCCTCCCCCAACGGGTCTACAGTCTCTTGCCAGTGAGGACCCTGTGTGACGAACCCCCTCACGACCTGCAATCCATTCGTCTTTTTCTTCCCTCGTCGATCATTCTCGTCCGTGAGACTCCCATCGATCACCATGTCCACTGAATGGTCCCTAGACTTCTGCCTGGTCTGTGACCGCCAGACAGCGGGCGGTCCCTATTGCTCCCAAACCTGTCGGCTCGCCGAACTGGATCGACCCGCCCCCGAGGATCGGGCATCCGGCCCCTCCAGATCGCGCCCGGCCGCCCATTCGCGTTCGTCCACCCTCGACTCCACCGTTGAATCCCGGGCGCGGAGCCTGTCCGCCTCGTCGTCGCAAACCTCTCTCTCCTCCCTCCGCAGTCACGCCTCCCAGTCCACCCTGTCCGGCCAGCTTCAGGATGAGCTGAGGGACTACGCCAGCTGCTTCGATCCCGTCCGAGATCTCAAACGACGGCTGACCACCGCATAAAAACGAGAGGGGGAAGATTCTGAAGTATGCCAACATAGGCTCCTTCGCCCGAATCACCAGTCGGTTTCCATACTTCCTCTCGCCGACCGATCTCCTCCGACGAGATCTTCTTTTCTCTTTGCTTTCTCAGCGGCATTATGCATCTTTTTTCCGGGCAGAAAAAAAACATCACCACACGAGGCGTCAGTGCAAATGGACTTTGGACTTTGGACTTTGGATTTTGGATGTTGGATTTTGGATGTTGGATTTTGGATGTTGGATTTTGGATTTTGAAATTGATACCTCCCCTCTCCCTCTAACCCGATAACCCCTTTTCCCTCCTCTCTCCCCCCCACCCTACATCTATACTACTACCACCATGCGACATGTGATATAATTATTGGAGTTGTTGGCCAGGATTTGATATGGACTCATGATACACCGGACCCGAATGATACGACACCTGAGTTGGGGCTGCCGAGATAGACGGCTCCCGTCTGCTCTCTTGATCGAGGAATCGGGGAACCCCACGCGATGTGGGGATACAGAATGTAGAATACCTGAATACCTCTTTATGGATCTTTAATGCCTCTACCGAAATCGAAACGGCTTCCCTCGCGGAGCCATGATTTATTTCTGCCCTCCGTTCTTGCTCTTCGTGCTCTTCTTGCTCTCGAATTTGAATCAGCGCCCATGCCTTCAGAGCCCAGGAGGCAAGATGGGAGATATTGGGTCACTGCGTAAGCGTCCGCGAAATTCGATCACTCTCTACGTCGACGGAGCCCGAGATTGCTCTGCATAAGCGGTGGTTAGATCGCTGCCAAGGCATGTCTGATGATAGTGGCCCCCAGCGTGTTTGATACTGTGCTTTTTGCCCCTGGTGTGCCACGGCTGCATGAGAGTGGGCTTGGGCCGTCGAGGTATCCTGCATCCGTGCCCGGGATCCCCTTGCCACCCATAGCCACATCCCACCGGTCATCATGGAGTTGCCAAAAACAAAAGAGGGCTGAGCTCCACTGTGAGAACGCCGCCAGCCCTGTGCACGAGGTCCCAGGCTGAACCGCAACTGGAATATTGAGGAAGGTTGATCGATACCCCAATACGACCCGCCGACCCCCATCCACCTCCTCAGAATGCTTGCAGGCCGGGCGATGGAAAAAGACAGCCGAAGGCAAATGAGACCTTGTCCCACTATCATGATGATTTCCAGATCATGCATGTTTACCGTTGGGAGGCGACAACGAAGCCAGAGCGCGGGCCCTCGGACAGAATCGTCGGTTTCTAGCTTAGATCTCCGAGTCATCTATCTACGATGCGGTCTTTGGTGGCGGAGGCCAGTGATGAACGTAATACAAAATTATAGAGGTGCGATACGATATCTCCCTATCGAGAGGGGGTCTGTCTCTGTGTATTTCACCCTGGACATGATCATGTACAAACTATGTTAAACTAGATGTCAGAGCGAGGACAGCATAGTCTTCCAATCGTGCGTCTGGAATACCTGGAAAACAGTACCTGGACTCGCTATCGTGATCCTGGTCCAACCAAACGTCCTTTGGAGATCATATAGTCCTCCCGAGAGATCCACTCCCCGAAGGACAGTGAGGGAAGACTCCGCCACACCGTCGTGTCGTTGATCCTGGTTGGTGGATCCTATTTCAGCATGGTGGCCTCAAATGTGGAAACTATAGTTCTGTAGTCATTAGTATTTATAGCTCAGGTTGACCCTTATATATGTTCTCGATCACTATCTCTAGCCCTCCCCCCCCCCCCCCCCCCCTCCCATAACAAAACCTCAAAAAAGCACGGCAGAGTAGGATGGATGGGAGAGACATCCTGATGATCCCCATTAAAATATATCAAACTTCTAAAACTCCAAAATAGCAACATTATACTCCGAGGTTCTCAATAGAGTATTCGGATCTACCCTTGTCTCGCCCATGGTCAATACCTCGACCATGAACGATAGATAGTACCACATTACGCACCGGGTAGTGGTCTAGTAGAATATCCGAGCAGGGCATTCTCGTCCATCCGATGACCTGGAGCAGGCAAGAATGCATAAGAGGGGCGGCATTCTCGTCTTTGTGCAAAGGGACGTGGAACGATGGGCGTTCTCCACCGGTGGATCCTAGGCCCGTCCTCCTTGAATATTGCATGGAGCCCCTACGGAGTATTTATTTGTATATTTATTGCCTGCTAGTTATGTACGATGTCCTTTAGGACCCTTGGAGGGGATGCCTCCCATATGAGTTTCTTTCTCGCCATGTCCAAGGTCCCCGAGTCGGCCGCTATTGCCGACCACCACTTGTCGATCCTCTGGGTCCTTATAACGCCGTGGATCCGAAGGACTAGAGCGGAAAGAGGCATTGGAATCGACAAGCAGCTCTGCGGCTTGCTAGACTCGGAGAGCTATGAATCTACGAATAACATCAGAAGCAGTTCCTGATCTCCTGCTGTGTATCCCATGCTCAATGAGTGTGCAGATGTGTCGTTCGGGCTTTCTTTTCCCTGGGAAGGGGAGCAGTGTTGAAGGGGGGAAGGGAAGACTAAAGCTGAAAATCATAAACAGAAATGACATAGCTCCATTTCTCTTTCTCCTGGTTCCTTGCTGGGTGGATCTACAGACCAGGCCCTTCGCGCCCCTGAAAACTGGGGCCGCGCGATCTGGTGTATGGAGCCGCAAGTCAGCTGCGCATGCAGAGATTGTAGATTGTCGAGGGAGGTCCAGGCCTGCTGGAAGGGCGAGCTAGTCTCGCCCTGCGACCGTCGGGATCCCAGGGATCGGGAATGTTCGAGAGAGTGAGAGAGAGAAGGCCGAAGGGCCGAAAGGCGATTCAACTGGCGAAAACCAGCACAATTGATCCGAGAAAGAGGGGAAAAAAAGGGCAAGATAGAGAGCGTAAAGACCAGAAATCTCTGCGCGTCACATGTATCGGGGTGGACATCCGGATGGTTGGCTGTGTTCCCACCGAGCAGGGCTGCCGAGATCGTCATTGGTGGGAGAATACATTCAGCGCCTAGACGCCGTCAGAGTGGTCCACCGCCAAGAGGCCTCCAATGAAGAGCTCGAATTCCTACCATGCTGGAGACAAAATGACGCCAACGGAAAATCGGGGCGCTGGGAGTATGATAGAGGGAAGAAGGGCATTGAAGAGGACATGGACCATGTATTGAACGCTGAAGGATGAGGACCCGATGGACCCAACGGGGTGAGAAGACGAAGAGATAGAAACCTGGAATGGCGATTGACGTAGGAAGGGCGAATCCGGTTTGCGCCAGGTTGGACCAAGTTGGCAGAGTTGGAGTCACGTTGGGTCACGGTTGACGTTGGATGAAGGTGGAAGGTGTAGCGATCCGCAATTCCTGCCCTGATCATCCAACTTGGACTTCGTGTTGGTCTCGCTCCCCTTCAACTGCTTCATTCCTCTCCTCTCATCTTTCTACTTTCTCACTTCTTCACTTCACCTCCTCACTTCCTCACTTCCCCACTTCCTCACTCTTCCTCTCTCGCCTGTCCTTTCTGTGATCCTCCCTTCCGCCACCCTCATCGTACTACTATTACAGCTACTACACAGTTGCCAACTCCACTCTTCATCCTACTCGAACCCTACCGCCAATTGATCGACTCCGGCGACTCACGTTCCTCTTCACCCCAGCCGCTGGCGCCCGTGTGCTCTACATCCTCACCGTCAAAACTCTCTCTTCTTTTAATCTCCTATTCAGATAATGGCCGCTCGTCACTCGCGCAAGCTGCTGCGACCTTTACTCTATACTTCGGCCGCCGCGGCCGCCGGAGCCGGAGTCCTCTACATTTCCTACCGCCCTCGTAACATCCCCGGCCTGGAAGCCCCCGCGGTTCCACCCCCCGGATACCATGAGGGCAAACTGGTGCCCCCGAGCTTCCCCGCCATCAAGTCCCGCATTGATCAGATTCAGGATCTGAAGCGCAGTCAAACTGAGGAGCCCTATGATCTGCTGGTCATTGGTGGTGGTGCTACGGGATCCGGTATCGCCTTGGATGCGGCCACCCGAGGCTTGCGAGTGGCGGTGGTTGAGCGTGATGATTTCAGCGCTGGGACTAGCAGTAAGAGCACCAAGTTGGTGCACGGCGGTGTGCGTTATTTGGAAAAAGCCGTTTGGGAATTGGATTACAACCAGTCAGTTTTTTTTTTCTTGAAACTCTTTGGCGTTGGGCGTGGCGTTGCGATATGCGACAAGAAGCAGTGGACGAATTGGGGCGACGTGTGCTGACAGGACCCTTTCTCGGGACAGGTATGCGCTGGTGAAGGAGGCTCTGCGAGAGCGCAAGTACTTCTTGAACACTGCGCCGCATCTTTCGCAATGGCTTCCCATTATGGTGCCGTTGCAGAAATGGTGGCAGGCCCCTTATTTCTGGGCAGGCTGCAAGGCCTATGACTTCCTAGCAGGCTCGGAAGGTATTGAGAGCTCCTATTTTTTGACGAAGAGCAAGGCCATTGATGCATTCCCAATGCTGAAGCGGGACAATGTTGTCGGTGCCATGGTGTACTACGGTAAGTCTCTACCCTCCTCCCTTCCGCAACCTCCGGGATTATGCTCCGGGAGTATGTCCGACTAGCTAGGTGAATTGGCGAGCTGATAGGATGCAATAGATGGTGCGCATAACGATTCGCGCATGAACGTGTCGCTCGCGATGACGGCTGCTCTCTATGGCAGTACGGTGGTGAACCACATGGAAGTCACTGGCCTGACCAAGGATGCCGACGGAAAGCTGTGCGGCGCGCGCATGCGGGATGTCATCCCAGGCAAGAACGGCGAGGAGACGCAGGAGTTTACCATCCGGGCCAAGGGTATCATCAACGCCACCGGTCCCTTCACCGACTCTATTCGCAAGATGGATGAGCCAGAAACCAAGGAAATCGTGGCTCCCAGCTCTGGTGTCCATATCATCCTGCCCGGATACTACAGCCCCTCGAACATGGGTCTTATTGACCCCTCCACCTCCGATGGTCGTGTCATTTTCTTCCTGCCTTGGCAGGGCAACACCATTGCGGGCACCACCGATGCGCCTACTGAGATCACCGCCCAGCCCGAACCCTCCGAGAAGGACATCAACTGGATCCTGTCCGAGATCCGTGGTTACCTGGCCCCGGACATCAATGTTGACCGCAGCGACGTCCTGGCTGCCTGGTCCGGTATTCGGCCCTTGGTCCGTGACCCCAACAAGACCAGCTCTCAGGCGTTGGTTCGCAACCACCTGATCTCCGTTTCTCCCTCTGGACTGCTGACCTGCGCGGGTGGTAAGTGGACCACCTACCGTCAGATGGCTGAGGAGGCGGTGGATGAAGCTATCACCTCGTTCAAGCTGAAGCCCTGTGAGAAGAAGAATGTGCCGGATATCAGTGGCGCTGGCGGTAGTGGCTTGGTGGCTGACGGGGCCGTCCTGGACGGAAGCTGTCAGACCCACCAGGTACGCCTGATCGGTGCCCACGGTTTCTCAAAGACCTTGTTTATCAACTTGATCCAGCACTATGGCCTCGAGACCGATGTGGCCCAGCACTTGACTGGGTCTTACGGTGACCGTGCTTGGCAAGTCGCGGCTCTCTCCGCCCCAACCAATGCTCGCTTCCCCGTGCGCGGTTGCCGCATCTCCGCCTTGTACCCCTTCGTGGATGGTGAGGTCCGATATGCCGTCCGTCACGAGTATGCCCAGACTGCGGTCGATGTCATTGCCCGTCGTACCCGCTTGGCTTTCTTGAATGCCGAGGCCGCATTGGAGGCCCTCCCTAATGTGATTGATCTCATGGGCGAGGAGTTGAACTGGAGCGACCAGCGCAAGGATCTTGAATGGAAGGATTCGGTTTCGTACCTAAAGTCCATGGGTCTTCCTAAGAGCCTTCTTGACCTGTCTCGACAGGAGGTTCAAAAGGGACGCGTGAAGGAGCTGGAGGTGGAGGAGCGCAAGACATTCTCTCGAACTGGTAAGTGTTTGCCCTCTGCTAAGGAGAGCGGGGATGAGAACTCGAAAAAAAGATCCCTGATGACTGACACTTTTTCAGATCCTCCTGCGGATATTCTCAATGGTGACGCTGCTCCTAGCGCTGATGCCTCCGCATCGGTGTCCCCAGTTAGCAATTAGACATCATCTGTGGTATACTAGGATAGAGCGATCTTGTACAAATAGAATTGTTTCTTTTTTTTTTGTTCATTCAATCCTATATTTTATTCTCTTTCAAACGGCAAGAGCATCCTGGGCTTTTAATGCACTGCGAAGTATATGGAGGCCACTTTTACCTGACACTGGAGAGGTCGGCGCCCCGTCGATCTGTTCCTCCCTTTTCTCTCTCTCTCTCTCTCTCTCTCTCTAATGATCTAACATACTTATCTTCCTCAGCATGGAGCAAAAATTTCACAAGCCCGAAGATGGTTGTTTCCAGGCTAGACTTGCCGACTGTGGATCGATTATATCGGGCGAGAAGGAGGTTGGGTTTGCATCGCTGTTCCCTACAACAAGTGACCCCTTTGGAGACGACGGAGATGCTGGTGTCAAGTATGAAACAATGGCCTGGTGGTGAGCGCCATCAGATTTCCTTAGTTTCCCGTGGCAGATATGCGAAAAAGAAGCTAAGTCATTACCTATAGGCAAGCTGGGATGAGTCCGTCCATCATGCTGAGATATAAATGACCCTGGAATTGACCAAGTTAGTTATGATCGCAGAGACCATCTCACTTGGAATCCTGGCACTTCCCAAAGCCCTGTCCATATTGGGTCTTTTCCTGTATGTATTTGTGAATCCTCCGAGACATGGAGCGTGGGCCCAGCTCACCCAAATAAATGGCTTTGCTCTAGCGGCATCTTGACAATTCTGGGGGTGGGAGTCATCTCCACGTACACCGGCTATACCATCAAACAACTGAAGCGGTGTTATATGCAGATTCACAGCATGGCTGATGCAGGCGACCTCTTGATGGGAAAATTAGGGCGCCGATTTCTGGGTCTAGCCCAGCTCCTGTTTTACATCGTGATAGGAAGCCATATTCTGACCTTTTCCATTATGATGAACGTCCTCACAGAACATTCAAGCTGCACCCTCCTATACTCTTCTGTGGGATTGCTGATCTCCTTCTTCTTGACACGTCCTAGTCGTCTGGAACGACCCTCTCGTCTATCTGCTATGAGCTTTGTGAGCATAACTGCAGCAGTGATCACTAGCATGATCGGTGCCTCCGTCTCGAAGGGATCTACTAGTCACATTTTCCTTTTCTCCTCGGCTCCCGCTGTGCCTGACGCGTGTCTAGCGATTGCCAATTTTGTCTTTGTATATGCGGGCCATGTCGCCTTCTTCACACTTTTTTCGGAACTTCGAGATATTAAAGATTTCCCCAAAGCCCAGGCACTGCTGCAGATCACAGAAATGATCTTTTACAGTATCAGTGCAATTGTGATATATGCCTACGTTGGATCTGCATTGGCATCCCCTGCTCTCAACTCCGCTGGCAAGCTTTCCCGCAAAATCTCATATGTAATCGCGATTCTCACCGTAAGTTGCGTCTCTGGGAATAAGACTCCGGCGCTATATTCCAACAATATGGTGATTTGAATCAGATTGTGATTGGAGGGGTGGTGAATGCTCATGTTGCAGTCTAATTCCTGAATGTCCGCTTGTTTCAGGGCACTAGTTCCATAAATACCAGGTCCTTGACAGCCCAGGCAGCCTGGGCTGTCATTTGTATCACTCTATGGGTTGTGTCCTGGGAGATTGCGGAAGGAATTCCTATCTTCAATGACATCTTGGGACTGGTGGTATGTGGATCTCCCCCATTTCCTTCTCGTATCAAGTCCTGCATGACTGAATCACAGACTGATATCTGCCAGAGCTCCTTGTTTGCCACTTGGTTTTCATTTGGACTGCCAGGGATGTTTTGGTTGTTTCTGAATCGAAATCGAGGGTTCCTGTCCTGGAGACAGATGATTCCGTTCGGCATCAATGTCTATCTTGTTCTTCTTGGGTTGATCATTGTGAGTTCAACATTGTCTGATCCAGCCGCAGCCTATTTCATACTTAATGTTTTCCGATATTAGTGTGTGATCGGGCTATACTCTCCTGTTCGGTCAAATTTCTATAACCTGCAGAAAGGGGTTGGGGAGGCAGTTTCTCGCGTGCCGATAACTCATTACTCTGAGTAATTTCAGGGAGGCTGAATAGAGAACCAACTTGGGAGAAAGCTTGACATGAAGAAAAGGGTTGCACAAAAAAAAAGCACCAGCTTGCAAATTGAACACGGGATTACTAGCAGAGCATATAAACCAGCACGGCTGGTTCTGCAACTTTGAGGATTTCTGGTTAGATTCCTTTGTAATCCTTGGTGATGTCCACTTGGCTTGCATGCTCGGCTCTTTGCCATGCGTCGGCAACTATACCTCACTGGTATTAAATCCAATAGGAAAATAAAGGCTTGATCTGCCCACCTGGACCCGAATGGTACTATATAGATTGGGTGGCATGGTGTTTTTAATCTGCTTTCGGGTGTCCCAGCTTCTGCAGTCCAGACCAAAATCGGAGGAATTCCCTAGACAAGGCCCAGTAACTAGTAAGCTTCCCTGTAGATTTAGTTGATACCGTCCCAGGATATTGTTCGGACTATTCTCTGTTATCCATCTAAGGGCTCTTCTCATATTGCGCCACCCAATGCCCCAGAATTATGGCCCCAATCCACGTCCCGGGCTAGTCGGCCAGTCAGAGAATTGGAGAATTGGACGAACGGGGCCATGCAGCTGTGTGTCACCTGGCGGCTCTCCGGTTAGGTAAATAGTTCTCTATTTAAAAAAAAGAGTGGTCCGGTTGGACGGGCAGATCGGGAGCTCCCGAGCCCTGTAACGTTATGATTTCCAATACATCCATCTATATGTAGAGTTATATAGATGAGGATGACGATGCACCCGGCAAATGGCATGGATTTGCCCCCTCCATTTCCAATCTCGCACTTTGGTTCTCTGCAATCAGAGTCTTTCGGGTGGCAATGCGGAGATGCCTTGCCCAATGCATGCGGTCCCGACTGAGGCAGGGATTCAGGCATTTTCCTGACCGCACAATATGCATTTCCGCAGGAAGCGCAACATCCTGCATTATCCTCCCCCCCCCCACCTCTTCGAATCCCGCCTCCCCCCCTCTCCGAGTCCTTGATCTGGGCCAAGGGGAGAACGATCCAACCAGGACCGAGAATTTCGGGTCCCCGGCCTTAGAGCTTCTCCGTATTCTCTCCCCGCTTCTTGTGGCGCCCAGTCGAATCGAGGGGTTCACTCCCACCCAGGCAAGTGTCGGTGAGGTCACATGTGGATTCCAGCATGTCGCGAACCCGTTAGTTGCTGTTCGTTGCGTGGTGCGCATACACAACAAACTGCGACAAGGCTTGCAGGCGCAGACCGGTTCTTTGGACTGTTTCCAGGACTTGTACGTGGTTGAATTTGTCCGGTACCTCCCAAAGCAAGATGGAGAGAAAGAAAGAAAAGAAAGAGAGAGTGGAAGGGAGAAGAGAGTAAAAAAAATAGAATCAAAAACACCCGTTTCAACCGTCTGCATATTTGAAGCCAATCTAATCGTGGCCTGGACTATTTGCCCCCCATATCGGCATTGGCAGAGCCGTGATAGTTATTCCAAAATCGCGCGACGGCGCGCTGGGCGACAGGCGAGCCACGATAGCGCTCGAGGAAATAGTTGAAGAGCGCAAACTCATCCCGACTGAGTACATAGCTGTCCGGTTCGGCCTGGATGCGATTCCATAGTTCGGTAATGGCGGCTTCGAGAATGGCCGTTGTTTGCGGGTCCACCGTGCCGTCCTCGCAATTCCGGGCGCGTTCCAAGGCCTGTCGAATACCGGCCTGATCCTTCGACATGGCGAGTGGAGAGGGCGCAGATAAGAGAGGCTAACAAGGAGGAGAGGGTAGCTCGGTCCTCCGAAGCCGTGAAGAGGGCGCGGCCGCGGACGGCGGGAGAAGAGAAATGCGCCCGAGGGGCCGATGGGATTGGGGACAAATAACGTAGACAAAAATTGGGTCGAATTCTGCATGCGACCAGACGGAAATCCCGAGTCTTTTCAATCATAGAATGGAACCGAAGTGGAGCAGGGGTGGAAAGGGGGGGGAATGACGAGGGACCCAGCCTGAGCAATCCGAGATCCTCAGAGTGACACCCGAAAAAAAATTAAATAAATACAAGAGACCAGCAGGAGGTTGAATTAATTCAATTTCAAGGATTCCTGTTGGACCAGATCAGGCACAGGCCGGGCTTCATCCCGGCGGGAGAATCAGAAAACCACGAGAATCAAAGATGACCGTATGCAATGCTGATTGAAGACCACCGACGGACGTTCGAATGCTAGGCCGGAAGAGATGTCAACAGGCACATTGGAATCCAATATTGGACTTTGAATAAGAATAACAAGACCAGAGTTGGTGGGTGGGGAGGGGGCCATGGTTTGCCAACGGGCTCGCCCGCGGTGGGAAGCGTCGGTCGACTTACTTTGCACCCTTGGCGTAACGGCTTTTTCGGACGCAAAATGACATGCTCCGGCCTAGGATCGAGCTAGCCGGGGAGGATCGAGACGAGACCACGTATGCTGGGAGCTCATTCGCCATGGAGTTATAGGGTTCAAGGGTCGGACATGTCGCTTAAGCCCATTAATTGGAGACGCGGCCAATCCGGCTCGTGAACGGGCATGGCCCATGTCCCTTCGGAGGCTAGTCAGTAGCAAGTCCGGTGCATCAGTCGTGTGGAGCATCGCCTAGGCCCGCCAGGCCATGGTGAGGCTCCTTGGGGGAGGAGGAATGTGCTAGGGCTCCCTCGAGCTTCCTTGACTCTCCGGGAGCCTGGCCCACTGTGCTCCTCATCGCGTCGGCAGCTTCCATTTTCCCCTTACCCAATTCAGGGAGGTGGTTCGTTTCTGGTTTGTTTCGGATCCAGTGCTGATCTCCGACCGAGAATTGGCCGTTGATCCCCTCGGATCCAGCCTGAGTCAGGCAGAGAAGCTTCGCCTAGGGCTGCTCGGCAATTCAGGAGGCCATGCTGAATCAGTGCTGATGTTTCTCCCCCTTCTTCTTTCTTGGCTCTATCTCCTGTCCGGAGGCCGGGCGGGTCAAAGAGAACCTGTTCGGCGCAGAGAGGAATGCTGGGCCGCGCACCGCGAGCTCCATCGTTGCCCTAGAGCAACATTTGGGAGACCAACCGGTAAAATGGGACGCAATCTCTCGGGTCCTCTTGCCTGCTCTCCGAGGACACTCCACTCCCTGAAGAACAATTCCCTGATGTCCGGGTCAGGGTTAGGGAAATGATCTCGTGCATCGTGGTCCATTTCAGAATATCTGAATATCTCGAGAGCACACTCTTAGAGGCCTTGGATCCTTAGGGCAGCCTGCGAACTTCGTATGGCCTCGCGGCATTGAAACCCTCTTCGATCGGCAGATCGGCAGTTGTGGTTTTGACTGGCTCGTTATGGGGCAAATAATGAACACAACCAAGATCAACCTTGAAGGCTAAGACAGAAAAGGGGGAGGAGGAGCTGCTCGAGAAGGTTCGCACTGACGCAAGCTAACCCCCAGAGAGGGTAATGCGCCGGAATGAAAGTCCATTGCTTTCTCCACGTTCCATCTTGAGCACACGAGACAAGTCTGGCGGGTCGCAGGTGTCTATTGCAGAATTCAAATGGCCCTCAGGAGGAGAAGAGGCTGAGACAAAACAAGAACAGAAACAAGGTCGTTCCCACGTGTGTGCCTGGATGCTCCACATGCAACTTTAAATCGCGTGGCTGCGCGGACCGGGTCGTTGCCCCGAAGCTTCTCCTTCAATCCACGAAGTCTGATGCGAAATGCTCCTGCCACTTGTTCCCGGAGTACGGAGTGTACAGAGTACTTTGTATTCTGTACATGATGAAGAACTGCTCCTGATGCTTCAGGACATGGCCGTCTCCGCCGCTTCGGTTCGCCATGGATTTTGGACATCTACGATGAGACTGCCTCTTCATTTCTGCTCGAACCAGACGGGAAACGGGTGGAATGGATCACGAATGTTCTAAGTCATGACTGCTGTAGATCACCCGGCTGATGGCTGTCGAAATGGATTTTACTCAATATGGCCCTATTTTTGCCTCCTTCTGTTGGGAATTGAAGTTGACGAGATCTAGGAGGAAGATAATCGATGGGATATAATAGCCTGGTCAGCAGCTTCTTGCTATTCAACCATGTGTGATACTGCAGCAATCACTATTCTCCTGGTCGGGAGTACAGATCGCACTTTTTGGTTAGGGGCCGTTGTTCTTTTTTCATCGAATATTCAAGTATCCAAAAATTCCTGCCTTGTTTCCCCCTCCGTTCCCAAAATGTTAATGCTTGTCGTTCCCCTTTGAGATAGAAGAGTGGGGCAGCATGTATAGAAGCTCTGATTTACTTGGGGATATACCAGTATGGCAGCAATCTGAGCTTCTGAGAGGAGTGACTGAGCATATTACCTAGGGGGCCCAGATGATTTTAATGAAAAATGCTCCCCATAGCTATATTAAGCAATTCTCTACTCGTATATAGTGATTTAAGGGCGTTGGTTCTCTCAATATTGACTGGCAATCGATTCTGGGCTCCGGCATCACGACGGACCTATACTGATGACTAAGCCATAAATCTTCATCTTCACGTTCTGAAGCTCCCCCACCGGAGAACCTGAAAGATTCTCTTCCTCGTCGAATTCTACCTGATAAACTCTACGGGACCAGTCATCATGGTCTACTACTTCACATCCAATGTGGTGAACCCCTCAGCCTTCATCTACGTCGGCAAAGACAAATTCGAGAGTATGCGACAAATTTCTGGTCCCCGACAGACACCGTCGAATACCCCCTAACACTTTAGCTAGACGAGGATCTGATCAAGTTTGGCTTGGACCATGATGTCTGGTAGGTGTTGGAAACCTATTACCTTCAGACTTTCCGATTGATTGAAGCAACTGACCGTGTTCTACACCAGGGTTGGTCTTTTCGCAGCTCCTACGGCTGCCCGTCCCGTCCAAAAAGTCGCTCTAATGCCTGTTTATCCAGTTTCACGTTGATAACCTATCGAGTGCCCACGTCTATTTGCGCATGCGCGACGGAGAAATTTGGGATCAAATCCCCCAAGACCTTTTGGAAGACTGCGCACAGCTGACCAAAGCGAATTCCATTGAAGGTTCGCTAATTACCCCTGTCCAATCCGCCAATGCACCAAGATTGATTCAGCTTTGCAGGAAATAAGAAAGAAAACATCACTATCATCTACACCCCTTGGTCGAACCTCAAAAAGGATGGCTCCATGGCCACGGGCCAAGTCTCCTTCCACAATCCCAAGCTGGTGCGCAAGATCTTGGTTCGGGAGCGAGAGAACCCGATTGTCAATCGACTCAACAAGACCCGGGTCGAGAAGTTCCCCGACCTCCGCGCAGAGAAAGAAGAATTCTCCAAGAAGAAGCGACACGCCGAGCGCAAGCTTCGAGACCAGCAGAAGGAAAAGGACAAACAGGAGAAGCGGGATCGCGAGCAGCTGAAGTGGCAGAAGGACCATGCCTACGACGACATGTTCACTGTAGAGAATATGGAGGCAAGTAGCAACCAAGACAGAGATCCCGACTTCCTCGATGACTTTATGTGATGACAACCTCTGTCTGCCGAACGATATATACACATGCAGTACATGAAGATATGAACTTTGTGATCTAGCGAGGAACACCCCCAGCTCCCTCGGGACTGGTCCTAGGGGTGGGAGGTGTCTTGAGGAGCCGATTTGGAAATAATAAATACCCACTGTGAGACCAATACATTCGAGAGAATTAAGAGAAATAAATTCCCGATCACCAAACTACCCATGATCTATATTATATGATGGTTGTAGAACACAAACGCAATTTCAAAGTGGCGCCATGGCTGGTGTAAAGACGGCCCCGGGACCACGTAAGAAGGATGACGCGAATCATGCAGGCGAGAAAGCCCACAGAGCCGTACCGGAGTCCAAGCTCAAAGCCTCGAATCTCATCTCGGGGGTAAAAGGCGTTGGACCTTTCGCATGGTCGCGGTATCGCATAGATTAATCATCGGGGCGGAAAGACCAACGGCCGCCTTTCCAGCCGCGCTAGTGGAGTGTTGACAGCTTCCCTGGACCTGGATTCTTGCGCATTCCCCATTTTCTCTCCCCGCAACCCTTCACCCACCAGCATGCCTGGAGATAATCCCTCATCGGCTGTTCAAGGTGCGCAGTATTGACTATTGCCCTCTCCCTCGTTCCTGAGTCGCAGCACACTCACCCCGCTCTAGGCGTGAAATCGAAGAAGAACAAGAAGAAGGCTGGGAAAGCCAAAGAGAACCCTCCGTCGACCGACAATCTGCAATCAGATCCTCCAGCGAATCAAGATAAGACCGACAACGTGAGTGGTGGCTCCCACTGCTCCCCCTCCCCTGCTTCCTGCCATTGCAACCCTTACTGAGGATTCTAGCATGACGACGACGCTGTCGAGCAGCCCTCCGATTCCATAGCCAACCCGAACACCGACGGTCTTTCACCCGATATGGCTGACGACATTGTTCCCAAATCACTGGCCAAAGATGGCAATGCCACTCATCAAGATGAGACACAAGAATCTGAGGACCCGACCCCAACCAACTCCGAGCCTAGAGACCGCTTTGATGCTCTGGTGCGAGATCGAGACTCCCTCCGCGCCGAGGTGACCGACATGCGCAAGTCCCTGGAGGAAATCCAATCGAAACACAGGGCAGACATGGAGGCGTTGCAACAGAGACTGGGCGACGCCGAGTCCAAGAAGGAGCATGCAGAAACACAATTCCAGAAGCTCATGGAACGGGTCAATGCTATTAAGTCCCAACTGGGAGAGCGACTCAAAGAAGATGAGGTATATCGCGACGTCCTCTATCCGCTCAGACCCTTCTACTCACCCGGCCTCCACAGGAAGAATTGGCTCAAGCGCGAACCCAAATCGAAGAATTGGAGGATGAGAATGCAACCCTGAAGTCGCAGCTTGAATTGAAATCGATTGAACTAGCAGAGCTATCGGAAGAATCGGCGCAGAAGTCTCAAGAAATCTCTACTCTTCGAGATCGGACTAACCTATCTCAACAGAATTGGCTCAAGGAGAAGAATGAGCTAATTGAGCAGGAGTCGTATCTTCAATCGGAGTTTGAACAAGCCAAGGAGGCGATGCACAATTGGGAGGTACTTGCCATGGAGGAACGATCGATTCGTGAAAATCTCGGCGAGAAAGTTGTAGACCTCGAGGAACAGCTGAGCAATCTCCGTGACTCCCACGAAAAGGTCACGAGTGAACGTGACAGTCAGCAGTCCACAGTTGATGGACTGCAAAGGGCATTGCAGGAGATCCAAATAGCCCGAAAACAAGAACTCCGAGAGCTTGTGGAGAGCTCTGATGCCCAGCTAGAGGAGCTTCGAAAGTCTGTGGGAGACGCGCAGAAACAAGCCACTGACGCCGACAAGAGTCTTCACGCCGCACAAGAGGAGCTGGCCCGGGTGCGACCGTTTGAGAAGGAGGTCAAGGAGAAGAATCTCCTGATTGGCAAGTTGCGGCATGAAGCTGTTACGCTGAATGATCATTTGACCAAGGCTTTACGGTTTCTTAAAAAGGGCAAGCCAGAGGATAATGTGGACCGGTAAGATCTCACAAATAGCCCGTGAGATGTTTGATTTTAAGAGAGAACCATGGGCTGATTTTGATTTGTCTTTTTACCTTTCCAGTCATATTGTAACCAACCATTTGCTACATTTTCTTGCTCTGGATCGATCAGATCCCAAGAAGTTTCAGATTCTTCAACTGATTGCAGCTTTGCTAGGCTGGAACGATGGTGAGTATTGAGAGCCCACACCCTTGCCCAACATTTTCATCTGTATTGCTAACTATCGTCCACAGAACAACGTGAACAAGCCGGTCTTGCTCGACCGGGAACATCGCATATGCCAGGAAAGCTCCGAGTACCCGGTACTCCGCTGCGTACTCCCAGCACACCCAACCTGGCCACCGAGTTTATGGACAACGGGACATCAAGCAAAGAGACATTAGCCGAGCTATGGTCCAATTTCCTCGAGCAAGAAGCAGAGGCCGGGAATATCACTGCGATCAGGCGAGGAAGTCATCCAGGGCCAGTTGCAAATCCCTAGGCAGCCATCCTTTGAAGCGTTTATTCTTTCATTTTATGGGAATGATCGTGTATATGTGTTTAGACGACCTCAATAGATCATCGATGTTTTGTTCTCCTTGGTTTCCTGGATTTTCGTAGTTGATCGTCTCATCTAGTTCATGCTGAGTTCTTCCTAGCTGCATCACTGGGGTTCGCCGCCGTCGTTTCACACACAGTCCAATCTGCCTACACTAGGCTGAAATCTGTCTTTTGGTTCCCTTGGGAATGGCACAAATCCATTGAGTCTTTCCGGCTCAGGGCCTAACACATTAGGTCCGTCAGTTAGGTATCACTGCAGTAGAGCAACCAGTAAACCAATGCAAGTGATCTTGCGGAACCACAATGAGATTTCAAAATACATGAATATACCAAGGCAAAGGCTCCAGGAATAAGAGTTTCTCATCAGGGATAATTAAGGAAACTAAGTACACGGAAAAGACCAGATGACGGGAGCGCTGGATGCCAGACTCTTTCCCAGGCAATACAAAATCCTAGAAAATAGAGAAACGCCCGCCCACTCGAAAGACGGGAGGAGGATACAGAATGTCGGGAGAAAAAAATGGAGGCGCAAAGAAAAACAAAGAAAGGGGATATCTGCAAGGGCTTGCTGGCGTCGAAAGAGACAGTGATTTTTCGGAGAAGGGAATAAGAGCCTTGCCCGTGGGGATCTGGTTGCTACCGTCGTACATCAAGAGGCGCCCATTTCAACTACATTTACTCGCAACACCGATGGAGCATGAAGAAGATTAGTATCCGTTCATGGCAGCCCGTTGGGAGTTGCGGCTGAGCTCCCGATCCGCGGAGGGACTGATGGGCCGGCTGCCACTCGAGTGGCCGCCAGCAGCGCTGCTCTCCTTCAGAGCAAGTAGCTGCTTGGCACGGAAGGTCTCGTAGTGGATCTGGCTGGTGGTTTCAACCAGATCCTGCAGATGAGTGCGGGTCAGGAAGTTGCGTAGGTAGACGAACTCGCAATGGTTCTCGTCCTCAACGTTGATAACACCCCAGCGGTTCTGGCGGCCACGGACCTGCTTGCCGTTGACGACAATGGTCTTCTCGCTGCCCACGACGGAGAAGGGAATAATGTCCTGTACGCACACAAGTCAGAGTGCCGAACGTGAGATATAAAGAAATTCTAAGGCTTGCCTACCTTAATCTGGGCATTGATGGCGCGTTCCTCATCATCTAACTCGTCATTGTCGTAAGGGTACATCTTCAGGTTGTGGAAAGCGAACTCCTCCTTGATCCGCTCCTTAAAGGCCTGGCGCTCCTCGAGGGTGAGGGAGTCGGCCTTGGCAATAACGGGGACAACGTTGACCACGTCGGAGAGCTTCTTCAGAACAACAATATCGATGGGCTTGAGCCTGGAAGACGAAATGGGTAGGCGTTAGAAAGCTTGTCAAATCCGCCGTGATATACCGACTCCACCAAACTTTGGGCAAGGAGAAATACTTACGCATGGCCGGAGGGCTGAATGAAGAACAGGCAGCAGTGGATACGGGTATCTTGGATATAACGTTCACGCTGGGCAGTGAGTTCTTTCCGGAGATAGGCCGAGTGCTGATCTTTGATGTACTTGACAATGGGGTCCCAGCTGTTCTCCATGTTAGCCAAATCCACACTTGCCGGAGAGGGAAGAAGCAAAAGAAAAAGCAATGGAGTTTGCCATACCAGCGGTCGTTGTTGACCTGGTCACCGTAACCGGGGGTATCGACAATGTTCAGACGGAGACGCACGCCGTTCTCCTCAATGACTAGTCAGACCTGTCAGCCATTGCATACTCCATACCCCCTTGTAGATGGCTACACATACTATGCGAAACAGTCTGAATCTCGGTGGTGGAGCGCACGGGCTCATTGGGGGTAAGACGACCCTTGGAGTCGATCAGGTGGGATGCGAAGATGGTGTTGACCAGAGTTGATTTGCCCAGGCCAGTTTGTCCTACGAGCCCGAAGGGAGAAGAGATAGTCAGTCAGGCAATCCGTTATAAATGCAAGAAAAGATCGGGTGGCCACATACCGACACACATGACATTGAACTGGAAACCACGCTTCAACAGCTTCCGCTCGATCTGGGAGGTGATGCTGTCGAAACCGACATGGCTGTGGGGGAAGACGGTGGGCTGCTGAGCCGAAGCAGCGCTGGTAGCGGCGGCCATCGTGGAGGAGTAACGGCAAGAGGAGGATGAGGAGAAAGGACCGAGTCAAGGTTAATCCCCAGGTGAAGATGTTGGAGAGCCCCTTAAGTTCGTTGTTATTTCCCTATCGAACTCAGGGGTGCGCTATCCCTGATCGGGATTAGTGTCGTTCCCCGGCGCAAAACGCCTGACGAGGCAGGCTCGACCTTTTGTATCCTCGATTCTCTGACTTCCCGACTCTTCGACTTGTCGACTCGTCACGATCCTCGGTTTCAGCCTCTAGTTCTCTCGGCAAGGCTTCGGTGACTTGAAACCGCATCTTCCGTCATGGCATTGTCCCTCCCCCTCCGCCGGGCTCTGCCTCAATTCCCGCCTCTCGGTTTCCTGTCCGCCGCTACTCTGACCTTCCCCATCTCCATCACCGTTCCTCCGCTCCTTGCCGATCTCTGGGAGTCTGTCCTCCGCGCTGTTCCGAAGAAGAAGACCTCGCACATGAAGAAGCGTCATCGTCAAATGGCAGGCAAGGCCTTGAAGGATGTGCAGAGCCTCAACAAGTGTCCCGGTTGCGGGCAGGTCAAGCGGGCCCATGTCTTGTGCCCTCATTGTGTGAAAGGTTTGTTGTGAAGTCTCAATTCCCTTCAGAGCAAGCATTGCGTATATATGGTTATATTAATCTCTTAATCGCGTGATCTCAATATTTTGTGGCCGGATGGCTGACCAAATGGTTTATAGAAATCAAGCAATCGTGGAAGTCGGTTCAAACAGCATAGATGCGATCAAACACCACATAAAAATGTATTTTTCACGGGGATCCTCGTCGTCAAAGTCTGTCGCGCGCGATGAAGACCTCAACGGCATTGTGTATTGTACTATTTCGAAGATTTGGGTTGTGGATATATCTGCTGCATGGCATCTGGCGTCTGGTTACGGGGAAAAAAAGAGAGACCAACGCATATTCGCGGAAATTTCTTTTCTTGGTCTTATTGACCTGTATCACGAACTCATGTTCAATTGTATTTTTTTTCATTCTCTTCAATCAAATATATCAATTTGTAAAGTGTAAAAAGCTGGAGTGTCTGTGGATGACAATTAAGTACTGTACCGCACCGAGTCGGGCGCCTGAGGCGCAAAAAAGGCGGAGCGTGGCCTCGCCAGAGTCGCCGGAACGTCATAACCAGTGCGGGCGCTTAAATCCCAGAACACCTTGGTCACCGACCCTTGAGACGCCATTGAGAATGGTACGCTTGCAAGAGTTCTCTTACTCCCAAGCTAGAACTAACTGGAGTAGTCGCGACAATATCTCGCGTGGGGCTCGGCCGATAATGGTGAGTAAAGGTGCTGCCATTAGCTTCACAGCAGCTAATCAAAGCCAGCGCACCCCGTGGATATATTCTCTCTGGCAGTAACAGAAAAGCAGATCCTCTCTGTATCTGGCGATTCATCGATTAAGGTCCATTCAACTGCAGACACCGACTTTCCTTTGGTGCAATCGATTGAGGGGGCCCATCCGCTTGGCGGCCACCATGTCGTAACCAATGCCAAAGGCACACGCGCTGTCAGTGCCGGTTTTGCAGGAGATGTGAAGGTGTGGTCTTGCCAGGATGGTTACTGGTCAGCAGACAATGCTTTAACAAGTATGAGCTATTCATTGAATGGTTCGGGGTCGGTAGCTAACAATCCCCGACGCTCAACAGCTAGCTTCTCAGATGTGCATCCATGGGCAATTGCTTTGTCTGAAGATGGCCAGTATCTGGCCGGTGTCTCCCAGGATGGACATGTCAAAGCATGGGATCTGAATGACAGTGGTGCCCAAATACGAGACCATGAGACCAAGGGTAGCTTCGGCACCTGCATCGATCTGGTTGGTCTCTTGATTCTGAACCAAGGGCTGCTAGCTAACGTCCACAGTCTGCAGACGGTCAGCTCATTGCTAGTGGCCATGAAAATGGTGCTGTTTATGTCTTCAGCACCGAAACAGGTCGCATGCCATTCTCTCTATCTGGTGCGTAAATGCTCATCAGCATGTCCAACAGACCCTCTGACTATAATTGATAACCAACAGGTCTGGTGAAACCTGTGCGAACCGTAGCATTTTCTCCGGGTGGAAAGATCATGGCTGCGGCAGGAGACTCTAAAGTGATTGTGCTCTATGATACATCCTCGGGTGAACAGATTGCCAATCTGTCTGGCCACGCAGCGTGGGTCCTTTCTCTTTCCTGGAGCAATACAGGAGAATACCTTTTGAGCAGGCGAGTCCCTCGTTGCCCATGTACGCAATGGCTAAGTCTAACCTAATCTAGCTCTTTTGATGGAAAGGTGAAAGTCTGGTCTATTGAGACCAAGATGTGCGTTGCCACACACTCCGAGACCGAGAAAGCAGTCTGGAGCGTCAAGTGGCTTCCAAAAACTGGAAGGTCAGAGGGATTTGCAACTGCCGGTGCCAACCGGAGTGTCGCATTCTACCGTGAGGCTACTGGGGGCTAGTTTCTCCTCTTGTGCGCCTGAACCACTGCTTGTGGTGGCTTACGTCCTCTGATGTTCTTAATAAAAACGAGAACACCGATGCATCAATTAAACTCATGGTTCCATATCAAAAATCATTACAATGACCTACCGATCATCTCTTCAGTTCATTGTCTCCACAAACAACTTGCGCATTCGTTTGAGAAAGGCTCCAAAGTCTCGATCGTCATTGACAAGATCCATCTCACGCTCCAAGGCATTCTTGTCCACCTTGGGCCGTGTGTGGAAAATCTCATAATCACGACTGGCAGTTCCCAATTCAAACCACGCCTCCGCTTCCCAATCCTTTTCCAATAAATGACTGTAGACGAATTTCAATCGGTCTTCCCGACCTGCACCCTCAATCCGTAAACAAAGATAATCCTGCCAGAATTCCAATTCAGGAAAATTGAGTCGAGACTGTGCATCCAAATGCTTTGCATGGGATTTCTGTGCTTCTAGCTTCTGGTTGATGGCCTTCTGGGTCTCTGCGATCTGTTGCTTAAGACGATCACGTTTGGCCAGTCTCGAGTCGCGTTCCATAGTGATGGAAGAGATGGCGGCGTGCATTTCAGCCGCTTCTGCTGCCTCCTTCTGTAGTGTTTGCTCATGAGTCTGGTGTTTCAGGTTCAAAATCTCGATTTCTCGTTGTTGCATGCGCTCATCCTCTGCCGCCTCGGGTTAGCGACTGGCTTTCAAGACTGGCAAACGTCAACAGCTGGCATACCTTGCTTTTCGGCGAGGTTGATATGAAACTGATTTCTCTCTTCTAAAACTTGCTTGCGACCTCGTTCAATAAAAGCATCAAACTTAGCAGTGAATTGCGCCATGCGATTGCGCAAGTCCTCAAACCCGAAGTTGATGTTAGGCAGCGAATCGGCCATGGAAGGAGCATCCGCCGATGCGAGAGGAGGGCGCATGCCACTCGTGGACATGGATGGGTCAAATGATGAAGCCATGGTCGCAAACGGGATTGAATCAATAGGCTCGGTTGCTGTACGCTGTTGTGGCGGTTGGCGTCGAAAATTCGAGAGAGAAAGCCGACGCGCGTGAGGGGGTTGAGGTGTTTGGGGTTGCGCCGCAACGACATGCTTATCGATAACGTCCCAAAAAACTTTCCAGCTTGCACCTCCCGCACTATTTCTTGACCTTCATGACATTCATGCCAAAGGATCAATATAATCATCTACCTTTGGGGTTGCGTTGAAACGGCTCTCTCTGCTGGATACCCCTCGATATGATCTGGCCGGGCCTTGTGCACATTGCAAGAAGCAAAGCAAGGTCCGATGGATGAACAACTTGACAGTGCTCTACACTATGGGCACGTCGGAAGAGCCACCTACCTTCCCGAATTCCAGGAATGGGTATTCTCTCGCTCGTTTGCCCAGCCTGCTTCGATCGCATATACTGGATTCACCAAGACGGCGATACAGTCGCCTGTGCATGCGTCACGACGAATAACGACCAAGACCATTCAATCCGCAGATAAGACCCTGATCCCTCAGACCTACCCTGATCTAGCTGCGCATTGGTCCTCGATTCATGACGATAGCTTTTCCGAGATTATCACAACTACAGCCAGTCTCTATGATCCTCAAGTATCCTCTCTACTTGACTTGGGATACGCGCTGGACAATCGAAATGACGATACCAGGCTCCGCCCAAGCCCGATTCCGATTGCTGCCGTGGTGACCGGCGAATGTGGCAATAAAATATCTTTTCGAACACTTGTCGATGATGGGGCGGAGCTGGCAACGAGCACCGGAATCTCTGCGTTGCGCGTTCCTTCCATCGGTCACTCTGAAACTTCTGAGTGGTCGAAGCGCGGGGCTCCTATCCGCCAGGTATGCTTTGCACAATCGATAGAAGAGAAGGGAACCTGGATGGCTGCCCGCTTGTCACAGTCAACAATCATCTTCCGTCCGACAATTCTACGAGAGCCGGTGCCGATGTATAATGGTGACGATGATATGGTAGCTTTGGCTTTACCCCTCCAAAATTCTCGACTGGACGCCAACCCTGTGGTTGAAATTCCCAATTCTCGCACGGGTGGATTTCCACATGCGGACGTCACTTTTAATCCTTGGTATCCAAAACAGTTTGCTATCGTTGATACCAGAGGCTGCTGGAGCATATGGGAGATATCAGGCCGACATCGCCGACGGAGAGCTACCTGGATTGCCGAATGTAAAATGAATGGCTCGCTGTCACCGAGATATAATCAATCTGATCCAATATCTGCTCGACATGATGGATGGGCCTCAATTGAATGGATTGCTGATTTCTCGACCATCCTCGTTTCTGATCGTCGCTGCAGCATGCTGTATCAGCTTAGAGGTGGCGATGTTCTGCCAAGCGTCGTGGAACTGGGTATGTGCAAGCAATCAGAGTGGATTCTGGATGCTCAAAGAAGCGCTCAAAACACATCGCACTTCTTCATCTTGACCAACTATCGACTTCTTTGGTTTGATATCAGTGTAGCCCCGCAAAATGATCAAGGCCTGAGACCACCCCTTCGCTCCAATCTTTCCTGGCGACATTTTCGGGACTCAGAAGACACAACGTTGCGCGTCAGCAGTCTGCTGGTCAAAGACCGTATGTTATAGCATCCTTTTCCATCAGAAAGTAGCTGACATGGCCAAGAGGTGAATGTAGTTGTCTATTCCAAGCTTACCGAGCTTGTCCAGGTCTTTTCATGTCCTCTGCTTGAAGTCGATCATTCGCAGCCAATTTCCTTACCGGATCCCTCTATGCTTCATGTGCCGCCTGAACCCGATAGCTTAGCTTTGGGCAAGGACTCTCAAACCCACTTCTCCACTCTGATTTTTCGAGAAATAGAACACTCTCTTGCACCCCCAGGAAATACGTTCTATAATCCCGATATGTCACTTTACAAGCTTTTTTGGATTGATTCATCGCTCGCTGTGCATGAATCATTATTCCAAGGCCCAGACGTGAAGCGAGATGATGAAAGCATCCATGCAGAGAATGGTCAGGTTCTCAGACTGAAGAAACGGCATTATGCACATAGAAGAATCCGTGATCCCGACGATGAGGATTTTGTTGTGGATGATTGGGATGAAACCATTGTTCCTCAGCGGGTTGGTCTTCATCAAGCTCGATCCCGAGATCCCGCGGACGATCTGCAATGGACATTGAATTGGACCTCTATCTATGCACATTCCGTGGCAAATATAAATGCTGCGGCTGATCAAGGGGACAAAAGTCGCTTGAAGATTACTTTCGACCATCTCATTACGGAAATTGAAAAGGGTCAGGCTGAAGACTCGGAAGACTGGCAAACAAGTAAAACGATGTAAGTCCCGTTTTGGGGAACCTGCAACCTGGACCGATGATGCTGATGAAAAAATTGCCAGTCTGGAGCTGAGCCCTACCCAACCCATGATCGAGGACATTGACGACACTGCTCATGACATAACACGCCTAATCTCTACTATTGTTTCTCAAACCCCTGAGCTCCCCAAACGATGGCGATATATGATATTGCCGGCACAGTTTTCCAAGACGTTCCACGGTCTCCCTACTCTTTGGTCGAAGCAGGCTTCGGGCTTTGATTTCGTGGGAACCTACGATCAATTAGTTGAGGACTGGCTTAGCAGTATCTCCCAAGACATACCCCGACTAACCCGCGTCATGAAGGAAAGAGTCATTCGGGGCATTGCTCTTGACCTTCTTCTCTCACAATTGATTCGAACCTCTCAAATACCCAAAAACGATTTCCAGGAACCCTACGCAGATGGTTTGATCGACGAGAATCCTCCTGGAGAGAAACTTGATACAACGGTATCCCGGCATCCTAGCCTGCACTTACTGTCGTCTTCGCATGTATCCAGCAGCCAGTTACAAGCCTCACAAGATGAACACTCTCAGGTCCCGGGCAAGGATGGCTCGAGAGCACCCTCAGCCCCAGTTTTTAGTGCTTTATCTGCCTTGACCTCTATAAAAAAGCCTCGTACCTTGCCCCGCAATGTAGCCGCCTTACTGTCTCACTGGAGTCTTGGTGGCGACCCTTCTGTCTATGAATGGGAGAAGACCTCCTATCTGCTGGACGAAGAGGAATCCCAACGTACAGCAAGAGCCATGACCCCTCGACGCCAGAAGAAGCCCCAGAAACCGATTGGTCCGGAAGCGTTCTCTCTGCCCCCGACGCCTGTTGCACCGTTCATCCGAACCTGGGGCAGTCAACCTGACCAACCATCCACATTATCTCTCCTTCCCAGCAGTCAACCGACGGTGGACGATGCCCCGATGACACAGATGGAGCCAGGCCAGTTCGGAACACGCGAGTTCAAGAGGAATGTGAAATCCAAGAAGAAGCGGCGGGCCGCGGGATTTTAACGAATGTATAGCCATGTACCAATAAGAGGAAAGCCGCATCAACTCCTGCCATTCTCGAATTCGATAGGACTCTACCATATTCGTTCGTTTGCTCCCTCATCTCGCCCAAGAACCAAAAATAAATCAATGCCAAAATGGCGTGCGAGAGTCGACCGTCGCAGACCAATGGCAGAAATGGCTCAGCCCGTTCCAGACAAATAAATGATAGGGCGGGCTCTTCAGTTGATGACCAAATATATTCACCACAAATGACTCTGATTTAAATAGGAACCTCTTACATAACAGATTTTCTCTGCCGGGATTTCCTATTTTAGCTGCTGCCGCCTTTCTCACTAGGTAAATTTCCCGGGCTCGGTGTCACGGAGCTGATGATTGACATCACGTGACTATCTGGTGATTAATTAGTAGGTGCTCAGTAACTCTGACTGGTGTGATCTGGAAGCCTACCTATATATACCACTACCACTTAGATCATCTCGATCAGTGATCTAGTTGATGTCCTTTGGTGTTATGAGATGAACATGTGAGTAGCTGGCATGTGGATCCCACTATTTATTAATATCTAGGAAGAAATACTCTAAATGCGTACTATATTTATAATTCTTTTTAATTATACCTTAGTAGTATTGCACAATGAGACACTATGGAATATATTGTACACAATCTGCGGCACGTATTAAATAATCAAACGGATAAGTTAGTCGAACCATCTTTCAGGCAGCAACTGTTCTCCGTTCAGTATATATTATCAACCGGGCTGAACTGGCGGGCTATTGCACCCGGAATTAAGTGTACAGGGGGTCATATATTGACTAGATATTTCCTTTCCCACTGTCAGGACGGAAAATTTCCTTTAAAACGCCCTGAGAAAAATCTTGAAGTGATGAAATAGGTCTCAAGCATTCTATGTGCTTGGTCTTGCTTGGCAATTCAAAGTCACCTTACCATGTCACTCCTCCACCTGCCTACAGAATGGATTTTCAACCCCGGGGCGTATTTGGGAGAAAAGGATATTAAATCAACATCTCAAACCAGCCGACCTCTTGATTCGATCTTCAATCCTTACCTCTATCAGGTCAACTCGTGTCCTACGAGCTCCGCATTGGTATGGGCTGCTCTCCAAGGGATTGAAAGTACAGCCCGAAAGTCAAATGCCGAAGGAGTTGAAATGAGATAGAGATGTATTGAACGCCGCGGATTACTTGCCGTAGCCACACGAAGAGGCCACATCAAATAAAAAGCCTATTTCCCCAGACAGGAAAAGTGAATATGGATTTGCAGAACATCGAGGGCTGAATGCCATTATCACGGGCCGCAGAAATTGGTAACAAGAAGGTCGTGAGACTGCTACTCCAGACAGGGAGAGTGGATAATGACTCGAAAAACAACGGCGGTCGAACACCATTGCCATTGGGTGCAGAACTTTTTAAAAGACGATAATGAAACTGTCACTTGAGACGGGCAAGGTGGACGTGATTTCATCGGATAACTCATGCAGAACGCCACTATGATGAGCGTTGAATAACACGGAATTGAATTCAGAGTTGGAAGATAATGACCAGAAAGAGATCATAGAATTGCTACACAAAGTTTAGAGAAGGCAACATGGAACAACAAGGACACTACCTTGCAAAATTAATAATTACCTGAATTTATCCTTTGCCCGTACGCAAGACAGAACAAGTGATTCGGAGCTGGCGATCATGCCAGATCATTGAAACTCCGCTAAATGATTTGATGCTATTATCTGTAGCGGTCAGTATGTACAACATTGCTTTATTAGCGCACGGTATAGCGTCTCCAGTATAATTCTGCCGATATTATATAGCAGTGATCTCGAGTAGATTAGCGCATTATGATTTCATTTTTCAAGTGTCAAATCAGAAGACTAGAAGGTAAAACTGATATCCAATATGACTATAGCAACATTGCGACTCTTTGTGGTGACTGGCGCTGATCTGTTGTGGTAAAGCTGGGATAAATCAGGAACCAAGCCACATCATTACAATAATACCTTCAGTCCTCTACAAAAGTAACTTATTGCTGATTCAATTTATCTTCATGTTGCAAACTTTATGTACCAATTTTGAGCGCAGCCAATTTTGGCGAATGAGAGGTGGCTGTGGGGACCTGTATATCGCATTTCGCGAGAGGGTTGATGAGGCGGGCATTTCCACATAAGAAGCTGTCTCGGCAGTCGGATTTCGGCGTTTGACATTTTTCAGGCAAAAATTTAACACAATTGTTGCTTTATGAAGATGGCCAGTCATCATAGTTTTCGTTGGGATGTTGGCATGACCCATAGTTGACACTACCACCCCGGGTGTTAGAAGCGAAAGTATATCGAACTTGATGCGGCTGATCATACTCTGAATTACGTCGGGTCAGCGATGAAGTCACAGTCTAAATTGGACAAGTTCTTCACCTACCGGGATATTAATAAACGGCCGAGCAAATGTCACAAGGTCGATCTTCTCTTCCTTGATTAGCTTTCTCGCCTCCTCCACCGCGTCCTCATGGTTAACCATCAGCATAATCCGACTGCATTGATTTAAGTCATTAAGAAGATATCTATATCCACGAGGGCCTCAGCCGGTTGATTGTGTCCGCGAGATTTATTGGCTAGGCGGTTTAAATTCGCACAGGAAAGAGAAACAAATAAATCCCTCGGCCCAGCAAGCTTTTCTGCTGCATTCTCATACTCCGGATCCTGGATAGCGAGCTTCGACTAGCGACAAGAATAGAATATTTCCCCCCAGGCATATTAGACTACGTATTACAAAAAAAGCGAAAATGTGAAAAGAGATTCCAAAAGCGGAAGCCAGAATGAAGAGGGAAAACAGCAGGTGCAGTTTAGGACGAAACCTAGCTATATCTGTCCCTATTGTTTTCTCCCCCCTCCCTTGCGCAATCCGAAACCCACTTGAGTTACGTACTGTTTGGTCGTCCTGTCCACTTCCACTCCCACCCCACTCCCACTTCCACTACCACTCCCCTTTTGTTCCTTCACGGTTGAACATCTCAACCTTTACAAATTGCTCCCACTCGCCTACCATGTCTGATAACGGATCCGATCATGAGTACAAGTTCAACGTGTCCATGAGCTGCGGCGGTTGTTCTGGCGCCGTGGAGCGTGTGCTCAAGCGGCTGAACGGTAGGAGCCTCTCATTTCTGGTGGACCACAGCTGCTGCGCCGGTCAACTCCCGGGTCCTTTTCATCTGGTACCAGGCTAATGAGATTCCTACAGGCGTCAAGACTTATGACGTGAATCTGGAGACCCAGATGGCGATTGTTCAAACCGAGCCGACCGTGGAATATGACACCGTCCTCGACGCGATTAAGAAGACCGGCAAGACAGTGAATAGCGGCGAGGCTGATGGTGCCGTCAAGGAGGTTTGAACCGCCATATTCTCTGAAGAGATATGCATGATCCTGCATTTGGGAGCGAGCTCGTGGGCGGAGGTTGTAGCCAAATACCGAGACCCTGCAATTAGCGCAATATACCGTTGGATTTCTTGATTAAATCTTCACAAGGCGAGCTTTTACCTCCCCTGCGCTCGCTCCACCAGATAGAAAAAGTAGGATTCCTAGAGCCTTCCAAAATACACCGGGGGTCGCATGGAATCCCGCGTCTGTTTAGTTGTTACCGTTGCCTACGTGGCCATGGGGAAGAGCCAGGACGCTGAAAATGACCCAGATGTAAATTACATCGGAATCTGGTTCAAGGAAGAGAGGATCATATCTCATAAATTATGTTCAACGTAACATGTAAACGCTCTAATAATAGCTAGATGGGTATCATCAAGATTATAGACAAATGCGAGGCCAAAAATGCATCAATGTCAAAAACCGATCATTTTCAAACGCCACCGTGAAGATTGGGTTTGTCAATCCACAATAACAAAGTGCCTTCCCTCCGAGACGGGATACGGTGGCGGTTGCGATTCAACCTGCTGCACGTAAACTGGACGGTTCTGCTCGGCCATTTGGAAGGATCGCGGATCATGAGTGCGTCTGGGACAAGTTAGTTTTGAGAAAGACGATCCTTAGTAAAATTTCTGGGGCCAAGCTGGATGTTCCAAGTAGAAGGGCTTACCGCATCATGCCGAGCCCGCTGTTGGGACGCCTCTCACGAGAGGCATCGCTTGGGTTATTTGGAAGGTCTCGATTCCCAATCTCATGTGGATGAGAAACTTGGCCGTGGGAAACAGGAACACGGTGGGGACTTCGCGGATGCTGTTGCTCTAAAGATATTTGGGATGAAGGAGAATCCTTAACAGAATATTGATTAGCGATCCTAGCCCGGGCGGGCTGGCTATGACTTTCCTCCACACGCGGAGGTGGATATCTTGGGCGCTGTATCAAGTACTCCACCGGAAGGGCCTCGCGAACATCGACGTGACGCACAAAGTCATCGGCGTAAAGCTTTCCATTGGCGGAAGTTCCATGAAGCACCGGGCGATCGGTCTCAGTGTTAGATCTCCAAACAGGGGCACGTGTCTCTTCCAGCATTGGCCGTATTCGATCCAAGTGGGAGCTACGATCACCATAGTACACAGGGCGAGTGTCCAGGTGGGAGGCATTGGGGACTGGTTTGAACGTGCGGTCGCTAGCTGCAACGGGGCCAGCGGCTCCCGAGAGCAGCCCCGGTTGGGGATGGATGGAGACGGGTTCATGCGGATCGACGGTACGTGTCGTATCCAGCGGTGGCCTGGGGTCTAAGCTGACCTGGGGAGGCATCAAGGAGGCTGGGTTTCTCTGTCGTTGATATCCTATGGTCACAGACTCTTCTGCTGGAGGTAAACAATAGTCTCGCCGGTAAGGCCGGTCCTGTAAACGGGATTCCGGTATAAGCTCGTCACGCCGATATGTTCCTCTCGGTCCTTCAGAGGTCGGAATTGCAAGGGGTCTTGTGTTCCAATGATCGGGACGGGAGTAACTCGGAGGAGCGGCGTAGTAAGCCAACCGCCTCCTCTTGCAATTCTGATCATCTGGGCTGCTTGGCACATTTGCATAACCCTGGCCGGAGGCTTCCACCTGGGAGTGACCTGGGGTTACGGAACGGAGTGACATCCTTTTGGTTAGATGCTCTAGCCGGCCTTCTGCGCGCCGCTTTTCTGTTATAAAGGGGGATTCGATCGAAGGCAAGGCCAGATCATGGTGGTTGGCTCCCGGACGGGGGTGATGGAGAACAGGGGGATCGGCTCGAGGTCCAAAATGGCTCTCGCTACTCTGATGTAGTTCCTTGGGCCTGCTCACGAAAACAGGCATATCGGATCTATTGTTGGTTGGAATGAGAAGCCTCTCAGATCGAGCATTCCCGCACATGTCTGGACAAGAAGTAGACTGGTGGCAAACGTTTCCCATGGTACGAGGGCTTTTGTCCAAAGGACGGGTTTCATGGGAATTCTGCATGGTTAGTGACAGAGGCAGTGGCCTTCCGCTGGACCTATATAAAGGAAGTGTTTGCTGGCCGTCCAGGGGAGCTTGTCTCTCCTGGGTACTCACATAGCCTTGGCCAGGTGATGAATCAGTTGCAGGAACAGCTATCAATCGTTGACCCGGGTTATCAACGTAAACGGGCCTGGAGGCAATTGCGGAAGTAGGATCCTGGGACAGGACTGGCAATTCTCGGTGCCTCACAGGGTCTGACATCTCGTGAGTGGCAACAGAACGTTTACCATATCTTGGGCTTTGCTTCTCTGCCGGAGCACCGCTTGCCTGGACTTTTTGTATGTCATTCGCCTCTGCACGATATCGACTTAGGGCACGATTCCATGCCTGGTATCTGCTAAAACCTCGACGGTCGATCGCTTTCTGGGCAGGGACTCTAGTCACGATCCGGAAGCCAGGCGGCGCTTCCTCGGAATGCTCCCGCGAGAAGTCCTGAATTGAATGGTTCACTCTGCTTGCACTGATTGGCTGGGTCTGAATTTCATGGGTCCGGGCATTGCTGGATAAAATTTCCACGCTAAGGTCTTGGGTGTCTGCTGCCGTTGCTGTTTCTTCTTCGGTTTCACTGTCTTCATCATCTGAGATGACAATTACCTCGCGGAAAACATCCTCGAGGACTGTCTGGCCATTTTCATCATCCCCACGCCATGCAATGACCTTGGACAGGGTAATTTGCTCTACCGCAGATCTAGCTTCATGGAATGAGGTTTGCTTTAGAAGGCGGTCATAGTCAGTGTAGATGTGGCGGATATGCGCCACCACTGCCAGCTGCGCCCGGCGAGCTAAAGGCAGTTCAGATGCTGTGCCGACTTTCCGTTGACCCTGGCACCATAAATATCAGGCACCTCCGATTTTTCCAACATTCTAAGTCAAAGCATTCCAAATGGACTTACCTTTTGAAAAGCAGTCTTGATGATCTGGTTCAGATCGTTATCTGGGATGTTAGGAAAGAGATCTCGGATGGCATCTCTTGCTTCTGTATTGATCGTGATCTGGGATGTTTCCGAGTCGGCCGGTGGGGGGTTTTCAAGGCTACCCAGAGTGTGGAAAGGCACTGCTTTCCCAGTGCTTGTGAGGTATAATCCCAATTCCGAGCAAGCCGCTGCGACGACTGTACTCGGAAAATGATATCCTATTCGATGGACATGTTGAGACAGATTATGGATGTGCATATGAGGAGTTGTCTGACCAACAGGTTCAGTGTTCAGAACAGAAAGCTTATCCCATAATCCAGGGTGTCTTACGGAAACTGCATATACCTGGCTGCCCTCTTTGCGGCACCGCTCTTTGCACGTACTGGTAAGGTGTGGGTTGCCCGCTGGAATGAACGTATAGCCACTAGGCGCCTGCGCCTCGAAACATATCTGTTTTTATTATACTGTTAAACTCTATAATCATCGACAGAAGCAAAGGGTTTCCCGAACAGAAACGAAACCTACCACACTTCGGAGTTTTTTCTTCTCTTGCGTGACAGACTCCATGATCACCTTGTGCTTGCGAGTTCGCCGGTGAACGGCCCGGCTAGGGTTGCGCCGGGCCCAAGCCGACGCGGTCCTCCTTACAACGCGGGCCATTTTTCTCAGGTCGGTCCTTAACACAACCCGGCGACGGAGTTGTTTAGCACATAGTTTCCAAAATACGACGAAGGGCTCCGTGGCGCTGACGAGGTAGACTCGATCCGAAAGAGACGGGTGGTCTGTCCATAAAACTAGTTTGGGGGATCTGAAGGAGCACAGGTTCGACGTGCGGTAAGTCGCCGACGTTCTGTCGAAGAGCGACACGTTTCTTAAGCTCGCACTGGAGCCAGGCAAACACGAGACCGTTAACCGAGCTCTGCAGCTCTGCAGTTATGCGTGAGGAGGTGGGGGTGAGGATGCGAAGACGAAGCGATTGCGGCCCAAAGTCTCTAGTCACCTGTCCCGATCAGGCTACTTATGCCTGAGGCCATAATTTCTCCACATTTCCAAGTGTTTCAGTGCTCTAGTGCACCTTACTCAAGCTGCAACGCTTCAGAAATGAGCGTCTCACAGATCAGACCGCTGGTTAACCAGCAATATGTGGTCCACGCATACCGCCATCTCTTCAAACAGGGACTCAAGGTGACCCGACACGCAACCCCCGCCCGACATGTCCTCCGCACGATCTTACGGAGCGCCTTTCGGTCCCCATCGCGCGAGGACTTCGACCCGTCGAGGATTGCCAATACACTTAGATTCCTCGAACGAGCTGCCAATACTACGGGATTTGAGCATAAGATTGTCAAGAACCTGTTACTGGCCCGATACTGGGAACGAGCACTGGTCGACAAAGACTCGCGCATGTAAGTCGCCCCCCCCCCCCACCTCCCCTCGGGGCCCCAATTACCACTATATGTTGAGATCGAGGAGATATCTGACTCAGGGTCTAGTTTACGGAGCCTAGGACTTCTCAACGCGGACCACCAGCTCCGCAAGAGTGCATACGACCATTTAAATTTGACCCTGGAACGATTGAATGAGAGTCTGGGGACGTGTCTCAAGTGAAATAGAGAGTCGAACTGGGTCAGAATGGCCATCTGATTCGCCATACCATCGTCCCTAGTTGGGCGCCCGTACTTCACTTTGGGCATACATTCAGAGCAATAACGGGACCACGAGGCAGCTCTCCTGAAAAGGAATCTTGCAGCTGGCTCTCGTCTGGTCCAGAATTTGACTGCTTTCTGCCCTCGCGTCTGAACTCATGTCGAGAACAACGATCCATGCGGAAGCGCCATTGTCGTGCTCCATCCTCTTCCGCCGGGTTGAGCACAGAAAGGGTAATCACGTTAAAAACCAACAATTCGCTACCAACAATTTGCTCTATTCTATTATTTGTCTCAGCATCCTCTTGAAGCTCAGGATCCAAGGGGCCAAGACGAGTAACCAGATGAGAGGCAGAATGCCGCAGGCCTGATTTACGGGGCAGGCCGGTCGGGGGTCAGCTGTCTAGAGGAATATTCAATCTCTGATATCTAATTAGGTGTAGCATATATGATCTATGATTTTCTCCTCCTTGACATTTTCGGGAATTTCGTGACGTAGCTGTACTACTGCGTGGCAATAAATTGAGTAGTTCTAGATGTACCTTCACTTGTGTACTTCCCGACTCGTGTTGGGCGGGTCACCATGTGATGATGATTCAGCAGCCCGACGTCACATGTCATCAACCTACACCACGTCCAACTGTTTTGCCAACTGGCAATAGGCGAGCTGTGATTGCATCTGATGTGATCCGTTGCAGCCCTTCATGAGCAGCTTTCTTGCGTCGCTTCTGACAGAATTCGGTTTTCGTCCACGCCTCCCCCGCTCCACTCAACCCTCGGGCCATGCGGAGTCCCATCCAAGCGAACAAACAATCTCGCCGGCGATTGACGAAGAGTCCGTGACCAACAAAACTGGCGAAGACTGTGGTGCATTCAACTCAACCGGCGGAAATGCAGGGTCTTTGGATTGCCCTCACTTCTATACAACCCTAACAAAAGAGATGGATGGCCGAAACCCGGAGTTGGAGGGCGCTCGTCCATCGCCCCAGAATGGACATTTCCCAAACCAACCCTTCCCGATAGCCATAAATCATTCAGTGGGCATCAATACCACTGCCAGTGTCAACGCATTGCCGGTGAATACAGAGGTTTTGCGGTCTCAAGATAGCCCAACGACAAATCAACGACAGGAAGAGATACCAGGTGCCCTCCTCTCTTGGAATCACAATGGGACTGGACCACAAAGCAATCCTGCCGTAGTTGATGAGCTGGGTCAAATATCCTTGCCGGAGGATGACGGAATGGGCTGGCTGAGAAAGAAGATTCATGCCATACGAAACCTGGATCTCAACAACAATGAGAAGGCACGCATGGTCCATGATCTAATGACAGAAAGCTACAACTCGTCTCGAAGAGCCCTATCTTCCAAATCACCTCTACCGGTGTCTCCAATATCAAACTCTCAATTTTTGAACCAATCGAATAATAGCCCAGCCACTCAGGAAACAAGCCCGTCTTCAGGTTCAAGCCCGACGAGCCCCACCTTAACAACGTTGAATCCCCAGCACGAGGATCAATTTTCACTTACCTTGGAAGATTTACAACCCACATATGCGTCAAGACCTGAGCCTGAATCACCGGTTATTGAGACTGTTGATGAGGATGCGGACACGGAGGAATGCGAAGAGGCCTTATTGGGCTGTCCGCATTACAAGAGAAATGTCAAACTTCAATGTTTCACGTGCAAGAAATGGTATACCTGCCGGTTCTGTCATGACAAAGCGGAGGATCATCATCTCATTCGTCGAGACACGGAGAATATGCTTTGTATGCTTTGTGGACATGCACAGCCAGCAGCACAACTTTGCAGACAGTGTGATACTCAGACAGCCCAGTACTACTGCGATATTTGCAAGCTTTGGGATAATGATAGCAAGAAAAGCATATATCATTGTCATGACTGCGGAATTTGCCGAATTGGACAAGGGCTTGGAAAAGATTTTTTTCATTGCAAGGTAAGTGACTTCCACTAGCCTCATATCTCATTATCCTTCTTTCTATTAGATTATATCCTCCTAACAATGCCTAGACATGCTGTGTTTGTCTGCCTATATCTATTGAGGACACTCATCGGTGTATTGAAAGGTCTACCCAGTGCGATTGTCCCATTTGTGGTGACTACATGTTCACCTCTCCGGAAACTGTGGTAGTAATGCGATGTGGCCACAGTATTCACCACAAATGCCTTTCGGAGTATTCAAAGACCTCTTTTCGTTGCCCTATTTGCAGCAAAACCATCACAAACATGGAGTCGACGTTCAGGAACCTCGATCGCACTATTGAAAGCCAGCCTATGCCGGTTGAGTTCAAAGACACCAAGGGCCTAATATATTGTAATGACTGTGGTGCCAAATCAGTTGTGAAGTACCATTGGTTAGGCCTGAAATGTGATTTGTGAGCAGTCATCAACTTTCAAGATTCCCAAATACACGGCTGATTGATCCAGATGCGAATCTTATAATACCGCCCAGCTTCGTCTTCTACAAGGGGATGTATCCGATATACTCGAAGAAGAAGGCGTCGATGAAAATCAAGCTCGACCACGATCTGCATCATTAAATGTGAACGAAGAATCCATGGCTTCTCTCGCTACACTTCACCTCACTCCAAACCCAGCTCCTCGATTAAGTGTCCCAACATCTGCCGAGTCCGACAGGCGGACTGTATCCTATAATATGTCTCATGGCCGCGCTATTTCTCCTGTCGTGAGTAACTATTTTGGTCTTCCCACCGAACGTGAATCTGAGAAGTCGTCATCCTTGCCATTCTTTGGTAGTGCATCCCGGGTAGACGGCGATACTGATTATGGTGCGTTAAATTTCCTGAGCAAAAAACTTCGCGATCGATATGGATTTCTTGCCGGCGATGCGAAAATTGCGGAGGGAACATCGGAAGCCGATGAGGAGGAAGAAGAAGAAGAAGAAGAAGATGATGATGATGAAAGGGAATCATCAAGCTCTTCTGACACAGATGTGGACAAGGATGAAGAGGACGATGAAGATGATGGGGCTGAGTATATCGACATTTTTGGTCATCGATGATTTGGATCCTTTCAAGCATGTTCGACCCAACGACGCAATCGAAAGGGACTTGCACAGTTGATTGGAACCTTTTGGTCATTTTGATATCTTGTTCAATTATTGAGCTGGCTTTCTCATCGCAGCTTTTGAGTTGCTCTTTCTCTACCTCCTCATTAGCTTGTTTGGGACGAGTTCATCACGCTTCAGGCAAGGAACGAATCTAAGCCAAGGTATGGTCGAGCATTCTGGTCCATCAGTGTGGACTCTCTGGACGGAAGCGCGAACGTTTGGACTTGAGCTTGCCTTTTTTTGCCCCCGGCAGCAAACAGCTCTCCAAATGCATCAATCCTCTGAACATGCAAGAGACGACAGGCGTACCGCTCACGAATTCAATGCCAAACTAATATCGATTTCTTTCAATCAGATTCTCGTGAAAGTATAGAATCGACTTGATATCACAGCTGATTTCTCGTCAATCCCCTAAGCGCTTATAGCAGGGCGTTAGGTTCCTGTCTTGGTCGGAACGACCCTTACATATCTTATATTTAGATGCATTAACATAACGACGAAATGAAAACCGTCACCAGATCAAAAATTCATGCTCCTATTTTAGACTAGATGCTTTCACCCAGTGTAGAATGTCTAATCAAACGTCAGACCAAAGCCTCAAGCGATGCTCTTTGGAGGCATCTTCTATATGAGATGCCAAGAATTCATTCTCCATTGTCAAAAAAATTCACACTTTTTTCCGAGCCCCTTCATATCCAAAGATCATTCTATCTGCCCTCGTTTGTGACGAAGATAAATTTCCGAGAATTTATAGCATATCTGCGATTTAAATGAGTCTCAAGCAAGAGCAGACCACGTCTAGACCTAGAATCGTGAAGATCGGAGAACTTGAGCCATCAAACATATCTATCTTGTGGGGCTAACCAAGACCCTTCATAGTCAACCCAGAAGAAGCTTTCCAAAGAGCTTAGATCTACCCGGGCCGATCGGGATCGGCATGTCATTTGAGTCTTTTCAACCCCCGCCGGAGCCACTCCACCGGAGACTTACCCTACGGACATCCCACTTCGGAGGCACCACACGAGGCCATGAGCAGAGAGGACTTGCCCGGGGAATGGAGACCGGAGCCTCTGAATCTCCGATCTCGAGACCCATGCCGACATTCCCCCAATCCTTAGCAGCGTATAAGGGCTCAGGAGCTGCTCGAGAATGGAGTGGAAATCCAGTCCGTCTATTCTTACGCCCACTCGGCAACCCAAAGTCACAAAGATTGCATCTGAGGAGTTTCTCAACATGGATTACCCGCAAGAAAGGTTTGTTTCGACAACATTCGCGCCAGGGTCTTTCTGGGCGCGTCGCCGAGAAGTCGTCCGTATTCAAACACTACGGCATCAGCTTCACATGCTTAAAGAGACAGGGCGTTACGACGCGTTCAAACTGAAATGGCATCCAATCTATGCAAAGCCTCCCACAGTTTGGCCAGTTCCCGATCATCAGTTCTGGGATTCCGATGTGGCGAAGTGGATTGAGGGGGCTTGTTACCTGTTGATGGACCACTTCGATCCGGAGATTGATGTCGCCGTGAAAGAATTAGTCCAGATGATTCGTGATGCCCAGCACCCCGATGGCTACCTTAATATTCATTACTCAGTGGTTGAGCCAGGCAAACGTTTTACTAATTTGCGAGACATGCATGAACTGTATAGTAATCCCTGGATGGTTGGCAATGCCCCCATAGATGCAAGGGACTGACAGACTGTGAAACCTAGATACAATGCAGGGCATCTTATTGAGGGAGCTTTGGCCCATCATCTCTGTTACAAGAATGACGAGATGTTATCACCAATTCTAAGATATGTAGATCTCTTGGCGACTACTTTTGGTGGCAGGAAAGGCCAGATCCCTGGTTACCCCGGACATCCTGAGATCGAATTGGCTCTTTTGCGCCTGTACAAGGTGACTGCAAACCCCGAACATCTTCAATTGGCTCGCTTCTTCATTGAAGAGAGAGGAAACCCGAATGGCGGCGAAGAAAAACGCCATTATTACGATGTCGAAGCGGAAGCGAGAGGTGAAAAAGACCATGAGATGCCCTTGCCTTTCCCCGCCCCCAGAAGCTACTGGTGCGTGATATGCATCCTCAAACCACCCTCAAAAATATTATGTTAACCGTTAAGTATAGGTATCAGCAAGCGCAGGTACCGATCGTTGAGCAAGATACGATCGAAGGGCATTCAGTTCGAGCCATGTATTTGCTCACAGCAGTTGCGGACCTAGTGCAAATCTCCGGGCCTAACAGTGAGGTGGGGGCTAAATTCTTACCTGCCTTGCATCTTCTTTGGTCCAACATGGTGGAAAAGAAGATGTACGTCACAGGGGGTATTGGTGCCATAAAGAAATGGGAGGGATTTGGGGTTGACTATTTCTTACCGCACGGCACTGATGAGGGCGGTTGCTACTCAGAGACTTGTGCGGCAATAGGAGTAATGATGCTCGCTGAGCGGTTATTGCAGGTAATTACCAACATCTCTTGTATCGTAGGGATATGGCGCCTGCTAACAAAGTTGCAGTTTGAGCTCAACAGCCAGTATTCGGATATCATGGAGCTTTGTATCTATAATGCGGTTCTGACCGGCATGAACCTGGATGGGAAGGCATTCACTTATGTCAATCAACTGGCGTCCTCGGATGAAGATCTTTCACAGAGACATGAATGGTTCGAATGTGCCTGTTGCCCACCAAATGTCACCCGCACTTTGGGATTTATGGGAGGCTACCTGTGGAATCATACAATCCAAGGTCAGTCAGTTGTTTGTAATGTACACCTGTACACCTCGGCTACATTGGATATCAAAGTCTCCGAATCGGCGGTGAGGGTTGTGCAAAAAACAAATTGGCCATGGGCTGGTGATGTGGATTTCGCGGTCGAAGTTGAAGGTCCTCTGGTAAATGTCGAGCTACGACTAAGGATCCCTGGATGGGCCAAGACATGGGAGGTAATACCGTTCCTTCTGTCATTCTACTCTTGGAATTAATCAGAATAACTAGATCAACCCCCAACCCGCCAAAATGGATGTCCGAGACGGGTACCTCTTCTTGGATTCGAAATGGGTGCACAAACATTCGCGATTCCGACTTTCCTGTCCTATGAACCCGCGCGTGGCTTATCCGAATCCTCTCGCGATGCAATCCGTGGCATATATCATGAGGGGCCCCATCGTATACTGCGTAGAAGATGTTGATCACCCTGGAGAGCAGCATCATTTCAAGGTAGGAGCTAACAATCCAGTCCTATTTTCCATGGAGAATCATGCTGAGAGTGTCAAAACAGAGAACTATTTTCAATCCAAGTGCGTCTTTGCGAGAAGAATCACGGTCTGAACCTGATTCATATGTTGCCATCATTGCCGAGAATGGGGCTGTTGGAGAACTCGACTTGTCGGCTTGGCAGGGAAGCATTGTTACGGCGTCAAGAAACGCCATCAAATCAGCTCCAAAGGATTTGTACTTTATTCCTTATTATCTTAGAGCGAATCGTGGTGGGAGAGGACAGATGCGAGTTGGGTTACGGGTTTTGTAGATACATAGAGTTCTTAAACTCCGTTTGTAATGATACTGTTCTCAGTTTCGTGCCATCTGATGACCATATCTCCGCCATGTGTTCTACCAGCTAACAACCTAGTCAAACAAGATGAATACACCATATACCCAAGATATATATACCGCGACCAATAGTTCACGGTGGGGCTTGTTGAATGGTAATAACGGGGCGCCCTGTACTATTCTGGGTTTTCACCGGAGAGACGCGTGGCTCGCTTGGGGCCCTGGACGCCGGTTTTGCCAGGTTTTGCAGCACAAGGGGGTTCTTAGGGTTGTGAGTGATCTTCGAGTCGAAGCTTTCACCATTCCTTCGAGTTTAGATTTTGTTTATTGATGAGCTGAGTCTCCTGTGCATTATCGTTGATTCTTGTAACCGTTCATGATATTATAATTTAGGGTTGAAGAAACAAGAGTGGATCATCATGTCATGATACATGCGTGATGATATATAGCTATAGATCTGGTGATCTACACAACAGCCGATAGATGATACGGATATGAAAAAGATGCTTACCACCCATCGTTCTCCCATAATTTATGTGCTAATAGACTACAAACAAGGCGCCGAAAATGACCCTCATCTGTTTTATTGTCTCTGCCTCAGCATTATAAATGGTCGAGAAGGTATTGTTGCATGGCCCAACCAGGGCAAATCCCGCCACTCCGCGAACGCTTACCTAAGCAACATTGACGTCTTTCTGCTTGCGGCCATGGGATTCCATCTGATCAGCAATCGTCCTGGTGCTGGTCTTCTGGTTTCGTGGATCTCGAGCCGGTATAATCCCCGTATTTCTTTTCATCTTCGCTCCTTTTCTTTCCTCCATTTTTTCAAAATGGGCCGAGTCCTTTAAGCCCTTTCTTCTTTCTGAAACGAAGCACGGATCCTTCCGCAACCCTGGCCGCCCCGGCACGAGCATGCTCCCCCTGCTTAATATCAGGCTTCCAAACTGCTCAACCCCCTCATTCGAGGCCTGGCTCCGATTAACGGAGTAAGAGCGACAAGGTTAGCCGAAAGGACTTTCATATATCGTGCCTACCGTCCACGGCCTCGTCTAATCTTCTTATCAGTTCTAGTGCTGCCCCGCCGTGTTGTGGCTCCAGTGCCTCCCCCTCCTGTCGCACAATTCCCGCCCCGATGACGATGCGCCGCAACTCCGATATTGAGATCCAACTTCCTGATGCGGGGCCTGCCCCCTTTCCCCGGAGTCTGCGACAGAGCCTGACGTGGAAATGACATCGGAGGAGCCGGCACCGCCGCTGACTCTCCCTCCGCACATCGCCGCGCGCTTCTACCGTCGAAACAGCAGGGTACGGCGTTCGTCTGCTGCCTCGTCCCGCCGAAGCTCGATATCGTCACTGCATTCACACCACTCCAACACATCCTCCAATGGCTCTCAAAGTACAGATCATATTGCCCAGCACCTCCGACGGACCTCCATTCTGGAAACTCGCAAAGCCAGACTAGCCGATCGCGCTCTGCATGCCGAGAAGGTGAGGCTGCGTGCAGCCCTTGCCAAAGCGGCGACCAGGAATTTACATAGTGAAGAACGAGCTTTGGCAGCCCATCAAGCCCGAGAGCGACTTCTGGCTGATATTGCAGCCAAGTGTGAGGATCAGGTCAAGCGGGCCAAAAAGAAAGCCGAAGACCAACGAGAGAAACAGGCTGCAGAGTACGCACGCCTTCGACTTGAAATGACAGAGAAACTCGCCGAGGCAGAGAAGCGGCGCACACTCTACCAGCAAACCCATCGACGACAGCGCACAAGCAGTCTGCCCGCTACTGAAGAAAAGAAAATGGCGAGAGCCATCACCAATTCTCTTACCCGGGATGCCGCGGCCCGAAAGATTCAACGAGTCTGGAGAACGCACCATGCGAAGACGCTTATGCAGGAATTCCGGAACCTGAATCTGTCCGTCGAGCAAGTTCGTGAAATGTCCTTTGAGAAAGTGGGGGCTCTCCTGTCCAACCGAAACGTTCTTGATACCATGAACAAAGTGCTCCGGCTTTGTGGGCTGCAGGATATGGAAGGCGGAGCGATGGGTGAACGAGGCGCAGTGCGCACGTTCCTCAGCAGCTATTTAATCGTCACTCATCCCACTGAGGTCTTGAGCGGCGATGGCGAACAGGAACAGGATCTCATCTCAAAGGCACGCGAGCTCCTAGTGGCGTTTGACCAGGTCACTGCACTGCTTTCGTCTGGATGTTGCTCGCCGACCGTGATTACGGCCGACCTTCAAATACTCTGCGAGTCGCATAATGTATTTTTCTCGGCCTTCCATGCATGGAAGTCTCATGACTCGACTGTGTTGATTGAGATTATGCTTGCGCAATTTATTGAACTAGAATTAATCTGGCAAACGGTCAAAGATGACCAAGCCGGCGGTGTTGCAGATGATTATCGACAGGGCATTCGCCAGAACCAGATTTTGCTTCTGGCTCGGCTTAAGCGACTTGCAGGCTCTGAAAATGCCATGGAGATGGTGCGACAGTCTCTCAAGAAAGCAAAACGGGAGAAGAAACGTGCCTCCAAGCTGGCCATTCCCCGATCTGCTGAAGTTGCCGCCTCATCGACGGAAGGGATGACTGAAAGTGTCACATCCCCGATTAGCGAGTCATTTAACAATTTGGATGCACCCGTGCTTCAAGAGCTGGATAAACAGCGAGCTTCTCCACATGAGCGGTTCACTAAGATCCTCACAGCTCTCCCTGAAAATCGGGTCTTGGTACATGAGCTTCTTCTGAACAAAGAATACAAGATAGAGGAGGGATCATATACAGAACCTAGACGGCAGATCATGCAGCATATGTGTGAGCAAATGAGACAGGACGTTGCATCTGGACACGGGACTAGCTGGACCGTGGCAATGGCTACAGTGATTCAGGATCGTCTGCTACGCTCGCTTCGTCCTGGCAATTCTCTTTATGTGCTGATTAGCGAAGTTTTGGACCCAAAGCTGGTAGAGAGTCAATGCAAAGCTGGCTCCTTTTCATATGAGAATTTCTTCGATTTTATGAACAACATCCTGCCTCGTTTGTGTGCGCCTTATCGTGACCCTGTCGTCAAGGCGTTCGCCGAGGATATATCAGGAGATGCTATTGATCGATTAGCAAGACTGATGAGCATTATTGATTTGCTCTCGTTGGACCATACTAATTTCATGATTCAAATTGCTGCCCCCCAACTCATTCAGGAAGCGCCTGGGTACGAACAGCGGACATTTGACAAGGGTTTAGCCGACGGTTCAATCACTCTGGGAAAGACTAGACGATTCTGGCGCACCAACAGAAAGGTCATAGTTGATGAAATGAAGAAGCGAGACCCCGAGAATATTCACGGGGAGCCAAAACCTCCTGCCTCTCGAATATATGCTCATGGTCTCGCAGACCTGGTGCTGAGCAACGCTACCGTATCTGAGGACCTGATCCCCGAGACATTGGCACTGGATCAGCAACGACTGGAGCGTCTGCATGCAAAGGTATTCCAGATTGTTGCGACAGCATCCATTCTCCTGACAGCCAAGAATCTGCTGAAGCGCGATGCACGTTCTCAATGGAAGCCCGAGGCTGATCGGATTTTGAATTTGAATTTCAACGAAATCAGTGCAGAGAGGGTGCATACCATTCTTGAATCAACTCACCCTATGCCGCCTACTGCCAGCGCCCAGCTTGCCGCCACAATTAGACGAGTGCTTGCGCCTGTTGCGACAGCCAGTACTGCCGCCGAGCTGCAGGCTCTTGTGCAAATTCAATCCGACAATTCCTCGGACCAATCGGCCGCTCCTACAGACTCAAGCACTGCATCTTCTGGAAGTGGGCCATCCGCATCTAGTTTCTCGGATCCAGTGGCTAAGCTGATTCTCTCGCGTTTGCGGAGTCACATCCTCTCCCGACTCAGTGCCTCTAGTGCCTCAGACCGCGTGAAGGCAACTACCACCGCAAGCCAGAGCCTGGCCGGGGCCGGTATGCCCGAGTTTGTCAGTGAGGTTGGCAAGCTGGTTGATGAGTTAGAGAAAGTGCGAGAGGTAGACTGGCAATGCCACAGCACTGTTTATGAGCGTCTTTATGACGAAGGTATTTCCCCATAGTGAACGGTGATTCTCATGGGTTTTCTTAATCATATCATTATATCATTACATCATGGGTTACGGGAGTTTTTTTTTCATCTTGTCTCTTTGGCTGGTTCTTGTTCAATATGTGGTCTTTGCTTGGGTCTCTTTGGATTTCATTTGCGTTTTGGGAGGCTGTGAATTGGGCAGATTGGCAGGACTGGGAAGGGATAAGGAATTTGTAATATGTTGTTTAGGAGTTTCCTTGGGAATATCCAATTGAATCATTCACCATCGTATTACTGTGCGTTTTATTAACGCTTCTAGTTTACTCTCTAATGCCAAGTAGTCTTGGTTATGCCTGCTATATAGATATGCAAACTATGTACCATATCTTTAAGTAACCCCCAAGAATCGCGAAGTCCCGTTATCTTATCGATCCTTCCAACCCCCACCTCCGCCGAAGTCTCCAAAATTTCCCCTCCGCCACTCAACAGTCCCTCCAAATACCCCCTCTCCTTCTTTTAATCATGGCCTCACAGCTCTCCTTCCTCTCAGACCTCACGCCTCCATCCCTCGAACGGACATGGCTCACAGCGCCACACCCGACACTCCCCATCGTCGCGACCTGCAGCTCCGACAAGACCGTGCGGGTGTACTCACTCACCAACTTCAAGCTCCTCTCCACCATCACTGGCGGCCACAAGCGTAGCGTGCGCACATGTGCCTGGAAGCCCCACGTTCAAGGAGAAAGTGTGCTCGCGACGGGCAGCTTCGACGCGACAGTCGGGATCTGGCGGCGATGGGACAGCTACGGGCAGGCGGAGGGCGGCGGCACGAACTCGAGCGGGCTCAATGGTGATGCGGTGGATGAGCGAGAGTCGAACGCGGATGATGAAGAGGAGTGGAGGTTTGCGGTGCTGCTGGACGGGCACGACAGTGAGGTGAAGTCGGTGTCGTGGTCAGCGTCGGGAATGCTGCTGGCGACGTGTGCACGGGACAAGTCGATCTGGATCTGGGAGGACCTGGACGATGGGGACAACAATTTTGAGACGGTAGCGGTGATGCAGGAGCACGGAGGCGACGTGAAGTGCGTTGCATGGCACCCAAGCGAGGAGTGCCTGGCAAGCGGCGGGTACGACGACACGATCCGAGTGTGGCGGGAGGATTTGGACGACTGGGGTCAGGTGGCGTGCATCAAGGGCCACGAGGGCACAGTATGGTTCCTAGAATGGGAGGGCATAGAGAGCATTCCTCGTACCGGAGCTGGTTTGGAGGAAGAAGAGCTGGTGAAGCAGTGGCGCGCGCAGCGTGCGCTGTCTGGACCGCGACTGATCTCTTGCTCTGACGACCGCACAGTGCGTGTCTGGCGCCGACAGCCCAAGGAACGTGTTGAACAGGGTCTGAACTTTTCGGCGAACACGGGGATCCCTAGCATTATTCGGCCCACGGGGACGGACGAGACATGGGAGGCCGATGCGGTATTGCCGCATGCACATGAGCTGGCGATCTACGGTCTTGCATGGAGTCACCGAACTGGTCTTGTTGCTTCGACGGGTGCTGATGGACGTATTGTGATCTATGAGGAGCGAATCGTGTTGCCCTTGACTGGTTCCGATGCCATGGAAATTGAGCCTGCCACAAAGTCTTCAATGGAGACAGAATGGGCCATCATCGCTATTATGGACGGTGCACACGGAATTTACGAGATTAACCATGCCGCCTGGGCCAAGCGGGCAGACCGTGGACTAGCGGAGAGTGAAGAAGAGGTATTAGTAACCACTGCTGACGATGGCAGCGTCAAAGTATGGACGCTGCAGCGGTGAGACGAGAGGACGATACGTACACGATATGTACATACGATGGTGATCTCTGGATATCAACTTGTGGGCAACCCGGAAGACTACAACTTTGAAAAGAGTATACATACGTATAACGGCATCACATAGAGCGGCAAAGAATGAGAACCACAGTTTCATCTAACGACTTACGACGAGGAACTTCACCGGCTGGAAATATAAGAACGGTACATCGTACACGCCGAAAGCCAATGAAATGGATATATTTAGTCTATGAAAGTACTTCGACGGAGACGCCTCGAACTTTGTACAGATGTACAGATAAACGCAAGAAAATAGACAAGAGCCGACAGAAATCAGAAATAGACCACCAAGAAACCGATACACCGCGCCCCGAACTATGCTGGTCTGGAAATCATGACGAGGATGGGTGACGATAGTCACCAGCTGCTTAAGCGCCTCGAGCATGCGGGGAATGCGCCTCGTCATCCTCGTCTTCACTCGCATCGCCCACAGTGTAATGCTCCCGCTCAAGGCCAGGCGAATGGAGATTGTCCAATTCAGCCTCGTCAAAGTCGCCAGCCTCAATGTCAGCCGCGGAGCGCTTGTGATGGAATCGGTCTAGAACAGAGTTACGGAGATTATGCATAGACTCGTTATTCTTGACGCCGTGGTAGCCTCGGTGAGCACGGCGACTGCGCCAGATAAAGAAGCCCCAGATTGTAACACCGATGATAACCACAACAAGGATTGCCTCGCCAGACTTAGCGTAGGCATTTAATTCGGCCTCCTTCATCTTCTTCTGCTCCTGTTCCTCGGCGGCTGTGCTGTTGGGATGGCCCCCAACGGAGGTCTGGGGGAGTTTCTCCCCGTCAATACGAGAATCTGCCGGCCGACCACCAATACTGGCAATGTCGACCTTCATGAAGCGGTCCAGCATGTCGCGGGTCTGGCGCGGCTGATCAAAGGGAACCATGTGGCTGGAATTATAGAATAGCACATACGTCAGATTGCGAGCATGCTGGTAGATACCAGCAGGCTCGCCCTCAAAGGTCCAATCGTGACGAGGAGCCCAGACTCCAGGCGACGTTTCGAAGCCGGTGCCGCCCAGCCACTTCATGTTATGAATCAAAGTCTCTGTACCAATATGGTTGCAGATCAAATCCTTGTCGCCGCTGAACAGGAGGACACTAAGACCCGATTCAAGCAGGCCAGGAAGCAGCTTGATAGCGGGACGAGAATTTGCGGCCATGAAAGCGCTGCTCACGGCACCGCTACACTCCGTCCAGCCCGACATTTTAGCCGGGTTGATGTTCAATGCTTGGATCACATCCATGCGGCGGAGATACGGCGTCATGTTCTCCAGATCCGGAGGCCAGTTCATACCACAACTCGGGTAACTGTCCGTCAAACGAATGTCGTACATGTTGGTACACTTCTTGTCCTTGACAGTGAGTTGTAGTAAACCTTTCAGGACTTCTTCACACTCGTTGCTATTGACCAAGTCCTTGCCACCAGGAGCGTTCAACTTGGAAACACAAACCGAGTTTAAGGCCTCAACTTGGCGATAAGTCTGAGTTCCTTCCTTGATCAGTCCCTCCCGTCCAGCAAACTCAAAGTAGGACGGGTACTGGTCGGCTGGAGAGATCCAGCCATTACCAATTAAGATGCCTCGAAGAGGCCACTTGGATTTGCCATCTTGCTCAGCAACCTTGTTACGTTCTTTAATAGCCTTGGCAATATAAGGAATATGCTGGCCCGCATATGATTCACCCGCAATGTAGATCTGCAATCTGTCAGTACAGCAGTTCACAATGAAAGAAAATTATTTAGATCGCTCCAAGTAGCAAATGAGGGAAAATAGCACGCACATCGTCTCTCTCGTACTCAGGGAAGAGCTCAAAGAACTTCTCCAAGAAGATCATGAAGTGGGCAGACATCTCGTCCAATTCATGGAGGTAGCTGTCTGTGTTCACATAACTGAAACCCGTACCGACGGGCTGATCAACAAAGAGCAAGTTCGCAAACTCATCCCACGAGCCCTTGTTGTACTCCAAGGTATGGTCATCCTTGAGTCGATAGGGTCCAACCTCCATCAGTGCGCCATCCATGGAGCTACAGCCTGGCCCGCCATTCAACCAGATCACGGTACGTTGTCGGTTGGCGATGTGTCGGTTCTGAAAGTGCCAGAAGAACAGATTACCGTTGCTTTCGGGGTCGACTTCGATGTGTCTAAACGGAGGTTCATATTAGCAAAGGCACCCCTTTTCTCTGTTATGAACCTTTCCCGGGCAATGACATCCACTTACCCAGCATGCATTTTCAGCAGGGGACCATCCGGGGCACCCGGCAGCGAGTGCACATAGTAATCAGCTGCCGACTTGGCTGCCGCCAGGGCTGGGCCAAGCAGCAGGAATAGCGACCATGACAGCATAGCCAGGGCGCCCTTCTTCGAGCATGTGAAGGAGGGCATTGAGAACGTTTTCAGCAGGGCTCTGGCGTCTGAATCATAGGTTCATAAGTATCTGCGGGGAGGCAGTAAAGACCACACCCAAAAGCGAGTCAGGAAGGACCGCGACGGAGCAGGACGGGCGTTAAACGATCATCGGAATCGAAAGAGATCACGGAAAAAGCCCAGGTCGTGAGAACTGCGCGAGGTTTGGACAGCCGATATCACGAGAATGGATCAAAAGGGTGCCAAAGGCCGGAATACACGAGTCACACGTCAAGCAAGAAGGAGAAGAAAGGGAGGATAGATGTCAAAAGAGAATGACGGAACGGGCGAGCTGCTGCGTGGCCTGGAGGCGGAACTGCGGGATGTCGTGTATTGGTATGACATGTATTTATGACGACTAACCGACTTGATGCGGCCGTATGAAGTTTACAGGACGGTTCGGTACATGACTGTACAATACAATTACTGTACCACACCGGACGGCAGCTGGGCTGGCCCATTACCCGTTTGGTCGGTCTATAGAAACGCCACGGGCTACGAACATGAAATGAGAGACATTAGAGTCGAGAGAGTGTGAGAAAGTTACTAAGGATGGCAAGTATAAGAATCATTAGTGTCATTTCATTTTGTCTTTTTTTAAAATTCATTCAATCTATAGTTTTTTCAACCCGCCTTTCTCTCCTCTTGTTCGCTCGTCGGCCAAGAAACTGGAAGTAACAAGGTGAAACCCCCGATCCCGTCCTACCACGAGAAAAAAAGTCCATCCAAGAGGACCTCTTGAAACTCGTCAGACCCGTGTCGGAACTTGGGATTGGATTCGCGATGGGAGTCTGGGTTTCGGTTTTGGATTTAGGCGTGGACCCGGGCGGGCCAGTCTTGCTTTAGAAAAGATCGCCGACGCCCTTGTCGGCGTCCTTCTTGATCAGATCCACCATCCCCTGAAGAAAGAAAAAAAGAAAAAGTTAACGGGGCCGGATTGAACTGAATTGTCGACAGTTTCTTTGTGTGGAGCGGTGACCACGGAGTAGATCAACTTACATCCGGCATGATAGGCTGGCCTTGAGCATCTTGCACGTAGCGAAACGGCATTTCAGTCCGCTCGTGCTCGTTGATCAAAATTTCCGGATAGTCAACGTAGGATATTTGCTCGAGGGGCACTAGTGGCCGAAGGAAAGAGGCATGTTAGTGACCGGGTTTCTTTTGGAAATACGTGGATGGGTTTTGGGTGGATGCTTACCGCGCTCATGCACCACCATGCGGGTTACTCGCACGGCAGTATCGGTGGTCATCTGCTTGGGACCAAGCCGTCGGCCGACATAGCCCTTTTTCCGTAATTCGGAAGTGCGATCTACAGGCAAGTCAGTTAATGATGATCCTGCACGATTGGTTTTTTTTTTGTTTTCTTTTTCGGTCTGATTGTTGATGAGAAGACATACCTCTGGGTGGGTCGTCGCCTGTCGTCTCCAAGTAGCCATGCACATCTCGTTAGTCCAAATTATTCAATTCTTGCGATCCGCTATGATAATGTCTGGGCGAAAAGAGGACAGCATGGATTTTATATGAGGGATTTGGATTAGGATTGAACAATTGCGGGGCAGGATATCCGATGCATAGGAGGAGGGAAGAAAAAAAAAGTAAAATAACGCGAAGAAAAGCCCGAAGCAATTGATCAGATAGAGGGGAAAGGGGGAGGAGAGTCTCATACCGAGGATGCCACCGAACAGAAAGACTTCAAAGTGATCTCCATCTTGGGGGTTCAATTCGGTGGTGGCGGCAGGATCGAGCAGACAGACCTTGTCCTTGCGGTCCGCAAAGATCTCCTCGACGCTGCGATGTTCAACCTCAAAGCCAGCGGTGGCGGTTAAGTCGGCGGGCATCTGCAGCTCAGTAGGCACAGAAGAGAGCAGGAAGCGGGCGCCGCGGGCATGCGATTCGCGCGCGATGCAGGCATATTCGAGCGCGGACCATGGCCCCAGCTCGGGATCCAGGTGTTCGACCACGAAGGCCACTGGTTCCTGGGTCTTCTGATCACTGCTCATGGTGGGGGGAGGAGAAGAACAGAGTGTAGAGTTTGCAACTGCTCCGTGGATCCTGTCAAACCGGGGTTGGGAGAATTGGAGATTGAAGACTGAAAATTGAAAATTGAAGATTGGAGGTTGGAGGTTTGGACGGGTGGTGGGCGGAGAAGTTTTTGGCTGCGGCTTGACAGGGCAGTCTGTGGTTTGGGGCGACGCTTGACACGTCCGTTGATGTCTACGGTCGATTGAATCGATTTGAATTCCCCAACTTCTCCAGCTTCGGCGAATCCCCCGATTTCCACTTTAACTTTCCGCTGATTCTATGATTACGGGATCCAATTGCTCTTTACAACCTCTCATTGTGGCCTGATCTCTGGTGCCGCCGAAAGCTAATTGCATGGTCGCCCGACCTCCCAGGAATGTGCGGATGCGGCGACGGGATCTCCCCATGATCGACAGGTGATTCGGAAGATCATTGAATGGTGATGGACGGATGGAGACCCCAGTTATTTTCGGGAGATGGAGACGAGACGTTTACATTCTTCCCCATCAGTCAGGCTCGTGATCAACTTGCTTCGTCATTACTATTGCCTCCCGGATGACGTACGAGGGGGTTGGCTGCCCCGATCGGGCGTGGGCAAGCGAACCACGAAGGAGCGAGAATATCCAGAATGGCTCTGATAATGCCTGAGATCCATTCTTCACCATCCATCACTCGAGAATGTTTGTCCGAGAGTGAGGACGAAACGCAGAAGATCCAGAAGAGGAAAGACAGAAGACCCCGCGAGGGGAGGGAGTTATCGATTATCGATAACCGATAATAGACGGTGATGGGAGATAACGGATAACGGATAACGGATAATGCGGTCTCAATTGTTCGGTTCCACCGTTTCCTCGACTTGGACCTTCAACCTACCACTCCCCATCCCTCCAAACTACAGACTACGACAACACTCATCTACTCCTTCCCAGCTGCACCTTCTCCCCCTCCTCCCTCTCCTCCCTTCGGTCTCTTGATCCCTGATTCGCCTTCTGGTCTCTTTCATTCTTCGCTTGTGCTTCTCTTTCATCCTCTCCTTTCCCCTCCTGGAGAACTAGTCCTTGATTCCCGCTCCCCGCCCACCTTGCCCATCTCTCTGCTTTCCCCGCCCGCCCGTCCATCTCCATCACCTTGTCACCACTCAAAACCCGATCGAGACACCCACCATACTCCCACCACCATGAATCCCCACCAGCAGAACAAAGTCGATGTCAGCGTGAGTGGACCAACATTATCACCGGCGCTAACTCTGTCAGACACAATTTAAACTGACTACTAGCCTTAGGCTCTGAGCCCCGACGAGCAGCGTCTAGTCCGTCTCTACGGCAAGATGCCCAACAAGAAAGATTTACTCCAGAACAAGCTCAAAGTAAGCGACTCCTTCGGGCCACCTCTTTGGCCTGATTCTTACCCAACCTTACCCCTGCACCGTTCAGGTACCAGGAATCTCAGGCTAATCATGTTCGGTATCTTTCCGCTCTCCCCCTCACCAACAGGAACGCAAGTACTTCGACTCGGGTGATTATGCCCTCAGCAAGGCTGGCAAAGCGTCAGACGTCGGAGTTACGAGCATTGGCTCCCGTCATCCTGTGCCAGAGAACATCCCCCACCTGACCGCGACCTCACCAGGCGCAAACAACCCTGCTACGGCCACTGGCACCAGCGGTCCCGTCAACAGCCAAGGCCAACAGATTCCTGGCAGCATCAGTGGCCATCCTGGGTCGGTTGGATTCCAGAGCCGTAGCCCAGTGAAGGAAGGGAGCTTCCTGCACCGGGGGACCAGCATCAGCGAAGGCTCCGCAGACCCCGACACAGAGCAGGCTGACCAGGCAAACCAGGGAGCTCAGAATGAAGACAAGGATCCTAGCGTCAGTCCCCCACCTGTGCGGGAAGGTGTACCTATCCAGCAATGATCTGACAAGAGGCTGGGTCCTTGGACCTCGTTGAGGGTTCTCTCCCCCAGGGTAAACCCGCCGGGGGAACACATTGCATGGTTCTGTTTCACAGTTTCCGATGGGGTTGGGCTCTTTCTGATGTTTCGTTTCGGGTTCTTTTCTTCACACTTGGGATTCAAAAGCCTGGCGCTACGGGAATGAATGATTCTTCTCTGAGGATGAGAGGCGCACTGCGGGACAGCGCAAAGAAGCACAGGGAATAGGCGAAGAGATCGGAAGATGGCAATCAACAAGTTAAAAAAACACGCTGGTCTTGGAGCAAGAGCATGACAGATTGACGAACAAGAGAAATGCTGGAGTGTCGAGGCTCATTGCTTCCAAGTGCCAATCTTAGACGACGACGAAACCCTATGGTCACAACCTGCATTTGTCTTGAGTGGAGATGTTTGAATGCGGTCGAGGCTATCGATGCGATCATGAACTCCCGATGGAACATCGCAAAATATGCACACCCTGAGATTCTTCATGCCATCCCTATATCTCTCCACTTGTTCATATTTTAGTTTCTGTGGTCTTCAAATCTTCATCATCTGTGTTACCTGTTAACCGATTAACCATCTACATGCGCACCCTTGGAATTCCATGTCTTGCATTATATGCTGTTTCCATGTTATCTGCGGCTTCTTTGTTGTTACCCGTCCTGTTCGCATCTTTTTCCATCTTTTATTGTTCTCTGTGTATGACGAGCATGGTCTGATATGACAATAAGCTTCTATTTCATTTGTTGATATTATTCCAAAGATCCCCCAGATTTCTATAAATTCTTGAACGTGACGATCTCCGACGCATGGCAAGGCATTAGCTGTCTTGCTTCTTGCACGATAGATAACAGATGAGCGTAGGAAGCGATGAAGATAGAGGGGAAGGAATATCTCTAAGACTGATCAGACATATTCAGGTAGCTTGTTAGAGGGAAAAAAAATCAAGACAAAGCGAAAAGTGCCCTCCCAATCAGAATAAGTACAAAGAGGACAGGTCTGGGGGGTGGGGTTGCTAAATGCTGGGCACATTACGGGGATGAGGCATGGAGCCCAATCGGATTAGAGGCACATGAAATAATCGCGGGAACGCGAGACAAGGTCGAGGACGATGAAGGGTATAAACGTGCCAGATACCACAAAATCAGGAGGAAAGATAATGGGACGACATGACAACAAAAAAAAGATAGCGAAGAAATTGCATTTGGTATCTTGGGGGTTCATGAAAAAAAAAGGCGAGGAAAGAGATACAAGTCAACCGTGGAGCCAGTAGTTAACAGCGCAAAAGGCCGAGGAATAGTAGGGGAGGGGGGGGGGGGTAAAATGAGAACGTCAAAGGCCAGTTCATGGCATAAGCCAGATTGCATCCCTCAGGGCAGGGGAAAGTATACATGCACATACCAATCAACAAAAAGATTGTTCAAAGGCAAAATGGAGGGATCTTGGGGAAGGGGTCCGTGTATACTGTTGGACAAGGGGGGGGGGGGGGGAGGGGCGGACACGTGGGAGGTCATCCTGCATTCAATATGCGGTTAAGGACGAGTAAATGGAAGAGGCTCCGTTTGAATCGGGGTTTGAATGCACACGCCCTCAGCCTCGGTGATCATTTGATGATGGATTCCAGAGGTTCAGAGCTGACTGACTACCTTACGCCTGAAGAGGCGAAGAGATAGGCAAGTCTGGTCTCTGGAGTCCATGACGGCAGGACGAGCATTTGGTGGAGGAGCATTTTGTGGCGGTAATGGCTGGCCACCAAATGCCTAGTTTTAACTGAAAGATGGTCTGGGCTCATATAATTTTCGAGGTGGTTCGAAAGAGAACCAAGAGGCAGGTTGTTTCTCCTTATGGTAGATCACATTCTGGGGAGAGAAAACCTGGATCATGGATCGCTTTCTGGGAAACTGTGAGCTCAGTCGGTTTTCCAATGGCCAGCCAGACCATGGTCCAGATCATCGTGCTCGCCAAGCCAGAGTTCAACAGCGTAAAGTGCCATCGTGCAAGCGAGGTTGATCCATCTCCAGAGGTTACCTCCGCCGCCGCCTTGGCTGCTCCACCACTCCCCGTTGCCGCCCATTGCCTGGGATGCAGATGCAAAATGTTGCATCAAGAGGCTGGTATAGACAGCGATCAAGATTGACGGGGAGAAGTAGCTGAGGAAACCCAGCAGTTGACCAGCAGCATCGGAATCGTCAAGGGAGGCCTCCTGAGACAGAGCGCGAGCCCCAGCCTCGCGGACCGCAGGAATAATCCGAGTTGAGGCGTACAACACGAGTAATCGGTAGGCAAGCGAGATGAGAACAGAGGGGGTGACCGCGCTGAAGACTGCGGTAATCACATTGAATGCTGCATGGATGATCGATGGCAGTAAGGATAGCGCATGCATGAGGGTGGTGTAAGAGGCCATGATAATTGGCGGGAGCGGAGGAAAGTCGGCTGCTTGCGAGGGCGAGGGAATTTGCTCCACGGGGTAGGATGGCTGGTAGTCCGTAAAGATCTGGTAAATGCAGAGGACGATGTAGGCGAACAGCAGGGAGCTCTCGACCGGATTTCCCCGCCCACTACCAATCCCCCAAGCGCAGAGAATGACGGCGCAGGTAACGGACACGCCGATCAAGGCCGCATCGACATTTGAGATCTCGGGGAACTGAAGAACACGCCAGAGGAAGTAGACAGAGCTGGAAATAACGGTTGCGGAGAGGACCAGGAGACCAATCTGTGGCCATGTTAGTTTTACGTTGCGAGAGCTAAGGCCTTTGAGGAACCAAAATTGAGAGAAACATACCATCCAGCTGTCACTGCGTCCACCCCTATTGACAAGCCAGCGGGTGATTTGTCCAGCCGCCTGGATGACCAGGAGACTGCAAAAGCCTTCAGCAAGCTGGAATACTGGGGTCGACCAGCGCAGCAGGCGATCCCAGTTGCCCAGCGTCACGATTTCCACCAGCCCATCACGACCGAAGAGCCATTCCTGCAGGGAGCTGTCCGCGGCCCTCTTGCCGTTGAATGTGCGCTCCACCCACCCCCCGCTGCCTTCTGTGTCGACCGAGAAGCGATTAAGGGACCAGATCAAGAGGATTGGGACCAGAATCCATTGGGTGGAGCGGATGAGGGCGACGAGGGATGAGCGAAACCAGGAGCGGTCGGGGGTGGAGAGCCTCAACAAGGAGACAAGAAAGTAGAAGCTGGCCAGAGAAAGCGAGAAAGCCAAGCCGCACGTCTTGCCGCCTACATCAAAAGCGAGCGGGATAGAGGAGACCGTGGCGGCTAGGAAGACGGCCGACGAGAAGACCCGGAGGAGCCACATCGGGGGGTGAAGCGAGACGCGCAGGGGCAGCGCGCAACAGGAAGCAGCAACGACGGGACTCGCAAGGTGGCTGTTCCAGCAGCGAGGGAGGACGCGTAGCCCGACCGAGGTCCGTTTGAGCTGGAAGAAAGGGAGGGAAAGAGAGGTGGAAGAGGCACACGACTATTAATTTTGGGGGAGGGGGAGGTTTTGCTCGTTTGGGGGAGCTTATCGCCCTTTTTCACGTGGGCCCGCTAAGAGGGAACGGGCACCTCGCAGACTTGCCGGTCAGCGCGGGACCAGGCCTTGTATGATCGGCGGCTTTTCAAAATCTCAGAGACCGGGAAAGTCTTGGTGAAACATGGAAAAGGAAGGAAACAGAATGAAGGGTTTTGGGAAGAACTGGGTGAGATGGAGGAGGAAAGAAGAAGCGGGAGTACGGGGTCGAAGTCCAAATGCTACTCAGGTCGACAGTCTAAAGAGCGCGGAGCCCTGGTCAAGTGTACACAGTCTTCACATCCAACTCGGCCCCTCCTCGATCCTGAGAGTAATGGACCACGCCCAACAAATTTTTTTTTCTTTAGTAGGTTACTAGAAGAAACGGATCCAATTCACTTGTGACTAAATAAGCTCTACGACCCTCGCTTCCCTGTCCTATTTCTCCCACGGGCTCGGACTAGCGGTCAGAGCGCGTGAAAATTTCCGATCTGAAGGGCCCAGAGGCAGCGCGTACGGAGCCGAGTCCCAAAATGATCTGATCATTAATGATTTCTAATGATTTTCAGGGGGAAAAATGACAGAGGACTGCTAGGGAACGAGGCGTCTCATACACTCCCGTAGTAGAATCTTACTTCTTTGGGATCACGATAATATAGGAGCCGACCGGTACATTTAGTCAATGAAGGACACCATACAGAGACTCTTTGGTTTCACCGGGTATGACTTAGTGATGAAGTGGCCTTAATCAATCTAGGATGTCCAGGCTTTATTCATGACAAGGTAACGGACTTCGGTGGACCATCATACAGCCTTTGAATCTATTCTATGTCGGTCATGGGTCAACCTTAATTGATGGAAAGCTCTTTGGAGTAATGATCATAACAACTTTGCGCTATGGGATTACCTCAAAGCTCAATTTTTGCAGCCATACACTCCTTAGAGTCGCCTCGATGTGCTTGCTATTCTCGACTGCTGCTTCGCTGGGGCTACCACAAGGGATTTAGAATCTGGCAACCGATTCAGGTAATTGCTGACTGCAAAGGGAATGTGACCACGAGGCAAAGAGACTACTTGAGCACGTTCACCCAATGAGTGCTTAATCAATACTTTATATCGTCTTAAAGAATACAATGCGAGACCAACCGTTTCAGCTATGGCCATTGCCCACGACATTCAAGAGACTGAGCCCCAGCAAATTCTGATCGGGGCCTCAAAACTCTCGAGGTTACTCGACCTATTGTCCTTGTGTACTAGGGTAGAATAGTACTGTCGAGTCACTCGGGATCTTCTTTACACAGTCGCGCAAAGACATACAATGTCTTGGTTAAGTTAACAGAATCTGGTCACGGGCGTTAAGTTTAACTTTATTGAAGCCACCCATGGCTCCTCTCCTATTTACCGGGAATTGCTTGTGTCTATTCCCATGTCTTGAATGGTGCAAATATGCCTTTGCAGCAGAAGCGATGAACTGATGAGGAGACACTCCAGCCCCATGTACTTTTGTGCCATAACTCGTCTAGAAGAGCATGAATCCCACTTCAACTTGCTTATGCACTTCGCCCTTCAACTCGAATCACACATAGTCTGCCTTAATCCCAAGCGGAAATCTATGATTGACTACGGTCTTGATTTCGCCTATTGTCTTCCGCACGACATCCATCGCTGCGGTCTCTTTGTATATGATCATGATGAATCCCGGATGTCTCACTACACTTGAAGCCCTTGTGGAGCTTGGGATAATCACAAGATGCTATACTTTATCTGATTGGGCCCTATTTCTTATTCAATTTGTGAGGATGATGTGATGGGCCGATGTGATGAGGATCAACCGCAGTACAGCATCAACCAGTCCCATAATGACGGAATGTTGGAACGAATCAAGAACGCCAGACGGGCAGAAGAAGCCGATGTTAGTTGACATGTCTATGAAATATGACGCTCGACTGCTGACCAACAATCTCCCAAGTCATCAATCCATCACCAACAGCGACCCAACAGCGCATGTTTCCAGTGCGAAGTTGACACGGTTCCAAGGAGCCTCGAGCATTCGGTCACGTGATATCAATGAAAGAGCATGTGATTTTCCTGGCCCTTGATCAAAGCCCTACCTGCCCGATATGGCCTGATTGCAGAGAGCCGATAAGAGCAGAGCCAAGCAGCGCCGAGCAGTTCCTAATCGTAGAAGCTCGACCATCCTCGTCGATTCGTGAATGCTGCGATCGAGTCGTTACTTCTTCAAAATGGCCGAAACAGCTGCAAAGAAGCTCAAGACCTCGCCCTTGATTGGCACTCACAAGTGAGTTGACCCAATGAATCCCATATATATGATATATAATACGATATAATATATCTGATATATCTTCTTCATCTACCCCCAAATTTCTTCACTAACCCGATCTCCCAGCGGTCATTTCCATGCCGACGAGGCATTGGCCGTCTATCTGCTGCGTCTCCTGCCTACCTACGCTGCCTCTCCCCTGGTTCGGACTCGAGATCCCGCCCAGCTGGAGACCTGCCACACCGTCGTCGACGTGGGCGGCGTGTATGACGCCACTGCCAACCGGTATGATCACCACCAGCGTACGTTCAATACCACCTTCCCAAAGCACGACACCAAGCTGTCCTCTGCCGGTCTGGTCTATATGCACTTCGGCCGGGCGATCATCGCCCAGCACATGTCCCTGCCTGAGGACCATGTCGATGTCAACCTGCTGTACGAGAAGCTGTACACCGACTTCGTCGAAGCCATTGACGCAAACGACAACGGCATCTCCGCCTATGATCCAGCTGCCGTGGCTGCCGCCAACCTGGAGAAGCGCTTCAAGGACGGGGGTGTTACTCTCGCCTCCATCGTCAACGACATGAACAACCCCGACCCCACCAGCCCCGCGGGCGTGTCCCAGGACGAGGATAGCCTGTTCGGCCGGGCTAGCACGCTGATCGGTAACGTCTTCGTCCGCAAGCTGCACCACGCTAGCAACTCATGGCTGCCGGCCCGTACCACCGTTGGGTCCGCATACGCCTCCCGCACCGAAGTCCACTCGTCCGGACGCATCCTTGTGCTGCCGCAGGGCGGTGTGCCGTGGAAGGAGCACCTGTACAACTTCGAACGTGATGCCTCAGGCAGCAAAGACATCAGCCCGGAAGCCCAGGTGTACTACGTCCTGTACCCCGAGAGCGAGGCCGAGGACGCCAAGTGGCGTGTGCAGTGCGTCTCTGTGTCCGAAGGCAGTTTTGAGTCCCGCAAGCCGTTGCCGGAGGCGTGGCGCGGAGTCCGGGACCAGGATCTGGATGGCTTGATGGCCTCGGAGGCGGAGAAGAATGGACAGGCGAAACTCCCCGAGGGTGCGGTCTTTGTGCACGCGAGCGGCTTCATTGGTGGCCACAAGACCAAGGAAGGCGCAATGGCTATGGCTATTCGCAGCCTTGAACAATAAATCATAGGCGAAATGGTGCAAAGATGCAAGAAAAGAATAAAAAGTTGTATCTGATCGTCTATTTTGGGTCGGAAAAGAGTTTACATATGACGATACGAAATGATAATCCCTTTGATCTCGAAGACAATGCGGAGCCGCTGTCCACGTATGATTTGCTTTATATGATGTTCGCACTTTAAAAGTTGGCATATGGGTTGCGCCTTCTTGCATATATTTTAGGTCGTGCTCCTGGTGGCAGAGGAAACTCTATTTAATAAAATGTAATATGTGAGCTAGCCTTGAAACCCGATAGTAGGAGGGTCGAGCCTGCAAAGACTTTTGAGAGGCCAAGACGGCAATAGGGCAAATAGGAGAAAGCCATCCATTTCCTGCCCAATTGTTTTGAAGAGGCGTTTTGCCCAAGTTCGAAGCTCAAAATAGCCCGGGGCATTGTCAAAGAGAATTGAAGCCTCGAAGTCCAGGCCTGTAGATATCATCTTTTGGGGTGCCCTGCTCCAGTTGCCTGCTCGAGACGAAGATGGGTGGGCTGCTTCTTGCATGCTTTTAAGCCATACATAGAGTATTTGAAGCTCGAGATGGGGATTGTTGTGTATCCATGAAGTCCAGAGGCAGGATAATGGCACAAATAGACCGACATGGCGAGGAAGTAGATTGAACCATCGATGGCGTGTCGGTGGAAAACCGTCCGGATGACAACCTCAGTGGCGAATACTTAGAGAACTGATATCCTCAATGCTACCAGTGCCATCGCCAGGCTTTTGGTTTTCTTTGGTACTTGACCGAGCACCCAATGCCTCTTCGCTCTCCCCCATCGCTCGTTGGATGAGCTTGGCTTTGACAGCGGCGCCTTTCAAGCGCTCGTCGACATCGTTCACGGCCTCTTCGGTGTTGGACATATCCAACGAAGCAGGGTCGACCAGCTCCAGGAGGGTAGAGAGGTTTCTGGTGAGTCTAGTACTGTGCGCTGGAAGGCTGAGCATTTCTCTGCAAATCGAGGGATCGACCGGGATCACATCCGCACTAGTTGGCGACTGGGTCAAAGGCTGTGGCGATGCGTCCTCTGATGGAATCGTATCAGAAAGTCTCTGAGCCCACACGAGCGCCTTGCCGTACAAACGACCCATCTCCACAAATTTCTCGAAGCCTTTTTCGACCGCAAAGACGCTGCCCTCGGTATAACCCGACTGAGCGCCATCGGCGGCACCCAGGCTATAGCCTTCTTGGTAGAATTGCTCCTCCAGATCGAGAAGACTATCCAGCAAATTGGAATCCATTGTGACAAGAAAAGACACTTTTCAAGGGAAGAGTAAGGTGCGCTGTGACTCAAGACGTGGAGGACAAAGAGCCCAACCGATTTTTGATACGCGGGGCGCAAATGTCACGAGATAGTGATAGCCCACTTTTCGATTTTCCCGCCGCACCCCTCCATCCACGCTCTTGAACCTCCTCAAACCACGATGGCTTCAGACCCAATTCTGCCCAAGAAGGGCGAGCGCAATATTCTTATTACAAGCGCACTTCCTTACGTCAACAATGTCCCCCATCTGGGCAATGTTGTCGGTTCAGTGCTGAGCGCCGATGTATTCTCGAGGTATGACTCAACCCACACCCCCACCATGGCAAATCCCCAAGGCCCAAACTGACATGCGAACAATAGATACCACAAAGCCTGTGGCCGACAGACGCTATATATTTGTGGAACGGACGAGTATGGAACAGCAACCGAGACCAAGGCATTGGAGGAGAAGGTGACACCGGAAGAGCTTTGCGCCAAGTATAACAAGATCCACCAGGAAGTGTACAAATGGTTCAACATCGGATTTGACCACTTCGGCCGAACTCCCACTGCTAAGCACACCGAGATTTCCCAGGCGATCTTCACGCGTCTGCAGGAGAACGGATTCCTCGGTGAGCGCACGGCCGAGCAGCCGTTCTGCGAGCAGCACGGTTCCTTCCTCGCAGACCGCTATGTGGAGGGTGAATGCCCCCGGTGTCACTACGACGATGCGCGGGGTGACCAATGTGACAAATGTGGCCACCTCCTCGACCCCTTCGACCTGATAAAGCCGCGCTGCAAGCTTGACGGTGCCACACCTGTACGCAAGGAAACGAAACACATCCATCTACTGCTGGATAAGCTGCAGCCGGAGGTGGAGAAGTGGGCAGCCAACGCCATCGAGAAGGGTGACTGGCCTAAGAACTCTCGTGTGATCACGGAATCTTGGTTGAAGGAGGGCCTGAAGGACCGTGGCATTACCCGTGATCTGAAATGGGGTGTCCCTGTCCCGCTGGAGGGCTATGACAACAAGGTGCTTTACGTGTGGTTCGAGGCCTGTATCGGCTATCCGTCGATCACCGCCAACTATACCAAGGACTGGGAGCTCTGGTGGCGCAACCCGGAGGACGTGCAGCTGTATCAGTTCCTAGGCAAGGATAATGTTCCGTTCCACAGCGTCATCTTCCCGGCGACCCAGATCGGTACCCGTGACAAGTGGACTATGAACCACCATCTCAGCGCTACTGAATATTTGAATTACGAGAGCGGGAAATTCAGCAAATCTCGTGGAATCGGTGTCTTTGGAACCAACGCCAAGGAGACTGGAGTGCCCCCGGATGTCTGGCGTTACTACTTGCTGAAGAACCGGCCCGAGACCGGTGATACCCAGTTCGAGTGGCGTCCATTCGTTGATGCGAACAACAGCGAGCTGCTCGCTAAGCTAGGCAACCTTGTGAACCGTGTCGTCAAGCTCGTCACAGCCTCCTACGGCGGCGTCATTCCAGAGTTCACTGTTCCCGAGAGCTTCAACCCGTTCCTTGAGGAGGTCAGCGGTCTTCTCACGCAGTACATCGAAGAGATGGAGAGTGTGCATCTTCGCGCCGGTGTTTCGACTGCCATGCGTATTGCAGAGGCTGGTAATGGCCTGATCCAAGCCAACCGTCTGGACAATGCCCTCATTGCTAACGAGCCCGAGCTCGCTGCCGCCGTCGTGGGTACCGTTCTCAATCTGATCCACCTGTTGTCCAGTGTGTTCGCGCCGTACATGCCCGCGACCTCAAAGTCGATCCTGGAGCAGCTGAATGCGTCATTCCTCCTGCTTCCATCGCTGGAGCAGGCCAAGGCAGGCTGGAAGCCCAATTCTCTCAAGGGTGGCCACCAGATCGGCAAGGCGCAGTACCTGTTCTCTCGGATTGATCCTAAGAAGGCAGACGAATGGCGTGAGCTCTTCGGCGGTTCCCAGGCTGACCGACAGAAGAAGGCCGAGGAGGCCGCTAAGCTCGCTGCCAAGAAGGCTGCTGCCAAGGCCAAGAAGAAGGAGAAGAAGGAGAAGACCCGTGCGGGTGTTGAGGCTTCGGCCAAGGGCGGCGCCGAAAGTCCCAGTGTGGTCACAGACGGGCTGAACGACGAGGCCGTGGCCAAAGTGGCCGATGGTGTCGCGCAGGTTACTTTCCCCACCTCCTAGAACGGCCCTACGGAAGACTAGGCTGTAACGAGATGAGACAGCGACCCGAATATGAGTGAGCTTTATTGGACGGCGTAGGGTATCGAGTGCGAACATGGATAAGTAGGAATCGCGGTCGTGAGCTATTCGAAACGGAGTGAATGAATGACGCAGGTTTTCGGGTAGCTTTACTTTATGTTGGACTTTGCATTTTTGTTTAATCATACACATGAATCTATGAGACTTGGGTGTTCTGGAAAGAATGGGAGCTGCATTGTCATGCATTTGATATTCCGTGTTGATAGCTCGATCTAGATTTCCTAAGGACGAGCTTCTGTTCTGTTTCCAATTTGGTAGACATTCCAAATGATTTGTTGCGCCACAGATGACAATCAAAGCATAGAAGATGTAGCTGCATCCTATTTAATGTCTAAAAGGTTTTGAAAGGCCCTTGCGCACAGCTTATTCGGATAGGAGAGCTGGATGAGTAGAGTATGACTGGGAAGAGCAGAAAGATACGCATGAACGGAGACAGTAGGTTCAAATGATCCCTTTGCTAATATCTTTTAGAACAAACAAGAAACAAAAAAAACACGCCAGTATGACAAAGAAGTTTCATTACATGCTCGTTGCGCCAATCGCCCCACGGCGCCCAGGGAAGCGAGTCCAAGCGCCATCCGCCTCTCTGTTCTTTTGGGGTTACCACGATCACCGCTTGCGAGTACCAGGCCGAGGCTTGCACTCGTCGGGCGCAACGGGGTGTAGCATGACCTTGCTGGTGGACTGCTGGGTGTTGGCCGAGTAGCCCTTGCTCCAGTCGTAGCTGACAGCGTAGGCGAAGATGGTACCAGTGCGATTGAAGGCAGTGCTGGAGATAGGCCCGCCGACGGCTGGATAACCCTTGAGGCGGTGCTTGGCGTCCTTGTCCCAGAAGTGAAACGTGCCGTCACTACCGGCTGTGCTGAAGGTTCCGTGGACGGGGTGGAAGCAGATGGAGTTCACAGAGTAGATGTTGCAAATGTCTCGGTTGGCTGGAGGATTCTCACGATGACACTTGAAGGAGAAATTAGAGGCGGAGTCCTTGTCCTCAACGTATTGGATGGCGCAGCGGCCCTCGATGCTGCCGACGGCAAAGCCCGAAGCATCAGTGAAGCAGCTGACTACCCGCGTCTGCCACTTGAGAGGGGATTGCATGGTCTTGTAGAATTTATCGGGGTTCTGAAGGTTGATGATGTCGATGTAGCGGTCTGCAGTGCCAACGACCAGCAGCTTGTTCTTGACGTCCATCGTATACACGCGGTCCTGGACGTCCAATGAAGCGATGGGGGTCTGTTGTCGTAGATCCCAGTATTTGACGGTCTTATCCCAAGAGCCGGTAATGAGCAGCGGAGAGCCGCCAACGGGGTGAGGGATCATGTGGCAGCTTCGAATGGGGGCACTGTGGGCAGCCACTTGCACGGCAGCGGTCGAATTCGACCCAAGGTCTAGCAGTCGCGCAGCTTTGTCGGCACCCGCGCCAATTACTTTGGATCCATCCTAGAGAGGAAAAAAAATGAGGTTCTTAGATTAGCATTGGTCCCAACAGCTCCAATGAAAAGTCTCAGCATGGCGGGAAGCTTACCGGAGACCAGCAACAGCTCAAGGCGGGAGCCTCATGTTCAAAAAGCGCCTTTCCTTCACTCTGGCCTTGGTCGTTGATCTCGTAGATGCGGACCTTCTTGTCCCAGGAAGCGACGGCGAGATGGTCGCTGGCGGGGGAGAATCGCAGATCCGAGATGCTATCCTCCGGAGGTTGATTGAGCGCGACATCCTTGGAGATGTCGCCTGTGGTGTTTGTTTGGCTCGCCGAGGTGGTGGCCGTGCTAACGCTGCCGAAGAGGGACATCTGAAAGGGCGCGCGAGAAATCCGGGCTCGATAGCAGCAAGAGAGGAAGGGAAAAGATCAGGCAAGACCACAGCGGAAGCTACTAGCTGATCAGAGGGAGTCACTCATGCAGCAAAGGTGAGTGAGCAGGGGAAGGGGGAGAGAGAATGAAGGAGGAGGTTGAGGCGTCAAAAAAACACTCGGCGATGCTTTGGTTTCCAAGCCGCTTCAAGTTGATGCGCGACACGCCTAAGGCAGGAATGTTTTTCACCGCCTGCTCCGTTTGTGGGGATTCGAACTATACCCTTTTTTGACCTGAAGAGCTTTTTTTTCTTTTTCTTTTCCATTCTTTCCAAAATGTGAACTGATTCGAATTTGGAGAAGAAATAGAATGAAATGGAATATTAGACATTTTTTTTTGATCTTCACAAGCTCCGCAAAAGCTTGTGTGGGGTGGAATATCCCACTCGAGACTCGTCATGATTATACGCAGGGAGACTCCACGACTTTCTTATAGAATCCCATACAAATGCATTGAGCAAAACTGAAGTTAATCAGTCTTCTGCAATAATGCGAAACTAATTGAGAGGACATGGATATCAGGTTTGGTTTCTCATTCAATCACTCAGGCTGAAACCTCTGGTGTAGGAACGAAAGAGAGATACGAAGACGGCACATTGACTCATTACGAGATACCAAAATCATAGTAGAAGGGATTGAATAGGTAGAGATGATTTCATTAATTTGGCAGTTACGAGACGTTCTAATCGAGAAGATCAAACCAAAGGGACACAAAGCCAACAACTAACGACTTAGGACTAATTAGGGATGCTAAACCAGTATGAGGCCCCCATGTATGCAGGTTTTTCAACTTCGTCTAGCAAACATTCATGTAGAAATCAAACGATTTCGTGACCCCGGTGGGTGATGGGGCCCAAAGATGGCAGGGGAATTTAAAATTGCATGTCCGTGAGTAAGGGTTTTATAGACCTCGCCGGATACGACGACTGGGGACACGACCTGCATTTGAGTATAGCCGTCGATACTCAATTTCACAGACTGGATACTGTATTGACAATACAGATAATTCCATACAAATAGGATCATTGACCTTTGACTTCACAGGTGCCACTCCAAAGATCATGATCTGGGCCTAGCTCAAGTACTATTACCGGTACGTTTGTTAACCTACCGCTGGTCCCAAGCAGATCCAGAACCTCCGAGCTCATACCAGACAGCTCATGGAGCCAGGACCCTTCTGCCTTGTCGGTCAAACCTTCTAAGATAGACGGCAGCTCCTCCTTAACAAGTTTAAAAAAGTATGCCATAGGGTCAGATGATTCGCGACGCCCGTTCCAAAGAATTTTGACTTATTCGCCCGAAAACATGCATCTTCCTTTCAACCAGCGCTTCACTGCTACCTCCCAGGTAACATTGCGAAGTGCTCTGCTGAAGTCTTTGGCTTTGGAGGCAAATTTTGGTCGGCTATGGAGCGAAGCAATAATATAGTCGACTAGAGCCATATCTCCCCCCGCGTTGGCTGTGACACGACGTTTAATCCGGCTGGTCTCTTCCACCCATGTCCGGGTGACAAGCGTCGGTCAGCTCCAGTCGGTCATCCATTGTTGTTTGCATTGCTCTTCACAAGAATCAACGCACACATGTTTTGACTGTATTTTCTTTATGCTCCGTATGAAATATTTGGCTCTCTTCTTCATCGAATCTTCGGGATCGGGTAAGTCTCCTATCTCCGCGGTATCCGAAATCTGGTGATGTATCGCATTTAAGTACTTTGCAACTAAGACCTCTCTCTCAAAGCGCAGGCATGTTCCTTGGATGAACCACACTTGATAAGAGAATGGCACTCGCTGTGATGAGAGATCGTAATTTGTTCCAGGCTCAAATGTAGCGACAAACTTATTACCCAACTGGTCCAACGACAGGCGACCAAAAGGGAAATGACATTGATTCCCTCAGTCATGAAGGCCATCCCTTGGTCCCAGAATGTGGTGTGAGAAGTTCTGTGGAGCGGGATCGTCGTATAGGCGGTAGATGTTGATGATGTGGCACATAACGTCGCCATCTACCTCTAGTGAGATATCGCTAGACACGACCGGGTCGACGTCCTTTGGCGGCAACCTCCAGGCTATAACACCGCATTTCGGCCGGATGTTTAGAGTAAAGAGTAACTGCGTCCAAGCTAATGATGACTCGCAGCGTCCAGTAGGCTGAAAGTAGCCATTCTCGCGCACCAGGTGATCTTCGAAAGCCCTACTTCGGAGAATTAGGCTGCAGCCATCGGCCCTTCCCGTCCATTGCCTCGTCCGCCCACTCCCCAAGCCTCTGTTTTAATGCCTGCGCTGTACTCTGTTTCCTTAAGATTGACGAAATGGGGCGCCTAACAAGCTCGACGACGGCTGAAGCTAAAGTCACAGTCTGCTGACCGTCGACGATAATTTGTGCATATTTATCCACGGGTTGATCTGCCATCGTGACGGGTGCTAAATGAGGTTTCTATTTCCGGGTGATTCGACATTGACGGAGAAGAAGAGGTTATAGCCTAACTGTTTTTGGGAGGCAAGAGAATATTTCCTGAAGGCAGCCTGATTGCGAAGGAAAGAAATGAGGATAAGCAAGATTGGCGTTGGGCACCTGTGCTTTAGTGCGGGGTAGATTGTTTGCTTGCACGTTAAACTCCTCTAACAGAAGCTTCGCTATCTTGTCGAGATAAAGTGAGGCTTTTGTAGTAGATGATTTTAGAGCCTTTTACATGATTAGCGTAATGCTTATTGGCCACTGACCCCAATTAGATGGTTCCCTTGCTGCAGTTAGGAGCTTATGCCATCCGTGATATAGATAATTCCCTGCTACTGATTATATCACAAATAAGCTCGTGCTTCAAGGGGCTAGATTATGCGCTATTCCCATTTGGCCATATATGTAATAGATTCATAATAGTCTTCCGCTGTACCGAAAGAAAATGATAATGTTTAAGGAAGAGTAGCCGTCTTGTCGGGTTTATGATAATACGAGGCCTATACATTCAGTGACGGAGATTTCGGAGTGATTTCTAATATAGATTAGCTCCTCTTAGCAAGTCAGGGTTACTTAAATAATCAAAGAGTGTCAGTGGCGATACTATTTTCGAGACGTACTTTAAGCTAGAGTAGCCTGCTATAACCAATCTCTATGTATATCAGCCGGGTAGGTACTAAAGTTGGATCGCGTTGCCTAGAGCTTAGCATAGTCACCAGGGGTTAGAGCATAGCGAGTGCCCCTAAGGTTCATGGTTTTCGGGCTAGAATATGGAGTTCTAAACAGGCTCTGCGTTATCTCTACAATACGACAGCAATCTTGGCAGTCTATGTTGGTTTCGAGGCGTACGAAATTTCTATGGATGTGGGGAATGAAAAAAAAAACAATCGCAGTATATAACCGAAGCCATAGGTACAAAGAAACATGTTGCCTATTAGGGTTATTTCTCTATAGCCTTGATGTCGCCTTCTCTCTGATGTTAGACGAGTACAGGTAAAGGCAGCGTGTGACAAGAAGACCAAGTCGTGAGAAAATAAAGGAAAAATTAGCTAGTTTGTTGGAATTCTCCCTTTGTTTAGTCTATTTGCACGAAGAATTTTATCGGTTTCCACGAGGAATTACGTTACTATAATGGTGACTTATTTGTAGTTACTAGTGAATACAATACAGCCCAGTAGGGATAACAGGGGAAGAGCTCAAATTCAATTAGTGTGTTTAGAGTTAGGGGTTGGAAATTAAGTTGGAAGAGTATAGGGTTAACACTGATATCGAATATGACTATATAATCGATCAATATCTAACTTATTATAGCTCATGGGAGTGCCATTCGTTGGATCCGTGATGGGACCCTCTGGCTTGGAGGGCTGAAGATTGTCCTTTTTCCTTTTCTTGTCGGTTTCCTCTGGTCGGCCACGGATAAGCTCTGCTGAATGTAGTATTTTCAGAGACATCGAAAGATGCATCAAATCATCCAAGCACGGCAATTTCTTGGATATGTTTAGCCTCTAGGACTTCAACTTCTAAGGCTCAGCCGATGTCTTAACAGGACTTCCCGAATTAAGGGACTTCTGTAACTTCTGTGACTTCTAGGAGGCAAGAATTCTACGGGCGAAATCTCTATTAAATTAAGTAGACTAAGGGAGAGCTCAGAAGCAATAGACTCTAGAGACTTGGCTTTTTCTTGAACCTTGCGAATAGCCGAGATTAATAGGCCGGCTCGCCTGCTGGATGCTGGACCTCTCAACGGCATTTGCAGCTAAGAGTTATCAATAGTAGATATACAATGGTCTAGCATAAGAAAAGGATCGGTCTAAAGCTAGATATGAGAGATAGGACGTCTTTTTCAGGAAATTCCTATACCGCATTTATAGATTTCGCGTCCAGTCGTTTAAGAATAGCGGCGTAACTAGCAACTTAAGTTCATAAAGAAAAAAAGTATGCAAGCACAAGAATCTGACGAGCTCACAAATATCTAATAAATGAAGAAGGCTTTAAGAAAACTCACAGAAATTCTCAGTGCGCTCGAGATCTCCCACTCAATTTCTTTATCTCAAAGATGGAGCCTCAGCGACCGGTTCATGCATGAGTGTCTTTTGGTTCTTTGATCCCGCTATCAACCTCCCAGCCCTGAAATATTCGACCTTCTAGCTCCTTCCAGCCGACAGCCTTTCTCTTCCAGTATACTGGAAGATAGTGACTGATGGTGAACATGGAAACCAAAAGTGTGCCATAGTATTTCCCCCACCCTTCAGAGAACTACCCAAACGGTGCCCTCTTTTTAATAAGAGAAGATCCTATGCGCGAATCAGTGCAATTTTTCTCTGTGATTCGTGCCTTTTTCATCCATGGTTGATAGGCCATTGTCTCGACAGGAACACAGCAGGAAGGGATGGGCAGCTCGTTTCAAAGAAAGGAAGACTGTAATCTGCGACCCCGTATGATTTTTATCAGAAAACTGGGCGATGGAGCAAAAGAGTAAAATTCATAGTGATATTTCCAGCAGCAGTTCAGAGTAAATCTAAGGTGTTTCAAGGTGCAACAACGCATTTCGCCCCCGTTATGGACTGGAAATATGCTAGATGGATGGCGCCAATTCATCATGTGTGGCCAATCAATGTTGTAAAATTTCAAAAAGATCTCTGGCGCGAAAGCATATCAACCCCCCCCCCCAATCTCCTTCTCCCCTCCCTCATCGAGAAATATAGCCTTAGGCCGACCTATGCATGACAGAAATATCGCCTTGTCTCCAAATAATATTCAATACCCATTTCTTGATTTTCCACATTCCATCCGCATTATCATGCACAAGATCAATCGAATACTGCCCCGAAGCCATAAATTTTGGTCCGTCGAGTTCTTTGCCTCGACCAGGTGGACAATGCTGTGCAAGGAAGTTGGCCGTGAGAGATGCAGTACTTTCTCCCTCCTTAAAGCTCACACGAACGTTGCTTGTCATGTGTGTAGTGTCCATGGGCCCAACATGGGCAAGAAATTGTGTTCGGATAGATGAGAGGCCTTGGACTGATACATCCTCTCCAGGGCCGGAATTTATCTCAAGGACAACATCTTCCCCTGCAAATGCAGAGTTGAAAATGGCAACGTCATTGTAGTCGAAGCCGAGGAGGGCTCGATACATGGCATCCGAAATTGCTTCTCGCGCGGTGAGATTCTCGAGGGTCTGAGGATAAGACATGACTTTGTGATTGTGTAGCGTAGAGAGGATGAACACGTGATGAATGTCTGTGGTTTCTGGCTTTATATTTACTGAAGAGAATTGCCGGTCTAATTTCAATAGATAGCCACTCGGCGATAAACGGAATTAAGCAACAGGGCCACCGCAACATCGGAAATAAAATCGCATCTAGAAAGCCCCGACTTGCTATTGGTGCCTCGCCCCCGCCCCCAATCCTTCCGGGTTGTGGGTGCGCCACGTCAGACTGCCAAACCACATCAGGCTGCTATCTTTTTCTACCATCCTATTTTTTGCTTCCCTACCCAACACCACCATCAAGATATGCGAAATTTTGATGAAGTCCGTATGGCAGAGGCCTGCCTAGCAGTATCACGAGAAGAGAATCCGAATATAGCACGTTTAGCACGTGAATTTGGTGTTCCTAGGGGTACATTATACGATCGTGTTGAAAAAGAGAACAATGCCTATGCTGCTAAACAGAGTATCAGGAACGCTCTCGAAGCCTATCAAGAAGAAGCCTTGATTCGCTGGGTTTAATATATAAGCGATTACTATATACCTATCACTCCTAGGATACTAGAAGCATAGGTAAATCGTGTATACTAACGCGTTAGGAAATAGCCTATTAGTAAGATATAGGCGTATCGCTTCATAAAACGGCTTTCTATATATCTTCCATTAGGGCCTACTAGGTTTAATATACTAGTATAATCTACTAGCTTAAACTATGAAGAAGACTACACTACTCCGTCTGGTCTATAACTTTGATAAATATTGCCTTTAAACCAGGCGAAGGAAGATCTAGAAACGTTATATATTCTTCTAATAAGAAGATAGTAGATCTTCCTTAGCTAGACTAAGGCGAAAATATTACGCCTATTGAGTATATCGCTACTGATAGGTAGTAGATAGATGTTATAGAACAATCAGATGTATAATACTCGATGTTATTCCGGCCGATTTCGGATACGAATTGTATGCATGATGATATACGTATGTTCACAGGGATCAATGGGTTGGATTTGGACTCCTTTATCGTCATACCTTCGGCAAACAGCGGAATGACGATACTAAGGTTATAGGAGAATCCCCTTTCTTTTGAACTGAATCTCTTCATGATTCATTTATTGGAATAATACACCTTGACTATTCTTCCTCAATTCTATAACGATCCAACATTGTATTTATTTTCCTTACCTGACCAACAGGCCGCTACCCCGGGTAGCACCCTAATATAAGGAAGCAGTGGAAGAAGGCGTCTAAAATATCACCACCACTAGATCCTACATAGAATCAAGATATAGCACTAGAAAGAGCGAAAGAAGCACACTAGGAAGGCGATATCCTCTTTATAGATACTACTAGGATACGTTGATAAATAGGGTATACAGGAGAAAATAGCAGTCTGATGTGGTTTGGCAGTCTGATGTGGCGCACCCACAACCCGGAAGGGTTGCGGGGCGGTGTAAGGCACTAAACTGTAAATTAACAGGCAGGATAGCAAAATGGAGAATTCCAACAGTTGCTCAATAACATTGGTGAGAAAGGCCTGCAAACACTGTGAGCTGTGTCTTCGCCGGTTGGGATGGGTATATTGTACCTAGACAGAGCCCCCACTCGGCAGTACCAGAGATACTGAACGAATAAAAGAACAGGACCTCATACTCACCGAAAGTTCTTCCATCAGATAATCGAATTAGAGGCTATTAGTTGGCAGATATGAATCCCCTCCGTCTGAACGATGCTTTTTCTCATCGATTTCTCTTTTGTTTCGCTGTTCTCGACTCTCGCTTGTGAGATCAAAATAAGCTAGTTGGCGTTGAGAAATTTGATTAAAAATAAAAACCCAGCAGAAAATAAAAGGATTGCAAAATGATAGCCTACGTTTTTCGCCGAAGACCGTTGTTCTAATTCCTCGTCTTTCACCTTGATATGTTCCAGGAATCACTCGATGAAGAGTACAACTATGACCCTTCACTGTGAGCAAATGCTTCAAAATTGAATAACTTAGGCTGGAACGTACCGGTTGTCCCACATAGCCACACTTCCTACACTCCATTTCCAACGAACGTAGTGATCATCCGCGGAATGAATGTGATATGCCAAGAAGTCAAGTATTTTGTCTAATGGATACGTTGTCACTGGAGGCAATTCATCAGGTGGTTAGTTTTGAGAAACAAACCAGACTCGAGCTTTTTAAGCTCTGCAAACCCAGTAACAAACCCTGGATTCACATTCAACGCTTTCAGGTTCGTAACGGGATGTGTTCTGACAGCTGGGTGGTGAGTATCGATCGGCGGACGGTTTGGTCCAACCCCCAGAGGTCCAAAATAGTGTCATCTAGCCATGTAAATCAGAGAATGGTCAACGAGTGGACTGGTAACTCATAGAAACATTGTAATCTGGAAGTATGGACCGCGTGCAGGCCATCAAGAAATTTCTGGTAAGCTCCGCTCAGAGCATCATAAAGGCCGTACTGAGAGACCTAGAAAAGAATTAGGTTCATTGCTCTTTTGCTAACATTTTTATGTTTTTCTTTTTTTATGTTTTTCTTTTCTTTTTTCTTTTTAAAAAAATAAAGGATTCATACCCAAGCTGTGTCACCTCCAACATCGGGGTGCTCTTCCATTCTTAGTAAGGAATAAGAGGGTGCTAAAAACGATGAGTCTAAGAAAAGAACACGTTGCTTGCAGCCTGAAGCTTACGGTTGAGTTCAAAAGATGTGTCTGCATGAAAATCTCCACTTGGCTTGGGTCATAGTAAGTTGCAGCGTACGATAAAGCGACCCATAATAACCCAACTTACCCAGGGCGTATATTTGAGAATTTCACGGTGATCCTCACGACTGCCATGTATGTTCACAAACTAGATGATGATCTTTCATGTTAGAAATTACGTAAAACCAATCGTGTAAATCTATTGCCTGCCTTTTGATCCTGCATATCATCAGCAAATGGACTCGACAACGTAAATGCGACGATGAACTAACCTTTTGAGCTGGATGCCGATCCAATATCCCTACTCTCGGCTTAGTGAGTGCTAGTGATGGTGCTCTCTCTATGGACGTACCAAAATGTTCGAACAATTGAACTTGCTGATCAGTCGTGAGATCTTGATCCCGGAAGAAAACAACTCCTCGTTCATTGACAAGCAGAGCTAGCTCGTCAAGCTGCGTCTCAGTTAACCGGGACAGCTGCACGTTCTCGAGCAGCGTGCCAATTGATTCAGTTAGATCAATCCTTCTAGCCACTGCAAATAAATTCTTTTTCTCGGGATCTGCAAAGAAAGCTCGGTCTCTTGGGGGAATGATCTCCTGGCGGACCGGCTCGGGAGGCACATGAGATACTATTTTCGGATTGAAATGGGGGTGGAGAGTGATCGGAGTTCCAGAGTCTGCCGATATATGCTTCCGTGATTCTAGATGGGCCATGGTTGCTGAGTTTCTCTTTGGAAGGGTTGTTGCGATGAGAGTAAATGGAACTAAATCTGGGAATCTTTGGAAAGATTGAACGAGGAAAATGACGTCCGGCCGTCATTTATTTGATCGAGTCTACCCCTCAGGTTTCCATGCACCGTTATGAATTGTTCTCATTTTCTATCGATATGGCACAATATTGATCGAGTTAAAATTCTCGTACTGTGATCCAATCCGGGATCCTGACTCCTTCCTGCAGCTGCCAAACTAAAATTAAACTTGAGCATGGATCCGCTTGAATCTTGTCTATGGCTATGGAAGAATCCTTTCAACTCGCACCTTCTATTGCAATTCCGATGAGATATGACGCCATAATGAGATCCGGAACTGCATTACTATGGCCAGTCATTGCGCGAGACTTGGCAATCTTCGATCATTCAGACGCCGAGAGAATAGAAAGGTAGAAACACAGGTTTCTTTTTTACATAATCTGAGGAGTCGTAGACATCACACTCTAAAAGTGTCTTGTATCAAACAAAAACATGCGTGATCCTTCGAAAAGGCTCCATATTGAGGTAGCGGGGGTTCAAATCTAGAGAGCCTTGTTTGAGCATCAAATCAAAAACACAAGTCAATCTGTAAATTATAACTACAGAAATAAAGTTGATGAACACGGAGAGAGTGATAGAATTGACGAGATTTAGCAAATCAAATAGACAAATTCGAATAAAGTACTCCAGGTGAGTTTCTCTATATCACTAGTAAGAATCCAGAGACTATACTCTACTGCCTTGTATATCAATGGGCGTAGTGGGGATGGCCAAACATGACAAAAGATGCAAAAGAGATTGATGATGCAATGGAAGCTGGGATCAGCCACAAGCCATCCAGTACGCCGTTTGATCCGTCGTATGGACTTTCGGGTCATCAGACACTGGAGAAAGCAGACATGCAGACAAAAGATTATCTCAAGATAGTTCGGGTGAGATCACCATGGAGGCTCTATAAATCTGCCACCTGAGATCCAGCAGAAGGAGACTGCGACTGATTGAACGACTGTCCTGTCTGGGATCTACATACAGGAAAGAGCGGATGTGGAGAGTCGGTTCGGATACTCAATCCAAACTGCGATCTGGGTATGAATGAGATTGGAAAGCTGTTTGCAGGACGATTACTGGTCAACCCGATTACTGGTCGACCTGACCCCAGATTCAAAAGGATCTGTGTAATGACTCGATCTGGATTCTTCAGTAGAGCGGAACAGAACATGCTCCCCGAGTCGCAATATTGTCAGAAGTCCCTTGACCTACTCGAGAACTCGAGTCTGAGTCTCTGCTTAGGCTTCTACTTTGGCTACTATCAATGCTGTTTGGCAATATTAGACAAGTGGTAATCTGATGAAGCTGAATCACACTACCTATCTGTGAGACTCCTTAATTTGAGTGGATTAGCATCAATAGAGCCCGATGCTTCTACTTCAGGTGTAAGGCTGATGACGTAGCATATCATTTTCGAAATATTTATGTCTCAACATGCCAGGTCACATGCTGTAATGAGGCGAGAAGAGAAAAGAATAGCGTCAGGGTTAAGGTTGACAGTTGGGGAAGCTGCCGATGCCTAGCTTGAACAGCACATTCAACAGCTGCCTTGGTCTGCTAGTTTGCGGAGCGGCAGAGAAACGGGGAGTCAACAACGAAGTCATCCAAAGACTGTGCTCTAAGGTAGTTCATATCCCAGAATGACAGTCTCGAAGGGTTGATTCTCTCGGAGACTGAGCCTTCCCGGGGTCGCTTGCGTGCATTTGCATTAGGGAGCCATCTTCACATATCCCAATAATAAGATCGTGATAGTATCAATTCATTGGACATTTGATCTGAGATACAATCTGGAAAGGCTGTCCGCGTACCTAGAATGATCAAAAGAGTGGCCTGTGGTGATATTACTCTGATGTAATGGCCAATAAATATCTAGAAAGATGAGGTTGTCAGGCAGCCTGCAGTGACAATACGGATAGGCATATGCGGCGGCAGCGGTGGTGGATAGAATAGAACAGGTAACAACTGAAATAAGCATAACAATCAGAAAATCACGCGACTGTGCAAGGCAACCAAACGAGAGATTCGAAGCTAGTGGAAGCGAGATGGTGAGTTCTCGATTAGGAAATTGGTGAGGTATAAATAATTCTGTTCTCACCTCACTTCTCTCCTTCTTTCCTTCCCTTCATTGGGCCTCATGGATCTCGAACATGCACAAGTTTGGGGTTATTTTGTCTTGTTTCATTTGTTTTACCTTGTCCAGGAGTCAACATCAGTCCTAGTTACTTGCAACTGGCCGCGTTCCCTCTGAGGTCCTAAGGTAAGAGAGAGAATTGATACGACAGTATATCGCATGACACCACATCACACCACATCAGAACAACTTATGACATACATCGACACTCATGGGCCGGGGGGGGGGGGATGGAGAGGCGACAAAGGCGGCCTACGACAAGCCAGATTCACCGGCGAGACCAGGGAGAGACCTTTGGAGGATTTTTCCGCTACCATTCATCGCCCCTCGACAAATTCGACATCCTTTGACACGTTTCAACACGCTTCAACAACCTTCGACACTCTTCGACACTCTTCAATATCTTCGACACGCTTCGACACGCTTCGACACTTTTCGACACTTTTCGACAACTTCGACTGGGGGCTTTCTGGGGGTTGCTGTGCTTTCATAGGGGACAACGGCATTGAAGGACATTGCGTAAAGGGTTAAGCAACACATGAGGTTTGATGTCTGTCTCGGTGATTAAACAACGGTGATTCGTTGCCCGGGGCCGCGACAACTTTGGAGGGAACCCAACCTCTTGGGGGATATCATGCTGACTGAATTGCAAATGAAGCTTCCTGATCCTTTTTCCCGGAGCAGTGGTGACTATATCACAAGTGGGGTCTGGGGGCAAGTACTGTGTCGTTTAATGATGATTGGGCAACCTGGCTGGCCGTGTGGGAAGCTGTCCCTCAGGACCCGCAATATGCCTCTCTGAGAACGATTGCATATCAACTGGAAATTCCAGATCTTTCTCTGCCAGACTCTGTGATCAATATTCGCAAAGACCCTCGCGATAAGATTATCTTCCTTCTTGACATCTGTTCCTTGAAAAACATCCCTATGAAAGCTGCACAAGCTACAAGCTGGACTGCGAATCTCCTTGAACTTCGTGCCCGATCCCCTGTTTTGCTGACGCCTTATCGCTATGGTCATTCAATGAAGGGTTGCTCCGGAGAGAACCTGAGTTAAATCATGCTCCGACGTGCCTGATTTGCATTACTGGTATCTATTGTCTGTTACTTACATCTCGTGTGGAAAAACGTCTTTTGATGCGCTTTCGCTTTCCACCATCCTCCATTGCTGAAGCTGACTTACTTCCTAGAACGAGATACCTCCCGTGTTCTCCTTATTACATGTATTGCATGAGCTACGCCTCTTCTTTCATGCTGTGTAGGGTACTCAACGGGGGAGAAATCTAAATAAATTGACACGGAACGCTATCCTAATAACGATATCGAAAGCCTGGCGTTTTCCAGTCGGTAATATCCTCATAGTCTGCTGATACAAGTCTCACTTGGTTTACCATATCCACCACAGTATTGGATCTCTGATCGACATCCGACACTTTGCCACCGCCAACAGCACCTGCATTACCAGCGCTTCCCTCAAACCCTTCTTCTCGGCTGCGGCGTGTATTTGTCCATTGCAGGTATACCCGAAGACAGAGAGCTAACATGACAGCCAGAGCATAGCAGATCATGATGGTGCGGAAGGCGGTATTGTATGTTGGAGCTTCACTGCTGAGGAAAAATTGGGGACCGGCAATATTGCCAGCGCAGTATGCAAGGAACAGCATTGCTGTCATGGTCATCTTCTTCGTCACTCCGCGGTAGTTGGCCTGCACGAGAGACATGGCGAGTGGCATGGCTGCAGGGCCCGTCGAGAGCAAAAAATATCCGAACAGTTGAACCCCAAGAGCAATGTGGGCCCGGGAGTAGATGATGGCACTGCCCACGACACAAGGGAGCACGACAGCCACGATGAGCAGACAGTTTAGCTGACGAAAACGACCCGCCAGCCATCCGCTTCCGGTGATGGCGGCTACCGTGATGATTGAGTACGGGATGGTGATGAGGGTAGACTGTAAGCTAGTAAATCCGAATGACACAATCACCAGGTTGGCGAAGTTCTGTGTGCCTCCATTCGGAATTTGAGTCAACAACTCGAGGCCGAAGATCAGCCAGGACTTGGGATCCATCAGACACTCCACGACTTGATTCCACTTCCACGTAGTGTGTTCAGTCACTCCAGTTCCCGCAACGACAACTCTGTTTCCGGCATATTGACGCTCCTCCTCAGACAAGAAACGGGCCTTGGAGATTGAGTCCGGCAGAAAAGTCCAGATGGCGATGCCCCACAGAAACGTGAGAATGCCAAGCAGAATAAACATCCATCGCCACGGTCCGACATGATCATCTACATGCCCGAACCCATAGGCAATAAGGCTGGCCACGATTCCGCCGACACTCTGAGAAAATGGGTCAGTATTGACAATCCTGACTAGCTTGGTCGAAACTAGCTATGCTTACGTTGCCTGCGAACCAAAAACCCGTTCTGGTCGGAATTTCATCGCGAGTATACCAAGTCGAGGTGATGAACATGAATGCCGGGGTAATCGTAGCCTCCGCTACTCCCAGCAGCAATCGTAAAGTCACTAGGCCTCCGAAATTGGTACATGCTGCCGTGAGAGCGACGACTGTCCCCCAAAAAAAGGTGTTGGCTGTCAAGTATTTGGCTGCTGGGAGACGGGCAATGAGCAGCGTGGTCGGATAGGCCCATCCCAGGTAGCCAAAATAGAAGACGGATGAAACCCAGCTGTACTGCTGGCCAACCAGACCCTAATCGGAGGTCAGTATAGGCGTGTCTATGGTCTCGACTAGAGTAGATCAGGGGACTCACAGTGTCATCGGAAAGGCCAAAGACGGAAGCACTCGACAGAATGGTCTTGTCCATAAAATTGAGCATGTATGTCACGAAGAGCAACGGCACTAATCGCCGGTCGATCTTGCGCAGGACTCGCTGGGCCAACGCATTGTCAGTGACCTGCTCGGTCACGGGCTCTTCGCGTGCCGCGCTCGACTCTGCCATTTCCTCGGCCTTCTCAACTCCTCAACTTTGTCAATATTCTCTGTCAACAAACATCCCAGCACATTGGGATCGTCTCTGCTTTATTGCGCTCTGAACATGCCGCTTCCCCCCCTTGCCTTATCTTTCCCCGCACTTCCATTGGCCTGTCGACTCGAGCCCCGCAACTGTGTCCTACCTATTCCTTTTATCGCCGATATAGGATCAGATTACCTTTATTCATTGGGTCTAGTCATCCTCCAGATCAGCACGCTTGCCTTAGATCGGGGTCAAGCGGTTTAGCTCCTGAGACTAATAGCCGACTTCGTGGAGTAGAAGGTCGAAGCGAAATCACATTGGCGACTTCGGGATGGGCCGACCCGATTGAACTCAAACATCGCCTTAATCCACGGAGCAATTAATGAAGTTGAGGCCGAAGAAGTCGTTTATGACTCTCACTGAAGTTAACCTTTTATTTCTTTGATAACTGAGGGCGAGGTAGTATCAGAGACTATCTCTCTCCTCAACACCATAATCGATCATGAACGGCCTTGCGATCTCGTCTTTTATTGCAGACCTGCCTAAGGTAGAGCTGCATGTACATATCGAAGGGACGCTCACACCAGCTCTGCGTTGGAAGCTAGCCCATCGCAACAATATTCGATTACCCTACTCCACATTCGATGATCTTAAAGCGTCCTATGCTGTGACTTTCAACCACCGGCCGGAGCTGAATGGTCGCCAGCCGGGCATCCCAACCTTTCTAGAGGCGTATTTCGCCGGGTGTGAAGTGCTCTGCACAGAAGCTGACTTCTATGACCTGGCAATGGCATACCTCCGCCGCTGTGCAGAAATGAATGTGCGTTATACCGAGCCCTTCTTCGACATCCAGGCCCACACGCGTCGCGGAATCTCCGCAGACACAGTTCTAGATGGCTACCTGCGAGCACAGCATGATGGTGCGAAGCAGTTCGGCGTCCGCTCTCGGTGGATCATGTGTTTCCTTCGGGACGAGCCCGTAGAGAAAGGACTGGCTGCCTATGCCGAAGCACGTCCATGGGCAGCTGGGACTGTCAAGGGGGGCAAGGGGCTTTTTCATGCAGTAGGGCTTGCAAGCAATGCTTATGAGAGACCGCCCATGCTTTTCGAGCCAGGGTATGCGCTTGCTCGAGCTGACGGGCTGCATGTCACGATGCACTGTGATTTCGGGCAGAAGGACACGCACGCCCACATGGCGGAGGCAATTTTCCAAGTATGCGAAGGGCGTGGATCAGATCGTATTGACCATGGACTGGATGCTGAGGACAGAGAAGAGTTGTGGCGGGGACTTGTGGATAGGAAGATTGGCTTGACGCTGTGCCCTCATGCGTATCACCGCCGAACAGCGACAGATGTGTTGTTCCCGAAGATTAAAAGATTATTAGATACGGGAGTGAAGCTGTGCATCAACAGTGATGATCCCACTTTAATGCATGATGTCTGGATTGATGGAAACATGCAGAAGGTATATACATACTGCGAGTTCACTAAAGAACAAATGGTTCAATTGGCAAGGAATGCTGTTGACATGTGTTGGGCGGAGGAGGATGTGAAAAAAGCTATATACGATGAGCTAGATGGAGTTGATACCAGCCGGTAAAGCACCAATGCTTGAACTCTTTCAAACTGAGATATTTAGATTTTGCGTTCCATAATGCAAGCAGGTCTTTCTAATCTTTCAAGACTATATAGTGTTTGAACTTGAAGCTGTTGAGGCTTACAGCTAGTAGATGAAGTCGGGATGATCGTCACATATTTCCTCCAGCGTCATAGCTCGTTGGGCAGCGGTCTCGGCCAGATGCCGTTTTGCAATTTACCTAAGTTCTTGGATCGTAGATAGAGCATCAGCCCAATTGTGACAAAAAGTCCGAGCACAGAAAATGCCAGAGCAAAAGCTTTGCCCTTGGTATATGCAAGAGGTTCATCAAAGACTTCGGCACCTATAATGGAGAAGCATTGGCCAATCATATTGATGACAGCCAAGGATCCCGCTCTGCTTGAAACAAAAGTAATTAGCTTTACGGGGGCCTTTTATTTACCATTGGAGAGATAGAAGCATGAGTTGAAAATTTGGCAAACCCCTTTGAGACTGCAGAAAAAGTGATGTAGACTTGCCGTTTGGTGTATCCTATCAGATTGGAATTCATCCAGCCCAAAGTCAGAACAACACTAGGATATGTTCCCACTACGACTAGATATACCGCCCCCAAAGACAGGCAACTGGATTTGCTAGCGAGAGGGACCATCCGGCCTGCTGTGAGGACAGCGTAACATACGGCAAGGAAAGGGCCTCGCAAGCGAAAATGATCGGAAAGAAAGCCAAGCATTAACAGAGCAACAACAGCGCAACCATAAGCCGGAATGATCATGATCTGTGACTGGATAGATCCATAACCAAGAGACTTGAAATTTATTGGAAGGAATCCAGTGATTGCAGCTAGATTCAAATTTGTGCAAGGGACGATCAGAAAATCGGTAATTTCATACAAAGATTCAATCGAGAGGCCGAGGAACTCAGCTCACTAAAAAGATAGATCTTCAGATCTTTGACAAGACTTAGAAGCTGCTGTAGATTTACTAAAGCATTTTTTGAGTTAAATGCTTCTTGTGAACGGCGTACTGCCATTACCTTTTCGGCTTGACTGAAACCCCAGCTTAGGCTTTCAGGTACAGGCGGTAGAAGGAAGTAAACCAAGACGCCAACTGAAATGGTGACGGATCCTACATTTACGATGAGCGAGATGGGATGCGCGAAGGTTTTGAATTAGTGCCATAGGTGGTATATCTACCTTCAATAATAAAGATCCATTGCCACGTGGCAATGATTTTGGCTCCTTCAAGGGACTCTGAGATATCGTATTCAATCAAGCCATTGGCGCTGCCAGCAAGAGCCATCATGGAGAAGAATATAGCAGCCCGAGACACTATCTCCTCCCTCTTGTACCAAAGGGTCAAATAGAGCGGAGCTGCTTGGACGAAAGCTTCTGCTGCACCAATAGCAACGCGAAGACCTGGAGCGGAGCCTTTCGATGTAGCGATTCTGAAGAGGTCAGTGGATCTCTTACTCCCAAGTTTCTGTTCCAAAGATAAAAACTGACAGCGCAGTCAATGTTCCCCACACGACGAGAGCACCACTCAGTTGGACCGGAGGTGTAAGTTTTCAGAGGAAAAGATCACCGGGCAACTGGAAGACGATGTAGCCAATATAGAAGAAGGCAACAGCATTGGCATACTCGGAAGGCGTGAGATGCAGCGCTTTCTTCATGCCTGCGATGCTGGCATTTCCCATATCTCCACGATCCTATCAATAGGCTATCAGCGACTGCAGATCTACTCGCTTGTGTTTCTTATAGACGGGGAAGTACAACCATGGCAGCAAGGAAATAGATAACTGCCAGGGTGGGTAGAATCAGGCAATCGATTTTCCAGAGCAACCTCTTCTCAATTTGCTTCTCGGAGAGTGTCTTCGGAGGCGCATTGTGAATTCCAAATCCATCCTGTAATCCACTGGGTGTATTGACATGACTGAAACAGGGAAGGGTGCCTTTCTCGGTGATCTGTTCAGTGGAAGGAACAGAGGCCATGTTGATTTGAAGTCTTTCTTCTGATGTTGCCAGTCAAATAATCAAAAATGTCAATTCTTGTTGAATTTTCATAATCGAACCCACCTTGATATACCTAATTAGAGAGACATAGTATGTTCTAAGCGTCCTACGGTAGCCGCCAGCGGCTACCGTAGGCGACCTCGGATGAATATAACCAACTTCGCCTGCGAGAAGAATATTACCCGAGTCTGTCTGAGCGAAATGTAACTGTGAGTAGTGGCTTGCTGCGAAAAGGCTCAACGTATAAAGCCTAAATTTTCATTTGTGGCCTCTGAAACTCAGGTTTGTCACAGACTACATTTACCCACCGACTCTCACAAGGTCGATGCACCATGTTCCCTCAATCCGAAGAACTCCGTATCCTCACGCCGGTAGGGATGCTGGGCTATGGGTACGATCACTCTCTCTTCTGGGCCGCAATTTCTGAGGGCGCACATGCCATAATTTGCGATTCAGGTTCAACCGACAGCGGACCGGCCAAACTAGCACTCGGAACCATGTCCTGCCCCAGAGATTTTTACACCCACGATTTGGAGCCGCTCATACTTGCCGCTCATGAATTTAATGTGCCCATCATTGTTGGTGGTGCCGGTGGCGATGGATCCAATGCACATGTGGATGTGTTTGTGGAGATAACCCGGGAGATCGTGAAGCGCCGAGGCTTGCGATCCATGAAAGTTTTGACAATCTACTCTGAAATCCCCAAGGAAATTGTACACAGCGAGCTGGAAAAGGGCGAGATCATACCATGTGGAGAGGCTGTTCCTGCACTTTCCGTCAAGGACTTGGAGGAGACCACTCGAGTGGTTGCCCAGATGGGCTATGAGCCCTACCAGCGAGTAATGGATGAGAATCCCGACTTTGACATCATCATTGGTGGTCGCTCCTATGACCCTGCCCCTTATGTTGCGTTCTGCCGACACAAAGGGTTCGTTGATCTGGGTATAGCCCACCATATGGGGAAGATTATGGAATGCGGAGCGTTGTGTGCGCAACCCAAGAGCCGTGAAGCTTTGGCGATCATTCGGTAAGAAAGCTTCGACATTCGCCCATTAAACCCATCAAGCCGATGCACCACTGTTTAGGTGGCAGCTCACACCTTGTACGAAAAAGCACGGCCAGATATTCTCGTCGGACCCGGTGGTACAGTGCTGTTGGAAAATTCGAGGCATGAGGAGCTTCCGGACGGACGAACGGTGCGCATCCGTGGAGCCAAATTCATCCCAACAGAACAAGGAAATTACCGATTTAAACTAGAAGGTGCTCGAACAGCTGGATATCACAGTTGTTTCTTTGGAGGATTGAGCATCCTATTCTGATCTCCCAAATCCACAGTTTCCTTCCAAGTATCCAGAATTATGTCCGCTCGGCGTGCAAATTCGAGCATGAACTGAAACTGACAACTTATGGTACCAAGGACGAAATCAGCATGTTTCCGGAATCTGACACAACTCTCATTACATCACACTCGGCGACAATTGCGATCCACGGAGATGCCAGAGCGAAAGCGCAAGACGAAGCCACTTGAGTCATTAATGCAGCTCGAATTGCATGTATGCATGGTGCATATCTAGGTCAGGTTGCAAACTCGGGAAATTTTGCCATGCCATGCGCTCCCCTAGATATTCCCATGGGGCCCGTGTGTGAATTCTGTATTTATCACCTGATGAAAGTGGAGTCTGCTGAGTCTCTCTTCCAAAGTCACATCCAAACAGTTGAAGATTGTGGACCAAATAATGAAATCTCGGCTTTTATATCGCCAGTCTGGCAAGATAGCCAAGGTGAAGAACAGAAAACCATTGATCCACATAATCGGGAACAAGCTTCCCCTTCAAAGGCAGAACTTTATCTGAGTCCCTCTGCACCTGAGGGGCTTGTGTACCTGGGCGAGCTTGCTTCGGTGATTCGATCAAAGAACGCAGGTCCGTTTGAGCTGACATTCGATGTCATGTTTGATTCCTCGGTCAAGTATGACTTTGTCAAGGCGTCCGGTGTTCTGAGTGCAGCGCAATTTGCTTCAATCTACGGAATCGATATGTCGAGCATCATGGCAGCTGTATGGTGGGATCCAGCCATGGCTTTTAAAATAACCGTGAAACGGCCAATGGTTTCCGGTAGCTTTGGAGAGACGGATACTCATGGAAGCTGTCAGCATTTTAAGCTACTACAACTACTAATTCCAGCCATGCATGAGAACAAGGCTACGTAGGAATAGTGCATCCCTTTCCTAGCATGTTTGATCGTTTTCACATCCATCATTCTTAAACACTATGCAGTATGTTTTCCCATTCTTTTGAATATATTCATAACATCCTCATCCCGGTAGAAAAGTCCTTCGCCAAGGACCGCATCGATGGTATGCGGTTTCAGATCTTGTGTAGATAACAACTTGATAAAAAGTCATTTATGTGAAGCCCTAGGTATCTTTAGCTCTGATTATCAAGTACACCTGGGCAATGACCTTCGATTGACCGCAGTTAATGCATATTGTCCCGTTCTTGGTGCATCTTTCGCGTCCAGCCATGTGATCTCATCACGAGTAGAAGGCTGTGGGTTTCCAGTGACTGGGAGGGCTAATACTCCATGATATTTAGTTAATCGACATACTATTTGCATCGGTAGTCAGTATGGGATCATGAGAGTCTTCAGTCATGGCCAACTTTTGTAAAGAGAACTGGAAATGTACAGAAATATTTATTGGAGGTCGTATGAGCTCGGAGGCGGCATAGCATCGTAAATATGAGCAGCAGAGTATCATTGACCACAATGTCAACAGAATAAAAACCTCTGCCTTTAGCAGATCAGCGCCATCCGCCGACCCTTCCTTCATCCCATCTCGCCTTGGCCTCCTTCCTCGCCGCCAACTTGGCAGCCTCGGCCCGAACCCGCCGCACCCAGTCGGTAATCTCTTTTTCTGTGGCACGACCATGATGATCCTCATCCAAAAAGCTCTCCTCGACTGCCTGGCAAACTGCCTCTTGCTCTGCAATTGCAGCACTCAGACGCTGGTACAGCGCTTTAGGGGACCACGGCGCAAGCGCAGTATCCATCTCCGTTTGTTTCTTCCGCCACGACACTTCAAGGGATTGGTGTGTAAGAAGCATGGTTTCTATCTGGGAACGCAATTCGACGACATGATTCTGGAGTCCAAGAAGTCGACCAGCAAGCTCCTTGTTCACTTGGATCAGGGAATCGAGATGCTGCTGTCGAGCAGTGTGAGAGGGATGTTGGCTCGACAGGGCGGAGATGAGACTTGGTTCTTTGAGAATTGACTGGAGGTCAATTGTTCTAGATTATCAATTGTTAGTTCGATTGCGTCGTGGTAATGAGGAAGTGGAGTCACCTTACGATTTGTCGTTGACGATTTCCGGAAGCCAGCCCTCTTCGAAAGCAGGTGGGGCCGGAGAAGGCACTGATTGAGTATTCACAGAGAACTGTGATGGCTGAGCAGCTCCTATTTGTGGATCTGGCCGATAGCCATGTTGCGCTGCCTGTTGCGGTGTTGGCAACGAAGACGTATTTTGGGGGGTGCCTCCTCGGCTTGCTTCATGGCTGCTCGGTTTTGGCGGGGGTGGTGGGGGAGTATCAGGATTGAGAGCAGGGTTCACCATGGGGGGTGCCGCATAGAACGACTGTGTGGGATATGGTGATGCAGGCTGTGACATGGTTGAGGGTGTTGCGCGAGGTGTGGGGTTGGGGACGAAGTTGGAGATGCGGGCGGGTGAAGCTTGGCGGGCGCCGTTGATTAGCGTCCCGATAACGATGAACCGATAACACGGCATCTATAGAGTCCATGTTCCATGTACTAAGCTACGACTTTTAGGGAAAGTTCATATGAGGTTATGAGTAGGCCTGATTGCTTCATTAAGAAGAGTTCATTTCGTCATTTCAAGTACAGAAGGAAAGGCTGTGAAGGGGGCCTAATTTGTTGCTTGCGGCCCGTGGCCCCAAGTATATAACCAACACCTATGTGTTGGTTGGCAGAGGCCCAACATTTGTTTTTCTTGTTTCCACGAACAGCCTATCAATGATTGAGTCACGCGTTGCGCCAGAATGTATGATGCAATATAGTCCCATACAGGAAAGGTGACTTCATCATAAGCGACCTGTGCAAGGATATAGATGCCTCGGATCACAGTCGCGCTGCGAGATGTGTAAATTCAAGCCCTGGAAATATGCAGCGCCAGAAAATGGCTATCTGGCTCATTATTCCGTCCTCCGTCGAGATTCCCGCTCTGAGGTTTCAATACTGGAACCAGCAATAGCATCCATGACCAACTCTCGCAGCTGGCTTTGTGCGGCTTCGCTGTGGAAGTCTTCCCGAGCGGCCAGTTCATCAATGCGGCGTTTAAATTCAGGATCCACTTCCGCTTGGCCAGCATTGGCCTCCTGCTCTGACATGGTCCCGATGTTGACCTGCATATTACCAGGAATGGGCGGCGGAGCGTTCAATGGCCCGGGTGCTCCGTTGGCCGTGGCGGCGGCGGCAGGAGCTCCAATAACCTCACGAAGGTAGGCCGCAACCTGGGGGAATTCGTCATCGGCCTCCATTTTCTCGTGTGCAGTGGCTCCTTCATCGTTTGTCTTGTTATAGTCCACTCCGAGTTCCTCGACCAGGCATCGGGCGATCCGAGGGGTCTCTACCACGAACAGACATGTCTCGCCGTCCTCATCTAGTAGATTGACGTTCACATTAAATTCCTTCACGAGAGCACGGAGAAGATCGATGTGCCCGTAGGACGCGGCGGCATGGAGTAGAGAGTATCCGTGTTCGTCTTGGGAGGAAGCAAGAGCTGGGTTGGCGCGCAGGAGCTCAAGCAGCGCAGACGGGTTATCGCAGGCCAACAGGTATGGATTGGGTTGAGACATGATTGCACCTCGTAAAGAGTGAGTCACCGACGATCCACAGGGCGAAGCAGAAACAAGCCCAACAGCAAATGAAGGGGGCGGGGAGTTGGGTTTTTTTTGAGGCCCAGGAATTTCGGCGGGGAAAATTGCGGCGATAAGGCTTGGCCGCCTTTCCGTTTTGGCTCCCCGCAGCGCAAAATGACTCTTTGTTTCTGGCTCCGAGCTTCTGCTGTCACGTTCAAATGCTCTGACGTGGACTCAGGTCTCTTGAGGCGGCAGTAGAAGAGCAAGAAAGGGCCCGGCGCTTCCAGCTCTGTCTATTTTGTCCCAGCCCCAGCACCAGCACCACCCCACTTGGCCGGTGCCCCTCCATCCCACTCGCCATTCCTCCCTCGCCTCTCACAACGGATCGATACCAGACAATTACGATCATGGCGACACAGGATCCCTCGCAGATCGTGCAGCTTGTGCACGACTTGGAGGCGGCTTGCAAACAGAGCAAGAACAACAAGAAACGACCCTTCACGTGCAAGAAGACGACCTTCGCAGTCGCAGGCACGAAAAATGTCACCGTGGACTCCTGGAAATTCATGGATTGGGATTACAAGCGTTCAGACCTGCCTACCTATGCGCGAGGCCTGTTTACAACGCGGCGGAAAGATGGTGTCCCCGAAATCGCAGTGCGCGGGTACGATAAGTTTTTCAACGTGGACGAGACCAACAACACCCAGTGGAGGAATATTGAGAACAAGACACGGGGCCCATATGAGCTCAGTGTGAAGGAGAATGGATGTATCATCTTTATCTCTGGTATGGAGGACGACAAATTGCTGGTGTGCAGCAAGCACTCAACTGGGGTTCGCGAGGACACCAATGTGAGCCATGCGATGGCAGGCGAGCGATGGGTGGAAAGACATGTCGCAACAGTTGGCAAGTCTTCAAAGGAACTTGCAAGGACTTTGCGGCAAATGAATGTTACGGCCGTTGGTGAGCTGTGTGATGACAGCTTTGAGGAGCACGTTCTGGCCTACGATGACGCTGCGGCCGGCATCTACCTCCACGGTCTTAATTATAACCAGCCCAACTTTGCTACACACTCGTCAGATAAGGTCCACGAGTTCGCAGATGCATGGGGATTCAAGAAGGCCAAGTTTGTGGTCTACGATGATATCGAGTCCGTGCGCAAGTTCTTAGAAGAATGCGCTGAAACAGGAACCTGGGATGATCGTGAGACCGAGGGTTTTGTGATTCGATGCCAACTGAGCGAGGGCGGTAATGCGGCCTTTCAGGACTGGTTCTTCAAATACAAATTTGAGGAGCCGTATCTGATGTATCGCCAATGGCGTGAGTGCACAAAAGCCGTCATCTCAGGGAAGATGCCCAAGATCAAGAAGCATGAAAAAATCACCGAAGAATATCTCCAATTTGCACGTCGAATATTCATCAAGGAGCCCCATCTCGCGCGCGAGTACAACCACAACCACGGCATCATCTCTTTACGTGAGGCATTCTTAAAAGAACGAGGTTTGAAGGGATCAGAGATCATCGCGATGGAGGAAGAGCAGGTGAAGGGCAAGGATACCACTAAGAACGTGATTCTCACTCCGATCGCTTCTCTAGGATGTGGGAAGACCACGGTGGCGCTGGCCCTTGTGCACCTCTTCGGGTGGGGCCATATTCAGAATGACGATATTCCCAAACAGAAGGGGAAGCCGAAGAAATTTGCATTCGAGATCACCAAGGCCATGGCGACTCAGCCCGTCGTGATCGCCGACCGCAATACTCACCAGCGGCGGGAACGGAAGCAACTCATGGACGATGTTTATCCTGTAATTCCGGATGCCCAGTTCGTCGCTTTGCACTATGTTCACGAGCCCAAAGAAGAGATGTTTTCCTCCATCAAGGAGGTTACTCGGAGGCGAGTGCTAGACCGTGGCGATAACCATCAGACCATTCGGGCCGGTACGAAGCAACGAGATGAGATCATTGGCATCATGGACGGATTTCTGCAGCGCTTCGAGGGCATCGACACCAACCGCGCCCCCGATATGAACTTCGACCATGTCATCGACCTAGATGTCTGCGCCTCCTCGCGCGAGAATCTCGAGACCATAGTTGCCGCCCTGCATGCCGCCTACCCTCGACTAGTGCCCAACATGCCTACCAGCGAAGACTTGGACGCCGCCATCAATGCCGCGATTGGCGACTACGAGGTCCAGCAAGATCTGAGCTACGGGTACGACAAGAAACAAGGCGGCAAGAGTCCCTCGCAAGGGAACGATCTGGCCCCTGCCATCCTCGCGCGGAAAATCGAGTATTTTAGCATTTCCGTTCCAACCTCTGCCATCATCACCACCCTCCACTCCCTATTTGGCAACAGCGCCCCAGAGGCAGCCCGCCTCTACCACCAACTTGTCAACACCCGGCGAGTGCAGGCCGCCTTCCACGTCACCCTGATCCACCGGGCCTCCAAGAAAGATCAGGGCGATATCTGGGACCGCTATGCAAAGCAGTACATCGACGTGCTCACGAAGAACCCGACCGAAGACGCAGTGAAGAGCCCGCCCATTCTAGGCGCCGCGCGCGTGCGACTGGAGCGGCTGATCTGGGACAAGCGCATCATGGCATTTGTTGTGCGGATCCTCCCAAGCACAGAGGACTCGAGCGACGAATCGTCTTTCCCCTGCGCGAACGCGATTCCGCATATCACGGTGGGCACGGCGTCGCCGGACGTCAAGCCGAAGGAGAGCAATGATCTCCTACAGCGGTGGCACGAAGTCGGGTCTGGTGGGGAGACGGGGATTTTCGAGGCCGAAGTGCCTGGAGTGAAGACGGTTGAGGGGGCAGTGAAGGTGGTGATGATGCGCGGGAAGTATTGAAAGATGCATGGACGGAGTTTAGCCATTAGGCTTGGGTCGGTGATATTGACTTGACAGGATAAGTATAGGTATATGGGCACTGCATCTCTATCGATACACTGCTGTTGATGTTGCTTGGTTAAGACTTCTTTCGAGAGGTGTGTACTAGGATGATCCATAAGTCAAAAGAACATCATGCATAGTATTTGCACTGAGCTTCATGATTCAAAGTAATTACGAACTGTAGGAACAAAGAAGATAAACTTGGACCTAATCTATCCCGCCTGGCAATACTCCACTCCATACATGTACATTCATCATCAGAAGAGAGGATAGAACAAAGGAAAGGGTGAAAAAATCGATTGCAGAATGCCACAATGCAACGTATAGCCCACAAGAGGAAAATGTAACACCAAACGCTGTGCAGGTTTATGGCCATTAACCACTGATCCAAGCGGACACACGGGATGCACCAAAACGACCCATGTACTGAAGGCTGGTCGAGCCCATGGGAAAGTAGGAAACTAGGTACCAAACCAGGGCGCAGAGCTGGAGGATCGATGAGATGAGGGTAAGGAAGAGATCTTGGAGCTGTGGGAGATCATGTCAGCAGGATTTTCGAAGTTCAAGAAAAGAAATAACAAGGCTCAATAGCGGGCATCAGGAGAACGCGATATAAGGGAGCCATGGGATGTGTTTGGGACAGAAGACAAGGGCCCGTTGGGCGACGGAGCTATGGTGTTCCTGGGAGGCAGGGAAGTCTTTGCAATCTGCACTCAAGATGGAGAGGAACGCTCCGCCATTTCGTGACGCAGAATCCTGATATGGTTGCACGGGAGCCGGTGAGGACGGATAGAGGTGATATCGTCCGAATTGGTGACCCTTTCCCTAGTTCTGTCCCTGCCTATGAGCAACCAGCGTGACAGACAAGGTCACGTCGCACTGCAAGACAGATCGCGGGCAATGCAATATCCCCTCCCCACCCTCCTCTTCCCGAAACTGGTGTCCAACCACGGTACCAGTACTGTGGGACGAGACATAGACACGGGAGGGGTGGGTGAGTTTGGATGGCGCAGGCAAAGACGATCAAGATGATCGACGTTGCAAACTCAAAGCGCCCCCAAAGCCACAAAAAAAAAAAAAAAAAAACCAAGGGAAAATAAATGACCAAAAGGAAACTGAGAAAAGCACACATACCCCGATGGCAAAGTATAGTGTAAGTGCGATCGACCCGAAATAGGCCGCCGTAAAGGGTAGCCGTGATCCCGAGACCAAGTGCTTAGCGTAGGACCAGGGTCCCATGAGAACAGCCCATGATAACAAAAACAGGACTGAGCCAACAGACCACCTTCAAACAAAGGAAAAATAACATTAGCAATCTGAACGATGGGATATCTAGGACAAGATCTTGCGTGGGAAGACGATCTTGGCATGAGGCGTAGACTCCATGGTTCGAGAAATAACGAATAAGACGCGTCGGCTAGGACCACGCGAACTTGCACATGGCCCGAGCGACAGCCTGCTCATGACCAGGATCATGCTTGCGGGATTTGGAGGGCGGAGCATAGCAGAGCCCGAGACAAGATGAAGAATGAATGATATGGATGATAAGATATGGGGAGGGGGGAACGCGGAGGGAGGGGTAAAAAGAGGGCTAAAGAGGAGAGAAAGAGGGCAGGGTGGTGAAGCTAGTGCTGCATGCAGAGATGAAGCAGAGTAGTGCTCCTTGGGGGTAAGAACCACTTACAGGATGGCGAATTTACGGGGCTTGAGCGAAAGGGCTGGAAACAGGAAGAAGCAGATCAGGAAGCAGACGGCAGCGCCCAGATTACAGGCGCCGAAAATGAGCATTCGATCCCACCGACTTACTAGAAGGAGAACTTCGTTAGCGTCTGTCTAGGATCTTCTCCTGTCGGATCTCAACCAGATAGACAAGCATGATAGCATGAGACCCCTTCCCGGCGCAGGAACTACAGAGCGAGCACCACTGGACGGGATTATTGCGGGATGATGAGGTCATGGGATGAAGGAAGATATAGAGAAATATAGTTGAACAGTCATAGACAGAGCCGAAGAAGGAAAGGGAAAACAAAACAGTCAAAAGTCGAACTAGAACTTACAAGCAAAGAAGCCTTCTTCCTCCTCCCGTCGCGAGGCAGCAGGTAATGGGGCACCAGGTGCTTCATTATGAGTAGGCAACTGAACATAGCCTCCTTGACCGAAGGGATTCAACGATTGCAATCGCGACAAGAACGGGGTCTCCGAGGAAGCATTGGTACGGACGGGAAAATCCGGGTCTCTACGCGACCAGCCCAGGGAGTTGACGGAGTCTCGGAAGGAGTTATTTGCCATGGTGGATTCGATCAAGGAATGTCGGGTCGGCCTCTAGATCGCACACTGGGGTTCCAATTGAATGGGGAAGAGTCGAAGAAGCGGATAGCGCGGATTAGCGTGCACGGCCACTGATTTCTGCAGGCTCAGGCTTGATGGTCCCCAGAAACGAGGAGATTCAGAATGCCAGTTGAAAGCTCAAGGCTCAGTCCCGGCAAAACGTCTGCAGGCACTATGCACGATGGAGTGCAGATGATCTGCGGCGGATGATGATAGTGATAGGCGAGGATTGGCTGGAGGCGAGGACTCGATCGAACGAAGGAGCAGATGACGCCTGTACCGAAGAAGGATTTGATTTCTCAGGTAACTTGGTGACCGTCTGACTTTTGGCTCGTGCAAAGCCCGAGAGCTCGTCCTGAGCGTAGACGCTATGGAAGAAGGCTGAGGTCGAGTCGGACTAGCCTCGAGGCGGAAATCTCCAGCTACGATTGGCGGAATGACGAGCAGATGTTGAGAATGCGCAAGCCGATCGAAAACCTTCTTTGTGAACGATCCACCCGATCAGCCCCAGTGGATTCCTTTGCCGGTTGCCTTCTGGGATCGAATGCGTCGATATGGCGCCGGGAGACTGGGATCTTCAGCGCTACTGGGAGGGGACGCGTCCTGGACCAAGCGGGGGTTTCGTCAGGTCGGGGAGCTTCCGGAGGTCGGAGCTGGCGATGCGGCACCAGCGGGAGGGAACCAGGGCGTACAAAGTCCAGCGGGAAAGGGGGGGGGGGGTGAGAGCGGACGCGTCGGAGTTGCCAGGTGCCGGAGGGAGGGACGTTGAACCTTCCGAGCAGGAGGATCCGGACAAGGGAAGGGGAAGGCGATCGCAGCAGGTGCAAGCTGATTGGGTCCGGAAGCGCTGGGGCTATGACCAAAAGGTTTAAACTCGGAGAGGGGGGCCAGGTGTGGAGGAGGGCAAGGGGGGGGGGGATGGAAGAAGGTGTGGTGATGGTGTTTGGGAGAAGTGCGGATGACGAGATGGCGTGGAGCTACCGATGCGACCAGCTCGGATCGGCCTGCAATGGGCAGCTGTCAGATGACGCGCCAGTCGGACCGAGCCTGCATTTTCATAGTCGATTTTGATTATGTTTTTATTTTAGTTTTTATTTTTAAATTTTATTTTTAAATTTTATTTTTAAATTCTTTATTATTCCATTATTGCATCCTTCTATTTTCTTGATTATCGATCAGGATTAGCTTTGACAAATCCTTGTTTTGACTATACTCATTTGATCGGGGGCTCCGTTCAAGAGAAATTGTGACGGGGTTGGATTACTTTCTCGTCTCAAGAGAAGCACAGACCATTTTAGGGCCGGAGAAAAAAGACGAGGCTGGCAGATGCATTTATTGGACGCATATGTACAGGGTCTTGGTCGATACACATCTAGAGCAAGAGCGGATACATACATGTCGGTGCATAGAATGATAGGATGAATGAGACATGTTCCATGCCCCAACTCAAATACCGACATGACCTGGAATACGAATACCGTCTGAACTATCACTGGTTGACTCACTGCCGGGGTGAACGAGGCCGATGAGGGCGTCCACGACGGTCATAACGAGGCGCCTGTCGGGTGGGATAGGATCGTGGACTCTTTTCCTCCGGCTGTTGGCCTCGCAAGTTCCACGAGTTAAGGGGTGGACTCAAAAGCGCGGTGCGGGATTCCCTTTCCTAGTCATTCCGTTGCAACTGATCGTTACAGATTTTAGTATATTTAGTAACCATGACTGCTAGTTAGTGGAGACCGATGTGTATAACCCGTTGGTTTTACCTGCGATTTTTGGACAAAAAAGCTCCTATTAACATCCACGTTCAGACATCTAGAATGGGAGAAGAGGTTTGTAAATGTTCATCTTGGCGCGCTATTAACCCTCTGCTGCTCCCCTTCCCCCCCTCCATTTCATCTTTCTGCGAGTCATGTTGATCTTTTGGCTGGTGCGCACCCTGTGGCGATCGAGGGGACTGTGGTGGATCCCTTCTCCCACCCCCTCCCCCGCCTACTCCAGACATCGGGATTGGAGGATCACCCCAGACACTAAGACTCAAATAGACATACTATACAGATACGCCCCCGGGTGAACCGAACGACCCCCACCCCAATATCGTTGTAGGCTGCAGAACCCCATCTGGGACATATCGTTATTCATCCAAGCTTGATCGATAGGATTCATATTATTCATATTATTCATCAAAACTTGTCCCTCCCTTCGCGGCTCACCCTGTGTTTGGCTTGGCGTCCCCAGTGTGGGCTGGACTAAGGATCTGAGTCCAGAGCAATGTTGCATAACGTCCCTTCTCCAGCTGCCGCCACCCGCTACGTGCGACCATGTTGAATTGTCCGATAGCCGAAGAGGGCCTGCCTTCCGGGCTGCGGCGGGCCTTGGGTAACATTTGACCCCTCACTAGCCTCATTTTTCTTATTTTAACTTTCTTGCTTTTTTCTGTTCTGAGTTGCTTCGGACTACATCTGGCAGGAAGGGGGGAAATCATGCTATACTTATAACTCCCCCGGAGTATGTCCGACACGGATGCAAATCGAGGGGGGGGGGGGGGGGGCGGAGGATAATACGCAAATATGAAACGAGCCCACTGGAAATAGTGAATGCCTACGCTGCTGGTCTTGAACCGGGTCATCCGTGCGGCCTGGAAGCTGTCTGCACTCGACGTCATCTTCAGGGCCCTGTGCGCCGGACACGGTATGGTTATACTTTGATCCCAAAGAAGATGGTTTCACGGTGGAGATATGAAGGTGTGGGGATTGAAAGGACAAGTATATAATCCGGGCTCTAATGTTCCCCAACCCTCATGGCCAACTTTGTTCACTGTTCAAGTCGACCCTTGCGTCAACCGTGGATAGTCGGCGATACCCTCCGAACCTTGACGGGACGGGACGTGAAAGGAGATCCACGGCTGTGAGTGCCATTTTCCTCCCTTCGCATGACTTTCCCGCAGCGGAGATCTTCCGGTAGCGCATGCAAGCCAACCCGGGAGGGAGACGGACTACTTGAATCATGTTAGTGTCTAACGGGTTGGGGTCGAGAACAGATAGGGTCAATATCGCTTTATTCTATAGGAAATATACTCCCCTTCCCCCCTTTCTCCTCTCCTGCGCCCCTCCTATGCGTCCTATTTTATCATTTTCTTTTCTACGCTTTTTCTCCGGCATCTGGGTGGCGGAGGAGAGCTTAAGGACATTCCGATAAGAGTTAAAGAACGAAACCAGAGAATACCCGCAGCCCCCACCCCAACCCCTAAAGGATCCTTCGGGGTGTGGCTCAGCCTAGTAATCGGAAACTAGTCACTGTCTCCAACCGGTTTCTGCACTGTGCCGCATGAAAAAAGTCTTGCCAACACAGCAGCTGGATTGGCTACTCATATTAGACACATTCCAAGCCCCCCATCTTGCACGCCGCCACATTCCAGAGATCAGTCTCGTCACTTTCCCAAACAGGTCCTAGTGACAATGGATGAAGAGAATTATAGGAGATGCGCGAGTGAGTGTATGTGAGATGTGAAGAAGAATCTCTGGTAGGCCAAGTATCAAACAACCGTCAAAAATAATCCAGAATGAATATTAGACGGTCTCATATATAGCTATGGAAGTGTAGAGGCGGCCCTCCCAATCGGGGATCGTTCTATCGGCGACAGGGCGGGTTTATACGTCCACTCTGAATCCTCGTTGGAAGATGCTTCGATTACGGAGGCTGCAAGGACAGGATCACGGACCACCTCATAGAGGTCGGCCAGTTAGCCGGAGGGTTCGGTGCGATCCCTCGCTAGGAAGAAGGGCACGGTCCAAGGTCGATCACCGTGATCGCCACCACTCTGCACGACATCGCGAACAGACCCCGCTTGGACGACTCCCCAGGGGAGGACCGACAGCACATTGAGAAGGTTTTGATAGGGCTTGAAGGGCTTGAGGGCCTCAGCCTGAGGGCTTACGGGCTTACGTCCCGACGGCGTCTTGTCTGAATTCCGAGTCTCCCCGCCCTGCAGCATAATATTCTCCGGATGAGATGGACGAGATGGTCGATGGTGTCGCTGCAACTCCGACGAGAGTCAGTCAGATTCGGTTACTTTCTCTGTTTCTCTTCCTACTGTGCTCCCTTGCCCTTCCCTTCCCTTGAGCCTGTCGATCTCCACCGTCTTCGGTGGGGAGCCGTCGGGCCCGTTACTCCACTACTGCTTTTGTAGTTTAGTGCCTTCGGTACGGGTACATCTTCTGCATGCCTCTCGACGATCAGCTTTCCCTTCGTCCACATGGGCTTCATTGGAGGGCTTTGGTTTCCTCTCTACCATGGACCCTTAGCCCCCCCCCCCCCCCCCCTCTCTCCTTCTTCCTCCTCCTCCTCCTTGGGCGATGGTAAACCTTGGAACGCTCGGAGACATGCACGCCGCTCGATCGATTACATCTAGGGCTTGATTGCCGAGTCAAGCCAAGTGAATATGTGGCGGACACCACCATATACTTTTTTTCTGCTTTTTTTTTTCTTTTTGATTATTGGTTCCCTTTTGATCTCTCCTCATGAAGAAGAACAAAGAGGTCGCTGGTATGCTCTGGTATGCCTGTAACCCTCGGGAGCCATCTGATACATTCCTGTCGACCTATGCATCCACGCTCTCTGAGTCATGACCACGGCCCAGGTGACAAACAGACAGCAGAGGTACCATCTTGGGATAGGCGCCGTTTACTATATCGGGCTGTATCACCCTTCCCTCCTTCGTTCCCGTTGCTGCTTTTTATCTTGTTGTCACCTTGGTGAGTTTCTCCGAAGCCAAAAAAAAAAAAAAAAAAAAAAGGGAAGATAGCGGATGGGTTAGCTTGTTGACCGTTGTGGAAGAAGGGAGTGTGATACTGGCTAGTCCGAGTCAGCCAGAAGCTTGAAGAATACCGCGTGCCTATTATGATTATGATTATGATTATATGGATCCATAGGATCTGACACTGATCCTTATCGCTGGTGACGAAGTGTTTTTGACTTTTCCTTTCCTTTTTCGATAACCACGTTGCATATGATGACGATGACTTGTTCCCTCGTTCAGTGAGATTTATTGATTTATTTTATTCTAGCTTCTCCGTTCCCTAATACGTAGAGCTCTTAGTGACCCCCACTTGATGGCCGTCTTTTCTTCATACTCGATTCGAAGGGCACGCGTCCCTTAGAGTAGCAGCCCTTAATACATAGCTATTATTACTTCCATCTCTTTAGGGCTTGGTGCCTGGTGCTCGGCTGAGTTGCCACGCAACATCTTTTTTTTTCTGTTATTTCTTTGGTATTCGCGATATCCTCCTGCCTAGTCGAGACCCCTTCGCCGTCTTTATGCACCCCTCTTCTCGGCCATCTCCATACTGGAGCTCCCTCGACCCTTTTGTAGATGACGAGGATAGTTCTAAAAAGGAAGCAGGAAAGCCCGAGTTCAGTATTCAAATGCTAACCCTGAAAATAACAACCACAGATTCAGCAGGTGAAATCGAATAAATCAAATAGTAAAAAAGCCCGAAAGGAGAGAAAAATAATCATAATAAGAATAAAAATTAAAATAAAAAACCATCCAATACTAATGACAAAACTTCCCCCCCCCTCCGCTCCAACCCACCCACACCTTCTGATCCAAGTAGAAGTAAAACCGGAAAACAAGAAATTTAGTATGTCCGATGCCGAAGCCCGGCAAGCCTCAATGATTCCCACCGATCGACGGGGCTGCATGACCGATGTTGTAATATATCAAATGAGAGGTGCAGGAGGACGGGGGAGTTCTTAAAGTCTCCATCGTCCTCATTTTCCTGCAAGTGCTTTTCCCTCCTGCACCGACTGCTGTGTTGTCACTTCATCACTGGTTTCTCTCATCCCTCGCCCAACGGCCCCTCTTCAGCCGCGCCCCATGATTCGCACGCCTTGTCTAGTGGATCTTCTAGGCTGTCTTCCGTGAGATCATTCATCGATCTCTCTCGCCCTTACCCAGCTCTGTCCATTGCCCTCTCAGGTATGTTGGAGGCTTTGCCCTAGTGGCCTGGTGGTCCCTGTTATGCCCAGTTGCCCTACTCTCTCTTGCTCTCTCCTGCCCCCTTCCCCATTCCCTCCCCGGTTCCTGCATGGAGCCTTGCTGCCTACGTGAGGTACCCGCCACGTGCTGGGGCTCTGCGGTTGTTGACGTGGCGATGGGGGTGAATGCATTTGCATCGCGATCGCGATCGTGTTAATCTCCGATCCGGTTGGTGGATGGTTTGGTGGTTGTGAGTCGTGAGGCCTTTCTGGTCATTGGGGTTTCTCTTGGGAGGGGGAATTTTGGGGGAAGGAAAATGCTGTTGATACCCACTACCCACTACTCACAACACAAAACTACGAAGAACCTCGTGTCTAACATGTCATAGTTCACAGACCACGTCCAGCAGACTCTCTGCTCGGACCCTTGTCTTCTCTCCGAGTCCGAGTCCTGTTGGTGGACGGGAAACAAGGTGACCCCCGACTGGATTGGTAAGTTGCTGTTCTATACTTCCGGGAGTTTGGGGTCCTTTTTGGTTCCCTGCGCACCGTGCCCTCCTCCTATACCCTATCAGAAGCGAGCGAGCCAGCGGCAGAAAAAGCAGAGCAAAGCAGCAAAAAAGCAAAGAAGCGAGTGCGATTACGTGGGCGGCTTCGTATTGCATTGCAAAGCAAACGGAGGGGCCTGAAACACGGACATTTTGGAGCGAGGCGCAGGCGGACAGCCTGGCGGGCATCTCGGGGCCCAGGCGCACCTCTCCACACAACCAGCATCGTTCGGTCTCGAGCTGCATTCCTTCCAGACGTGAAGGAGAAGTGGCTAGACCCGGAGCATTGCGCTCGATCGCTCCAGATTGTTGTGTTGCATGTGTCTATCGGCGACGTTTGTCCGACCGAGTTTCATCCTAAGTATAGACGAGACAAGAGCGCTCTCGGCTATGCTTAGCATGCGACTTAGTATACATCGTCTTCTGGACACTCGACTGGACGGAACCTCTCATCGATCGCCACCGCTCACCGCCCGCACTCCACCGCTTCTTCTTTCCCCCCGCCTCTCCACTCTTTTTCACTCTGTAACTCGGAAACGGAGAGCGGAAGGACTTGGACTTGATCCTGGACTTGTATCTGCTTCTGCTTCTGCTGCGTCACAGCTCTTGCTCCCACTGCTGGTGCGGCTGCCTCTGCTGTGATTGCTGCTGGTACTCCGCCTTGCTCCTTTGGGTCAACCGCGCTTATCTGTTTCCGCCCTTCCCCCTCTCTTCTCTCTTTTGACTCAATCCTCCCCACTTGACCTCCCCCCCTTGGGCTGCATCTTCCACCCGTCTTTCAGGGTCTCGGATTGCTAACAATTGGAGAGTTGATCTTTGCTTCTATAGTGTGGCTCCTTTTCCTTCTTTGCTCTCAAGCGCGATCGCACTCGGCATAGTTGCCGATCCGCTCCTCTCTCCCCCTCCCCGGACAATTGTCCCCCGAATACCGTCCACTCAACTCCCATCGCGAATCGACCGGCTTTCTCCTCTTCACAGTCGACTAGCACACCCTTTTTACGACTATAGACCGCTTGTGACTCATACGCTCGTGCTTTCGAAGGTAATCATGCTCTTCCCCCCGCGTGCATTCCTCCCATCTGTGGCTTCGATCCCCATGTGGCCACATTAGTTGCCTTCTTTCACCCTGTCATCCTGTCGCGCGAAGGCCGGAAAGCCGCGCAACGCACCATCATTTACTGCTTTGGTTCTTCGGCGACAACCTCCTTCCCCGATCCCAGTAATAATATGCTAATGGAATGCTTGCCCAGAGCCGATCTCGCTTATCTCCGTCTTCCACATACCGGTCTGGAGATAATCCTGCATTGACGGCTGCCTGACTTTTGGCTGGTCAATACCACTAGAGAGGGTCAGTAAACTCGACGCGACGACATCTCTCCCATACCTGTTCGCCGATCCCGCGTTGTTTCCACCCTCACAGCTTTTCTCCACTTGAACCGTTGGTGTTGGCCTAAGAAATGGTAGAAGCAAGTCTTTTCATCAAGCACGAGTCTGACGATCGCAGCAATCCATTCATGATGTCTCATTCTGGTTACTCCATGGGTAACCACTTCGGGAACCCCAACGATGGGGTGGACCCCTCCGACTTGACGATGCAGCAGGGTGGCTTCATGCCGTACTCCTTCGGCTCGCAGCAGAACATGTCCTCGAGCTTCAACTTCGGCAACTCGGGGATCGACACCGACGAACTACTGGATCTGGAGATCAGCAGCCATAATAACGGTGTGCAGCGCGGCGATAATATGAATTATCTTCAGGATCAGTCCGGTGGCATCGCCATGAGCCACCAAAGCCAGATGTCCCATCTGTACTCGAATACCCCCGATGGCGCTCCGATGGCTAGTCCGTTTGTTCACAACAGTTTCAACTACGAGCAATTCCGCATGAACCAGCAAAACAGCCATCTGCAGAATGCCAGCTCTTTTGACCAGAATTATATGAACGCCAAGTCTCGCCCGGGCCTGCAAACCATGGACCGGACCTCGTCGGATGCTCGGAGCCCCATGACTCCGAAGACGCCTGCTCTAGGATCCTTGAATCTGGGTACTCCAGAGTCGGGCAGTTTTCCTGGACAGCCCATCCGGACAGGCGGACTGCAGCACCGTCACCAGAAGACCTTGTCGAATCAGTGGGATGGGACTCCTGGCAGCGCTCAGTCCTACGTAGACTCTCCGATCTCTTCCCCCAATCATCACTCACAACAGGTCGGGATTTCGGAGATCCTCAAATCCGGCAAACATGCCTCCCTGCCTGCTAAGGTCGATACGCATCTTCCTGGAAGTGCCCAGGATCTGGAAACCCAAGAAGCCAAGCGTCGCCGACGACGTGCTTCCCACAATCTCGTTGAGCGCCGCCGCCGTGACAATATTAATGAGCGCATTCAGGATCTCTCCCATCTGGTACCACAGCACCGACTGGAAGATGATAAAGTACGCAAGCAGCTCGTCAACAACACTGCTCTCTCGATGGCTGGCGCCGGCCCTAACGCCGCCACTTCTTTGCTCGCTGGCGGCAATGGGCGCCGAGCTACCCCGGGTAACATCACCATGGGTCTGCCAATCGAGGAGAAGGAGAAAGGCCCCAATAAGGGCGACATCCTGAATGGTGCTGTGAGCTGGATGCGCGATCTTATGTGGGCTCTGCATGTCAAGTATCAACAAGAAGCGGAGCTTGCTGAAATGATCAGCAGCCTAGGCGGTAATTGGCCTTTTGAGCCAACCGAAGAAGAGAAGCGCATGCGCAGCGAAATCCTCGAGGCCTTGGAGAAGAACGACCCTAGCTCTTTCTGCTACTCTCGGGGTCCCGGAAGTGGCCTTCGCGTACCGAAGCATACCAACCTGGCTGGTGACCCCGTCCAAGGCGGAAGTGATGGCCTGACACCGCCAAACTTGAGCCCGTCTTTCCACAGTAGTGCCAGCAGCGCCAATGGTACCGGGCAGCCCCAATATTGGAACAGCGCTGGGCATGCCGCGATGAGCTTCAAGGAAGAGGACGAGTACGGCATGGAGATGAATTAGGCTTTGGCTACATTATGAGTTGACTTGTTGCATACTCGGCGTCTAATGGGGGGACCTATTACGCGGCGTACCTGGAATGGGAGAGTGTGCCTGTCTGGCTTTCTTTGAAAGGGGGGATTGTCCTTCATTTACTTTGCATTGATCTCATCTTGATTTGCGTTTGATCGTTGTCGTGTCATGTTGTTCTGTTCGTTTTCTGCTTCTCTATGAATCAAGTTCTCTTCTCGACATTTCACCTGAAGTGTTGACGACCCTTGATTCCGATTCGCCCCTTTTTGATGATTGCTTTTATGGGTCTCTAGTCTTTTTTTTTATCTCGGATCTGATCTTGATTTTCTGCTTTTTATTCCTTATTCTTTTTATTCTCTCGATACCCTGTTTTCCTTTCTTCTGTTTTCGTCAACTACACATTGTTTTTCTACAGATGCAAATTTTGGTCCATGCTATGCAATCTGCCCTTTAATCTCAGATCTTGATTTTTCCTGTTTTGTCTTCTGTTGTGGTTTTTCTACTCTTGCCATCTCTCTTGAATCTCTTCATTCAAAGTCGGGGTATACCAGCGCATTTGATATCACCTCGATGTGTCTGGTGGCGTCTGCTATTGTTTTTCTACCTTAATCTTGCCCCCTTATTCCCTCATATTTGTGACGCACTCAATATGTCAGCTTTTTTGGTTGGTTCTCTATTTGGAAGTGCAGATAACAATCAATTGACATTACAATCTTCCTATGATCCTCAATTTTGATTAGCTGGACCCTTTCAAAGGGTATATATAGTGCAATCCAGGCCTGTTTTCCTTGATGACTATGGTCTTGTGTTCCATGTTTTATGCACTGTCATGGCATCTGTATCTCTCACTTCCCTTTTTGGCTTCCTCTTCCCTTTGTCTGTCATTTCGCCCCTCTTCAAAGGAGTTGGTGTAATGAACTGGCTCAAAATTCAGTCGACAAGACAATATTCGCTTGAAAACCGAACCTCCTCGGTACTAGACGACCTCGGCGAACCAATCTCAACTTGACCACTTTTCTTACTCCCCTCCTCCTTCTCCTTTCTCGACTTCAACCCGGAGATGATATCAACATCATACGGCTCCCGGATCTTCAGAATTGTTGACTCCGATGACTCCACATCGCCCAGCGTCAACCGGTCCAAGCACTCGATATCGAGATGCGCCAGAATCTCCTCTGGCGAGCACGTCGTCACAGAGCTACCGTGGCCCTTCGGCGCGCCCAGTACCGAGGCCAGCAAGAAGGCGGACCCGTACCGGCGACCCAGCTGCTGCAGCGCCAGAATGCATTGCACAAGCCTGCGGAAGCTGACTCGGCCAACGTTCGTATCGTGAGAAAACATGTCCTGGATATGGATGATGCCGGCGCGCAGGATCATGGCGACGCTGGTGGTGGGAAGGTAGTAGATCAAGTGCTTGTGGTAGAGGTCCTGCAGGATGGCGGTGACATCAACAGCGGCACGGAGGACCGGGCAACCACCCGGGCCGTCGGAGAGCGGCTGACGCGGGCTGTATTGCTCGGAGAGGAAGTCAAGCTGGCGGTGGAGGGTGCTGTAGATCTCGAGGGAGACCATTTTCAGCCAGGCGCAGTGCGAGTGGAAGATGAGGTCGGCATTGGTGGGTGGGAGGAAGGAGTTCGGAGAGAATGCGATATTGGAGGGTAGATCCTGGACCCAGTCATCAACTTCGAGTTTGGTGAGCCAGAGGCTTGCACGGCGGGGTTTGCCTGCAACGGGGGCGTGCAGGGGACGGCAGCCCCAGGAGAAAAGGTTGTCTTTGATGCAGCGGCAGAGCTTGATCTTTTCGACGAAGATAAGAGCGAGGCTTCGTTCGTAGGACCCATAACAGTGGGCGGCGTATTCCTCGTGCACGATGGCTAAGTCGTTGACTGTGAGGGTTGGAATTGGCAGCCAGACCTCGTCCTTGATGACTGGTGGCTGTTGCAAGCCGAGAGCGATCAACCGATCCCGGGTGAAAATGCTCCACCACAGGAGGTTGCGAAATTTCGGATGTGGAACATCTGGTTGGGCGTAGTCAAGATGAAGCCCAATTTTGCACGCCAGAGAGATGCAGACGGTGATCCAATGACGGCCATCCTTGTGTCTGTCGGGGTTTTCGTACCAATAAGTCATCAGGAGGAGAGCTTGGATGATGACCATCTTGTCGTCTTCAGCCTCAAAGTCATACAGAAGCTAAAATCATATCAGAGATATATCCTGATTGTTTTATGCGTTTTCTGGAAAATGATAAATACAAGGTATCTCTTACCCGAACCCGTTGAAACAGCGTCCCCAGTGCGTGTCGACGAGACAAATAGCCTGCTGCATAGAGATATTTCAAGTCGACGAAAATTGCGCCAGCAAACATGACAGCCTGGTAGAGCAGCAGACTGACCTGTTGCGTCTTCGGACGGCCATGTTTGAAAATTGGTGAGAAGAGGTCAAGGTCTAGAAAGGGGATGTGGGGATGGATATGGCGGATGTATGCCCGGAAGATCTCATGGGCAAATCCCAATTCAGGAAGATCCAATGCACCTTTCCTAATCAAGAAGTCTAGATCTTCTCTCTGTAGATTAGAGGGTTGATTCAGGTATGGCGGCAGTAAATGGTTGTAGGGAGGGAGGGTCCACGTCGGGCCCAGCAGCCGATGTACTTCGGCTAGTAGGTTGTCCATGGGGAAAGTGGAGAGAACCCCCGGCTTGCGGACCATGCCCCGTGGGGAACGCCGTGCCAGAACCGTCCGGTCTTTCATGGTGTCTCTTGTCTTGTGATAGTTGTCGGGGGCGAGTGTTGGGGAGCCTTGCAGATCCTAGATGTTGTCGGCTGTAGGCGAACGGCCCTCGGCGCTTTCGGCGTATTCGGCGTTGAGTGCGGGGTGGTACGAATCCATTCCTGTGTTAAGAGCGCTTTGATATTTATCTTTGGAATCTTGATGGTCTTTGTGGATATATTTGTAGCTACTGGTCAGCTCTATAGTTCCTCAAATCTTCAGTTGTCAATGTGATCTTTGGCTGTGGTGGAATTAACGTGGTCCATTAAACTGTACGCCGTAAAATAGGCGGCATTTTCCTCCGAATGTTCGGTTCCCGCAAAATTTCAAACATCAAATGGACGTTGAGAAACTGAGAAAAAAATACAATATATTTTATTTACTTTATTGGAAGCATCGACAGAAGGGATTGTCGGAAGGAAACAAGGGTGCGGAGCTAGTTGATATTTTCTTGTCGTAAATGCCACGGAAAGAGCCAAAGGCGCGAAGAGACAGAAGAAGTATTGATAAAAGAGATCAAAATTCCCCAACTGTGTAAATAAATTTCAGGTTGATTTATATGAAACAGCAACGTCATCACCAATGCCACAATTCCTGGAGATGTACGACTCAATCCCAAAAAGTCGAACGAAGCCTTGATGATTTTGAACAGGTCCAGATACTTGTTCATTTTCCAACAAAGGTTGACCTTCCATCTTACCAAGGATCTTGTGAGTTTATAATCGTGCTTTCTGGCATTTTGGGGATCTTCAGGACCTTCGAGCCTATTATCCCTACAGTTGCACTCAACCCTGATCAGAATGAAACCATGCGAGAATGCATGGGCACCGCTCGTGATATTGAAAATAATCTCTCGGACCGCTTATGGGAGACTGGTTATGAGCTAATTATCGCAACCCGATGGCCGTGTAGCGTAGAGATGCACATAACTAATGCATGTCAGCACAATCCACGAAGGGGCTAGCCTCCTTCGTAGTGGTAGAGTAAATGCGGGAGCAATGCGGACTCGGCCAGCACCGAACTCCTTGAGTGCTGTAAAATCTTTGGTACTCAATTCAGCTTCTATGATGGTGTACAGGCTGCATAATCTCTTTGTCTTAACCCCGAGATCAGTTGGTGGCCTAAATTAAATTCGTTTTTACACTAATAACTCACCATTCCAGAAATTGACCGATAGATCTAAGCCACAGAGCATTCACTTTGTGAAATACGTTCGTCCATGTCCAAGATGAGTCAAAGCCCTCAAAAATTTGAAGAATTACAGTGAGTCACTGTAAACTAATATACGATAATGATTCAATTGGTTGAGGCCGGGAATCCTTGGGGCTGAAAGCCCGGGGGCGCTGTACGCCCGAGGCCGAGATAACTAACTAGTAGGGGCCAAGATTCGTCACAAGATTTGTCATGCCGGCGAGCCCTGGAACCATAATGAAACAATCTCGGCATTGGCAACCCAGACGAGGCGAAAGAGTTAAACAAACATATATAACCGATATCCTTCAGTGTAGCTTTACTGGTCCATTCAGAACCAAAATCATATACTGTCGAAACCTTCATTCTGGATAAGTCTCACAATGTCAAACCTAATTGTGGTTGTCGGCCTCACTGGCAAACAGGTAAGGTAGCTTGTCAAATCTATATCAGACATCGCTGAGACTAGTTCAGGGTGGATCTGTGGCAAATGTTTTCCTCAATGAAAACGGTTGGAGAGTCCGAGGGATTACCAGGGATGCGTCCAAGGCAACTGATTGGCAGGCCAAAGGAGTCGAGGTTGTCGAAGCTAACCTTGATGACAAGGCATCCCTGGTGAAAGCATTTGAAGGCGCATATGCCATCTTTGGGACGACTGATTTCTGGGGGCCAGTGTTCAATCCTGCCACAAGGCTCAAGCTTGCAGAAGGTCAGCAGATCAACGAGTATGCTTTCCACTACGAGCAGCAACAGGCTATAAATATCGCAGAAGCGGCCGCTGAAACGGCCGGACTCCAGAGGTTTATCTCTAGCGCACTCTGCAATGCAAAACACTGGACACAAGGAAGGCTGCCGCATGTCTACCACTTTGATAGCAAGGCTTTGGCTGTAGAGCATATCAAAGCAAACCTGCCTGATTTGGCAGCCAAAATGTCTGTGGTTCAGATAGGCTCATACATGACAAATTGGGGAACTGGTATCATTCCTAGGAAGGTAAGCGGACTCTTGTGACTACAATAGGTCTTATTTGGTATTGACTACTGTGTAATATAGCAACCGGATGGCACATGGCGCCTGGCCATGGTTGGCAAGGGGGACACGCCTATTCCTCAGCTGCTGGCCGGTCAGGATACAGGATTCTTGGTCCGCGCGCTTCTGCAAGTTGCTCCAGGAAAGAATCTGTTAGGCACTTGTAAGATGCTCACCTGGAAAGAATATTTGAAAGTCTGGTGCGAGACCCAGCAAGTGCCGTACGGGGGATATGATGAGCTCTCCATTGAGCAGTTCGTCAAGTTCATGCCTGTTGAGCCAGTCATCGCCCTCGAATTTGCAGAGATGTTTGCTCTTGCGGATAATCCCGGCTACGATGGAGGGGATCCTTCCATTGTTCTACCAGAAGATGTAAGTCTTGCATTCTTTGAACTTTACGGGCCTTTAGGCTTTTACTGATTGCTACACAGCTGGGAGTTCCATGTCCGACGACATCCTGGGAAACCTGGTGCAGGCAGACCGATTTCTCACATATTGTGAAGCAAAAATAGGCTCATAGATGAAAGTTCTCCCTTCTTGAGGCAGTGATTGACGCAATTGAGTTTGAGATTTATTATTAAGATGTGTTTATTTACCAGACAAGCGAATGCTCCATCGAAATCTCGTAAAAAGCCTTGACAAGATCATCTTGACTAAGTTCATTACAGTATCAAGCATTAAAATCACGTAGTCCATACACGGTCTAGCAATGCCTCGAAGACTCAGTACAGTGACAATGTTCATGATCCAGGGTTTCCACTATCCAAAAAGCCCACTTCGACTAACCATACAAAACAAAAAGATAGAAAAAAAAAAAGCAATGCTCCAATCACCACGATAAATGCTCCGATAGGCTCATTTTCTTTCATGGATATAGTCCCTTTTTACTAGCAATTATAAAGCTAGGTTGAACTTGTTCCAGAACTCCGGCCCGCTACCAAGTCGAATATATTAGATCCAGGGTAGTTATACAATGACAATAGCCTGAGACTGTCAATCAAGATGAGTACCACATCTGTCCACCAATTGGGCTAAGTATGGCACTCTGACCCTTGATCTTATCTCTTACAGTGCCCGTGAGATTTTCGGAGCGGAGATCCTACGCGATCTCTCGGCATTTTTGTACAAATTGGTTGGATTCAATAACACTATTATCTGGCCATAATTCTCGACTACTATGTTGGAGATGAGTTTAACCTCCAAAGGCCCTGTACATCTGCTCAATGTCTTCACCCATTTGGAATTCTAAGTTTTCGATCTGGGCACGGTAAAAGTCTTCATCGCCTCCTTCGGCTGCCACCATCGCTGATGGGACATCTTCAAGGTACTCCTGCTTTGACATGGCGACTATCCCGCTCAGTTAGTAAAGTTTTAGCAGAATGAGAGAATGAGAATGATCAAATCTTACCATGGGCACTGACTGCAGCACGCTTGGCGCTCCACATAGCATGGTAGGCATTTGTGCTGCCATCATTGTTGGCATCACCAACAACATACAGCCCGCCGATACTAGATTCCATATTGCTTTTCACTTTCACTGATTTACCATCCATTTCAAGTCGCAGCTGCTTATGCAGACTGGATGTCTGAGCGGTACCGACATGGATAATGATTCCATTTGTGACCAAAGGGTTAGGAGCACCACCATTCAGGTGGACTCGGTATTCGTCATCTTTAGGCTCCATGTTGGTCGAAGTACGCTCCACCTTTATGATGTCATTCTCACGGATAGGGATTTTGTAGGTATTCTTAATGGTTTTTTCCCACCCAGGCCATCGTGCTTCCGCAGCATCTTTGTCTTCTTTGGTGAGCACGCCTCCGGTCACGATAGTAATGTCGGTTGTCAGCTTTCTCATATTGAGAGCAGACCCAATAGCACTGGCAAGATTGCCATAAACAACCATTTTTCGGTTCTTGTAGTCGTGGCCATCGCACCAGGGGCACCAAAACATGCCTCTGCCAAAAGCCTCTGCGAAGCCTGGCTTATCTGGTAGAACATCCTTGATGCCAGTGGCGAGGATAACCCGTTTAGCGGTAACCTTTCCACCTTTGTCGTCATAGACACGAAATCCCTTCTCCAGTGGAATGATCCCTGTGACTTTTGTTTTGCGCGTAGCCCAGAAGGAGTAGTCTGGGTACAATTCATCGATCTGCTTCCGAACAGCTGTTCTGAACTTTAGGGGTACCTGGCCTATGGAATGTATGAGTCTTGAACGTATATTCACATCAGAGGAGTAGTCTCACCATCTTGGCCAAGAACATCATGCATATACCGAGTCTGCTCATTCCGATATTCTTGTGAATCGTACAAGAGGGATGTGCGAGCTATCCGAGAAAGAGACATTGACGCCGCCAGCCCAGCAGGGCCGCCACCGACGATGACAACATCATAGTCCCATTTTGTGGGATTCCACTCATCTAGGGAGGTGTAGTCTGTGATGTTAAACTCTGCTTCTTCGAAAGAGGCATTCTCACTGAGCGTCGAGACTTCATCTGCGGGTCCTTCCCCAAGAGGTTGTTGGGGAAGAGTCAACGCAGAAGAAAGCGAGGCTGAGAGAAGGCACAGACCCCAAAAAAAGAGCCAATTCGTACCATATTGCAAATGGTACTGGAGACCGACTAGACAATTTGTGTGCTGCAGCTCGATGAGTGAAATTTGACCGAGCGAAACACTTATTTATAATGCAACTCGCAAGTAGATCACATCATGAAAGTTCTGATTCGGCGGCTCCACGCAAATATCTTCCGGGGCCCCTTGTTACACAACCGAGAGTTTGATGTATCATTAGGTCTTCCCTAGCGTTAAGGTAAAACCCACATCATTCATAAGTTGCCGTCATCGCTGCCGAGCTGAACTGGATGTGTGGGCTTGACTGTTGTGATTGGCCGACTGAAGGAACTATGTAGATCTGTGGAGCTCTGCCGATGTATCGGTGAGGATTAGTTCGTCCGCTTCAGCCAGCCCCTCTTCTGTGACTGAATCGTAGAAACTATGTATTTTGCCAGTCCCAATTTGACCTTTCCGAGATCTTTTTAGGCTTTGAAACTCAAGACAAGGCGCCAGATGATTAAATCGATTGCCAAATCCAAACATCTGCGACTAGACGTAGATCTACAACACAGAAGAGCTGTGCAGCGAGACCCGCAGATCCTCAGAACATGCAAAAAAAGCAACTATTACCGAACCCTATAGGCACCAATAGTATTTGCTGAGCATAAGCCACAGTTTTCAGCTAAGCGGATCGCATGCAGGTTCTCCACAGGTTCGTCGGTCTTTGCCACCTCGAGCCTGACCTAGAACTGCTGAATCTCTTCGCAATCAAATTGACAAGTCGAGACGTAGGTAGCAAGGCGACTAATAAACAAAAAATCATATTTCGATTTGTTAACTTCGCGTGGACGATGTCATCGATAATGACAATATTCTAAAGAAACTCAGATACCCCTGAGCTGAAACTTCCACACAGCCTCAAGGAAAGGATAGCGTAGCATAAAATTTTCATTTCATTTCATCGGGGTCATATACATTGCGAATAACATCACAAATGCAAACAAAAAAAAAATCTTTATCATATAGCTCATATCGTCATATATCATGGACTCCAAATGTGGACATCACCAGAGAGCCACCATGCACAAAGCAACCCAATCCCAAGCAGGCCATCGACCCTGATCAATTCAGCCTCATTGCTCGTAGGCTGCTCTTTCGCAACCGTCGAGGTCGCGGCTGTCGCAGTACAGCTAGAACCACACGCAAATCCTGAGGGACAACACCCGCCACCAGCCGTATCGGAACATTTAAACCATCCAGACGCACATTTCCCCGTACGATTCGATGTGCCCGTACTCACGGGTACCACGATCGTTCTACCGTCCGAGGTGAACGTAGTCGAGGACGTCACCGGGCACGAGGTCGTGTCACAGTTTCGACCTGTCTGGCAGCATCCGCCGTTGTAGACTGCAGAGCAGGCGTAGAAGCCAGTTGGACAGACGTATACGCGGCTTGTTGTCGTATGGGTCGAAGTGGTAAGGGTTGTGCCACGGTCTGCCGGTGTGAGGCTCTCTCCGCTTGTGGTGTGTGTGCTTGTATCTGAAGAAGAGATCTTAGTGGAGGAGTGAGACGACGTCGATTGAGTGGTCTGTTGGGAAGTTGAATGCGTGATTGTTGAGATCGTCACCGTCGAGTCGATGGTCACGGTAACTACGGAAATATAGGCACCTGCAGAATGGAGGTAGATTAGTGGCGTATAGCGGACAAGAGAAAGATATCCCTAGGATTCATAAATCAATTTCACTTACAACCACCCTCGACACAATCATATCCAGGGATACAGCATCCACCACCCAACGCCTGAGAGCAAGCTGTATATTCACTCTGGCAAGACCCAATGGTGCCCGAACAGGTCTTCCCCTTGGGACAACATCCAACAGAGCCCAAGCCCGTGTCTTCAACAAGCTCGCAGGTATCGCCGGTGTTACAGCACCGATCAGATCTGTGGATTGACGTACAAGCCGTCATCCCAGTCGGGCACTTGAAATCTCGAGACTGCAGTAGATCGCTCCTGTCACCGATTTTAGGCTCATGTGATGGTCGAAAAGAATAGGATCTTGCAAGGAAAAAGTCCGGCGAGAACTCAGACTGCACTTCTTCGACAGTGGTGTTCTCACCAGCCAGCCCTCTTTCTGGCAGACTTGTCTGCGCTTCACCTCCAAATTGCCAGTACTCAAGAAAGAACTTCTCCCCTTCGTCGTCGCTCATCTTTCGCACGCCCTGGACCGATCTGTCCGCCATCCATGAGGCATTCTGCTCATTGCGACGAAAGACGGAGTCATTGAGAGATGAGAGGTCGCCAGTGGCTTCGATTCGCGTTATAAATCCCCAGGCAAGCCAAAAGAGGCCAAGACAAGGTAAGCGCGGCATTAGAGCAGGAGAGACTACTCTCAACGAGAGGCACTTTAAAATACCAACGACGGCTGCCCTGAAAACATAATCAGCGCAGAACGAGTTGATGTCATACGTCTGAGGTTGGTTTGGTAGAGAAGAGGGTCGTACAGAGGGACACAGAGCTTATGTATTGGTTGGCGGTTGGGTTGGAGATGAGGCTGATACGAGCTCCAAAAAAGAGATAAGCACTTTGATTTGCGCGAGAGAATCAATTTAATGTCCAAACAGAAACACGGAAAGCAACAATAGTTGGATTGAGCAGGGATTCTGAATAGAAGAAACGCGCGACCATGCGAGGGAGATACGGCGGGAGTGCATGCGATGGTAAATGCGAAGGCTGGGTCCCCGACCCCCTGAAACAAACTGCCATTACGGCTTCCAGCATGGAATTTATGTGCAGGACAGAGATCTAGTCGGTCTATTTGGGCCTAGAGATGGCCTAAAATCTTCGAGAATGCTTACAATGAGAGAGGAATGATCGAATCAAACACTAATATCACAATCCGCTACTTTGCAGTCTCCAATCCTAACTACCTCGCGGACCAACTCCATGCTGCAGGGGAAAAAAAAAGCAAAGATAAGTTCGAAACAAGCCATCGAAGGGATGTGGCAGGGTATCGTCAATATGTGACATGAAGGAATGCACGTTGTAAAAGACACTTGGTATAAGAAATACGCCACTGGTATAGACGAGGAAATGCGAAGGGAAAGAGAAAAGGGAATGGCGTATTAAAAGACAAGATCTATCGCCAAAACGAGAATAACACGCAGGCAAGTAAAAACCAGTCAAAAATATTCATCACAGAATCCTAGATTCAGGAAGTTGACGTCAGTCATAGCCGAGCAGAAATCAGCTATGCTTCGCTGGAAGGCTCGGTCGAAGCAGATTCGTCGGGATTGTCGGGATTGTTGGTATCCCTCTTCGCGGGCTCCTGGGACAACGAAGATTCGTCCTTGGGGGAATTGGGGCCATTGTCATCCGAGTCCTTAGAATCTGGCGAGGCATCAACTCCAGCGGCGTCGCCGTCCCCATCGCCATCAGTCTTTTGGTCGGAGGCGGCCAAGGCCGCTTCTGCCTCGGCCTTAGCCATCTCAGCATTACGAACTTGCTGTCGGTCCCAGACTTCTTTGCGAATGCGATCGTCCTTGGCATTACGCAGTCGCTCTGCCTCCTCAACCCCGCCACTCTTCTTTAGCTTGCCTTCTTGGACGAAATTGCCGAGCTCCTTCTGGAAGAGCCCGATACGGCGAGTCTCAAGCTCCTTTTTGCGGGCCTTTTCGGCCCGTTCGATAGCTTCAAGACGGCTCTCATGGTTTGGCTGCAGTGCGCGAACCTCGCCAAGCACGTCGTCCTTGGCCTTCATGGGGTCAACGGTTGGATCGATGCCCAAGGTACGGGAGGTAGCGCGTAGAGAAACGCCGCCATTGGCAGCCTTCTCCATGGCCTGTTCCTTGGTCGCTTGTTCAACAAGAGCGAAAGTCTGCGCAGCTTTCTCGAGATCATCTTGGAGATCGGCCGCGAGGTCCTCTTGCATGGTAAGTTGGTCTCGTTCCTCACAGACAAGCTGCAACTCCTTCTCCCAGATCTTGGTCCAGATGGGCTTCTCGCGACCCAGGAAATCCTGCATCTTTTTGATCTCCTTCATCGCAGTGCTGATATCCCGATTGACGCCTTCCAATTGTCGTGGCAGAGGACGAACGCCGCGCGTGACCACGTCCTTGCGAAGATCTTCAACCAGGTCCTGAAGATCGTCAACGCGTGCAACGAGTCGTTCCGACTCGTCTGCGAGCTCCTTTTTGCCGGTGTTCACACGTGCACGGCCCGCGTCGCCTTCGAATGTCGGAACGGCGACATTTTCCGCGGCAGCCGTGACCTTCCCGGCCTTGGCCCGGACGGCACTCATGGAGCTCGCAATGTCCGAAGAGAAGTTGGAGTAAGTCTGGCGTAGGACAGCAAGGTCACGACGTAGGCTCTGCAGTTCGGCAATCTGGCTCCCGCTTCCAGCAATCGGGGTCTTCACAGGACCAGTGGTGCCTGAAGCCGTGGTTGGAGCTGGCGGGGGAGCAGCAGCCAAGCGAGCCATCTCTTTCGCTGCTTCGAGCTGTCGATCAGAGACTCGTTGAATGGCTGTGCCCTGGCCCACAAGAGCATCCTTCACTCCTTCTACCAACTGGCGGACACCTCCAAAGCTCTCGTCAAAGTGCTTCTTGACTTCATCTAAAGTGTCAACATTCAGCACCAGGACGGATCGGTCTTTCACGTCATTCAAATCCTCGAGCTCATGTCGAATTCCGGAGATAGGGTCCTGTATATAGATCTCCGGAAGATCTGCGCCATTGTTGTGCGTGTTCCAGGCAAATTTCTCAATGAACGCCAATTGAAGTCGCCCTATCGTCAGGTCTGCAATTCCCTCAGGTAGTACATATTTCTTGATTTTACTTTTGTATTGCAAGAAGAGAGTCAATTCTTTTCCTGGAGACGGCTGGTCAATAGGAAATTGGGGAATCGAAGGTGGAGTCGCAATAGCAGCCGACATGAAGCGATCATTCCTCGGGGTTTCAGGGGCTGTCTGGGAGACACTGGCGGTAGTTTTCTCGGGGTCAAAGGCATCATCAAGGGAAGGGCCTTTGGGGGGTTGTGGAAAGGTTGGAGTTGTTGCACTAGCTCTTGGTTCTTCGGGAAGATCCTTCTCTATGGGAGGAGGGGGAGGCTGATCCTTCAGAGGTGACGGTTGGGCACTCTCTTCTTTCTGCACTCCAGACTCCGTCTCGGATGCCTGTTTGCTTTGCTCCTCCTCGACTGCCTGGGGAATGTTTGCAGCTGCGTCCTGAGCTTGACCGCCTTTGGCGGTCTCCTGGAGTCGGTTTGAGGACCGCTGTCTTGTATGGGTGTATGAGCCTCGCAGACGAACCGCGTTGAGCGATTCGCGAACATCTCGCCCCCGATTGGGGATGGGAGAGTTTTGGGAAGGCAGAACCGGCACACCGTTAGTGGACGTGCCGAGGTGTTTTTGGATCTGGTATGCGGAGAAACGACGAGAAGCACGTCGCTCCAACTCACCGCTCCGTTGTAGAGCGCCCAGTGCATCGTCTTGCTTCGGTGGAGGTGGCGGGGCGGGGAAGGCTGGGGGTGTCCCCGACGCCGACACAGGGGCCCGAGGAGTTGAGTCTGTATCCTCAAGCGACGGCTGGGTCAGTACTTGTTGGGCTTCTCGCCGTGATGCATCTCGCTCGGAGTAGCTTGGGCCGCGTCCATCGCCGGCCGATCCAGGTGAGGGGCGCTGTGCGGTCGAGGGTTCCTCCAGCGAGCCATTGCTGTTATACCGTCGGGCCGACCGCTTAGGAGATGTGACTGTGTTCTGGGGCATGGTCGATGCTGCCGCTTCATCGTACAGCTGTCCAATGGTGGACTGGCCACTCGAGAGGCTTCCGGCGCTGGCCTGTCGACCCGGGAGCCCGAGGCGCGCATCCTCCCGTTGTTGCCGCGAACGTAACCGCGCTTGCTTTTTCTTGAGGCCATGGAGTAGATTGATGATAATATCACGGATTTGGGGGAGATATCGGTCGAGGCTTTGCGAGGAGGCATCTTGGCTCAGCGTATCCTCCAGGATTGTGCGTAGAACATCTGGGACGGGACCGAGGTCTGAGGTTTCGACACCGATTGCATTAAAGGCTCGACAGGCCAGGTTGAATTCATAGCCCAGTCGTACGTAGACATCGGACACATCGGTTTCCGAGGCTTGTTTCCGAGACCACTGGGTCAGGGTTTCGAGGAGTTGCTTGGTTGCGACCAAAAGGTGTGTCACGCTTTTTTCGATTTGAGAAATCTGCTTATCAGGCTAAAGAGCGACGGACATCAATAAACGGCATGCGAGCGAGTGAGAGACGAGGGCGAGCCAGGTCCGATTGAAGCTCGGGGCTGATAACGACTCACCACACTTTTGGCGGACTGCGACCGCCCTGACGCGGAGGAGCTGCGACCGGATGTTGAGGCCATGAAGGAGTCTGCCGCGATTCAGAGGAGGAAGTGGAGGAGAGAAAGGAGAGCAAGCCGGGCAAAGGGGTGAGGCCTCACGGCGAGTGCATACGGCGTAGATGCGGTTAAGCGAAGATGGAGTTTGGGAGGGTTGCCAAATTGCCAAGCAAACAGATGACGCCCAGCCACCCTGTCCACCCTCCCGCCAACCACCCAACGTCCACGATCTGCGGTATCGATCGCCCGGCAGAACGGGCGATACGTGTCTCATACGAGGTTTCTATTCCTCCGATCCAGGTGAAATCGACAGCCACCCTCAGTATGAGGTGTATGAATCCACGCTGGTCCACGTATTCTCATGACCATTATGACCGTATCGTCACTGGGTCATAAAGCTTCAGGCCGACTATGCTATTGTTCACTTGAATTTACCAGACAAACTTAAACTTAGCGGGCTTTCTGAACCGTCGACTTCTCGTAGAAAGGGTGTACTCGGCGCGTTGGGTGAAGGGAGCATCTATGACGAACTAAGTAGGTTCAACTGTCCTGGTTGGGATAGTTGGGATGGTTCTCAGATTCTCAGTGGTATAGACCGGAGTATTCGTATTCATGCAGCCTGTGCAGGAATGGACTGCGGAGCCTGACATGTGCCTCCCGAGTCGAGGGCACGGACGGGCCGCTTCGACGCTATTTGGTCTGTACCACGCCTCAGCTCGCCCATGGGGTTCTATACCGAGATCTCTCCACCCTGCTCGACCCGGAGGCCCGATACTTTTCGGAAAATTCTATATTCTCGTCCTCGGCTGCTCCCGCCCTCACTGCGGCTCCACTTTGCGGTTTTTGGGTATTTATCCCTTATTGAGTCGTGCCAAGAACCTGCGAACTGTCGCTATGAAGCATTAAGAATATTTTGTGTTCAAGGATGACGCATAAAGCATGAACCAAGAACCATGAAGTAGATATACAGTAGATATACCTCTACTTCATTCTAACTGACAAGACAGGAAACGGATTCGGATTCGTCCCGTCCATTGGATCTGCCCTTACCATCCCCCGTCTTGTATTCTCCGTCACTATCTCATCTCAACACATCTTCGGCCCGGATCGACCAAAGCTTCGCCCTACAATTAGCGCCGTTGGGCGTCACCGGCTCGGAGAGGCCCCCAGGAGGGCCATTCTGCTTGGCTCCGCCCCTCTTAGTGTCCGGGACCCCCAGGCTAAAGAACGCTAGGGGGGCACTTTCGGCCCGTGATTGCTATGGTTGGATTCAAGTCGGGGTGCCTCGAGCTTCCATTAATAGAAGCATCAGTTCTCCCCAATGCTCTGGAGTTCTGTATCGGTATTGGGTGACTATGGGTATCTTGCTAGCGTTTCCAGCAGCCTATGTTGTTTGATTTGACCTTTTTTTAAAAAAACCTTTGTTCTCTAGACGAGCTATATTTTTCTCAAACTTTGGGCTATTTTTTTTTGAACAAAGTCTCCGGGCTTTAGTTTAAATTATTTTCTCTATCGGGAAAGAGTCGCTCCAATGGCCCACGAAGGAAAGAAAGGAGAAGAAAAAAAAAGGAAAAGAAGAAGAAAAAAAGAAAGATGCATGGCGCCAATCATCCAATTCCTCTCTTGGCTCGTTTCAATGCATGCAAAACTCAATGGACATCGCTGAAATCCGCTTCATTGGCCTACATAATTTCTTTTCCCTTTTTCTTGAAACTAGTGTCTGATGCCTCTCCTCCGATCGCCCCGGCGATAAATAAATGCGACCGACATTGAGTATAGACATCGACCCCATTGTGTGTTCGGATAATAAAGCCCCCCACCCGATCCCCCGTCGTGCAAGCATTAGCGGGGTGGGAAGCAATAGTTAATCATTTCAAGTTACATCAGTCATAATAAGCCACGCACATTGTCGAGACAATCGATCATGGATCAGATTGGGTTCCGCAAACCATTGGAAAACAGAAGGACTGATCCTCCTATGTACAGTGTAATATGTAATGTATCTATAGGGAGAGGGGGTCACACCCAATAAATAACACTAGATCTCCCCCCTTGTGAAGCCAAATGCCAAATCCCGTCCCAAATAAAATAGAGAACTGGAGAAAAACAAAAACTGGAGAAAAGATTCGAACATCTTCAATCCCTTATCCTGCCACAAATGCCCATATTAGCTGGGTACTATTTGCAGGGGACCTCTGCGTGGTCCTGATTCCATATAGATCGATAGATCGGCGCGAGTCGAGACCCTGTCACTCTGTCGTCTCGTCCCAGGGTCGCACGGTACCGTACAATTACCACTCTTCATTTCCAACCCCCCCGTGACTTCCACCTTTCCCCAAAACACCTCCACTTCAACCACCTCCCAGCTCTTCTCCATCCCCCTCCTCCCTCCTGCCCCTTCCAAACCCGTCGTGGATCGTGTTCTTGTGGGCCCTTTCCCCCCCCCCTCACCCCTTCCTTATCCTGTTTGTGCAGGCGGTGTGTGTTGTGGTTGTGCCTCATCCTCGCGGCTTTCCGCCGTGCTAAGTTCCACGACGCAAGCCTGCCCTGACTGACGCACACTCGGGTCAATCAATGGCTTCCACTTTGAATTCCGTCCCGGCTGCGAACAGCTCGTCTGGCAATGCGGCCAACAATTCCGCACCGAACTCGAGCAAACCCTCGTTGAGATCCAGCGGCAGCACCAAGGGGGACGGTCGCCGACAGTCTGGTAGCCCAGTCGATGGTGCTCAACGGTATGTGTACCCTCTCTACCTTCCTCCTCGTCCACCCCCTCACCCCTACGACACGTCCCTCATGCCTTCTACTCCATCCTCCCTTCGCATGCCCTCCCAGCCTCGAGAGTGATTGCCACGAACCAGTCCTGGACCCTCCAAGCCTCACTGCGTCTCGCTGGCACCGGGGTACTTGAGCGAGGGGAGAAGTGCACGTGCCCCCGACCTGGGCGAGCTTGAGCGCAGGCGAACTTGGAATTGTGTGCCAATGACGACCAATTGAATCCCTCGGATTTGAGGGCGGCAGTGTCTCTTCCTGTCCTTGCTCCATGATTGTGTGTTGGTAGCACTTCACTAACCCAGACATGGTGATACCACAGACGTACAAACTCCCACAAGGCTTGGACCCAAGGGACCAACCCCATCACGCAACGCGCTGCATACTCTTCCTCGAACGGCAATATGGCTATGCGACAATCTGGCTCTCCCCGACCGGGTCAGAAGGAGTCCAACACAGCTGACTGCCATGCTCACGACCGTCTTGTGTTCTTATTTGCAAGCTTCATTGTAAGACAGCCCAATCACTCACTAGCACCCAAACGAACACCCGCTGGATGGTGACTAACCGGGCCATAACTTCGTTCCAGGGTCTCCAAACGATCATTACGACCAAGGGCGGAGAGAAGTTTACTGGCATCTTTTCTTCCTCGAGTCTAGAGCCGAGCGATTCATCATTTCTCCTCAAGATGGTGCAGCGCACCTCTCAAGAGACCCAGGCGAAACCAAATGGTGTGAGCGATGTATCGAGTCCATACATTGGTGCGGGTCCGGAACACAGCATGGCCTTTGACATTAAGGACATTGCGAATATTGCGGTGCCAAATGTGTCTCCGGCGGAGGTGTCGGTTAAGGAGCCAAATGGTAAGACATGCTTCTAGGTTGAGTTATCGCACGGATTCCGGTTAACATGCTTTGACAGGTGCTTCGGCTGGCTTCAGGACGGATGCTGACATTTCTGGCAATCTGGCAATGCGGGAGCGCACCTTGCAGCGCTGGGAGCCTGCCGAGCACGAGGTTGATATGTCCCTGGAAAGTGCCGCTGGCGATTCGACGAGCTGGGATCAATTTGAGGCGAATGAGCGTCTGTTTGGCGCAAAGACCAATTATGATGAGAACATTTATACTACGCGCATTGACCGTTCGGATCCTACCTACCGCCAAAAGCAAGCGGAAGCCGCGCGTATCGCTCGCGAGATTGAGGGCACAGATGTTGACAACCCCCATATGCGTGAGGAGCGGGGACTGGTGGCGCCCGACACTGGTGACCAGGATGAGGAAGATAAGTATAGTGGTGTCCGCCGCGAGAACAAGGCATTCCCCCCTCTGGTTTCCGGTCAGCCCAACAAATACACGCCCCCGGCTCGTCGCCAAGCTGGAGCCCAGCCTGTTTCCGCTGTGAAAACACCAGCGGCCAGTCCGGTGCCTCCCCAGGTACCGACTAAAGAGGCTACCCCAGCAGAGAAGCAGCAAACTGTAGCATCGACCAAGGCTGTTGTCGAGGCTGATCAGAAAACCGAGTCGAAGACTGACTCAACTAAGGCAGCCGCGGGCACCTCGGCTGCGACCCCCCAGCGATCTGTGCCTGAAAATGCGACAGCAAATGTTGAGACAGAGGTGCTCGACCACTTCCGCCAATTTGCGAATAATGAGAAGCTGAAGATGCAAGAACGCCGCCGGAACCAGGCCTCCTATGACCGGACCATCAAACTAAATGAATTGATGAAGTTTTCGAAGAACTTCAAGCTTTCGACTCCTGTGCCCAAGGACTTGGTGCCGATCCTGGCCAAGGATCCTCATAAACAGGAGGCCATCATCAGCCGAGCCCAGCAGTCCGTGGAGGAGAAGCCTTCACCAAAGGCTGCTGCCCAGACTCCTGAGCAGAAAGCACCCGCTCGTGTGGTTGGACAAAGCGGCGCGGTGCCTCCTGTAGCACCATCCGATCGGCAGAACTTCGCTCGTGGCCGTCAGGGTTATCTTCCGACTGGTCCTCTTGCTGGTGCTGGTGGTCGATTCCCTCAGCCGCCTCTGCAGCCCGGCCGTCCTGGCGCTGGTATGCTCAGTCATCGACTGGCAGATAACCTGCAACAGCGGAAGGGCGTTGGCATGGCTCCTGTCCCTCCTCCACTGCCCATCCAGGATGCTCGCGGTCCACCCACCGGTCCAGCCAGTGAGCAGCCTCGCGTTACCAGCCCTTCAAAGGCGCAAACCTCCGCATCTGCTGCGGCATCCAAGTTCAATGTCCGCGCCATGGAATTTAAACCCAACCCCGCGGCCAGTACATTCACCCCCGGCGGCGCTGCTCCCTCTGGCCCCGCTGCCAGTGCGGCCAGTGCGGCCAGCCCGCGTCCTTTCTCGCGGAACCGCTCTGTCTCCCGCGCCACAACGCCCTCTGCCTTCTTTGGCACTAGAAAGCCCCAACCAATCTCTGAGCGGCCCTCGATTGACGACCAATTCAACCCCATCAAGCGCATGAAGAAGGATAGTGCCGATTCAGCCGATAAGGCATATACCTTTAACGGAGGCATCCCTCCTCCCTATAAGACTCTTCCTACCTGGGATGTGCCGGAGGGCAACGAGGAGAAGACGTTCGACCAGATGTTCAAGCAACCTGGTGGTGTCCCATCGGTTTCGCCCCAGGGTCGCTCCGCTTCGAACAACCCCCATGTGCCTCAGCAGCACCAGATGCCATACCAATTCCAGCAAGGCAACCCTGGAATGCCAACGGCCTCCGGCCCTCCCAATGGTCCTCATCTTCACCAAGGTCCTCATGGTCCTGCCCCGTCCCATGTTGATGATCATCACCGCATGCAACTTTCGGCCTCCTCATCCCAGGTGTTCCCTTCCCCACGGATGGGCCAAAGCCATATCGGCTACCCCTCTCCAATGGCTCCTCATGCCCAATTGGCCTTCGGGCAGCCCATGCCCCAGTACTATGGCGGGCCCCAGCCCAATCACATGAGACATTATCAGAATGGTCCTCAATTTGTTGGTCCCCAGGCTGGTATGGGAGCTCCCATGATGGTGCAAAACCCCTCGAATGGTCCTTACATGGGCGTTCCCCAGGGAATGTCTCCTTTTAACCCACAAATGCAAATGTACTCTCCCTCCCCCGGACATGCCTATCCTCAACATGCACCTCCGCCTCAACCTCATAGCGGATACCCTAGCCCCAGCCGTGGAGCGCCGATGATGATGCAGCAAAACTCTCAGTCCGGACAGCCGCCGCAGCCAATGATGTTCATGTCACCCGGGCAGCCAGGACAACCCGGATACGGGGCTCAGCAACCAGGCCACAGTGAGTTACCCCGCCCATACTGGATCACCTTCGCCGCTCATCCCATTGTAGTGCCCGCTGGTCGTGGAGGTTATCCCCAACAACAGCCTCATTTCTCCTCAAGTCCGCACCAGACTCATCACTTCCCTCCTAATCAGCACCGGACTCCAAGCAACAGCTATAACCAGGCACCGCAGCTTCCTCCACAGATGTCCGCCAACAACACTCCCACCAATCCTGGTGCTGGCTCGCTTTCAGCTGAGCCTACCGATGAAGGCAAATGAACTGCATAAGTCATCACGGAATTCCGGCGCGGCTGCCCTGTTCGTGTTTTTTTTGCTCAAAATGCTCCTCGTCTCATTGTGACGTGACTTGGAGCTTTGCAATCTTGCATGATTTGCCAGCCCCATTTGTCGAATCTTCTGGGTCTACGAATGTGTCTTTCGACTGTTCATCCTTGGCACTTAGACCATGATGTACCATGTGGTCAGTGACATGTCGGTACAATACTTCGCAGGTATATTTTACTCCCTTGTCCTCTTATTTTCCTACCTTTCCCTCTTTGTACTCGCGTTCTATCAATCCTCGTCATACTAACAGAAGTGCATCAGATTCGATGAATGGACATATTCAGTATGTCTTATCTCACGGTTCTTGCCCTGGCAATCCCCAAGGTGCAGGTGAAATTCTCTGAATTGACGCACGATTCAGCCACTGTCTCTATACCCTTATCCTATGAACGCGCTAAGTCCACTGTCCACCTCTTGGGTGAAGGGAGGGGGGTTCGCTCCGTCCAGCTGCGAAATATGACCAGAATTACGACGTTAGCTCAGAACGGGGACTTGTATCGAGCCTTTCTATTTTATTCCGGTTCTGCCAGCCCCTCCCTTTTCTCTGTTTTGCTATTTATTTTTATTTTTCTTTTCATTTTCTTCCAATGTCGATATTGAGCGTGTTCGGGCGTGGCTGGTGTGAGTGACTCAGCTGGGGTATCTTTGCGATTTGTCTGGGCTTTGACTCTTCAAGCCAGGGTCCAGATGGTGATGGGCTACGTTTCCGCAACAAAATGAGGATGATTAAACACTGGATGAGTCGACAGGGCTTCTGCAGTTGTGCCAGGGTGAAGTCAGAGCGATGCAGTGGGTCGGATATGAGTGGTCATTACGGTGGTTGCTGGCGCTCCTCCGGGATGCCAATGAAATGACTATACTAAATAACGCTCTTCCAACATTCATTTATTGCCCAGTATTTCAAAGTATACATAAAAAGCCTAGCTTCTACAGCGCTCCCCTCGTCCCGTGCGGTGCTTCGAATATCTGCCAACGCCGGTTAGCAATCACACCTTCAATAGCTTCACGCGCATAAGCGATGCAGACGAATCAAGTCTCCTCAGGTCTTTTCAGTTTCAATTTGGTCGTCATCCGAGCCTCAGAGCACCAAGCTCCTCTCGCCGCGGTGCTTTGAAACCCCCATACTCACCCCTCCAACAAGCGACATCGTCCTAGAACCAGATCACCAAGCAGCATCCAGAAAACGCCCCAACGGCTCCCCAGTCACGCCCAGCGAGTCTCACCCACCCATGGAAAAGTCTCCCTTTCCCAAGGACCCCGCTCCCTCATCCACAGATACAACGCCTCCTCTCTCTGCAGTAACCAACCCCACAAAGGAAACTGCTAGCCGTTGCCATTAGTTCCTACCGGTCTTCATAGAGACAAAGCAGACCCAGGAACTCCAGATGACGGCCATGCGCACCCAACAAGTGGTACCACGCATCAGTGTACACACGCTAGAAGAAGAAACTCCCACAGTCCGCACGTCGTGCCCCGCGAGGGAAAGCCATGGAACTCGGCTTGGACCGTCTTGCCTTTTTGTCAAGCTGTGTGTCTGCAGGAGAGAAAGCGGCGTACAAGCTTCAGAGATGTGTGGAGCGAAGACCTCGGTGCTGGGAGGAGTGGGCAAGGGCCTCGAGAGAAAGAGAGGTCCAGCTGGGCGAAAGGAGCTGGAGGGGGCTTTGTGGCGTGTGGGCAGGATTTAGGATGGTATGATGTTTTGTATCCGCGAAGTCAAGGAGGTGATGAGGAGTACCATCGGCGATTGTGAGAGGAAGCAGGAGGTGCCGGGGCTTTGCGCGGTCTGACCTTTTACCAGGTTCGCATCTTGGGAGAGCGCGACGGGAGTCGCGTTTAGAGGGAAGGTCGCGGGGTAGAAAAGGAACGTACCGAAGTTCAGGTCGGAGAGTTGGAGTGACTGCGTGCTACATTGGATGTTGAATTCGGAAAGGAGGAAAGCCTGAGCAGGAAGCAAAGAAAGAAACAAGTGGAGAAGGGAAGTTGAGAGCTCCGCCGAAGCACGAAGTTTGGCCTGTGGGGGGCTCTCCTGCCTGAGGCCACCGGCGATAAGGCGGGGCGTATCGAACGCTCCGGGCGCTTGACCGTGTGCCTAGGAATCCCCGATTCAGTCTGATTCGCCTTATTCACCCTATTTCTGCGCAGCTCGAGCAGTGTGTTCTTGGAAAGACATACCCTCGTCTCTGCCCTTCTCTCCATCTCCCCGCCGACCTTCCAGTATCCCGGCCATTGGCCGTCATCGCCCGCGCCGGGCATCCCCAAACACTCCAATCCCCGAAGAGGCCAGCAATGGATTTTCTGAAATCGGCCGTCGCGTCCGCAATCGCGAAGGGGAGTTCGCAGCCCTTTTCACTAGGCGACCGAGTCGACATTGGCGATTCCATCTGGACCCTTCATAACGGCACGAAACGGGTACGTCAGACGTGGCAGCCAGTTCTCCATATCATGTTGCGGCTCCCGGAGCCCCCATGCAGAGTGCTAACACCGCGGTGGATACACACAGGATGACGGGTCGGCCTGCAGTGTTTTCACCTTCGATATCGCGGCGAACAAGTCGCGATTACCACTTGCCAAAAATGCGGTGCGCAAGTCGAGAACACTGAGGCATCCCGGTGTGATCAAGGTGCTGGACACGATTGAGGTAGAGTGGCTCCCCCTCTCTTACCCATTTCTCTCCTTCCAGGGCAAGTCCCAAGGATATTAACTTTGTGGTTTGAAATAATCTGGAGCTCAAATGGAAAACTGATGCCATGAATTCTAGACCGAGTCCAACCTCTACATTGTGACCGAGCGAGTGGTTCCATTGCAGTGGCATGTTCGGCGGCGGAGTCTGAGCGAGGAGACTGCCAAATGGGGTCTATATACTGTGTCGGTGAGTGTCAAACTGAATGCATGGCTTTGAATCCTAGGCCAACTGACTGACTGCTGGGGCCGAGTGTAGTCAACTCTAAAGTTCGTCAACGAAGACGCATCCTCTGTTCATGGTGCTGTGCGCGCCTCGTCTGTCTATACGAGTGAAAGCGGCGAGTGGAAGCTTGGAGGATTCGATATCTTGAGCTCGATGAAAGAAGACGATGCGATAATTTATGTGAGTGGCACTATATAATCGATCAAAGATGAAAGTTCCAGACGCGAAGTTCTGACTTGTTTCATAGACATATGGAAGCTTGGTCCCGGACGCGGCTCGGTTCACGCCTCCAGAGGTTGTCAAAAGTGGCTGGGATGTCATCAAGCGCCATCCTTTGGCCGCCGTGGATGCCTATGGTCTCGGTGTCTTGATCATCGAGGTCTTCAACGGCCAATTCCTCGGTGGCGACCAAGTTGGCAAGACTGCAAATATTCCTCCAAGCATGCAGCAGAGCTACAAACGCCTCTGCACCGCGAATCCGAAGCTGCGTCTGAGTCCCGCTCACTTTGTGGAGCAGGGCAAGAAGCATGGCGGGTTCTTCCAGACACCGTTGATCCGATTAACAGAGGATATAGACAGCCTGGGGCTGAAAAGTGACGCCGAGCGTGAAATGTTTATTAAGTATGTTACGAGCCTTCTCTGTAGCGGACCAAGGTTCAGGCTTACTCATGCTTCATAGCGAACTTGATGATCTATCCGATGATTTTCCAGAGGACTTTTTCAAAATGAAAGTCCTCCCCGAACTGCTCAAATCAGTCGAGTTTGGCGGTGGTGGGCCGAAAGTGCTTGGTGCGACATTGAAGATCGGTGCAAAGCTGTCTGCTGACGAGTTCAATGCCAAGCTAACACCGGTCATTGTGCGCCTCTTTGGCAACCCTGATCGAGCACTGCGTGTGTGTCTATTGGACAATTTGCCTCATATGATTGATAATCTTTCCCAGAAGGTTGTCAATGATAAGATCTTCCCTCAGATGGTACAGTAATCTTCTATTTCTGATAACAAGACCTATTCTAACTGCTGCATTCCAGACTTCTGGTTTCACCGACGTCGCTCCTGTGGTCCGTGAGCAGACCGTCAAGGCCGTCCTGTCAGTTATCAACAAGCTGAGTGACCGAGTTGTGAATGGGGAGCTACTCAGATTCTTGGCACGGACAGCTAATGATGAGCAACCTGGTATCCGTACCAACACCACAATCTGTCTGGGTCGAATTGCGAAAAATTTGGGCCAAAGTGTGAGTGTATACTCAACGATTTTGAATGAATCGGAGCTGACCTTTTCTGTAGACGCGGTCCAAGGTACTTATTGCTGCCTTTACCAGATCCATTAGAGATCCCTTTGTTCATGCCCGAAATGCTGGCCTACTCGCCTTGTCTGCCACAATTGATGTCTTCACTGAAGATGATTGTGCTTCTAAAATTTTGCCCGCCATTTGTCCCGCTCTTCTAGATAAAGAGAAGTAAGTTTCACACAAGCCCCTCGGAATTGACTGTGGATCTCTAATTATTTCCAAGGCTTGTCCGCGATCAAGCCAATAAAACGCTCGATCTCTATCTCCAGCGAGTACGAAAGTTTAGCAGCACCATGGCGGACACGGTGCTGCCACCCCCCACAGCCTCCACTCCAGAGCCCACCAAAGCCGACGCCCGAATCGGTACTTCGAATGACAAGTCTTGGGCTGGTTGGGCAATCTCCTCTTTCACGAACAAGCTGGCCGCCGCAGACGGCGAAATAGAGCCCACCCCCAGTGTCAGCAAGCCCGCTGATGATATCACCCGCCCTGCTTCAGTTCCTCACCCTGCCAACTCATCCCCTTCTGCTCAGCTGGAGCTTCCAAAACAAAACGCTCGTAACGCCGCACACCCACTGTCTCGCTCTCAATCTGACCAGCCCGCCCCTATTGTCCAAGATGAATGGCACGATGCCGAGGAAGGAGACGATGTTTTTGACGCCTGGGGCGCCATGGACGACGAGGAGGATGACAAGAGCGTCGACCCCTTTACCGCAGCCGTAGCCTCTCCCAGGTTGCAATCTCCTGGTCCGGCTTCCAGCAAAGCTCCCGCGGTCCCGTATGACGATGGAGGCGAGCCGGACTTTGCTGGCTGGCTCGCAGCGAAAAACCAAGCCAAAACGAAGAACCCCCTGCCTAAAGGCTTGACCAAAACAGCTTCTGCTGCGAAACCGGCTGCTACTAAGCCGCGAAATGTGGTCCCGGTGAAGAAGATCGATACCAAGCCAAAGGACGAGGATGAAGATGATGGGTGGGGAGATGCTTGGGATTAAGGGGATCTGGTTCCCCTTCGAAGTCAGGCTTAGCTTTAAGACTGTATAGATGGTACTTCATGTATCGAGTAATAATATCCGCCCGTGGGTCAGAAAATAAATGAAAGGATTGTTAGTTGATTTCTGAATGGAAGCAGATCTATGGAGTCTCATCTCTGTAGACTCATTATATATAAGTAGGGTGCGAATCCTAGATTATACACTGTTTCCGGCAATAGGAAATACGCTGTTCGATTGAATTTCGAGTATCTATTTCGAACATTCTTGACTTGAGAGGCACTGTGCGATTCTTGTATCTTCCTTGGTGGCTCATCATCTACATCTACATGCATTGAGACTTTGTCTCCTGTCTGCCGTGGCGCTCCGCGGACTCCGGAGCGACCGAAAGGCCGACAGGGCTGAGTCTGCTTATCTTATCGGCATCCACTGTGAATCCCATCGTTGCAACTCTTCTCAACTTCATCTCATCCAGTTCGGGCCCTCTAGGCTACCACTAGGTTTTCCTCCTGTTGGGAAGTGAGTGAGAGCTGAGAACGACGCCCATTCATGCAGCACCGGGGTGCCCGTGCGAAGCTTTGTGCGCTGACAGCCCTCGAGTTGTGGGAATCTTGCTGCCTTCAAAACCTCCCCTCCGAACCCTGTTATCTTATCATAGTATGGCCGGCCAGCATTGACAAGCTTCTGGTCATTTCACGATCTTCACAGACCATTTGACTCCTCTCTGGAACTCTCAGTTCGTGGTTCGACGACCCTCAATACCGCGCTCTCGAAATGGACCAGGAGGAGGCTCCACCACCTTACTCGGCCGTCGACCCGTTACTTGCGCCGACAAACAACCGGAATGGCGGCGCGACCCAGGGTGCGGCCCCGTTACATGGAAATGTCTCAGCTTCACGGAATACCAATAGCTCGAGCTTAGCAGAACAGTCTTCTACTTCCTCCTCGCCGGCTGTCGTGCCAACTCATTTCACTTCCGCGGTGACGTACTTCGAGGAAAGGCCACCGGCAGTGCTGGATGAAAGCCGGGGTCTACTGCACCACCATATGACCATTTACCCTCGCAGCCAAGCGAAGGACTTTCCACGTCGGCCCCGCTGCTGGGTGTCACGCATGGATGAAGTCGCCCAGCAGGACTGGGACACGTTCTTGCGCTATCTCTTCCCCTCGCAGTTGGGCTTGGCCGCTACTTCACAAGACCTGCCCCGGCAATTGCGCGCAGAGATCCAGCGAGATCGCAAGGACCGACCGCAAGAGACTGATGAGCAGCGACGAGCTCGGATCGCAGCAGTGGTCGATGAATGGAATCAATTGTTTTTCGGGCCGCGCGCAACGCGCATCGTGTTTGTCTATGTTGGCGAACCCGATGCAGCGCCCTCATCTGCTCTTTGTCCTCGATGCTACCCAGCTGCGACAAAGGCGACACAAGGTACCGGTTCCATAGGATCCACAGACGGCCAAGCTGCAAGGAATTCGAATATGCCGTCACCAGTCGCTGGCCAGCAAACGCCGTCGCCAAACTCTTGGCATCTACCTCCAATACCGCATTTTCATCAGGGACGTCCGCCGCCAGGTGCTTACGGTCCATATGCCATGTCTCCTTTCCCTACACCCGGTACAGCTACCAATCACCAACCGCCACAATACTATCCCCCGCGACCGCCACCCCCTCCAGGTGTACCGCCATGGCAGTGGAACAACTGGGCATATTCACAACCGCAGTTTGGTAATTCCGGCACGCAAAAGAGTGGAACATTGGGTTGGATCTCCCAGCTGACAACCCAAGCACAAAAGTACGGCGAGCGGTTTGCCCAGCAGGCGCAGCAGTACGGAGATCAGATTAGTGCACAGGCAATGTACTATGGTCGACAGGTCGAGGAACAAGCACTAGCGCATGGCCGCTGGATCGAAGAGCAGGCTCGGCTTCACGGGCGAAAACAGGCATACCCACAGTCTGGATATACATCTTCACCCCCGGCGACTTGGTACCAAACCGAGACTGGCCAAACGTCCGGTGTTATACAGGACACACCAACTCCCCCGAACACTACAAGCACACCAGCTGACTCCGAGAACGTCGACCAAAGCCAAACTCAAACGACAACCCAACCTCAAAACAAGCAAGACTCTCTTCCCACTAAATCAAGAGACGACAAATCACCTATCGAGCGCTCACGTCGTGCATCCATTAGTTCCACCTCCTCCGAGTCCTCCCTTAGCTCAATCGATACCCTCTCCACCACCTCAGATCTCACCCCCTCTGACCTAGCTACAGTCCGAGAGCAACTCCGGTCTCTCCATGACCGGCATGACCGCACGCTATATGATGCCGCTGTAGACCTGCGGCATCAACTTGACGTCCTCCAAGAGTCCCGCCGCGATGCGCGCACATCCGGCCGCCGGAACTGGCGAACTGGATGGGGCCAGCAGCCGCCGTCTAACCGAGCCGATGGCACAGACTGGGGACGCTGGGAATCCCCAGAGCAGCAGCAGCGCCAAAATGCAGAACGCCGTGCTATGAAGGAAGAAATGCGCGCTACGAGAAAAGCCTTCCGAGACGTGGTACGGCGCGCGCGAGAAGAACAGCGTGACCAGCATCGTGCGCGACGGAATCGCCGGCGCCAGGCACGTTCGCGCCAATCTGGTGACGTCAAGGCGAACGACAGCGCGCAATTGGACCAGCGACTGGAGAATCTCTCGCTCAAGGATGCGGATAATGCGCACCTTTTGCGCATGCAACCGCAGCGGCCCAGTACTGACTCGGAGCTGAGTGCTTCAAGTATATCTGCTTCAGCTTCGCAGGTGGGCTCACAAGGAATGCCAGCTGAGCTCCCAGAGAGGAAAAAGCCTCCAACACGGCTGAAGGAGATGTTCCAACCGCGCAATATGAAGAAGCAGCGGCAGCAGCAGCAGCCCGGAAATGATACGAGAAAAGATCCCGATACAAAAGACAGCAAAGATACTACGGAAAAGGATAGGGGGTCTCGGTGAAGGTGACCTTGATGTGTTTTTTCGATGGATTCTTACTGTGCATAAATATGGCGCCTACCAAAGCGTCAACTCTGCTTTCGGCAACGATGTTATGATTCATATATCATTGATGGATACTGTTTTTTATCCTGAGCGTGATTTTGATAAATTTATTGATTTTTTTTGGGGGTTCTTGTCGCATGCTTAGCATTATCATGTACATCCATTTTTCCCGGAATATAGATCAGTTCCGGACCTGAACAGTGCCACCACAATATAGGTCTCATGTGGGGGTTCTGCAATCCATGACCCGAACTCAAGCGGACTTCAAGCCTCAGATCCATACCCCCCATAGCCCCGGAATGTGGAGTGGGAGAGAGGGATAGTAGAAAGCGAAGGCAAAGCACGTTTATCATCATTGCTGGCTCTCATTCTTCTCGACCAGATCGCCCACACCAAGACCTCTTCCGACCTTGACACGGACCATCTTCTCCTTCTCGTCCCCGTCTTCCTTCTTTCCAAGCTCACCGACCTCATCACCCTCATCGGCATTCTCGTCGGCATCCTTCGCCTCGGCGTTCTCGCGGTCCCGTTTCTCAATGGCCTTCCAGTCCAACCACTGGCTCTCCAGCTTTAAATGCATAGCATAAGCATCTTCACCGTCAGCATAGTACTTGCTCTCGATCTTTTCAACCTCGAAGCCCAGAGTATCACGGTACAAGCGCAGAGCGGCGGTGTTGGAGACACGGACGTGCAGGGAGACATAGTGAGCGCGGTGAGACTCGGCCATGGCTCGTTCTGGAACAAGTAGTGTTAGCGGAAAACGAAAAGAAACGACCAACTCCCGCCGTCCAAGAAGAACGAGAGAGATTGCTGAAATGACATATTGTACTTGAGCCGTAGCAATCCGCCAACGGCGGCTACAGCAGACAAGAAATCAAGATATCTGAAGCGGGGGAGAAGGGGAAGACAGGGACGAAAAAGGGCTCAAAACTCACGACTCATGCGCATCAGGCGCTCCGCGATACCAAGTCGCCGATGTGTGCGCATCACACTCAGGCTCGTAATATGGCCGTGCTGCACGCCGTCCGTCGGCTCCTCCTCCATCTTCGCCAGAACATACCCCACCACCTTGGGGTACTCGCCGGCGATATCACCGGCCTTGCCGGCGCCGGCGCCGGATTTATAGCCATTTTTGGGGCGAACCACGGCGACAAAGCTCAGCTGGGGCCAGGTGAGGGCATGGTAGAGGTAGTATTTGAGGAAGTAGTTCTCAGGCAGGTTGGTGATGTTGCAGGTCTGGATGGAGGGGAGAAGGTCGATATAGGACGGGTAGGATGAGAGGGGGACGATGTCGACCATCTTGGAGGCGGGTGAGAGGGCTCCCGGGGGGTTGTTTTCGAGAAGCGGGAGGAGCAAAGAGGAAAGGAGGGTGGGATTGAGAGGCGTTGGAGCGAGCAATTGGAGATTTACCGATGGTGGCTGTTGCGGATCCGCGATGGACTTGCTGTTGCGGGTTGCGGGCGGCACGCGGGGCCGCGTGATTGGGTGCAGGGCGAAGGCGGTGACTGCTGTGGCATGCATTGTTGGAGTGTTGTATGTGATGTTGTCGCAGTTGCGTGTTGGTTTCTCGTTTGCAGGCGTTTAGCTACAAGTAGAATACGAGTATCAAGGCCTGGTTTTAATTTTAATATTTGAAGATGAAAGGGCTGTCAATGCATGTGCAAGAGAGATCTTGAAGTCTAGATTATGTATTTACATGCAAGTTTCCAACTTGCTCCAAACCCCGTTGGTCTTGGTGGTTGAACCTGAAACTGTATATGAGAAAGAAAAAGCAACCCAGTGAAACAAGTCGTAGCAGTCATCCCGAGATTAGAACATCGACGAACAAAGCTGTAGGCCGGCTGCAACGAGCAGGATCGTCGAGAGGCCAGCCACGGACATCCCACGAACCGCAGCAGACTCTTGTCCACAACAGGTGCGGTTATAAGTGACATTGTTCATTTCAGCCGCAACTTCAAAAACAGACCCATTGAAATTGCCGTAGTTATAGTAGTCCACGAGCAAGAAATTAGGTGGGCGGTCCCAGTCTCCTGTTACGGGGTCAGTTATTTCAATAACTCAGTGCCAGAGCATAGAGATGTGGCGACACAAGATGATAAGGAGAAAGGGGGGACGTACGGGTACAATTCTCAGCCATCCAGCCCAAGCTACCATTGCCCGTGACGCCATTGGTCTCATTGATGACTGCGGTGTTGGGAATCAACAGATCAATCGAGCCTAAGCTCAACTCGATGTTGAGGTTGTGGTTGGCCATGTACATGCGATTCTTCGCATTTTTCTTGGAGAGATTCGGCGGGCGCTGCTCCGTGCACGGGAAATTGGCGTTAGTGGGAGAGAACGGGGTCTCCCACATCTGGGTGAACTCATCCATTAGCCACGGCAGGGCAGTTTGGTTGGCTTGGTAGTCGAGGAAAAAGACGGCTCGTTTGCCAGTGAGGATCATTTCCGACAGGGTGGGCCAGTCATCTAGAGACATGGGAATCTTCGAAGGCGTGTAGACATAATCCATCAGGCCAGCGTTTTTAATGGGGGCGGTAAAGTTCTCCGGGTTTACATAGTCGTAGTTGCCCATGAGGAATGTCACGACGTCGTAGGGGTTTTGGCGCATCCATTTGGCTACGGTTGTGAGATAAGCTTCAAGAGTGCCCACATTGAGCAATTCGCAAGACGTATGGCAAAGCATCATGGTGCCGTTTTGGTAGTGGGTCTGGAATTGCACTACAAGAGAAGTCAATTAGCGCGAATTTCAATCGCGTAGATAATGATAGCGGCCGAATATCAACTCACGCATGCGAATTCCATCGTCGAGCTGGGCAGTGACATCCAGGGCCTGGTTAGCTGCAACGTTCCCCGCCTTCACAAACGGACTGTTGTGCGCCGCGACCATGGTGATATTGGAATAATTGCGCGCGCAAAACTCCGCATAGTTATTGCACGGTTGGGTGTTGACGACTGCGGTTGAGGTCGAGGTACTCGATGCGGTAGCTGTGGCATTGGCCATTGTGCCATTGCCGAGCGTAGTGGTCCCGCCCCCAGCACCACCGACCAGCACGGTCACCGAGTCCGAGGTTTGAGTGACGATGGTCTGATTGCCGGTTGTGGTCGCTGTCGCGTTGAGTGTGGCTGTCGAGACTAGAACCGAGGAGTCGCCATTGTCCAGCGTAACGGTGGTGCTGTAAGTCTGGTAGGTGCCGGACGGAACGGCGGCTGTCCCGTCCGTGACAACGGATGCATCTGAAATGTTCAGGGACGTGGTGGTGGATGTGCTGCTGCTAGTCATGGAGGATTCGGTGGTGGACGTGGTGGACTCCTCATCGGCGGCCATGGCAGCTCCGGCAAGGAGGGCCAGCGCGAGCGAAGGCCACCTCATGTTGTTGAGAGGAAGGGCGAGAGGAGGAAGATGAGATGTGGATGCGCCCAGGGAGTTGTCGAGGAATGGGTGAAGTCCGGGAAGGAAAGTCGTGAAGTGCAAGGGTTGTAGGCCCGGACGATATCAGGTATCAGGTGCCTCGACTCTGTGCCTAGCGCACCTCGAAAGTCATCTTCCACCAAGTCTAACCTCCACCACCAGAGAGTCCTGAACCCACGCAGATTATTCCACTCCATTGCCGGACCCCCTTTACCACACCCCCGAGGTCTCCGATCCTTCTCCGCTCGGAGCCACAGATTACACGAAACAAGACCAACCATGGGTCTGGTGGGGATTTGGCGTGGGCCCTGAATGACGTTACTCGCCACCGTTGCTAGGTGATGGGCCAATTATCAGGAGCAGTGGATCGTCTCCACAGGCCGAACTCGACCAACTCGGCTTGTGCGATGCTGGTTCCCCGGCGAGGTATATGTACCTTGTTTGCTAGTAACATTCTGGGTGGTACAAATCCTCATTTCATGAGGCCGATAGATTTCTCACTGACACGGCCTAGAGATAGCAGGTCAATTAGGTGGACATCCTTTTGCTGATTCTCATAAACACTCTCACACCGTCCTTCTCGTTCGCCTTACGTGCAAATAGCCTCTGGATGGCATCATTGCTGCATGATCGCCCTCACTAAGAAGGGAGCTAGCGGCCAGCCACTGACGATCACACGGGAAGCCATCTACACCCAGTAATTCCGAGTTTTTGCTGGGCCGATCAGATTAGCCTTGAACCTTCTCCTGAAGACCGGCACTTGGGACTCCATACAGCTCTGAGCCCATGCAAAAACAGGGTTATTATTAGTCTTCGCCTGCAAAAAGAATCTGCCGAGACGCTGCTTCGGTTGTCCTTGTCTTTTGTGTCTTTCATGGGTGCCTAAAGGTTATCTCCAACACCCCCTCCACTCGACAAAGCCAATTTATTGCTGGTCGCTACATACCAGAAACCTCGCTTCCGTTCCCCCTCTTCTTCTCCTCCCATCCGCTCCGTCCTCATCAGCCTCCTGAGCATGGCCGACGGGACGGATGCCCCTGTCAATGGCAAGCGCAAACTGCCTCTTTTCCTGCGCTCTTCCCCCGGTCGGCCAATTGGCCGCCGTCGCCAGTCCACCGTTCATTGGCATCGGGTGGTGCGCTCGTTGCTCTACCTACTCGCCTGGATCTTCTGCGTGCTGGTGGTAATTGGCAACATCTCCAACAAGCCTGTGTTGCGTAGCACCTATTTTTTCTACCTCGATTTGACCAACATCATTCCTGTCTCCGTGCCAAATGCTGTCCTAATCAATTCCATTGCTCGGTCTATTGGATTGCACGATTTCTATCAAGTTGGCCTATGGGGATTCTGTGAGGGTTACAAGGACGAGGGCATCACGGCTTGTTCTAAACCGAAGGCCCTCTACGCCTTTAACCCCGTCTCGATCATCCTCGATGAATTGCTCTCGGGCGCAAGTAGTATGTCCAAAACAGCCCTTCGCTCAAAAACATTCACGTTGCAATTTGTGCCGTTTCAAGTTTGCTAATTCTGGAACTCTCCAATAGTCGCTCTGCCGTCGGATATTTCCGAACCCTTGCACCTCGCTAAGGTCGCGTCGCATTGGATGTTTGGTCTCTTCATCGCTGGTGCAGTCTTCAACTTCATCATGATTTTCATCAGTCCGTTTGCCGTGTCCTCGCGACCTCCACAGACGATCAAATCCTGGATGACTGGCACCGAATACACACCTGGCGAAACCCTACCCCATCGACGCCGCACCTTCATCTGGCTGCGCTCTCTGCCCATGCTGGTTTTCGCCTTTATGACTGCCCTGGTCACCATTGTCGCGTCAGTCATTGCGACTGTCATGTGGATCATCTTCGCCAACGTATTCACCAGTGCAGCCGAGGATCTCAATATCAAAGCGCATGTCGGAAAACAGATGCTGGCGTTCATGTGGATTGCCTCGGGATTCAGCCTGATCGCGTTTATTGTCCAGTTCGGCTCCTGCTGTGCGTCGTGCTGTGGCGGTCACAAGGCACGAAAACAGCTTAAGGCGCAGGGCATCAATATTCGCGAGAAGTCATCAGCGCGCACAAGTGGCTTTGCAACACCAGTGGAGTCGCGCACTCCACATGCTGTGACCACGGATTAAATGTACATTCTTGGATCGCAATCCAAGCCTTGGTGTAGATCATACGTCTCGTTTATTTTATGATTGAAATTTTGGCAATTGCCTGTCTTCTTTTCGTGCTTTGGAATGATTGAACATTTATGAATACATAGAGAAGAAATAAACATGGATTTGTTCAATATGCCGATTTTCGCAATTATTTAATGTTATTCATGCACAGAAGTCTTAGTAAATACCGGGTTTTAAGTAATTCGCATGGCTCAAGAATTGATCAGATACTTCAAATCGGTTGAATACACGAATCTTGTACGGCCATAAGATCATTTGTAAAATCTAGTTTCCATCGTCTTCGAAAATGGAAGCAGAGACATCCGAATGAGAGGTATCATTGGAAGCGCTCTTCTTGGCGAGCTCTTCGTCTATCCACTGGGCAAGATCTTCATCAGAGGGGTTGTAGTCACCGTTACTGTCGAGCGAAGAAGAGAAGCCGGTAGGAAGGCTATCCTTGGCGAGCTCCGCCTCCGTCAAACGGGCAAGGTCTTCATCCGAGGGGCTGAAGTTATCATTATGACCACTAGAAACAGAACTCGTTTTTTCCGCGCGCTGGGTGGTGTTGCTCTTGGTCATACGCTTGGTGGAAGTCTTGGGGGAGCTCTTGGTGGAAGTCCGAGGGCGCTTGAGGACTTTGTTGGGAGAGTGCTTCTTAGAAGCAAGTCTAGGGGCACACTTGCCATTGCCCTTGATCGGAGTTCTGACATCGTCAGTGGTGTGAAGGGTCGTGGAATTGGCAAACGGACCACCGATATAGTGGCGCAGGAGCTTCTGGGTGCTCACAAAGTCGTAGCATTGGCCGATGGAGACTCCAGAGTAATCGTCCTCAGGGTTCAGCTCCTCATGGATGCGGGTCGCAGCCTCCCCATCCTCGAGATTAGTGAGCCAGGAGAGCTTTTTCGCTCTGAATTGGCGGCGAAACTCGGTTAGTGGGCTAGAAGAAGTTGTCAGCGGGGTCTGTATTTCGTCTTGAAAAGAGCTCTGGGTACTCACCTCTGCGTCTGTGTCGTCGGTCAGATCAATAACCTCGACGTCCTTGGGAAGCGCAGGGGGAGCATAGACGGAAACGGGCGTCGGGATGTCGGTGGTAGTGGAAAAAGTCGAGCTTGCAGTGGGAAGTGATGGGTTGACGGCACAACAAGTCGAGTCAAGCGTTGGAGGCGTCATTCTGGTGACAGGCGTAGTCGCGTTACAGGCGGAGGGAGCCATTCTTGCGGTGGCCACATTTGTGGCAACGGTAGGACGAGTCGCATTAAAGGCGGAGCTTGTGCCAATGGCTGTAGTCGTTGTTCCGGCGATGGAATCAGTTGCACCATAGGCAAAAGGAGCCGTTCTCACAGTAGAAACACTGGTGCCAACGGTGAGAGGACCCGCATTGAAAGTTGAAGAGGTCGTATCAGTGGTGAGAGGAGTCATGGTAGTTGAGGGAAAGGCCACGCCACTGGTGGGTGCAGTCAAGTGAACAGGGGGAATGTTACGGCCGATGCCGGCCCTGACCCAATAAGGCCAGGCAGAGTAAGGCATGTTGTAATGCCGTAATATGAGGGCATATTGAGCAGCGGTGACTTGAGGGGCGCATGGAATGCGACCAAAAGGCACTGGATTAGCCATTTTGGGCTCAAGAGTCAGATTGCAGGTGAGGGGGCAAGTGAGAGTTGGACTCGGAGAAGGGTTGGCAAGATCTTTGGCAAGACACTCGGCGGGGTGAGTGGGAGGTACAGTTGTAGCAATAGTGGCAACAGACTTAAGAGACTCAGACGTCGGGGTTTGGGAATCAAGAGAAGAAGGATTGGAGAGACGGGGAGGGGAGTTGGAAGGAGAAGAAGATGGCGAGGGATCAGGTGAATTTATAGTCCCAGTATCTCGAGCCAAATGGACGTAGGCAGCCAGGAGATCATGGTAGACATGTGACAGCTGCTCATACTGGCCCTTCCAGTCGTCCGTTATTGAGCGAAGCCGTTCTTCTGTTGGTGAATTTGACTGGCTCGACGCACATTGAAGCTGCTGGTAGTCCCGAATTAGGCAGTTGTGGTTTTTGGCGACGGTCACATAGTTTGTTTTCCACTCCTCGATGTCCGCCTTATACTGCTTGGCCCTTTGTTGCTGAGTTGAGCACACCCTGCGTAAGGTTGCCATTTCTGCCTCCATTAGGTGGATTCCCAGTTTACCAGTCATGGGGTCCACGCTCGTATACTTGAGCAAGGCATCACGGTACCGATTACGTTCAATTGTCAGAACATCAATGCGACGCCGCGAATTCTGTAGACGATGGTGCAGAGTCTCATTGGAAATATACTCCCCAATGGTCTTACAGTGTAAAGAGGGTGCTGATGGATGGTACCCCACAGGTCCATATGGCGAGTTGTGCTCCAAGGGGGACTTGCCTTGAGACAATGCCTCGAGGGTTGCCTGATGTACCATATCCCCACTGCCTATAGGAAACCTGTTCTTAATCACCGAGCTAGCTGGCTCTGTGCCCCCACCTGCTGGAGGAGACTCATATGCTGGGATAAGGACCGGAGACTTCGGGCTCAGGCCCGGGGGCAACTCCACGGCTACCGGATAATCCTTATCTTCAGTATGCTGCTTTTTGTTGCTCGCAGACAGTGTGCCACTTCCAAAAGCATCATCACTAGCCCGCTTATGGGAGCCACTCAGTTGTTGGACTAGTTGATCAAAATCCGTAAATGGGTCAAAGTCTTGACCGATTCCAAAGTCGAGAAGATCGACATCCCCTTGGTCAAGGGTCCAGGGCGTGGACAGCTGCGACTGCGATCCAGGGGAAAGTGTAAGCCCCAGATCATGGTGTGCAATGCCATAGGAATCCAATGAAGGCAACTCACAGTGCTCCATGATTTTGTCCACCGTGTAAGGAGGAGACCAGACGATCAAACACAAGAAGCGCTACTACTTCCTGTGAAGCCAGAAAGCACGTGGCTAGTCAGGCTTGACTTGTGTTGAACTAAAGGGTTCAGTGACAAGCAATGAGATTCAAGCAAAAGAAAAGACTGTCCTTTCCCATGTGTGCATTTGGGAACATCCAGGTGGATAGATGACAGTAGAAATAAGCTGCATGAGAGGACGTTTCAACGTCAGCAGGTGTGCGCGGGTACCTTTTTTTTTTGTTTACGCGGTGTGTTCTGCCGGCAAAACCCTTATCTCCTCTCTCTTTTCTATCTCTCGGACCCACTGACTCCGCCCGTTACCACTGACCGCCCTTTACAACACCGCCTTCCTAAAGTTACCATAAACTTCATCCATCAAGACCGACCGCCTTTATATCACGTGCTAGACATGGCAGAACGCGAGGATGCGCCGGTTCCACCTGAGGCTCCCGATGTCTCTGACCGCACCCTGGCCAGCAAAGCTTCCAGCGTCACCCAGTGCGATTCAGCCTCGAACGGTGTCGAACTTCCTCCGCTTACGTTCCCCCGTTGTCTTGTTTGCCCTCGAAGAATCACCCCAGGAGACCCAGCCAAGATGAGTGTCATCCTATGTACTGGTAGGTGGACTTTGGAGACTTGAGAGAGCTCCCCGCATTCTTGATGGACCTACACTAATACTTGCTGTCGCCCATTGCAGCTGGGTATGATCATACCATTCGGTAAGTTGTAACTGCCTCAAGCTCTTCAATTGTCGTGCAGCCCTTGCAATGTATGGGAGTTGATGCTGACTTGAACGTATGCACCAGCTTCTGGGAAGCACTGTCGGGCATTTGTTCGCGGACCATCCAGCACCCCGATTCCCAAGTCAATCGCCTTTGCATCACTCCGGACAAGCGTTTCCTGGCAGCGGCAGGCCACAACAATGTTAAGCTATTTGATATCAAGTCCACCAACCCTAACCCCGTCATGACCTTCGAAGGTCATACTAACAACATCACCGGAGTCGCATTTCATTGCGAGGGCAAATGGATGGTCACCAGCTCGGAGGATGGCACTGTCAAGGTTTGGGATACTCGAACTGGCAGTCTGCAACGTAATTACGTCCATCGAGCTGCGGTTAACGACGTCGTCATCCATCCCAACCAAGGTGAGCTCATCAGTGGCGACCGTGCTGGCATGGTTCGTGTCTGGGACCTCGGTGAGAGTGTCTGCACCCACCAACTGATTCCCGAGGATGATACTGCGGTACTCAGTGTCAGCGTCGCCAGTGATGGGTCTCTGCTGTGCGCTGGAAACAAAAAGGTACCCTCCATGTTTCTTGGCTTCTGGCGAACATTTTCAAGCTCACGACAGTTCTCATGTAGGGCAATGTTTATATCTGGCGCATGGCCCAGACGGATGAAACAACCCGAATCATTCCAATCTGCACGTTCCAAGCCCACAAGGACTATCTAACCCGGGTCCTGTTGTCGCCCGATGTCAAGCACCTGGCCACTTGCTCGGCTGACCATACCGCCAAGGTTTGGAACTTGGATCCTGAATTTGCGCCCGCCAAACTGGCAATCAAGGAGTGGAACGAAAAGCAAGCGCAACAGGGCCCCGCCGACAGCCAGAACGAGTCGCCCGCTCCCAGCGAGGCTAAAAATCAGAGCCATGATCTACTGCGCATCTTCGACAACATTGCCCAAGATAAGCACCTGCTGCGCATTACTGACAACACTCCCCGTGAAGAGAGCCCTCAACAAACCTTCACTCCCCAGCCTGATGGGCCACCCATGGACCCCGCCAACAACACCTTGTTCCTCGAAACAACCCTTGCAAATCACCAGCGATGGGTGTGGGACTGCGCCTTCTCGGCAGACTCGGCTTACCTGGTGACCGTTTCGAGCGACCACTACGCACGTCTGTGGGAGCTCAGCTCCGGCAACATTATCCGTCAGTATAGTGGTCATCACCGTGGTGCGGTTTGCGTTGCTTTGAACGACTACTCGGAGCCTCGCTGACAGAGCTGTTTATCTGAATTCCTTGTGTCTGGGGAGGAGTCATTTGCAACGGTGTTTCTTGGGCGTTCTCTCGGGACATAGCATGGCGTATTTCATCTAAGTATGGGGTTATATTTCCTTATGGTGGCAGTTGTCGCTTTACGTTTTCATTCTGACGGACTTGCATTATTATCACGGACCTGCGGAGATACCATTTCAAGGGTGTTGATTGGTCCAATTTCAAATATTCATATTTTTATCCATTGATCATCCCCTACTCAAATATTTCAAACGCTTCTTGCAAAATAGGCAGAGGGTAGAATTTACTGAAGGCCCGAATTCGGTTAATTCTTAACACAGTTACATCTTTGACATGAGCCCGGACGTATACACACTCAACGAAACCGAGCAGTCTGAGGACCTGATATTCGGAACAATAATAGACACGACACATCGCTCAACAAGATACAAGAGAAGAGAGAAAAAGGGCAATGTAAATAAAAGAAGTCGGGTCTCAAAATACACCACAAAGAAAACGAACGGACCAGGTCATGGCATAGATAAGAATGAATGGCATGTTCCTGGCACCGAAGGCAATCAGTCTTGCAAGTCAAGAGCAAAGAAAAAAGGAAGACAAAAGCCATTGCATCTCCGTCTTCAGTTGGTATCATCCCATTTTACCAAGAGCAGCCAGCCTCCATGGGTAGAAGAAAAACGCGCCAGCCAACCTAGTTCATGGCGAACCAAGTCACACTCACGACGACGTCCAGCCCCCGCTCTTCGGCGCCAGGATATTTGAAAGTCCACATGCCATCGCGGTTGACATCCCAGAAGGCGCCGGAGGCCGAGTGCATTCCGCGCTTGCCGGCGTTGGACTGTGTGCCGTCCGCAGCGGCAGCCTTATCGATCAGGCCCTGCTGGACGATGGTGCTGTTGACAGTGAAGCGGTAGGGTGCAGGCTTGGAGGAGTCGGAGGGGGTGGTGGCAGTAATGAGGGACTTCAGGACGGTGTTCTGCAGCGAATTTGCGTGAGATGACCGGGCAGGTGGCCGTTTGGAGGAGAGGGAGATCGTAGACTCACGATGATCTGGGAGTTCCACTCGCCAACCTTGGCATGTTCGTATTCAGTGGCGCTCTTCAAAGCGGTGTCACAGGCCTGAGTCGGGGACTTGTGTGAGCGTGGGTATTCTTTTTGGAGCATGTGGAAATGGCGCGCGACGGCCGGCGCATGGGATGCGCTTGGACATACCTCGGAGGTGATCTTGGTCAGCTCATCGACGGGAATGGGCTAACCATAACGTTGAACATATCAGCACAGAGCAGGGAAATTGACTGGAGGAACGGTATCGAGCGCTACTCTTCGACGATAGTGGGATATGATAGTAGGGACGTACCGACACGGGAGAGGTGCCCTCGACAGCCATTGTGTTTTGATATCGCAAGGAGAGTTGTTGAGATGCTAAATAGAATTAGTAGTCAGTATTGAGATAGTCAGTATTGAGAATTTAATGGTCAGACAGAAGCCCTGTAGCACCTATTTATGACTGTATCGAGCCTCGATGTCCATTAGACAGGCGCGTCCGCGGAGGCAATGCGGGGAGGCTCGAAAGCGATTGTCGGTCACTCAGGGGGTTCAGGGCAATTTTGAGGGCAACCAGCCAGATTGAATACTCACCGGTAAAGGATAATTAGGCAAAGAAAATTCTCTGGATTAGCGAAAGGTTAGACCGCAGGGACTGAGAGTTGGACCGATTGTTTTGAGAGAGTGGCATCATCGCGTGGGCGCTGCGGGTCCTGGTTGGTCGACGTTAGCGCTGTGCTTAGTCAAGAGATGGCTGTGGCAACGGCCTTTCAAGCCCACGGAGAATGATCGATTATGGAGATGCTGAAATCAGGAGAGACACTTGGGTGATTTATTTCAAATATCTATAGGTATTTGTTCCACTGGACATTGAATCTCCAAGACAACTTTATACTTTGGCGGTGATCCTGTTCCATGGACTGTATAATATGGCAAGCTGGGCAGCTTTTGCCTAGAAGAAAGTTGGAAAAAAAAGAAAAAGAGAAAAAAGAAAAAGAATAGGAGCCATTTAGAGCAACACCCTGCGGCTACTCCGGCAAAAGAATAACCTTAACCCCTCGCTGCTCGTCATGCAACTTGCGTTGCTTTGCTTGTCTTGGCGAAATATGATACCCGTTTGGGACAAGCCGCTGAGAAATCCGGCTTGCGAGGATCGGTTTTGTATACAGCGGCGGGAAGAAATGGATTAGTGAGTGATGTGTAATTTGATTTTTTTGTCATGTCTTTCACCCATTCATTTGAGAAATAAGTATAAAAACCGCTCCGTTGCCTTCTATACTGGGCCAAAGACGCAACACTACTACCAAGACTCTTCTTGAACACTCTATTGACAGCCCAGTCGTCATGGCACCCACTCTGAATGTGACACACATCGGCACTGCGACTGCTATCCTCGAGATTGATGGTGTGACATTTTTGACGGATCCATTCTTCTCGCCCGCTGGTACATCATGGTCTAATGACCTTGTTACACTCACAGTGTCTGACGATCCTGCTTTACGGCTTGATCAAATCCCTGTCATCGATGCCGTCCTACTGAGTCACGAAGACCATTTTGACAATCTGGACAATCTTGGTCGTCAGATTTTGGATGGCCGCCGGGTCTTCACTACGGTCGATGGGGCCAAGAACCTTGCTCCTCGTCCAGGTGTTCATGGCATGAAGGCATGGGACGTCTTGGATATTTCCATCTCAGGCAGGGAATTCAAGATTATTGCTACTCCCACCCAACACCTTCCTGGAGGCGAATGTACCGGGTTCATTGTGACAGGTGAACATTTTGGAAAGGGCCGCGATGGACTGCCAAATGCCATCTACTTTTCTGGCGACACAATTTACATCGAGGAGCTTAAAGGAATTGCCGATCAATATCACATATGCGCAGCGTTGATGAATTTGGGAAATGCTTGTGTTCCTAACTTCGAGGACTCGAGCAAGCCTCCGTTGCAGATCACAATGGATGGAAAACAGGCTGCCAAGCTCTTCCGCGAGCTCAAGGCGGATGCTCTTGTTCCTATGCACTACGAGTCCTGGAAACATTTTACTCAATTTGGCGATGAGTTGCGCTCGGTTTTCGAGGAGGAAGGAATTAGCAACAAGGTCCGTTGGCTGAATCCTGGAGAAAAGGTTTCTATCATCCGATGATCAAACTTGGAAGATGTTTCACGTGCTGGTGTAGGTAGTTCTATCAGACAGGCCAATACAATAAATAACCAACTACCTAGAGCTTTCTCCACATATGAACATAGAAGCGGATCGCAATCCCTTCTGCACTAACCGGTGAACAATATTCTCAAGGCACTTGTTACCGTCTTGATACCGCTTCTTATTAGTTTGGAACCATTTATACGCAACCTCAGCAGGAAATAGTGCCGAGGCGGGTCCAAACAACTTCATTTCATCTCGAAGCAGATAATCCATGCTAAAACAGATCAACTTTGCCAAACCATCGATTTCGTTGCCAACATTCTCAACGACGACGACCCTGTCAATAGTTTCGTGGAGGGTTTGTGACATATCTGGAAAATTGGAGACGATTCTGTCGATCTCCATCAGGCAGACAATGCGAAAGGCCCATAAGTGTGTGAGAACATTTGCAACGGAGATGTGAGAAAACTGTATGGGAGCTTTGGAATATCCAGAGCTCATCACTGTTCCCAATTCACTTGAAGTTGGCCACGGAAATAGCGTATCAGGACCTTGCCTTGAACGCTTCTCCCAGTTCGAGAGGCACACCAGAACTTCAATTATCCTCTCAAGTGCCGGCTGAATATCTGAAAAACATGTCTGACTGGATAATTCAAAGAGACGGTCACTTTGCTGTAGAAAAAATGGCAGGTTGACTACGTGAGTAAAAAGATCTTGAATAGGGGTTTGTTCCGATATGGAGAATGGCGTAGTGATCCAAGAAGGTAAAGCTAAGAAGGTGAGACGGCGGGACCGGATTGCTTCCGTGATCTTTATGAAGCAGTGTTAGATAGCGATAAGTTGATATAGATGAGATCCATTACGAACCAGTAATGGCCGGAATCCAAGAAACAACTTGTGTGGCACACCCGAAACAAGCGACTCGGGACCGTAGGCTCTGAATAAAGCGCCGATTGCCTGGACATGCGCCGTGAGAGCAACGATAGAATTGGGAAGCATGAGCTGGAAAGATTAGAAAGGGTGTAACATCAAAGTAGCAAATTGATAAATACCTCCACAAGGGTGAGACACATGATGGCGGGCATCATCTCGAATGAATAGCCTGTTGTGCTGAGTTTGGCACGTAATGCGCGAACAGCATCGTGGTAGCTTTGAGAAGATTCAACAATGCATGTAGTTGACTGGCCACTATATGATAAAATTGAAGTTGCCAGGGCTTTTGTTGCCTGAAACAGGATTGAAGCCTCCGAGGACAGACATGGTAGTGTCGGGAGTACTTCGACCCAAGCCCCACATATTCGAGGCCCCCCGAGATCTAGACTGATCATGTCTGCAGAACTGCATATTTCAGGTACATATTCGTGCTTCACTAGCTCTGCAAAATCTGTGGCCTTTGGACACACAAGGGGCAGAGAGATCGATTGCAAGCCTGGATAATCAATGGGATTTCGTTGATTGCTACTCTGAGTTCTTTCAAGAGACTTGGAGCAGCGTTTCACAGAAACCTGAGAATTTTGCCTTTTTGGTGCAGGATCCTGTCTCAACTGTCTCTTTATCGAAACAGAGGAGCTGGTCCAGGGACCAGAGCTCACAAAAGTCCAGTCACTTCGATAACCGTCACATGTTCTTCCGGTAAGAACGCATTGGGAACATCCTGGGAGCTTCCCATCACACTGATAATATTGTTAATGACGATAATCATTTATTTAATACACAAAACATACACCTAATTTACGGGTACGGCATGTTTGGCACACCGATCTCTGTTTGACCTTCATTTCGCCTACCCAAAGAGTGTGGCGACATGCTCAGGAAATATGTGTTCGAAAAGTGACTTGAAGAAGAGGATGATATGAGTGGGCATTAACAGTACAATGTTTTGAGGCTGATTCGTGATAGATTAAGAACTAGGATTAAGAGAGAAATAAAAATGAGAGTCTTTCCAGTGCGCCTGAATGCCCACAGGTTGTGGCGGTACATGGCAAGTCTTGGCGGAATTTGATACCGGATTAGGTTAGCACAGAGGCCATTGTGGCGACCAACACGAGTCATGCCGCAAAGCTCCAAGATAGATATAAAATATAGGCGATGAGATAAAAGGAGTTCAAGGTGGCACAGGCTTCATTAAAAAGGTATTTATCTGCTACAATATCATTTAGTGGCATAGCAATCCCTGAGGACCTCATCTGAGCTTTACTGAACTCCACTATGCTAACTATGTCAAGCGCAAATCACAAAGGGTGGGGATGCACCACCCTCTAATCCTAACATTTGGTGTTGATGAAGTGGTTTCACAGGATTCAATGAGAAACCCATTGTTTGCACAATCTCATTATATTAAGCTATGCAATAATAAGAGAAAAATTCTGCAGTGAGAGCCTAATTATAGATTCCGACCTAGATAGGTCCCCGATACAGACAAAGCATTTTGATTCAATACGGACCCTTTCAATCATATCTCTCTGTTCAATTTGCCTGCTTGTAGTGACAGTTTATAAGAATAGCAAGCACATGAGATTGCTTCCATGATGACACCCGCGCTTACAATGCGCCTATCACCTCCACCATATGCGAACTGGCGGAGGGCCAGGTCAATAATCACCACAGAACAACTTCTTGCTACTCTCAATATACAAAAGATGGTAGTTCTCCTCATACTATGGAAAAAAAGGGCATAATGAAAAAAAAGGTCATTATGCCCTAATAGATAAATGCAAAAAATTAAATAGCAAAACGGTTCAGTGGCACGTATGTGAGGAAAGCCAACCAGGACATCTTCAAGCCAAAGGGACTGCATGGGCAGATCTAAGACAGAGAATAAGCTCCGTCGGACTGGTATTTCAAGCGATGCTGCTATCTTTGCCAAAGGAAGTAAGCGCATTCTCTACCCAGCGCACGGAAACGAGATAGTTCGCTAATTTGGACAAGGTCAATCCAGGTGATTCATACTAGCGCAACCTTCAAAATCGGAGAAGTCTAGAGAAAGGTTTCATGCATTTCCCAAATATTGTGTTGTAATATATGGAATTTTCTAAACGATTGGTAAAAGAGTATTAGTCAATGACTTCATAGACAGTGATACCTAAATTGGATATCATTTGAGCATCAAGAAACCTTACTCTGATTGCTTGTCGCGGCATATTCCCTGTTCGCCCAATTTCAAACCCATGGGAATCGGCAACTAAAGACATTACAGCATCCAGCCATGGTTTGTAGACATTAGAATCGTAGTCACCGAGATGCAGATATGCGACATTTAGCGGGAAAATTAGCGCAAAGGCCCCAGAGCTTCGACGGAGGGAATGGAGTTGATACTGTGCCATGCGGCAAATTTCAACCGCGACATCGTGTCTCGTACCCTGTATCGGTAAAAGGGGATCACTGGGAGATGTTTCTGATGACGACAAGTTGACTGGTACACCGGCCATTTCAAGTGATCGGGTAATAATCAGGCGCTGAGCGTTATAAATTGATAATTCTGTAGCCCGGAACGCATCTTGAAACCAGAGGATAGTTTCAAACGGAGTAGGAGGCAATGGCAAATTTAGCTCTTGATCAACTGCATCAGAAGGGATCGCGTATGATGCGTTTGGAAACTGCTTCTCCCAGTCCCAGCGCCAGGAGAAGAGCGCCTGGAGCACTGCCAAAGCGCGGGAGCAATAAGAGACTCGGAAATCTTCATAGCCAGAGGCATCAGCGTCCCATTTCATCAGCTTATCCGTGTCTTCGATAATCCCCGGAATATCGCAAAGTATATCATAGAGTCTATCAAGGGCCGTTTTGGTATGAATTCCACGCTGAGCCCAAGGCACGGTTTTCCACTCGCGAGACTCGAGAAAACAGCGTTTCCGGTCAACAATACAGCCAATCGCCTGCAACATAATGAGAATTTCACTGCAGAATTATACAATAAAAAATTACGAGAGCTTACAATGCAAGATCTCAAAGTTGGATATACCGCAAACCCAATGCCCGATTGATGGCGCTCTGGTCCTCTCATGGCGGTCTAGTCAGAAGTCAGTCACATAGCAACTTGAAGTATTCGCGGCTGCTCACAACAGACCAATCGAGCTAAACCCTTGTAGTGTTGCAGCCATCCCGCAGGTTGCGTGAAGGCGACCAACTCGTAGACCCCCATTACAAGGATGGCGACGAGAACATCATCTTCTAACATCAGGTCTCGGTGTTGCAATTGGGATCGCAGAGCCTGAAGAGCCTGGGAGTAAAATCTGACACCCTTATGCACGAGTTGTGTTTCATGATGGATTTTACCAAAATAAAGTGTCGCCAGGGCACGAATGGATGTAGACGAGAGCATCCTGTCTTCTTCAACTGGCTCTAACAATACAGAGACCCATGACACTGAATATGGCGAGGAAGGATCTTCGTGCCAGGTGAAGAGTCTGTTCATAAGATGCGACGTGAAGACACTTTGCTCATCCCATGCCGGAGGCTTTTCCAGGGACAGAAATGGAAAAGCAGTGACTGAGCTTTCTGAGATGCCCAGGTTGGTACTGGCTGGTTGACTACGGTATAGGTGCTGAACTGCTTTTTGAGGTCTGGCTTTCTGATATTTGGAAGTAATGGACAGGTTCACAAACTCGGGATATGGATTATAGCCCTCACACTGCAGATTTGATTTGCAACAACGCTCACAGTTTGGTTTTGCTTCGTCTGAAATCCCGTTAGCGCAGGGAGGTCGGGGGCTTTGTTGAGATGGACGGGGACCATCGCACCGCACTTGACTTTTCTTCGTCGGCAAGTCTTGCAGCCTTTGCTGCGACCAGGGACTCCACCCATCGCTACCTCGGGGAGAATAAGGGCCTATAGAAATCTTTGTATTTCATTGGGGGTCGTCGAGGAAAAAGACGGCTCTCTCTTTCCCACTCTCATTCTGTTTCTCGGGCGGAAGTAAGCCGGTGGGTCCAAGTGGGGGCTACGTACGATCATCACAGAACACAAATCGGGCAAGGCCCAGATGCATGAAGATAGCGATAGCCCCGCATAGTCGACCATCTCGAGAAAAGTTGGCTTTGGCACTTGCTGAGAAGGTTAAAATGCTTAAGAAATTAAGTTAACCGGACCGGGCTGCTATTCTACTGCCACCTGCTGGGTTGAGACGGCACGGGACGACCCAGAGAAGTCCTTGGGGACCCCCATTGGTCATGTTGGTCATCTTTCTGATAGGCATTTGATGAACGCCTGTATTTGGTTCGAGAGATGGATATTTCTCATCTATGTGGCTTTGTATGCAGCGAGGGCGGTTTGCAGGATAGAAAACTTGAATATTTTCAGGGCGATAGAGATTGGTTGTGCCTAGCTTTCAAGTCAGCGTGATGACGACGAAGGAGATATAGCCCCCTAGGATTCAAGGATACTTTTTACAGATTCAAAAATACAGTATCGGTGCCAATAGTGGCTTGGATAGGCCTTGACGTCTTGGGGAAGCCGGAAAATGTTGTCTTTTGGACGAGACCCCTGGTAACTCAGTCACTGATGAACGAGTTATCACTAGGAAGCTCTCGTGATTGAAGGAAAATCTTTGTTCCTATCAAATCTTTGGACAATCTGAACTACTGATAGACCTATAATTTAAGGGACAATGTGAAAAGGAATGAAATAATTCGAACTTGCAATTCACAGCATTCAACTTAAGCCATCTAGTTGACTAGGGAATTATCTTTGTAGTCTCCATCAATGAGAGAAGTTTTGGCATCAACTGTGAATCGCCGCTTTGTATAGCACCAGGGATTTCCTCACCTTTGAGAACCCTCAGGAGTTCCCTCTTGGTAAGTTTCATCGTCAAACCCGATGATCCAAACAATTCTTCCTTCTTGGATGCGTTCCGGTAGGTTAAAGTGGCGTTGCTGACGTTGAGCCTCCAAAATTCTTTCTCGTCAGTAACATGTAATTCGATCGCAAAAACCTCTCCCGATGCTTTGCAGCCGTCAATATGGATAGAGAGCAATGTGAACCATTGGTTGACTGTTTGTGTTGGCTTGAGTTCGATGCTTGTCTTCTGACGGGGCATCTTTCCGCCAGGCAGTTGAAGCCGAGCACCGGTCAAGTAGAAATTACGCCACGTGCCATTTTCTGTTGCATAACCCAGTTTTCTATAGACGGACGCCAATGAAGTTTGGGACTCAGCATGGTTTGGATCGAGAGCAGTTGCATGGCCTAGTAGAGTTGCGGCAAATCGAAGGTCGCCTTCTGATTCGAATTTCTTTGCTTTCAAAACCACTTCATCGATTCCGCCCATGCAAGCAACATATCGTTTGGCGCTTTCCTTTGGGGGATGCTCCCAAAGATGAGCCGGATTCCCATCAAACCAGCCCATGTATCGCTGATAGATGCCCTTCACGTTGTGGCTCACGGATCCATAAAAACTCTGCGCAGACCACGACTTTTGTAGCGAAGGCGGAAGGCTCAGACGCTCGGCAATCTCGATACCAGTAAGACCGTGATTCATCAGGCGAACTGTCTGGTCATGGAGATATGCGTAAAGATCTCGCTGAGCAGCGATGAAGTTGATGATCTTATCAGAGCCCCATGTAGGCCAGCCATGGCCGGCAAAGACAACATCCGAGTATCGTCCATATAAAGTCAAGGATTCATCAAGATACTGGGACCAGGCTTTAGCATCCCGGACTTGAGCGCCGCGGAGGGTGATGATGTTGTGAAGACTATGCACTGCACATTCAGCGATGTAAAGTGCTTTGTGATTCGGAAAGTAAAAGTTCATTTCCGACGGCGCTTCAGATCCAGGCACAAGTTGGAACAAAATCCGAACACCGTCAAAAATGCGCTCTTCGCCAGTCTGGCGAATGCTCAAGCTTGGCGGAATTAGCGAATTGACGCCGGTCGGGACGCACATGCCTAACCCACATCCAATTTGGCTGTCCGGAGCCTTAGGAAGAAAGGTCCCATACATGAAGGCTGCACGTCGACGCATTGCATCGCCGGCGTAAAGGTTTTCGCTTGTTGCCTCCTCCATAAACCCTTCGGGGGCAATGATAGGAACGCCGTGGTTCTCATTGGGTGGTAATACGCCCAAAGCACCACCGAAGTGATCGATATGTGAATGCGAATAGATGACGCCTGTGACTTTTCGATCTCCTCTATTTTTTCTGTAGAGGGCGAGGGCGGCGGCCGCAGTCTCCACGGTTGTGAGAGGGTCGATCACAATGACACCTTCATTTCCCTCCACAATTGTCATGTTGGATAAATCGAAGCCGCGTATTTGATAGACACCTCGAGTCACTTCAAATAGGCCTTGAATCGACGTAAGCTGTCCTTGTCTCCAGAGCTTCGGATTGGCAGACTCTGGACATTCCCCGGACAAAAAGTTATACTCTTCATTGTTCCAGATGACTCGCTCGTCGACACCACGGATAATGCATGGATCGAGAGCGTCAATGAAGCCCTGCTTTGCGTTCTCAAAATCCGTCGTGTCTTCAAAAGAAGGTTCGAATTGTTGGTTCGCCATGACTCAAAGTTGGAGAGAAGTGTGTTGACAAAGTGATGCTGTAATTCGGTTTGACGTAATGGTGGCATTTATACCCGGAAGAATGAATGGGCCCAACCACAAGTGATGGAAACATGCCATCGCATCATATACCACATTTTGCCTAGCTTATTTCTACTTGGAAAGATGGTTATTCTATAGTGACGCCTCTTATTAAACTCCGTTTACCGATAGGCGGGGCCGCTAAAAGTGGATGAATTAACGCCGACATCCGTCAGTTACCTGATGGGGAAATAGTTTCGTAAGGCAACGAAAAACATCACATCATCGGATAAGCTTGATATGCGTTTCCATGAATTAAAAGACATTTGAACTATGGAGTGTGGAGGTCTAAGGTCTTCCGCATTCTTTTTTTAATAATCCAATGTACCTCAATCACATTGTTTCTGTGTCGGAGGATTCAATATGTGTACTGGAATCCCGGCAAACCATCAATCACGTGCTCCCCACGAGCTACCTTCCTGTTCAAGACATAAAATCGACTAGAAAGCAGCGTCACAATCACAATTATGGTTACAGAAAGTCCGATACACGTCAGAATACCAGGATGGTAGGTTGGAGAATCCTGCGAGCGATAAATCAATGAACCGGTCATACCACCTGAAGCACCAAAGCCAACAAAAATAGCGCTGGAAATCGCTCGTTTCCATTGTCCCCGAAGATTATTGGCCTTTAATTATAGTTAGCAAATTTCAAAGGGAAATCTGAAATCTATCATAACCAACCTGGTACGCCATTGCAGCTGGGATGTTTGAGTTTGCACCCATCGTGGTCAAAAAGGCACCAACAAGGCGAGACGCATTGCCCTTGGTAAATCCCTAATGTAGATTAGCATGTGACTTATCTTGCGGAGTCTCTTTATTCCACTCACCATAAGAGGAAGACCGATTATGGTGAGTATTGCATTGAAAACTAGAATAGGCCCCCGAATATGGTATCGATCGCCGAGCCATGAAGTCGCATACATAAGAATGCCAGCTGCAGCATATGGCGGAGCAAACAGACAAAGAGAGGCGCCCGTGGAGAACCCCATTCCTTTTTGATAAATTATGGGAAGGAAGTAAGATATCGCGTAAGCCGTTGTTGTCGTTGAGAAGTAAATCAATCCGAAGGCCCAGATGTTGACGTCCAGTCCCGCACGAAGATACTTTTTCAAATTGAACGGCTCCAGATTTGCATCTGCACGGTCTTTTGTGATGCGTCGCATAATGAAATCGTATTCATTATTCGACAAAAATTTTCGCTTACTTCCTTTCATCCTGTCGGGGAAATCAACGAGGACAAAGTAGCTAACTGTAGCTACAATGCAGGTGATGATTCCTTGGATAATGAATATCCACCGCCAAGCTGTGAGTCCACCCAGTCCATGCTGGTAGATGTCAGTCAAAGTAACTTTTTCGAGTCGAGGGACTCGGCCTACCATAAACGTAATGCCATAAGAGAGAATGCCCGTGAAGGCAGATGCTACACAACCCAGTAGATAAAATATCGCGTATCGTTTCTGGATATCATATCGGGTATACCAAGTCGAGATGAGATAGACGGAGGCGGGAAAAAAACCAGCTTCGAGAGCACCAATAATAACCCTGATACCAACCAGCTCCGTCCAATTCTTGACAAATCCAGCTGACAGCTGCAATTGAATTAGAAACCACAATTTAAATGAAGATATGTCATTATCATACCATGACGACACCCCATATGAAAACGACCACGGATAAATAGTTAATAGGCCCAATTTTGCGCACCAAAATGGGGCCAAATATCTGTAGGCAAATATAGGGAGGGAAAAAAGCCACTGCAATTGTACTCTGGTAATGTCTTAGCTTCTTGCCGTACTCAAAATTCAAGACCATGACTGACATATTGTGTGCCATGAAGGTGAAGTTCTTCTTCCATACCAGCAACGGCGGCCGTGCCTAGATTTCCTCGGTCAATTAGTGATACCGTATGGAGGAATCCAAGCATCAGGACCAAGCGAGCATCAATATGATGGATAATCTTGCGCTGCTCGCGGTGAGAATAGACAGGATCTTTATCGAGGGTATCCATAATGGGCTTCTGCGACTCGACAGGCTCTACTTGAGCCTCTGATGCTTTTCCCTCACTCATGAATTCGATGGAAATAGAAAAAAGTACTTGATTTTACATTCACTAGTATGAAGGGTTCGGAAGGCTACCCTGGTATGTCCAGGAAGATATAGAAATATTGTCCCAGCAAATGGAGAAGAAATGGCGAAATATGGGGAAGCTATGTAGCAATACACACATTCAATTGCCAAGGTATAGTTTGAAAGCAGCTCGGCATGAGTTTTGTGGGGTAATTCATAAGGTTGTGAACCTTTGTGACCCCGGATTTAATTACATTTTACTTGATTGGATGCAGGTGAAAGACATGCCCCGCAGAGGCTGGTGGATCTTTCGGCTCATCGGCGTTTGGCATACTGGTGAAGCCTCGGGGGATCTTCCTATCGCCGATTCTGATTGATTTCTCTTCATTGAATGCCAGATATACAAATTTTGCAGGCTACCTACCAGTTCTTTTCTGGATTGCAATCAGTTGCCATCTTTCAATTATATTGCGTGACTAAATTTGAGAAATTGCTACAGAATTCCGAAACATTCGAGGAATGTTGGTTTCTTACTCTGTACATACTATGTACGATGATTTTTTTCGGCTTCTCCATACATCGCCTTGTGATTACTACATATGCGATATTCATGCAGCTCAATATAACATTTTGTTGGTATTTGAGATCAATTGAGCACAATATAAATCGCAATAACAGATCCTTTTGGAAACTCGAAAAGTGATAGCCCTGGATCGGGCTCAGCCCGAGGTGGTCGCGCTTGCGGGGAAAGAGCAGGGCTGGCCGACTAGTGCCATAGTATGAAGTTATGGCCTCATAGGATAGGTTTGTTGCGTGATGGTCATTCGTTCGAGGTCAAAAAGTGATGTGGAATATGTTCTTGGCAGCATGTTCTTAGCGCCGAAAGCCGACAGTACTCAGTTCTCCAGCTAGCAGCGCAATGTAAATCAAAAGTATTTAGAAGTTCCATGATTTCTCCATGCGCATGCTATGTGATGATGCATTCTTAAATTTCCCGGCATATCTCTCAGCGTCAAAACACACTCGCTAGAATATTGCACTACTTCAAATACAGCGAACCCCTATGAACAACATGCAGCTCCTAGCACGGCAACATTCAGCGGGCTCACTTGAGAAGTTCAACCCTGTTTTGGTAACCCCAGTAATTGGGAATGAGTTTACCAAAGGCACCTGCAATATTGTCGATGATATTCTTCATGCACCTGATGCCGAGCAGCGCATCCGTGATCTAGCAATTATGAGTATAGCAACCCTCAGTCACTGCAAAGATCCAGGAGCTCTTGACTGACAATTGCTCTATACAGTTGCCGAAAGGGGTGTCGTTTTCTTTCGTGCTCAAGATAACTTGACAAATGATCTCCAGAAGGAGTTGATTCTCCGCATGGGTCAGCTTACCGGTCGCCCAGCCACTCATGGTCTACATATACATCCCGTCACGAATGATGCCCGCGAATTCGGTGATCCAGATCCTGCAATTAGCACCATTAACTCGGAAGGCCGGAAGAAGCTTTACAAGGAATCGGACTATACTAAGATGGCTGCTGTTTGGCATTCGGATATCTCGTTTGAACCAGCCCCTGCAGACTTCTCCTCGCTGAGATTAACGCAGTTGCCCAAGACTGGAGGAGACACTTTATGGGCATCTGGCTATGAAATTTATGATCGAATAAGCAAACCATATCAGAAATTTCTGGAGACTCTTACGGCGACCCATGACGGCGAGGGTTTCCGGCGCATGGCCCAGTCTGGCAAATTTCAACTCTATGAGAAGGAGAGAGGATCGCCGGAAAATACTGGAGGAGATCTTTATGCAATCCACCCGGTCCGTTCAAAGCGATCATTCCATTTAGGATTCACCCTCACTGATTTGTCTTCCAGGTTGTCCGAACAAACCCGATCACAGGTTGGAAATCTATCTTCCCGATCGGTAATTTTTGAGGTTTCTCTGGAATCAAACTTCTCAGATTTGCTAATTTTTCCGTTCTCAAGGATCATTTCCCTCTTGCATCAACGGGTTGAATCGTAGGGAAAGTGCGAATATGCTGCAGTGGTTCCACGATCTTATTACATATGGACATGATTTGCAGGTTCGATTCAAGTGGAGCGAGCCCAACGACATCGGTATGTACCAATCAAGTAATTGGATTCATAAGCTAATCAAACACAGCCATCTGGGACAACCGATGCGTCTTTCATACAGCCACTGGAGACCATGAGGGCTTTGGACCCCGGAGCGGTAATCGAGCCGTTGGCGTTGGAGAAGTGCCTTATTTCGACCCTGAGAGCAAGTCGCGGCGTGAAGATCTGGGGATTATGGGTGATCTTGCCTCTTGTCATCTCTAATTAACAATTAGAATCCCATGTATGCGTATAATTATATTCTGGTGGAATGATGAGAATAATGTGATGCACTTTGTATTTGGTCAAAGACATAATTCTAGCTTTACGTTATTCAATTGGTATCCATGATGCACATGTGCTGTGTTTCCGTGAAATTCACCCAAAGTGCTGGAATATAGGTAGGTTGAATGCGTCTGCAGCCCAAAAGTCCTCAGTAAAGATGCCATGGAAGGGACGTGCCATCTCATGATTACTGCCCAACAGACTATCTTGGAGATCGATTGAAAGATCCTGAAGATCCCGAAAGAGATCAGGATCATGGAATCCAAAAAATTCTGCACCCAGGCCGTGAGATTCATTCTCTGCCATCTGTGGTTCAAAGTTCTGAACATTCGCCGATGCGGTTCCCTGTACCGTCTGGTTTGATTCGGACAGTCTAAAATCTGAGGTATTTTTCTCACCAAGTTTTTGAGTCTCAGACCATTCTTGAACGAAGTCCATCGCACGATTGATTATTGATTCTAAATAATCTCGATAGCTTTTCACTCGCGAGTTCCGCTCTGCCATGACAAACAAGGCAGAGGAACAAGCACGAAGGTCATTGGACACCGTAGGGGTCCAGAGGCCGGGTGACCGGAACAGGCAAAAGCTATGCGAGATTTAGATCATCTCTGAGTATAGTTTCAACGCTCGACCAGTGTCACTCACCACATCGTGATTCCGGCCATGAAAATCGAATTAATCAGTAGAAAAGAGTAGCCAGATGAATCTCTCTGACGCAACTTCTTGAAGAACTGGCACATCTGCCCAGACGTATATAGGCAAGTGCTGAGAAGCTTGTCCTGGGGGCTTATGATGCCGATGAAGGGTTGTAATAAGATACGAATGGAGTTATTCCAGTGCATGTGCACAAAATCTCCTTCGTGCAAGTCGAGAGAAGACAAAGTCCTCTTGAAATCTTCCAATGAAGACAAAAGAGGAGCAATCTCTGGTACCAAAGTTGAGATATGTTTATCAACTCGATAGATTCGCGTGTGAATTTTGGATACGATTCGTTGCAATTGAATCGAAGCAATAAATCTTCCAAGGGTTCCTTTCTGCGTTTTCTCCGGAATACCTAAATTGTTGATGAGTTGTTCCACTACATCGTTATTGTTTATGCAGTCATCTATATTATGGGGAGGCAGGGTATCAATTTCCTCTTCTGGAATGCTAAAAGGCCTACCCAAGGACCATGCTGTAGATCTTTCGATGATATAAACGCTCCAAAAGAGTCGACGGCGGAGCTCTGCCTCGTAGGGCTGAAGCCTTCTATATCGTGATTCTCTGTGAAAGCCGAAATCGACACAGGTTCTCATGGCCAGTCCAATCATGTACCAAACACTTGAGTTGGATGTAGATCGTAAATTGTATAATACCATCAGCAACATGGCCTCTATACTGGCCACCGAAATCGATTCTCTCAGGGTAGCATCGAATTGCAGCGCAGTGACCAAAAAGGCGCTCGGGGGCGTCGAGTCATACGTTTCTGTCATTTGACAGATTTCAGCTCCAATGGCATAAATCATGAATAATTTAAATTGACCGAATTGAGCCTCCGGTGTTGATCCAGGGGCTTGATGCCGCGTAGCGTGCAAATCGAGAATCTCGGTTCGATTCACAAATGGGAGTCGGACATGCATGTTATTGAAATAACCGTTCAGAATTTGGGATCCGGTGATATCATTTGGCGGCACCGCCTTCGTGGCCTCGCCAATCGATATGGTCATATCGGATTCGTGGCTACGGTCATTGATGGGGAGCAGCTTGGTCCCGACCGTACGATGCACGATTTGATGGACATTTTCAGCCATCGAAAGACCGGAAGAAGGCCCGAGATAAGGGGGCTCTTCATTCACTCCATGGCTTAGAGTCAAAAAACGGATGACGCCGCCTAAATGGCGCTCGCTCATATCAGGGGTCGTGTCCGCCCGCCTCGGCATACGACCCTGCTCTCTGGCCGGGTCGGGTAGATTGCTCTCCAACGAAGCAGCGAGCTGGGCTTCGAGAATCTCAATTCTATGCGCCAGCGCACCTTTTGACATCCCATGGTGCCATGACGGGGAGCTCTCGGAACGCGAGCAAGATTGGTTTGCAGATTCACAATTGGCACAAGTGGGGAAGCCGACACATTTTTGCTTTCGGCGGTGACAGCGTCGGCATGATTTGGGAATGCGCTTCCGAATTCTCGATTCCAGGTCCATGAGAGCAATAAAATAGCTTTCTGGGTGTGTTTGGTGGCAGCTTGAAGCGCATGTACTGCTTGCATCCAGATTGCGGTCCAATGTTGCGGTGTGGGCTCCTACTCGGCAAGTCTTATTCCGGCCTCCCGCATTCCTCACATTGTAGTTAAACCTGACGTACCCCTCCACGCTGTCATCTTGTCGGTATTAATAACGATCCATAACTCTTTGGTCAAGCGGAATCATATTTTCTCTATCCTGAATAATCCGCTAGGCCTCAGATATTTCTACACGGTACCCGATTCTCTCGGCATAAACAGGGAAGCGTATAATTATGACTAGGGGCTCCGGCAAGGCAGGGTAGTATATTACTGCGTATCTTCTAGACCAAGGATATGAGATTCTCAACCTTAAATTGATCTCTCTCGTAGAAGAACTCGCGGATCGCGTTTCTATGATATGCGTTGATCTAGCCGACAGTAGCTGGGTATATAGTGTATTTACGTTATCCTTCTACCTAAAAAAGCTATTTCGTGAACCTCCGAGCTTGGTTACGGACTTAATTATCGAATTTAGCGGGGTATTCTTCTAATATACTTACACCTGATAACGAAATATTTGAAGTAAATACGCTGTCTATCTATAATATCCTCGAAGCGGTATTGAAGGTGAATATCAAGATAATTATTAATAGCTTAATTACTATCTATAGTATGGGCTATACAGAGGGCTATATAGACTACGTATCGTTTCCCGTAGACGAAGACGTTAATATTAACCTAATATATATACGTATATACTAGGATTCTGCCAGAATCATCCGTGGCAGATGTGCTATGCACGACAACAGCTGGCTAAATTTGATTCGGTTATCATACATACTTGAAAGTAAGATAGGTTTAGTAATGTCATGGAAGAGAGTATTGATCTCCGCAAACATTGCATCTCCGATGCAGATCGCAAGACGTATTTAAGAGAGACACCCCTTGATCTCCATTCGGCTTAGCGATGCACATTATATTGCTGCCAGAGGATTGCAGCAATACCACCTATAGCAAAGATGCTTCCCATGATCACCTTTGGAGAAATGCTGCTGCTAGACTCAGTGCTGGACTTTGGCAGGTCTTTGTCCTTTGCAGGCAATGGCAGATATTCCAACCAAGGGCCGCCTCTGGAAAAGCTGGCGTACAAGTTTGCCTTCAATTTGTCACTGACAAAAGGCACAATGTGACGAGCTGCAAATTTGAGGATCCAAGTATCTTGGGCTTCATAACGTGTAATCTGCCCTGAGAGATCGACCACTGTTTCGGCCCGAGGTCGCTGTCCGGTGATATATTGATCGAAAACCTCATTCAGCTGTTCAAGAGATGGCATGGGTGTCTCTTTCAGCAAAGGCACAAGCCCGTTGGTGAATCGAGCAATTCCCTCGTAGGCCAAGTTACCACCTAATCCAGGGTTGACAGTTGACTACCACGATCGAGAAAGTTAGCGCACTGTTTCGAGTCATCACCTTGTAAATAAGATCCGGTGATACGAACCTTGTGCACTGCGTCACCCATCAGAACGACCCGATTGTGACTCCACTTTTTGATAATGCCTTCCTCGAGGGGTACCATCGTTGCCTTGACTCTCGCATCCCATAGATCGCGAATGGTATATCCAGGGCCCACTAGAGAGCTTCCATATTTCTGAATAGTTGCCTCTGCATCCTCGTCTGTGAACCGTGGGCAGTTGGGAGTTCTGGTGAGCTTCGAATTCTTAACGAAAAGGAACCAAAACACAAGCCCGCGCACGCCAGCAGCGGAAACTGCTGAATATCCATCATAGTAGACATTGTGAACCATCGCATCGGGCAAGAGTTGCTTCTCTGGCCCATTTCGAGAAACCGCAAATATGCAGTTGTACTCGCTTGTGAAAGCTTTTGTTGCAAAGGAAAGTTTAAGTCCACGAAGTCTAACGGTAGCAGAGATTGAGATTGTGTGGACGAACCTTCGTTGATCTCACTGGCAAGGGACTGGTCCACCACGCCGATCTTGTCAGTCATTAACTTTCGGACTTTGCTGTGAATTCCATCGGCGCCTATAAGAATGTGGCCCTGGTGTTTCTCGCCATCTTCGGTGGTGACAATAACGCCTTCCGGTGTCTCCTCGTAGGCGACAACAGCGTTTCGAGCATGCAGCTTCGATTTGTCTTTCACGTGGTCATGCAGCGCTTCCAAGGCCTTACATCGCTCCATAAAGATAATCGGACGCTCAAGACTATAATAAGCCCCCAATATCATTAGCATGCTTTTCATTCGTTTTGGAAGACCCCGCCAGACCCCGCGACAAATTACCATCCACGTAGACCTACATTTTTTCGATGTCGGCAAGTACATGCGACTCCTCAAAACACTGTCCGGCTCCATCATAATGGTTGCGATTCTGCAAAGGCACAACTTGCTTTTCAATGTCCTGCCAGACTCCCAACTGCTCTAGAATTCTGATTGAATGGGGATGAAGTCCAATTGATGCACCCAATTGCGGTGCGAAGTCACCCTTTTCGAAAAGCTCATAGTTGATTCCAGCATGCTCGAAAGCTAGCGCCAAGCCGAGCCCCACGAGACTCCCACCGGCTATGAGGACTTTGAAGTGGTCTGGATTTTCATTTGACGAATCCATCGTTAGACGTGATCAAAACTACCAGAGGTGCGAAGGCGACGCCAAGTTTAGAGTACCTAATAGTTCTCTAGGTGGGTTAACAAATCATAAGGGGCTAGCCAATAATATATATCCCCATGAGGCCCCTTTTCTTCATGATTCGGAGTAGTCGCGCCATCGTTTTGACGCCTCCTTAGCCTTTAACGAATAGGCAACATTTTGGCCTAAAAAAAAGCTAGTTCAGCCTCCAAATTAGAGGCAATGAAACGGCCACTGATTCGCTTCACAAGATGGAGGAAGGCAAATTGCTGGGAAACCGGGAAAACTATCACTCCACCCATTACCTAAACAGGAAAGGCACAGGAAGGTTTATGTTATGAGTATGTGTATTATTCCTGTGCGAGTTAGGGTCAATGGATTATGCTCGGCCATACCCTTAGCTTCGGGTTCTAGCCCGTCTTTTCCCCCCGCAGGGCGAATTTTAGAGGCTGAGACTGACAGGTGGCGGTCACAAACGGATAGACCCACTCACTTCGACCAGTTAGAAGAGGCCTGAGCTTTCCTCTACGAGAATCTCGTCCCGTGTTATGCATAAATCGCCATTCATTCTCAACTTTCCCATTATACGGAGTACGAATTACGGATAACCAGCCGCTAAAATTTTGGGACCTCGATTTGCAGGATTCTATGCCGCTAGTAAATCCGCAGATCCCTATCCGATAATGCTTGTTATCCCTCTCATCTCGCCAATCTCAGCATTTTTCATGGAGCAAACATAAAACCTCTGGGGTTATACCCATTTTAATCTATATTTATCTATTGTTTGAGTTCACGCTAGAGCTTCGCCGACGAGGTAGGAGCTCGGAGTACGCGGCGTACACTCCTCCTAGTCATACGGAAGGCTTCCGAGCCTAAACGCTATGTAGGTGCATGCACGGTGGGTCGAAGCCGAACCGGTCCTTCCCGTCATTTCCATCTCCGAGGTATCTCTTTCTACCTCCGATACGGTCTACATATTACTCCCTGGCGAAAATGGTCAGGCCCTCGTGTGTAAATTGGCCCGACCGTTACCACCAGTGTATGGTAAATGTACTCCACAGATCCAAGAACAAATGAAGATCTGCATCTGCTATGGATTGTTTGAGAATAGGGTGCAAAGTATTCGCAGATATGAGACCCTAAAAGGATTTAGGGCGTTTTCCCGACATTTGTGGAGTACTTAGTCCAGATTACTAAAAAACCGTTTCGTTCTTCAATGATTGTTGTCAGTGTGAAGCGCCTCTCACGACTCCTAACCTCTTGAAGGTCTGTCCAGCGCAGCCAACATGCTGAGAGAGCCCCAATCATCATAATCGCTATCATGTCCACTTCGACGGCCCTGGAACCCGAGGAGCAGTATCTGCAGTCACTCACTTATGGATTGATTATCGCGACTGCAGTCTTGTCGTTGATTGTCTGCAGCGCGAGAGTAAGACCGACTGGCTCATTGACTTGAGAAATGCCTACAGCCTTCACATAGGAGCTAATGATCTCTCTGTAGCTATATACAAGAGCAGCTATCACCAAGACATTTGGATCAGACGATATTGCTGTGTGTGTAGCGTTAGTACGTCAGGGTTTGAGCTTTGCAGCCCTAGATCATGTGGAGAAATTGACATTATGGCTTCACAGTTTATTACGCAGACATTCAACGGGCTTGGAATTGCTGTAGTATATTATGGAGAAGGGCGACACTTCATCAATGTGTCTTCAGAGGACCGAGAAATCTGGCTGAAGGTATTTTCAACATTCCCCTCTTTTCACTTGTTGGACCAATATACTGACTCTCCGGCCCTAAAAAGCTTTATTATGTAGCGATGTGCATATATTTGTACGCCTCGCTTTCAGTGAAAATCAGTCTTCTCTTATTTCTCCGGCGCATCTTCGTTAAAAGTATGTCCCTCGATTTCATGATTTTACAGCCTCCAACGATATTACGAGAGTGCCCCGGCGCTAACAATAATGTGTGACCAGCTTGGATGAATTGGCTTACTGCGGGATTGATGATATTTCAAGTTCTATTTTCAGTCTCCGGATCTTTTGTCCTGGCTTTCCAATGTGACCCCGCACGGTTCGTACAAACTCCTCTTCCCCAAGAGCGTCTAATTACATATATTAACGTGCCCTCTATATAGAGGCGCCTTCGACCTGTCTATTACGAGTGCGAAATGCTATTCCCAATTCAAACTATACCAGATCACACTGTACCAGGCGGTTCTGATCTTTGTGGGTGATGTGATTATTTTGCTTGCGCCGATGCCGATTTTGTGCGCACTGAATATGCCGACAAGAAAGATTGTTGCTTTGATGGCAATCTTCGGAACCGGTTTGTGCACTGGATTATCTCCGTTGACACTTAAGAGAGTACTAATTGGGACTACAGGTATTATCGCTTGCATCGCTCCCGTTGTTCGATTTAGCACGTTGGATTATCTGCGCTACGGCACAACGGATCTCACCTGTAAGAGAAAACGATTTGCAATCTGAATACCGTGACGCATATTGATTTGTTGAATTTTGTTGAATAGTTGATTCGGCATCATCACTCTATTGGATGGCCATTGAATTCAACCTCGGTCTAGTCGCCGGCTCTCTCTCCTCTCTGCGACCGTTACCCTTCTTCCGTCGATTCGGCTCGAGCACCAACTCGCGATACAAAGCGTCGACAGGTGACACAGGGCACGAGCTACGTGGGATACACGGTAGCGAGGGGAAAAGCAGCAGAAAGAAGAACAGCAGTATGGGACTCGGGACCACGTTATTAGAAGAGACTGTTAACGAGAGCCAAGAGCGCATTATCCATGTGCCGAAGACCGACGGCCAGCATCATGTATAGGTTTCGATGTTCCAATTTATTTTCCTTTTGTATGAAGCACCAGGTCTTGTATAATACCGAATATGATTCAAATTCGACTGGATGCATGAGATAATGTCGTTCCCTGATCAAGGCGAAACCCTTGGGCGATCGCCTCCAAATCAAGATCTGACATCCCCCAGTTCAGTTGTGGGGATCTCATCTCCATCCCTTACTCCGCTATGTTCGTAGGCCCGAAGTAGGTCTGATTATTGTCGATAAAGATTTCATCTCTGGACGGAACCGTCCAAGTCATTGCTGTCTGTTGGTCGTCCACGGCGATGGTCATTCGTTGGCGGCAGAAAGGTTATCGAGATTCGACTTCACCTTCCCGGTAGCCCCGTACATACGCTGCTGTTGATCGAGAAATTCTGACATTGTACGGTGCCGAGAGTAGTCATTGCGAAACTGCACAATGTAGTTGGCGGCTGTGGTACGTTGATTTTATTGATGTGATGAATGCCAAGTCTCCTTTCTCGAGCGTGTTTGGGCATGCGACTCGAAGCCGGTGGAGTCACGGGCCGAGCACGTCATGTGCCATCGATCGTCGATTTGGTTTCCTCATCGGCGCGCTTTTGTCGCACTTTATTGCAGGTAGAAGTAGATCGAAGTATAGACCGGCCTGTCAGTGGCAGCGCTCGACGATCCAGACGATCCAGACGATCCAGAACGCTCAGGTCCGCCCCGGTCCAGACCTCTGCTGTTCGATTCTCCACTATCCCGGGGGCGAGGCACTAATATATCCAATTGCCACATCTGTTACTCGTCAAGACACGGGGGAAAGACGCCCAGAAGCATTTCGCCCAGAGGAGAATAGATAGATCCATCTTTCCACTTCATAATACTCCTCTCTCAAATCCGTAATCCACTCTATACTATGTAGAAATGTGCTGGACAAGTCCGAAAATCAAGTATTCCATGGAACATCGCCTGGGAACAGCCTGACGGGTGCAGCATGCAGCATCACCAGAGCAAACTCGCGGCTGCCCTCGCTCAAACGTGGGCGGTGCCTGGACCCCAATAGATCCCCAACGGTAACTCGGCAGATCTAAGCGATGGCCGCTGGATGTTTGGGAATTCCTCCAATGGGAAAGACCAAGTGGGGTCCCGCAACGGAAGCAGGTTTTAAACGAGACGGACTCGCTTGTGGCACGTTGTCCAGCAATTTATTCCGCTTTCTATGTTGAAACCCCAGATGTAACGAGTTGACCACATCGACCACCAGTTCTACTCAGCAGGAATGCTCGTGATTAAAAGATATGGATCAGCCAGACTCTCTGGTCTTTCGTCCACCCCCGTGTGATGCCGAGCGCGAAAGAATCCGGGATTTATCCAGGTGGGCCGTGGTCAAAACCCGGGATTTCCCCGCCATCCAGCCCATTAACAATCGATCAAAATAGGTACTATTGCACTCTAGCTCGATCAGCAACACCTGTATCGGATGCGGAGAATACCAGGAGTAAAGACGATGCTCCACAGGGTGACGCGCAGCCGTCGGAAAGTGATCTTTCCACCGATATCACCCTCACGGCCCTGGCCCAGCTTGGAGTGCTCCGGTTACGATGTAATCGCTCCTTTGTTTCCATTATCGACGGCGACAATCAGCATATAATAGCCGAAGCGACCGGATCGATTTCGCTCCGACACAAGGACATGCATCTCCCAGACGATGGCATTTATCTCGGCGCGCGCACGTTGGACTTGGTCTGGGGAGTGTGCCCCCATACGATCAAGCTCTTCACCGGTCAAGATCCATCGTATGCGATAGAGACCGACAACGTGATTGCGAACAGATCTCGCTATATTATTCGTGATTTTACCAAGGAGGACTGCTTCAAGGATCGGCCCTATGTCCGCGAATGGCCCCATATGCGATTCTATGCCGAGGTTCCCCTGGTGAGCCCCTGTGGATTCGTCCTTGGCTCCTACTGTGTGGTTGACGACAAACCTCGGACGGAATTTGGGGACCATGAAGTCAATCTACTGCAAGAGATTGCAGATGCGATCGCACAGCATCTGGAAAATGTCCGCATTGCCCACTGCCATCGACGATCCGAACATCTGGTCAGAGGATTGACCAATTTTGTGAAAGACTATGCAGGCTTCGACCCACGGGAGGTTTCAAACGATCACCGTCTTCAGTCAACTGCGGATCTTGCAGGTACCACCACGTCCAATCAAGCCAAGTACAATGGCGATCACTCGGATAATGGCGAAAAGTCAACACCGGACCTCAGCCTTGTGACGTCAACATCCACCAGCCTCACAGGAGAACTATCGCCTCGATTTTTCGTCGGGCCGGCTTCTGGGCCAACAGAGCCATCGTCACTCAACTCGAACCTTTCAGATCATCGGATTACCCCGGGCGAGGAGAAGAGCCTCGAGGAAGTTCTGAAAGTTGACCAGGAAAGGCCAGAAGCCTTTCCTCACAATGCTTCTCAGGTTTCACTCGAAGATAGTGTACCGCTAGCAGATCGCATTACAGCCATTTTCTCCCGGGCAAGTGTTCTGCTGCGAGAATCAATGGACCTAGAGGGAGTTATATTCTTCGATGCAGCGCGCAATAATCCTTCCTTGTAAGGTGCTCCCGCCCCTAGTTTTAATATGCTTATTACTTACGTCCAAAATAGTCTACCCACTGATGAGCATGAGAGATGGGAGCCTCTTCCAAAGACGGCAGCCCCCGAGTTCCCCATGGCTCCATGTCCTAGCCCCCTAGGCCTGTCCGATCGGACATCCATGGATTCCGAAAACGATTGCGATGTATTAAGCATATCATTGAAGAAATCCCAGAAGAAGAACCCAGACCCACAATCTGATTTTGTGATGCGGGAAGAACTGCTTGGTCTGCTTGTCCATCATTTCCCGCAAGGACAAATTTTCAACCTGAGTAAGTCGGATGACAGTGATGCTTACATTTCATACGATAGCGGATCCAATGATCCGCAAGTGCAGCTCGAGATTCTGCGAGATATCTCTGCGAGGCTTCGGGGTCTTATTCCAGATGCGAAGTCGATCGCCTTCTTTCCTTTGTGGGATTATCATAGATCAAGATGGCTAGCCGGAACGCTGGTCTGGAGCCGGGATAGCCACCGAGCTCTTGGGATAGAAGAATTGCACTATTTCAAAATCTTTGGTGACTCCATTGTTTCTGAGGTCTCACGGGCATACTGGACTGTTACCGAAAAGTCCAAATTTGACTTCATTTCCTCTGTCAGTCACGAGCTTCGTTCTCCGCTCCACGGGATTCTAGCTAGTGCCGAGTTATTGCAAACCACATCTCTCGATTCCACTCAAAAAGACATGGTCAACATGATCGAGACATCTGGCTTGACTCTTCTGGATACAACAGATTATTTGTTTGTGCCCATATTATCTACCTATTTTTGTGACTAGCACTGACATATCTACAGATTGGAGTTTTGCAAGATTAACAATTTCACCCAAGTCAAAAAGTCAAAAAAACGAAATAATGCCCACAGCGACCAATCAAGTCTAGTTTCAGAATTTGATCTTGGAAAACTTGTGGAAGAAGTCTCGGACATTTTGTATACTGGTCACCGGGCTCCTGAAAGACAACCTTTAGGGCAAAACAGCTCTTCACGCCTTACTACCGGGGATCAGTTATCCTCCAACGATGAACAGCAAGACGAAATGTCCCTCGTTATACGCATTGAACAACGTTGCTCGTGGATGATTCGCTCTCTCCCTGGGGCATGGAGAAGGATTGTGATGAATATTCTTGGAAACTCTATCAAGTGGACAAAGTCTGGTTTCGTCGAGGTATCGTTATTCCGTGCTAGGAACCAACCGAACTCTGAACGAGTGCTTGTTCAATTTTCAGTCACCGATACTGGAAGTGGCATCGCACCTGACTTCCTCCGGCACAAACTCTTTTCACCTTTTGCCCAGGAGGACTCTCTGACAGAAGGTGTTGGACTGGGGCTTAGCATTGTTCGACAGCTGGTCGCTTCTCTCGAAGGTCACATCAACGTGAGAAGTGAGTTGGGTATCGGGACTCAGGTGGATGTCTTCATCCCAGTCCAGTGCGTCGAACGCCCAGCTTCAAATATAGAGGCAGATGCAGCCTTGACACGTCAATCAGAAATTGTGACACCTCCACTTCAAGCAAGTCTGATCGCATTCAATGGGTATCCCGACTTAAGAGAAACGCCAACTGGAACTTTATCTTTGGAAGCAAAAAGAAGGCTTTCCGTTCAAAGCACCCTCGCAGACGTGTTCATGTCTCAATTTGGCTGGTCCATCTCTATGGCGGAGACGCTGAGCAAAGCTCGAGGAGATGTTGCTGTTATTGAAGAGTCTATGCTTCAAAGTGAAACCGTAAACCCTGCATCACTTAAGGAGTACGCTCAAAAGCACGGGCTCAAGTTTTTCATCATCCTTGGAAGCAAAAACCTTATCTTCGATGATTCTCTTTCTACGAGCTTCGTCCTGATTCCACAACCGTAAGTAATAGTGGCTGAATTCTCCTCTAATTGCTATGCTCACAATGCTTCCTAGATTTGGACCGCAGAAAATTCGAAATGCAGTGCAGAGAATTTTGGAACTTCGAGCTACTCAACCCGAAGCTGAAGTCGAGCCATCAGTTCCAACTACACCCTCCAATCAAGAACCGCCGGTAGATGATGGATCACGACCCCGTTCAAGTAGCGAAGAGGTGAAACTCTTAGTGGAAACTCGCCCTGAAATCGTGCCTCTCGTCACTTTGCCGCATATGTTACCTTGTCAACAAACCAAAGCACCGACGACAAAGCATGTCCTCGTTGTCGATGATAACGATATTAATCTGAAGGTTCGTCTCTTCCAGTACAACTAACATGTACGCGAAACTAAATCCAATATATCATCAGATCATGGCCACGTTTATGCGAAAGATCGGCTGTAGCTATGAAACAGCCTCCAATGGACTCATCGCTCTCGAGAAGTACAAGGCATCTCAACGGCCCTACGACTTCGTATTAATGGGTCAGTCTCTAACGCTGGGTCTCTGACCGTATCAAACCCGCCAAACTCAAACTAATCATTGTGTCTCTTAGACATATCAATGCCCATTATGGATGGCCTCATATCCACCAGCAAGATTCGCCAGTACGAAAAGGAAAATAGCATCCAGCCTGCCTGTATTATGGCCGTAACTGGTGTTGCCTCCGATTCCATGCAGCAGCAGGCTCTGGCTGCCGGGATCAACGACTATTTAATCAAGCCCCTTTCTCTTCGTGAGTTGAAGAAAATCATGAAGATTGCATGATACCACTGTGTTTAGCGTGTTATGAAAGTTGATTTCTTTTCGAGCATTATTTCCGTCTTTGAGATTATCTGTACACGATTAGTAGAGCCTGAATGTTAATATGTAAGACTATCTATTTTAATGTGACCTGAGAGAAAACGGAGAGGAAAAAAGTCTTTTCGGTAAATTGTTTGGGGATGACTGATATAATTATAGATACGAATACGCTCATGTTCAAATAGGTAGCGCCATTGCGATATTCGCTAGCTTAGGTTCTAGAGCGGGCGCTATTATAGAATCAAGCTCTTGTTATGATACTAATGAATATCTTTACTATAGACGTTTTTTCTAACTTTTAGACTACTCGAACTAACTGAATGCTCGTAGTATCTTACTTTTAACCTTGAGTAGAGCTCTAATCGAGAGAAAATTAAATACTAGGTTACGGTTGATCCTCAATTCCTAAAGGGAAAGCGCTATAAAGATAACTTATACTTATAAGATCTTAGATTTATTACCGAGTATATAATACTAATGTGGTCCAGACGGTAGGTTGAAGTTGTATGATATTAGAAACTAGTAAGGATATAGTAGAAAAAAGGCGTTAAATGGTGACAGAAACCTCCATATGTGAACGTTAGTATGCTCCGAATCACATTATAACTATTCGGGCTCAGGATAGCTACTATTATATATAGGACTAGCTCCTAGACCCGGATCACCCTACAGGTTTAAGCAGAAATACGTGTAGAATGGAAATTGAGCCTAGAAGTCGGCAGATGATTACCCATGGTCCAAGACAAACACCAAGTCTTGATCATAGATGCGGCTGAATAAGATTGCGAGCACCACTTAAATCTATCTTTGATATCGGCTCTTGAAGTTCATCTGCCTTTGTGGTCCTTGCGGTAAGCTCGTGAAGGTCAAAACCTTCTCATGCCCGTAAAGCTTCCTTGTGCGCTGCCTATACCGAGGGTGGCACACGGCCGTGGCGCTATTATAGTAAAAAGATCGGAATTACAGGATCAGTGCAGTACACATGCACCTGGGATTTGAAGAGACCCAAGGCTGTGGATAGCCTGGGAGAACACCGCTACAAGGCCGACTTCATGGTGTCGGCCTGAGGAGACATAATTCAAGAAATCAGGTTTACTATACTGTTCTATTCATATTCAAGACCCCTAACCAGCAATTTGAACGAGTGCAAATACTTGAGTATCTTTACAGGAAGTACCATTCATCTCCCTTCTCCGGAGATCTACCTATTTGCTGCTGCGTTTCGACGTTAAAATATACCTCAGGCACCCGTCCCGCGGAAAGAGGTTATTCCCAGACTAAAAAGTCACAGACGCCTCATTAACACTGACGAATATCGCAGGTTTATCCGCCAACATTTGAGGTTCGAAATGGTGACATGATGACTTCAATAGTTTTGCAATAAACAGTGTGAGGCTCTACATCCCCCCCGCAGCACCTTCCATGTAGACTTTTCTCCACTGTGTCGGGGTTAGACTTGAAACAAAGAACCATCATAGGGCTAAAGAATTACCTTTAGAAAGACGCTTAAAATGCATGCCAGAGCTGCGACAACATATACCTCGGTAAAAACATCTTGCAGGGCGCTGACGATAGCTTCCAGCGCCTGAGACTTCTTGGAGTCACTTTGCGTTTCCAGAAATCCACCGCTGGTGCCCGATACAATCGATGCCAAAGTTGACTTGTCAACATTGGGGAAAACGTGCTGTAGATTGTTCCTGGCTAGGTTGATAAAGAGTGCGCCAGTCACAGAGAGGCTGAAAGCGAGACCACACAGCTGGCCAAGCATAATGAGAGTGACACCATTAACTGTATCTTTTATATTCACAACTGTCTGAATAACGGCAAAACCTGCATGTGCAAACGACCTGGCTCCAAGGCCGATGAGAACCTGGTACCCATAGATCTCTGAATTCGAAGATTCAAGTTTGAGACGACCTGTTACCTGCATTAATTTATTTGCGCGATCAGGTTGAGAATCAGATACGAATATACCTACTCATGAGCACAGCACCAACTAGGGAGATAGCCGCGCCACACACATACCACGGCTTGTACCATCCCAACTTCGACATCACATACCCATTCGAGAGCATGCCGAAGATGAGCAGGAAGATAAGAGGCAAAATCCGTTCGGCGGTCCTGATTGCTGAGTCTCCGCGGGTAAACTGATAGTAGAGAGGGATATAGTACACTGTGACATATGCGATGGAGCCACCACAGCTGGCCAGGAGACTTAATAGAACAGCTTCCTTGTTGCGGAGCAAGTGCACAGGAAACATGCGATTCTCGACTGTAGTTAGAATTTCAAGGGACTGTTGGAGTATTAGCAGCAGCCACAAAACACCGCTGACAACAAAGAGGCCAATGATTGTGCCACTATTCCAGGCGTACATATCGCCACCAAAGTTAGTGGCCACGATCAATTTCACAAACCCTCCAGTACTAAGGATCGCGCCCAACCAGTCGAAGGTGATAATTTTGTCTCTCAAGGAGATGCCAGGCGCAGGATTGTTAGATGGGATGAGGTAAAAGTACGCTGGAATTACGACTGCACCGAACAGGAGATTAATGTAGAAAGCCCAACGCCAGGTGTACAGCTCAAAAGCACCTCCAATGACAGGGCCAAGAACGGTTCCGACGCCCCAGATCATCCCACTGCATGCAAGCCGCTATTAGTACGATCAGAGAGGCAACGTACGGATTGAAAAACTTACGTGAGGCTCAGGTAGGTGGGACATTCTCGATCCAGCGTATTGGTAGAAACCAGATTCAGCAATCCATAATACATGCCATTGCCACCAGCACCAGCCCAGACTCGCCCAATGATTTCAGCCGGCATATTTGGTGCACCGCCGCATAAGGCAGAAGCGGCCATGAAGTTGAGTGCAAATAGAATGAATAGGATTTTGGCGTCTTACAATGCATAGAGCTTTCCCAGGGGCATCACCATGGAAAGACCCCCTATCATGAATCTGCGGAAGCCATCCGATGTCAGCAATTAGTGGTTGAACGCTCAGTGTGTATTGATCACTCACCCGACCGATAGCCATGGGAGTTTGTCGACTGCATCGAATTGACCTACAATAGACTTGGGTTCTGTGAGTCAGACTGAAAGAGAAAAGTTTTATTAGACAGATTAGACTCACCGGCTGTATATTGGCAACGACTGTGTTGTCGAGGGCGTAGAGGAAGATAGCTGTCAAAGTGCTCACATTGAATAGAAACCACTGAAGGTGACATGAGCAAATTTGGTCCAGATTCCGCACCAGTTTGAGAAGATACCTTGATGCCCCTTAGCTTGCGATTGGGCTCTGAAGCAACTTGTGTCGACGGGCTGTTTTCAGTCCCATCCACCTTCTCGAGATCATGAGCCATGAGGACTGCTCTAGATATGGCACGGAAGCTTAATTCATGGCAGTATATTCGGTGGAGTGAACTTTATCGATCGCGCGCTAATGGCCTATTGCACTACCTGGCTTGTCGCCAACCACAAAGACGCACATCTAACTTTCCTGCTTGTATCTCAATTACCAGGTATTGGTACCCCGTGTCCTTAGAAAAAATGTCTAATAGCTTTTTCCCTTACTTTTTTACTGTAAGGACTTGAAAAATTCCAGACTGCGGCGCTAATGCAAGGTGGAGATATCGGCGATTCTGTAACCGAACAATTTGAAAGCCTGGATGCCGACATGCTGGCATCGGGTTTTAACCCCTAAAGTCCGATGCTGTTTAAGGCTAACCTTGGGATCTGCCACCCGCTTTCCACTTGCGGGGCCCCGAGTTCCTTGTAGCGCACTTGCCGTATTCCCGGAATGGTGATCATGCGGCCACTCACCATTTCGGCCGGTTTTTTTCGGGGCGGACAGTCTGCTTTGTAAGGTCGGCCAACTGCTAACTATAACAAGCAAATCCTGAACTATATCTAAAGACTGGGTGTGTTTTCAACGCTAAGGAGAACTATCAGACGTATCAACCCAGAAACAGACCAAGCCGACATGGCCAAGCCTTACGACGTAACAACATATTTGCTGGACAGAGCCAATATCCAGGATACGGTTGTCCGGACAGTAAGGCCTCAACGTGATGCTTAAATTTTCTTTGTTTCACGGGCTGAGATATTCTACAGATGCACCTCTTCGATACGGGTGCCACGAAGGAAACGATCAATTCCGTCTATACACAGGAAATCCACCTTGATTATGATCGGCGATTAGGCTTCTCTCCAGAGGTTGTCTCCAGTGAGTCTTGGGCCCAGCGGCTGGGACAGATTCATAAGCCGTATGATGAAACACAACATATTATTCAGTAAGATGCCCCGTTTTGGGACCTCTTGGCATGTTCCGAAAAGTAGTCTGTGGCTGATTTGTCACCGTTACCAATAGAAATCTATTGATTTACCTCCCGCAACCTACCAGCAAGCACTCAGTTACCCGCCCAGATCGCTGTGAAGCTATTGCGTACGCTCACGGCTGGTTTTATAATCTAGATGAAGATCAACGTCCACGCCTAATGGCGAGACGTCAAGGGGTATGTCGAGCAGTATTGTTTACCATCACGTCTTCCTAACGTTGCATCATGATATAGGGGAAGTATAAGCTTGAGCTTGTGCGACTCAATGTCTTGGAAGACAAAGGCGAAAACCCATGGCGAATTCACAAACAGGAGGTGCGACTGTCATGGCAAGATTTAGGCGAACAGTAGGTCTGGTTCTAGAGAGGGCGACAGTAAAATATCATGATCCTTCGTAAAATTCGAACTTATGGAGCGGTCTTGATGAATCGCAGAGTATATATTGGTGTATGAGTGAGATATTTGCTTGTATGGTTTATAGAAAGTCAGAACAGCCATACGCATCAAAATTCATGCTCTCCACGAATCGCCAATCCAAGTCATCCAAACTATTCGCGCGGGATGATGGGATTGTAATAGGAGAATCGGTTTTCAGGGTCGTAATGATCTTTGAGGCCCCGCAATCTTTGCAAGCGCCAGGGCTCATAGCCATACATGGATTCCACAGATTCATCCCCCGCAGCATAGTTAACGTAGGTTGTCGGACGACGCCACGACTGGCCTGCATTCCAAAGTTCACGTGTTTCGGCAGCCCATTCTCGCGCGAGGTGTTCCAAACCCGAGTTAGCTTTGAGGGTCACGTCAAAGTACCTGAAAAATGCGAATATTAGCCAGTGTGGTAGAGAAAGGCAGAACTCATTTGAAATATACATCAGCAGATTATCCTGGCGTAGTGGATATGCAGATTGGTCGGCCTCTACAGCCGAACTCCTTCAACGGCGTAGCCCTCATGGACGACCCGCTGTATGGAAATCTGGATTCATGGCAACTTTTTCATTGAACAGATCATAGATCTGGCGCTACGCAGTAACGTTGTAGACTTGAAGACCAGCCGTCGAGATGATATGGGTTCGGTTGGCCGCACAGAGCTCGGACGTCAGACCACTTCCCAGCACATCCGAGACTTCGGGATACGAAACCACTCCGTCTATATGAGAGATGGCACCTAACTGATCAAAAAGAGCCAGAGATGGCTCCGCGTCTGCTTGGCTGCCATTATAAACAAACGTCCATAGAATAACGGCCTGCATAGTTTCAGTATCGAGATGTTTGATGAAAGGAGCAACAACTTACCTCAGTCTTGCTAATGCTGACATCCATAGCATACACGCCAAAACTCCCGGCCACAGTCGGGGCCATGGTACCGTTGTTATGGAATTTGTTCAAATTTTCAAATAGTGCCTCGAGTTGATCTCCTCCGAATGCAAATTCTTTGTAGTACCAGGGGCTCTTTATCGCAGGGTGAATCTTCAGGTCAAAACTGGTGACAATGGCGAAATTATGTCCTGCTCCAAGCATAGCCCACCACAGATCGGAATTATTTGTTTCATTGACCGTGATGGCTGTCCCATTTCCAAGAACCATATTGAGGCTGACAAGATTGTCACTTATCAAGCCGTATTGTCCCTGAAACAGCCCATGACCGCCTCCAAGGGCAGGACCGACCATACCGACACAGCTGCATGTTCCGGAAGCTAGGGATATCACGACATCAGTCTCTGGCAATACTGCTAGAGTTTCAGGGAGCCCGACTTGCAATGTATCCATTTTTCCAAAGTGTCTCAATCACCTCGAAGTTATAAGTCCCTGCTTGGAGCCTTGCAGTCTTTCCATTCGGGTGGACAGCGATGTCTTTCAGGCTTCTCACATCGATTTGGATACCAGTGAATTCCCCGACAGTGGAGGTCAAAGCATGACCGCGATTGACCACAAAGAAATCAATACTCTTATTGTTCGCATATTGAACCTACTGAGCTTTAGTTTTGTATGATCAGAGTGTTCAGCTTGCCCTCATTCCAAACTTACGATTATCGGGATGTCCGACTCCCGTCCTGGCTGCACTACGAGCTGGATATGAGGAGGCGCATAATTTCGATACCTCTCCGTTTCATTGGACCACCGAGGATCTGAAGGTCCGAATATCGCCGTAATGGAAGAGAGTAGTGGTCCCAGTTCTCGTTGGACTTGTGCGGCTGTTAGAGCTTGAGCGAAGACGTATTGGCTCTGCAATGACGCAGCCACCAAGGGCTGGAGAATTCCGATGGCACTGATTGAAGAGCCGGGAAAAAGTATCATTTTGTCTATTGGTAAAGTCAAGCAATATTGAGAGCTACAGATATATCTGAGCCTAAGAGAACGTGCCCTTTAAATATTGAAGGTCTGTGTACTGCACTCGGCAAGCAATACGTTTGGAAGCCGAGAATTTTCGGCCGTGAGCCCACCTAATTTTTCTCAACTACGAAGTGGGTATAAATTTCATAGGGAGCCGTTAAATACCTATGTTCAACATGGTTTGATCGTCCCGTATCTACAAGCTCTAAACTCTACAGCGCCTGTTTTCTCAGTCGAACAAAGACCCTTTGCGGCTGGCGTGAGATACCATCGAATCCTGCGTAACCGCCAAGCGAGCTCGGGATGTCGAGTAAGTCGAAGTTCCACACAATAAGAGCAATAATTGTCCTTATCTCCAAATGGGCCATTCTTCTGCCCCAACATTGCCGGATCCCCATGTCGAAACCCAGTTGTGGCCCGGCTGCCCCATCAAACTCAACACTTCCATTATCCTTAACCACAAGCCATCGTTGGGGGTCATAGATTTTCAGGTCCTTTGATTCGTCCCAGTTGTCTCGTACGCGGGAAGCCTGGGAGGTCGGACTGCGTTTGGCTTCGTCGACGGGTAAAGACAAGGACAGGTATCCTGGTCCGCCGTTCACCATAAACACTTGACAATCTTTAGGAATTTTACAACCCAAGATTTCTGTATTTGTTGTTGCCTCGCGCGTCATGCTAAATGGCGTCAGTCGCAGCATATCCTCGATAATCGCTTCAAGATTGGGGACTTTAGCCCGCCGCAACTCCTCGAAGGTCGGCGATCGCCTATCTGCGATAGCCTCGGGAATTGCCGCGTACAGGGCTGCCCTCAGAGATGCCTGCGTCTCAGGATATCCTGTCAAGAACTTTGTTACCCAGCCCATAGAGCCCCCAGTGGTATGGTGACCTGCGATTAGATCGGCAAACGCCTTCAAGAGGTCCTATTAGATGCATCTTCTTTCTCGCGACATGACAAGAGAACCTACCTCATCAACCAGACTCTTGCTTTCAAACTGGGGCTGACGGCCCTGCTTTTCTGCCATCATGGCCTCGCGCATCAGCATATGCTCCAAAGCCGATTTGATAGATCCATTACGGTAATTTGCAATGGCCTTCGATAACTGCTGCGGAACAACGCGGCTTTTCTGTTCAAATATCTTCTTATACCACGTCTGCTGCTTCCACCACCAGTGGCTCAACCGTGGGGTCCAGGATACTGTGGTCTTCTCGAGTACCTCGGGTGCATCATGAACTGCCTGAAGAAAAGGGGTAAGCCTGGCTGGAGCAAACACCACAGGTTCATTAATGTCACCATTAGGAATTTGAGAGCCATCTAGCTGGCGGATTGCCTCCAGCTGTGGCCGGATAGCTGAATCCTCCAAGTTGTCACCAAAGGCATAGCTCAGCATCACGTCAAGAGCGGCGTAGTCGTAATCTGCTTGGACACTAAATGGCCTGCCTTGGGACAGCTCTGCCTTCGCCTCAAAAAGCTGGACCAGTTCCAGGCCCTTGGAGTGTATTGCAGGACCCACGAAACCGTTGAGAAAGGTTGGCGTCATCAAGTCCTGTTTCAAGCGACGACGCTCACGGAAGGCATCATTGGTTTTGTACCGCGCGTGGAAGTCACCCAAGCACTCCATACCGTCACTCAGAAACTTAGGTTTGTCGAATTCAGGCCGTCTCATTAAAATATCTTGTGCCTCGCGAAAGTCTGCGACGAGGATCCACGGCTTCGAGAACGGTCGCACAAAGACCTGGCATACAGGAGATTTCAAATTTTCCACCTGTTTGGCCAGCCACATACTAAATTCACCAGTGAGGCCAATCTCGCGGCTCATACTTGGCGCATCGCCAAATAGTGAATTTGTGACTTCTGGGTTGTACGCAATACCAGGGAGAGGCTTGGGCAGAAGCCATCGATAGAGAATAGAAAGGCTGACTGCTACTATAGCTATCCCCAGACTCCCCAGCAAGGGCAGCCTCGAGTTGGATTTGACCGAGATGCCCAAATATCATGACATACTGGGCAAGAAGAGATGAAGGGGATCGCTTGAGCGGTGTTGATATGTTTGTTCTATAAACTTAGAGATAAGGAGTCCACAGATAAAATCATTTCGTGCTGCGCCAGGGACATTCGAGCACTCTACCCACACACTAATTCCTTTTATCCCTGTTTGCATCTAATTGCCCCGTCGTTGATGCATTACTGTGGCAGATCGCAGTGTTCTTTGGTGAGCTGGACCGAGAAATTTCGGCCGCAAAATTTTGGCCGACGAATGAGGAGCAAGGCAGAACCTAATGGGTCAGTCAGAAAAAAATTGGAAATGAAGAATATTGGCGCTTTAGGTTTTTCAATGAAAGTTACATGCTGTTCAATTTCAGTCGCACTTTACCTAGAGGAAGCTGGAGTTGGAACTTAGAATATGCAAGGACTATGATAGTTTACAGTTTCGCGGCCATATTTAAGGCGAACATACTAGACACAAAGACAGAAAAGGCAGTATTTATTCAAGGGAACCATGGATATTCAGATGATTGGAATCATGACTAGGCACTTTTATGGAAGTCTTAGGAGCCATAATATGAAGGTGTGTGCATATCTAGCGAAAACACTATACCCCCTTTATCACAAGCCTCAATGGTTATAGACAGAACCTCATAACGAATAATAAGCCAAAAGCACGGTATTTCCTGGTTTCAATGATTGATATCAAGGTCTAGGCCAGTATCTAGGGATCTCCAATTGGGATAATTCATATCAGTACCTGTCAGTGGAACGAAATCGGGAATGCCTCTAAGAGCCGAGAATTCTGGGAAATTTATGGTGCTCCAGATTCCATCATCAGCTGCTGGAGCCGCAACTGATGACGCTGTTGCCCTTTCAAACAGCTGAGCTAGAGCCTGAGCCCCTTCTTCGGCCATGCTGCTGATCTCACCGAGGATTTTCAACCTAGTGAGAGCATCTTGTGCCGCTGACATGCACTTCTCGCGTGATATACTGATCATGCTGGTACCCAGTGGATCAACTCGAAATGAATTGAAACGGATGTCTTCAAGTTACGAGAAACTTTCAGCAGAGATGAGTCCTGCTCAAAGTAGTTGAGCTCTCGTACACGCCCCTGCCAGTACACCATCATTTGTGACTCATATTTATCAGGGCCCAGATCTCTCCCAGCTAGATGATCTTCGGTTAAACGGAAATATTTTACTAATCAAGGTATAGCATCAAGCTCAACGATGGTCATCATGATAGGTTCGTCATCTGGTGCAGGGTGTGTCATGGTAAAATTTTATATTCTCCCTAAAACAACTATATCTTCTACGCTTATAAGAGGTTTAAGATATTTTATCTATTTTAATCGTTTGTTAAGTCAATATAGGATATATACTAACTATGCTTCAGATACGAATATACTACTAACGTTTTTTATTATAGCTTATTAGACCCGCATATCCTATATAGTCACTATTAGATAATACTCCTAGGTTAACTCTATTTACTTAATTCGAAGTTTCGAATAATTTAGAGTATATAAATATCCTGTCTTTTCAAGAGCACTGTAAAGGGTAAAAGGATAAGGAACTTCCATTACCCGTATCTCAGATGGAAAGGAAATATATTTACCACGCTCGACTTGTTTCATTAGGAGGTCTAGTCCTTATATCACTCAGGAGGTATTCATGTGTGTTTAGAGACGGAATCAAACGAGAACTAAATCGGCAAGATTCGGTTTGTTTCTTATCTAGTATACTGTTCTGGAAAGGATATCCAGTTTTCTTACCTAACTAACAGTCTGACTACGCTGCGAAGTAGCTCCCTTACACGCTATTTGTGGGATATTATAAAATTTATCCGTAAGGTATTACGTATAAAGAATTTATTCATCCATCTAGAAGGATACTAAGATACTACGTAGCTAAAATTCCTGGAACGACGAAATATAACACATTAATATCCACGAGATATTAGTGCCGCTTAGGCACCAAACACACTGCCATCAAAATCCAACTTGGGATTAGCCAAATCAAGACGAGGCCAACTTCAATATTACCTTAAGCCAAGGTAGTTACAAGTACCAAGAGACCATTATTTCAGCCAGACCGATTTAAGCCAATAACGCTGTATCTGAGCCCAGATAAGAAAGGGTCAGTACAATGATCGTACGACAGAGGGTGAGAATCACCTGCTCATACCCAGCTTCTCATTTTCTCTATTACGTACTCACCTTATTCACCCCCGGTTGCGCGACGCTCTAAAGCGGCGTTCACCCACTTCTCACCCGGGCGGCACCCACCCAACTACGACCACCGGCGAATCCCTGCTGTTGTATGTTTTTGCTCCTATTTTTTCTCCCTTTCTCTCTTTCTTGATCATTTTTCTGAGTTCTTGTGATCAATGGATATCCAATTACAGTTCGGATACTAGTCATCCAACAGCGCCATCGAGAAATCATCGATTCATCTTCTAGACATTTAAAAGCCTTATCATACTCAACTGCTGCGCAGTTGAAGGCTCGGATGTTGTAAAGGGTACGTATTTGGCCAATTTTCCTCTTGATACTGAAGGCGAAATTATTCTGACCTTGCCTGGTAAGGATCGGCTAAACTCAGACAATAGTCAAGCCCGTTTGCACTCAGATTTTACCGCAACTAAATTGGCAATATTATAGAATATGGTGCAGTAATGCTGGAGAGTAGATTTTACTTCAACTAGAGGCAATTCATTGACAAATATTGATTTATGACGCCACTGCCGTCTAATCAAGGTATTCTCAGGTCTCAGTTGGAGATCTATCTTCTTGGAACTAGGGCACAATCAACACTGCCTTAACTGCCCAAGCTTGCCCCGAAACTTCTCAGCACACATAAGCTCTCTGCGGCTCAAGTCCCGAACACGAGCAATACATCTGATAAGCCGAGTTTCTTCATCAGTCAAAGGCGCAAGAGCGTTGAGTTCTTCCAGAAAACGAGGAACGAAATATCCATCGCCCGGTATGGTCCATGAAATCATAGACACTTCGAAGCAGCGCGGATAGAACCCTGCGTATTCCCAGTCGATAAGAGAGATGGTGAAATTATCTTCGTGGAGAATCATGTTCCGTAGGGCAAGATCCATGTGGCATAGGACAAGCGGGTAGGATGTCATGTCAACGGACTCGCCTTCAGCGGCGAGAGCTCTATTCATGTAGCCGTTCATGTCTTGGATCGAAAAGAAGCGTGTCTCTGGACTGAAATCGCCGAACATGAATGCGTTCAAATGCCTGCCACCGATCGATCCTGGTACATTTTCGCCTTGGATTTGGCTCAAGTGGCCGATGGCTGATGCGATTCGCGACACTAGACGAGGGTGAATGCTCAGGTCGACATTGTCCATGGATTGGCCGGGCACATATTCCATGAAAATGTATCCCCTTTCTTCTGAAGACCAGGTCGCACCACTGGTCACGAATCGATAGACTTGAGGAATGTGAATGATGGTGATATCAGCGCTGCGTCGCGCAAACTCCTGTGTCATTGCTTCTGCCAGGGTGACCCCGCTGCCATATTTGACGACGGTAGACTCAGAAATACGGATAACCAGGCGGCCTCCATCTTCGGCGATAATATCTTTCTTGTTGACTGGGCTATGGCAAAACTCAAGCAGCTTTTGGTCACTGAGTTCTGCAAGCTCCCATGTTTTGGGGAGCGACATGTTCAGGCCCGTACAATCTGAGTGACGAGATGGAAACAGTCAGCTATAATGTATATCCAAATCTCAGGATCCTCGGGAGGCCGCTCACTTTCTTGATCTCTTGTGGTTCTGCAAGTGGATCCGAGTCACTTCTACCAAACACCTCACTTCTGTTTTCAGACGATCAAGTAGATCTCATGGTGAGAGACAATTAGGAGGAATAGAAAGCTCCGTGTTACAGCAGGATGTCACCATGCAAAATATCCACCATAGCATCCTGGAGACGAAGTAAAAAAAGATTCCAAATTTTACATAATTACGAAAGCTGAGGATTTCAGATGAAATGCAGACATGAACCTGCTTCGTATTACTGGCCAATCTTCCCATGAAGCTAACTATCCCTTCTAGAAGGTCGTAGGTTGGATCTGCACAAGAAAATGGACCCATGAAATCATCGGGAACCAATATTTTATTTTCTTCTCTGGATTGGAAAGTCTCTTGAGGTATAGAAAATATGTACCTTTATGCATATTCTCGACATAGATTAAGCTTGTGGTGTATAACCAGAAAATGTATATAGATTGAAATCTGGAAATTCATAAGAGACAAACTTGAGAGACATCATATCGCTCCAGCTACCATAAACAAATCATAATCGGAAGCTATTCGTTACCACCAAGCTCTCAAGCTCCAAAGTGATAGACGCCAGATCAATCACATGAACCCAGCATACTCCGATCACTTCGGAGAAAAAGCCAAGGAAGTGCGTCGGGGACAATTCCGATTGGACCACAAGCACGTTTCTCACGGAAAGCGGCATCAAACGCCTTGGCCTAGTAGAGGAGGGGCCCGCCAAGCACGACTACGACGAAAGAAGGATAACCACGCCCCGGGCGTAAGGCTGAGGAGGGTGGACACACCCTCGGCCGCAGTTTGGCTTGGTAAGAAATCTATGCCAATGGAGACGAGAAGAAGAAAAAAAAGCGAAAAAAGAAGCGAAGGATACACAAAAGCCCGCCAAAAGCGAGCCATAAAATTCAGCTGGGCGTGCTCACACGATGATACAGACAGCGCACGGGACCTATTTACAAGAACTAGAAAAGCGCCACCGAAGAACGCAGAAACAACAGAGCAGCAGCGAGGCAAGAGCAGAACGAAAACGGCCATCAAAAGAAACAAGCATGCATCGACATGTCTGATCCCAGCGGCTTGTCTCGAATGGGCGGTGCGGGCGAGACTGGGCCGGGGAGGCGTAATATTGGAGGGACAATTGAGAGCAACGATTGGAAGGACGCCGGACGCAATCCACAAGAAGTGTATGGCGCAGGCCAGTCGGTGCGAAGCGTAACGAGAGCGTGGAGTGGGTATGGAATTGAGGCGCAGGAGAAAGGAGAAAAGGCAGGGAAGAGAGGAGGGAGGGGGGTCGAATATAGGTTGCTTGGAATTGGTTGGAGAGACCAATAGTAGAGAAGGGTTACTGGAGTTTATGGAATTGGAATAGGACTGAGAGTTTGTCCATGGAGAGAAAATATCTGCATTGCATTGCATTGCGTGGCAGAGAGTGGTCCTCTATTCCTGTCCAAATCCGAGTGTTTCCTCAACAGCAATGGACATCTTGTGCTCCAAGGTGTCATGGGTCTTATACGGGGGCAAATCAAGACGATTGAAACTGAAAGCAATGTTAGCAAGCTCGATTATAAGGATGAAAAAAAGAAGGGCGTGGATCGAAACATACCAGGTGTGAGACTTGGGCAACGCGGCAGGGTCGCCCGATTTCTCGATAGTAAACCGTCTTGGACCATCCGAACCCTGTAGATCCTTGAAACCATTGACAGGGATACGTGAGGTACCGGTGGTGAACTGGAGAAGACGCGACTTCTGCTCAGCATCCCAGCTACGCACAATCTTCCAGAAGTTCTGGATAACCTCATCCTGCTCCTGGTAGCCACGGTAGTCGGTATGCTTCTTCCAATCGTCCACGTCGATATCAGCGATACCACCGATCAGCAATTCCAGTTCACGCTCATCAAATACGTTCACGAGATCCGCCGGAATCAACTCGTTGAAGCCAGACATGAACGCGTTGAACTGTTCCTCAACCCGCTTGACAATCTTCCACTCTGTAACCAACCTAGAAGAGAAAAATCCAATCAGCATGGCTTCCTTTAATGCTTCAAGTTCAAAATCAATGCTGGAGTATACTTACTCAATATACTGTGCCTTATTCTCATTAGTGACGGGGATATCCCGGCCATCGGGTATCAAATCAATAGTGCGACGCTCTCCAAACTTCTCATCATCAACCGAAAAGGTAAGTTCGACAATCCCCTCAATGTCATTATCCCTGATGAAACAGTTAGAACAAAGCCGGTATTTGGTGTTCCTCGCAGCAGGAGCGAGAGTAACGGGGGAACTCACAAGGTCCACGCCAAGTTTCGATGTAAGTCCTCATCGACACCCTCCATGTCTTGGAGAGTCACCTTCTTCCGTAACATCATCTTGTAAAACGCTCCGATGAAGAACGAGTCCAGGAAGCGGCGGTGGAAAATCGCCAGACCGACTACTCGGCCAATGAACTTGAAGTAGTTCAAATGCTCTGGGTTGACACCTGAGTGAGGGTTAATCTGCAGGGTATAATTATCGTGTGCGGAGTATTCGAAAAGACAGTAGAAAGGGTTGAACATTTCGTGGGAAAGAAGGAAGAAGAATTCACTGGATGAGGGAAATGATCAGTATTCAATCTGAGAAATATCGGGACATATTAGCATGACATACCGAGAGAGACCACCGTAGTCAAGTCCATCCTCGCCATCGAACTTGATCATCAATCGCTTCTTCAGATCGGATGCACTCTGTCGCATGACCTCGGCATACGAATCCTCAAAAATATTATTGCGGCGGACCTTGACATGGCACTGTCCAGACATGATACGCAGAGCAGGCTGAGATCGGAAGTAAATCAGCTTGCGACGGAAGTCACGTTTATATTGCGGCACGCCCTGGTCCAATGATGAAGGCAGACGGGGGTCGTCCCAGGTGGTGGTTTTGGTGTTGTGATCCACAAAGTACACACGGGCAGTATTGGTAAGACGCATCTCCCATCCGCTGGGAAGAGGGCCGAGCTGGGAGACAGGCTGTTGCTGGATGGTAGTGTTGTTGCCACCCTGGTTTTGGTTCTGGCCGTACATGCGAATGTATTGTTGTCTGCGTGGATCGACCCAGGTCGTCGTACGAGTGTTGTGGTCAACAAAATACGATCGTCCTTCGGGAGTGTTCCTTTGTTCCCATCCGGGCGGAAGCTCTCCTGTACCTGCAGTGGTCGCCCCCGTCGCCATCATAGAAACAGCATTAGCATGAGAACCTCCAGCCGCCGCCGCAGGAGCAGCGGCGGCAGGGGCCGCACCACCTGATGGCGGGGTATTTGGCTGTTGTCCATCGGGCAAGTTAGGGGAGCTGGCGCCAGTCCGATCTTCGGGAAGCATTCGACTTTGGTGAGCTCGACGCTCCATCTGCATGTTCACTTCTCGCTGGGTGCGTTGAGTCTGCTCATTGTAGCTGGCAGATGGCCGCGACCACGTCGTAGTGCGAGTATTGTGGTCCACATAATATGTCCGCCCCAAGGTATCCTCCCGACGTTCCCAGCCTGCAGGTAGTCGGCCCTGACTATCCTCAAATGAACTCAGATTAGTGCGCGATGCGGCGCTTGAGGCACCGGGGGCGCTGAGCCATTGGCGACAGAAGCGGCCGGGGGATGGCCAGGCGGAGCACGGTGGAGCGACGAGCTCGAGGCAGCAGGAGGTCCCATATCAAGCTGACTCGAGCCAGCCTGCGGCGTCGGGGTCGATACGGCGACTTGCGGGACAAGGCCACTGGATGTCGAGGATTGGGCATGTTGACGCTGGAGGCCGTTGGACTGGGGTTGATGCGGGGTATTGACGTTCGTCGACAGGTTAATAATCAGCTTGCCGTGGACAACGAGGTTATCATTGGATTTTTTGAGGTCGCGGGTGAGCATTTCTATTAAGAAACGGTGGCAGGCAGGGCCCGATGGTCAGTTCGTGCGGTTGGGGACTTGAGGAGCGACGTTCGGGATCCGCGTTCACGTACCATCACCGCCCATTTGAAGGTCGATGACATCTCCGATGCGCACATTGATGACGCCGAGAAACCCCTGATCCTTCTTCTTGAACTTCTTCTGGTCGAAAATCTGGATCGCAAGAATGCTGTCTTCGTTGGCACGCCTATATTTCATCCCAATCTTGTTAGTACGCCTGACGGGCTCCATCCCCTCCGATTCCAGCGAAGAGGGGGTGGGGAAGGGGAAAGAGAAAACAATTATTACATACAAGTCGAATGGCTCATTCCAGTATGGGTTCAAAGTCTTTTTAATCACTGATGTGGTGTGGGTTTGTTCACCATTGACCGTGGCTACCGCAAAGGGGTCAGGGAAACCTGTGATGATGAAATTGGTCAGTTCCGACCCCACTTAACCGCGACTAGACCAGTCTGAAGGGGGGAAGGTAAGGCACGTACGAAACACGTCGCGCCTGCAGAGGCTGTCGGCCGCGATAACTATTGTGAAAAGGAGGCATTAGTCTCATTTTGAGTCGAGGGGAGAGGGGTGCGATCCTCCCCGCCACCGCCGGGAGGATGCAGGAGGGAGCAGGTAATCTTACTCGTGACCCGGAGGTTTGGCTGGCTGCAATTCAAGATGGATTAGCATTGGGCACACAGAGAAGGAGGTATGGAGAGAAGCCAGAGATAGGTTGGGGCCAGAGTGAGTCGGAGGTCAGGACTGGGACGTACTTTGGGAGGTTGGATGCCATAGTGGGTGAGCGCTGGGGATGCTTAATGAGCACACCAGTGCGAAAGGCCGATCAAATCAAGCCCAAGCCGACAAACGTGGGGCACGCATCCACGAGGACTGAGTGTGAAATATCACAAAGTCCGTGGGCAGGGAAGAGGAGGAAAGGGGGAAGGCGGAAAGGAAGTGGAGGGTGGTAAGGTGGTGTCGTCGTGGATGGTGCAGATGAGTTTGATGGCGATCGGTCGAAGGAAGAGGAGGGAGGGAATTAGGCGGGTTCAGGTAAGGCGTGTATGGCGCAGGTACTGCAGCCTGGTATTGATGGTGTCAGTGCTGCTAGCTCCGCCAAGTGTCCGGATCCAGTGCTGTATGTATTGTGTATCCAGGTCGTATGGGCGGACTGGGGCTGAGCAACGGGAGATCGCCTCTGCGATGGGCTGGAACCATACGGACTGGACTGTACACACTGTATCACACGGCCCATACTTAGTAGGCACTGTCGCCGAGCCACACTCGGCTTGTTTCGCTGCTCTGATGACTACGTAATGGAAAAAGTCATCCCATCGATATATATACATTGTGGACCTCAGAGAGCGGTCGGCTTCAGAACCGGGCACGGGCGGGGAAACTAGTGGCGAGACCTGGGTTTCAAGTATTCTGCCGTGGTAAATACTAGCAGCGGTACTTCTCGAGGCACACGCGATGTTATCATGATTCCCCGTCCCTGTTTACGGATGTACTTTTGTGGCGCTAATCAGAAATCAAACTAATTGGAACGAATCAGAACAGGCAAAACCACTCTAGATCAACTAGGCAGCGAAATTAACCCACTGAGCCTTCACCTTTGGCCTACTCAAATATGCCAGAATGTAGAAGCCCAGTGGCTGTCGTACACCGTACCTCAAGACAGTATCTAATGGCCATAATAACATATAAAAACCCTGCAGATGGCAAGTGCTCCACTGACACCTCTAGACTGGCATGCCAAACCATGCATCGTGATCTTGCCCAATTTCTACAGGTTCAGCGAGTGATCGCATTTTTAACCACTCATGGTGCATAGTGGGATCAAATGGGCTTAGAATGAATAAAGGAAGCAAAAAAAAAGAAAATAAAACGATTATCCATGTCTAGACAATTTCCAGAGCCCTCCTCCCAGGCCCAAGGAGGCTCGGTTTGCCCAGCAGTTATTGTACAATGTCCGCAACTCCAAGGCCATACCCAGGTACACGTAACACACAACACATACAAAACTCAAGAGAGGAGCCCGGGGAGAAGGGAAAGGGACCGACTCCATGTTCTTTGGTGGCCTCAGATTCGGATGCCAAGTGCCGCGGGACGTTCGGAGAGGCTATGGCGATGGCGTGTGGGGAAAGTGTGGTCCATCTCGGCTGGTTCTCCCTGCCAGTCGGAAGGTGACTTAGGAGGAGCACAGGAGTGTAAATAGAAAGCGAATAGATCCCAGCTCAGCCACCATCTAGTAGGGGGCAAAGCCACGACCGCGGCCGCGATATCCACCCCGATAACTGCCACGAAAGCCGCCACGGCCACGACCACCACCGCGGAACCCACCCCGTCCGCGACCACGGGTCATACCGGGGAGGTTGGTGCGCTTGGGAGTAACCTATTCAGTTGGTGAAATGAACGTGTTAGTATTATGGTACATTGGATCAAAGAGGATCCAGGGAAGAAGAATGGCAGTAATTTACCTTCAGGTTACGCCCGCGGAAGACACTCTCGTTCAGCACCAGGGCCTGGGCCACCAAACTGGGCTCCGCGAATTCAACATAGGCATAACTAGGTAAAATAATAATGTCAGAGTCCAAGGCCCATAAATGATGGTGCTGGAGTCCAGCATCTTGGGGATATCCGCACTCACCCCTTCGGCTGGCCAGTAAATTTGTCCAGCAGGATTGTAACTCGGTTGATCGAGCCACAGCTTTGGAAGTGTGCTTGAATCTCCTCCGGAGAAGCACCATAGTCCACATTGCCGACGAATATACTCCGGGCATCGATATCCTCCTTGTTTTCCTGGAGACCCTCGGTCTGCTGGTCCAAAGTGTCCTGCATCTCACGCAACTTGGCGGCCTCCGACTCCATCTCGGCGACCCGTCGCTTCATGGCGGCAATCTCCTCCTGTAAATTGCACAAGGTTGTTAGCTATAGGTTCTTGACGATAGCGCGCGCGGGTTTTTGAAACGGAACTTGGTTGCGATGGGATGTCCCAGTATCCCCATCAACATCACGCACCTCATCGTCACCAGCTTCCTCCTGGGGAGGGATCTGCTCCTCCTTCAGCTCAGCGCCTTCAGCAGCCATATTGAGCACTCGAGTATATGAGAAAGAGGGTGGGTAGTCAGGTCGGGACGCGAAAGCAGGAAGCTTGTCTGTCGGGAGATTTATCAAATCTGGAGAGGAAGCTCGAACAACCGAGTTGATGGGAAAGAGGTAAAAGCCCAGGAAGACGCGAATAAAATCCAGACAAGCTGAAGAAGGGTCAAATAGACCACGGACGTAAATAAACCGAAGATTATCGCCGCTAAAAAGATATATTCACTGGAGGGTCTTTGCGGGGTGGAGGTGATGGAGGCGGAAATTGGGACTCGAGACTTGCCGCTTCGGGACTAGTGGAGGCTCGCCAGGTTCCCGGGCAAACCGCCCGGGCTGCACGGGGCTGAAACCAACTGTAAAGGTACATACGTACCTACCACCGCCCGAAGGACAGGACATGATCCGATCTACGATGCCATTGACTGAGAGAAATTACCATCGTCGAGCTCATTTGTAGTGCTTTCCCCACTTTCGATTTTGTTCTCGGCACGATTATACCCAATCGAAATGGAGCTGGAGTGCAGACAGTGATAGATGATCTACGAGCCTCAATCGTGTCCACGGAGCAATTTTCTAACTTTCTGGATCACCTCAAAGGCGATCCATGGAGAATTGGGCAGGCGAGAATTCAGTTCCATTGTTCGATTGATTGAATTTGCAACTACCTTGAGGTATCCGAGAGTTGAATTGAGAAAGCAAGGCTGTAGAAATCGCGAATAGGTCAGGGCGGGGAGAAGAGAGACTATATACACGGTAGAGGATGAGGCGGGGAGAGGGAATATTGTTGTGCGAAGGCGTCAGGGGTCGACAATCAGGACACGGGTGCAGGGGTCGCAGCCGGGGCGTGATTCTTGCGGAAGGAAACCTTCTCAACCGACACGTTCTCGACTCCGTTGGCGTCGGTCTTGAGCTGATAAACGTACAGCACCAGAACATCCCCTTGGATCTAGTTGGATTTCTCAGTATGCGCATCCTCTGACAACTGCTTGACAACTCATATTGGGGCAGCGGGGAGGGAGTTGGAGAGGTTGGCCCTCGGAAGTGATCACTTACGTCCATCAGGCAGAAGCTCGGGGTTGGCTCCTCGCCTTCCGGCCAAAAGCCTGAACTCATGGCCCCTGTTGCGCTACCTGGGTTGATGAAGAAGCGGCCCTCCATCTCAAAGGCTTCGAATCGATGGGTGCCACCCCAAAGCAGGATATCCACGTCCATCTGGCGGGCGGCAATGAGTAACGCATCAGCATCGCCAGGGGGGATAATGGTATGTCCGTGGGTGAATCCAATGCGCAGATTCCCGTGATTCACGATCTTCGAGAGCGGGAGGCTGGGCGAGTCAACATCATAGTCGCCCTTCACCATTTGCAGGTCCGGTGCGACCTGGCGAAGGAATTCATAGGTCTCGCGGTCGGTCAAATTGCCCAGACATAAGGTCTGGCCAATCTTGCCTGGGGTCAGGAGTTTCTTGAACTAGCGCATCGACGGAGGAGTCAGCAGAGTTATAAGCATATCAACCGTTCCTAGAGATATTGACGGACCTTGGCCGGAAGATCCTAAACAGCCAGGGGAGGGTCGGCATTAGCTACAGTTCCGCAACAAGAGAGGGATGCGCCATGGGGGGAAGGGAGGCTGGACGTACGGGCGCTCGATCAGGGATAAACAGGTCACCGATGACCAGGACCAGACGGGTGGTCATACTGGAGTGGGGACCAAGTGACCAAATGGGGACGCTCAGTCACTCAATAGGCCATTCCAGGTCGTGCGGGGGAAGCAAAAGCAGGAAGACAGCGAGACCAGGAGCAGCTGGCGGCGACAGGCAGTGACGGGAGCTTCGCGGGGAAGCCACGAGCCACTGGAGCCCTGAGCCCTAGGAGAGGGCTGGATTGGGTCTAGCGCCTGCTGGTCGGATGAGGTCCCGATGCTCGTTGACGCCCTCATCCGGAGGGTTCGAGAGGCTACGAGACCCTCCTGCGTCCGAGACCGTCCTGGCTTCCGCTACGCATTGGTTCCTGAGACCGACCTCTCTCGCCCGAATCTGGTTCGGCTCGACCAGTCCAATCTAGCTGACGGTCGCTCTCCCTGGCGACGCCTTTCCTTTGCGGAGGTCGCCGTGCCGTCGGACGAAAACGAATAGGGAGCAGGACGGGGATTACAGCGCAATCTGTAGAACTGCAGGAGTCGGGGAGGTCCCAGAGGGTTCAATTGCAACCTGACGAGGGCCGGGAGATTCTACGCGGGAGGACCATTGAAGTGTGGTAGCTGCATGCGATCCCGATATCGGGTCTAGCCAGGCTTTTGAGTCCCACGTTACTCGATAAGCATATTCCCGCTCTATAGATCGTTCTCGTCGTGCTTCGAACGAATCTCGCGAACGACCACAATTGAGAGCGTACTAGAACACGACAGAACAAAAACTAAAAAATACAAAAAAAACCAAGAACAAAAGACCGCAAATAAAAGAAAATCTGGTAGATTCCATTGCACAGCGTGAGACGCTCTCATCACTCATCATATCACCCTCGATCGCGGACGGTCTCGACGGCCAAACGACGAGCATCGGGAGGATCCGCCCGGGCGTCTGGCTCCGACCACGACCGTCGCCAACCTGGAGATGCGTCCAAGCTTCAAAGCTCAACAGCCCGCGACTTCATAAATACGAAGCTTGAGCTCCCTCCTCATTCCCGCATTCCCTCATTCCCGCATTCCCTCATTCCCTCCTCCCCATCCGCCCAGTGCACGCGCTCGGTGAAACTCAGATATAGTTCTGCCATTGCTCTCCTTCCCTGCTCCTCTCCGCCAGCCAATCCCATCCGCGTCGGCATCGGCGGCGATCCCCGAACCTTCTCGTCTTTTCCCACGGGAATTCCAGCGACAGACCAATCCCTATCCTCGATCCAATCTACCCCGCGGCTGCCCCCGCCGCACCATCGGAAAAGCTGGCGAACAGGTCAACGACGCAACGCCTCAGCCTGATCTCCAGACACCTGGACCAGCGCCTGCCGTTGCCTGAACTCAACACTCCCTTCTCGACCGAGAGAAACTCCCTGGCCCCGGACGACGTCGATTATAAACCCCTCGATCGCTCTGTGCCTTCTTCCCCCACGACACCTTCGCCCACCATGTCTACCCAAGCCCCTCACAACACCCTCCTCATCCCGGGTCCCATCGAATTCGACGATGCCGTGCTGCAGTCGATGTCCCATTATGCGTGAGTCAAATGGCCTACCCCGTCTCGTCAAAGGCACCTCAATGCCCTACCCCCCCCTCCTCACTCTGGTGTTCCAGAAGACTGACATTCGTTGCGACCGATCTCTAGCGAGAGCCACGTCGCTCCCGGCTTCGTCAAGGTCTTCGGTGAGACCCTGACCCTGGTGCGCAAGCTGTTCCAGTCCACCAACCCCGCCGCGCAGCCCTTCATCATCTCCGGTAGTGGCACCCTCGGTTGGGATCTCGTCTCCGCCAACCTGATCGAGAAGGGGGAGAATGCCCTGGTCCTGAACACCGGATACTTTGGCGATTCGTTTGGCAACTGCTTGCAGACATACGGTGCCGAGGTGACTCACCTCCGCGCCCCCATCGGCGACCGCCCTTCCTTCGAGGAGGTCGAGCAAGCCCTCAAGCAGAAGCCCTACAAGCTGGTCACCATCACCCACGTCGACACCTCCACGGGCGTTCTCAATGACATCAAGCGCATCGCCCAGATCGTCCGCCAGGTCAGCCCTGACACTCTGGTCGTGGTCGACGGTGTGTGCAGCGTTGGCTCCGAGGAGATCGCATTCGATGAGTGGGACTTGGATGCCGTGGTCACCGCCAGCCAGAAGGCCATTGGCTGCCCCCCGGTCTGAGCATTGTGATGCTGTCCGGCCGCGCCATCCAGCGCAGCCAGTCCCGCCAGACCCCACCGGCCTCCTACTACGCCTCTATTGCCAATTGGCTTCCCATCATGCAGAACTACGAGAACAACAAGCCCTCGTACTTCGCCACCCCACCTACTCAGCTCGTCCACGCCCTGCACACCACTCTTAGCCAGATCACTGCCCGGCCTATGGCCGAGCGCTTCGCGATCCACACCCAAGCTTCTGACAAGGTCAAGGCAGCCGTCGCGGAGCTGGGCCTGTCTCAGCTGGCTCCCAAGCCCGAGTGCCAGGCTCACGGCATGACTGCCATGTACCTGCCTGAGGGGCTGACCCCGCCCGATGTGCTGCCGGGTCTCCTGAAGCGCGGCGTGATCTTCGCAGCTGGTCTGCACAAGGAGGTCGCTACCAAGTACATCCGGTTCGGTCACATGGGTGTCAGCATTAGCGACCCCAACCGCAAGGACATTGACAACGCCCTGGCGGCGCTGAAGGAGGCTCTCGCTGAGGCCAAGCAGGCCAAGGGTCTTTAAATAAAGAAGAATTATTGTATGAAAATTCCTATGTGACCAGATCAGAATGGCGGCGTACCTGTTACTGTAATAGGCTACGTTTTACAATATCAATATAGAAATTGAAATGAATTATCTAACGATAGAAAATGATTGGCCTCCATTTGTTTTATCACTTTGTTAAATCCTCGTCTTAGTGTTCATCGATTTGTGAAGTTTGGCCTCCAATCAGGTTGACCCGACACGTTCGAGAACTATGATAAGCCGTCTTTAGGGCCAGCACTCAGCCATCATGCAGGTACCCGGTCCCCCAAGTCACCGTAGCCGCCCAAGTCCTCCCAAGTAAATGGGAAACGACCCTCACATTCTCCGGTCGGCATCTACTCCTCAACCGGCAACTCTTACTGGCCTACCCAGCCGGAGCTGTGGCCCTTGACCCCTTCAGGAATGTACCTCCCACCCCCTCCCCCCCCACAGACTCACCTAGGAATGTTCCAGCGCAAAGACCTGGCCGTGGCCCTATTCTATATTCCAATGAACACTAGAGTCTTCCCCTGTAGCCTCATGCAAAAATGTGAAATTCACCACTTCCCCTGTCTTTTCGGCTAAAATCACCGCTCCTCAGCGTCTTCCCATCCTTACTATTTATCCTTGTTCTGGAGCTACCTCCCCGCCACTCAAAACAATTGATATTTCCACCCCTTTTCCGCCTGTTTTCGAAAGAAGCACTGTCTTTCAAGACAACATGACTATGGAACCATTCTTCCCATTCCATTTCCGATGACCCCCAGAGTCAATATCCATGTGGTCACTCTGGTGATTTGGCTTACCAGAAACCAGGTCCGGAAAAAGGCCTGATCCGCCTTGAAAGCCACATGAACCTTCTTCTCTAATCGAGAAAGAATGGAATGTAGTCTCTGCCTTCTGGCAGTTAATATTATAGTACCTGGAATGATATATTATTGGCTTCCACTCCCCCGTTTGAATCGTTTGTCTCTGCATTGTCCATCCCAGACCTTATCCCCAGCCAATCCGAGCCCTACACCCTTTGCCCTTTAATTTCCAGCCTTCATTTCCTTCATCCAAGATGCGCCATTTCGCAACAAAGCTGCCCTTTCTCCTTGCCGCCTCGGCTACTATTGTCAGCGGACAAGATGCGACAGTCACAGGAATCGGTGCCGCCAACACAGGCAATGTGAACAAATGCGCCGCGCAGAAGTAAGCAAATGTCCCACTAAGATCATCGCCCTCAAGATGCTAACTGTAACACGCATGGACTAGAGTGGTCGACCAGTGCGTCTTCACCATGAAATTCCAACTCGAGAACTGCGCCACCTATGACTGGGACTGCCTCTGCACCAGCAGCACCAACGTCGTCGGGTACGTCTCCCTCCCCCTCAGCCCACTTCCCTCCATGTTGATCTCCCCCGCATCCCACAAACCCTAACTCAAGAAAACGCAACCCACCAACCTTATTTACTCCCAACCCTCCCCAGCCAATCCTAATCCCCGCATCAATCATTCTATACTCTTCCCAAACTAACCACACTCCTTACCCCAAAACCAGCTGCTACAACAACTGCCCTGAAAGCCCAGACCGCCTCGGCGCCGAACAAATCCGCCAACAAAACTGCGCCAACGCCAAAGCCTACGACACCACAAGCGTATCCCCGCCGGCCACCAAGAGCGCCGTCATGAGCAGCTCGCGCGCATCCGCGTCCACGACAGACACCGCCTACAGTGGGCTGGAAGCGAACAACAACGACGACGCCCAGCCAACCAAGTCTCTCGTCGGACTCGAAGCGTCAGCAACGGCGTCAGAGGGAGCGGCGGCGGCGAAGGCGGCTGGCGGGTGGTTAGCGTTCTTGGGGCTGGCGCTGGGGGTAATGTTCTAGGCTGAGGGTATAGAGGTATAGAGACAAGCGGGGTTTTCTTCTATTCTTTGTTTCGATAAAGCGTGTGCATAGCATTGGGGTGTGAAATAATGAGATAATTCTAGTCTATTTGATATTCTTAACCTACCGTGATATGTTTAAGTCCTTGACGATGTAGTAGCTACCGAGGAGGGTGGGAATGAACGCTGAGATGGTGGCTTCCATCCGCAATCTAAATAAGTAGTCAAACACCCTGGATCTTCACCACCACTTGCTTCATTGCAAAGTACCCGGGACAGTAAGACCTTATAGCTGGAAGGAGGAAAATTCTTAGAAGCGATATTTGGTTCAGAATTAGAATGTACTCCATTTTCACTTTTGTAGCCCTGTTGTCTGGTAAGCAGCTCTATTAAAATCCTTTTACTTTGTTGATATATCTTTACTTCTGAGCAGTCGAGAATTCAACTTCCTCTATCACTATTTGCGATATCGATATTGATCAAGAAAACTCATCGAAGTTTCATTCCCTCCATTCTACCTATAGATACTACCACCTAGCCCTGGTTCACAGTCTCTGTATATTCTCCGTATAGTCCAAGTATCCAAGTATATCCGATCCTACTGCTTCTTCGCACTGTGCTTCAGTTTGGTCTACCCTTTTCTCCAGACAATCAACCCTTTTAGCTGCAGAAAATTGAGAAGGGTTACATAAGGATCATTGCGCAGGGCTTCCGCATAATTCTCGTTGCGGTTAATTTCAGCAATAGCTTGTGTCCAAAATGTCGGGTCATACTTGGCTGCTATTGCGTGGCCCACATAAGCCAAGCGTTGTGCTGGTTTTTTTCTCGGGTTGAACTGCAAGGAGACCCTAGAGGGCCCATTCAGCGTGACACGGACATCACGGGATGGCAAAGTTATCTCCGTGTTCCCTTCTTTCATATGCCATTCCGGAAGCGAAATGAAACTCAGTGTTTTGATTTCGCATGTGTATATTAATACATCAGGTCCCACAGGTTCATGAACGGTTTTACGAGGCTTTACCTCAACAACCTCATGAGACGCGCTCATAGTGTCGGTGATGATAAGATGAAGCTTTGGTAGAAATTCAGCTTAGGTTCTTTGGAAACAAGCAATTGTTGTTCTTGTGCAATAGTATGATCATACAGAAAAACGGCCGAGCAAAAGATTTGGCTCAATATAAACACCCTTCGCTCAACCCCCATAGCTATTTATATCGGTCAATTGAAACTAATATCAATACAAAATTTTGCAATACAAAATTAACCGAAGAAATGTCGTAATATCCGTAATATATTCCACGCAAGTTGTGACAATCCTCATGTTTCTGAATTTTGTTCAGCCTTTAGATCGCAGGAAGAATGCAACAACACTATTTCGCAAGCTTTCTAATATCAGTACTACCTCGATATTTCCCTTCTCTGCTCGACCAGAGAAATATTATCTCTCTTGTTCCATCGATCGCAGTATTCGTTTTGTATTTGTATTACTTGTTGCGAATACCAATCTTTCTGCACCTCCCGGTTAGCGCCAGTTCCCAACACCATCAGAATGGAGGATTTTGCCGCACAACATGTGGCTTGCAAGCAAGACATAAGCTGGTCCAAATAATCCCGTTGCCATTTCTTCCCCCTGCACCGATTGGATGGGCTTCGTTTCAGAATCCAAGGAGGAGTAAAGAAAGATTCACCAAATAGGTGCTCATCAATGATAAAGCGCTATTAGCCGCCAGGATTCAGTATCGTGGTATATAGTAGGTTATTTCTCGGAAAGTTATGGAATTCTCGTATCGGACTGCGCCTTTTCCTAGGAAGCAATCGCAAAACACATTAATTTGGTCTATTAAAATAGAAATACCAATCGAAATGGTGTGTTCAAAATATTTATAAAAACGGGAAGCTGCGTTGAGAAAAGAAGGGGGAATGAGCGATTTATTTAATATACAAAGCTAACCGTTTTAAGCGCGCAGACTCTGGAGGATTTAATCATGTTGGCTGCCAGTAGTATCGTTATAGGACATTCTTCATTAAATCTGTGCAGGACAGTAGTTTTGTGGGCATTTGTTGAATGCGTTTATTTAGCTGGTTATACAAGACCGACCACGATCGAATGAATAAGTGACACAACAAAAGAGAGATGATAACCCTAACAACCCTCCCCTCTTACGCTGTCTTCTTTTTACTATTCCGCCCCCTACTCTCTCGCTCCCTCTTCTCTTTCACCCCCTCCTCCTGCCTCGCCTTCTTACTTTTATTATCAATCTGGTTCCTCTTCGGTTCAGTCGCCTTCGGCTCCGGATTCAACTCCGCCTTCTTCTTCGCCCCATACTCTGCCGGATCCAAATCATCGAGGAACCCGGACACCGCAATATTCCGCAGCACAAATGCGACTTTCTCGATATCGACATGCGACACCGTCGTAGCGCCCGCGCTGTCCTGCTCGCCCACGCGGTTCAGCCGCATGCGCAGCTCCCAGCACGCCTGCCATAGCGCTCGGTACTCGGTGATGGTGTACTTGGCTTTGATCTCGCCATTCGGGCGGCGCAGCTTCAGCTGGGGCTCTGGGCCGTCGTCAACACGCTGTACCTCGGGGAATTGGTCCATACAGAGCCAGAGGTAGACGTTGTCGTCGAAAAAGGGGACTTCGTGGGCGGGGTCGGCGGTGGAGACGATGGAGAGAAGCAGGGAGGCAGTGGCGGGGCCGACACCGCGGAGAGGGTTAAAGGCGTCGAGGCTGGCTCTGGGGAAGGTGGCATCTGAGGCGACCATGGGGGTTTCTTTGGGGAGAGCCGCAACGCTGGCGGCGGCGCACTTGACGACGTTGCTGTCCTGGTTGGATTTCACCATGCCCATGAGGGTTGGGCGGAAGACGCCGTGTTTCCTGGGCGGGCAATTAGTATTTAGTATCTAGTTACAGATAGCTAGGGCCCCGGGAGAGGCCGAAAATAGCACGTACAGCTTCCATTCCATGACGGAGACGAGTTCGTCTTTGTTCAGCACCTCCTTGGCGCCCTTTGCGATGCGCTCGCTCACTATTGTCGGCAGTCCCTCGTACCGCCAGGTATCCAGCTCGATGAACTTGTCTACTTCGGCTTCAATGATCTTCTGCTCGGCGGGATCGAACTCAGTCTTCGTCATCAGAAGATCGTCACTCAGCACAGCAGAATCCTTGCTGGCTTTCTTCTCGGTCTTGCGCTTGGAGCCCTTTTCGGGCTTGGGCTGCAACTTCAACATGGCCTTGCGCCGGTGGAGTTGCCCGACGGTGGTTGGATAGCTAGCAAGAAGACGCTTAAAGGTGGAAAGAGTGATATTTTGTGGATCGAAGGTTAGCGCATCTTTGAAGATGAAGTCATCTTCGCCGCCCAGGGCGATCAAGTCGTCGGCCATGGTATGATAAAGGAACTTGTATTGATTATGGCTGTATGGTGTTTTCAAGGATGCTAAACTCGGCCGTCAAATATACTCGAGGGCACGAGGTCGTTTGTAACAGTTGCCTCGGAGTCGCGAATGCGACTACGCGTGATCTGGAATGTCTGCTTTCGAGAGGTCCTGTGAGGCTTTGTACAAGCGATTAAAGCTGTAATTAATTGAGCTCAGATACAATCTGAGATTCTGATATTTTTTTATGGAGTGTAATTGGCTTCGCGTGATTGTGAACAGCCTGAAAGGATGCGGCGTAACAAAGGGAGCTGATCGTAGAAGGTTGGCGTTATCGATAAGATGTGGTGGTACAGATACGGTTAGGGATGAAACAGGATGGGCAGAAGTGATGTAAAGTACCGTATGGTGGTACCGCTCGGGTCTCTGAACCGCCGAGGGAAATGGAAACCGATAGCAGCGGAGCGGAAGATCCGGTTGGACTTCTATACATTAAGGAGCTAGGAAAGATTGTTGGGGCAGTTTGGCTCAAGAAATGACTCCGATGTACTTTGAGGGCTCTTCCAGACGGCGGAAATCATATACACTCAAAAAGCTACTACCCATTGCTTGCACATCTCTCTGAGTATACTTCCTCCCTCTGTCCTAAGGCAGTATGCCAGTGAGATAGAGAAGCGACTCAAAAATAACTGGCAAGTACTCTTACTTCTTACAAACTCTCAAGTACAGGTGAACTCGAAAGAGAAGCAAATTTCTATACCTCAAGCCAGATCGCATTTTTTTTGATCAATCTCACCCACGCCTATGTACAGAAACCATACCCGCTCAGCAAAGCCGGCCGTGACAGGCAGGTCTTCATTAGAAGAAGATGGGGAAAAAAGGAGACACAGGAGAAGAAAGAGTTATAAAAAAAGGAAATTTAAAATATCAAATACAGGCGCATCGTGAAAAAAAAAGCAGTCATCATCCGTCTCACACATGGGGACCGCTAAGTCTGGCCATCATCAAGATAAGCAAGAGACGATAGCGGTCCGTCGACCGAAACAGGTAGTCGGACGTCCTCGCGGACGGGGTAGAACATTAAAAAAAAGCGGTGATAAAAAATTGAGGGTTAAAGGGGGGGTTGAATAGAATAAGTCAGTGAGCACAGCGAGAATGGTAGCCTGTTACGGTTGTACAAACTCGCTGGACCCAATGGGAAAACGAAGAGGGGAGTTTAGAGCACAGGTGCAGTCCCAACACAGTGAAACACAAGACAAGCTTGTTGACGACAGTCGACGGCTGCGGACATGGGATCGTGCTAGGTCATCCAATCACTGGTTGGATGGAGCAGGCTTGCGTCCGTTAGCTCTTTTCATCTTGGCATCATCGCCGTTCGGATGGACAAAGTTGACGCGCTGGTCGTCACGGTTGTGATCACCAAATGGGGTCACCATGGAGAGATTTCGAGGTCGACTCTGCTTCAATGGCCGAGAGAGTGTCGGGGCGGGCTGGTGGCCAGGATTGGTTAGAGATGGACCGGGCTTGGCCTCCGCAGCCGCAGCCGTTGGGGCCGCGCCAGCACGCTCGTCGTCCTCCACCTGAATGTGTCGGAACTCCTCATCCTGTTCGCCGGCCTCGGATGAGCTGGGACTGTCGGAATCAGAAGCTGCCTCGTAGTCATCCTCGTCATCGCTGACCAGACTCGGGGCCTGGTTCGACTCGATGGTGTGCGGGCTGAGGTTTGCCGAGTGGTCTAGACCATCGCCTTCACGCGAAATGGCACCCGACAGAGGATGAGCCGTTCCGGATAAGGAGGCGAGATCCAGGAAAGACTGGGGGTGATGAGGCGGCTGTCGAGAGGGAGTCAGGTCCGGCAGGTCATGCCCGCGGTCGAGGCCCTTTCGGCTCTCAGACCGCTGCATGGCGGCTTGGACAGTAGGCATGCGCATGGGTTGGCGAGCGGCGCCCGACTGGGATGGTTCCTGACTGGCTTCCATTGACGGACGGCTCGATTCATCCCCGTCAGACTCATCGTCCGACAGACCGCTCAAGTCCACGGGGGTCTTGACTTCTTCCACCAGCTTGGTCATGTTCAGCCCCAAGCCTCGCTCACGCATGAGTGCAGACAGGTGAGGGGTCGCAGGAGAAGCTAAGAAGGATGGATTTGGAGCAGGTTTAGCAGACACAGGCCGGCGACAAGGCTCCTGGTGGTGTTGAACAGTGGCGGGGGGAGTGGCGGCTGCCATCGGCTGGGGAGTCTGGGATGGCTTTCTCGGAGTGACTGCATCTTTCGACGGAGTTGGAAGACCATTGGAGGGCGGGGGGAGCAGGGGTGCGCGAATCAACGGGTGGACGGCCCCTGGGGTTGAGACACTACCAGGTGTCGACTCGCTGCGGCTGGTAGAGGTGATGGTGCCCACCACGGCACCGGCATCATCGACCTCAACGGGTTCACCGGAAGCCATCGCCGCTGCGTCGTGACTGGCAAAGTTACGGTTGTGCGCGATGCGACAGTGGTTGATGAACCCTTGAGTACTGGAGAAGTTGTCACGACGGCAGTCGAGACAGATGAGTTTGACCAGCACTTGATCCGACTTGCGCCGGATCAGCATCGGGCCCGACTTCTCCTTCACCACGGGATACCCGCTGGGTAATGACTGCAGCTTTGAGCCCAGATTCCCCCGGGAGGTCCGTTTGCCGGCGAGGACGCTGAAGTCGACTGGATTGCCGCGAGTGGACCGACCCTCGGCCAGCGGAAGGCCTGTCGCACTCGAAAATCCGGACTCCATCTCGCCGCCATCGAATCTCGGGTCCGGCAGAAGCCATCGTGCGTAATGACGCGAATACGGGCCCTCGGTGACTCCCCAGGGCGCAGGCGATACCGGTGCTGGGCCATTTCCAGGCGGCAGCACCGACGGACCTGTGCCAGCGCTCATGTTGGCGGACACACCCGCGACCGCGGATCCCGGATACGGGATTTCGGCGCAGCGCCGGAGCTGCTCCAGCGCCACCTGACACTTAGCGATCTCCTGGTCAATCAGCCGCAGCTCGTTATGCTTGAGGAGGACCTCCAGGCTCAGCTGGGCAGTGATTGTATCTCGCAAGCGATTGATGTCGGGGGTCGCCTTCGCGGGGGGCGCTGGCGCTGGCGCCGGCGCCGGCGCGGTCGCGACCGGCGAGACCACCGATTCCGGAGCGGGCGCGACGGTCGGCGCGAGGGCCACAGGCGTCACTGGTGTGAGAGGAGCGACCGGAGGCTCTGTCCGCAACTTGGTCGAGACGGGGGCATCGGTCGCAGAGGAGTCGGAGCGTTTGCGCTTGAGCATGGGAGGCAGCGACAGCGCGTTGACGTTGACGTTGACGCCGGGCGTGCAACTGGCGGGAGCGAGCATCTTGACCTCCTCCGCCATTACCTTGTTCCCTCCGATCGCAGAGGGCCAGGGCAGCAGACGAAACATGCCATGCGAGGGTGCGGGCGGTGGTTGGGTTGTTGGGCAGGGATGGTGATCAGGCAAGGGCGATTCAGTGGTATGGCAGCGAGTGAGGATGGGCGACCGGGTCCATGCGCTCGGGGATAGGGTTGTGGAAATCTGGAGGGAGACCGCGAGTTCTTCTTTTTTGTTTGTTTTTATTGTAATTTGTATCAGAAGCGATTATAAAGTTGTAAAGTTGTCAAGTTGTTGTTGTTAAGGTGGAGAGACTTGGAAGTGTTGGAAGTGGAGAGGAGAAGAGTAATAGCGGTGGTGTGTTATGGTGGAGGTGGAGAAAGGGGGAAGGAATGGACGTCGACGACGATGTCGTGCGACCGTGTCAAGTTGGGTTTGGAGTGGGTGGGGGGCGGGAGGTTGTTGTATCGTGGAAGCAGTGGAAGCAGAGGGAAGGACACGGATGGTGGGAGTGGCAAAGAAGTGGATCTATGAAGGAGGACGTGGAAGGGAAAGGGGGGGAGTTGCGAAAGAGAAGAGGTGAAGAGAAGAGGTGAAGAGAAGAGGTGAAGAGAAGACGAGAAGAGGTGAAGGGGGGAGGAGGTGCAGCAGTGCAGCAGTGCAGCAGTGGAAGGAAGGTCGCAAGGAAACAAGTCGCGAGAATGGGAGGACAGCGTCAGAGGGGAGAAAGGCGGGAGCCAAGTTCAGGAAAAGGGAACAGAGAAAGGGGGGTCGCGAATCACCTCAAGGGGGGAAACGGTGGAGCCGGGATGATGGCGGTTTGGGTGAGACAATACCTCGTTCTGACGTGGATGACGAAGCTGCGACTAGCAATCACTACCCCCAACGCTACGACAGACCGTACTATAGGACACGATGGACACGATGAACACGATGGGACACGATGGGCACTCTGGATGCTCTGGATGCTCGGGATACTATTCTTACTACTCTGCCTATTCCTATTCTTACCACTGCGAAACCCGCTGTACTTCGGTCACTGGCGATGCGGGAGCCGCGACACGTCATGTCGGAGACTCCAACACAACTGCGAGCATCACCTGTACGGGATGTCCTCGGACCTTTGTTGCCTGAAACCGAGGAAAACCCCAGCAGATATAGTGATCATCCAGAGTGGGGAGGACTCTGACCCGATGGGTGGTGTCTATCTATACTCTAGGGTATACTATCATGCTCTCTCCCGTTGAGTCCCCGGAGAACCAGGTCCGGAGTATACAAATCCGATCTATCACATCGCTAGGCAATCTTCGAGCCTGCTCCCCTCCCCCAACGCACAGGATGCGAAGCAGAAGACGCTGGAAGGTCCTGTCATAACAGGCCCAGAGAGTTCACCGTCCTAACTAAATCCCAAATCTCACCCTGTCAGTTTACGACTGTCCCCAATGGCGGAGTCACAGCGAGGACCGAAGCATCGAGACAGAGACACACGATCCTCCTCCATCTGGCCCTCTCCCTTGGCTTCTGCTTCCCGGTGGACTCTGCCTGCGGATGGCTGCGGCTCCCACCACTCGGATCCTGCTCGTCCCAGTGGGTTCCCGGTTCCAGCAAATCGACCACACGAACCAACCATTGCCAAGGATAAGGTGTGGTCTGGGCCTCTGGCCCGATCGCCAATCACCGCCCGATCTCGCACTGGGGGCCAGCCCCCAGCGTGCGTCACTAGTGTCTGCCTGGACCCTGGCTTGTGATGGGAAGAAAACAAGAGCGAGAAAATCGGATCTAGACGGGGTCCCATTCAGAAAGGGAGGTGTTGGGGTGGAGGAAGGAGAAAGAGAGAGAGAGAGAGAGGAGATAAATAGGCTCTGTGAGATAACACAAGAACATCAAGGATCGATAGAGTGAATTCTTTGTAGACAGTGGATACTTCAACCAGCAACAACAAACACACTGTTGGTTTCCACTAAGGAGATGTGATTGACAGCCACACGATACTAAATCTATAGAACCCCCCCCCCCCCCCCTCAACTTTGGGCATACCATCACCATCGCCTCATTATCTTACTCTAGCGATCAATGAGGCAGATGTCTCATGTCTAGATCTGGGTCCAAAACTATGCCCTACAGAAAGATGAGAGAGCCTGCTGTTCGCCCCCTCCCCCTTGAGACGTTGACACTGAACCCGGGTAATTTCGCCCCATCCACAGCTGTCAGATTCACCAATGAACGAGTCAGGGAAACGGCACTGATATGTTGGGTACATCCAGTCATGAAGCTTGAAACTATGATTGCGGGAATAAGCACGACAACGGCCAGCCACTCAGACTGCAGCCTGCACCGAATAGGAGGAGATACTACTAACACTGCAGACTTGACGCCCCAGATCCATGACCCTAACACCGGGGCGCGGAGATATAGATCCATAGTACCGGGGCGAATAGATCTCATGTGATGTTTTTCTCTTATCCTTTCTTCACAATCTTTCTTCATGATTATGGTGGGGGAGCGCTATGGCCATCATTCTGTTTCTCACCCGAGCCCGAAGTAGTTTTTTCTTTTTTCAAAAATTTAAACCATCCAACTCATTTCAATACAGTCCGGAATATGGAGTAGATGTAGATGTGGTCCATTTCATGAGACGAGGCGGAAACCCGCATTGCTGTGCTTTCATACCCGACGCAGGCGCAGCAGATGACACAAACCATAGCCACCCTCTTCACTAGCATATTCATAGCTGAGAAAGAAATATCCATCTGCGCTATATTTTTGGTGTGTGACCAACATCGTCGCGTGTTGGGGGCCGAGGCTGCGGGCGTAGTTCAAAAAGGTGATACAGATGTGATGGTTGCCGCGCGGGAGTCCGCTAACGAATCAGACCATTTGCCCACCAAATACACAAGCTCTGGACAAAGGCCGCCTTCGCTGGAAGAACCTGGTCGCTCTGCCCCCACCAACATCGAAGCCCATCGGTCGGCATAGACTGCAAGGGAGAAACACATGGAATCGAGTCGAATCGGGTCGACCACAGAGAACTTGATACATCCATCTGGAACGGGTGGGTTCTGGTGTCAGTGCTCAGCCAAGGGACCAGGGAACCTGAACCAAAGAACCGAGGTGGAACAACGTGGCCGACTAGGCAAGTGCGAAATACCCTTGGAAGAGAAAAATAAATAATAGAATTACAATAGTTAACTAATCTATGACTAATACCCTTGAATCATGATACCATTGACAAGGCTGAGTTTAACTGATTAATCAACCTATCTATACTATGTAGCTCGATCACTCCTCCAGCCAATTCCGGAGATCGACTCTATATCCCGATTTCGAAAGAACTCCGCCACGCTCTGAATAGCGGGCATTGTACGTATTATTGGTTTAGTCTTTTCCTTCGCGGAAGGCCTTGACACTCCATTTTCTCCCCCTAAATTGTCGTCTCTAAGTATTCCCCCATCTATAATTGCAATAGAGTGGCCCTAGTCCTTTCCATCGGAATTCACAACCACCCGCTGTGCCTCCAAGCTACTACTGTCTGTTTGCTCCTCATTCTCAAGCGCGTCGGGTTGTTTCCAGTTGCCAAATACCGCGAGGATTGTGAACGGAATCGTGAACCCCCACAGCGCAAAGCCCAATATCATCTGATTCAAATTTGGCCAATGGGTTGCTCCTACGGCGTAGGCAATGGTACTGCCAATAGATTCCCACGATCGCAGAATCCCAGTTGTTCTCGCGATATCGCCGTCTCCCTGGGCCCCCTTGATTTCAGCCATCAGCCAATAGATGTAAGTCTGTAGCACCTCGTAGAAGAACTTGAAGAACATATAGACGGTGAATGCCGAGTTGAAGAAGGAGCCGTCGCCCAAGTCAAAGGTAGGCGGGTCGGCCATGCGAGAGAGTTTTGTCTGAACCACGGCATTCCACGTCCAGGCCGCGGTGACGAAGACGAGAACAAATATATACACGGCTTTAGATCTGGTTTCACGAGAGAAATACTTCAGATCCAAAATGAAGCCCGTTGTCAGATTGCCTGCAGCACCAACTACAGCCGTCAAAAAGGAGGCAAGGGCCCTGGACCGAACGGTAAAATATGCTGGTCACATCATATTAGCTCTGTTACCGAGGCGAGGATCATTCACGAGAAAAGAGAAAAGGAGAGGACCATACTGGTCAAATAGTTTCCTTGGTAAGTTGTACCAAACTGCCCAGCAAGAAAGACTGGAATGAGGAGCAGTATGTATTTGTTCGTGACTTGCTTCCAGATGGCGTGGGCTTCGATTCTGAAATTTGTCTTCTTCATGTAGGGGATTTTGGTGCCATTGCTTCGGATGACCTTTTTGGGCTGTGACAGAAACAATGCGAGCGGAGCTCCAAGGGATGAGATGGCAACAAGCCCTAGGTATGTTCTATAGGTGACCTTCCCAGCGTGTGCCGTGTTGATATTGAGAGCGAGAGATATTGCTCCTCCAACAAGCGGTCCCATCTGCCGGATACCCATCCAAATTGCGACATACCTATGATGAAGGTTATTCGAAAAGAAAACTTAATTGAATAGGTTATAGTGTTCGCCTACCGTCCTCTTTTCTCCTGTTCTGGATATCCCACCGCAATGGCAGCCTCGCTAGCCCAGAGCAGCGAGGCTCCAATCCCGCAAAGCGCGGCCCCCAATAAGAGAAACCACTGGTTTCCATAGCGATTATTGCAGTATAAACCAGCCGCATATGGAGTATAGAAGGCGGCTCCGATGACTAAAGTCCATTTCGCCGTGATTTTGTTGGTTACACCCCCGGCAATAAAACAGCCGACAGACATGAGGCCATACGTCAAAGCATTGGCGGCATTGTTCAGAAAAGGCTGGATCATATGTTAGCAATGTAATGGCACAACCCCCTTATGCTTCTTCCGAAAGGTAACCTACGCTCGCATTTCCGCCAGCTCCAAGATTGTTAAGGGCGGTCCAAATTCCAGGTTCGCAAAATGCAACCAGTCCCACGATTATGATCTGAAATAGACATGACCGGTAGAACCGGATGACACCATCGAAACCCATTATCAAACTGCCCGGTATTTTCACAGATTCACAGCTCTATGATAATTGTCCCGAATCGAGTCTCAAGTCGGGTTCTTAATTCATTTGCAAGGAAGCACGTCAGGACCCATCACGATCGCGACCCCTCATGTTTACCCTTCAGTTCTGCCGTTCGGACCCCGACACAGCTTAGTTCATAGTCCAACTCTAGAAAGGCATCTAGCTTTCTGACATACAGCGGCCTCAAGATGCAAAATAATCCAGTTCAGGGCTACCGGGACTCCATAACGGAAGTCTAACGCGCAACGCCCAGCGTCTGCGTGGGGGTCTGTCCTATGAACGATTCAGTCTCGAAGCACGCAATGCTCCACACCAATGATAACTTGGTTTAGAAGCAGGCAATCCATAACACAATGGCCCCCGCCTCTTCTCTGAAAAGTCTGGGCTTTTCCCTGGATGCCCTACACATAATATTTGCAGCCTTCGGATTCGGCCGAGAAATGCGACGTTCGTGACTGTCTTTCAAGGGAAATTTCAAGGATAAAGGATATGCTGTCCTCAAGACAAAGTTTCAAAACATACTGATTTATCTGAGATCACTGTACTGAAGTTTTAAGAACGGATCTGATTTGTTTAGGGGATAAGACACGGGTCTTATCGACAAATTGCAACTTAAATTTTAAGTGACACGCTCTTGCAGGGATTTCAAAAGTTTACTGCACCAAGCAAGGAACATGAGTTTCATTCAAACTACAATACTTAATTAGAGGCGATCTAATGCTGAAATTTAATTTCACAAAATAATTTTGGTCAACTTCCTAAAAAACAATCTAAATGTAAACGAATGATCATTAGACATAGAATTGAAGTCAATAATAGAATCATCGCTCCCATATGATAGTTGATATTCAGCAGAACAGATGCGGAATACGCATTAGTTTCATTTGCTGTTTTTATCGAGCAGTAAAATGGAGCAAATGGGGGTAGCGGGGTAAAAATGCAGAATTCTATCCCAGAAAGACTTAGGTCTGGTAGTGGGAGATATGTTGTCCATTCAAGATTAGGATCACGTTGTAACAATACTGCTAAGAACATTCTATTAAGCCATACCGTTCCAAAACTATCTTATACTAGCCCGAATGAAAAGTCTGAAAAGTCTGGTGCCAGCCACGACCGGGAGGCGACTATGATTGAACCAGCCTAGTCGATATTCAACTGCTTCATAAGCCACATGTACACAGGATAACTAACTAACTAGTAGACAGTGATAAGTAACGAGCTTAAACGCCAGAACCGGGTCGCGTTTTCAAACCGCCAAACAACCATGACCAATCAGGCCTCTAGATAATCATCAGTTCCCCACTGTCCCTGTGTTCGAGGGCCATCTCCAGAAATTCAAGAATCCTTCAAGTTTACGGTTCAGAACAACTTCATTCAAAACCTCGGCTCTTCAAATCTGTCCATGTTATAAGGCTACTTAAAAGGGCAGTCCTCTCCCGCTCTAACATAAGCATGCGAGAAAGCTCATCTTTCGAAATCTGCTTTGCGTGGCTTGAATCACGCATAGCCAATTTCAGCCCATTACCTATGCAGTTTCAGAACTCGCAATCAGAAATTCCCAGTTCGAGACAGGTAGCAGCCCAAAAGATAAGCTGTAGGAAGATGAGCCTCTACAAAATGCCATGATATTCTTTCTCCGTACCTACATTGGACAATCTGGCTTGAGCTAGGACATGGTACTGGGTATGGCAAGCTCAATCAATTCTAGATGGGGTTATGTCTTGGCGATAACGATTACAACCACCACTCTAGGCCAGTCAACCAATCGAGCCATCATCCTAAGTGATAGTTTATCGTACGGTTTTTTATTTACTCAAGCACGACGCGAAGACTAAGATGAACTCTGTTCTGCCCCTAAAACCAAAACTACGCGGACGATGAACGACGGGAATCCCATCTCATGATTTGGCACCTCCCACCAACCATCTCATCCTCCTTGCCAAATTTGAACCAAAAAAGTGAGCGGAGATAAAGCAAGTATTAGAATACTGCAAGTGAAGAGATCTTGAAAGAGGGGTGATGCAGGTATGAGTTGTCCTGCAAGACCTTAGGACACGTCAGTTTTACAAAGTACAAGGCCGTCTTACGTCCATATCATCAAAGAGGATACCTGCTTGGCGTATTCTAGATCGTCATTCCCTCCTCCAGACAATCACTTCCACCTATCCATCCGTCCAGCCTTGATTATACTGCTTTAAGGATCACCAGAGCTAAAGATTCTACAGCCTTGTGTCCTTTCACGATGGCGCACCGCGAAAATTGGCGATCTCCGGGCAAAAGAAGCAACCGAGGAGGACTCAATGCCTTCAGAAAGCGCAGTCAGGCGGAAACATTCTGTGTGCACTTTCAACGTGGCAGGTGCCACTACGGTGAGAGGTGCAGATTCTCGCACGACGTGAATAAGGCTTCCGACTTCAAGGCAGACCCGGCTGCATACCATCCCACAACCAATGATCTGGACGCTCGGAATCAATACTTCGACTGGAAGAGACTTCTTAGAAATGGGATTTTAGGGTCTAGATATTCTCGGAGGGAACATCAAGAGATCGTTGAATTCTGGAACGGGGCTCTTGAAATTCTTGAAAGCGACCACAGAGAGAATCATCAGTTCCTCGCTAAAGATCTCGTGGACGACAATCTTCATGGATATGAGTTTATCCTCGCAACTGCAGATGCAGACAATCCAGAGGGAGTGCGACCTATTCCAACTTACGACACGCAATTTCTTAAAGTTATTACCCATCCTTCTCTCCTGAACTGTCTTTCTGTCGATTCATTTGTTGGCACTCTGTACACATCCTTTGGTGGAACGAATGGAGATCGAGCAATCAGATATCTGAGAAGTGTTTGCCGGAGCCTGCTAAGTAAAGGTGAAGAGACCAGTGAAAATGTGCCGATCATCTCTCTGGACACGATGAAGTTACTGCTGAATACCCTGTACCAGCTTTTGTCGAGAGTCCGACGCGCTCGATTCCACGATGAAATTCCCGCACTGCTTGACCTAATCCGCGACGTGGCCTCCAAAATTGCTGAAACATGCTCGAAGGCCGACTTTGACGGCCTTGAAAGCAGAATAGAAGTCATGCAGAGCCTGATCTCTAGCGCAAACCGCAAACTTTATACACCCAGGGCGCATGAGGAGAATCCCCAGGAGAGTGGATCAGCCCTGTCGTCTTTTCCGCTGGATATGCAAACACCTGGTGGGAGACACGACAACGACCTTGCAGAAATCTCTCAAGTTCAGATCCTTCCTACCCATGGAGAGATTGTCAGCGGCAATTCAGAATATCTACCTTCTACCAACTTCCTTCAGCCGCACTTTCTCCCTGACCCTTTGCAAAGATACATTGACTCAACATTCCGACTCCTGCGCCATGATATCTTCGGCTCAGCCAAAGATGTCCTTCGAGATCTGCTACAGCAGAATGATTTGACACGATTTTCATATTTCTCAAGCAAAGATAGCGGGGCACATCTCTATCTGGGAGCACAGGTCCCCCAAATATTTATCAATGAGAGAAAGGAGCTCGAAGCGACCGTGTCCTTTGCTACTCCACCACAAGTCCGCAAAAAGACATCCAACGAGCAATGCAGATGGTGGCAAGACTCCAACCGACTAGAGGAAGGAAGCCTAGTGTGTTTCTTGACGTCCCAAGAAACTCACAGGAGGCTTATTTTCCTCGAGGTCACTGTGAAGAATGCTTCTAAGGACCGAGCGCACCAGAACAAGAGTAGTCTTGTTTCTGATAAATTTCCACCTAGTATTACGGTCAAGCTTGCGACATGCCTACAACAAGAACTGATCCTCCTGGCCCGGCTTTACAGCAAGAAGCTTACCGGTATCCTGGTCGACTTCCATGGCTTGATCCCTGCCACGTTTGCCCCTATCCTGAAAAACCTTCAACGAATCCAACGCGAAGGAGAGTTGGCATTCCAAAAATGGATTTTGCCAGGCCGTAAGGAGGATGATGATGGCCACAGCATACCACCACCGGCATACGCGCGCAAACCAGGATTTATCTTTCCTCTGACTTCGATCACAACTGTTGGAGCCGAAAAGGTTGCATTAGACCCGGGTACCCCCGAGTCTATTGACCTCTTGAAACTGCAAACTCAAACTGGTCTCGACCATGGCCAGTGTCAGGGACTTATCGCGGCTCTCACACGAGAGTATGCCCTTATCCAAGGCCCACCGGGCACCGGAAAGTCCTATTTGGGTGTTAAGCTTGTTCAAGTTCTCCTTGAGATCAAGGAAAAGGCAAAGCTAGGCCCAATTCTTGTGATGTAAGTACTGATTTCATGCCTTCTTGAACTTTACTTACAGGGATTAAAGCTGCTATACCAACCATGCCTTGGACCAGTTTTTAAAGCATCTTCTTGATGTTGGTATCCAGAAAATTATACGCATTGGTGGCCGCAGTCAGGCCACTGAGCTTGAAGGCAAGAACCTTCGCGTTGTCAGTAAAGGCATTGGGAAGACGAGGGTAGAGTCGCAAACCCTCGGCATGTCCTACGGGAGACTTGAGGACTGCATGAAGAACGCTGGATATGCAATGAAACCTCTACACCAGTCTCAAAAAGGCCTGTCTTGGGCCGCGATGGAGCATTTCTTGCACCAAAAATGGCCCATTATACATAAACAACTGGAGCGACCAGACACGGAAGGATTCACAACTGTTACTGATGATAAATTACTCAACTGGCTTGGAGCCAAATCGATGCAAACCCTGAAAGACCAGAATGAGAGTGAAGTTGACGATGTGCGCTTGGAAGGCCTCACACGCGCTGCGAAGGAAAATATTCACAGTCTCTCGATACCGGAACGCCGGATTCTTGCATTGAGCTGGTTTAAACAGTGGCAGGAAACCAAAACCGCTTCGCTTTTCGAGGCTCTTGATCGCGCTGCAAATCTTCGCGGGGACATTAATGCAGTCCATGAAGAGGTCAACCGCCGTACCTTGATTCAAGCAGACGTAGTAGGAATCACAACCACAGCCCTTGCACGCCATATCGAGACACTGCGACGAGTAGGAACAAAGGTCATTATATGCGAGGAAGCAGCTGAGGTAATGGAAGCCCACGTCATCTCAGCCCTCATGCCAGGAGTTGAACACTTCATTCAGATTGGGGATCATCGACAGTTGCGACCACAGATTCAAAATCATTCACTTAGTCTTGAAACATCCACAGGAAGGACATGGCAGCTAGACAGAAGCCAGTTTGAGAGACGCGCTGTCGGTGAGCCAGGTCTCAAGCCAGCCCCTGTTGCACAGCTCAATGTACAGCGAAGAATGAGACCTGAGATCTCGCAACTTATCAGGAGGGTCTATCCAAAACTAGAGGATCATGAAAGCGTGGTGAATCTACCCAATGTTGTTGGAATGCGGAACAACCTCTTTTGGCTGGACCATCGATGCGATGAAGATTCAAGGGATGACGGCAGCCGTGTGAAGTCTCATAGCAACCAGTGGGAAGTCGATATGGCTACTGCTCTTGTTCGGCATCTTGTTCGGCAGGGAGAGTACAAGAGCACGGATATTGCCCTCTTGACACCCTATACCGGGCAGCTGCGGAAGCTCAGGGCATCACTATCCAATGATTTCGAAATCTGTCTCAGCGAGCGGGACTTGGAGACTCTGGCCGCGGACGGGCTTGAGAAGTTTGAAGATGAATATCTCGAGTCAAATGGCCGCAAGTCACTCGAGAAGAAGACGTTGCTCCAGACGGTCCGTCTTGCTACCGTCGACAATTTCCAAGGCGAGGAGGCAAAGGTGATCGTTGTCTCTCTAGTCCGCAGCAACTCAAAGCGCAAGGTTGGCTTCCTACGCACCGAAAACCGCATCAACGTGCTCCTCAGTCGAGCTCAGCACGGCATGTATCTCATTGGAAATACTGAAACATACCTCTATGTCCCAATGTGGGCCGACGTCCACTCTCAGCTCGCCCGTGCGAATGCAGTCGGCACGGAGTTGGCTCTCTGTTGTCCTCGCCACTCGGACACGCCTATTCTCTGTTATGAACCCCACGACTTTGAGAGGAAGAGCCCTGAAGGTGGGTGCAGCCTCCCGTGTACCCGTCGACTCGAGCCATGTGGTCATCAATGCCAGGCCAAGTGCCATTCAGCGGTCATGCACGATGGCTTTGCATGTGGAAAACCTTGCCCACGTATCCGATCAACCTGTGAGCACGAGTGTCCCAAGCTTTGTGGTGAAGATTGTGGTCCTTGCATGGCGAAGATTCAAGACGTGGAGCTTCCTTGTGGTCATATCAAGAAATCGGTCTTTTGCCATCAGATGCCTAACTTGAAAGTCATCAAATGCGACGTCGGGGTCGAAAAATATGTTCCAAAATGTGGCCATACAATTCAAGTTGGATGTTTCAAAGATGTAACGTCCCCAATCTTCCGTTGCCCTAGGCCATGCACCGGCATTCTCAGCTGTGGCCACAATTGCAGCGATTGCTGCGGAAATTGTCTCAAGGAAGTCCACGATGGAAGCAGAGTATTTGAGCACCCGAAGTGCACGAAAAGATGTGACCGCCCTCACGGCGTTTGCAATCATAGGTGTCCTAAGATATGTCATAATGGGGAAAGCTGTGGTTACTGCGAGGCAAAATGCGAAGTAAGAGTCCCTAGAATCCATCATCTGGTCATCGTATTGGAAATATTAATCATATTTACAGGTTAGATGCTCACACTCAGCATGCGACTTGACCTGCGGAAAGGCATGTGCACCATGCATCGAGAGATGCACCTGGTCCTGCAAACACCAAGGCTCCTGCTCAATGCCTTGCGCGGCAATATGCGACCGGCTTCCTTGCGATGAGCGATGCACTAAGATTCTTAAATGCGGCCATCAATGCCCGAGCCTCTGCGGGGAAGACTGTCCAAATAATCTGTGTCAAGAGTGCGGCGACAAGGGAGACGCCCGTGTTGACTTCCTTGAATGGAAAACGTATTCTGAAATCAGTCTCGATGAAACTCCTATCGTCGTGCTTGGATGCGGCCATTTCTTTACCAGTGAGTCGGTTGATGGATTGGTTGGCCTGGATGAAGTATACACGAGAGATAAAGATGGAAATTTCGACGGTCTCCGAGATGTCTCTTCTTCACTTGCCAATGTCATACCATCGTGCCCGGACTGTAAGCAGCCAATTCGCCAGTTTGTGACGAAACGTTACAATCGTGTTATCAACCGTGCCGTTATGGATGAGACTTGGAAGCGGTTCCTTATCAAGGGTCGCACAGACCTGGAAGGGCTTGAATCGCGTCTGAACGACATTGAAGACAAGCTCAACTCTAAGCGAGCCACTGTAGATGTGGATGACACTAAATCACAGCTTGAAGCACGATATGCAGCCTGTGCACGCCTCGCGAGGGAGGCTTTAGCTCTCAGCAAAGCCATGGAGGCCGAGAATCAGCCGATGAAACGGCTCACGGATGCGATTGCCATCTACCAGAAGTCATCAGGGGACGAATTAACCTCCCTCTCAGCCCGAATGGAGGCGATGAATATGACAACACGGGAATCCGATAACCAAATTACCCTTGGCGCACGGTTAATTTACATCAAGTCAAAGGAAGTCATGCTGAGCGATGCCTTTAGAGTGATAGATTCAAGCGGAAAATCTGCAACACTACCACGGCTAAGCCTCGCCAAACCATCATCAACCTTGATTCAAGCTCTGAAGGATTGCCGAGACTTGATAACTCAAGCCAATGAAGGAAACTTCTCCCGCATCGTCATCACGGCGACCGTCTCATTCGCCAAGATCGCCCAGCTGGACGCGTGGTATCACCGCTCCCATCGAGGAGAAACAACAAGCGATCTACATCTCAAAGGAAAAAAGGGTCTAGAAAAGCTCGAAGATCGCTTTCAAACCACCCGCGATCTCCTCGTCGATGCGTTGAAACTATGCGACGAACTGAAGAACTGTCCTGAGCTCCAACAAAAGGTCCAGGAGATGGTCCGCCTCTATGAGGGAACACGATACGAAACAGTCACTTTAGAAGAACTCCAATCAATCAAGACGGCCATGGTCAGTGGGCGAGGAGGAATCGCGACTCACTCTGGGCACTGGTACAATTGCGTCAACGGGCATCCGGTGAGTAAACTTCCCATTCCTCAAATTGTCCCAAGTTACCTTTGACGAGCCAAATGAGCTAAATAACTTTTTCTGTAGTTTGCTATTGGAGAGTGCGGTATGCCGATGGAGCAAGCTAGATGCCCTGAATGTGGAGCACCTATTGGAGGTCAAAATCACACAGCCGTTGAGGGCGTTTCTCGAGCGCGGGAAATGGAGTAGATGGAAACCATATTGTGTTTCGATTATGGTAGGATAATACATGTTTTCTTTTCTTTCCCTGATACTGCACACGAATCTACACTCAAATGTTTTAAGACAGTTTATCAAGCGTCTGTACCTTACCCTAGCCTAAACATTGCCCAGGTCTACTAGTATATGGCGAGGTATTCGCCCAAGACAATCGATCCAGTCTCGCGCCTTCATAGCGTTACAATAAAGTAGAGTAGAAGAAGAGTTGCAGCTCTCTGGAGCCCTCGCAGCAGGATATTCTTCTTGTGTAAGCCGAAAATCACATCAAAAAGGCAGAGAAACGTCGACGATGTTTTCAATGTTATGGCAACACCCATCTTCATATTCATCGCTGGACGCAGAGGTATAGCGAATACAAGTCGACTCTACGACACTTTCGAGAGAAGCACCTGCAGAATCGAAGGTGTCATATGCGTAACAAAGATCTGCTACATGAGATGCATCTTCGCAGGCATTCAGAAGTTCATCGCCTCAGCACTGAACGGAATTACTACGCTAAAGAAGATACGGGATCGGACATTGATACCGATTAATTGGAAAGCTTACAGGTTTCCTGTTGAATTGAAGAACAATCATCTTTTTCCTTAGCTCGAGAACAATCAACTTTGGATCCTTTTAATAATTTCCGTGATAGTGCTCTAGTTTCTAACTTCCTTATCTGGAGATAAGTTCTGTTTGATATATGCTCATCGTATTGAGAAACTCCTTTTAAGTCCTGCTTACCTTCTTATCTATAATATTCATGGAGATAAAGAACGGGCCCATAAAACGATAGTCTTCCTGCTCGAGTGGGGCTGGGAATGTTTCCCAAACAGGCTCGAGGGGTCGCATTTTCAAACCGCTAAATACCCGTGTCCAATCAGCCTCTTCCAGAGAACCACAAGTTCCCCACTATCGTGTGGCCGAGGGTCTACTTGGGTTCAAGAATACTTTCAAGTTCGCGATTTAGAACAACCTCATTGGATAACCTCGGCTGTTCATATCTTTCCATGTGACGCATGGCTACTTAAAGGGCAGTCCTCTCCCGCTCTAACATGAGCAGGCAAGAAAGACTATCTTTCGAAAAATGCTTGCGTCGACGGAAGTTTGGGCGCGAAAGCCTGTGACCGTGCGAAACTTTGAGTTTCACAGAGATGCTCAGCCTGAGACTAACCCATGGAGATAAGGTGACGACGAGGTGAAAAGGGAACTCAGTAGCTAGCTATTGGTAAGGTTGATCGTCTATCTGGGTGGTATGTACGATCCTAACTCAGAATAGAGCCGATTGCGGCCGGATAGTCCTGCGTTAGCATTCGGGCCGAAATTAATTCACTAAACACTCCTCTATTTATACTCTAAGCCTCACAAAAGGTTCCAGGCAAAACTTCACTATAACGGTCGCTATGATTAGCACCTTGTACGTACGCGCCCTTAACCTTCCCGCGTTTCTATAAGCTAGGAATCTTCTTGTCGTTACTATAAGATAAACTAGCTAGTTTCCTTTATGGAACTTAGAAGCCCGAGTAGGAGAGTGGTTACTACCGTGAAAGCTTGAAATTCAAGGAGATTAGAGAAGAGGAAAGTCCCCTAGCTCTCACGAATAGTAATCTATCTCTTTATAAGATTTCGACTAGCATTTAGCAAGAAATATACTAATATCCGTATCGTCGGTCAGTAGCCGTGCGTAGCATAAAGGGAAGATGCAGAAGGATTTTTAATTCAAAATACTAGATTTAACATTTAACTCGCTCAATTTTGTGCGGATTAAAAGCAAGCTGGTGGGGATCTCCCACCAATCTGGCGACATCTTCCTCGCGAACGAATCAAGTTGTTCGCCGATTCTTTGGGTCGTAGAGAAATAATGTTTGAAATCCTCATGGTTGCGAGCAAGTATGAGACCTGATATTTGGTATAGACGCCTGTGATAGAGATCCTCCGTGGATAGCCAAGGAGTGTGGTCGTCAATATTGAATGCCGCCGAGCCTGTACTTGACGGTACACCAAGTATGACGGAGAGATAGCGTTCCTATCGTGGTGAGCATGGTTCAATACAGATGGAGGTGAAGAGCCTACTGCTCTCGAAATCTGATACCATAGATGACTTCTTTTTGCTTCCTGAAGATACACGCCCTCCTGGGATGCCTTGGCAGTCGCTCTATGCATACCCAGAAGCTGAGCTATCGTGATGGCTTTTCGAAATGAAAGCCAGGACTTTCGGAGATTGCCGGTCTTGACCTCATATATTCCCTGGAGTGCAAGGCATTCCACCCCTTCAATGCTTCCGGTCATTTCGTCATCTGAAGTCACGTTCCGCGTAATGAAGCCCATGATTCTGCTCATCAATTGTCGAGGTGGCAAAGCAGTGTGAATTTTATGCATATCTACGTCAGATGGGAGCTGCTGAATGCAGATGGCGATACATAGGAGAAGTCTCGATATTCCTATCGGATGCTCAGATGAGACGGCGCTGACGCTAAACATTTCGTGAGAGTCAGTATCATCTGGGCTTGATAGATGCGGCATCATATGTTGTCAAATAGGCCACCATCCATGACTATTAGCGAATAGATAGTCGATATCCGCTTGACAAGGTAACATTGCTGTCAATTGTTGGCGTACGATCTCGAGTTTTCCATTCGGAGGGCAAACTTCAGCCTCCATTGCAAAATCATCAGGTACGGGAGCAGTAAGAGGTTGAGCTTGCCCCGTCATGGCCGAAATTGATGAAGGAGTCAAAGCACCAACAATATCCTGCGGAAACCTGCTCATTAGAGTCTCTAGCAATGACTCCACTCTTACCATTCTGCAAGACATCCCCAGGTCCTCGGCAGCTGAGGAAAGATGATCATTGGCATATTCCTGACTCAGGCATGGTGTGCTTCGTTCCAGATAACTGGTGCAAACGGAGATATCTGGAGAAGGAATGCATTTGATCTTTCTCCGTTTACCTGCTCGTTATCAGAGGCGCGCCTTCTTGCGGAGATGAGGGCTTACACTCCAAACAGCTCTTCGTTGCTTTTCGAACCCTTTTCCGCCGGTGTTCCTCAGGCATCGATTCAGGAAACATTATATTAAAATTAAGGAAAGGGTTCGATCAATCGTTTTGTTTCTCTTGCTCTTTCCACAATTGTTTCCTCCTCGGAGAAACACGCCATCAATTTTCGCCCCCGATGAACTCGGTCTTGTTCGGCCAAATTCGACCGAAAGCCCGAAGCTTAACACCAATCAATGAGAACGGGTTTTGTGTGAAAGAAATACATAGAACGGCGAGTCCTGGGATAAGAGCTGTATCCATCGTTATCTTACCGCGTTCCTACGGTTCTCTGAACTCTGTGAGATAATAAAAAGAACTGAGAAATCTCAAGCAGCCTGTATGTTCCACATGGGTATATTTACATCACTTTGATCATCTTCACCGACCCTAGTATCCTCTCTTCTTGCAGTACTGCTTGATTACCGCACTCCCCGTCAACCCCGCCTCGATAAACTCCTCATAGCTCCAATAATCCTGCTTCAGCCCTTCTCCCTCCGTCGTCGCATTACTCAAAAACCTTGAGTTCCAGTATGTACTGCCGTGCGTGAACTCCGCAAACGCCGACAAGCCCGCCTGCAGGTTCCGCCCCCGCAAGCCCAGCTCATTCTCCGTCCCGGCCTCCATCGCCCACTCCCCTACAAAAGTCGGGAACGTCCCGTCGCCCTGACTCGCGCGTGCATCCGCACACAAGAACGCAGGCAAATTGGCCGAGCTCGAATTTGAGTACTGCCAGTAATAGTGGTGCACATCGATCACCATGTTCGCGTGCTTATCAAAATATGGTGTCCAGAACTCCGGCGCCTTGAAGCTCCCCTGGAACATGACCGGAATACGCGCATCCACCGCTGCTACCGCCGCAAGTACCTTGTTAATGTATCGCGCCAGCCAGACGGCGCCATCATCGGACAGCGCCGCAGCCGTACCGAAGGCGCTGAAGTTATGATTGTCCGCGGGCTCGTTGATCGGCGACAGCGAGTAGCTGCCCGGGTGGCCCGAGTGCGCGATGAAGGCGACCGCCGCGTCGACCGCACGCAGCGACCATGTCAGCGCTGTTTCATTGTGCCACCAGCCCCAGTGCCCGACGGCCTCCCCAATGTCTAGCCCGTTCGTGCCGCCCGGCAGGGAGTGGATGTCTAGCACGACGTGCATGTCGTGTTTTGTGATCGCGTAAGTCGCGATCCGCCGCACATGCTCTTGCTGTCGGCCCGAGTACAGCTGTGAGCCAGGCATCTGAATCCAGGCGGCGTAGGTGGTGGGGATTCGGAGGACGGTGATACCGGCTGCCGCGAGTTTGTCAATGTGCGCTGTCGTGATGAAGGTTTCGTAGCGTTGTTCCATAACCGGCTTGCATTGCGCGCCGAGATTTGCGCAGAGGCCCCATTCGTCTGAGGCGCCGCCGGAGTACGTGGCCCACCAGGTTGTGTCAATTGTGGACTCTTGCTCGAGCCAGCCGCCTAGGTTGACACCGTGGCCCTGGAAGGTGCGCCAATTGATGTAGTTCCCAAGCTGAGGGTTTGGGTGAGGGGCACCGATTGCTCTATGGGCGATGCTGAGAAGGGCGAGGAAGGAGGAGAGCGTGGGCATGATGAATCTGGGTCAGACCGGCCTGGAAGTTTCCAGGGCGAGAGGATGTTTGCGGCAGATCTTGTTGTTGCGTCAAGTACCCATGCGATCAGGGGCGCGTGGCTCACCCTCTATTTATACAATAAATCATTCGGTAGAGAAGGCACCCGAGTGGGTTCATCTGTGTAGAGCAACGGAGATCCCTTGGTGATTCCTGCAAAGTCGGGTTCATCTTCCCCATATTCTCCGCATTTGTGGGGTTGACCTGCATAGATACTCGGATAACCCTAACTGGCACGAGGTCCCAATGAGGCCCACTGCTGTGTGAAAACAGTAGATGTCCGGCGGAGCAGGCCATTAGAGGTTAGCCTGTAGTTAATTTTGCGAGGACTGAGTGATTGTAATACCGTTATATTTGCCGATCGGAAGTTAAGGCGCTCGGATTTCCCAGATCGACAATGCCGATTGCTGGTGATCTTAATCTTGAGCCGAGGAGGCTCGGGAAATCCGGAATTAGTGGACACTTCTTCAAAGCATTCACCCCCCCGACAATGTTCATGAAAAGAAAAGATGATTGGGTAAGCATCACTTGTGGTCTTTAACTATAACAATAAATTAAATCAACAAGATGTGTCCTTAAAACGTGCTTTTCCGTCTGCCTCCTAGCCTGTATTCTTGCCCTCCTCCCATCTCCCACCTCTTTCATTGTAGTTACATATTATGTGCTTTCAAGGATAGAGATTAGATTATTGCAAGGCAGGTATTGAAAGCGAATTTCACATTTTTGCTGCATTGTCTGCATTCTCAAGAGTTAGGTGCCCACCTGCTCTGGGGAATTTCTTCAAGACGGTGAACATATCTCTATTCGGCCCTCGTACAATCACGATCGCCGCGGATTTGGGACTATGGAGAGTAGTGAACTCGTTACTAAACAGTCATACTCGAAACCACCTTGGCCAATATACATTAAAAAACTCTTTTATGGCCCCGCGCCAAAGGCTAAGCGCAAATAATTCATCGAGCAGCACCTTGTCATATACAGCACGTGATATTCCTCGTTTGTAAAAATAGTTTGTGGAATCCATGGTGGAGCTCATAGGGTTCTCAATCACAACTACTGTAAGAAAACGGTGAAATAAAGGTATAACTTGTGTGCGGAAGGCAGGAAACTACTTCACATTTGCACGGGTTAAGGCATCCAAAATGCCGTTAAGTCGGCAGGTTGTTCCACGATTTTGACCAAGAATCTTCTGGTAGCCTGCTAGTGCTCGCTGGTATATCCTCTCAGCCGCTTCTAGCTTCCCCTGGCATTTGCAGAGAATTCCAAGGCCGTTGACTATATCCAGAGTAGACTAAGAATCGAAAGCTTCACTCTCGGTGGAGACAACAGCACCTAGATCTAGTAGCATCTGTATCACTTGTTCATCGCCTCCACGGGAGGCGGCCTCGAGCGCATTACTAAAAGCCTACCCTGTGCGTTAACATCGGCTTTCTTCTCGAGCAACATCTGCACCGCCCGTTTACTTCCGCTGTATGATGCCGCCTGGAGTGCGGTGCCAAATTCCCCACCCTAGGCGTTGACGTCGGCGCCTCTGTCGAGCAGCATTTGCATCACCTCTGTATAGCCCTTGAATGATGCCACCTGGAGTGCGGTGCCATGCCTCCCACCCTGGGCGTTGACGTCGGCGCCTCTGTCGAGCAGCATCTGCACCGCCCGTTTACTTCCGCTGTATGATGCCGCCTGGAGTGCGGTGCCAAATTCCCCACCCTGGGCGTTGACGTCGGCGCCTCTGTCGAGCAGCATTTGCATCACCTCTGTATGGCCCTTGAATGATGCCACCTGGAGTGCGGTGGCATATCTCCCAGCCTGGGCGTTGACGTTGGCGCCCCTGTCGAGTAGTATCTGCATTACCTCTATTTGACTACAGTGTGATGCCGCCTGGAGTGCGGTGCCAAATTCCCTACCCTGGGCGTTGACGTCGGCGCCTCTGTCGAGCAGCATTTGCATCACCTCTGTATAGCCCCTGAATGATGCCGCCTGGAGTGCGGTGCCATATTCCCCATCCTGGGCGTTGACGTCGGCGCCCTTCGCGAGCAGTATTTGCATCACCTCTGTATCGCCCTTTAATGATGCCGCCTGGAGTGCGGTGCCAAACCTCCCCCCTGGGCGTTGACGTCGGCGCCCCTGTCGAGTAGTATCTGCATTACCTCTATATGACCACAGTGTGATGCCGCCTGGAGTGCGGTGCCATATTCCCCACCCTGGGCGTTGACGTCGGCGCCCTTCGCGAGCACCATTCTCACCTCTGCCTCATCCCCCATTTCTGCAGCGCTTATTAGGTGATCGTCGACTTTGTTTCTCGATTCCTCAATTTTGTCGCTGTGAAGGCTGCTATCATCCGAGAAATCTAGAGCAACGGAAGGCAAAGAGCCAGCTGATCTGATGCCTTCGGCTCTCGCAGAGTCTGACTCTTCATTGCCGTCAAAGTTTCGCGGGACTGCAAACGTTGCGACTTGTTCCTGATGGAAAGCAACGTGATTGTAAAATCCTTTATTGAAAGGTCCAACCGAGTAGCAGAATGGGCACATTTTTCTGTCATCGGCTACCGTCGTCTCCGCTAAATCTAGGAGATTTTCGATCTGCTGCCTATCCAGACCTTTGTGGCAATCTGAAAAATGTTGCAGCAAGCCGTCTTTCGATATCGAGATGAAGAACCTGTGTTCAAAGCATCTCCATACGCGGCGGTGGACCAGTCGCTCATGTTCAAGCCATGTGTGCCGACTGGAGTACATGCGGTCGGCATCTGGACATTTCTCGTAGGTACATACGTACGGCTGGAGATCTTGGCGGATATGCTCTCTAATCTTCATTAGAGCGATGCTCCTATCCTGCCAATGATCTTAGACACTTACTGCCACGACTTCCCTCTTCCTTGTTTTGACGGACAAGCTACCCAGCAAAACGGGCAAACAAATTCTGACTTACTGGCTGCATCGGAAGGAGGTGGAGGTAGTTCGGGGGACTTTCCATCAATGTCGTAGGCCGTAGTCGCGTAAGAAATCACCGTCTCTGTTTCTAACTGGTCGTCCATTTCACGGTTATACATGGAGAAATCGGTTCCTGACACCATTGACTTGGTTTTTGGAGTCGGCATGAAGTTGCCTGAGACACGGAGCGTGATTGGAGGCTGGGAGACAGGCTCCGCAGGCCTCACGAGAGTTGCGGGACTCTGCTGGTGAGTTGGCTCATCCGTAATGTGTGAGAGCTTGAGAGCATGTCTCTGCCAATATGCAAAATACCTTCTCCGGTTGGTGATTGCTTTTGCTAAGCGATCTCGCAGAAAATCGCCTCCATCTAGCAGATGATCCCTGGCATCTAAGATATCGACAAAATCGTGATTTGGGTCTCGTACATGTTCAGCAGTGAATTCCTGTGATGATGGACGCAGACGTAGGTGATCGAGCAACTCCTGTACATGTCGACGATCGAAGATGGCATACGCCGAGAACAAGTCTTTCCCAGTCTGCGGATTTTCCTCTTTCATGAGAAGGGCTTTCTTGGTGAGTGATCGATATCTTGTGTTGCGTATCTTAAAGGAAAGCCTGTACAGGTGCTCCATGATATCTTTGATTTCGTCTAATCTTTCGGCAAGTTCTCCGGTAATCAAGTCGCTACCGGCGGCACTGGAATCACTGGAATCACTGTCCTCGATTTCTTCGTCAGGGGTAGGTGGGACATCGCTACCCTGTTCGTAGGGTAGGCGAAGACCTGTGGTGATCTCGGCACCTGGGCAATGACAGTCACTAAGAAATTTCGGTACATATGACAGGAGTTGCGACGCACGTACTTTTACTCAAGGAGTCTTGCAACTGTCCCAGAAACTTGAGGACTGCTGCTCGTAGCACTATCGAGTCTCGTAATCTAGCGTCAAGAGAACTTCGACCTCTCTGCAAAGCGCCCAGATTGCCAGCCCAAATCTTGAAACGAGAAAATTCATTTTCAATTGCCATCGGCATCATCTGTTTTTTGTACTCATCCGAAGACGTGCGCAGCGATAGTGTCAGAGTATCGAAGCAACTTGCACAAGAGAGAGAAATGGCGCCGATGTCATCCATAACTAGTTTCAATCTCAGAGGCTTAGATAATATTGTTGTGTATACCTCGTGAGCTTCAGCTTCATCTTCGTAGTTGATAAGTTGCAAACTGGTGATAGTGGACTACCGAGCATAATTAAATCCCTCATAATAACGAAAGATTCCAAGGAATGCAAAAAGGTCATTCGTGGAATTAGCGCCAAGAGCTGTGCTGTAGCGGGGTTGATGCACTAAAAAAGGGCGCGCCGCTGAGATCTGGTGTGCCCGGGCCGACGCGTGGGGAGGCTCCACGTTTCCACGTTTTCTTTGGAAAGAAGCTTCTTTCATGGTGAATCAACTCGCTGATCGTCTCTCCAGAGTGAGTTGCGTTGATGTACCTGGCAATCCAAAATGGTGACAGGAGTGGAAACAGCTGGACTCGTCCTGGGAGCTATTCCTCTCCTTATATCTGCCCTCGAGAACTATGAGAACTTGGCAGCTCCGACAAAAGCTTTTATCCACTGGAGATCACGTTTGAGAGGATTAGTATTGGAGCTCTATACAATACATACCTCTTACGACCAAGCTGTTCGTGTCCTATTAAAGCCATATGCCGACCCCGCAGACCAAATCACGATGATGGAAGACCCCCGAAGCAACTTGTGGAGAGAAGGAGACATTGCCGACAGTCTTCGCAATCAGTTAGGGCCAGTATATGGTCCTTTCATTCACACTATAGATGAAGTGTCAGAGATCCTGGTCGAGATAGCGGCCTGCCTCAATATTCCTGGGTCGCAGCAGGTTTGAGCACCTCTCTTGAAAGTTGGACTCAGTACTGACTTCGGTAGGTTTTCACAAGTCAAAACCTGGATCCAATCGTCTTTTCTAATTTGCAAGTCGCGAAAACTCCGTTTCATTGCAAAAATTTTGAATTCAGGGAGAGGATCAAGTTTACCATGAAGAAAAAAAGCGTGAAGGCCGCGCTGGAGCGTTTGGAGGCTTGTACAAGAATGATCGATGCCTGGACCATTAGAGCCGACAAATTGCGGGATGAGACACCGGAAAGTCGTTTGAAGCTAAAATTTTCTGCATCATTGGGTACCATTCAAGAGAATGCGACCAAAGTACACCAAGCAATTTCTCGAAACTGGTGTAACGACAACTCTGTCCATGTCGCTCGTCTGCTCCTCGAGCAACGGCTGGTGAGGTCAAAGAAAAGGAAGAGGCCTCTGCAAGCAGCGAGCTTGAACTTGGTAGCGCAGGCAACTTGTTTCGGATTGAGTCTCCGTGGGGACTGCAACGCGTCTTCTCAGTGGTTGAATTCTGAAATAAGGATTACCGAACTCCCGCCGAGGTATGCACTTTGAGGTTCTCTTTCGTTGTCATTCTGAGCTCTGATGGTGACGTTCGATTAGGGTGGGGACCGTTCGCGTGACAATATCAGTTCCAGAGGACGACCACGACCCTGCAAATTGGCAGCATGCTACGAGCTTATGCAAAATCATTAAGCAACCTCCGCATCCATTTTGGGTACTCTGCCTTGACAATACGGGGTGTCTGAAATCATGCCCGTCCTTGAAAGAGACTGCCTCTGAATACGTTCAGCAATCTTTATCTCTCGAGGCTCTTCTTCCACAATTCGGGTCCAAACTCCCGATAAAAGAAGTGTATGGACTGGCCATCACCTTAATAGCGTCGGTTTTGCAACTCAACGATACTCCATGGCTTGAAACAAAATGGAGTAAGAGGAACATCGTGTTCGCAAGAGCGAACAGTCACATGCCATTATCTGTCGACCTAAGATATCCTTTCTTAGTGAAGGAATTCCATCAAGGTGTGTGACTTCAAAACTCAACTTCGAAATCATCGACGCTGATCCAAGTATCAGGAGCTGGACTCCAACGCCCCAATAATACACCTGCCAACATAACCTGTTCGAACTTGCTTGCCTTAGCGATTATGTTGCTTGAAATTAGTTCTGGACGGCCTGTTGAGCAAAGACTCGGAGATGATCAAATCACTAAGATCTTACCGAATGATCAATCGAGTCTCCAAGTAGCGGATGGATGGCTCAAGGAGGAAAATTCTCATGGAAGATTATCATGTGCCTTCTCCCAGGCTATTTTGACCTGCCTACAAGGATACCTCAACCCCGATGCAAATTTCAATGATGACCATTTCTGCAGCGCCTTCAAGGAAAACGCACTGTTGCCGATTGAAGAGGAAATGGATATCCTAATATTTGGACCTCTGAGGTAATTTGCAGTAGAAAGCACTACAATGAACGAAGTACGTGTATCGAACAGCATCCAATCGTTCAATTTTCCTAGGACTGGAGGCGGATCCTGACAATGCGCCCTTTTGTTTCACGATCATAAGTTACTGGTTGGACAGGAATATTCAGTCTAGACTTAGATTCTACGCTGCACGAACGATATATTCAATAGCGGCCATAGATGCTCTCAATTGATGTTGTAGGGTTCCCAAGGTGTCGGAACATTCTCCCGGGCTTCCGGGGCTTCTTGGAGTTCCCTCTTTTTCTAGTAGCTCTTTGGACCCTAGTAAATGCCTTTCCGGTCATCACTGCCCTGGTACATGAGGGAAGATCTTGAACCCCTTGGGTCTAAACTCGATGCCCTGCAACAGGCCGCCGCTGCCCACATCCGAATCTGGCCCACTTTATCAGGGAAATTACTTCCATGAGAGCAGCGATCAGCGGCCTGGACCAAAACAAGCCCTCCAGTCGGAGAATTTCGAACGTTTTGGATGAAGAATCATGGAAAAAAAAGGAATGAAGAATTAAAGTTTCAGCCTCCAATTCCATAAACAGATCATTGAAAACTACAGCTTACAGGGGATGAAGGAGACAAGTATGGACCTTATATATTCAGTCCTTTCCAGCCTATAACACACGACAGGCCTTCCGACAAGTAGTAACAGAAGAATACGGTCCAGGCGCTAAGAAACACTAGCCAAAATAAGCAAAAAAAGAAGAGGATCTAATAGAAAAGGGGGGCGTACCCTACTTCCTCTCCAGAAGTCGGGTCAAACCGTTTAGAGGTAGACTTCTCGACTCGAATCACAATACTTTTTTTCTCAACCCGATACTCATTGTGCCTTTCGATACGATTTCCGTAGGCTCTTTCCAACCCGTCATTCTATCTTCATCTGAAGAGCGACCAAAATGGCAATTTCGCCGTTACAATTTTCATAACACACTTTCTTCTTCTTTTTCTTCCCTTTATCCTCCCCCTCCTCTTTCTGCTACTACTGCTGCATCTGTAGGTCAAACGCAAGGCAACCTCTCCTTAGAAATGGGTGGACTGTATCGAGAGGGTCTCGTTGATAGTTTCGAAAGTGGAGACCTTCATCTGTCTATACATGTACCTTATTGACCCCATCCAACCCCACGCCGCTTTTAACGGCGATCATCACGGACAAAACCGCGAGTCCGTGCACGTGACTAGCCACCCCCGCGCGCGGAACCAATAGCGGGCAAATAGTCTCAGGCCGTGTTTGCAGGGGGATGTGTGAGTTTCAGGGCGCGTCGATCACATGTTCGGCCGCGGCAAGTCGCCCGAAGGGGACCCTGTCACAAGTAAACAAAAGAAAAGCAAAGAAAAGTAGAAGACCCGACGGGACGCCTTAGGGTGGCACACGCAAGGAGAGACACAAAGACAAGGGCTACCCAGTCTGCCGGGCCACCCCCACCCCCCTCCCCCGGCCGCGGGCGTAGGAGAGAGGGGGACTACGAGGTTACAAGGTTTCAAGGTTACGAGGGAAGAAAGAAAGAAACAAAAAGAAAAAAAGTTGTTCTGAAAGCCAGCCTAGCCAAAAAGGTCTGGATTTTCACATTTTTGCATTATGGATTCTCAAAACGTCGTTTCAGGAGAGAAACGGGCCAGAAAAACTGCAAATAAAGGGAATCTAGAACACAGGGGGAATCTATCTGACAGTTGCAGCCAAGTGGCCCAAGGCATCACATGCCGACATGATCATTCAGTGGAGGAAAAAAAAATATAAGGAAATAAGGAATAGAAATAGGAAATCAAGAAAGGAAAAAAAATAAATGGGGGGAATAATAATTGATGGGGATCACAAGGAGGGGGGGGCAGTCTAGCCCCCCGTAGACCCCCATTTTGCTTTCCGTCTCCAGGATGGAACTGCAAAAGCAAAGATCAGGGAGAGCCCTGGATATACATGAGATGAGATACATGATTGAAATCATTATTGTTGTTTTTTTTTTCTTTTTTGCTGCTTGTCCATCAACTGTGGATGGATGGAGCGAAAGAAGCCAATTTAATCAGAGGCGTTCTTCTCGCTGCTCTCGCCGCTGCTCAGAGCCATCTCAGCCTTCTCAGTCTCATGAGCGGTGGTTTGCTCCTGAACATCGAGACCAAGCTCGGACTGCATGCGGGCAATCTCATCGACGGAAAGCTTGGGCATGGTGTTGGCAATCTGGTAGGGCCACTTGCGCTCAACGTGGGCCTTGGCGAAGATCAGATCCACCTCCTCCAGATCACGGCCGGCAGTCTCGGGGTAGTAGAACCAGGCGAAGGGCAGACCGATGAAGTTGACCAGCGCGAAGAACAGATAGATACCCCAGCCGGAGGCATCAGAGAACACGGGGGTGAACATGACGACGGCGAAGTTGGTGATCCAGTTGGTGCAGGTGGAGGCGGCGGCAGCCATGGTACGGGTGCGCAGGGGGTTGATCTCGGGAGGGTAGATCCAGGGGAGAGGCAGCGTAGTGAAGGCGAAGAAGCAGATGAACAGGAAGATACCGACAACGGCACCCTTGGAGTTCTGGGTGCTCTCGTCGATCAGGCAGGCCATGGTGATGATGAAACTGAGACCCTGGCCGAGGAAACCGATCAGGAAGAGCTTACGGCGACCGACCTTCTCAATCATGAAGAACGAAGGGATAGTGGCCAGGGCGTAGACGGTAGCGAAGACACCACCCAGAATCAGAGACAGGCGGTGGTCCATGTTCAAGTTCTGCTCGAACAGCAGGGTGGAGTAGTAGATGGCAGCGTTGCAACCGGTGAACTGCTGGAAGAACTGACCGGAGCAGCCGATCATCATACGCTGGAACTCCTGGGTCTTGCCGAAGGTGAAGAGAGTCTTCCACGAGGCCTTGGCGCTCTCGGTAGCCTTGAGATCGGCCTTCATGAGGTTGAAGTCGGCCAGGACATCCTCGGCATCGGGGGTGCTGTCGTTCAGCTGGGCCAGAACCTCACAGGCCTCCTTGTCGTAGCCGCGCATGACGAACCAACGGGGGGACTCAGGCAGCATCATGGCGCCGGCACTAACCAGAACAGCGAAGAGAATCTGGAAAGCGACGGGGAAACGCCACTGGACGGAGCTGTTGACATAGGAAAGACCGAAATCGATCCAGTAGGCAATAAAGGTACCAACGGCGATAATGGCGCCCTCGAAGCAGACGAGGAAACCACGGTTGTGGGCACGCGAACACTCGGACTGCCAGACGGGGATGGTGGCGGTATCCATACCGTTACCCAGACCCGAGACAACACGACCGATGACGAACTGACCGAGACCCCAGTGGGGACCGAAAGCCGCAGTCGAGATAACAGTACCAATAATCATCAGAATACCACCGGCAACCAGCAGTGGGGTGCGGCCGATCCGCTCGCCCCAGATGAGAGTGAAGATAGCACCAAAGAAACAACCAAGTTCGTAACAAGACGTGACCGCACCACGAAGAACGTTGACATGCAGCGAGTAGGCAGCGGTCGCGTCAGTCGGGATGCTGAGAGGAGGGAACTCCTTGACGAATTGATCACCGGAGATGATACCAGACATCAGACCCTGATCATAACCGAAGAGCGAGAAACCGACGACGGAGGTGAAGGTGATGGCCAGATGGAGCTTCTTGCCCCGGAGGCCGCTGGTGGTGGTCCACATGATGGGTGGTGGTGGTGGTGATCCTTATGCTCTCTGGTTTGATTCTATATACCGGAATGGATGTAGGGTATATAGATAAGAGTCGATCAGGCTGGGAGGAAAGGGGGAAGAAACCGAGACCAGCCACGAGAGAGGAAGAGAAAAAAAGAAGCCCGGGACGTCAAGTCTGGGGCTCAGAGATGTCGGGGATGCGACTTATATGTACCTTTTTTTTTTTGGCGACATGCCCTTCGTGGCGTCCGGAGACAGACAGGAGGTACATAGCTCGGTACCTGGTCCACTCCGATGCTCTGCCTGGGGGGGAACGTCTCATTTGGTTGCGCCAAGCCGAAAAAGTTTGAGATGACGTCGGCGGGGGCGCTATGGGCAAGTCGCGCGAGCCGTCGTGGGGGCCTCTTGGGCGATTGGCACCGACAAATCGATGTGGATGGGTTCAGATGGATTCGGATGGGGGTGGTGGATAGGGACCGATGGGATTCCTGGGGACTCGATTGGGGGGAGTGGGGAGGGAGAGGGGGGGGGGGAAGAGAGTCGCTGGGGAGGTACTGGGGACGGACTGGGGCGCTCACTTGGGTCGCTGAAGAGGGGGCACGCAACCACTGGCCAGCAGCCCTGGAGCCAACGGCAGTGATGGGGCAAGTCTCGCGAAGACCCAGAGGGGAAGGGGGGCGTTAGCGGCAGAGTTTTCTGGGTAGTTGTCCTGTTCGGGAATTTTAATTTCTCAATATGTGCAGAACCAAATTATTTTGTTTTTATTTCTTGGTTGTCTTGGGTGTCTTGGTTTTTTTTTTTTTTTTTTTTTTTTTTTTTTTTTTTGGTGGTTGGTTTCGATCAGAATTTTACTGTTCCTATGTTGGACGCCGAGAAATGGCTGCGTTCGGCGTCCGGTTGTGGCGGCGGAACCGTCGTCAGGGCCGTGGTGCTTGGGGTGCTTGAGGGTGCTTGAAGGTGCTTGGGCTGGCTTGGTACCGGGTACACCGTAGCATCGCGTTACCGCCACAGCCACGGAAGGTACCGTACGTACCTCGAGTCCCTTGATTATGTGATGAGCGCCACCCGCCCTACACACGGAGCAACGACAGAGTACAGGGCGGGGGAACAAGAGTTAACCCGATTCTGCCTCCCCCATCATAATCTTCAATGGAGCGCTCTAATCTCCCGAACCTCCGTTCGAAAATGGAGCATGGGGCATGATGACGATGCGCGCGTTGAAACTCTCCTTATCCTTGTCCGTCTTTTGTTGGACCACTCGTCTTCTTTCCTCGCCCTCCACTTCTTCATGCCCCCCCTGGTCACCCAAGCCAAACTCGGCCAACTAAAACCCGACTAATGCTCACTGCGACCACAGTCTCGTGGGGCGCGCCGTCCATCCTCCAGTCTCCCGCCAATCCGATCCTCCAGTGGGCGGAGGATCACCTGTGCGGCTTCCGGAAATGGTATCTCGTCCGACCCATCCAACCACGGGGAATTACGGAGGCTGTGGGCCAGGGACTGGGTTTCTGACCTTTTTCTTTTCGGCTTCTCCATCTTTTTTCGCCAGTCATAGTGCATCATTTCCCCGAGATGTGTCAAGAGAAAGAGAGAAAAGAAAAGAAAAAGAAAAAAGAAAAAAGAAAAAAAGACAAAAGAAAAAGAAAGCGACAAAAGACAAAAGAGAGAGAAAAGCGAAACATAACGGAGAACATCGACACTGGCTCAGACGATGCCGGGCCCGGACCCGAGTTCGACAGCCAGCCGAATCCTATAGAGGGCGAACCGATCTCGTCTCAGTTGCCCGTGGACATTGCGATCCGAGCGACAGATGCGAGAACTTGGCGACTGTGTCCGACCACATCGGCGATTACTGGAGACTCCTTTCGCGAGTCACTACGCCCTACTTCGTTAGCGACGTGGCCCCCGAGAACCCCGTGTCTTCGGCCCTCCGAAGCCGACGGCTCAGGGTGAGCGCCAAAGCCGCCGTAGAACCCACCCGACGGCCCGACAAGGGCCAATAACCAGCCCGCCCTCGAATCGGTCCCAACTCACAACACCCCGCGGGGACGTGTGCGCGACGCCACTGATGTCGGTCCCGACAGTGGCCTCTTCTCTCTCTCTCTGTCTCTCCGCACACAACGTGGTATTCACCTGGAGAAATGAGGGGGGAAGCGAGGCTGGCAAGGGATTCCGCCCCCAATCCTCCCCCCGACCAGAAGACGCCTACAAGCGACCTACCGCCTCGGAAACCATCTTCCCCCCCCTTCTCCTCCCCCGGCGCAGTCATCTGGATCTGTAGACAGAGAACAGCGTACTCGATTGATATCTCCTCCGGCCTTCCATCCAAAATGGAATTGAGAAACCCACCAGTCTTACGTGATGCGAACCGGTGTGGTTCAGGCCCCTAGGACCGTTCCCTAAATATTATAAATATTAAATCGATCCAAAAAGTCTGTCCCCTCCCAACGCGCCCATCGGTTGGTCAGACTCGCAGCACCGCCTTTTAACGAGCAGCCGTTTAAACTCGGGCGGTGGCCCTCTCATTCAAGGCGCGCCCTCTCATAGGCTCGTGCGTCCTTGCCCCGATGGGTCCAACTCTTTTTCGGATAAACCATTTCCTTGCCCGCTTTGGGATCCAAAGAACGGGCCCCAATGAAAAAGGCAGCGTAGGTTGGTCGGCGACCTATCAGGAGCCGCCAAATGAGAAGAATCAATCAATTCAATTCAATCAATTACCCGATCGTCGAGGGAGACGGCTATTCGAAAAACCTTCCATCCTAGGCAGGTCCTTTCGATGTAAAAAAAGGGGATGTTGGCATCACTTGGCCTACGAAATTTCCCCGTATATGCCGCATCCTGTGCGCTGTGTCTCGCCGGCCGAGACTTTAACCCTCGCAATCCAGCCCCGGCACGCGAGGGTCCCCTTGCGCCGCGTTCAACTGGAAGGGAGTAGTATATCGGTACCTGCCGTTCCATTCGGCTTTCAGCCCGCGGGCCTCGCCTCCATTTCGTGTGTTGCCTTTGGAACCGAACAGAAAGGGGGTGTGGTGCCTCGGCGAATAGAGTCCATGGCGCAAAAAGACCGTGACAATGGAATCTCGGCCGTTGGCCGTTTTGCCAGTTGGTCTTGACCTCCGTCATCGTGTCGCCGTCCACCGAAGAACGAGAGAATACCAACGGGCCCCGCAGACGGTCGGCGCCACGTGGTTGATCACAGATTCCACGATGCATCATGACATCGTGACATATCAGCACGCGCCTCGAATGGAATGTTGTCCGTGAAAACAGAACCCATGTCGTTCTTTTCCAGAATCCAAACCTTGGACTTCGTAATTCGTGATTCGTCTCTAATGTGGACCAAGGCGAGACCATTAATCTTTTTTTTTTTTTTTTTAATTTTTTTTCTTTCATTTTCATTTCCCGATACCAATTACTTTAATCCTAACAGCCCCAAATGCCGTCGAGTGGAGCAGCCCTAGCTCATGCAATCTCATCTCTACAGAACTCGGTAACGAAGTTCGGAGTACAGAGCACAGAGCACACAGCACAGGACAGGAGTACGGAGGACCTGCGCACGGAGTACACGAGAACCTTCGAGCTTTGATCCCCTGGCGTCTGGGCGCTTGGCGCAAAAAAGGGTAAGTTTGCCGCACTGGGAAAGCCACCGCCACTCCCGCCGACTTTAAACGGCCCCCTGGTCTTGTCCTGCGTCACCGCCGTCTTCCCTGGCTCGTGCGGGATCAAGCCTCTTATGCGCCTCGGTGTCTCTGTTCAGGCTTTTGGGCGGCGTTTTCTACAATAACCACTGTTTTTATACTCCCGTATCTGGACAGGGACGATCTGTTGACAGCGACCTGCGTTGCCGAATCGAATATCCCTCCCCAAGCGAGCAACAGGTGGAGCAACCAACAGTCCATCTGGCAGCGCAATCTCGCACACGTATGATATTCCGTAAATCCCTTCCATGTGCGCGCACCTTTGTCGCACGCACAGCGACGATCGATCCTCGGAGGATTCCTATTTTTTTTGGGGAGTTTTTTTTTCTGGCCCTTTTAAAAGGAGGAGAATTATTTTCCCTTGGGTTTTTTTTCGGCTTGGCTTTTCTTGTCCTTTCCGCGATCACGCTTTTTGGTTCGCTTTTCTTGATGTTCACTTTCTCTCGCTCTTGGCTTGCGTTTTTCCGACACGTCCCCCCTCGCCGTTCCCGTCCTCGGATTCGCCCCGCCCACAGACCACGCTCCCAGATAGTGATCACCGCGCCGGGTGGGCCCCGGACTCTCCCCGTCCGCGCTCAGCGCTGCCCATTCTCCGGTCCGGCCGCACGACGGGCGGCGCAATGTCGTAGATGGCGGTCGCGCCGCCCACGAATCGCCGCCACGGGAATTTCCGCCGCGGTCTTGGCCCGCACCGAGATATCCCGATGCCCGTCCCGACGTTCGGGCCTGATGACTGCAGCCGAGCGTGTCGAGCGTGTTGGGTGAGAAAAGCTGGCGCACGATCATCATGTGAAAGATGAGTCAGCGTCGTGCTGAGTAAGATACGTCATGTGATCTGTACCGGTGGTAGAGACAAGACTCGACAGTAGTTCAAGGGTTGAAGCGGCGAGGCGTAATCCGTAGATCGACGTGGAATAGCGCCAGGCTCCGCTTTCGATGCACCGTGCTAGTTCTGACCTCGACGTTCTCAGAGAGTGGATATACAGAATGGGTGTATTTTCCCTTTGATGTTTTGAGGTGGTGGTAACAGCCGGGCCCGCAGATCGACTCGAATGTAAGCGTCTTGTGTCGATCGATTTGGGAGATGCATGTAGTGGTGCATGTTTCGAATTGTACGGTAGTCTATTGAGTGGATCAGAACTGGATCGGCGCCATCAAGAGTGACCCATCTTGTGGAGGTGATGGGGGGGGGGGGGGGGGGGAATATACATTTACCTAAAGATATATATATCTAGTGTCTTGAACAGGATAATTTTATCTATTGGTAGAATCGAACTCTTGCGATATCTAGCTAACCAGAGGTCCTAGGATCTCGAGACCTAGTTCAAATTACGCAGAACTACGTCCTTTATCGGTTGATATCGGTTTTGAAGCCTATATCGATTATAGTGTTAGGGTGCTTGCTGCTTGCGGGGTAGAGGCCTGTTGGTCAGGTAAGGAGAAATGAATACAGTATTGAATCGTTAGAGAATCGAAGAAGAATAGTAAAGGTGTCTTATTTCCAAATAACTGAATCTCTTCAAGATTCACGTTCGAAAGAAAGGGGGATACTCCTTCTATAACCTTAATGTCGTCATTCCACTGTTTGCCGAAGGTGTGACGATAAAGGAGTCCGACTCCTACTTGTTGTTCCCTAGGAACGCATACCGTTTTTTTTTAAAAAAATAAGCATATGCGTCATGCATACGATTCGCATCTGACATCGGCCGGAATAACATCAAGTATTATACATTTAGTTGCTCTATAACAATATACCTATCACCATAAGAGTAATACTAATAATAGAACTTGTACATAACCAATTTTGTGGGATGAAACGTGAGGCATAATATTTTGGTAGAAGAATAGCTTTATTTTAAATCCAACTGTTACCACGTGACAGCCAATGGCTTATCATTATTCGCTCATAGTAATGGAACTTCATCTTCACATCTCCCCAGAATCCACCAGCTTATTACCACCAACCCTCAAAAAGAATTTATATCTCTGGAAGATAATATAGTCTATACGATATACTCCTAATTTGATTACGACCAAAGCGTTGTATTATTAGCTGAGTTCAAACGTCTGAACTGAATGGAAGGGAAGAGATACGTGTAAATCCTTCTAGAAACACCTTTATAGGCATGTCCATGTTCCGCTTGCCGCTAACAATGACGAGATTTTTAACCGTCTAGAAGAGCGATCAAGTTGGTGATAGGATGATGTAGTATGAATTTGGTAGCAATAGGTGGTAAGAGGTGACAAAATCCTCCGTACATAAGATCACCAAGTAAATCCATATGCCACAGATCACAAGATGCAATTTAATTTATCTCTAAACTTTATTAAATATCTAATACATATTATCTATATGGTATCTTTTATGTTATAGAGAGAGTACTAAATTCGCATTCTAATGATTATTAACCTCATATAGGATATACTCTTCTTCCTTACAATAAGTGTCAATATAGTAGGACACTGTATAAGCTTTCCAAGGTAGGATCCAATGGAACGCGATGGTCAACATGATGTCGAACAGTGTGAACTATCTGGCAAGGAGTTTTTAATATCTCCTGCCTCGCTGACTAGCGTATCACGGCGCTAGTTTCTGAGTATACCCGGGATTGTGAAAGTACTACTTGCAGGTTAGTTAGTAGCTTGTTGATTAGGTAAGAGAAGAATGAATCAATATTGAATCGCTATGGAATCGAGGAACAAGAAAGGTAGTGTATTTTTTGATAACTGAATCTTGAAAGAGACTCAGTTTGAAAGAAGGGGAGTCTTTCTCTATCTCATAATGGATGTAACATTGAATAAATGGATGAAGATATATGAGATACCTTTATCGCGTCATTTTTGCGTCCTATATTCGGAGAATCCGTCATTCATGCATATCCATCACGTTATGGATACGAATCGTATCCGAAGGTGATCCGAATGACATCATGGATGCGGTAATTCCATAACAATAAAATACATTAGACACATACTTAAGCACCATATTCGCTAAACTAGACTAGTTGAAGAAGTTGAAATGTGTAAAATTTAAAGCCCTTAATACTGAGGATTATAGCTATTAAAATATGACGTATATAGTTAATTAGGATCAAGTACATATATTATATCTACAACCTAATCAGGACCCTAATTTAGATCCGGATTGTAACTAGTGTAGTGGGGAAATAGCTGAAGATAGATGAGCTTTGATTGGAGGATATATTTCCTAGTACACAGTCTTTACAGGATATAGCTGTGCATCTCCGATAGGGAAAGAATAAACTTCTACAGATCTTTCGCTGAAACAGCTTCTGTTTCCTTTGTGCGAAGCTCTCCTCAATTGTGTTATGTGTGGTGGTTTGTTGGTCTGTTCGTTGATCCATCTCATCCAGGCTGCTTGCCAGGCTTGCTATAGAGAGCCCCGGTTCACTGGTTTTATAAAGTCCCCCGAGTAGACTCGGAACTCGGCACCGTAACACGCTAGTCAGCGAGGCAGGAGATGTTTAACGCGCCATGCCAAATAAATCATATAGTTAGATATCATCACATTGAGCGTCGCATTCCCTTGGATCTTACTTTGCCAAGCCGACACCGTATCCTACTATATCGACATGTGGTACCAAGCAATCATATTCAGCTTTTCAAGTAATAGCTAGAACTTATATCGTAAGAAGTTAGTCAGATGGGACAGGGCTATTCTACTCGAAGATAGAATGTTGGGGCGATTTTTCAGAGCGCTAAAATCTAAGATCACTCCGTATATGGAACCAGGAACCTCCTTGTTCAGCTCGGCTAGATCCCAGTGAGGTTACAGTAAGGATCATCGGAATTAGCTCCTGGTCAGCTGAAGAGAAAAGCTAAATGTGGGCAGAACTTTAGGGATGGGCCATGTAGAATCCACATTTCGGTCGACTGGATATTAGTCATCCGAATGATTACCATCTATTGGAACGTCGAAGATTTCCAGCCAAGAGATGATAGTGCGGCGAACCCGGAGTCATGCAGAGTATTCGCAAGCCTAGCCACACACTCCCTGGCACGGCTGAAAGGTGGGGGAGGGGGTAATGCTAGGCGAAACTATATGAATTGACAGTCAGCTCTGATTATCTCTTTTCTTTTGCCTATATTTTCTATTACACCTCTTTTTATTTTCAAATTATAAATAATCTATTTGTGGATTTTGCAGAAGAGGACCCGTTGACCAAGATGCCTGTTACAGCTATTACCTCGTACGTGATTTCAAGATCATAATTTCGTCTCAAAATATATTGCTCGGTGCTAATATTTTAAATGCGGTAGGCACGAACAATTTAGTGAAATCATTAATAGCGGCGATCCTGCTGTAATCGACTTCTGGGCAACGTGGTGTGGACCTTGCCGAATGATTTCACCTATTTTCGAGCAGCTCTCGAACGACCCGGAACTAAGCGGTATCCAATTCTACAAAGTCGATGTCGATACACAAGACCAGATTTCTCAGGAGGTCGGTATACGTGCAATGCCAACTTTTGCTGCCTTTAAAAATGGGGGCAAAATTGATGAGGCTATCGGAGCCGATGGAGCAAAATTAGTAAATCTTATTCACGCTTTGAAATAAGAAAAGAAAGCCGAGTTTGTCTCTGTTCCTGCGCGGTGCTTCTTCGGAGGCAGAAGATGCCTATTTCTAGGAGATATTACGCGACACAACATGATCACTGTATGCCGGTCTCTCGTGGATCAATGGATCAATACGTTTCCCAACTCTACCGTCTTGCAACCGTACCGTCGCTGTCTTAAGCCTTATCCGGAATCGGGTACTTAGAGCAAGTCTTGTAGGCGTGCCAGTTGATGCGTGCCAAGTAGGTCAGTCCAAAGAGGTCCTCCACTTGTAGGATTATGGTCGCGGCTGAACCGTATAGAAGTAAAGATAGATGTATCCAAATACAGCATCGAGAATGGAGGGATGATCTGGACCGAACATCTTTGCCTCCTTCAGCTTTTTTATGACTGCTTAGAGCGGAGGAATGCTCTGGACTAAGGACCTTCTCAAAGCCAGCCAGTGCCCGCTAGTATATCTCCTCTGCCTCCAACAGCTTTCCCTGATGGGTATAGAGGTTTCCAAAACCATGGAATGCTCCCTGTACTGCAAAATTGGGGTTTGACTAATATTCATTACACCCCAACGCTAAGTGACGTTAAAACTGAGGCCGAAAATGTCTAGCTTTGACGCCGTTTTAAGCTTCAAGATTCAATTATTGGAATAATACACCTTTAATATTCTTCTTCGATACCATAACGATTCAATATTGTATTCATCTTTCTTACCTAGCCAACAGGCCGCTACCCTGCAAGTAGCACTCTTAACATAAACTACGATATCTTCTAGTATCAACGAATTGCTGCCTAGATCTATATAGGATCTAGAAAATGATTAAAAGAAGATTACTAGATATTAATAAGAAGACCTCACCCCGCGTTAGTAACGGAATCTTAATCGTCTATTTTATTATTACAAGATTACTATAGAGAATCTTTAAATTGTAAATAATACAATTCGTAAGATCAAGGAAGCTCAACAACTACTACAGCGCCTAGTTCCTAAGCGCTAGGTTAAAACCACCGCTTAGCAAAATAGGGGTGCTCTCTATTAGAGATGCAAATAGTTCTATTGCTAAAAGAAACGAGAAGGAAGCTGATATAGAGCGGAAGCGGGCGAGGTAGCAGTGGAAGAAAGCATATAGAACATCACCACTACTAGATTGAAGATCTATACATATACGCATACAAAGCCTGCCGAGATCCCAGATTGAGCACCCTAGTAGGCATCAGCATAAAACTCTCGAGAAGGAGATCTAGCTACCTACCTACCATGAAGTGAGTGATTATTATAAAAAGTCTAATAAAATACCCGAAATTCTATGCAAAATATACAGGGAATCGAGTATCACTGTTATATCAAGACACACAGTAGAAAATGTGGGTCTTCGTGGTATTTGTAGCATCCTTGCTCTCTTGACAGGAGCACCTAAGCAATACACCTCTCACACTAGCCAAAGAAATATTGAAATCTTAGCCTTTACAACCCCAACATTCCTATAAAATCGACTCAAGAAAATAATAAAATGGTTCCAGTCTACTCAAGAGCTCTACATTTTTTCTCATAGCAAAGCACCCTACATAATTCTAGTCTCCTAGATTGCACCTCCTCGATGGTCCAGGGGTAATTTCTGCCTCTATTCTACCCTTAATTATCTCCGGGACACCAATATTAAATATGGAAGTGCTTGTAGAAAGGAGAAAAAAAAACCAAGGTGGTCATTGTGGAGATATCATAGGGCGGAACTTTGTCTACAGACTTACCCAAGCTTGTAAAATCGAGTGAGCTTGGACTCAAATTTACCCCCATACTCTAGAACTTACTTTAGAGTCCAATCGAGCTTATTTGACGGGACCTCCTTAGGATAGAAATGTAAGTCATAAACACATCCTTAAGAATATCAGCTTTTCTCCTAATAATATATATGAAAGACACTTTCATTCCTCGCCCTACTAAGACGCTTATAGTAACAGCTTATAGTTAGTACTGAACGAATACCCCCTGGGCATGTAGCTAAATATTTTATCGTTTTTCGCTCGTTAGTCGGTCTTTTCACTATCCACTATCTTCCCTAATAGGAAAAGTAAGGGAAAAAGGGATTTTCTCAACCCTATATTAGAATACTAAGGAAGAAATACTAGCATAAGATCATTCTTTTGATTTTACTTCTTTAGTTCGTAAAATCAGGCTCAACAGTGCGGAGTAACACGATAAATACGGAGGTTGAACCGTTTTCAAAAGTCGCAGCATGTATAGTTAAATGAGTCCATATTCCAACCCAGTTCGACTGATTTCAGTTTCATGCCGAGATGATTATTACGATGAAACGCATTTAAAAAATTTTGCTTCCAAAATACGCAGACCCAGCAGCCTTTGCACTCTTTTTCACATACGGAAGTGATGAGAAGGTGATGTCCATGAGCTTTATCGGAGGAGAAGAATATCATCTTCGAATTGACTATAAGTCCCATAATCGCCAGTTCGTGCCAAATATTCTGCCCTTGCTGGATCCCATGGAAGATCAATTCCAGGGGATACGCCTCGGCTTCGAGGAGACAAGTGCGGAGGCAGCCAGACTGGCGGAGAGCTGCGAGGCGGCCATTGTTGTCGTGGGCCGCGACAGAGAGTGGGAGACTGAAGGTCAGGATATCCTCTCCTTTGATTTACCTGGTGAGCAAGTGCGTCTGATACGTGCTGTTGCTGCGGTATGCCCCCGGACCATCGTCCTTGTGCAGGCGGGGACTCCGGTAAACATGGAGCCGTGGATGCACGAGGTGTCCGCTATCTTGTACACCTGGTATCAAGGCCAGGAACTAGGCAACGCAGCTGCTGCGGTTCTGCTTGGCCGTGTAAATCCTTCGGGCCGACTGCCTGTGACCTTTCCGCGGCCCATCGAGGATTGCCCTGCGTTCTCTTCTTTCCCAGGAGAGGAGCACTAAGTGCAATACACGGAAGGCTTATTCGTTGGATACCGGTGGTGGGACCTCCTCTCCATCAAGCCCCTCTTCCCACTCGGCTTCGGTCTCTCCTATAATTCTTTCACGGTCTCGCCGGGCTCAATCAATACACATGAGCTCATCAAGGATCTGTCAACCCCGTTGACTATTACAGCTCATGTAACCAACACAGGCGGGAGTAAGATCCCTGGGCAGGAGACGGTTGTTGCATGGTTTTCGCAGTCCGATTCAACACGCCTGCAGCGCCCGAAGAAGCAGATCTGCGGTTTTGCGAAGTCGCGCCCACTTCTTCCTAGTGAAACTAACGATGTGGAGATTGTAATTGATTTTTATGCCTTTGGTATGTTTGAGACAAAGAGAAATATCTGGATTATTGATGCCAATGCCGAATTTGAGATTCTGTTGGGGACAACGGCGGCGAATGCGGTGCCTGTTTGGAAAGTTAGGGTGCCTCGCGAGATTACTTGGATCAAATAGAGCTAGATGAATGAACATTGTATTTACCCACTTTTAAATGCCATAAAACAAACTGCAAAGGGTGAGTCTGCTCTTGCAGTGTCCGAGTCTTGCCTAGTCTAAGAATGAGTTCTCAATACGCGTCTTTGAAACCGGGTTACGGTATGGGGATAGCTACGCGGCTTTTACCACACATAGCGGGATTCGCCAACCCCGAGGTATATTCTTCGGCCGGCTGGAAATCACTGTTAGCTTCTCAAGATTGATCCAGCTGTAAATTTGGGAGCCACTGGTGATGATAAGGACCTTGATTTCGATGTGTTAAACAGGATCAAGATAATTTCAAAATCCAATGGCTTTAGCTTCCGCAATCGCGTGGTGATAGTACCAAACTGTTGGGCGGGGTGTAATTGGTCTGGGGTTCCGGGGTTCATGGTCCCCGGGCTGGAACGTGAATTCCGCCTAGCACAACCCTATCTGTCTTTATCTGGCGAGAGATCATTTTCCTATGCTTGGGGGCAGCTTATATAGATGGAGCACGTGCTATCCGTCTATAATCCTCAAATCCTTTCATTCAATCAATTACGCTTGATTGAGAACTTCCCGCGTGATATTTTCTTCCTGTTTCTTTTCATATTTTTCTACTATCTTCCGTAAACTCGCACCCATGGAGAATCTCAAGCAATGCGAGCGAGAGTCAAAGAGCAATACTGATCTGGAGTGTCCAACTACCCGGGATGACGATCTCCTTGTTGCTCCGATTCCGTTCAGTGAGCAGCTCAAGGCAGTCAAACACCATAAGCGTGCTATCATAGCTGGTCGGTGTTCACCTGGGCTTTCTCCCCTTATCCACCATTCTTTAATATAGGTTGCAGCGGTTTCTAACAGCTACGCAACAGCCCTCGCATGCACGACGACCCCTATTCTCATTGGATACGACCTGACCTTGATTGGTTCAATCATCGCCAACACTGAGTTCATTAAGCAATTTGGCGTCTACGATCTTGCGTCGCAGAGCTGGTCACTCCCCGCCAACCATCAGCTTGTGTGGTCTATTGTCCAGTATACCTCTGCCATGGCGGCTGCCATCTTGTCTGGCTCAATGAATGACATCTTTGGGCGTCGGTTGTGCTTCCTAATTACTGTCACGTACGTCAACTCAACCACGTTTGCAAAGCTCGTCTCTTTGACTGCCTGACACCTTCTTGCTTTCTATAGACTGACTATCATCGGTACTTTTGTCGAGCTATTTTCTACAAATTGGAAAATTTGGGTCGTAGCCAAACTCTTCATGGGGGCATCTATGGGCTCCATGCAAGCGAATACGCAAACTTTCGTGTCCGAAATCACACCAACAGTCATTCGAGGCCTAATTCTCTCCCACTTTCAATTCTGGATCATAGTCGGCCAGCTCATTGCATCATGTGTCCTCGAAGGAACAAGCCATGTCAGCAGCTTGTGGTCCTGGCGAGGAGCCGTGGTATCCCAGTTTGGGCCCGCCCTATTTTGTTTGGTCATGTTTTTCGCTTTTGTCCCGGAGTCGCCATACTACCTGGTATCGTGCAACCGCCTTAGTGATGCAAGAGCAGCACTTGCCCGCCTCCGAACCCCCGAAATCAATAACACGACACTAGAGGCCGAACTTCACCAAATCCAAGTAACTTTGCTACATGAGCGCCAGTCCCGCGCCACCGACTCCTCCTCTTATCTCGAATGCTTCCAAGTCTTCAATCTTCGCCGTACCCTACTCGCCTGCCTGCCCGTCATCATGCAAATCCTCACAGGTTTCCCGCTCTGCGGCAATTATCTTTCTTACTTTTTGACCCTATCCGGCTTTAAGAACGCATTCTTGATCACGGTCATCCAAGGGATCATCTCACTCTTCGCTGCTCTAGCCGCCTTTATTTTCATCGAGCGCGTTGGCAGGCGCCCCCAAATGCTCACAGGCTCTTGCGGTATGCTGATCTGCCTCCTCATTATCTCAATCTTCGGCTTCGAGGGCCTTGGACAAGATTGGAACTACCGTGCCCTCGCAGCTTTTTGCATTATTTGGGCTTTGTTCTACTACGCATCTGTCGGTGCAGTCGGGTGGGCTATCGTTGGCGAAATCTCCTCCTCGCGGCTGCGGGCTAAGTCCACCTCGATTGCAGCGCTCACACTCTCACTATTTAACATGGCTTGGTCTATTGCGATCCCATATCCAGTGAACCAGGAGGACGCCAATCTGGGTGCCAAATCTGGATTAGTTTTTCTGGGCTCAGGACTCATTTGCACGATTATCTGCTGCTTTTGTTTGCCGGAGACAAAAGGGCAGTCGTTTGATGTACTGGATGCCTTGTTTGAAGCAGGGACGCCAGCGAGGAAGTTTTGAACCATGTATCTACTGTTATCTCCTTTCTTCTGCATTATGGGAGAGGTGTCTTGGTTATAGTATTGAGCATTTATGCTAAGTTGGTCTTCACGTGTACTGTTAATATGTTCATAAATGTCACTATAATGATGAATACAGAAAACCCGTTGTCGAATATCTCAAGACTGGAACACTCGTATATGATAAAGAATAATTCATGACACAATCAATTTTTGTGATTAATATTGCTAGTTTCATTATCATTCTGATTCATATACAAGGGTTATTCTTGTGTATATATACTTTTTAGGGTGCCTTACCTATTGTATTCTTATTGTCAAGAAAGAAACCCAGCCTGTACCTTAGGTAAAGAAACTAACACATATACTAGGAGGCAGAAACCGAGTGTCAATATGTCGAGCCTGCCTATACAGCCAGAAATTCCAGGCTATCTTTGTTGACTGCAACGCTCTAAGCTACTAAGAGGACTAGAGATATGTATTCTTATTCTAAATTACCTTCTGTATGCTTTTTGAAAATATATAGTCTAGTACTCGCTTAGTAGGGCTTCCTAGCGCTCGCGAGCGCTTACGTAGTAGAGCGCCTAGTTAGTCTAAGTACTAATTATAGATAACTACTAAGCGTTCCTCCTAGTTGTGGGTGTGTTCTTATATTGCACTGTAGTAAGAATCAAGTAACCAAGGCAGCAATTGGTAGGTCTCAAGTAACAATGTATAAATCAACGTGAAATACTAAATACAGGTGGGGGAACGAGCGTCATATATCCAGTCCTTCCTATCGTTGGTGTGGGGTATCACGTGACTTTAGGTGTTGTGGCCTGGGTCTGTTCCTGCTTTGTCGTCCGACAAGATCCTGACCGCATTGTTGTGGAACCAATTGGTTCAGGCATGTCCATATTTGGCACCTGCAAGGGAGTCTGTAACACTAATTCGCCTAGACCGCTTAGACTATAACCGATCTAGGCAGATAGGCCGCTCGTAATTTATGTCGAGAAGGAAGACTGCATAATACGGGCGAGACCCACATATCTCCATGCGCGTCAGGATATTACAGGGATACTCGATTTGCTATGTGTTTTGTATGGTATCCCGGGTATACTCGGAATCCAGCGCCGTAACACGCTAGACAGCAAGGTAGGGGATATTCAACATTCCCCCGCCCACACACTTAGATAGTTCAGTCACCCAATACATCACTATATTGAGCATCTCGTTCCATTGGATCCTAGCCTTCCTAGCCGATACCGTATCCTACTATATTGACAATTTATTTTAAAGGGTCTCGATAGTATTCTAGAACCGGGTAGCTGCCGATACTAGCTCGCTATAGGCCTAATATAGAAGGGGCTGAAGATCGGTCTACGCTTTTTAATCTTATATACTAGTATTCAGGGATTCTCATTAGAGTTGTAGCTAGTAGATATCTGCTTTAGGCTTCTATTTTTTAGCCGAGACCTTCCTAATTTCTTCAGTAGCCTGTTATAGCTTAGTATTTATCCTATTATTTTCTAAACAAAGCTTGTCTAGTCTTCAAAGGAATCTGATTTTTTCTTTATCTTTCTCTCGAGTTAGGTTCTCTAAATCTTTATCTATCTTAGCTATAAAATCAAGACACTTCCGATAGGTGTCCTTGGGTCTATCCTTTATCTAGCGCGTCTAATTTTATAGAACAACCAAATGTATCATACTTGATGTTATTCCGGTCGACCTCGAATACGAATCGAATGCATGACGATATATGTTCACAGTGAACAAAAAGTTGGAATCGGACTCCTTTATTGTCATAACCTCGGCAAATAGCGAAATGGCGACATTAAGGTTATAGAAAGGAAACCCCCCTTTCTTTTGAATTGAATATCTTCAAGATTCGGGTATTGGAATAATAGACCTTTGATATCCTTCCTCGATTCAATATTGTATTCATTTTCCTTACCTGACCAACAGGCCGCTACCCTGCAACTAGCAACCTAACAATCTACGTTAATCAGTTAGCAGTACGGAACACCGGGCAGATTCGAACCGGCCGCAGCAGCGGTGGGAATTTGTCGTCGGCGATGGAGATTGATACTTTCCTGTCCCTAGGGCCCTAGCAATCTCTGTATGTACCTGGACTTACCACTAAACTGAGGATGGAATGGAACCACTTGGTTGTGCTGGAAATGGAACCCGCAAGGCATCTCTGAATGATATTGGGAAACTATGCCGATCCTGGTGCCCCTTGAATACTCTAAGATCGATATGGCTTGACCATTATTGACACTACCACTGCATACTCTATGCAACCTCGTGTCGATTGACAAATTACCCGAATGAGGAGGGATTCGATAGTCCTCATAGGGGCATTTCCTAGAGAAAGACATAATGTGGTTCATGTAACAAGCCGAATCAAGATATCGAATGTTATTTAAAATTTCCTGAAACCTAAGATGAATCGTTCTAAAAAACAGTACCTACATTTAGCATTCGAAGATTCGATTGCAGTAAGGGTGATAGGCATAAATCCCGCTCATAGTTTAAGGAATCTCACCGCCGTGCAGTCAGGCCCACTCCTCTGAATAGTACGATTCCACCGCCCCAATCAGGATGAGCAACCCGCCCGCCTTTGGCTACGCCCCCAATATCTCTTCTTGTTTGGCCCCCATTTGCTCTGATTTTTCCCTTTTTTTCATCACCTTCGCCGTTGCTGCTGTATCCAATTTTTCAACAACCAATATTGGTGACTCACTAAACCTGGTGGGCTTATCACGACCATGGAAGGCTTACAGGTTTTGTCGCTGGGCATGTCAAGAACCGGGACAGCTTGTAAGTGAGATAAAGTAAATGAGTCGTCCAGCCTTTCCTGACCTTCTCGCTGCCAGCAATGAAAGAAGCTCTCCGCATTCTTGGTCATGAGCGTGTGCATCACGCATATGAACTTTACAAACACCCTGAGCAAGGCCGAATATGGCTCGATGCCTGGGACACGAAGGCAAAGGGCCTGGGTCAAACTTTAGACCGTCATTATTGGAACAAATTTCTGGATGGATACACCGCTGTTACAGATATGCCGGCTGTATGTTTCTCCAAGGAGCTCATCGACGCCTATCCAGAAGCAAAAGTCGTGCTTGTCCAGCGAGAGGAAGAAGCATGGCTTCGCAGCTTCCGCACAGCGGTGATAGATACCTTCTTCGAGAATGCATTTATTTCAGCCTTGGTGTCGACTTTCGATCGCAAGCTTATGCGGCCTGTTTATCTCCTCTGGAAACGTCTATTGGCTTCAGACGATGGTTTTCTTGAAAGCGCGACAAAGGAGCAAGCAGAAAAGAAATCGCTTGATGTCTACCGGAGACATAATGCCCTGGTAGAAGCCAATACGTCCCCCCAGAACCTGCTGCATTTTGATCTAAAGGATGGTTGGGAACCTCTGTGTACGTTTCTTGGTAAAGAAGTACCACAAGTCCCATTCCCGAATATTAACGAGGGCGATGCTGTCAAGGACATTCTCGCGGCCTTCACCAGGAAGAGTATTCTTCGAGCCTCCCGAAATATTATTGCTGTCGTCTGCATCAGCTACGCAGCTGCTTATTATTTATGCCTTTGAACGGTCTCGCCATCGTTCCAGGTGCACTCTAATCCCCCCATGGAGCAATTTCATGGAGCACCATGCTCCGAGGGACACTATCGCGTCTGATACATAACTTCATCGGGATGATTTGTCAGTGAATCGCATGTATTAAGATTAGGCCCAGAAACTCAATAGACGGAATATCCTCAAGACTTAGTCTGTTATCAATGTACGAGCTACTGTACTGTTCTGCCTATTTCATTGCTGAGTCCTTACCTGACCGAAAATTCCCTACACTGACAAGTAGCATCTTATGCAGCATTCTACAAAATATGAAAAGCAATCTAAGGAATTAAAAGTTTTGACACGAATTTTTTGTATTTACCGAGCGAGTTTAAGCATACCCGATTTCGAGATTTTCTTACTAGGAGTATACGTATATCCAGAAAGATAATAATTTGGTATGTTACGTTCTAGATAAACTTCATGATGATGGTTGAAAAGATTGATTAAGTAACACTTAAAACCCGTAATTATATTTCTAGGAAGCTGTAAGCATGGTAGAAGATATGATAGACATATATTTTATATTGATGACTAAGAAAGCAGGGTCAGAACAGACTTTTGAGACCCTATATAGTTATACGGTTCTAGTGTATCTGCCTTTTATTTCATTAGGGCCCTAATAGGTTATCAGGTCAGACCTTATAATCTATACCCTATCATTAGGTCTGGCCTCTTGACCTAATGCCTATTTTGGGTGAGACTGGTTTTCTTCATCGTGTCCATGCAAGAGCATATTTGCCAGCCGATGCCGAGATCTATCTCAAACTGTGGTAGGTAGAGCCAGGTGCAATACAGAACAGCATCCAAGAAAGATACCACACCACAATTCTGATAGCGAATAGCAGCCGTGGGCGGAATCCGACTCAACGGCAACGAGAAAGGATAAGGAGGATGGGAATGATGCTTGCATCAAGCAGCAACCGTTTCAATTGATGTATGGATGTACGAACAACTTCGGGACACAGCATATGAGGATAAGGATAAGTGACTTCCAGAGGTACAACCAACCAATAGCGCCGGAAAAGCCCTATGTATAGATATCAAGAAGAAGGTAGACGATGAGGGTCATAGATGACAGGAGCAGCGCAAAAATCAGAAGAATAGAGAAAAAAAGCTCCGCAGACTGTGCGAGATGATATGACAAGGCCTTACCGGCCATAGAACCAACAAAGAGAAGAAAAAAAAGTGGAAACGCTAGATAGAGCGATATAAACCGATTGCAACAAGGGAGCCAGAAAGACGGTTTTTTTGGGGGGGGGGGGGGAGGAAGGGTCATGCGGGTATTCTTAACAGACGTGGAGGAAGCACGCGAACAATGTCATGGATCAGAGGGTGAATATCAGAGGTCAGCCAGAGTTGCCCTTAGTTCAACTCGTTATCCTGCATGCGCAGAATAAAGTTGACGACGACGGCTGCCAGCAGGGCAATGGCCAGGATGGTCGGACCAAAACGATCGTCGAAGCCGCTCTGCCCGCGGCGCCGAATACTTTGTGCGCGCCAGTGGAAGGTAACCAGGGCATAGATCATGGCAGCCATGGCGATGATGGTGAAGAGGGCGGCGGAAATGCGACCGATGCGGTCACCGAAGTTGAGCAGGCCGACGGCCAAACCGCCCAGGATGACGGTAAAGTTGAGCCATGAGAGAAAGGTACGCTCGTTGGCGAAGAAGACCTTTGGCTCGACGCGGGTGGGGAGGGCGATACGCTTGCCTAGACGAAGAATTGTTAGCTAACGGGCTCATTTTCTTTTCGAGTGTACCGTGAGGAGGGCGTGAAGCCGTTTGCAAGTCATTCTCGAAGCTTCATCGTCTGATATGAATCACGTACCCGGAGCGGTTTGGAGGAGAGGTTGGCTGGACATGATTGTACGTCGACACCAGGATGGGAAAAGGTGAGGCTGGAAGAGCTGGCGCTTGGGACGCAGGGATTGAAGCTCACGGAAAGCGGGGGAGGCACAGGGTCGAAGAGCTCAGAAAGGATTCGGAAACAGATTTTTTTTTATTCCTATGGTTGTGTCAGGCTGCAGGAGAGTAAGTGGACGATGGGCGTGGAAGAGAAAAAGAAGCGACCTGAGCTTGTCGGAGGTTGTCCAATCCCCGCCGAACGACCCCATGACGGAGGCAAGTCGAGACTGCCCCCGGAGACAGTGCCCCTAGTCTGATCTCGGACTAGTCAGTGTGGCTCTGCCGCAGCCTGCAGCACGTGCCCCGTTCATTTGCTACGATTGCCTCGATCACCTGACTCAGCCTCGCGCTGGCCCGACGGCTTTGCGCTTACGAAACCCTGTTTTCCCGTGACCGTGGAAACCTTAAGATGGTGCTGGCCGGAGTCTCGCACACATCATTCTGTGATCTCTTTTTCTGTTCCTCAACGCTTTCTTTTTTGTTCCAGATTTTCTGAACACTGGAATCATGGAGTTTGCGGCTGACCAAGGTCCTTGCCACTCGAACGAGCACAGTGACATGCTCAAGCTCTACGATTGGTCCGTCAGCTGGCAAAGCGTCTCGGGCTAGTGAATTAGACTCGAACTAGCTCTCACCAATAGGGGAATACACGGCTAAATTGAACGATGAAACCACGGGCGACTAAGCGACCTGACAGGCCAGCTCACCACACCGGACAGAGCATGCAAAAAGAAGACTAGAGTCAAACTTAACTCAATCGTCGCCCAGCCCTGGGCACCGAAAGCTTGGGTTGCTTCGCACTGACCCTGAAAATAGACGCCCAAAGCGAGGTAACGACAGCCTATCGGAGTGGCTCCCTGCGCACACAGTCTGTCCCGGTCAAGGGCACTCCATCACGACGAAGTACTGCCTCGCAGGACGTCTCGCTCGTTCGCCCCTCCCCCGGGAAACGTCGCGTCCTCCGCAATCGTAGTCCTCGGGAAAGTAGAGCTGGCCCAATCACACAGCCCCGGTTAGCCACACCTAGCGGACCTGGCTGGGTCCGAAACACCCCGGTCTGATTGTTCTGCCCCTCCGACTTCCCGAATCTGGTGGAATCATCGGCCCCGTCCTGTTCAAGGTGGGTATCGCTCTTTTCGCCCGACCGGACGGCTTCTGATACTGAATATGCTCCATACGCTTTCCTGCCGGCGAGTTCGCGGTGTGTCTGGGTTTCGCAAAATTGGGAGTCGCCATGCTGGGCTTCAGCATTGCTACGTGGAGTTATCCGTGATCGGGCCGGACCCGCATGGAATAAAATTCGGGGAGATAGAATAGTGCATACTCGCAACGAAGTTTTCAGGCAGCATTGCTAGAAAATCCAAAGCCACTTGGGTGGATCACCTGTATACCAAGTAGAAGGCTAGATTATTTGAATAAATCTCGTAAAGCCCTTGTACGATAAGGTCCGCGTTTCAATCAATTGATTTTGAAAATCAGAAGCCTCTCTCACTATTTGCACTCCGTTGATGAGCGTCGACAAAGGCCTCTCGGACTTTGTATCATGTAGATCGCCAGGATAGGTTGGCGGCATCGACGGCAAGTACTAATACACATCACATACTTCTGCTGTCGATCACCGAACTATGCCCTCCCGCACTCCGTCCTCGGAATGTCAAAAAAAGCCATAGCCGCAGAGTATGGCAGCCACCTAAGCCGATTTGTCAAAGCACTACGGAACTAACTAACTACAGCACACGGCGGCATCCTCGAGATAAACACCTTGCCGAGAATCGGGCATCTCCACACACCGGCTCCACCACTCCCGCCGGCCGACGAGCCTACTACTCGGCACTCGGTAGTCTTCTAGCTTGTCCGCAAAGGACTGGACACAAGCACCCTCGTGTCGAGCCGTACGACGCGCGGCGATTGGGCGAAAAAATCCCTCCCTTAAGCCATCGCCTCGCGCAGCGGCTGGAAATTCCAATCTTCCTTGATCATGTCGGCCGCCTTCTCCGCGACAGCGTAGACGCTACTGACGATGTTTCCGCTTATGTTGTTCGGGAAGATCGACGCATCGGCGACACGCAGCCCTGAGACGCCTTTCACCCGCAGCCGCGAATCAAGTGCGTCACCCATCGCGACGGAGCCGCAGATATGGTACTGGCCCATCAGGATGTCATGAACGGAGCGCTTGGCGCTGGCGAGGTCTTGCAGGTCAACGGTCGGGGAGGGCACAGTGCGGCTGAGCAGAGAGGGCTTGACATGCTCTGTTTGGGCAACACGGTCTACACAGCGGAAGGCAGCACCAAGGACGCTGATATCTGCGTCGTGGCCACCATAATTGGGCTGGATGACGGGTTGCTTGGTGGGATCTAGGGGAAGAGGAGTTAGCTATTACTTAGGAGCTAACATAAAAACCAGGCGTCTCGATCATACCTGGACTATCGATGTGCACGTAGCCGCGTGCAACGGGATACTGTAAGCATAGCGCAAAGGTTATGCCACCTGGTTTACCTGGGGGTGGGACCTGGGCAAGCTCTCTCTGGTGTTTGATACCATCGGGATTGGCGGTCGCAGGCATCATGAGCAGCTGGATATTCGCTGATTGGTCGCTTTGCAGGTGTTTGATGACCTGGGAAAGTTGTTTTTCATGGAACGGGCTGGTCGGCTGGATGTCGCGAATACTCTGGATGACCGCCTCCAGCTCTGCGTCCGACATCATCGATTTGGCCGGGAAGAAGCCCTGCATGGCACTCGTGGAGCCAAGCGGGCCACCCCCAGTCTCGATGTACTGCTTCTGTGCCGCCTGCATGGCCTCCGGGACTTGGAGCAGTGTATCCAGGCTTGTGATGCCCGGCTGAAGCTCGTAAATGGCAACGGTGCCCAAATGATCTTGCAAATTAGTTCCCACTGCGGGATTTGCGATCTTGCATGATACGCCAGCAGCCTCAAGGATGGCCGGATCGCCGATTCCAGAGAGCTCCAGGATCTGTGGAGACTTTAGTGTACCGCCACAGACGATGACTTCCCGCCGGGCGGAGATTTCGTACTCCTTTCCATCGTTCGAGATGTTGACTCCGGTAGCTTTAGTGCCATCTAGGACAACCCTGTTGACCAAGGTGGAACAGAGGACCTTGAGGTTCGGCCTGGTTCGATTGGGCTCATAGTATGCTGGCGCAGCATAACTGCGCTTGCCTTTGTTCGGGCCCGTACGCGTGATAGAGCCCAAAGAGTGGTAGAAGCCAATGTGATCGCCGCTCCAGGGGTCGGTCGGTTTCTTGGTCATGCCGGTAACTTCATCACATCCCTTAATGACATCGTATTCCACGGGCAGAGCCCAGTCGTTAAAACTAGTCCGAATGGGCCCACCAGTGCCGTGGAATTCTTCGACGAACGGCATGGTTGTGGCGTTCTTGATTGCGGAGTCTAGTGGCTCGAGCGTCTGCGATCATAGGGTCAGAAGGCAAGACTGTTCAAAGATGGGAACACACCGAATTCACTGACCTCGTGCTTGCGCATGTAGTATTGCATACTATCAGCGGACCAGCCTTCATCTTCAACCAGCTCAGCCCAGTCGTTGTGGTCTTGTCGCGAGCCCCGGGCGTATAGCATATAGTTGATGCCGCTGGAGCCGCCCAGCAGCTTTCCGCGGGGGATATGGTGGATAATATCGTGGTTTTCTTTCTACAGAAGAGATTGAGTACACCTTGAACGTGAACAGCAGTCCATGCATCTGTGAAATAGGGCTGAACTTACCTGCGGTTCCGTGTACATGCACCAGTCGTATTCGGGATCTCCGTAGAGCTGAAACTTCGTGGCCGGAGTATCAACAAGAGGATCACCGATACGAAATTTTCCGGCCTCAACAATGCCAACGGTAATTTCAGGATTCTCGGTCAGACGCGCGGCAATCACACATCCTGCCGTGCCGCCGCCGCAGATGATATAGTCGAATGTTATACTGGTAAACTCCTCGACCGAGCATGTCGGCGAACCGGCTCCTTGGACATTGTCTTGCTGAGCCATGGGGAGCCGTGTATGAAAATCGCAGATGCGTAATATGTGAGTCTAATATTGGTATAGCAGAGTTGAATAGCCTCCAGTTTGAACGGCAGAGCGAGCTTTGGTTTTTGTAGCCTTACGTTCATGCTGATCCAATTCAGCCCTCCTAATACAAGGCTGTTGATCGCATGCCTGCGAGGGAAACCCACATGGGGCCAAAGGGGGCAGACATACGGAATCCAAACAGGGTAAGACTTAAGTCTTTCATGATTGGACATATGAACGTCGATGTGGGGTCTTATTATAATGGTGATTTGGATGCTGGCGAAGTTTCAACGTTACATATTGTGATAAGTTTTGTCTATTAGTTTAGATTTGACGTGTGTCGAATCGGAAATTAATGGTAGGCGGTAGGCGGTAGGCTGATTTAGCCCGATTTGAATATTAACAGAAGTCATTCAGCCGAGCCTGTTATGATAGGATGCGATCAAGTTTCATATTCGGAGAGCAGACTAAGTGCATATCGACGTGTAATAGGTCTGAAGCTCGATCGTGTTATATAATAATCTCAGACCCCCAAAATTCGTCGCCGGCGAGAACATACACCGTCAAGCATGATGCTATTCATGCCTTAACACTAGTCGCGGCCAGCAAGCGTTGAGCTTCTTGTTTAGGATAGGAGAGCCACGCGTAGGCGAACATGTCGTCCGGAACTTCTGCGTCAGGCACATAGGTCCGAAGTTCATCCAATAATTCCGCACGTCGTTCATTGGGCTTCTTCGATAAGATCATGACTGTTACCGAATGCGCATAGCGAACCCTGTCATACAGTTCGAGGCGGTGGGAAACTTGTTCCACTGATGTGTCCGCAGGAAAGAGCGCGCCGAGTGCAGCTGCATCTTCAAAGGCCTGACAACCACCCTGACCTTGATCTGTTGGGGATACATTGTGAGTCTGTGAGGTTTTCTAACTATACTGGAATCACAAGTCTAGAGAGGCGTGAGAACTTACGGGGAAGAGTGGGATGAGCGGCATCGCCCACAAGTGCAAGCTTACCCTTAACAAATGTTCGTGGTGGTTGACGGCATCCGAGGGTCCACAGTTTGACATCCTCCGCAAGACGACCTATCTCCTGAACCTCAGGGCAGAAGCCTTCTAATGTCTGAAGTAGTTGATCCTTGCTTGCTGAGTCAAGCCACGATGAATTCCTCGCTTCGTTCTCCAGACCTGAAGGGTAAATGACGGCACAATTAAACAGGTTACCGTGGCGACATGGATAGACTACTAGGCGCCTATCTGCCAACATGAAGCAATTCAGAGTCTTTGTCCCTACCTTTTCCAGTAAAGATGCAGTGAGGGGGTTAGATTGCATTTTGGTCGCGGGCACTAGAAATCGGAAGCAGTTTTGGCCAGTGTCCTCTTTGCGAGGCTCCTCCCCTGTAATACTTTTCACTGTTCGGGACTATTTTCTCAGATTAGCAAATTTGCATACTCACAGAATTAGAAGAGCTTACATGGATCCCATCGGCTCCAATGATCAAATCTCCGGTATATCTCGTTCCATCTTCAAGGGTAACGACCCCGGTTTCGGCATTCTAGAGACTGGTCAAAACACACAATCATTGCAGAACACAGTCAATTCTTACGACAGAAGCAACCCGTGAGGAAAGGCGAAGGTGGACCTTCCGTCCATCGACGGGCCTCGAAGCCATTGCCTGTAGAGCATTATGCAAATCCACTCGATGGGCAAAATAAAAATCTTCTCGGGCATCAAGTGTATTTCGAAGCATGTCGATGTCCTAGTGGAATGAACCATCAGTTCCACGGGATATCTGGCTGAAGAAGTTTAGAATCGCGGCAAAGCTTACAGCGCTTTGAATGAAATTGCCCTCAGCATCCCAGAAATTGAAATGGGTACCACGAACGGGCTGAAGCATCTCGAAATCGCATCCCCAGTCTTGCAGGATGCGCGTGGCATTGGGTGCTACATTAATAGCAGCGCCTACTTCGTTGAGAAAGCTCGACTGCTCAATGACCTAGAATAGGTCAGCGACCGGGTTGCAAAGCTTAAGAAGGCACCGAGGCAAGTATACGTGGACATCATGCCCGGAGCGGTTCAAGGCGATCGCCGCGCCCAACCCTCCTAATCCAGCACCAACAACAATAACTTTCAAAGGCATCGAGGGAATTTTCAAATTTGCAGTGGGTGATGACAAAACTCAGATTTGGAAATGAAACTGACAGGGATTTACCCCTCATCCCACTGGCATCCAAGCAAACCTATTTATACCTTTTTTTCCCACACCCGGCGATCCCGTTGGTGCCCATAAATGGAAATCTCGATGTCGGTCGCGGGTTTGTTTAGCCCAGTCAAATATTCCGCTTAGGTTATCACTATCAAACTCCACTTATGCAGGGACTCTTCCTTTTGCCTTGCAACGACGAGGATTTACTTTATGGTACTAGGCTTGTTTCAGGTGATCGGCTCAAAATGCGTTATCGGCACGCACCTTCGGGACGACACCACCTGCCTTAAGAACGAGTTTAACGAAGTCAAGGGTCAAATACGGCGTGAACAGGCACTGGTAGTCCAACACTGCATGTTTTGTGACATGTGAGAGCTCCAAGATTTTCCTATCTGGCTTTCCACGATACTCACTGCGAAAGGCGAAATAAGAAGACAGAAACCTCAGTTCTAACTACAAAATACCAGTCAATTTTGGTCCCAATTTCCTAAAATAAGGGGCTATAGCCTATAACCATCAAATCAAGATCATGAACGGAAGACAACGTTTTCAAAGCAGCTATTACTTGTCCTCTTTATGACTAAGAGCCTTGTGCAATTCACCTTTTCAAGGCGTCGAATGGCTACGGTCGCGACAATCTATATTCAGGGCTAAGCAACTTTTTGATGGTTTCCTACCCTTTAAAGAAATCATGCAGCATCGGGAGCATAACTGAAGTGATACATACCAGATTTGTGCATAGGATTCATAGAAGAGGTGCCAACAGGTCTCTAGGAATTCAGTCAACCTTTGCTCTCAGGTATCTGTACCGAATAATGATTTAAATTGAATGAATATTGTGACAGAGTCAGGAGATGTAAAGGTGATCTTATTGGCTCTGTCTAAGACTAGCTAAGAAGGTGCTGCGGGTCACCTGACCCAGCTTAGAGGGTAACATATGCCACGCTTTTTTTTAAAAGCATCGTCCCTGATGCGGAATAGAGTAATGAGAACATTTTCAGCTTTCAGGTTCAGCCTGAATAATTGCCCAAGCTTCGTTGGCTTTCCGTATAGCCTCGCGGGCTTCGTTGTCCAGCTCGGGATCTGGTGGAGGGGGGGGAATAGGTGAGCATGGTGGCGGAGGACCGTCCGGAGGAGGGGGAATAGCTTGTGCCTGGGGGAACAGCTCCGGGGCTTCTTGGATGGGCGCTGGGGGGTCAGGGATGCGGGCTGGCGGAGTGAAAACGGGCAAAGTCTTGCAGGGATTTTTTAATCTGCCCTTGGTCAAGTGACATGTCCAGGACAAGACCGGCGTTCCTGGGTTTGCGTGGTGCCTTTTCAGATAACATCTTGCTCTTACTTAATACTACCTGCGGTAGGTATATTGTGAGAGATGTATATGGTGGGTTGTGGGTATAGGTAAAGGTAGTGATAGTGACAGGGCGAAGTTGTAGGGTCAAGAATGGAAGATAATGTAAGGTGAAGATGAGTTGCAAGGTAAGAGATGTAACATGAGGGTCAATGATCGGGAGAGAACAAAATGTGATGAAGGTCAAGATTAGAAGTGAACAAAAAGTGAGGCATACATGATAAATGTTAGAAGGGGTACATGATTCAGGTAGAGGGTTTTTAATGCGAGGCATATGCCTCGAGCAAGTCCGGGCGATAACTGAGCACGTCTGCTTCCGTGTGCTATTCGTCCCAAGCCGGCCCTATACGACGACGTCGTAGAAGATACTATATACGTCTTCCCTTATAAGTCGTCCGGCTAGTGATAATGGCTTCGAAGGTAGGCTATACACTAGCATCGTCGTTAGGTTCGTCGGGGTGGATCTCGACTTCCCTTCCGAATTCATCTTCTCTAGGATAGGGTTCTAAGTGCTCGACTGAAATGACCGGATGAATGCGCTATTAGGGTGGCAGGTCGAGACGGCATACGCCTAGGTGCGCTTCTATGACCTTGAAGGGATCTGTTCGTTGTACGCCGAACTTATAATGGATTTTAGATGCGAGTTAGTAGCCCTTATGCAGCTGCACGTAGACCAAGTCGCCAACTTGCGGCTGCCATAGTTTATGCGAAGTATTATAACGTTCCGTCATAACCAATTCTGCATATGCCAGTGCATCTTTCGCGTCCAAGCGATTTATAATCCGTTCCTCTAGCAGATTCGATGTCGCGGGCGGAATCAGTGAAAAGGGCTGGAATCCATAGATAATCTCGTCCGGACTTCTGCCAGTGGCGGCCGCAGGAGAGGCGTTATGGGTACGGATGATCGCTGGCAGAGCGTCCTCCCAGTCTCCATATCGCCTACCAACTTGTGACAGAGTCAGAAGATGTAAAGGTGATCTTATTGGTTCTGTCTAAGACTAGCTAAGAAGGTGCTGCGGGTCACCTGACCCAGCTTAGAGGGTAACAAATATTTCCCTTTTCCTGAACGGTTCTATAAATCTCATCTTTCGGAGTTTGATTTTTGTCATTGATTTTTGTCACTGACGTAAATAGGCGTAAATGTGGGTAGAAATATATGAATAATTCGTCCTCCATTATGGTAGGGTGTCTTTGGTTAAAATTGCAAGCGATGCTTATTTATCTTATTGTTCTTCTTTGCTTAATCACCACGTGGGAACCACTGATTATAGTGTGACAGCTTATCTGCGATCGATAATAATGTCGGGTCCCGAGCTCGGCCCGCTTAGCGACATCGTGTGGCAAACTCCAATCCGCACCGGCCAGGATTTGCCGAGTCAGATCGAAAATTTAAGCTTGTTTGGCAGCCTGCTACCCACTGTAAAATTCCGCACCATATTGTATATCCTCAAGCCCCTTTTTTTCATGTTGGATTGATTATGCTGTAGATAGAAAAGAATATCGTACCTTACAAATGGCAACTGCCAAGCGAGACCAAGACTTTTCTTCTCGAATAAAAATCGGTAGCCAATCTCTCCGCTGCTTGGCATCCCGTCAGCCAGACAGACTGAATTCTTCACTGGAAAAAAAATCACGCCATGGACCCACTAAATTTTTTGGGGTCTCTCGTAGCGATCGAAGACTCACGCGACAATTTCTGCCGGTGGCTTTTATCTTATCCTGTGTTCTCTTCTTCCAGGAAACATCTTTCTTCTATTGAAGTGTTTCAACCCCATCGCCATCATGGCCGTCCAAAATTCCAACCCGGAGGTGGGAGATGAGCATGAAACCCGTTCAGTTGTTGAGTCAGTTCAACCTATGACTCGCACGTCGATATTTCGATCTATCCCCTTCCAAATCGCGGTTGCTAGCGGCGTTTCTTTCACTGCCCCCGGCATGTGGGATGCCATGAATAACCTCGGAGCTGGTGGTGCGGCAGAGCCCTATGCAGTCTCTGCAGCTAATGCACTTGTCTATGGGTTGTTCGCGATTGTTTGTGTCGCGGCTGGAGCCATCAACAATCGCATTGGCCTTCGCTGGGGCCTGACCCTTGGGGCTATTGGTTACCCTATCTATGGAGCTGGTCTTTATACCAATAACTACTCTCCTACAACATGGTTCATGCTCTTTGGTAGTGCCCTTTGTGGCATTTCGGCAGGCTTTTTCTGGGCTGCTGAAGCTGCTATCATTATCGGATATCCGAGCCCTTCAGAGCGCGCCTTTTATCTTGGTATGTGATACGTGATTCAAACGACGTCTACACCTTTCTTAGTCTTTCCATGTCTGGGTCACCTAGGCTATTTTCATCAATTTGCTAACGCTCTCCTTCAGCTATCTGGCAGACTGCGAAGGCTGCTGGTCCCATCATTGGCGGTGCAATCAACTTGGGCCTCAATGCACAGACATCCACTCAGGGAAGCGTCAGCGCAAGCACATATATCGTGTTTATTGTCATCATGTGCCTGGGACTTCCCATCGCGCTCTTGTTGAGCCCAGCTGAGAAGGTGCAACGCAAGGACCGAACTATCGTTGTTGTGCATAAGAAGGAATCCTGGGCTGCTGAGTTCAAGGCTGCCATTTCTTTGATCGCCACCCGTCGCGTTCTTCTCCTCCTTCCCTCTTTCTTCATCAGCTACTTCTACAACGGTTTCCTCAGCACCTTCTTAACCAGCTATTTCACCGTTCGAGCCCGTGCCTTTTCATCATTCTTCACCAATTTCGCTGGAATCGCCTCCTCTTTCATTATCGCGTCTCTACTTGACCGTCAATCCATTTATATCAAGACCCGTGCGAAGATTGCATTCCTGTCTATTGTGGTCATTCTGATTGGCACTTGGATCTGGGCCTCGATTCTCCAAAACCAATTCTACAGTGCGCCTGAGGCCCCTGTTTTCGACTGGTTCAAGGGTGGTTTCGGCAAGTCGTACGCGCTCGTCTTCTTCTGGACCTTCGGAGGCCAGGCATTTCAACAATTCCTTTACTGGCTCATTGGTCAGTACAGCACTGATATCTCATCGCTGTCTTACCACTGTGGTATATTGCGAGGATTCGAGGCTCTGGGCCAGACCGTCGCCTGGGCGTAAGTCACGATTCCGCTGAAACAATTTTTAAAGAAAGGATTTGCTAACAGATATGCAGCATGCAATCGCAAGGCAACGCCAACCACTTTGTCAGCATTGGTCTCAACTTCGGCATCACTGTGCTCTGCATTTTCCCGACTTGGATAGTCCTGTCTGAGTTGGAGCACAGCCACGAAGTGCAAGTCACTGTGGACGATGTGAACTCGAAGATCCAGGACGAAACAGTGGCGTAGGTCTGGTCAGCTTGATAGCTAGAGACTGGAGCCTTGAAGTCTTCCACTTGACGACGCACTAACGCATTCATGCATACGCATAGCCATGTATTATATGTATATTCAACATAATTATTAGATACCCCATTCAACATCATCAATTGCCATCACTTTTGGGCATTGAAATCTGATTTTTAATATTTTCTATCTTGAGCGTGTCATTTCCAGCGTAATTCGTAATGAATGAAGTTTGCAGACTACTGAAATAATCAAGTTCAACAAACACGCCATATCATCAATTCATAACAACGTATAGCTATAAATGGGTCGTATATAAAACATATCTCCCTTTCATGACCTACCGCGCCCCATCGATCTGCGTATGTAGCATCCAAGATCAATGGAAGTTACCAATATCAAAGAAAGTTATCCTTCGCCGATCACAGGAGACACGATATAAGAAAATGGTCTTTCGGGAATAGTGCAAGTCGACCTCATAATCGCGACTGACAACATAAAGCCCATTAACCGTTTAACTGTAAATCCAAAATCCAAAAAAATGGCACCGAGAATTGACACAGCGTCATCCTAATATACCTGAAGTCGTGGTAGTGGCGCACCCCTCAAGATGATCGTACCTCGCTGCGTACGAAAGAATTCTGCGTTGCGGAAAGTAACCTTCCTGTTGGTGCTGCCAATGAAACAGCCGTCGACGGACTGCCCCTGCTGCCCGGACACTATGGTCGCGGGTTTGGGGACTCCATAAATAATGATCGACCCTTGAGGCGCTTTATATGCCGTGCAATGCCTGAACTGCATCTTCCCGCCATTCCCGTCGACAAGAAACCCGCTGACACTGCCGAGGCACTGGGTCCGTACTGGCTCGGGAGCCCACTTAACTGCTTCGCGTTGAGTAGGCCTCGGTGCGCGAGCAGCGGCCTAGAGAGAAGGAGTGTTTCGTCAATTGGAAGTCAATAAATTTTACTGAAGAAGCCACTGTCTCGTCTTACCGGCACTCCTGCTCGCTGCTGGCCGTATGGATATTGTTGAGCTGGTCTTTGTCTCATCTGGGGCGCAGCCGTACCCGAGCCACCGAAGCAGTCATCGAGATCGCACAAGCCGGGCAGGCACATTATAGAGGATATTATTGGGGAGGAGAAATAGGATTTTCAGGAGAATGTGATAAGAGGGAGTCGATATAATATCGATCGTGTGCTATAGATGGGGCGGGAGTCGTGATAATTTAAGTATTAACTTCAATCCGTGGTGGCCCAAGTTGCGGTGGGGGAGACGGGCCGGGCCCTGGCCCTTAATATACTACAATATCATCAAGAACGGCTCGACTCTGGAGTCGAATTTCCCTCTGAGCGGGGAACCTAAAGGGCGCAATAGACAAAAGATTGCGAACGGGCCATCGGGACCTGCAATGGACCGCAGTCGCTTGTTTCTAAGCCACAATAAACCAATCTAAACCCCATATCCGCGTGCACTGGACGTGCAGGATGCATATGCACTGCGTTAGCGTGCATCGCCCCTCGGCTCATCCTGTCCAGTCGGTGAAAAGAGGGCAAAAGATACTCTGGATAAGGGGCTCAGGCCGAGCTACCGGTTCTTAGCATGCCCTTCTTTGCGTCCATAGGCACCAGGCGCTTAGCACGCTCCTATACTTGGGCCGAATGGACGTTGCGGATGTTCATTTCAAGAAGAGGGGAACCCTGTGCTCCATAAAAGAAATGCTGAGCCACAGGCCGAAGCCCAACACGGCCCTCCAAACCCCTGCGTGAATTCAGAGGCGGGCAGGACCATTGCACGCTAGGCCCGGTAGCGAGACTCTATTTATACCTGGGAATCTAATTTGCGGTTGCTGGCGTCGTCTGAAGACAGACTCTTTGTTTCGTCATTCGATCTTCGGTCCTCTGAAATGGAAGAAAATGGAGGTGGGGGAAGATGGGGCCAAAAGGGGCCAAAAACGATAGCATCCGAACCCTCCGAGAAGCGGTGACTCTTTAGACTATGACTTCAAAACTCCTTCCAATTGCACTGGTATAGCTTGCTTTATACAAATGTGAATGTATCTCCGCCCTTCTCACGTAACATGTTCCCCATGCGCGGCGTTCCAACTACCCGCTCTAATTTCAGCGCATCCCATTTCGAAAATAGCACCCGTACGCCGCCCTCCGCAGCCTCGACCACTGCGGCCGGGTCCAAACCCAAGAACCCGACGATTTCCCCATAGAAAGTCGGGTTTTCGGGCAAGCCGTACATCACCACACGCTGCACGCCACGGATTCGGTATCGTCGGAAGTGGTGCGCACGCTCCGTGTGTACAGCATGACCGAGTGCCGCCCGTTCATGAAATGGCTACGCGCTCGCGAGACGTCCCGCGCCTCGGTGTACTCGGAGATCGCGCCGAAAGAGATGTTCGTCGTCTGCGCCGACGTTGCGAAGTGATTGCGCACCCGCACAAAGTCCAGGTAGGATGGTATGAAAATCAGGGTGCCCGCCCCTTGGCCCTTGCCGCGTCCGCCGGTGATATTCTTGACGAGCGTGGATAATACAGTTGTGGTAAAGTGCTTGAATCGGGCGTCCGGGTCTTTCGCCGGCGAGAGGCTGTCGATGCGGGAGAAAGTTTGCTTCACGGAGACGGGGAGAGGGAGCTCCGTGATCGCGCCCTGGTAGGTTGGTGTCATCTTGACTCGGCCAGAGGCGTTCTGCATCTTGGTAGAGAAGAGCGAGTTGATCTCGGGGGTAACGAAGGAGGACAACACGATGGTCTGGCGGATATAGCGGGCGTGATTGTCCAGATACCAGTTGCGCACACGACTAAAGTCGCAGCCGTGCGCTTCTTTCGGCTGCTGGTTCAAGTGCTCGAAGATAAAGCTTATGTGATCCCAGTTTTGCATGAGAAGGGCGTCGGCATGGTCGACTAACACGACCTCGATGGACGAAAGGAAGTCATGGTCACGCTTTTTGGCACTGCAAAGATGGTCAAAATTATGCTCGCGGGGAAAATAGCGACGATTCTAGAGTAAGGGCAGAGGGGAGGTAAAACTAACTCGGCTTGATCCATGATGGTTCGCAAGCCTAGCGGACTGGCTAGAATGATGTCTGAGCTGTAGAACTGCGCAAAGTATTTGACTGTCTTGCGGGTGAACTTCAGTCCTAGGCGGAACATGTCATCATCGTTGCCGCCGAACAGCTCGCGGAAATCGTCGGTCTTGTTCTCCCAAGCTTCGTCCTCGGGCGCAGAAAACGTATCAAGGAATCGCTTCTTGTTCTCCTGTTGATCCACCTGGTAAAATCGGGTGATAGCCTGAATAGCTCGCACACAGGCTTGGCGAGTGGGCAAAATATACAAAACCTTAGGGCGGGTGAAACCTTGATCACGACACTCGATGTCGGTGTTAGGGTCCTTAGCCAGGCGGGCGTTGTTTTTGAGCACCTGGTCTCGAGTCTTGACCAGATGGTTGACAGTGTGAAGGGCCATAATATCGCGTATGGTATCTGCAGTGGAAGACGTCCGTGCGCCGTAGAGAATATCTTGGTAATCGAATACATAGGGAGCAATGTGCTGAGCTGGACCAGTGATACTGGGTAGAAGCTCTGCCGCGCGGGGCTTGAGTTTGTTTTTAAGCTGAAAACATGCAACAATTAGCTTTCTCATAACGATATACAAGATAGTAGTCACTCGACAATCGACTATGCATACCTTCAGATTGGCAGTGCTTTTCATTGCTGGAAGCAGTGATGCAGTTGTTTCAGCATCGGGAACGCTCTGCACCATCCGCAATCCGTCCAGCTCCTTCTTGGCAGAAACCCATTTACTGGATTGAATGGCTTGGACCTTCTTCGAAAGAGGGGAGTCATCGGGGAGGTTGAAATGCTGCTCAAAAGAGCCCACGGCGTCGTCATCCTCGTCTGAATCCTCGGCTTCCTGTGCCTCGGCTTCGTCGTCCGATGGAAACTGATCCTGCAAATCGTTGTCGCCTTGGTCACCATCTTCCTCCACTGCGACTGTACTAGAATGTTCCTCCGTCTTGGTGTCGCTGGCAAGCTTTCTCTTCTTGCGAGCTGGTCCTTTCGAGTCCGAGTTGGCTTGCAGTAGTTCCAACAATTCGTTGTAGGGGCGTCCGGTATTTCCTTCCTCTTCGTCACTGCTAGACGACGCATCATCCATCACTGTATCGTCTTCGGCGTTCGCATTTTCTTTGCTGTGACCTTGGGAGGCATCGTCGCTGGAGGAATCGTCCGACCTGTACCAGAATTAGCCCGACACTCACGAAATATCATTGGCACAAGCAACCCACTCGACCTCTTGTAGGCGTGAAGAAGCAAAATTACTTCTTCTTGTTGTTCCGCGTCTCTGACGGCCTCTCATCGACCGACCGCCTCGTGGGGGAGCCATTAGGAAGTGTTCGAAGTATCTGGTCTGGATTTGCGGAGGTTTTTTTTCGAGGTGTCCAAGGCCTGCTTATCTTATCTTAGCGCGAAAATTCCCACACACAAAGAGAATCGGAAGCAGCGCGGGCGGCTCTCCACTTTCTTCGCTGGAAAAATTGTCCCTCCGAGCGAGTTGAGTCTGCCTTTGGAGAGTCTCGTCTCTACCTCTCTGAATTCCCTTCCTTCTCCCCCAATCCATCATGGCCGACGATTCTTTCCTCCACCTCGCCCGCCCCCTGGGCCCCGTCTCCGTGGGGACCGCTCCGACCACTGCCCCTCTCAACGTGGTCATCCAGCCGCAGGTACGATGACTACTGATCCGATTTCCCCTTCGGAGGGGCTATACTAAACTCGGTCTACTTTGCATAGGCTATTTTCTCGATCCTCGATCACTCCCTTCGCCGGAATGCCGACCAGGAACGTGTCATTGGTACCCTGCTGGGAACACGATCGGAAGATGGAGGTGAGGTCGAAGTGCGCTCCGCTTTCGCCGTTGGCCACTCTGAGGCCGAGGACCAGGTCGAGGTCGACATGGAGTATCACAAGCAGATGCTCGCTCTGCACCTGAAAGCCAACCCGCGCGAAGTCCTCGTCGGTTGGTACGCCACCGCCTCTGAGTTGAACACCTTTTCCGCCTTGATCCAGAACTTCTACAGTGGCCAGGGTGACGGCACCTGGCCGCACCCCGCTGTCCATTTGACCGTTTCCACCGAGGCCGGCAAGGATCTCGAGACCCGGGCCTACATCTCCGCCCCCGTTGGTGTCACCGCTGAGCGGGCTGCCGACAGCGCCGCCTTCATCCCCGTCCCCTACGAGCTCCGATATGGCGAGGCCGACAAGAGCGGTCTCGAGGCCATTGCCAACGCCAAGGATTCCGAGGACCGTTCTACCAGCATCACTACCGACGTCGAGGCTCTGGAGCGTGCGATTGAGGAGGTTCTGGCCATGATTGATCGTGTGTCGCGGTATGTTGAGTCGGTCATCGACGAGGAGGCCCCTGCTTCGACTGCCATGGGTCAGTTCCTTCTGAACGCCCTTGCTCTGGCTCCCAAGGTCGAGCCCGCTGATATTGAGCGCGATTTGTATGTTTCATCCTATGCTCTGCTTCCCGATTTGCCATGAGTGGACCCTTACTTACATATCAATCAGCAACAACCACATCCAAGACGTCCTGGTCGTCTCCTACCTGGCCAACACCATCCGCACACAGATGGAGCTGTCCAACCGCCTAGCAACTGCCCAGCTCACTCTTGGTGGGGGTGAGGCCGGTGCCGCCACCGGCGAGGGTAACCAGCGCAACCAGCGCGGCGGCAAGGGTGGCCGCCAGCAGCGCCAAGACCGCGCTGCTACTGAGGAGGCCCGCGCCTAAAGGACTGTAACGACGGAGAAATGATGCATGATGTGACCCAATTCCTATGGAGCTACACCCGTACTCGTTGATGTTTCTTATGTCTCGCTTTTCTTTCCTTTTTCCGACATTTGGGTTCGTTACTTGTTTGTTTCTATCTACTATTTTCTTCCCTTTACACCCCCATCTATTTCAGAGCTCCTTTTCGCTCTTCTCTTTGTTCCTTCCACCTCCGGCCTCGCAAAACAGGAAAAGAAAAGAGAAACCTTGGACACAACCCTTACCGCCCCCTCTTGCATCTCTTTCGCGCTGTTAGGTCGTGCTCAATGCACGGAAAGTCCGGGTCCAGGAAAACAAAAGCAACGTGGCGTATCAAAGTCTATCTGGCTTTCTTCCAGGTAGTGTCGGCTGATGGGAGGTTGAGGTTTGTGGAATACTTCTGCGCGAGAAGCAGGCTTTGCTTGGGAAGGAGAAAGCCTGCAGCAGAAGACACGGTGAGAGTCAAGATCAACCCGGGCATATTGAACCCGGCCTCATGAAGTCGCATCTTATTTGGGCGCGGCGTTTTAGTTATGATGAAATGGACATATAAATGTTAGAGCCTGGGCTGTGCTTTCGTATGCCGTAGACTGGTAGATATCACTGATCATTGCCAGAGTGGGGACTTGCAATCTGGACTGTCTCCCCGTATTGATCTCCAGGGCTAGCTAGTCATACCTTGGGCTTTGCAGGCTACTGGTCAATTTATGGAAGCTGTCTTGGAATAGGCGAATAGGCCCTGGTTCAATTTTCTTTCTACACCGGTAGCGATTCCACTGCTTTGGGATCTATAGAAGCCATTCATGAGCAAGTTATTCATATGGAATGAACCAGTCACAGGCCCACTTAAGGTCCAAAGTGCTTTGTGGTGAGAATTCGATCTTTGATTCTACCGGGTCTACGAGGATTTGCCTTAGCCGAAGATCCTGGGTAATAAACCACAAGGCTCCAGATTTCATATTCGTGTGCATGAATATTTACAAAAAGAGATTTAATGAACGTATTCAGTGCCTCAACTTTTGTCTTCGCGCGTACTTTGACTGGATAGAGTGATATGAAGACAATCTGGTGAATCGTTATCATCTTCAAATGGTAGTTTGTTTATTTATTAATATTCTATATTTATAATTCAAAATCCCAGATTCCTATTTAGAATATTTCAATCCTTAACTCTTTATGGTTCCTTTATCTATACCGCTATATATCCTACTTAGCTTCCTATCTCATAGAGCTGTTTAAGTAGGATCTATCTGTGCAGAAGTAGAGGATTTAGTAATACGTAGTATAGCTCAGGCCTGCCCGCAAAGGCGCATAATCCCCCCCCCCCCCCCCGGCGCGCCAGAGGAATCCAATGCAACAGAGATGAGGTCTTGAGCGTAGAGACAAGAAGCCCAAGTAATATGATCTCTAATGATAATAGGCAACCAGAGGTGCGTTGTTGCAAAATATATGCTGAGTTATGATGTCTACGGAGGTACGTAATTCAAAGGTCTGGCCTCCCTCAGGAATCTGTGATCCGAGCGGACTATTTCATGGATGCAACATCCGAGGTCTTTTCACCTTCGTTAAGGAATTAGTTGATCCTACGGTCTACGAGTCTTCAAGACGTAGTAAAATCCAGTCACTAGCCACGCGAACTTCCCATAATCACCTGAGTCGTATAAGTTATGATGTGAGCTGCCTGCTTGTTTATTGGGTGTGAAAGGGGATTTAAAGTCTGACAGTATCTCTTCGAATGGCCGATACAGGCGGCTTGTCTTCCATGTTTTGTGTAAGTACTCTGATGAGGCATCTTCGGGCCACAGCGGTAGGAACCCTTTTGAGCCGGCTTACGGGCTCGGCGGTGCTCAGTGCTCCTTATGATCAACATGATATCTTCGAACCCATGAGTGTTGCTTATAAATAGTACCCCCGAATTTCTCAATACGCACATATAGTCTTCCAGTAAACCACGTCTCTTTGCAGAGGAAATATATGGATAGAGCTGACCTAATACCTGACATACAGAGCCGATGGGACGGATCCCATCACATTTATCCGAAGGCACAAACAGACCTTACTAAAGCTTTGACATAAGCTTTTAGGAGGTTGATTTAGGATATAGGGTTGCAATTCAATCTGCTTTTCAACAACATAACCGCGAGCGTAGATTACGCGACAGAAATTAGAAAAGTACCTACCGGCGGTGCACCGCCACTGATCTCTGTCTTACCGTATAAGCTTACTAATAACTGTGACTTGGTCATTTTTACTAGTGTGGTTGAGTATATCGAGAACACCTTCCTGGATTTGCGCGAACTCAACCATAATTTTGACACTGGCGCTGAGAGGAAGCTGACCATCCAAACGAACCAAGTCTGCTGGCTGAATTTTCAGTTTTGGAAGCGACGGCGGTATGAGAAGGAGCACACTGAGCATTTTGTCGAGATAGTAACACGTATACAACGACCCATATATGTCACGCTTTGTTTCCTCATTTGGCGTAATGGAGTCAATCAAGTGATAATTAAGAGATACCAAGGTTCTAGATGCAAAAGCTGTTAATGTCCAGCTTCGGTACATATCACCTTGATTTTGCATGAAAAGTGCCTGGTGAACAATGAATTAGCATGGAAGTCAATGTAGTCGAACAAGGAAAAAGCGGTCCAACATACACCCGACAGAAATGCTTGCAAGAGAAGCAAACTTGGCGGTGCAAGATAGTCTATCTCAGAAAGAGCTTTATGTATTTCGTTTTCATATCGATTTTTACTTTTTTCAAGACGTCTTCGAAGTGGTACACTCCGATCTTTGTTTGGTAGTCGGCAAAGCAGCGAGGCAGCTTTCATATAGACGCAGACGCGGTAACAGGTAAGCTTGTGTTGGTCCTCTTTCCTCTCAATAAGGGACAAGCACATTCCTTCCAAGGTCTGAAAGGAAACGTGGTCAGGCCAAAATGACTGTTTCATAGTATTCAACTCAGTGCCTAGGGAATCTATTCAGCGATATAAATCACTATTTCAAATCCACAGACTCACCCATTGTCATCATATATAATAGCTCTGGCGGAAACCGGTTTAACTCAAGATCACCATTTGTTTCAGATGAGTCAAAAGCATCGGTCGCAAAGTATGTATTCGATGTATTAGAGAGTCGACTGATAAACTCAATTGCCTCCCGCATCACTCTAGATTTACTTGTTCCGAGAAATGGGTTTGACTCGAGCTCGCATTCCAAAAATCGAGTACCCTCTGAGGCTTGCTGAGTCAAGCCATCTCTAGCGTTGGTATCCAATGGATTCGAGGCTGGCCTCTCAATCCTTTCAACATTTTGCTGTCCAGGATGAGAAGTGATACTGGTGTCGCTTGTAATAGCTTCCTGCTCCGGTAACTGATATGCTACTGCATGACGAGTCGGGCTGTCCTGAGACGGAAAACCGGCAACTGTTGACTCGAGCGCGGCAAGCCTTTCAGACAAGGAGGTTACGCTTCACAATGTGAGCGTTATTCATCAAAAGGATTGTAGTTCTTACCGAGCTCCTTTCGGACGCCTACTTTTCTTAGGTCGATCTCTGCGGCAACTTACCAGGGCCTCGATGCAATTGGCACAGGGGAACTGCCGATCACATTTGATCTGGGATACTTCGATGTCAATAACTACGACCCCATGATACAAGATACAAGAACAGACAGCGAGAATGACGCAAACATGAATCTGGACTCTTAAGGTATCGCATATTGTGCTAGACGAATCTTTCTCGAATGACAAAAGTCACACTATCTCTGTACGTTAGTTCGCGTTCCCACATTGGCACAAGCGCCAAGAGTCCAAGTCACACATACCGCTGGGCGCTCAGCTACCACAGCATTAGGCGCTATAATATTTGGCGCTATGAATTTGGATCTGAAAATACTCCTGTTTGTCTTCCGAGTCGGAACGTTGGATGGAGAATGGGAGGCCTGGCGTAGATGGTGACGCATGGCGACGATTGCCGGTTCAGTCCGTCCGTCCGTCCGTCTATTGGCACGCCACTCATGCTTCGGGCTCGGGACTCTTTGGATGCGCGTCCCCATTTGACGCTGGCTTTCATAATGCTACCACTGAGACTTTCACGGCTATACGATTACTTTGTCTGCTATTAATGATCAATTTGCTATTACGCGAAGGCCCATTTGATCTCTGGGGTGACCTACCGTCAGTCAGTCTAGTTAAAAAGATTCCTAGAGATACCCAATACATATGACCACAGGGTGTGGAGAACAGGGCTTTGCCCGCTCAGCCATACTTAATCTACATACTACACGCGGTTAATTCTTACAGCGCCCTTTGCTTCAAAGCGGCGTTGACTAATTTGTTAAAGGGAGTGTGGGTGATATAGGTGGGCCTTGAGACTGGGGTGAGAGAGGTGAGAACGGGTCACAAGTGGGTGATAGTAGAGTAAGAGGGATGAGAATACCTACTAACATATGTATGCTCCTACATCTATAGTAATATATACCGCCCTATCGATAGAATGCCCGAAACGCCGGTGATCCAAGGGAGAGATTTTAATAATTTTTTCTAATGAAGAGCGTGAGTGCTCCAGAAATTTATTGGCTAGGCTTGTATTTCATAATGGCACAGCAATATCGTTGCCTTCGTTCGAGATAACCGTTTTATTGCCCCCTAAGCACCAACAAGTACCGGCGGTCTGGCCACCAGTCCCCTCACGATTATAGGTGCACCCAACATCCGATCGATCCTGAAACGTATTCATGGAGTTACATAGACCAAGACAATCATAAAATGTGGACATGACCGTTGAAGCCAAGTCCTTCTTTCCGCTGCCACCAAAATCGGAGTCACAGAGGATACGGAACTTTCTGGTTCCTTCGTAATGAATGGTATTGTTGCCACCAGGACAGGGAGAAGAGACTGTTGTGGTACTTGCAGCAGCAGCTGAAGAAGTTGTCGAGGATCGAGATGTTGTGGTGGGAATGTAGGTCGTCGTGGGAATAGAGATCGTCGTCGCGGACGCTGCTTGAGAGTCTACTTGATAATCTGCTTGGATTAGTTAGTAATCCTGCGGTGTATCCGCACTCTCAGATATAAAAGAACTTCAAAATTTATCATACTATTGTTCCTGTTGCCTTGGGATAGCCCAACACCTAGTCCGACGGCCACCCCAACCACAATAACGACCAGAATTGCGATAACCAAAGAGAGCCAGAAGGTCACATTGCGTAGTCCGCATATCGTTTCTGTTGGGATCGCAGGAGCAATTTCATAAGCTTCACCCCTTGGTTTGTTAGAATTAAGAAATTGTTGTTGCTGATATCGCCTCTCGGTGCTACCAAAACTTTCGAGACCTGGCTGGGTAACCTCTAATCCATCAGAGACTACTTCCATGGCTGATGCCACATATGCATCAGGATGGGTATGAAATATCAATTGACCAGCTCCCCGAGGAATTACTAAGACGAGAAGAGTGAGAGAGTAAGAGAAAAGGGAACCGAAGAAGTCAACAAAGCAAATGTGGGCCTTGAGCAAGATTAAAATAAGTGGCAGGGTCTGTGGTCTGTGCATGATTTGCCGCCACGTTCTGCAGGGGCAAGTTTCCAGTGGGGGCGGAAACAACAACTCAAGCGCCAAATCGACTTTGTTATATCTTAGGAACTAACTTAGAGCAATTAGTAATTTCTAGTCAACGAAATGACTATTTTTTAGCGAAGTCGATAATTTACGATATCTTGATAACTAGGGGTCCCAGGACTTCTGAGGCCTATTTTGAATTATATCTAAACAAGGACGTAGACAATCAAAAAAGTCAAGATGCCTTAATCTGTCATTTAGCCGCCCTGGTGCCTATAGAACTCATATAGCCCACTATTACCGATCCTAGATTTAGTCAAGACCTTTATTAGGCTTCCGCAGGAGCTAGGAAATCTTAGACTTAGACCAATTCCGAATTTGTAGCCTATTAACTCCTTATTCATTCACATACATACGGTACTTTTGTACAGGTGCCAAGAAAACGAGCGTTTCATGTGGTGGTTAATGCCAAACCAGTGAAGCTTGGATCTGGTGGGCAGTCTGTCTATAATGGGGTCTCTCACCCTCCAGTTACAAGCCCTCCAACTCCAATGAGAACCGACTCGTCGAGGGGCAAGAGAGTTCTGTAAAGAACGTGAATGGAGATGGCTCTGTGATTTGAACGGAGGGTTCTGGGAAGAACTGTTGTGCTGGAAGTTGGTTTTTTTTTATGTCGTATCTTGGTGCTTACGTAGCTATGAGTCTTGCAATGCTTACAACCACGGTTCATCTCGCGATGATCTGCGTGTCTTCATGGACAGACATTGGACAACATTGAATGGCGGACAAATGCTGTGGCCTCACAGTGAATATCAACCGAGTCTATGGGCTGTCTATGGGAGGACAGTCGCTCGAGGGTATAGATCAAGGCGGATTTCCATCAGATTTCATAAGGAGCACAAAGGCATTCATACTTTATGTTGGCACCGAAATAGCCATTCTTTGGAAACAAAGTTCAAAGCTTTCCAAAATGAAAATTTTGTCACTCCCCAAGATCTTCGAAGACATAAGAAGAAAAAGAAGTTGTGGTTATATTGTCCAAGGGTATTCAATGTCTGCCCACATGTTCTCCTACCGCAACGCCAAAAAAAAGCACCGCCCCAACTCCAATGATGATATTTTGTTCAAAAACCCCCAGTCACAGTCAGCCGATAGTCTTCCTCTTCTTTGGCACCGACTCTTCGGTGGCATCCGACTCTCGTCTCGGCGCAGCTGATCTCTTCCCCTTCCCTTTCGTCTTCTTCCCTGGTCCACCCGGCAAAGACTCAGTGCCGTCCAGTTCGTCCACCGCCGCGGTGCCTTTCTTCCCCGCGTCCTTCGCAACCTGGTCATCGTTCTGATCGAAAGCCTTCCGCGCCTCCTTCAACTCGCGCTCCATGCGCAGTAGCTCCTGCACACGGCCGAGCTTGTTAGGATCGCGACGCAGCGCGAACCGGAAGTCGTCAACTTTGATCTTTTGCCGCCGCGCGTGATGCGCGACCTGCGCAGCACCGTGGCACAGCTCGAGGATGAAGTCGGTGACAATCTCGTCCAGGACACGGACTGTTTCAGGGAGGGGCTCGGCGGGGAATGATGGGTGTGGACTGGGATCGCCGTAGGCGAGAAGGAGGAGACGAACTTTTTTGGTAATTGTTAGCTTATTTGCATGGTATCAAATTTGGAGTCGTCGCGTTAGATAGAAGCGAGGCTTACGTTCGGAGGAAAAATTCATCTGGCCCTTGTGCCTAGCGGCACGGGCTCGTGGCTCAGCCATGGTGACACGACGATTCACTCTTTTCGAAGAAGATGGCTTCGAAGTAGCTGTGGATATCGACGACCGAGGTTTGAAGGCGGGTTGATAGCCCGCTCGGATAAGAGTTGTATCCTGTGAGTTGAACGGCCACGGCGGGGCAAGCTCAATGGGCAACTGCGCGGGAGAGGGCTGGCGTATAGCTGCCAAAGCAGGTGTTGGCAGCCGTTGAGAAGGAGGTGAAGATGAAGTCCAACTCTGCCGAAGCGGAGACGGCGAGTCGCGCGAGTTGAGGCGCGGAGTGCCCCAGCGGAGCTGGTCTGTGCGTCTGGACATGGCGGGCTGAAGAGGCAGAATGCGGGCGGGACTTGTGGACTCGAGGATCACGACGTTGAGCTCTCCCAGCTTCCACTTTCCTTCTTTGCTTTGAGCTGCTGGGCTGGCAGAAAAAACGATTCAGGATGGTAAGTTCAAATGTCTCTAACCATCAGACATGCGAAGAGAGAAAGCTCCTCGGACTCTGAGAAGAGCATACGAGCATATCAGCATACTGTGTACTTTCGCGTCCACGACATCATCGCTAACCTCGAGGTTTCCTTTAGTCGGCCCTGTTCAACTTCCAATCACTCCTCCTGGTGATTCTCCTCATCATTTGCACGAGCACTTATGCACACTCGATAATGCCCGGTATCATGGACCGGAACCAGCACGGGTAGGCTTTCCGTCTGAAGGTGATCGAAAGGCTGAATCACAAGTCTGACTGGTATAGGCTGTTTGGGATATTCTGGAAGTGTGCGCGAGTAGGAGAAAGGCTAAGTCCATATGTCAGCATATGCTGTTTTCTGATGGCAGTAAGACCTGTTTCCATCCCCTTCTTGAAACTCATGATCGAGTACTCACTTCCAAACGCTTGTTCGCAGGTTTCGATCTTCTTTGGTGGCTAAGCACCAGTCTCCCGTTATCTCATTTGGAGGAAATGAAAGTGGAGTGGAAGAGATGTTAGCTTTTGAAAAGACTACTCAGATGAAGGCGACGGTATTCGGATAGTTTCCAGTTATTGAAGCGATAAACTATTTTTCAAGCGCATGAGATATTACAAACAAGAATGATTCTATGTATAGTACATGAGTGCCAAAATTTACAAAAAATCGCAATATCAAACGCTTGCTTCGGGCGCCAACCCATTATCCAGTACATGCACCATGATCTAGAAGAAACGAAAGTGAAAGAAAAATAAGAGGGTATCTCATCTCACGACCTAGGCTTCACCTTTTCGCCTAATTTTGACAATCCCTGGTCCAGTAAGTCATCACGAATCACTTCGTTGCTGCGCACAATGGTCTCCCGCTCAGGTGTGGCGGCTGGAGTTGGCTCGGACTTGTGAGCAGCTTTATCCAGCTCATCAACCGCGACCCAAAGACGCTCTGGATCACGGAGATAGCGTAGAGATTTCATGGTGTAAGAATCAATCGCAAACCCTTGTTCCTCCATCGCCTTGATGGCGGCCGCGGTCTCAGGGACTTTCTGAGAATTGGCGTAGCCGTTGATGATGAGGTTCCAGGTCACGTCGTTATATTCGACCTGGTGCTTGGCCATCATTTCCTTGATTTTCTCTGCGGCGGAGGACTGGCGGTGCCAGATGAATGCACTCAAAAGAATAGCCCAGCTTCGCATAGTGGGCTTCGTGTGAGCGATGACCTTGCCAGTCGGGCTCTCAGTAGGGGGTGAAGCATGTCCTCCACGACGCGCACGCAGGACCGCAGCGCACGAGAGCTTTTGCGAAACGCAAGCAAGAATTCATTGTAAGTATGATCAGTAGCGGCCAAGGGAGCGATTGAGGGATGTCCCTGCATCACGAGCTCGCGGAATTGGTGATAGATGCGCTGCACCGTTGAGAACCGGCTCTTGCATCGAAAATATGTCGCAATCATAATGTAAAGGGCGATTGGAGAAGGTGGTATTTTCGGCCCGTCTTGTTGAGGGCTGTAGTGAGGAGGGAGAATGAGGAGCTCTTTGAGGGGCGTGATATCGTGGAGGCTTTTATACAAGTCAAGCATGGAATAGAAGACATCAGAGGGATCAGCATCCACATCCATATGCTTGACTGTGAAGACATAGTGGGAATGAAAGATTTTGCTGGCGACATATGGATTCTTGCGGATTTCGTCTTGGGCGTCAACTTCATCCAGCAGCTCATGGAGACGGCCTCGGTCTCCCCGACTAACCGCATCAGTCAGAAGAGTGACATATGTGTAGGAGTCGAGGGTGTAATTCTGATTCTTCATGAACCCAAGCATGTCGGTCCCCAGTTGGTAGTCACCGGTCTTGAACGCGTTAGACAGAACAAGGTTCATCATATCACGGTCAGGGCGAACGCCTAACTCAAGCAGCTGGGGAAGAATCCGGAAATTGCGACCATTTTGGCCATCCTCAACGGTGTCCAAGGTCAACAGCTTGCAGCAGTGACGGAGGACCCCTTGTGAATTCATCGTGAAATTAGAGTCATTCAATCGAGGAATGACTTTCAGGGCATCGAGAGCCCGTTCCACTTGTCCCAACTGTATAAATCGGTTCATGAGACACAATTGCGTCTCCGCATTCCACTTAATCTTCCGGGATTTCATTGTTCGCAAGGCTAGGCGCACGGCATATGGCCTTGACCGCCGAATGAATAATCGAATACCCTTTTGGGGTGGCGAGATTATAGGCCACGTTGCTGGACGGAGACAATACTCAACCATCCATGGATAGGATCGGGGACCACTCTTCCAATCCTTCAACCAATCCGCATAATAAAAGTTGTCCAGGTACAGAAAACAGTCAGTGACCATCGTGAAGTCTGGTTTGTGTCTGTTCTTCATAGTAACAACGAGAAAATCCAGTAGTCGTTTGGGGTCATTCTGTAAAAGCCACAATGCGAGAGCTTGCCAATGCACGGCTTTGGTATCCCGAGAAGTGGCCTCCCAAGCTTCTCGAAAAACGCCATAGCAATCGGTTTGAATTTTTTCCAACATGAGAAGTCCCTCTTTATTCAAGACTGGTAGGGATTTCATATCGTCGACATTGCGTTTATAGTGTTTTGCTTTATAGACTGCTTCATAGGCTCGTTGCCATGTCCCAAGACCATGTCTTCTCGAGGAATAGATTGATTGACATCGTAGAGCAATGGCCAACTGTCTCGACTTTCTCCCCAAGAAGCTTCTCTCCCGCTGAATCTCGTGGTTTGTGCGGTGAAAAGCCAGGTTGGCCATTTCCTGGGATCCCGGTACTCTTATGACTTTTCTCCGGGGGTTTATCGGCGGTCGAACCGGGGGTTGAGACAACCGCGTGCGATGCCGATGATTATCTCCTGCCAAAAAATTTTCTGCTTCCTTATCTGAACCAATCTGCTTTCCATGACTGTGTTGTTCCCGGGTCCCGGTCCTAGGTTTCCTTCCATTTCGCGCTGGCCGCTTTGTCGAGGCTAAAATCGGACTTGTGGGAGGATCGCGATTGGTTCTTAGTAGGTCGAGCTGATAATCTGTAGTGTCCCGGTTTTCTGTCGCGAATTCTCTCACAGACGATGTATGACTCGACGCGCATTGTATCGTGTGCTTGTAGGTCGGTGTCCGCAAGCTCCGATGCCAACGGCCGGGGTTCCTACATGGTGTCGACAACAGCGCCCTAAGGCGGAAACGGACGAGCTGTCGCGGACACAATAACATTCAGTTTCTCGCGATCGCATGCATAGAAGACTGAAATGAAGAACGAAGAGGAAGTCGCGGTGCGTTGCAGGTGGGAAGTTGGAAACATTGCCGGTCCGGAATATGCGAGCCCGCCCGATTTTGCTGTGGCTGAAAGTGTGGCGCACGTCTTTATTGCTTCAACATCATCGTTTGCCTTACAACCTTTTTACGGCGCGGAGGACTTGGGGTTTTTTTAAAGGCCCCGTTTCATCTTTTTCTTTTAATCTTTCAGTCGGTACCTCCTCTTCCTCTCTATACAGTTTACAATCAGCATAATGTCCTCATCCCACGCGTCACTGGATGCGGCATCCGCCGACCGCAAAGCCCGCCTGGCCAAGCTCGCTGCGCTGAAGCGCAAGCAACCCGAACCAGAAGATTCCGCAGATGCAGGTGCTACCGCAGATGAAGCAGTCGATACTACACCCGATATTACAACAACCTTCCTCTCTGGTCGCAATTATGACGCTGAGACCCGCGGTCCGAAGTTGGGATTTGAACATGGCCCTCAAGAGGGACAAGTGACGTTAGAAGCCCAAGCCGCCGAAATTGCACAAGCTGTGAAGGAGCAGGGCCAGAAAGATGAAGAAGCCGACCAACCGATTGATCTATTCAAGCTGCAACCAAAGAAACCCAACTGGGACTTGCGACGGGATCTCGATGAGAAACTCAGGACCCTCAATGTGCGGACGGAGAATGCCATTGCCCGGCTGGTGAGGCAGCGGATAGAAACTGCGCAACACGCAGCAAAAGAACGAGGAGCACCTATCAATGGTGATGGAGGTGAGGAAGTGGGTATCGAGGGTGAAATGCTGGTAGAGGGAATTCATATGCGAGAGCAGGAAGAAGCCGACGAGGAGGATACGATTTGAAATGATACCCGATACTGTTGCAGGATCAAGCAGCCATTTGATATTCTTTTTCTGTAACTTTTTCTATATCTCCTGTCTACTTAGTGAGTCTTCGTTTTTCGTGGTTGGGGGCGTCTTATGAGGACCGCGGTGAGGAATTTTGCAACTTTAAAAAAGGAAAGGCGTTGAAAAGGTATTTCACTTAGAAATCTATGGATATGCTATGCTATTAATACATTTGTCCCCAGAGACTTGGTGGAACGAGAAGTTGGTAATATCGGCTTTTCACGAGTACAATTGCCAAATGCTCTGGTGGTGGCAGTGAAGTTCACTATAAAAGGAAGGGCAGAAAAAAAACGGGCTCCTTCCCGTTCTTATCGTCCCAAATTCATGGATTGGGTTAAGGCAAGACGTTTGCTATAGGGACTCATGCTTCGTTCGCGTGGCGGTCCTTCCCGGGCTCTAGGATCCTGCCTCGAGCGTCCAGGCTGTGGAGGTCGTGAGTGAGCTGGAAGGGGCTCACGGTCTCGATAAGGTCGGTTTCCAGGGTGATTCGCAGCAGCATCTGGCGTGATTGAACGTCGTTCCTTGGCAATCTTACTCTTGTTCACACTCTGACTGCGTCGATCTCTTCTTCGGGAACTGTGTCGTCCCGAGTATCGATGTCTTCCACGCTCTTCAGGACTGCTTTCTCGACGCCGGCGGCGGATATTTCTGTCCTCACTCCATTCTCGAGACCGGGAACGTCGCCTGGCACCTGATGAATAGGAAGTGGCAGAGTATTTATCAGACACATCACTGTATCTCCTTTTCCGTGACTTGGAAGGAGGCGGAGACACAGAACTGGTTCGATGACCATTGGAATGAGTCTTCCGCGTGCTGTGGCGATCAGGCGATGCCGAGGCGGATCGGTTTGTGGATATCGTTGAAATCGAGTTTGTAGAGTGCGATGATAGTGATCTTGCCCGCTTTGGTGAATGGCCCTCTCTCGTATCGTCTCCATCAAGATCTCTCTTCCGGCCGCGCTCCTCATTCCTCTTGGCGAGTATTTCATCCGCAACGCCGTTTCTAGAGGCTATGTCAGCTTTTTGATACTCGAAGCCAGACAAATGATCCAAGATACAACAACGCTATATGGAAACTCACGTCTGCAGAAAATCACTGGGAACCTCAGTGGACAGCTTGGGCATCAGCCTGGGATTTAGCAACTGCTGGGTGCGAGAGGGCCGTGCTGTATACGGGCGCTCCTGTGCCGCTGCTTTACATTCGTAGCTGTAATGCCGTGCACAGAGGTCAGTATTAAGTAGGTCTAGTAGAGTCTCTTGAAGTCACATATCTCGTTTCAGGCATTTTTGGCATAACGTCGTCGCCGTAGCCTTACTAGGGCCGGCTCGAAGTCCCGGGGCGTTTCGATAGCGGTTCATGGCACCATGCGCTTGTAAATGTCGATGAGTTCAAAGATGACTGCCTCTATATAGGCCCTTGGAATGTCAGGGAAAGAAATTCACGTCGAAATTGAGCTGATTAAACCACGCGCTCCGTCCCCCGCGGCTGTCCTTATAAAAAGGAAATTGTAGGCGCGCGGTAAAAGCGGTCTGGAGCGGCAAAATGGCACCCACGAACCTTCAGGCGTTGAAGAATAATCAATCCCCGACTACCAACGCTCCTTCTCTCACCCAACCCCCATTTGGCCTGTATCGACTCCGGTACTACCGTATATCTACGGCTGGGTCGTCTAGTCGTATCATATATTGAGCTTATTGCCATCCCATAGTGGACGGACTACTCATCTCAGCTTGAGGTCTATTGCGTCCTGACCATGAACCAGCTTTGACATCGTGTAAGACCCGCTTTTCAAATCAACTTCCCCGCCACGCACGGTGTCTTTTGACGGATCCCACTTTATTAACGTCCTTAAAAACCGTTGCTTGTCGGCCGCATGCTAATACTGACTTCTCTACAGCTTTCCCTATGGCGAAGGTCCTTTACCAGAGATATGTCTTTCTTTTTTGGCATCTGTGAAGCGGGATTCTCCAGTGACCTCATTTCGATTCAATTCTCGACAATTTCTTTCAAATCAGAGACTTGCTGAATGCCGCAGCGGCGTGGCTTTGAATTTCACTTCTTTTGCGCACTCTTCCACAACGCAGACTTGTCAACGATCCTGACAGCTCTGAGTGTCGCCTGATATGGCGTCTCAGAATAACTCACCTGGAGACGCACATTTCTCCTTTGCCAAGGTTCGCAAACCCATCTTTCTTTACTGCGCGCTATGACTTACTTTTATATGAAGATTGCTGCTATGTCTGCTCCCTCCGGTCCTCCAACTTGCCCGGCATCTAGCGAGAGTGATAAAGCTCAGCCGGCGGTTCCATCTACGTGCGCAGAAACACACAACACCGAATTTTCTTTGTCCAACGCCCAAAAGTCGACTATACTTCACCAGCAACAAAGTGACCCTGCCATTGATGGCTTGGAAAGAGCCGTGCAGGGTATTGATATTACTTTACGAAAGGATCGTGAAGGATCTGGGTCTTCCCTAGACGATCGGGACAATGCCTCTCTCAAGCGAGAGAACTCCTTTGAGGATGACCGTACCCATCTTTCTACCTCATCTACAAAAATGACCAACTTTGACTCCAAAAGTCTGGCGTCAGTGACGACATTTGCCATGGATGAGAAAGACTCCGTTCGCCCCGATGACAGTGCTAGTGTTCAAGCAATCGACGAAGAAGAATCTCTCTCCGGAGCTACATCTGGCGCACCAAATTCCATTGCAGGGTCCGAGGCAGGCAGCCGTTCCTTACGAGATCATTTTCGTGATGGGAATGCTCTACGACCTCGTGGTGTTCTTCCCGTCCCTGGGTTGCTCTTCAATGGTGGAAACCAGCGTTGTCCTGTGGTTATTCCTCCGGACTCGGTCTCGAATAATTTTGTGGTTCCTGCTGATCCTGCCACACTGCAGGACAACCAAGTTTCGCGCATATTTCCTGTCGATCCAGATGAGAAACTTCTAGAGGCGATGAATTCACCCAAAGATCGTTTGTGGATCCTCCAATTAGAAGAAAAGATCCGTCATTTCATCAAAGAGTCAAAGTAAGCCCTACCATAAATTTGGTCGCTTCTGGTCATAGCCTATGTTGGAGGTAAAACTAATTTTTTTCTCAAGCGAACAATCTCTCGAGCTACCTCCCTCTAATTCATTCTGTCGACTTCTTGCGCATAGACTGGGAGACTATTATCATCTAACTCACTTTGTGGATAATAATGTGACGTCGGTGCGACTTCACCGAACTCCATTCTCGCGATTGTGAGTCGAATTAATCCTTTTCTCTAACGCCTTGAATTTTTTGCTTACATACTCAGACCTATACCAATCTCTGATGTCCATTCTTCCATGAATGTCACGCCGGCTCCGCCAGTTCCTGCCATGAAAATCATGCGCCGAACAGACGGAGAACGGCCCTCTGCCGAAGGCAGTATTGCTGCGAGCTCATCTATCCCATCAAAGGCGGCTTCAGAAACTGGGGACAGCGGCCAAGAAGCTGGCTCGGGAGCGGCCTCTGTCAAAGATCGCTTGAACATGACCCGAGAGGAACGCGAGGCCAAATATCAAGAAGTCCGCGAGCGAATTTTCCGAGATTTTCCCGAAAGTGCCAAGTCAGAGGCCAGCGGCGACTCGAATCCCAATATGTCTCGCTCGAGTTCCACAAACGGACGCAAAAAAAATCATAGGCAGCGAACCCCTCATGACGACAGCTTTGAAGTTCGCTCTCAATTTAACCCCTATTTCCCAGGAATGCCATACAACGGTGCTCCCTCATACAATGCAGCTATGGGAGATGGGCCTTATTCCAATCAAGTTCCCTATATGGTCGGGCCCGGTATGTCTCCTCCTAGTAGTGGCTACATGGCTACGAATCAGAACAGTGCTATGTACCCCGGGCAGATTGGTATGAACAATGTATCGCAGTATCCGATGCAAGGTTCGCCGCAAAATGCCTCCAATGGCTCATGGCAAGGAGGGAACATGTCACAACAATCGTCGTATTCTGGATATACTTCGATGAACCAGCCGAGTGTGATGGGCCAGCAGCCATCAAGCAAGTCATCCCCAGCCATGAACAACTTCTCGATTCCTCAATCTCCTCAATATGGACAGCAAAGTGCAGGGTGGAATTCAGGTCCTTTCCCGGGGAGCTTCCAACAGTCTCCGCACCAACGCAACAACCAACCTCCTGTTCATTGGCCCAACTATCCTGCACAGTCGATGACATCCAACATGGCGGCCTACCCTTATGCGCAATACCCGGGTCAACATCTGAATTCGGCCATCCAGTCCCCATCTGGAGCTTCCACATTGCCAGGTGGTTTTGCCCGACCATTCAACCCTCAGACGCGGTCTTTCATTCCTGGCAATGGTCCCATGCCGAAGCATCTGGCTAGAGGCCCGCAGCACCCAATGCAGCAGTATGGAAACATGCCGTCCCCCATTCAAAATCAGTGGGCCGGCTTCACAGAACCAGGTCCCAATCGAAACATGGACCATGCATCTGCTGTCAATACAACCCGCATGCCCAACTCAAATTCCCGGGACTCCATTTCCAAATGGGGAACACCAGCCCATCTACCTCCCAAACCCCCTCCATCGGAAGTTCCCTCTGACTTTGATTTGAAATCTCGCGCTGGACCGACCGCGATGTCCCCTTCTTCGTTCGCAGGCAATGGAATCTCTGTGGCTAAGAACGGACCGCTGGTTGTATCTGGCGGAACGAATCCTGCGAAGACAAGCTAGGTTCTTAGCTGATTTTGAAACATTTATACTCATGTGCATCCGTTGCTGTGTTTCATTGTCTCCGGTATGTCAAGGACTATGACCCGTCAGAAAGAGAATGGTGGGGATGGGGACTTCCATAGAGATGTCAGCCTGGTGGGCAGTTGTACAGTTATCAAAGTGCATGGCGACTTGGACGAGAAACGAAACTTGTTGGTTAGTTATGGATCGCATAATTGCATGTCAACGTCTATGACATGTTCGTATTCTGTACATGTAGTCAACAAATTGATTGTAGCTGTTCTCCTTCGCCGACCACCAATCTATTTCACATGAGCGCGGATGGCTTGCCTCTGAGATATAGTATTTGCGGGAGTGCTTCCAGCTATTATTTTCACACGACGGCTTGTCTACAGACAGGGTGCATCGTCATGTATAAAATAACTCCGTGTAAGCATACTACATATCCAGGCAGATATACATATCATACATCACAATCAGAAAGGTATCAAAATGTTTTATACTGTACATAGGCTATGTCACATGAGCGGTTCAACGAAAGACAGAATGCCAGAAAACAGCAAAACTCCTATGAAACAAAAAGAAAAATGGAAAATACACAGCCTCGAGAGGCCTGACAGATCCACAAAAAGAGATCATAATCACACAAACTCCGTCCAAAGTTGGAGTCAAATCCGCTTCTTCAACCTAATTCTTCTTCAAAGCATTGATCTTACTCATCATCGACTCGGCCTCAGCCTCGCTCTGCTTGGCCGCCGCCTTCAAACTCGATGACTCCCCAGTCTCTCCCAATGAAGAACTGGTCTCTTTCGAGCTTCCAATCTTCAACTTTCGGATTGCCTCCTCGAACGCCTGCATGCCGCCCTTCCGGAACCGGGTGACTTTGTCCACATTCCGCTGGGTGAGATCGTTCAACTCTTCGACACCCAGTTCCCGGTGACGCGCAACTGTGCGGGCGGTCATGGCGAACCGCATGTCTTTGGGTCCATCAACAAGCTCGAGGATAGCGCTGGCTGCTTGATCGGCGGGTTTGCGTTCGGGCACGGCATTCTTGTCGCCCTTAGGCGCGGAATAGTATTCATATTTCTCCTTTGGCTCCACGCGGAGTACACGAGTATAGCCGCCTGGTCGGTCGGCGTAGCGTTCGCGGAGGGGACCGAAAAGCTTGGGAAGGATGTCGTGGGGTTTCTGCCAGATTAAGTCAGCCAGTCGTGTATTTCAACTTGGTGCTGAGTAGTTTTTTCAATTGAAAGTCCAATTCAAGTCCATCAGAGGGGTATATCCAGGACCTGAACAGGGGATTGATAGTGATCTCGGGGGAAGAGCCACGTACGTAGAAAATCTCCGTGGCCCGTCTCCGGCTGGCCTCCGTGTTCTTCTTTCCCAAGGTAATCAACTTGTCAGCTAGACGTTGGGCCTCTTTGGCCTTGGCCCATGTCGTTGTGATCGACTCATTCTCAAAAAGCGAGGTCACCAGGTTGCGGAGCAGGGCCTGTCGATGCGAAGACTTGCGGCCCAGATGCCGGTATTTTCCTCCACCGCCGGCCATGATTCGAGGTGAAAATAAGGTAAGAGAGTCTTCTGAGAAGGGAGAGAAAAGAATCAGGAATACAATTGGGCGCGAAAGACTTAACGCAGGCCGGTGGAATTATTCCAAGAAATGCCAATCTGCCGGAGTCGCGAGGGAGGAAGTTCGGCTCAAAAGATTCGACGGGGACCCGCGTCCAATCGGAGAGCTTCCACCGCCTTGGCCGACTTCTCTTCTGCGACTTCGACTGGCCTGCGATTCGCGATACTGTTAATTCAGCGACACATTCTCTACTTTTCGGACGGAAGCGAAGACTCTACTCTCTTTTTCTTGGTCTACTAATATCTGCACCCTTCCACCAATCCTACAATTACAACTTGATCAAGAACTACGGACACTTTCCACCCATTCTACCGCAATGGGCTTCATCGCTGGATTTGTATGCTTCCAATTCTCTCTGTGGTCACAGCATGGTGTCAACTAATATCATCTCATACAATAGGTGAGCGGATTTGCCCTCACCAGCTCCGCCCTATTTATCACTATGCAAGTCCACCGCACCACGCGCTTGCAACAGCGGCGAGCGATTCGCGAACAGGTCGAGCAGATCAACTGGCTCGCCTCCTCTTCCGGTGCCTATGACCGTCGCCTTCTCCCAGAAGATCCACCGCGACGATCCGAAGAAAGACACACCCCACGAGAAGACCAGATTACCATGAAAGAGGTTCTCAAGCACCGCTGGAACCAAGAGGTTGAGAAGTTCGCCCGGAAGGCATACGAAAGTCGATGGGAAGATGTGAGAGACACCGCCATGGAGGGTTGGAAAGCGGCTTTGAGGCTTGTGAAGAAAGAGTGAACTTCTTCTCGATGATCGTATTTGAATCATACTAAAATTAGTATGGTATTGTCGTTTTATGTATTATTATAGTTGTCTTTTGCATAGTGGACGGTGTTTGGATACCCTTGGGCATATTCATTTGACAAACTCGTTTTTCGTTCCCAAATTAGCTCTGAACTTGATGATATTGTACATGTATTAGAACAGCTATGGCCAGAGCCATCGAAATAAATCAGTGCATTCTGCACTTTGGAGATATGTGCGGTATGAGCGTCCAGCGCAGGATTCGTAACGGCGTCAAATATAAGAAGGGAGTTCGGCGTTCCCGGGTTTCTTCCCATCTTCAAAAGCGTGGGCTTGAAAAATGGCTTCAGCAGAAACCGTCAGTATCCTGGCAGTCACCTGGTATGAGTCGACGATGGCGCGGCTGTTGTCGTGCTCTCTGAGTCACTCCAGATGTCCTTGCTCTCCCGCTCAACAGTTCGCATGGCTTGCGAAACCTCCTCAAGCTTCGCGACCACATCCAATACACCCTGATTGACGCGGTCAAAATATCGGTCATTCGCCTCGCGGCGCTTACGAGCAAGCACGATATCTTTCTCGGTCTCCTCGTCCAAGGTGCGGTAGGAGACACGTTCTCTGGCAGTAGCTTGCTCATTGTGCACAGTTTCCGTGGCGCTCCCATCTAGAGATCCTTGTCGCTGTGCACTCGCTGCCAGGCTTTGCCCGTCGGCTGTATTGCGGCTAGAATCAACAACCTCATCATCAGCTTCACTGCGCGCCCATGCCTGAGCGAGCTTCAACTGCTTCATACGAAGGTCTTCTAATGCTTCAGCATGTTTCTCCCCAAAGACATGCTCGTTTGTTACGGCGCTTAGTTCAACCTCCGACAGCGCGCTTTGCATTTCCTGCCATATCGCGTCGGATCCGTCGACGTCATTCTTGGACGGGCGTCGGGAAATGAAGGGGGAAAGCAAGCTGCGATTCTCGACACTATCGCCATCGTTGCTGCGATCGGATCTTTTGCGATGGAAAGGAGGAAGTTGGCCGCTGGTTGGTGCGGAAAGAGTAGGTCCTGCTGCGGGAGAAGGGACGGACAGAGAGATGTTGGACGCGTTATGTGAGGGAGGGCCTTGAAACAAAGCTGGCGGGGGAAGCCGCTGGGAATTTTGGTATTTCTTGGACGATTCCATCGGGACAGGAGACCCTGGGGATGTCCGCAGTGCCGGAGTGCCCAAACCGATTGGAGGAGGATGGAAGTGAATGGGTGGATGCGATGATACGCGATAAGACCGATAACGCTATCTTATCAATGCGCCTCGACGACATGCTTACATAACTATGCGGCAGGGGGTTTGTCCGATCCCGTGACTCGCTTAGGGCAAGCGCACAAAGTCAGGTGAGAACGCAATCCCAAGCAAGCGAGTGCGCCGGCGTTCAAGGGAAATCCGAAACCTTCGACTTTTCGACACCCCACGACCCTCAACAACACCCTTCAAGTCGGTATGTATTGGATCCCCTCATACCCCCTATCCGATTTTACACGGACAACCTCGCCTGCCTTTCCTTTTATTTTGTCGCCTGCTCGCTTCTGGGAAATTCGACACCACCCTGAGCCAATCACTTCGACTGCACGCACAAAAATTCCAATCTACAAAGCCCTTCCATACCAACTTCATCGCATCCAACACGAATCAAGTCGCCTTCACTATAATAAACAGACTGAAGACTAACCTGTTCTTTTTTCTCGCCGCAGACCGTCAAGAATAATTCAAGATGGGTAAAGGCAAGCCCCGTGGTCTCAACGCCGCCCGCAAGCTCCAGGCCAACCGCAAGGAGCAGCGCTGGGCCGATCTGCACTTCAAGAAGCGCCTCCTCGGTACCGCCTACAAGTCGTCTCCCTTCGGTGGTGCTTCCCACGCCAAGGGCATCGTTCTCGAGAAGGTCGGTGTTGAGGCCAAGCAGCCCAACTCCGCTATTCGCAAGTGTGTCAAGGTCCAGCTCATCAAGAACGGCAAGAAGGTCGCTGCTTTCGGTGGGTGAACCCTATCCAAATGATTATTTTCGAGACATCCGAGTTTTGAGCGCCCTCGGGTGTCTCATGACGTGGTCCCTTCAATAAGCGACTATAGTTAACAAGAGAACCAAAAACTAATCAATTCTCTACCATAGTCCCCAATGACGGTTGCTTGAACTTCATCGACGAGAACGACGAGGTCCTCCTGGCCGGTTTCGGTCGCAAGGGCAAGGCCAAGGGTGATATTCCCGGTGTCCGTTTCAAGGTCGTTAAGGTCTCCGGCGTCGGTCTCGCCGCTCTGTGGAAGGAGAAGAAGGAGAAGCCCCGCTCTTAAAAGAAGTCAAAAAATGACTCTCGGGGTGAAGGAGTGTTGTGGGATCGGTGTCAGACAAAAAGCCCGTCTTCATCAGCGCCTGGATTTCATGAGAACTTTTTTTTGGGAATAACTACCCAGGCGGGCTTTCGTCTGGTTTGATGTGTGCGGGATAACCATGATTTGATACAATTCCAAATTCCAAAAAGATGGCGCTATGATCTTCATCTCCCAACGCCAGGTTTCTAGCCTGAGCATCTTGATTCAATTAGTCAAAACGGCAGAGTGTAGCATAGATGATCCATGTAGTGAGCGTATGCATATCTCAATTCCGTAAAGTGAGGTAGATCATGGCGATATAGCTGGAGATCATCGCTGGAAGCCTCAGACCTAGATGGCTCACAGTATCTTGGTACTATCTTGTACCATCTGAAGTACCATTTTCTGATGCAAAAACTCCCCACAGCTCTGTACTCTCATATCCATCTCTTCCTCTTTGGCGGATAATTCTCTTGTCATGAATATATTGGGCTCTCGTTCAAACCAGCAAATTTATGTTCGACTCTAGGCAATATCTATATATATATTTGAGTATCTAATGATATGCGTATAGGCGAACCACCCGAGTATATATATCTCAAGCGCTCACCACGTTTGAGACCTTTAAATGCACGTTGTTCTTCCAAATGGCCTTACATATATATATTTGAGTTTAGTCTGTCTTCAATTAACATGAGCTGAATGTTGAATGTCCGTGCCTCTGTCATCTTCATTTACATACACAACGTGTATGAAGGAAGGACCAGGACTGCAGAAAAGAACCTCCAGCATTCTCGGCTCCATTCACCACACAAAATACCCTTTCATCCCCGCTACTTTATTCAAAATGACCAAAAATCAAGGCAATGCATGTCAAGCATTATCAAAATAACACTTCATTCCAAATTGAATTCCTTTGGATCTCTTATCTCTATTCCGTACCAGTGCATTCAGAAACCTATATAATGAATACTCCCACGTAACGATCGTCGCACATCATTCCTTGGGTATCTTTGCCAATAATGTCGACCTCTTCCTCTTGAAGAAATTGACAAATCCCTCACGAACATTTTTTTTTTGCAGATTGGCCCTTCGTTTAGAAGCTGATATCTTCCTTCCGGTAGTGATCGGACACAATCCGATACAGATATGAGGGGGCATGACCACCGCTGAGGGGAGAGAACTTGGTTAGCTTGAAAGTTGATGCCAAAAAGCACAGATCTTAAACTTACAGGTTCGTGATATAAAGGTCGACCAGTTCGGCCGGCACATAATCATAGAGTGGGTTCAGGACGTCGATTTGGTCAACAAGGTCGCCATCCTCGTAAGGCAAGACCTTGGCGGCGTCACCATACTCAATAAGCGAGTCGAAATCGAATGGATAGACAGGGCTCAGCTTATAGACACCACTGACGACCACGACTGGTGTCTGGTGAACCTTAGCGGCCCGGGCAATGACTCGAGTACCGGCCGCCGCGATGAGGCCACCGTTGGCGAGGACAGAGTGTGTGCCCAGAATGACCTTGTTGACACGAGACATCAGAGCGAAGACGGCCGAGTCAGGGATGAGAATGACAGTGATGCCGAGGGCGATCAGCGGCTTTTGGAAGGACTCAAAGCTCAAGTTGTCATCATCGCTGGGCGTGTTACCACTGATGGTAGCATGCGTAGCTTCATGGTTATTCGGGAATGATTCGGCGTGAATAACGGTGAACTTGCGCTTTGTTGCAGCCTTGACCAAGAACTTTTGCACGGTTGTTGAGGAGGTATGTGTGAGGATGATTTCGTTGGAGTGGATATGCTCCAACGCATAAGAGGCAATCTGGTCGTCTACTTGACCAAGCTCATCGATGATCTCGCCAATACCCTCCAGAACCTCTGCCTTCACATCTTTACTGGGACCGTGCCCAGCCATCCGGCCGCTTGGAGATTGAGTGCCCGGGGTGCTCGGCAACGAGGATTCTGGTTCGGGGTGTGAAAGGAGACTAAACATAGAGGTCAGGGTAGGACGAGACGAGGAGCGCTCTGCGCCATCTCCCCGTAGAGAAAGAGCATCTCTATCCAAGGGAAGCGAGGCATCTATTCAAGCGTGGGTTAGTCACTACAGAATGTGAGTCATGAAGATCCGCAGACTAACCGTCAAAAGCCCGAGGAGTTTGAGGCTGGCTCTCTGATCCAACCTCACTGAGAGCAAACTCGGCTTCACGGTCATCTTCAGCCTCGTCTCGAATGAGACCTAGAACACGTCGCACAATGTTGCCCACTACCATTTCCCTCGGTTGCGCGGCCATGAGCCGCCTTCCCACGCCCTGCACACGCTCAATGAGCTTTGCGGGATCTGATGTCTTGCATGTTGAGACAACATGACGGAGTAGATAGGCAGTCGCAGTGGCGCATGATCGCGAATGGCGGATTTGACGCCGCTTCAACAGTCTTTGATAAAAGAAAAAGGACCCACGTTAGCAACACAATGTTCACGGATGCGTGATAAAAGTCGGTAGAAGAGCTGCAGACGTACGAAACCAGGTTCTCGATAGAAGTATCGGTTGGATTTGTCTTCAGCGACTTGAGAAACGACGCCAGGCCCGGCGTCAGGGCCAGCGAGGTCGACGGCATGAGGAAAGTGGGATGGGTGCTAACGTGATGCAGAACAGGCTGTAAGACAATCAGAGAGCTGGCTTTTTGGAGATCTCCGAGATGCAGATTCCTATCATAGACCGGAAATGGCCTGACCTTTAATTCGGAGAGGAGATCGAGGTAAAAGCGCTTCTGCAGGAAGCCGACAGTCGACGAGGGCAAAGTGGGCGACAAAGAAACCGATTTTCTGCCGCTCGACGTTTTGTCCGCTTCCCCACACTTTGAACCTCTTCACGGCCCTTCTCCTTTTCGCGTCTATCGCTTTTCGGCCCCTGCTTTGTTTATCCGATCTGAATTTCCCCTCCGCCAAATCTCTTTCAGCCGTTATACCCTGCATTTTGCGGCAAAAACCGGACTGGAGTTGCTGGAGCCGCGCGGAAGTACTTCCGAGGCACGGGTGACTGGCGCATCGAGGTCGGTAGAACTCATCAGTGAATCCAGCTTACGCCTCCTCCTTACGATGCCCCTCCCTTCCCCCTAAGATCTCTCCGACCCCACGATCACTTCTCCGATGGACCGTTCTGAGTGGGTTTGACTTTTCGCTCACGATCATCCGTCTTTAGATCCCCTGCGCCCCTGTCCCCCGTGGGCCTTGTTGGAAGATGAACTCGCTGAATATCCTGTCCTCGCGAGTCATCGGCCAGTCTTCCACTTCCACACGCCCCCGATCGCAATCTCAGGGCGAGGACCGGTGCGCGACTCCTCCCGGTGACTTTGGGAAACTACGATCCTACAGTGAAGATAACTTTCGGTCGAGCATCGTTGCGGAGAAGAGCTACGACGGCTCCATCTCGTTTGCGGAAAATGACGGATACGAAGATACGGCTCAATCATTTGACGAGAAGACGACTCTTTTGCATGGCGTTCAAAAAGATGGCGCGTTCGTAACCAAGAGCACCTGGAGGCTCATCACCAAACGGATCTTTGACGCGATAACCGAGACCATCCAGTTCATTCTATCAACGCTTGCTGCTCCCGGATTATATGTGGCGCAATGCTTCCAAAATGATGATGGGCATTATTCGTTTCTTGCCCCAGTGAGGAAAATCTGGAGAACGTCTGCCGATAGAACGATCCGGCCGGATAAAGGGGCCTCTCGGGTAGAAGGTCGGCGACGCAGTGGCTCCACTCGAAAGCCCTTGAAGCAGCAGCGATCTCGAGACTCCGTTCTATCCACGACGTCTGAATCGGAGACGGATCTTCGAGCTATCAAAGGGCTCACCAGCAGCAAAACTCGATCGATCAAGACCGAAGGCCATGATCCCGAACCAGAAAACGTGGAAAACACACCGCGCCGGTCGATTCGAATCAAACTTCACAACGAGGAATCTCTTAAACGGCAGAGGCGGCGGACACAAAGTGCTGATCTTGGGCATCCGATGCCTGAGGGCGTGACCCGAGTACAGGGCACGGTCAATTTGGATAGCCTAAAGTCTCCCACTTCCCCATCTGTTCATCGAATTACGAAATATCCCCACTCACCCACTCCACCTCGTCCTCTTCTTCCCCCGCGCCTGCCCTCTTACACTGCCGCTCCGCGCAATGCCAAACTCCCACAGAAGACTCTTGTGCTTGACCTTGATGAGACACTGATCCACTCTCTCGCCAAGGGTGGCCGGATGTCCAGTGGTCATATGGTTGAAGTCAAGCTCTCGATGCCTATGACTACTGCTTTGACACCTGGTGGACCACAAACTACCTTGGGACCGCAGCATCCGATCTTGTACTATGTTCACAAACGGCCGCATTGTGACGAATTTTTGCGCAAGATTTCCAAGTGGTACAAACTTGTGATTTTTACTGCTAGCGTGCAAGAGTACGCCGACCCTGTTATCGACTGGCTCGAGCAGGAACGCAAATACTTTCAAGGGCGCTATTACCGCCAGCACTGCACTTTCCGCAATGGTGCCTATATCAAGGATCTCAGCTCTGTAGAACCGGATCTGAGCAAGGTAATGATCTTGGATAACAGCCCGATGAGCTATATATTCCATGAGGGTGAGCCACTTCTACGATATTCTCCCCAGTTGATCTCCCGCTAAGCTCATTGATATAGACAACGCCATTCCGATTGAAGGCTGGATCAACGATCCCACGGATAATGGCCTACTTCATCTGATTCCGATGCTGGAGGCGTTGCAGTATGTCACCGATGTTCGGGCACTGTTGGCGCTTCGTCGGGGCGAGATCGAGGCATAATGGGTTTCTCGACATTGTAACTATGGATGCGCATGTAGGTGTAAAGGGAGTTTTGTGTCTGTTTTATTAGAAGCGAAGTCCATTCAACTGAAGAAAACCAACCTCAAAAACATAATTGGTTCTGGGAGGACGCTGGGACGATTGATGCTATATCCACCAAGCGCAGACTATTTCTAATGGCATGAGCCGACTTGTTTACCGTAAATTCACCGTACATGAGCTTGATATTTCCAGCGATGCTCAGAATCAAGCGTAGGATTGATTATACACGTGTGTAAATATGTGATTTAGCAGGCTCTGTAGCATAAATACGGAAACTCATTCGGTCCGCGATCCGCGTGAGCACATGTGAGAATATCGGCCTCGCAGTGGCCTCGGCCAACTTACGACGCAGCGCTCGAACCTTGAGCCGATCTCTTGAGGCACCTTCTACTCTTATCCGCTCAGAAGAAATCGAACAATAAGATATTCCAGGAAACTCATACGCATTGTGTCCTGTATATTTCGGAAGCTGTATCAAGATTGATAATTTAGCCCGACACTAAATCCTCAATTAAGACGAGAAGGGTCCTGGCTCATGTGAGACATTATTGGCTTCAAACTGTTTTTGATCATATTCTTTTTCTCTTCTCTCTGAAAGAAATGCCGACCAGCAATTCCCAGGACATTGTTTTACTGGATGCACTGAAGTTTCCAATGAGGATTGTCGCCTCAATGTACTCATCGCTGTGGAAGGTATTCTTTCAAGTCAAATAGCTAAATCTTCCCACCCATGAAAATATCGACGGATGAATCCGTTGCGACAAATTCGGCCCCTATTACGGGACAATTACCATCGCAAAAGAGGCTAGTATCCCCAAGGGGCGAAATTCTTAGGATGCACTGCCCATTTAATTGGGCAACAAAATCTTCTCGAAATAATGTGTCTCTTCTCTGAAGACTTTTCCCACTGTGCGGGAAGGTCGAGCCGTTTGATACTTATTTTTATCTGCTCTGTTCTCCGCAGGAATTGGGTGGTTGCGCGATTCTTAACATACCAGTTTTACCCTTTTCATTGAGGGACATACATGATCATCATGATCAGTATTTCTTTCTCCTCCTTTTCTTCTCCTTTTATTTGTTGAGTCTCTAGACTCGATCCACAATCTCCATGCGGTTAGGGTCTCCATATGTCAGTGCTCTCCGCGGTGGACACTTGCCGTTTTGAATGATCGCCTCAACAACTTGCGTTTTTGATTTTTCTTTGGCATTTCTTACATTGCGTCGCCTACGCGTGGCTAATTTAAATTCTGCATCTTGACATAGGGGTAAATTTCATTTTCTGTTCATCTATTCATTATTTAGGTTCATTATTTAGACGGTAGTTTCTTGTTCAAGCTGACAAAGTCTCTACAAAGTTTTCAAGCGATATGTATAGCCTTGATTTTCCGAGCTCCTGGCGCAACCCAGAATCACAAGCTGATTTCTGATACATACGATCAGCAATAGCTAGATCAATCAGAAAGAGAGAAAATAAAATCTAGAAATGCCCTGCCACTGCCAGGGGCACTCCATGAAAACTAGCCTTAGGCTCAAACCTTGTTGGACAAACTGAGCCAATCAGATTGCGACAAGAAAAATTAAATTAAGCGCCAAGTTTAGAAAAAATTATCGTTCTCCACGTGAATTCCGCGAAACTCAACGTCTTTCCAACGGTTCTGTTGGGTGGTTAAGCGAGGCTCCAGGAAATAGCTTCGCAAATAGTTAACCTGGCATCCACATTGGTTCTTTTTTGGTCTGATCCATGGATTGGCTCCGCCACCGTCTGGAAAGGGCAAAAAATGTCTCCGTATAAGGGCTCCACGATTAGGGAACCTCCGGGACCAATCAATGGATCATGCTTTGAATGTAAATAAAATTTCTGATAAGGGGTGAGAACTTCCTTCCGGCATCAAACCTGTTTCTTGAAGTGAAAGCAAAGATGCATAAACGAATGGGTTCGATTACGGTCGAGGCTGTTGAGCCGGTGACCTATCGTTTGAAGGCGGAAGCCGAGGTATTTTCATGAGTTTGAACTGAAAAACTAGCAAAACTGACCTTACATAGCCTCAAGAACTCACTTATGGGTTTCTGAGAGAGAAAATCCCCGCTCATTGTTTTGAGCGTTCTCTCACGACTTCGTTTGCGTATCTGCTTCGGGATTGCGTTTATGCCTCCGCTCTTGTGTGGGCTGCATTGAAGATTGACCTGTTGCCCTCGCCAGCAATGCGAGCTTGTGCTTGGGTACTCTATACCTTCTTCCAAGGCTGCGTGGGAACTGGCTTATGGATCATTGGCCACGAATGTGGCCACGGCGCCTTCTCTGCCTTCCCCTTGCTCAACGATATTGTTGGCTGGGCTGTGCATTCGGCTCTTATGGTGCCTTATTTCTCGTGGAAGATTACTCATGCCAGACACCACCGCTACCACAACAACATTGAAAAAGACACCGTATTTGTTCCTCCGACTGAGGCTGAGAAAGAGGTTCAAAACCAACAACCCAGTCTGCTCGGAAAGATTCAAGAGCTGGTTGAGGAGACCCCGTTCTACAACTCTATCACCCTTCTTGGTCACCAGATCTTTGGCTGGCAGTTGTACCTGCTTTTCAATGTTAGCGCTGGTACCAAGAGTCTCCCTGCTAAAGACACCGCGCCAAAGAAGTTCCGAAACAGCCACTTCGATCCTTTGGGCTCCCTCTTCACGAACGCTCAGACCCCTCTCATTGCGATCACTGACTTGGGCCTCCTGATTGTTGGAAGTGCTCTGTATTTCTTTGCTACCAAAATTGGTGTCTGGAAGGTGGTTTTACTTTACGTTGTGCCATATTTCTGGGTCCACCACTGGCTAGGTGAGGACTGCAACCTTTATCAATGACCAGAAAAGAAAAACAAAAACTAACATTCTATATAGTTGCTATCACTTACCTCCATCATACCCACCCGTCTGTGCCGCATTATGATGCCAAGACCTGGACATTCGTCAAGGGTGCCCTTTCCACCGTTGATAGACGGTTCGGGTTTATTGGACGCCACTTTTTTCATGAAATCATCGATTATCATGTTGTCCACCACTTGTTCCCCAGAATTCCATTCTATCATGCCGAGGAGGCCACAAACGCCATTGTTCCTTTCCTTGGCAAACAATATCATCTCGATGAGGGAATGTTCCTGAAGTCTCTGGTTGATACTTTCAGCACTTGCAAAGTTGTCTCTGATGTCAACTCCGATGGAGTTTTGCACTGGAAGCTTCCCCAGGAAACTTCTAAGAAGCAGAACTAGATCTTTCCTGTCACCCTCCTCACATGAGATTTGCTGACTTGATAGAAAAGGCATAATATGTACCATAGAGATATAGATTTAGATTCTAGAGATTATGTTACCAAGAGTTTGAACTGCAAATATGTCATCTTGAATAGCTCTGTAAACACAAGCTTTATGAAATCTCATTGAATACCACAGCCTGGAATATGTTGATGTGTTCGATAAAGCAATGATAAATAGAAGATACGGGTAAGTAGGAAAAACGAGGGGAACATTGAATGTCCTTCATGCTTTTTCTCTACTGGTACCTTACTTTCGGGCACTTCCTGAATCCGCCTCTCAATTGTTCAAGTGTTTCAATAATTCAGTATCATGTATAATGTGGATGGAGCTGAAAATGAGGTTCAATAGATTATAATAGTGCTCTAGGTCCGATTATCGTGTAATTAACTTCTGGGCCATGATCAATGATATTGGAAGGTTCACTAAGACAATCCCTGCAAGCCTTGGCTTGCATGGTGGCCTCTCAGAAGGAGTCCCCTACACTTGCCAATTTGGAAGAAGATTTCCTCGCTGCTATTTATCGAAACTTCCCTGACTGTATGTAATCTCAACCTTAGACCTAGCGCTAGCCCTGTCGAGGCTGTAGGGCAATTTGGTAAAATTTTGTATAAAAAATCTAAAGAAGACCTGTAAGGGCGGATAACGGAATTGGGATCACAAAAATTGCATATGTAGTTATCCATGCAGTATTTTGATGTGAGAATTCCAGAAAAAACGGCGGGAGAAAGTCAAGATCTTGCATCGGGTTTCCGGCATATAGGTTTACTACTTATGCGATCGTTCATTCCAACCCAGTATAAGTCGTACAGGCGATGCTCAGACCAAAGCTTAAACTAGGACTTTCCCGTTGACATTCACAATGTGAACATTCTTAGCGAGACCAGATGCTTTGACTTGGTTGACGACTCCATCATCATCCCAAGAGAAGTCGACGCTCCCACCTCCACGTAGACGAAGCCCTCGGACACTACCACCTGCCCAAGTGGACGGGATAGAAGGACCCAAAACTACAGTACGGCTATCACCATTGGAATGGGTACTATCTAGAGGCATGTCAACAACAAGCATGCTGAGCACAGCACCGGTAAATCCAAAATTGGCATCAATTTGGAACACCCCCGAAGGCGTGTCGCCACCACTGTATAGCGAAAGTCCACTTTGACCAATGTTTTGATCGATAGTCAAACGAAGTTCGTAAAATGCCTCTTCTGTATTGTTGAGGCGCGCCCAGCATGCAGAACGCCATACTTTCTCCCAACCTGCATTTGAGTCTGAAATGCCAGGTCCGCGGCTTGTAAGAGAGATATTGACTGCGTTCTGGATTGTGGAGTTCGTATACCCGTTCATGTATGAAGAAATAGACCATCCTGGATACCACCCTACCAAATGAGACAAGTGACGATGCTCATCACCTTTGATGTCATAGCCATATGTGTCCGGAATTTTCCATTCTTTTATCTCACCCCAGGAGCCAATATGGAGTCCCTTGTCGAGCTTCACGAGCTTCTGACGGATGTCATTCACAAAGGCATCATTTGATTCACTCGCTATAGTTGCACCAAGAATTGTTGTTTCAAACATTTGGTGTAGAAGCTGCTGCCAGTGTGTACAACCGAAAGTGACAGGACCGTGCTCTGGGGAAGTACACGGGTTGACAACAAGGGTACTGTCGTTCGTAAATTTATCCAACTGGAGTTGAGAAAGCCAGAATTGAGCAGCTCCCTTCAAAATGGGCCATCCTTGCTGTTTGAACCATTCCTCATCACGAGAGTAATCATAATGGTCCCAGACATGCTGCATCATCCAGCCAGGTGCAATAGGATAGTCAGAGGATGTTTCCCATGTTTTCATCCTGTTTCTCAAGTGTCAATAGAAATCACTCTCTAAAATAACTTACTTACTTACCCAGTATGTCCAAAAATGTTCATCTCATCATGAGCAACCCAACCATCTGCGCCATAAAGGAGCTGGGCTGTCTCTTCACCGCGAGGCATCCATGTCTGCTCCATATAGTTAAAGAGCGCTACCACGAGACTTCCAAGGCCTGTTGCTTCTGCTCCCCACATATTCATTTGCAAATTAATGTTGGCATGATAATCCGCACCCCATGAGGCTTCCTTTGTTGAAGACCATATTCCTTGCAAGTTTGGTGGTAAGCTGTTTTCTCTTGAAGACGATATAAAAAGATGTCTGCCATAATCGAAGATCAGTTTTTCCAAAAAGGGATCTCCACTAGTCTTATTCGCACTGTATTCCGTAATGAGCTCCGAAAGCTCTTTCCCAGACGACAGCTGGGTATCTGGAAGGTCTAAGCTGAAGGCATTGGCCAATGAAAAATAGTCGGCCACGTGAGAGGCCCTAAGGTCTGATTCGGACTTTTTGAGAGCGGAAGAGGTAACGCTCTCAACTTGAGGTCCAGGATCAGGCCCCTTGAAAGTAAAGTTGTTGGCAGAGTTGCCCTTTGAGGCGTCGAAGTTAGATCCGGCTCCAATAACAAGAGTCAGACTAGTTTCCTTTGTGAAGCCGGCCTTCCAGGTTCCAGTCAAGGCCTCGCAGGCACCTGAAAGTGAACTCCGCACCATAACGTCATATTGCATCCCAGTAGGAGGACCTTCTTGCGTTAGTCCACGCAAGCGAGCAAACTTAGACCCACACGTGGCATTCCAAAGGGATGTATCCTCCACAAGTTGATCGAGCCAGAATGTGACATTTGAAAGTGAGATAGGAGACTCAAGATGATAAACACAGACTTGATTGGGGTAACTACAATAGACAGAAGTTGTGTACGTGCCATCGTCTGTCGCATATGTGGTGGTATGAATACCGGTTTCGAGACTCAGTGATCGGTTGTATTTGGTCACATCGCCAAGCCCAGGGATCTGTATAGTCAAATTTGCTAGGGAATGAAAGGAGCCGTAGCCATTTGTATCACCATGCAGCAATGTGTCATCTGTAATTGTGTGTTCATCAGTATATTTAAATCGACTGCAAATTATGTTGTCTTACTCCCCGTTCCCTGCCTCCAAATATCGGAGCGGATTTTATTCAAGGTTTCGACCAAACTAGAATTTGGATTGCCTCCTCGATATCCCTTTTGATAAGGTTGTCAATACGAAAAGAAAAAGACAGTAACGAGATGCCCTACATCAACTTCAAAAGGTCCCCCCTCCCACAGTCCATCGTAATTTAGATTGAGTTTTTCAGTTCCCGCTTCTCCGAAAGGCATTGCTTGTTAAATTTCAATGTGAATCAATAGTCCAGACATGGCTTGGATTAAGGGCAATATTTTACCTCCTAGCTTTCCATTTCCAATTGCAAAAGCTTCATTGGTCACATCCCACGATGCCGCTTTCGACGACCACAACGAGACCGCCGTACTAGAAGCGCAGCAGCTTAACAATAGATAAAGCCGCATGATAGAGATTTTTGGTTATTTTGGGGCATTTGACTTTCAAATAATGCAGTAATACTAGAATGATGAAGATTTATACTAAAATCGGTAGCAGGCTCTTTAAGCATCTTTTTGAGAAGCCAAAGATCGTCAGTTTCTTGTTTCATCGGACCGTTCAATTCCAGGCCGTATTCCCCGCACCATGGAGTTGCATTGAAGTCTTTCGGTTAATTTGAATGAAAGCAGTAGTGATACATGCACACCGAATAAGACAGGGGTCTTGCGTTTAATTTTCCGACGGATAAAACCAAATACTACGTCACCCTCAGGACAAAATTATGCTATTTTCCGACATACTGGGACTTATGAGATATACCCTGGTGGCTTTTGGGGCTGTGATGTAGCCTGACGCATTGTCTTCGGTTGATTTGACCCCTCCATGGTCTTCTGCTATAGATTTGGCATTCCTGGAGTTTTGAACCAAGTCTTTTTTCTATCCTTATACACACTGAGATATAGGTTGACCTTTATTGACGGTAAATTTCCATTCTATCTTATGTCCTAGTAGAACAGCACCGGGAAGCGCCGAGATGCGATAACGACCTGTGAACACCCAAAGCAAGTGAGTCAATGTCCATATAACGCAATTCTGCATGTAATTGAGCGTAAATCTTTGTTATTTCCTCCTAAAATGATAAGAGGAAGAAAGAAATGAGTGATCCAGTTTTTTAATCCCGGTCAAGGCAGTTCAAGGTAGTGCCACTCAGCGCGATCTGTGATATGCCATTCCTATATTTGAAAATCACAGAAGGCTCCTCTGAAGCATTTCGGCTTTTTGATTGTTTTCCATGAATAATACTGGCATATGAAGGGGAAATACGGGGTTCCCCGCAGTGGGGTATAGTTGGGCCCGGGGACCGAGGCTGGGCTTGATGGAGAGAAACATCTCACCCAACATGGCCATCCCTTCGAAGACCGAGCTATCCTATCCTTTAGAAGTCCTTTTAATAAGATAAACTGAAAGCAATTTTGGTCATTAGTCTATAAATCACTATTCATCTTTCGTATCTTCACACTTCTTGTAGATTCACAAGACTCAAAGTTTGGAGTTGTGGGGGAAGCGATCGGAGATTCACATGCTATGGCCTATTGCCGGTTAACTTTATATCCTACATAAAATATAAGAGCGCATCCTCTGAAAGAATCGATTTGCCATCGATTATAGGGTGATGGTACAAACCCTGCAGCAGAAATGTCAACTGAAATACCCCAAAAACGCAATCCTGATGACTCGATGGTGTCGACTTGGCGCCACGATCGATCCAAGTGGACAATATGGCATTGGATGATTGAACTTTTAGGACTGCACCTCATTGAATTTGACAAGGACGCACCCATATTTTCGAAGAAAGATAAGATACCTGCTGTGCGAGAATGGTCTCTTCATTTGTGGATTCTTCTACACGCTGCAGTCCCTCTTGTCATTCACCAGACCTACACGAACTATACTGGCAAGAATCTGGGTTTGATCACTGCTTTTGCGTTATATTCCACATCCTTCAAGCTCAGTGGAATACACGAAGTGCATATTATGCGACGGCTGGGGCAGGTCTACGGATTTTTGGACGGTGATAAGCATCCACGGGATGATATTCCTGATGTTGGCGTAGGAAAAGTCATGCGGGAATTAATTTCTACTTCCACCTTTCGCATGGTAATGGCTATTTTTATCGCATATCGACAAAATGAGACACCTGCATCTCTACAGTGGAGGTGGCTGCCTCTGGAGATAGGTCTCTATAGTATCACAGTTGACTTTTGGTTCTATTGGTATCACCGTCTGATGCACTCGGTTGGTCCTCTGTGGAAGTTTCACCGAAAACATCATCTGACCAAGCATCCACATCCACTACTCTCTGCATATGCCGATCACGAGCAAGAGTTTATGGATATTGCTGGCATTCCTCTTCTCGCTTATACAACCCTCAAGTTTCTATGTCTACCCATGGGATTTTACGAATGGTGGATCTGCTATCAATATATCGCCTTCTCAGAAATCATCGGACATAGTGGACTTAGAATCCATGGGGGTGCCCCTTCTACTGTGAATTGGCTATTGGAAGTTTTTGATGCAGAACTGGTGATAGAAGATCATGATCTCCACCACCGCTATGGCTGGAGAAAAAGCCATAACTACGGGAAGCAAACGCGTCTCTGGGACAGGATTTTTGGTACCTGTCATGAGCGGATTGAAAGCTTGAAAAATAACGTGGATTATTCAAACCGTGTTACAATCCCGCTATTTTGAGGGTTAGCCGACCCCGGAGAATGAGGTGAAACGACTTCGACGTGATATAGATGACCCGGAATGAACAGACAGAGCTTGTGTGATATGGGGAGTTAAGGAGAAAAAAAGAGTTGTGTAAAATCTCTTTTCTCTATCAATATTCAGAAAGATCATTACAGAGTATTTCCTTTGAAGCCGTGAATCGAGAATCACCAAATTTGCCATTCATGCACCCAATAGTTAGATAGCAAATAAAAAATAAGATCAATAAGCCCGGACTCCGATGATGCTGACCATGATGATGCTGATGCTTTAACATTTCCTCTTATGTGAAAGCATATTTCCAGGAGAATTAGAGAATATTTCCCTTGGGCCAGATGGGTGTAACCGACACGGGTCGGTACGTCATAAGTCATTTCATGGCGAGTCCTCAGGCTTTGGGGCGTAGCGCATATGACTTAACGGGCAAGAGTTTAAATTGTTTAGGGAACCCGGTCTGGATTTCGGACTTGATGATGTTCATTCCAGCGGCATCGAAAATTTGCTTGAATTTGGCATCTGTTCTTGTGACGCTGCTGTCCAAGTCGTCGTACATATCTTGGCCGCTAGGATCCGTTGAAAGATTCTCTTTGACTATCATGATGCCACTCTCCGTCAACGAAGTGCGACACCTGGTGACATATTCGATTAATTGAGAATCCGTGAGATGACCCACACACCACTGTGTCCAAATCAAATCGTATTTCTTCTCTGGGTGCCAATTCTCAAGACCAACTGTATAGATGTCTCCCACAACGCCTTCTTTTTTGAGTTTGCCATCTTTGAGGACTTGTGTGAACTTTTCAACGGGCTCGACTGCGTCAACGACTTCGCAAACGTGACTGAGAAAGCCCTCGGTAACTCGTCCCACACCTGCACCACAATCCACACCTAGGCTGAGCTTTCCATGCGACAGAGATGCAGGTAGCAGGCGACGGACTTTTGTGAGGAAATTCTTGGATCCTTGCAACTCAATACGAGTATACCATGGGTATGTCCCAAGCATGCCGAGCATGTTACTTGAGGTACTTTGGAGACTGCTCCAGTAATTGATAGAGGCAGCATGGTTGATTTTTGAATCTGGAGAGACAGCGCTATCTGCAGTTGATTCTGCTTGGACATCTGCATTTGAAGACATGGCTCAATACTTCAGCGTGTTGATAAATTCAAATATATCGAGTAAAGCCAGCGAAAAATCCCTTATCAGCGCGATCCCAATCTACGTGTGCACGTGACCATCAAATTCCCCGAGAGTGGTGTTTGCAATTGTGCGGGGCATTAAACCTATGCACGCCCCCTCGCTTTGGCACCAGCAGCCGAACAAATATCGAACGCATTATCTTGTATTGACTGTTTCAAATAAAGAAAACTTGATGTGGCATTGTTAGATTATTCAAAATTAATTGTAAATTCTTCAATAAATGATCAATAAATGAAACCATGGACAACCTGAAAGCAATATGTCTTGGGTGGGGGGTTATTTAGTTAATGTATAGGCTGAAGTAAAGCGATGCACCATTCATCATTGCATTTCCTTCGCGAGACAGGCTTCGATAACACTCTGTTGGTCTCCAGGAACAGACCAAATTTTGACGATTTTGAGAGGCGGCTCGACTCTAGCGAGCAAATCGGCCCACTGCGTCTTTGTCCGTTCCATGCCATTGCTCAAGAAAAGCATTAACATATCCATATCAGCTCGGACAAGTGATTCTTCGGTATCAGCAAGAACTATCTCATTGATAAGCAAGCGCGAATTGCTTCCCATAGCCTTTGCTGTGTTGGAGAGAATTTTCTGTGAAGCGATGTCATCCCAGTCATGAAGTACAGACTTCAGATAATAGATATCGGCCTCTGCATTTTGGTTATTATTCTGCAAGAAACGGCTCTCTTTCAATAGAAACTAACCTTTGATTATTTGATTAGTAAAGAAATCATAGGCAATTGGCTGTATCTTTCGGTCCAATGGGCCGGGGATGTTTTTGATCGTCTCTGGTAAGTCTTGAAGGATAAGTTCACAGTCAAAATCCGAAAAAGTATCGGCGAAGCGCTGCAAGTCCACCCCCTGATTTCCACCAATATCAACAATAATTGGTTTGGCAGATGATTCTCGGGCATTGAGTCGTTCTTTTATTGGAAACTTGTCGTGCCAAGGGACGGAGAGAGTTTTGTTCCGTGATGTCATACTATCATCGAATCCCTTTTTCCATTCAAAATTTTTCGCAAAGGTTTCCCAAACAGTCTCTCCCATTGCAAAATCATATGCAGGGACTGTTTGGGCAGTGTCACAGGGTTTGTTATTCCGAAGAAATTCCCGAAGCTTGGCTGCGATGGGATAGATGAGCTCATTGCTAAAGGTATAGATGTCAGATATGGTATGATTTGAGGGGCTTTGGATCCATACGACAAAACTATCCCCCCTAGCGAGCCCGGATTGCATTGACATTCTGTGATTGCATTTGCAGTATATGTTTGATAGCCAGTCTCATCAGCAAACTTGAGAGCCGTCATCATACGCATCACACGACCTTAAACGTCACTTTCACATTTCTGAAGTTAGAACAAGTCCTGCTTACTGATAAAAAGCTCATTATATCCTGATACTTTTGCTAGTTCTGTTGCAGTAACGCTCTTGCCTTTATTGTCGGACAGAATTTGAAGTAGACCCATCTCTAGAGCGGCAAGAATGCAGACATTTTCCAGAGTCTTAGAGATCAGCTTCGAATTCAAATAAAAGATTCTTCCATTTAGTGGACGGGTATCAATATACATGGAATCTTTGCTTCATGACGAAGATGTGGGGTGGCTCGATTTCTCGGCGTAGGCATTCCATGGCATTTTGGATAGGAATCCAACTTGTCGTGTCATTGGAGTTGTAGTTCCCAACTGCTTTTTGAATTTGCGCAGCAAGATCTTGCAGATATTCTTGGTTCGTCATTTTGATCAAGTGATTTATTTATGTTACTTTGAGCCAAAGAAAACTTATTCTCAAGGAAAAATTGACCGCAGCCCCCTTATATGCCTCAACAATGGACCAGCTTCAAAGTGTGATTTTCGCCCCAAAACACGCCCCCCAGCCCCAACGAGGGTTATGGCCCCCTAGCTGGATCTTTTTTCAGTTCACTTAATTTCAATGATGTCATAAATCCGGCAGTTCTCTACTCAAGACCTATTAAAGCACTGTCACCGCCCGAAGGTCAAAGTTTCAATTCGTGCTCATTTCCTAATCCGTTATTATAGCCCCCATCTAAGCAACTGATTCCAACCGCGTGATCTAATCAAAAGCAATAGGTCATATCATGGTCTTGAGATGTAAAATGATCATCGCAATAATTCCCTCATTTACACTGCACGTCCAATTTGGGCAGCGACCGTTACTTTAACTCCCAGCTTTTTCGCAGCATTCATGACCCAATCCGCTTCACGCAGAAACTGGCGCGCCATCAAGACAGCATCTGCCGCTGGGTGTGACCCCGTCAGCATCGATTCGGTTGCGATGGCTTCCGAGTCTAAATCAGCACCCTGGACAATTTGACTTGCTGCATCCGCTTCTGTGATAAACCCGACGGCACCAACTAAGGTGGTCTGTCCAGTCTCGCGGATTTCCTTTCGAATCTTTCTAGCGAGATCAATCTGGTAGTTTGTATGGGGTTCGATGACTTGATCCTTGTGGTTACCACCAGAACTGACATCAAGGAAGTCAATCCCTAGATCCGGGAGTTGCTTGGCGAGCTTGATTGAAGATGGCATATCCCAAGACTCGGGAAATTTATCCTCGAGCCATTCGGTGGCGCTGATGCGCAGGAAAAGGGGCATTCCGGTTGGAACAACAGAGCGTACGGCTGCTGCAATTTCTCGAACAATTCGTGTTCGGTTCTCAAATGATCCACCATATTTGTCTGCTCGGCGGTTGGTGACCGGACTTAAGAACTGGGAGATCAAATAACCATGAGCTCCGTGGATTTCAATAACGTCGACGCCAGCTTGCACGGATAATTCAGCACTCTTTGCAAATGCCCTGACCACGTCTTCAACTTCCGTGGTACTGAGTTCTCTTGGCTCCCAATATCCATCGGCACTCCAAATGTGCCCTTCTCCACCAGAGGGTCCAACGACATTGTCTGGCCAGCCTCCAGCACTTTTTTCAGCCCGAATGCTCCGCTTGCCCGCCTGCATAGCGATCCACGGCGCCGAGGTGCTAGCCTTGCGGCCTGCATGAGCTAGCTGAATAGCAACTGTGGCACCTTGACTGTGCAAGAAATCAACGATACGTTTAAGTCCTTTGAATTGCTCAGATTCAGTTCCATCTTGCCAGAGGCCCGAATCATTGGGCGAAATGCGGCCATTCGCCTGGACAGCAGTCGCCTCAATCATAATCAACCCAGCACCTTTTAGCGCGAGGTTCCCAAGATGTGCAATGTGATAATCTGTCAAAGCCCCAACTGTGGGCGATAACGGGTTGGGATCGGTCGAGTACATACACATCGGCGCAACCATGACGCGATTCTTCAGGGTGACATCTCGGATTTTCAATGGGCGAAAGAGGGTAGGGGTTTCGGCATTAAGATTGATCGCAGCACCGCCATTGTTCGCAGGTGTGAAATAGGGTATGCCGTCGTATTGGACGACTTTAGGAGCATCAATATTGACCGAGCTCATATTGGGAAGCGGGAAATGGAAGTCTGTGGAGGTATAAGACAAAAAAAGCACAAGAAGAAGCTTGAGTGCACTTGGCGTGGAATTGATGAACCTCTGCAATTTTTAACTGTCAATACAGCACGGTGCTCTTTAAATTGAGAGAAATGTGGCTCCTAAGAGTGATTACAAATAGACCCTGAAAGGAGTCCCACCGGTTTGGATAAGAACGGCAGGTAAATTTGTGGCCTGAATTCTGGGGCATAAAGTCGGCCAAATAGCCCATCCCGAGAACGCAGTTCAGTGGGCGCCCACTGAGAGCTCAGTAGGCCGCGCTAAAATAGTTAGGTAGGCTGTGCACCCAAAAACCTATCAAAAACCACGTGATCTTTGAAATGTTTCGTAACCAGGGAAATTATCGTCTGAATTGAAATGTTTGTATTTATAAATTTCGTACCCGAAACCACCTTCCCTTGTATACCTTTATCTTCTCCTTAGCAATTCACTAAGATCCCGATAGACGACTAATCTAGCTAGTATAAATACCAGCTTTCGAGAATTAGAGACCTTATTTATATAAGACCGATCTCCTAGGTAATTGAATTATTAGAAGCTAATAATTTATACTACCTCCACGATCGCAACCTCTCCTATGTAAGTATATATATCTTTACTACCTACCTATACTTTATTTCTAAAATACTAGTGAAAAACTAGTAACCTATTTAAAGTGCTAATTTCTATTAGATTACTTATTACCCGCTTATAGGGCTTATTTTAAAGCCCTCGATAAGGAGGAACTTTTTATATCTAAGGTAGAGCAAATGCCCTTAAGTATGAGGACTTAGATATTTAAAAATATTAGTTATAATAGGTTAGTGTAATAAAACGGCGTAAGTACGGGTTCTCTGAGAGGTAGGGGGTGAAAGAAGCTACGTTCGGTTCTGTAAGATCTTAGCAGAAAACTTACTTGTAGTGAGCCTCAGGCATACATTCCAGTGCGGCGCCTACCCACCTCTCAGTGGGCGCCCACTGAACTGTAGTCTCGCCGATCCCTCGGGAAGAAATTGCGAAGTTTACCTCCGTTTGAAATTGTCCAGGAATCAGATTCACCGAGCTCTTTTCCGTCAAAAATGACATTCTCGATATTCAGATTCATAACGACGCCACTGACGACCACGTTCAGATAATCATCATTTCCTTCAGCTAGCCAAGGCGGATTATCATCGTGCCAAAATTGTTTCCTCCGCGAACAATCGCGATCTATTGACACTACAATGAGAATGTGAATGGTATTCTTGATAGAGTGATTCCGCGGTCCATTTGTAATATAGAGAAGCTTTCATTTTGATTTGTTCACCTTAGCTTTTTTCTTTTCTGATGTCATGTAATCGCAGATAATTAATCTCATTTCCACTCCCTATATCGCGCACGTCAGTGCACAAAATGTCCATTCATTTGAGACATTTCTCTCGTCAAGGTCAGTTTGACGGTTTTTCCAATAAATAGCCTTTATTAGTTACAGTCAAAAGCTTGAGAGAGTTTGACCGTCAATGTATCGGCTTACTGTTACCCAGAATATACCAAGTGTCATCCCGTGTTAACAAGAGTGGCCCACATCCCAGTTCAATCGACAAAAGCGAATCTGAAGGGACAGCGGGGGAGGATCACCCTCTTGTACTTTGAAATTCTGATTTCATGTGTTGATAAGGCAGTTACTTGGTATAACCGAGGAAACTTTTACATTTCTCTAACTTTTATAATAAAAAAACATATCCCATACCTATTATTTGAACTAGTTATTAATAATATTGATGGCTAAAATTCGAGCAAAAAGGCTTGTATCACAAGTCATACTTGATGTTTCACTATTTCAACATTCGTCAAGCAAGTATACTCAGATGCTGGTCCGTTTATAAATGCCAAGTCTATAAGCTTTCTCAATTCGTCTCTGACGGCTTGTCTCGGAATGAAATACACCGATCGTGTCTTCCTGTGATGTCCGATATTGCAGAGTATGACGCGGCCATATGATACTTGTGAGGTATTATCTACCTATAAATTTTGAATATAAAAGAGGGGAATTAGACCTCTTAGATGTTTTCATTCTAACCGAAGTAAAATATTTGTTTGGTCCTTTCAAAATGAAATTGACAGTTCTCGCACCCTTGACTGCCATTTTGGCTGTCGCTGTCAGTCAAGATCCTGAGAATCCCCAGAATATGACCCCTTGCTTGGTACGTTCTTCAGAGAAGCTATTTAAGGAAACCACTATCGTCCCGTGTGAGCTTCTAACCGTCTTTGTTGTATACAGCTCAAGTGCAATAAACAAGCTGCTAGAGAAGTTGGTTGTACCTCGTATCTTGATATAAATTGCACTTGTGCCAGCGACCCTTTCGTGATCCAGCTCAATGCCTGCCTCTCGGCTGGATGTGACGCTACCGATGTAGCTTGTATGTTCACCATATTTTAGCTCGGTGGTCCCCGAGTCATATGCCATAGCACAAATAGTGGCTAATTTACGATATACAGTGTCTAAGCAGCTACATGTAAAGATCTGTGGAGGAACACCTGTTTGAAACGACTTACCTGTCATTCTCAGCTAGCTGGAGAGGACTTTAGTGAGGGCGGACTTAGTTAGCTTTTGCACCTTGCTCTAGCTTTTACAACTAGAATATAGGGACCTGTGAAAACGACCCAGAAAATGACAAGCTTTGGCGCTAGAAACGGCCGCCTTTCCACCCGTAACTTTAGGACGGGCGAGCCGCTGCTTGACCGCCCGCCCTGTTCTGCCCATTATTCTGTACCTACCCGTGACTGTTAGTCACGCTCCTCTCGTGCTATAGACGCTCGACTTTAACGAATTCTCCACCCGTTTCTACTAGTAACTAAAACGACGCCGAAAATAGCCCCTCTCTGTATCTAAACCCGATACCTCTTCCTTATTACCTGGCCTAGCCGGGCGCCTATAAGATATAGCGTTCGCCCTCTCTTCCGGAGTCTTTTAATTAGACATCGCCAAAGCCCACACGGGCCCGATGTCATATGATATTGCAACATGAGGCTATTCCCAACTCAATGCCTCAGGTGTTAGTTCAACACCTTATCGGTCAGGCTTCGTCATGACAGCCCTACTTCTCCCTAACATGGATGCATGACCTACAAGGCCCTAAGGGTTCGGTGCCCTTCCATTAGGGATTCGTGAACCCCTCTTTCCTGTAACCTTCGCTTACCTCTATCCTATGTAGGCCACGTTAGACTGCATATTGTAATGTGATCCATCGCCTTTGCCTTAGCCATATAGGGAAGTGCCGAAGCCTATATATAAATTAAGGATTATAGAGAGATCCATGATAGCAAGAAACAGTGTTTTGCTTTCCTTACTTGACGTTTATTTTCCTACCTAGTCGACAGGCTTTCTACCCTGTACAAGTAGTTATTCTCTAACATTCCCTAACCCGCTTTGGGGTTGTTCGTTCACTCTTCCTAACCTCGTAACTGCAACCACTTACAAGATGGCTAGAAACATCGATTCCTGGCAGCGTAAGATAATTATTCAAATGATATGCAGCAAGAACAGACTCACTACGAAGCAAATAGCCAAGTTGGCGCGGTGTAGTGGGCGTTCTATCACTAATATACGAAAGAACTTGCGGTTATTCGGTAGCGCCAAATCTTCCCTAGTCTCGAACGGTCGACAACCAAGTATCGCCCCAATCATGCTTGACGTCCTCTGTGACCACTCGCCAAAAAAGCCTACCCTATACGTCGAAGAGATGGCTATCTTCCTATGGGATGAGTTCAACATTGCACATATTTGAGGAGATCAAGTTGTTGAAACACCTGAGGTATGACAACGTGTGTGGTCCGAGAAGCAATATTTGAAGGGACAAACTTGACAAAGACCAGATCACTTATCTCGTCGATATGTTTATACAGTCAACTCCCGCTTATAGCACGCCTAGAGTTAGCACACGTCTAAGTCCTGCAGAACTCGGGATCCCCCGTGATTCCCAATAATTACAGATCGCTCTGATATCTCTTTTCTTTCTTCCCTACTTTCATAATAAGAGGATAATAGATGTCATGAGTGAGCTTTATTCACAACTAAAGACGTGAACCGGGTCCGAAGTCCTAATAAGGATCCGAAATTCCTACGGGAAATCCTGTAGTATGTCGCAAACAGTTTGAGATATCCTTGCATATGCCCGATCCACGATCCCTAGGGCAGTTCTAAGCGCTGCAAGGGATCCCTAGCAAGACGCTGACCGTATCGCTGACCTGATTTGCAGTCACGATGTCGGGATATTCATCTCCATTGAGGTCAGCCACTACAACACCGGCCGGATTGGTCCCTACGGGGAATGTGGCTTGCGGCTGGAAGCTCCCGGACCCAATACCGAGCAAGACGCTCACTGAATTGCTGTTGACATTCGTAGCGACGATATCGAGGTAGCCATCTCTGTTGAAGTCACTCACTGCAACACGGGCCGGATTAGATCCCACAGGGAATGCGACCGCCGACTGGAAGCTCCCGGTGCCGGTTCCGAGCAAGACGCTTACTGAATTGCCGTTGATATTTGCAGTCACGATATCGAGAATGCCATCCTCGTTGAAGTCACCTACTGCAACATCAAGTGGCCCGAGGCTGCCCACGGGGAATGTGGCCTGCGGCTGGAAGGTTCCGGTTCCAGTCCCGAGCAACACGCTCACTGTATTGGGGCTTTGATTCGAAGTCACGATATCGAGAATTCCATCTCCGTTGAAGTCGCCTACTGCAACACCAGCCGGTCCGGGCCCCACGGGGTATGTAGCCTGCGGTAGGAAGCTCCCGGGCCCAGTCCCGAGCAAGATGCTCACTGTATTGCTGTTGACATTCGCAACCACGAGATCGCGAATGCCATCTCCATTGAAGTCGCCCACTGCAACGCCGTACGGAACAGACCCCACAGGGAATGCGACCGACGGCTGGAAGCTCCCAGTTCCAGTACCGAGCATGATGCTCACTCGATCAACACCTTGATTTGTAGTCACAATATCGAGAATGTTATCTCCGTTGAAGTCGCCTACTGCAACATCGATCGGTGTGCCCACCGTGCCGAATGTGGCCTGCACCTGGAAGCTCCCTGATCCAGTCCCGAGCAAGACGCTCACTGAATTGCTGTTGATATTCGAAGCCACGATATCGGGATTGCCATCTCCGTTGAAGTCACCCACCGCAACAGCGATCGGCCAGTCCCCCACAGCAAATGTGGTCTGCGCCTCGAACCCCTGGAAAATCGTGCATTGGCAGGTGCCTGATGAGCAAGTCGATTCAGCAGAGCACTATCGAAACGTGAGAATTGATCATGTCAGCAATCAGAACGTCGACAGAATAGCAAACCTAGAAGTGTGAAGTTAAGACCGAACTCACAGTGTTCCCACAACTTCCACAATTGCTTGGATTGTTGCTAAGGTCGACGCAGGCTCCACTGCAACAGGTCAGGCCGGACGCGCACTATCGAGCACCACTTAGTCGTTGTCACAATGTAGTCTGGGGCCGTCTTACACATTGCCCGTTACAAGAAGTAGAAGGAGGATCACAAGCTGGTGGGTTTGGGACACAAATACAGCCTCTATTTCCTATCAGCTTTCAGATGGCTCTGCAATCCCAAGATGATCAAGTGAGAGACTAACGGCGTAGATTGTCCGAGGATAAGTCCAAGCAAGCTAGGAGATCCACTCTCGTTATCGCAGTAACCTGATTGGTCACCCAAACTTCGACACTTTATTAGTTAGTATGCCAGTATTTGCAACCTCTTTGGATAACCACGAATCTTACCTTGGCGTCACAAGCGACCGGGTCACAACCACCCCCACCTCCACCTCCAACCACAATGTCCCCAATGTCACCACCCCCAGTGTCAATATTGATCCCACCACCATCCCCGTTGCCAATATTGTTACCTCCATGGGAAATCTTATCCCCACCCTTCGGCCTACCCCACTTTTCTAGATCCTCTTCTGCGGAGAGCGCAGTGACCAAAGCACCGCACAAAAGGGTAACAAGAGCAATACGCATTTTGACAAAGGTGTTTGCTTCAAACGATGAAATATTCGTCCAGAATGAATATCAGTTTGAACCCGTCGTGCTGCTCGTGGCAAAGAAAATCAATTTGTCCTGCGCTCTCAGCGGAAGCGGTTATATGTTACTGTGCTCACGGTCATTCCTTAACTAAGCTTTGTTATTATGATGAAAATGGTTGGACATCTTTCCTGGAATGTAATATTTCCTGGAATGTTAATAACTTCATTCTCTGGACGGTTTGGGATTATAGTACGCACACGAATTTCCGGCAAAATGTTCCGACAACCAGAATCCTAGTCGCCCGTGCATACTCCCGGCCCAATGTGCGTGTGGGAACCCCATCAAATTTGAGACTTTATGTTCTGATCCTCCGTTCCTAACCCATTCTCAAATGACTAGCGAATATGAAGAGACAAAGTGCGAATTAGAAAGAGACAGCGACTTTTGTTATATGAAGGACATCATAATATATCCTCACATCTTCATATTTAATCTTATAGCAGCTTCTATTCAGTGACACAGAAGAGTCTTACAAATTATGGATTGTATGAGCTGATATACGCTATTATTAGATAGACGTAATGACTAGCTATATACCTACAATCCTAGACATAGTTAGGGGCATATACAAGCTTGAGATCTATCCCTCGAAATATCATTTCGGACATTTCTACGCCAGTTGAGCAAAAGAATGTAACTTTCATCATCCGTATAGAGAAAGTGTGAGTTATTAACATCCTAGGAAAGATGTCAAATGGTAGAAAATTGAGTTGATCCGACTGTGGCTGACCCGTGGCACAATATGTGGCAGGGCTGGGGGAGTCAGGTACGAGGTTTCGGGTGTTGTTAAGGAGTAACCAGGAGTGGGGGGATACTGCCAATTTTCTTCGATTATCCGGGGTTGATCTGCATCGTCATTAAAAGAGCTGTGGGTCATGGCGAGTATGTCCAGGGCAGAGGTAACCTAGAGATGTACTCTGTAAGGGGTTAGCTAGGAATGCCTGATGCCCAATAAACACCGGAAGCCGCAACATGGCGAGAAGTAATGGTAATCACGAAACAAATCTTACTGCTAAGCCTTGCCTATCAACTTGACCGGAGATGGACACTAAAGGCAGATTCAAACCCTTTGCAGTAAAGCAATTGATGGATGGAGGAGGGAAGTTGACAGATTGCCAACGACCGCTAATTTGCTTGGTTTGCATGGAGCCTTCTAGTTATCCCTGCCTTCAGAGAACTGTATCGGTACAACTGAGATACAGAATTAGGTACTATTACTACGTATAGTCATAACTCGTAATTTATACGATTTCATACATAGTTTATCAAATCACGTGATTATTGTTTAAAATAATGTATCTTTGTTTCTAGATATGGAAGGCAATACTGTAACGGTCGGCACTGTACATTTAGTTTAATAACTCGGGGTTTAAGCACGGAAGCAGTGTTTTCGCGTTACCTTTTTGTTAGAAAATAACTACTTGTACAGGGTAGAAAGCCTGTCGACTAGGTAGGAAGATGAACGTCAAGTAAGGAAGGCAAAACACTGTTTCTTGCTATCATGGATCTCTCCATAATCCTTAATTTATATATAGACTTCAGCACTTCCCTATATAGCTAGGGCAAAGGCGATGGATCATATTACAATATGCGGTCTAATGTGGCCTACATGGGATAGAGGTAAGCGAAGGTTACAGGAAAGAGGGGTTCACGAATCCCTAATGGAAGGGCACCGAACCCTCAGGGCCTTGTAGGTTATGCATGCATGTTGGGGAGAAGTAGGGCTGTCATGACGAAGCCTGACCGATAAGGTGTTGAACTAACACCTGAGGCATTAAGTTGGGAATAGCCTCATGTTGCAATATCATATGACATCGGGCCCGTGTGGGCTTTGGCGATGTCTAATGATGTGAATCTACACGCTAATTCTGAGTACTTCAGTCGATTTCTCCAGCCTCGTCTGTGGCTTGGACCCGGTTAGACTTTGAGGTACTCTTTCCATGTTTCCAAGGGCAAAAGGCCTATCTGGCTTAACCCACTTTTTCATAGGTTGGTAGCATTTAAACTTTTTCACGATCCCCGCTCGTATTCTCGTATTCTCGTATTCTCGGATCCGCATTCTCGCACTCTCGTAATTTCGCAAAGGTATAGCACTGAGTTTTTCAAAATATCGAGAACAGAAACTTTTAGCCTGTTTAATCAGTTACTTGAGAAAAATCATCTTGAATGGAATTTATTTAAAGCCTCATCCCCTCTAGTCAGCTTCCTATACCCTTTACCACAGACATCCGTCTTCACCTCCCTGCATCGTCTACCCGACACTGCCTGTGAACTATGAGCGTTACCAACGATGAGGGCGCCATCGACTTTGTGCTCTATCGTTATACACCATCTATTCCAGCGGCAGCAGTGTTCGTAGCTATCTTCTTGTTTTTAGGCATTGTTTATACTATCCGACTCATTCAGACTCGCACCTACTATTTTGTCCCTTTCCTCGTGGGTTTACTATGTGAGCACGAATTGCCGACCTTCTCCCCTACCCCCCACCTGATCAGTTGGTTAACAATGACTTCTACTAAAATAGTTGAATGTGCTGGATATATCGCTCGCATATTTTCGCATTTTGACACCAAGGCCCTTGGGCCATATATCGTTCAAACCATGCTGATTCTGGTTGCACCGCCGTTGTTCGCTGCTTCAATCTACATGACACTGGGTAGAGTCATCGTTGCACTTGATGCCAGAAAAGCTTCAATTGTGCCAGTTCGCTTTCTCACAAAGATCTTTGTGGTGGGAGATGTCATTTCGTTTTTGCTACAATGCGGAGGTACAGTCTGAGACCAGCTTCTTTCGTCCGCTCTTATTCCTCCAGACGCTAATGCTTACCAGGTGGAGGTTACATGGCTGCCGGAACCCTCTCCGCTATGACTACGGGTGCAAATATTGTCATCAGTGGCCTTGCAATCCAGCTTCTGTTCTTCGGACTTTTCGTCATTGTATCTGCCGTCTTCCACTGGCGTGTGAGGATGCAGTCGGAATACAAACCTGTTTCATCTCCACATGGTCAAGGACTACAAAAATCCTTGGAACCCATCATGTGGGCGCTCTATGTTGCATGTATCCTGATTTTGGTGCGGTCCATCTTTCGAGTGATAGAATTCGCTGAGGGGAATGATGGTTTTGTCATGAAAAACGAATATTTTTTGTATGTTTTTGACGCTTGCCTCATGGCATTGGCAGGAATTACATTAGCCGTGGTCTACCCCGGCTCATTCTTGACTAAAGAGGGAAGCAAAAGGGACAGTGATCTTCAACTCATGTCATCGGAGGAGACTTACCACCAAGCAGGGACTTATCCAAGTGTATAGGAATAGATATGACTAGGAGACATAGACAATTGACATAAGAGGACATCCACGAGTATTCACACGACTCTCTATACTATCATTCGCTAGCGTAAATGTTTTTTTCTTGACTTATTTTTCAAATAAAGTAAAAAATTTTGTTGATTTCTATTTTTAGAACTAAAAAGAAGCTGACCCCTTCGAAAAAGGTCCTAGCTTGAGTGGAATATTTGACGCGGAAATCGAAAGAAGGAGGTGGCCATCGGGACGCAGCCGCTCGGAAACTTTCAATCGTCCACACCTCGTCGCCTCCCATGAAAACTCCTAGGACGGTATACCGCCATGCAAAAAAATGACTTTGCATAATCAACTGCGACTCGTACAGTCTAGGACTTGCTGAAATGTCAACACCTGCTCAGAGTTACACAAATCCCTCGATATCGAGCGGAAGGCGGCGGATTGGTCCGAAACAACGAATTAGTCACACCAAATCGAGAAAGGGCTGCTACACCTGCAAACATCGTCGAGTGAAGGTATCGCGACCGAAATAAAAGCATTTTTTAAAAATAGAAGCCGGCTAAATCTGTCCCAGTGCGATGAAGGGCGGCCGAAGTGCGGTGCCTGCGCCATCCGAAACGATGAATGCGTCTTCCCAAATCTCCCGGTCACACGTGACCAGCCTCAGAGACGGACTGGTCTTGAACGAGACGAACGAGCCGTTGAGGTAAACCAAAATGGGGCGCAAAGGGATGCTCAGAGTGTCTCTTTTTGGCACTCTCAGTTCAACTTGAGTCTGGGTGACTCTTCTTCCGGCATTGCTGCTCAACGACAGGGTCTTAACATGCATGATTTGATACTGTTGCAACACTATTTCCTGCATACCTCGAAACGAATGAGTTTACAGCCCAGCAAAACCTTGATTTGGGAACGGGTAATCCCAGAAATGGCAGCTAGCAACGAGTTCTTGATGCATCTCGTGCTTGCCTTGGCTGGCTTGGAACTTTTAACAGCTGAGAATCCTGATGAGATAAGAGCCAAAGAGCCTTTCGGATACTTTCCCAAACCTAATGGGACGCCTGGAGAGGATATAACCCTCTATTCATCTAGACTCCATATCGTGCTTGAGCATCATCAACAAGGCTTGAAAGGATTGCAAGAGGAGCTAAGTTCTAGTGATTCGAATGCAGAAGTTCTGGTAGCTGGGGCCATGTTGATCGTAGGCTTCGCATTCGCATCTCTTCGAGTGAGGGACCTAGACTCTTTCTTTCAATCGAGCCATGCCTCCCCAGCTACAGAGAATACATCACCTGGCATTGCAGGTGGTCTTGAAGCCCCTCAAGTACAATGGTTGCGTCTGGTACGCGGTCTGACCGCGATAATGGATCAAAATTGGCATTCTTTACGAAGAAGCCGGATCAGGTCACTGCTCATTTTCAACAATGCCAATGATGATTGGAAGATTTTTGAATCAGAGCTGCGCTCCACTACCCCCCTTGGCGATATACGATCGAAAAGAGTTTCAACTTTTGCGATGGGTGCTTTTCAAGCTATTTCCGACCTACGGGAGTTCTACGCTGTTCTGAAGGGAAAGCACCACACTGGGACTAGCCTACAAGCCAGTTCGACACCAATCGCATCTCCAAGCTCACCTCACTTAATAAATCAAAGTGCCGACCACCTTCTGGAGTCGTGTGATGAGGCAATAAATGTGACTGATACTATCTACATGCGTATTCTGCATGTTTTGCAGATGGGGAAGATTGAGTCACAGCCGTCATCGAGTCTAGAGCTTCAAACTGAGATTGAAGATGCAGCTGTTTCATCATGGGCTCGTCTTCTTCCTGACGCCTTTGTCTCTTCTTTGGATGTGAACGGGAGTTTGACAAAATTGCAGGGGCTCTGTATGGCCATTCTTGCTCATCTGTATTTGACGATCGCCATTCTCGAAGATATTTGGTATTTTGGCAGGAGCTGCGACTTTGAGATACAAAAAATCAACGCGTTGGTGGCTGAACTGGGGAACGATAAGCTTACTGCGTTGCTGGTGTGGCCAATGAAGGTGATCGAACATTGACTGAACCAGCTAAACAGGGCGCTCGGCCATCTAGTTTCTGAGCAACATCGATGCATTTAACCCATTTCGATCATTGGACTCCCAGATTATTTTGGTAGCCTACTTGGTCCTAGTTGGCCCAACTTTGGCGGTCATTAGAAGTAGATTTCCGCTCCTGGCATGAAGTTTGTTTTACCATTCCTCCCAATCACCACTAGGGCACAGGAACATTGAACGAATAAAGGCCTTGAAATTCACCTTAGGTATTTGATATTTTGGTCTGCCATTGATTGCCTGTTCACCAAAGCCGAGGCACGTACAGCCACTGATGCCCAGATACTGGCTGTTTCGATCGACCTCGATGATCTTTCTTTGGTTGGCATAACAACATTGTGCCATGCCCTGATATCTGGGTTTATGGGAAGACAGGTCTTGGAATTCATCCACCCTGGTCCCAATCTAAAGAACAAGCGATCGCAACTTTGATTATTTTAATTTTTGAAATGGAATCCCTTCACCTCAAAGGTTAGCAACGTCAGTGTTGAAAAAAAGCCGAATTCGTAGATTATATGATGCATGAACTAAATCGAATATCAAATATAATTGTATGATATCTGGCAACCCCTGTCTAAAGCCTAAGGCTAGAACCCTCTTGATCATTTTCTTGAACTCCTTACCGGATGAAGAAATGTATGCACTCCTCTAGTTCCCTCTAATTGTGCCTATTGCTGAAAAGTTTGCCGTGATATTCATGAACTCTTGCTGACCACAGACGGTTAGACACTCCATCATCTGAATATATGATCGGAGTATCGTACCTGTGCAAATTTACTCGGCACAGCTTTCATCTGTCGACAGGCATTTCCGGAAGACTCATGAAAGATGCCATAGAGTCGGATAAACCAGAGAAAGATGTCGGGTTTGTGTTTCATTTAATATTGCTCAGCTCATTCAAGCTACACACTATGCCTAATATCCTCCTTCTAGATGCGACTATATTTTAGACGTGGGGGTTGGATCTCCTGGTGACCAACAATATAGTAATTACAGAAAATCGCAATACTATCGAAGTTACATGTAATGCAAACTATATAAATCACACATGGCCACCTCACCACAAACCAGACAGAACAAGTATTAATAAGTGGAAAAAGGAAAGAAAGAATAGACATAATAGGGAAAGAAACATGACTGACCGGGTCATCGGATGCACAATCATGTCTTGCCCCATAAGCTCACCCCACTCTGAGCCCCTAACACCCCCAAAGCCGTAGCTGCTTAGCGGTGAATCCATGGATCCACCCCGGTGTCATACGCTGGCGGATCCAATTTTTCTTCTCCCAGCGCAGGCATAATAATATAATCCAACCCCCCTTCACACGCTCGTCTCGCTTTGCTATTCTTCAAACTACCGCGTGTGTCAATATCCCCAGGCTCCCCCTCATGACGACTTTATAGAGTGGGCGCCCCTCAAGACACGACGATTCGAACCAACTCTCCAATTTTCACCTCCCCCGCATAAACCACCGAGACCCTCCAATGTCTCCTCACTCATCATCCCTGTCCGCTGCTCCACCGACCCCCAAAATTTCCAATAACGACAGCCAGATCACCGGCCACGACGATCACCCTGACGCACCCTTGCCAGCCGGCCCATACTGCTATCGCGATGACCCGGACGCCGAGCCGGACTCGGAGCGGGATGACCTAACCCCATACGAGCCGCGGCCAATTGAGGACGATGGCGCGGCACTTGAAGCGTCTCGGCCACGGAGCGCGTGGCGGGCGCAGGCGCGGGTGTTCTGGCTGCGCAACAAGGGCATGTTCCTCGTGCTGCTGGCGCAGATGTTCGGGGCCAGTATGAATGTGATGACGCAAGTGCTGGAGATTCATAGCTCGATGCACCCCTTCCAGGTATGGCTCCAACTCTCATTGTGACCTGCACTCGAGCAAGTCGGGCGTTCGAGTTGATATGGGAGATTGTCTTTGCATGGATGGAAGGCGGTTGGGATCTAGATACGGGATTCCTGAAGGCGGAGATCTAGAATCTATAACGTGTCTGATTCTACGTCTTACATCTATGTGGTGCTATTCTCGATGTCCATATTATTCTCTCTCTCCCTCTCGCCGCAGCAACACTTTTCCGCGCGGAGACAACCCAACTCTTGAGCTAACCACTTATGCAGATCCTGTTCGCTCGGATGTCTATCACCGCCGTCGCCAGCTATCTCTACATGTGGTACGCGCGCGTGCCCGCCCCCTTCGGCACTCGGCCTGTGATCTGGCTGCTTCTGATCCGCGCTACGTGTGGTTTCATGGGCGTGTATGGACTGTATTACTCAGTGCAGTACCTGGAGCTGTCGGAGGCGACAGTGATCACGTTCCTGGCCCCGATCCTGACCTGCTACGCGTGCTCTCTGCTGATTCCCGGCGAGACGTTCTCGCGGCGGCAGCAGCTGGCGGCGCTGGTGTCGCTGGCCGGCGTCGTGCTCATTGCGCGGCCGTTCTCGACGCGCGCTCCCAGAAACTCGAGCCCGGGCTCTGGTCCAGGGGCTGGCGACAGCGCTGGCACTGGGGATGAAAGCCCCGACGCGGCGGATTCGTACCACCACTTGCTGGCGACGGTGGTCGCGTTCGTGGGGGTGCTCGGCGCGGCGGGCGCGTATACGTCGATCCGGATGATTGGGCGGCGGGCGCACCCGTTGGTATCGGTGACCTACTTCTCGAGTGTGACAACGGTGATCTCGTTCGTGGCGATGCTGCTGCCGTGGATACCGTTCCGGCTGCCGGCGACGGGGCTGGAATGGACGTTGTTGACGGGGCTGGGCGTATGCGGATTCTTGCTGCAGTTCCTATTGACGGCGGGCCTGAGCTATGTGCCGCCGGCGTGGGTGGGCAGCGTCAAGGCGGGCCAGGGGTCGCGGGCGACATCGATGGTGTATACGCAGATGCTGTTTGCGCTGTTCTACGACAAGGTGGTCTGGGGCAGCACGCTGTCGCCCGTGAGTTGGGCGGGGTCCGGACTGATCCTGGCATGTGCAGTGTATGTGGCGCTGGTGCAGGAGGGTCGATCGGAGCCCAAGGTGGTAGGCGCTGAAGAAGATCATCCGCGGTTCAAGGACGGGAATGATGAGGAGGCAGCAACTCCAGCTGCACGAGGATGAGACAAGAGGGAAGACAAGGGGAAGGCGGAGATCCCGCAGCCTGCAGCTCTCTTTTGGCGAGCTTCGAAGATATGGTTGGGTCAACGGGGGATCCGTGCTGCCCATGATGTGATGTGCTGCATTGAGTTTGGGCGTTTTGGGCCGAAAAAACTAGACCTTTTGCATAGACCGGGATCCATGAGGCACATGAATAAGTAGCATGAGAAACATGAACCAAGATGAATCACACGTGAATCCAAAAGATCAACTGATCAACCGATCAAGAGACCCAGACTGATGACTCCGATGACCCTGATGACTCCCCCTTAACCAGCCCTTACTATGAAACCAACTCCGGACCAACACCGAAGCCATTCCTCGATCCTCTTCTGTTCGTCTCTTCTGCCTGGACTAATCCGGAGTACTCTGCTCCATCATCGGCTCTATGCCGCATCCATCCACCGCCATCGACATCCCGCGACGTCATAGGGTTACAGCGTCCGAGGCCCGCCCCGGGATCGCCCGAGGCTTGCGATTGGCGCCATTCAAAGCTCGCTGCAATTGAGCTAGTGGATAAGACAGCCACTTCCAGCGAATCCCAGTGCGTAGAGAAAGGTACCCGGTGGCTTGCATTGGAGGCATGGCGGCGTAGGAGGAAGGCAAAAGATGTGGATCAATAGAGAAATGGAGGATCAGTTCGGGTCGTGGTATTCAGCATTTCCATAAAAGCCCAATGCTGCCCCGGGTTTTAGGTGGGTTTCTGTGCCCCGGATTTTCGGGGGTTTTGTGGTTCTCGACCGACGATCCTGTTATATTATCCTAGTTCCGAGATCCCATATCCTATACCCCATGTCCTATATGCTCTGATCGCATCTCCTCTCCCGGCCTCTCGAATCGATTTCCTTGTCTTCCAACAGATCCTAGGGAAACCACCCCTTCCATACGTGGGCCTTAACGAACTATAAAAGAAAGAACGCCCTAATATATACGCGTCGCCCGAGCCCAGGGTCTGGTATCGGCCGAATTGCCTCCCCGGACTATACGTGCGCCCATTATACCTTTATACATGACTCCCACCCCCGACCCTATCGTGACTATATACTCGGTCCCCCAGTCCCACCAGAACACCGGCATAAAAGTATCAATCGAATAAAAATAAATAAAATCCAAATCGTCAGAACCCTCGATCGACCTCCTATAGACCACCATGCGCCACTTCGACGCCTGGGTCATCCGCGACCCCTACTCCATCTGGCACTACTACACCACCGGCCGCCGGTGGCAGGACACCGTCCGCGAGCTCATCCATGACCGCAAGATCTGCTCCCCGTCATCGCCCTCCTCGTCGAGCTCGCCTTCCCCGCAGCCCCCACTCAATGCCCCGGACTCCGCATCCTTGCCCCCCCCAACTCCCCCCAATCCACCCCCAACGCCAATGTAGTCTACTCAGCCGGCTGCCCCCGAGATCCGCCACATGATCTGGGAATACGTCTTCGGCGCCGACACCCTGCACCTCGTGCAGATCAAAGACAAAGTGCGCCACGTCCGCTGCACATCCGCAACCTCCTCTCTCACCCACCACCGCCACTGCTGCCCGCTCACCCCAGCCCGCTGGCGCGTTTATGACGGCCGCGTCCCCGGCCACTCCGATCGCTTGCTATACCCGCACACGCACGCCGAGCTTCCCCGCAACCTGAGCAATAGCCACACGGCGCTCCTGCGCACCAGCCGGCTGATTCATGCCGAAGCGGCGCACCTGCTGTACGCGAACTCGACCTTCGATGTCGACGACTTGTACACCTTCATTGCGTTTGCGGGTCAGCTGCCGCCTGCCGCGCTCGCCGCGATCCGCGCTGTCACGGTGCAGTGGATGCCAGTGTGGGCGCCGCTGGCGGGGCAGGCGCACGCGGGCTCGATCTACGGGCACACACACAGCGACGCGCTGTGGACCCAGTTCTGGGGCGTACTAGCCGCGTTGCCGGGGCTGGAGACGCTGGCACTGAGCATTGACTTGGGCCGGTTTACGGGGACGGTGAGCGGGGGCGGGGCGATCGTCGTCAGCGGGCAGCGCGTGCCGCTGGTCCTGACGGAGCCGTGGCTGCTGCCGCTGCTGAACGTGCGCGGGTTGAAGGGGTTCGAGCTGGCGGTGACGGCGCGGTGCGATGCCGCGGCCAAGGGGGTGATCGAGGGGGGATTGTGTCGGGATGCGGTGGTGTTAAGGGATCAGTTGAGGGCGGTGATGTGTGCGCCGAAGGGGACGCCCTTGGCGGAAATCAAGGAGTTGGGGCTGGACCAGGTGGTCTTGGCGGTCTTGGAGGAATGGAGGGAGGAGGAGGAGAAGGAATTGGCCAGGAGGAGTGGGCCACGGTTGATGATTACGGCGGCGTGAGCGGAGCGGAGCGGAGGGTTGGAAAGGGTTTTCCTTAGGGGATGATGGGGATCTTGATTGCTCTTTCCTGGATACCCCCCTCCGCACCTCCGCTTCTTTTCTTATTTGATACCCAAATATGTCTTTTTTTCGTTTCTTTCCTTTCAATTTGGTTTGGTTTGGTCTCGCTTTTGTATGTTGCATTGGCAATACGCGTTGGATATACCGGCACACATCTCATTCTAGAGATAGAGCAAAGAGAAGACGATAGACAGGTCTCCATTACAGAGGCCTACGATTTACAATACTACGGTTTTTTTTTTTTAAAAAAAAAATCATCGAGCACATCCCTATTGATGAAATAAGATAGGACTCTTAAGATCCAGGGTACACAATTTCTTCGTATACCAACTGTGTGAATTCAAATGTCCTGCAAGCAACCCGAGAGATGGCAACCCGAAAAACCTCGTAAGCCAGGGTAATCTATATAGTAGTCTCAGTAACCGAGGGCCAACAGCCAACAACCAGAGCCAGAACCAGAGCCAGAATGAAATCCGTCATTTTTTTTCTTTTTCAATCCTGAGCCATGTCATCCACTCCATATTCCATATGTCCCCCCGCTATTTGTTTGAAGACACGGCCAGGGTGGACTGTTGATCATACTCATAAAAGTTTCTAAAAGACAGACTTTCAGAAAAGAAAAAGACAACATTGTCGGCACCATAACCAAGAGGTTGAATGGGTGAAACAGGGCAGTGTGGTATGAAGGACACCAGGTTGCAGCGAGAACCAATGAAGAAATTGTGATCAAGCACAGACAACTTAGGCGACTGGGAAGAATGACATAGACGAAGGGGAAGAAGATGTGGGAGGAAAAGGGGGAAATCGGAGGGGTAAGGGCGTAAGAGAGGAGAACCCGGGGATTTCAATTTGCGAGAGTATTAAGGGAGACAGGCCTTGCCCTCATCGTCGACGGGCCAGGCTCGACTGAGGTAGCCAGGGTTTTAACAATCACAACAACAACAAAAAAAAAGACAACACCAAGCGCCGGACAAAAGAAAAAGAAACCGCCAGCAATTTAAGAAAGCGAGGAATAAGATATGGAAGGGGAAAATAACACAGCCAAAGAAGTATAAGACACGAACCGAATGCAAGAGAATGGGTGTTGGGGGAGGTACAATGCAAAGTCAATTCCGAATCCAATTTCCAAGTCGATGCCAAGTTAGGTCTCTGTCTGCTGAGGGACAGGACTGGGTAGGTAGAGCGAATAGACATAAAGCCGTAAATGGGAGACACTCTATTGGGATACACCCTTACCGGCACGGCCACGAAGCTCTTCGTTATCATCGAAGCCATTGGTGGGCTCCGACTCGGGCTCCTCGTCGGTAGGCGAGTGCGGGTGGCTCAAGGGTTCCTGGAGAGACAGGCGACTGCGGGCCATCTGGAAAGGAACACACGGGTTAGCATTGTGTTGTATTGAAATCTTGCCCCTCGATTGGAACTCTCCATATAGGATAATCGAATACGAGGACAGGAAGGTAGGAGAGCAGAAAACTTACCCATGCCCGTACACCACCAATCAATCCCAAACTGTAACCTGTCGCAAAATCCTCGTTCCGGCCAACTCCTGGGCTGTCCGGTCGGTTGAGTGCCTCGACGCGCGAGAGGTGAGATTTGCTGCCACCAGTCGGGCTGGCGAGGGGACCGCGAGCGCTGCCGTAGTCCACGCTGTTGCGAGCACTAGGGGCTGGGCTGCCGGGCCGGCTATTCTGCCAGATCTGACGCAGTTCACGGCCAAGCTCTTGACCGGTCATAGTCCAGTTGTTGCGAATATTGTCGCGGAGCTCGACGACGTGGCGCTTGATTTCAAGCTCGTTCTTCTTCAGCCATGACACGTTGAGTTCCTGGCGAGAAGCACCGCGCTTGAATTGACGAGAAATATACTGATCATAATCACGGACAATGCTATAATAATGTAGAAATGGATAGTCAGTTCAAGATCTTTTGATGATATCGGGGCCAATGGGAAGATTTGTCCTACCGTGTAATGATACCGGTGGTGCTGACACCCTCAGTCCGCTGAGTGACCAAGAACTTGCCCTGGGCCTTGATCGGCGCGTAGATATCATCGCCTTCAGCCGCCTGGTACGGGAGGTCGTCGTGGGCGACGTAGTCAATCTGATGTTCGGCGAGGAACTCTGGGGTTACGATCCAGGGACAGTTGGGAATGACCTCATCGACCCATTTGCAATGGCGGATAGTTTCAGCACGTTCGGCGCCGCTGAGAACGGTCAGACCTTTGCGCGTATGGGTCTCTTCGTCGCCTGTTACTCCGACAATCAGGAAGACTTCTGGGAAGGCCTTCTTGGCTTGTTCGAGCTGTCTCATGTGGCTAGGTGGCATCAGCAACTAATCCGCTTCGGAAATCCCATATCGAGCCAAGCACAAATCCAATATGAGATTTATAGGCAAAGAAACACATACCCCAGATGAAACAGATCAAACACTCCATCCGCATACACCCGCACCGGCCGTCCTGTTGGCGGAGGGTTCGTGTGGTATCCCACCGGGTCCTGCAACCCACCGCGCTGCGGCGGAGAAATAGCTTTCTGGTCCTCAACCGGGAGGTTGATGTGCAGAGCAGGGCTCCTCCGGGGTCGGTTTTCGATATCACTGCTGGCGATGGTGGTCTCTGATGGCTCGCCCGGGTCCTCCTTGTGAATCGTGGCATCGGCGCCATTGGTGGTGACAGTCGAGCTGGCATCACCGGAGCTCTTGCGGGCCCGTTTCGAAGGGGGGACGGCGTCTGCTGGGGTCTGTTGCTGCTGCTGCTGCTTCTTGTGTCTGGCGGCCGGCGCGCTGACCGGGCCAGTTGAGTCCTCGCCGCCTTCTTCGCCGGACGCGTCGCGCGAAGAGGGCTGGAGCTCTGCGGTGCCGGGCTGGGCCACGGGGAGGTGGGAAGCGCTGCGTTTCCGCTTGCTGGGGGGAGAGGAGGGTGATGTCATGGTGGGTGGGAGACGACTCGAGGGGTTGAACTCGAGGTCGATGAAGGTCGGGGTTTGGAGGAGGTGAGCCGTATCCCCCGTGCGGGAGTCCCGGTTAGTTTAGGGGCGTAATTTTCTTTTTTGGCACAGAGTGGGGGCCTCCGTCGCCGTACTGGACTTGCCAAGCGGGCGGAACCTCCACGTGCCATCTATAACCGCCGGGATTTGAGATCATCGGCAGTTTTGGAATGGAGGAATGCGAATAGAGTCAAGATCGGGAGGTGAGTTTTTTTTTTTGCTGTTTTTAAAACGTTTCGCTCTTCGCCTTTTTTTTGGGTTCAGCGAGGTGGAGGGAATGACACAATGGCCATCTATACGAACGAACCACTCTGCCCTTCTACGCGTCGACTCTTCTATCTTTCTGCCTCCCTACATATCGCGCAGAAGTAAAGAGAGAGAATTCCCCAAATCGCATTGCTAGACGTGCTGTGTGTCTATCGCAACTAGACATGGCAACTCACAGGTCACCCCATCTCCCGGAACTCCACTGCTGAAAAGACCAAACAGATGTCTACCAGTGCGCTCCTCGACAAAACGGAGATTCATCGCAAACCTGTACCGGACACGGAATAGGGCTGGTGCAGAAGGGATCGGGGAAAAGAAAGACTAAGCCCTCATCTTCGTTTCCCCCCCCCCCCCCCCTCTGTTTGAGATCTGGTCTCCTATTGAACTGGTCACTCGTGCGTATTCTACCGGGGGACAGCGCGGGCGAGAGGGCGTTGACGGTGTGGCTGCGTATATCTTGTGCCGTCCAAAGCCATCCAGGGACCAGTCCGACGGCACCAGAACCGAATGACCGTGCAGGATAAGAGAGGGAGCAAAGAAAAAAATAGGATCAGAAGAGAATAAGGTAGGACGGGGGGAAGAAAGAAAGCAGCGTGGAAGTTGTAATGGTTCGTCAATAGCGGGGCATTTTCTGCGGTATCTCGTGTGTGGTGTCAAGGCATAAAAAAAGACGTGCTCATGAAGGCCCAGTGCGCCCGGCAGAGGGGCCTCCCTCATCCTCCCTTTCCCATGGATCGACCCCAGTATCTCTTCATATCCAATGCCCCATGCTCGCGTCCCTCAATGCTCGCCTTTCCCCTCACGCTTTCGTCTGTTTCCATTCCACTACTCTGACAAGCATTCCCAGCCCCCCGTGCAAAGAGAGTACAGTACGGACTCAGAGAGACAGGACCCGAAGATAACGAAGAAAAGGGAAGAGGAAAACGAAGAAGGAAGAATAGAGTAAAAAAAGGGGAGGGCGAAAACGAAAAGGAATCAAGAGACGTAGATCGTAGTATCAGGGCGAGGGAGAGGAAATGGATGATGGAGAAGAGGCAGTGGATAAAAAGAAAAAGAAAAAAAAAAAAGAGAAAAAGGAAACCAGAGGTCAGTCGTAAGCCAAAACAAGAGAGAAGGGGATGGGACAATGGAATATCAAGCCAAACAAGACGGGAAGGAGGGGGCGGAGAGGGAAAAGAATCCAAGAGACTACGAGGAAGTCGACTTCTCTTTATCATCCGTAGAGGCCGGGGATTCGGATATTTGAGTCGCGCTGCCCGTCTCCTCCTGCTTGCCTTGTGGACCAGGGGTGCCTTCACGTTCATTCCGGACATCGGTGGGATGCACTTGGTTGACAAGATCCTGGTCTTCCGTCTGGTGGAATAGCTCCTCATCGTTTTGGTCGGGAATCACCTCGGTGCCATCGCCCAGCAGGATGATCCGGCCTGACCGGACACTGAACGCACGCGACCGCTCCATCTCCAAGTCATAGTCATCGGGATGATCCTCGAATTGGTTCCGGATGCCAGGGCCGCGGAATTCGGCTACGCACACACTTGACCGTCAGCAGGACGAGGGGCTTCCTTCGGGTTCCTCGTGAGACTTGCCGTACTCGGGCGGAGCACAGGGCCCGTCTCCGTTCGCAACCCGCTCTGCAACCTGGTTATACCATTCCTCCTTGGTCTTGCCGTTGAGAAGGCCGATGATGGTCATGGTCATGTTGTCACATCCGACGCCGCCGGTCTCGCTGTTGGAGGCAAGGCAGTTGTCCATCATGTTCTCACAGATCCGGTAGAGATCCTGCTTGGCCGCAATTCCTCTCCGCACAAACTCCACCACTGCCTGGGAGGACTGGCAATCCCAGATGCCTGCAAAATGAACAGTCCTGCAGTCAGCATATAATCTAGTCACTCGAAATCGAGACTGAGCATCCAAGTATAGATAAAACATACCGTCGCAGGCAATGACCAGGAATTCATCATCGTCGGTCAGTTCATGGACAGTCACATCGGGGTATGCGGTCACGATCTGTTGCTCAGGGGACAGCTCGGGACTCTTCTTGAATTCGAAATCACCGATGGCACGGGACAGAGCAAGGTTTCCATTAACGCGGCCAAAGTCGACGAAGCCACCCGCGGCACTAATACGAGCTTTCTCGCCTGTGATGCGTGAGTTAGCAGGGATTTCTCTCACGCGAAATTTATGCGATGTGGTGGAGTGGAAATGGCACTAACCTTCGTTCTGAGGCTTGTGGTCAAAAGAAAGCGGCTTCGCGCGGCCCTTAACACCAAGGACCGATCGGGAATCACCGGCGTTTGCCTATGATACGTGTCAGTCACCTCGGGAGATTCATTCTTTGAGCTGGGTTGCTGTAGGACATACCACCCAGATCTTGTGTTTAGAGATGATGCTCGTAGAGGCGGTACAGCCAGACACTTCTTCTTCGTATTTCGGGTCTGTATTGGCATTGCGTGGTCAGGAGGGGTATGTTCCGGTAACAATGGTTTCGTTCTCTTCACGCCTCGGGGATTTTGTGCGCTTGCTCTCGCAAATCGAAATGGGCATCCACGAACCTTCCAAGATTGCCCGATCGGTAGCCAAAAATCCATCCTTCAGTGCTTGCTCAATATCGCCTTTGGCGAACGACTCTTGCTTGGACACAATCTTATGCAGGTTCTCTCCGGTGAAGAGAGCAACTTTGTCACCACCGTGACCATCGTATACACCGAAGAAAGCTAGTCTCTGGGCGGGATCGGTCGGCTTCTCATCGCTCTCACCCGTGTATTTCGCTTGAAGGTCGAGTACGGCAGCGTGGGCGTCTTCCATGCTGATTCGCCAGCCCTGCATGGCAGACACGCCATAGATGCAACACTCATCTCCACCCTCGGAAGACACCTAAATCAAAAAGAAAAAAAGCAGACCAGATTAGTGACGATTCAACAGACAGACTTGACTCGAAACCAGAAAGTCCAGGAGCCGATTGCGATGATCCGGGGCGGTCCTGAATAGCCTCCTTTCCAGCCGAGCCATCTCAACCCCTCCAGCCCGACAGGGTCAGCAGAACCCCGCATGGCTGATCAGCAGTAAGGCTGAAATCCTCGTTGCACCAACCAGGGGGCAGAAAAGAATCGATCCTTGACTGAGAGACTCCAGGTGAAGACAGCGACGGGCTGGCCGAGGCAGAGGTCGTGGCCAAGAGCCAGCGAAAGGAGACCTCGGGGGGGGAGGAGGGGACGTCACAACGTAGTGTGGGGAGGGGTAAGGGCTTTGACGGGACAAATTTGGCGGACTCACCTTCTCGACCACCGGTTCCGATAAGGTCTGACCCATAATGGCACGGATTGAATAAGTTCTGGAGGGGGAAAGGGGGAGAGTCGGGGAGGGTCAAGCACCAGATGAATGGTGAGGAGGAAGAAAGTCAGGTGAGGAAGCGCAAGCCTTTCAGCGCGTCTGTCTGGGTCCCGCGATAAGTCGCCTGCCGAGTGGGGAATCCAACGACGATCTAGGGTTCGCTCACCAGATGCTTTTATAAGAGGAGCAGAGAAGAAAAGGAGAGAAGACGACAGACACAGAAACAACAAGGAGCACACTCTAGCGATTTCGTCGTGGGGAAGATTTGGGGGGAGAGGTAATTCGCAAAGGCAGAGATTTCCCTGTAATCGAGTTACCTTACGGTTTACGGTCGTGTGCTCTATAGAGTCACCTGACTTGGGCCTCGACGGACTTGACGACTCCGATACATTTCGATTTATTGTCAACTGGACATTCCATGATCCTCGACTACAGCTTCAGAATCTCCGAGCCTGTTCCTCCGAGTCCGATCGTCATCTCCGGGATCGCCAGCATGTGTCTCTCGTCATCCCGAGCCCGCCATCGTTGCCTGGGGCCTAAATGGGAGATTGGTGGGACATGGACATGCGGCGGGTATGACTGATACGAGAGGGATGGGAGCCTCTTCCCCGCTTGGCACTGGTCGGTGAACAAGCCCTTCTGCAAGCGACGTACACGGCCCCAATCGGCCTTCGGAATAAATGCGCACTTGTTTCCAGAACCATCGCGGTCGCTAGTTGATGTGTGGTTGTAATTTGACTTTGGACCGCCCACTTTCCCCTGCACGTGCCACTTCCGGCCCTGAACGGTTGAGCGCCCGAGGCTTAATACGAAAAATAGTACAATAGAATTTGACAGATTGTCAGAGACGCCCATTACAATTCAATGAGGTAAGCAGCTCACCTCTCGTTTGAGGGAGCAGAAATTTCGGTTCTCAACATACAGGCACCCAATGGAGGGTCAAAGTACAAAACGCACAGACATAGCAACAAAGAACAAGACAAGAGGAGAAAAACACAAGTTGATGGATATCATGTTCGCCATGCCCAAAACTCCAGGAATCTTGGAAAAAAAAAGATCAATAAGAAAGCAAAATCCCAGCCGAAGCAAAGTAAATCAAATCAAATCTCAATCAGTAAGGCTCTCAAAGCGTGATAGATTAGTCCCGGAAAGCAGTCAGTTACACAAACGCGAGCTCCCCGCTACTCGCAACAGGCAGCCCACGACTGCTAATACTTTTGATCGGAGGCGGCCGTTCAAGAGACATATTCCATGATTGATCATCGGCAGCCTTGTGTGGGCTCGCCTTTCGAGAAAGGTGGTCCTCCAGGTCTGACACAATGGACGAGCTGGGCGGGATCGCAGGGTCGCCCTCCGTCCGGAGCTGGGATGGCTTTGGGTGAGATCCGGATCCAAGGTGCCGAGCACTGCTCAGGCTATTCTCACTCCAGAACCGAGGCAAGGGTGAGATCACCCCACGATAGTCCTGGGCCAAGCTCAGTTGGCTCTGGCTCCGGCCGCCGCCCTCGACAAGAGGGAAGAGGTTCGGCGGGGGCTGGAGAGTTTGGTACTGAGAGTACCGATTGTCGTCTCCGTACTCGGAAATAGACATGGCCGTGGAGTATGGACGTCCTTGAATCGACTGTCGGTATTCGTCGCTGAAGGTTGAGACTGACACAGTGTCTGCGCGACTGCGCAGGCTGCGGGCGCGCTCGAGGGCACGCATACCGGATGATGTGCGGCGACTAACTTGCGCGGAGAAGAGAGGGTTGGCGGAGTTGCGGTGTTTGGCTCGGTTCTGGACAAAAGCTTCGAGGGAGTCGGCTTCTGAAATGGTAGATTCATCCGGCTCGACCGCACGCAGAGTCATTCGTTTGGAGTTTTCGAGCATACTTTCGGCAATACTATGTCTGGCGCGTGCCGCTCCAGGCGGGGGTCGGGGGAAAAGGGGTGTGATGTTCCCCAGGTTACTGTCATCGCTCAATAAGGAGGCTTTGGTATTCTGCCAGGACATGTGGACGACGCCATGCCCTGGGGGTCCAAAGCCGCCAGCACCATGACCAGCACCGCTCAGTCGTACCGGCAATCCTGAAGCAATAGTCGAGATACCGCTGGAACGTTTCGAGTACCGCTTGGAACGAGATGACTGGACCGATTCACGCTTCATGGCGCGTGGTTGGATGGGTTTCAAAGGCTCTCGACGCGAGCGATTGCTGGTCCTGCGTCGCATGCCAGGACTGGCTGTAAAAGAAAGGCGGTTATTCTGCTTCTTCGCGGGAGTGGTCTTGATTGGCTTGTCCTCATCGATGATGGGATCCCTCAATGGGACGAAAGTACCACGTTTCGGAGATCGGGGTGGTGGATTCGGCTCCGGAATCACGCCCATGGAGTCTTCTTGCTTCTCAAATGCTACATTCCATGCTGGTCCAAGTTCAAGCTTGGGAAGATCTGAAGCGGGTGAGATTGGACTCATCCATTCGTCTGAGTTGTCATCCCGAGATGGTCTGTCACTTCCACCCGGTTGGCAATTGGGTAGATCTGGCCGAGCAGGTCGTGGCGGGGGCACTTTCGCTTGGAATTGATCACCACCTTCCTCGATGGTGGGGAGAACGTCTGCGACGCCAGCAACAGAAAAGAATGATTCCACTGAGGATCACAACCACGGGAATGACCACTGAGATCGCAATGATGCCAGCCTTTTTGTTCGAAGGGCTGGACGAACCCGAAAATGGGTCCGAGCTACCGGTAGTAGTTTCTGAAGGCTCGAGAACATCTAGTTCAAAATCTTGTGTGCTCTCCGTGGATCCTTGGTACGCCCTGAGAGGAATGTTGAACTTCTGCGGCTTGAGATCTGATGGGACGCGCCCGTAGAGAGTCTTGTTTTCCGAGTTATAAGTGAGCCAGGAAGTCAAATCCTTGTCAAGGTCGACATCAAGCTGCACGGAGTTGTCGGTTAGGATGGATTGGTTGAAAACGAAGAGCAAGTCCTCGCCAATTGTAGCTTCGCAACCCTGGACGTTTTCAAGAAAAAGTTCCAAGAACTGCAACCGCACCATGAGCTTGGCCTCATCATTATAGGTATCGGCTACACTTATCGTGATATTGTGATTCACGGCATCTTTCGGCGGAGTGCCAACCAGCGAGATTGAATCATTATCCAAGGATAACCAGTCTGGAAGCTCGGCATTGATTGCAGTGAGGTCTTTGCTCTGAATTGGCGAGCCATCCATGGATAGTAAGCTTTGAAAATCCGGGCTACTGAACTTGTCCCCTCTGGTAAGATTATAGGTTTTCACAGTCTCGTTGAAAGCCAAAATGTGTGGACCAATAACTAGCTGAAAGGTCTGGTTTACTGCGCTATATCCAGCGACATCGGAAGCCACGAGCTGGAACGTGAAAGCTTGAGATCCCGACCCAGGGAAAGCCGGGCTGGTCCCAGAGAACTTCAATGAGGAGGGATCAAACCCGATCCAAGAGGGCAATGGAGTATTGTTCGGCGAGGTCCCGTAGTATATCGTAGAAGGGTGGGTGTTATGAAAAGTATCCGGATCGAAGGAAATTGAGAACGGTCGCCCTGGATGCATGAAAAGAGTCGCTGGGTATGAAACAGGTCCCAATGTTTGTAACTGCGATACTAGCGAGGTCCCTTCTGTTGGTCCCTGGTCCGCAGTCACGATCAGGGTTACGTCCATGCTGTCGGAGTCGGAGCCATTTGAGGCAATAAGCTGAAACGTTTTTGAGCCACTATCGCTCGATTGAGGTATCCCAGAGAGCGTCCTGCTGCTGCTGTCTACCTTGAGCCATGATGGTGCTCCGGAAAGAGAGTATTTCGTGTCCGGATCAGTGTTTGCGAAAGTACCGGCAGCAAATGCAAATCGAAATGGTTGTGAGACTCGCGCAACTGGTGGCAATTGAGAATTGACGGGATAATTGGCGGCTATGGCTGCTGCATTGACTTTAAACACCCACACTAAAGCAATGAGGAGAAAGAGTGTCATGTTGGCCGAGATGATCAGAAACACGTCCAGAGGACCGTGTATAGATTGGAGATCACAGACAGCGAGCACGATCACGCTGGACCATAAGAGAAAGCCACCGGCAGTACACCAAGCGGAACTCGATCTACAGGTAGGAAATGTGAGTAGAGTGAATTGAAGAAGACAGGAAGGCAAAGATGAGGAGGTGGCTCATCGATGAGGCCGAGGAGGTGCTCCGCTCCCTGGCACTCGTGCCAGGGACAAGGAGTCATTCAAGGCGTGCCCTTTGGTAAAAGCCATGCCTGAATATGCTAGACGTCACTGAAGTATGTATCAGAGCGATAGCTGAGAATGAGAGACGCGACGCGGCTACCGTCGAGGCTCACGTTTCGAGGGACTCCGTGTCGCAAGCAAGGGATGCTCCTTTCCAGAGTCGAAGGAGCATAGGAATCGTCCAACCACAGCCATGCTTCCTTCCCCCTCGTAACATTTCCAGAGGTAGGGGCCAATAACCTTGTAAGAAAGGGAACATTTCAAAGGTTCCTTCCCCCTCCTGCATCAGGAACGCTGATGGCGCCCGTCAGACGCTCCTCGCAACCCGATTAGCCGCAAGCTGCTTCACCCGTCACGTTCTAAATCCAGAACCATTCTGATCCCAGTCCGTCCAGGGGCATAGTAGTCAGGGATCACTTCTTTCTCCTTGTATCCACACCGACAATACAGTGCTCGAGCGGGTACCCTGGCCTGGTCCACCCAGAGCTGAATGTATTGGCAGCCCTCGTTTCGCAGGCGCTCCTGAATATAGGACATGAGGAGCTGTCCGACGCCCTGGCGGCGATAGGCCTCAACTACACAGACCTTGTGCAGGAGAGCGACGCCCTTTTGGCGTACATATACGGCGTAGGCGACAACTTCCGACGGGGCCACTGGCCTTCCAGTTGTGGCAGGAGTCGTGTATAGAACTCGCGTGTTGGGCTTCTTTCTCCACAATTCCTCGGCAAAGCTGAAAGCCTCATTGGTTGGGAAGGTCTTCTTCTCAACGCGTGCAATCTGGGCAAGAATTTCCAGCGCCTGGTTCCTCTTCAAGGAATGGATGTCCGAGTGTGCCAATGTGGGGGACATTCTTGGTTCCGCGCGCCGTTGAGATCGCGATGGTCATTCCAGCCTGCCGCAGGATCAAACGAGATGTGTTCTGGAGGCGTTCATGATAAGCAAGCCCTCCTCGTTTGTGATAATTTGAGGTGGTAGGAAAGTATGGGACTGATCTACGAGCCTCGCCGAGGAAAAAACAGCTACGTGCTGCCTGAGGCCACCACCCCGACGATGCACCGATCTGTGAAATAATGGCCTCCTGGCATACCGAGGACAGTAATCAGTCTTGGTCGCTTTCTTTCATATTTAAATATCCATGTCATATAAATAGGCAAGTTGCGTTGTTCTGAATGTGATCAAGATCGAATGTCCATTGGTTTAGAGTATCTCGTATCTTGTTTTGTCGAAATCAGCCTCGCGGTGGGCTCAGGAGGACGCGGGGAGGGCGTTTCCTATTTAGCGAGCCAGATGATACTAGCAAGTTAGAGCGAGGCATAGGATCACCCAGGGTGAAGTTTGCGCCCAACAAATTTAACTGCGTAACGGCAGGGCAGAGTGTAGGGCGACGCTGTATACTTCGGCGCTGAGCAAAAGCGGCGGTACGCGGCGCTTCGAGGCAGAACCCCACAACAATCGAGACCAGCCTAGTTACGCCTCACCCACGTCCAGCTTCCCGAGTCTGCTTCCAGTCACCATCCTCCATCGATCAGCAGCTGTCTAGTTTTCTTCTTTTCAGCCACCTCGCACCATGCCGTCACAAGCGGATGACAAGCGCCAAGCTGCGCGCGAGGTCATCGACATTCTCCACGAGATCTCTACCCTCCTGGTTCGTTCGTTCAAGCTCAATAATCTCTGCCTAGCCTCCATCTCCGGCCGCGCACGCATGCAAAATTGCCGTATGAAGACTAACAGAGTACAAAGAACACTCACCTGGACCGAACAGAATTGTCGCTGTGTGTATCGTTGGTCGAGAATGGAGTTAACCCCGATGCTCTCGCGGTACGCGCCCTCTTCTCCCCACTCAGATACTCACCACGTACCAGAGATTCTGCCACAGTTGTGATAAGAGCTAATCAGCATGTAACCTGGCCGCAGACCGTGATTCAGGACCTGCGTAAAGAGACTGGTACTTCCAAACGCGGCGTGTCAAATGTGCCAGCTACTGCGGATTGATGCGGTTCGCGTTGATTATGCCGAGACTATGACGGGTTTGGGTTGATCTAGTCGAGAAGGCGTGTTGAACGGTGTCGTTATGGCGTTCATAGGTCCAGGGGACCTAATTTGATGAGAGATACCCTTGTTATGCTTATTATTTGAATTATATTATGAAGAATTCAATTCCTTGAATACACTCTCTGGAGCACGTTACTATGACTCCCTCTCGGTATCATAAACTAATCATTGCACAAGACATAAGATAGATGGGAAAAATCGCACTGGACGGGCGTTTCACGTCGGCATGGTGGAAGCACAAGCTGATAGGGATAAGAAAGGGATGTGGACTCGAGGGGGGAACAAGGCAAGGATAAGAAGGCCATCCAATGTTGGGATATGAGACGATGAATGATCGGGACTGGCTCTTTAAAAATTATTTGGACACATCCTCGGACTTCTTGTCATCCTTGGAGCCCATTTCACCAGACATCGCCTCCGCCGTAGCCTTCTTCAGTTGCTCAGTTTCCGACACAGTGGTCTGCTCTTTGGGTTTGGTATCTCTCTCGTCATCACTGTCACCAAGGCTGAAGGGGTCGGTCTCAGCCACTGGCGAAGGCTCAACAGTCGACAAAGGCTGCCACTTGCTGGACTTGCCGCTCGTTTGCACGGTGCGCTTGGCAGGGGTGGACGAATCATACAAATTGTCAATCTCGGTGGGCGGGCCATCCTGGAAGGATACTTTGCGTCGATCGGGGGACGGGGAAGAAGGGTTCTTCAAGTTGGAGTTTGCCATGGGACGGGGCGGACGGGCTGGAGGAGCTGGGATATGGCAGTGTTAGTACAGATCATCTCGGGAGTGGGAGATCAGAAATGAGTTTACCTTCGGAATCCCTCAACTCGAGCGCAGAGAAGTCATCCCCAAGCACCTGAGGGTCCGCATCATAACGCTCACGGTCACCACTGCGGCGACCGAGTTCACCGCTAGGCCTTGGGCGCCCAAATGCCGAAGTCCGTTGTTCATACTGCTGAGTGGACTGTCCCTCATCTTCCTCCTCTCCATCCAATTTCTTCTTGAGGCTGGTGACCCAGGAGTTGACCTTTGATTGGGTTTCCAGGAACCCCTTCCGTAAGTTCTCACGAATAACTGGTAGGTCATCTGCACATTATTCCACAGTCAGGTTCCAACTTGTTCAATACGCGATCAGCGGATGAGTACCATTAAAAAAGTCATATTCCTTCTCCCTCTCTTCCGACTCCTCGCTTCCTCGTGGACGGCGATATCGAGGATCATTCTCCCATCCCGGAGCAGGAGCTCGACGCCCTCCCGAATTGTAGTGCTCCGCGAGCTGGCGCGCATACAGTTCGTCGGCTTCTAATTGAGTCCGGGTGGTGGAGGTAGGCTGCTGAGAAGGGCGAGGAGGCTTGGGGGGAGGTACCATATCTTCCTGGGCAGTAGGATCGGTCATTCCTAGAACGTTTCAAAGTCAGCTGTTGTCTGGCTCAGTGTTACTCGCTCACTTACCAAGCAGAGCGTTGAATGCCCGCTCGACATTCCAATTGCTCGCATTAAGAATAGCTTTGATGACTGAAGGTTCCACGGTGGGAAACGCTTCTCTGAGAGTGTTTTCGGACTGTTCCCTTGGGCTGAGTGGCCGAGGGGGCTTTGGCGGGGCAGCCGGAGGGGCTTCAGAGTCGGTCTGCGGGGTCGATGTTGCGGCAGCGGTGTGAGCGATGGCACCGGACTCCTGTGGCTCGTCGTCAAAATCAAGGGGGCGTGCAGTAGTTGGTGATTCAGCGCGAGGGCTGTTTGGCGCATTCGGCGCAGCCGAGGGCTTGCTGGGAGTGGACTGGAGAAGTAAGCGTCAACGCTCGGCGCTGGTGATGTCGGTGAACATACAGTCTTTTCCTCCTCCGCCATTTTGAAATATGTCAAACGGTATGTATACCGAAGAAAGCGCTCGCGAGATATTTGAGGAAAAAAGGGTTGCCTGTAGGAAGACCGAAGACGGAGCAGGCAGAACACATCGGGGAAGCTCCAAACAAGTGACGTGGGGTGCACGTGATGAGCGGGTAGCTTTTATAGAGGGCCTGCATCGTCGTTGAACTTCATCGTCCAACGATGCATTGTCAATTGACATATCGGTAGAACAACACTTTAATTATGGTGCTACTCTATCCCTTGGAAGGTATCTGCTGAAATATAGAGGGTCCTCAGGGCAGGGGAGACACAACTCCCAATAGCTCTCAAGCCGCCTTTTCTGATCGCTTCGCACCATGGCTTCTGAGCTTGATTTGTCAACGAGCTTCATTCCGGCATTGTACAAGCCGGCAGCATTGCTACCCATCGCAAGACACAAGAAAAGTCTTCTTTATCTGGTTGAGACTTACCCAGTCACCATAGTTGTGGGCCAGACAGGCAGTGGAAAAACGACCCAGCTTCCACAATACCTCGATCAAGCGGGCTGGTGTGAGAATGGCAAGCTTATCGCGGTGACACAAGTAAGCAAATATTACTTCTATCTTGGCGTCTTTGATCGCTAATCTTGCATGTCTAGCCTCGGCGGGTTGCTGCCACAACAGTTGCAACCCGAGTTGCGGAGGAGATGCGCTGCAAAGTCGGCGAGGAAGTTGGGTATTCAATCCGTTTCGAGGATTTGACATCTGCTTCAACGAGAATCAAATTCCTGACAGATGGCATGCTTCTCCGAGAGGCCCTTGTTGATCCTCTTCTATCGCGGTATTCCGTGATCATGATCGACGAAGCCCATGAGAGATCTCTTAGCACCGATATTCTTCTTGGGATCGTGAAGAAAATCATGAAGAAACGTCCAGATATTCGCGTAATCATTAGCAGTGCAACCCTCCAAGCGGAGGACTTCCTACGCTTCTTCGCGGGTGACGAATTTCATCCCGATGCCGAGTCGGGTGAATTTGGTGGCAGTGTCGGTAGAATCATTAGCCTGGAAGGAAGAATGTATCCTGTCGATACATTATTCCTTGAATCGCCTGCCGAAGACTATGTCGAGAGGATGGTCAAGACTGTATTCGACATTCATACACAAGAAGCCGAGGGAGACATACTCGTTTTCCTTACTGGGAGAGAAGAGATCGATCGAGGCATTCAGTTAATATCTGAACGAGCGGCGCAGCTTCATCCCCAGGAATCCTCCCTTCTGACATTACCACTCTATGCGGGTCTTACCACGGATCAACAGATGTATGTCTTTGAACCAACACCTGAAAGTACCCGAAAGGTCATACTGTCCACCAATATTGCCGAAGCCTCGGTGACAATCGACGGTATTGTGTATGTCATAGACTGTGGCTTCGCTAAGCTCAGGGCATACAATCCTAGCACCGGTATTGAGACCCTGACCGCGGTGCCAATATCGAAAGCATCTGCTACTCAACGTGCAGGTCGTGCAGGCAGAACAAAGCCTGGAAAATGTTTTCGCTTGTACACTCAACAAACATATGAACAGCTGCCCGAGGCAACCATCCCGGAAATCCAACGCTCCAACCTCGCTCCTATCGTTATGCAGCTCAAGGCCCTTGGAATTGACAACATAGTTCGGTTTGACTTTTTGACATCGCCCCCGGCTGAACTTGTGATACGTGCTTTTGAACTTCTGTATTCCCTTGGTGCAGTGGATGACTATGCAAAGCTCACAAAGCCACTGGGAATGCGAATGGCTGAACTAGCCGTTGATCCGATGATGGCGAAGGTACTCCTTGCGGCATCTTCATTCAAATGTCTCAGCGAGATGCTTTCCATTGCAGCCATGGTGAGCCTTCAAGGGACAGTGTGGGTGCAGCATGACGGGGACAAGAAGACCGCGGAGAGCCATCGACGCAAGTTCGCTGTCGAAGAAGGTGACCATTTGACATATCTGAATGTATATCAAGCATTTGTTACGAAGGGCAAAAAAGATTCGAAATGGTGCCGGGATAATCTCCTAAATTATAGAGCTCTCCAGCGTGCGGTCAGCATCCGTGGACAACTCAAGCGATATCTCGAACGGTTCGGTATCCAGGTCGACGAAAGCCTTTCATCTCGCCAAAATGGCGCCCCAAGTCTGAGCGCGCCTCCCGAGCAGCTTCAACGATGTCTGGCAACTGGATATTTTGCGCATGCAGCAAAGATGCAGCCAGATGGTACATTTAAGACAGTCAGCGGTGGACTTACTCTACATGCTCACCCTAGCTCCTTGATGTTTGTAAGCATCCCCTTTAATTTCGTAAGCATAGTCTGTTTTATTTGCTAATCATATGGTCAATAGAACCGCAAAGCTGACTGGGTGGTCTTCCATGAAATTATGCAAACGGGCGATAAAACATACATTCGAGATATTACCAAGATCCAAAAGAGCTACCTGTTAGAATATGCGCCCGAGTACTATAAAGTCACATGAATCCACTATTTATATTCCTATACCCCAAGCCCTAAATTGTGTCGTTTGACCCTTGACTCATTCATTGTAGTAATCGCTCAACCCATCTAGCAAGTAAGCAGCACAGTCAATAATGCATTGATCATTTTATCAATTCTTCAAAATCTTCCTCTAGAGCGACTGCAAACGGACAACCAGAAGATCACCGATCACCATCCCAGTACCAAGAAACCATCTAGAAACCAGAAAAATACACATTGAACCCACAACTGGAGATAATATCCCTCCATTCACTCACCACTGGATCAGTCGTTTTCTTAGATGCTGTATTCCATGTTTTGGCCGTCAGGAGGGTGTGGTATTTAATAAATATGATTCAATTGAGAAGATGAGAGTATGCTCGCTAGTACTGAACAGATGTGGGGAAATAACTGCTACTCATCATCAGCGTCCACCAACTCCCCAAATCGACTCGCAGCTTCCCCTTTCAGGAGGGCCGGATTGCCAACCTCCACCACCTCCCCGAGATCCATCACCACCACCCGATCGAAGTCCATGATCGTCACCAGCCGATGACTCGCCGCAATGACCGTGTGGTGTCTGAACTCCGCTCGAATGATCTCCTGCATCATCTACTCGGTTTGCCGGTCCACGCTGGAGCTGACTTCATCAAGGAGGAGGACCCCCCCTTGGTCATGATTGTCAGCCCCATCCTTGAGGAAGGAGGTCGTTGAATGCAGACGGATCATAGCACGGAACACCATCCGCTCCAGCGAGAAGAGCTACCTTTGCCCGGCACTCAAGGTCCAACCGCCAGTCCGCGTTATCAGCCGTCAACCAACCCAAGGATCGGCCCGTGGAAACCGGCACCTCAACTCCAGATTACGAGAAATCTCCATAAAAACTATTCTGTGGCTATTCATTTGGTGTATCGGCTGGAGAATGCTAGTGGCCGCTCCCACATCGATCTCCCCGGCTCAACCCAGTTATTTATTTATTAGATGAGATTCAAGTATAGTTAAATATTTAATTAGTCGGAAATTAATTAGGTAATAGACTATAATATTGTTATAAGTTATGGAACTCGTGGGCTATCCGCTATATAGCGAAATTTATAATATAGATAGGCCTTCTTAGAAGGCTAGTAGATTGATGTAGACTCTGATTCTAAGTAGGAAGATCTAGTAGCTAAGAAGCTAGAATAAGCTAGTAAAGGGGATACTGTAGTAGAGATACTAGGTAAAAAGAATAGGATCTCAAATACTTACGAGGGAGCAGCGGAGGACATAATTATATACCTAGCGAACTAAATCGAACGAAGTAGGATATATATCTGCTATGGGCTTAGTAGAAGAAGGAGTATCTGGAAGCAATATTCATCTAATAGTCAAACACGGTAGTACTATATACTATATAAAATCGAGGTGGAAGGTAAACTCAAAGTAATCCGAGGGCGATAACTACTCCGGACGTTGAATTATAGTTTTGAGACTATTTTTAGACTAGAATTATATATTAAGACGCTGGTGTCTTTTATATTAAGCGTTCTATCTACCTGAGCTAGTGTTGGGATAGCTCTTGCTTTCGCCAGAGGAAGCGCCTACATAGCTAGTACGCCAACAAGTGAGGCTATATTAGGTTCATAGAGTTTGATTTGATTTATTTTGATCTAATTTGACATTCTTGGATTACACAGCACTTGTTGAGCTTCGTTCTTGATTTAACTTCCTACTGAATCTCAGTAATTTAGAAAAACCCCACAGGTTAATTTAATATTCCACGTCCCTCCTAAGGCGAAGCAACGAAATCCAATAGCGTTTACAATGGTCGCAGATCCCCTAGATCTTGAAGGAGGTCAAGAAGGTAGCTATTAAGCCTGTGGATTCGGTTATTCTTGAAAGTTAAGAGTACAAAGGACAGAGAGAATAGAGATAAATAGTCAATGGGCCCCCTAACCAAGGGCTCCAAACGTGAATGATTACAGAAGCGGATATTGTAGAGTCTCGGCCGATGGGTCGCTCCGGCAATTTCTCGGGTCCGAACGAGACTAATTTGATACAATTCTATTTCGTTTCAAGTGGAGTGGCTCTGGCACTAATTTGTTTCTCATGCATGCCAATTTTGTCGATAAGCTGATTGGTTTGGGAAGCCTGGAAACGCGGAGTAGGATTCCTCGATCCGATTCCCTCCGCTTATAGAAAAAGTTAGGCCACTCATGGCTCGGCTAAACAAGCGCAAATGATGTCTTAGTCCATTGTCCGTTGCTCCCACAATTTTACTTGCTCCTAAAGCAGCTTACACCCATAAGATATCTCTCGGTTCCTTGAAGATCATTTGACTTGCTTTTCACTCATCTTTCTGATTGGGCAATTTGTTACATTTGTTACACTTTTGTGTAACAGGCTCCAAGCAACTTTATTCCTATCTCGCCCATCGCTGTTCTTCCATTGTGACCTCACTTGAGAGATCTCCGTCAACATGAGTCGTCTTTTCCAGCACTCTCTTGATGGTATCTTCAAGAGGAACAAGGATTGGGTCTGCTCGAAAAAGATCGCAGACCCAGGGTTTTTCGAAAAGCTTTCTGCTGGACAAGCACCAGATTATCTGTGAGTTAGCTAGAGTAACTACAGTGCCTTTTTTTGAATGCCCCGCGCTAATTCTTTGTAGCTACATCGGCTGCAGCGACAGCCGCGTTCCGGCAAATGAAATAATGGGCCTAGAGGCTGGTGAAGTTTTCGTCCATCGCAATATCGCAAACCTAGTTCCCAATGTCGACCTCAACGTCATGTCTGTCATAAATTATGCAGTCCGACACTTACATGTCAAGCACATCATTGTCTGTGGTCACTACAACTGCGGAGGGGTCAAAGCTGCAATGACCTCGGCTGACTTGGGTCTCCTGAACCCATGGCTCCGCAACATACGTGATGTCTATCGCTTGCATGAGAAAGAATTGGACAAGATCACAGATGAAGACTCGCGGTACAACAGACTTATTGAGTTGAATGTCATTGAGTCCTGTCGGAATGTGATCAAAACTGCTGCAGTACAGCAGAGCTACGAAAACAACCAGTATCCGGTTGTTCACGGATTAGTTTTTGATCTGCGCGATGGTCTTCTCAGAGATCTTGAGATTGACTTTGAAGCAATGCTAGAGGATGTGAAAAAGATCTATTGCCTTTCTTCGAAAACTTCCAGTTAAAACGCCCAAGCAGAAAAAAACGGATCACTCCAAACTAGTTCTCAATCAATCTTTGCGCTTTGCCTGATTTCAAATTGTAAACAATGCCATGTAATTGCAAATTGCCTTCACTTGCTGCCTTGGACACCTCTGGAAATTGACGTAAGGAGCGTAATTGATCAAGTACGTTCAATTCAACGAATGCTTGGTTGCGTTCATCAGAAGGAAGTGTATCAATGGTCCCTTTGAACTGTGAATGGAGAGCATCCAACTTGCTGGAGGTAAAAGTGTGAGAGACAAGGTCAATAATGAAAAGATGGTGAGTATCTTACCTCAACCATGGACCATTTAGCCCATCCCGAGATTCTGCTTTGACAATACCACAACCATAGTGGCCGCAAACAACGATGTGCTTCACCTGTTGATTGGTCAAAATAATCATCTTAAACAAAGGCTTTGATATGTTTACTTTCAAGCATGTAATGGCATGTTTCACTGTGAGTTCAGAGGACATGTCGCCTTCGATAAGCATGTTTCCCAGGTTGCGGTGTACAAGCATTTCGTCAGGCAGGAGATCAAGGATAGTAGTTTCTTGGAAGCAGCTGTCAGAGCAACCGATCCAGAGAACTTGTTGCATCGGCTGCTTTGAGCTAGGAATAAAGTCTGGAGGCAGCTGCATGGTTTCACAGGCTGTAGAATAGTCTCTGCGCATTCTGGTGTGTATGGAAGAAATAGAATTAATGGTTCCCAGATACTGCGTCTTTGGGAGACGAATAGGAGCAAATTGTCGTGAGACAGCACGATACGTGAAACTCATGAAGAGAAAAGAAAACAAATCTCAGGATTTCGATCGGGTTTTGAGGTGGGAAAGTTTGTCAAATGAATGTTGGGCTGCCGGATCATCTGTTAACGCTTCTTAGCTGCCCTCGGCCTGGAGCCTGGACTTCTCGCCGAGCTTATGTTTTCCGAATGGAGGGCCGACTGCGGAGCACAACGGCGTTGAGGGCAATTTGCCCCAAATTCTACTGACGAGCGAATCAGAAACTAGCTGTCCGGATGAACACCCGATCTGCACTTATAGTATTCCGCATGAGTTTTGTCGATTTTCCGAGAAATTGCCGCACTCGGCCGACACACTATCTGAAACCAGACTGGAGAAATGAGTCGCTGGTGGGTATATCTTTCTGTGCAAGAATTACTAGCCTATTGTTTCAGGGGCAATATCCACGACTTGTCGTAAAAAACGTTAATCGGAGCTAGGATAACGATTTTGCTGATTGATGAAAATCCTACATAGTGAACCAGGGCGCTCTACGGCAAATATGCAAATGCAGGCAGGACGAGATGGATCAGCGAACCAGCCAACAAACTACACCACACCACGATGTCAGAGAGCCTCTCAGAGAGGAAACAGATGCTGCTTCAGCGAAAGATGTGTAAAAGTTGATTCTCTCGCTATCGGAGATGTGAAGCTATATCCTGTAAAGACTGTGTACTAGGAAAAAATTCCTCCAATCAAAGATCACCTATCGTTGGCCATTTCCCCACTACAATAGCTATCATGTAGTGTAGACACTGCTATAGATGTACCTCTAAATCTATATTACGGGTATTTACCGCGTCGGTTCGCCTAGGATACTGCTTAAAGCGATAGCGGAGCGCGAAGATTATGGTACTACGAAAACCTAAGGACTACTCGGTCCCTAGGTCCCATCGCCTAAACTCACTGCTTAATACGCTAGGCCAACTCCTCGAAGCGGATATAGCGCGACGACTTTCATATGTCGCCGAAAAATACTGTCTGCTACCGGATACCTAGTCTGGAGGAAGACCAGACAGAATCACCGAACAGGCCCTTTCAGACCTCTCTAATACGCGCAGTCCACACACAAAGTCATGACGCTGGTAGTGTTGGACTTGAAAAGTTGCCTGTAATGGAGTTAACAAAGTTAGCCTAGACGCCTGTCTACGAGTAAGAGAAGGCGCACGTATATAGGCTTACGTGGGTCCTCACAATATTGACTGACTTCTCCTTCTGGACAAATCATGTACATAGGTACATCCATAGCTAACCAAATAATAGGAACATGCTCAATCTTGTCGGTTACAAAACTTAATCTGCCCCGCAATGACCCGAGTTCCGTTGAAATCCCTGGAAGGACGTGATCAGAACTTAGGACCGGTGAATTATCTCGCTGTCTTGACTTTCATTGTGTTCAAAGGGGAAAAGGGCCAAAATGATAATTTAATGATGGGATATAGGACAAAAAACATTCGGATTCTTCAACTCGTCTTGCCTAGGAAATGCTTATCTTGATTCTACTTATGAGACGGCGGTGTTGCCTCCGCCTTGGCTCTTCGCATCAGTCGCATGCAAAATTTCCATGACATCGGCATATATTGTCGATTGCAATTCCCAGCTAATCTGAGAACGCACAATCATCGATGGACTGCATAAATTGTTAGTTTATAGCGAAAAGCGTAGAGAATATAAGACGAACTTCTGCAAATTTCCATCCGACCAAAAGCCTCCATTTCCATTGCCAGCTTCCAGGCCCCACAATGCAAATATATACTGACTAGCTCCCTGCTCACTGGTTCGGCAGACAATTTTCTCAAGTAGCCTGGCTAACCGGAAGTTATTGAAATCACGAAAAAGCGCCGTTCGTGAAAAGCCAGGCGATACCGTTGCCACCGAAATACTGTTCCATTCTTCTCGGCTCGATATATCTCGGACCCAGAGATTGAGAAGTAGTTTGCTGATATGATATCTTTGATAGCAAGGATATGATGTTGAGTTAGATTTGCTGAGCTGATTGGCGAGCATTTTGGTAGAAGCATGGGACGGATCGGCCCAAGCATGAGCCTCCGAGGACACGGCAATTACTCGCCCACGGGTCGCCCGAGCCAAAAACGGGCGTAGCAGCATCATAAGATTACAGTTTGCCAGAAAGTTGACCTGAAATATCTCTTCCCATCCAGTTTCTTGGCAAATATGGAATTTAGTTTGATATGCGCCTGCGTTCAGAATCGCAATGTCTAGATGTGAGATTATTTTCTCGAGCCGCCGTGGTAGAGCATTCACCGATTTCAAAGATTTCAAATCGAGCTCTATGATATCGACCACAGTGGCAACATTCAGATCCTTGGCCTCTGTCTCAATCTGCTGCTTGATATTCTCACCCCGCTGTAGGTCCCTGGCTGTCAGGATCAAGTGACATCCTACTCGGCCAAGAGCCCTCGCACACTCAAGCCCACAACCCTGGGTAGCACCGGTGATGAGAATGAACTTTCCAGCGTATTCAGTCAAATCTAGCGTATGGATGGAAGGCGATCGAACCGTGAGCAAACGATACAAAGCGGGGAATGGGCCATCTGGATCAAATGTGAAGGTGTGAGAATTCCACAAACTGAACGACAGCATGTGGAGTGCTGATAAGGCCATGCTTATTGAAACAAAGTAGATAATAACGCTCGAGGCTAATTATCTCTTTATTTATAAATGAGATCCATGTATGTATATCGCTTTCGGTTTCTTCAGCTCGATTTTCTGTATCCAGCATCACGTTGACAATTGTCTCGAGGTTCGAAGGGGCCTTCTCACGTAAGCCGCACTAAAGATCGCAGATCAGCCCAACTCTCAAAAACAAATGGGCAAGATGGTGTAGAGCTCTACAAATAGTCGGCAAATCAACCAATCCAGGAAACCTGGGAGTCTATGTAAGGCGATCTCTACCAGGGTGCTCACATACCTTCGAGAGTCTTTTGTCGTCCGGTACTGTAAAAAGAATGATGCGAGATGTGTTGGCAAAACTTCATTCGTCCTCTAGTATCCATAGATGGACTCGACCATTAATTATCCAGGCTTGTATACTCAGGTGATGGATCTGATTGCGGAGCTCTGGACCCTTCTCCCAGGGCCCATGACAGGTGTGGGTGAGATGGATAGAGAGCATACCCTCTGTATCGCGAAAGTGCTTCATATTTCCAGCTAATAAAACTTGTCATGGATCTCTGTATGGCAAAGAGATCAGTAAATTCCAAATGCGACCTTGATGTTATGATCGCGCTTATCTTCAGCTCTCTTAGCTCGCCTCCAATCAATTGACATTAAAATGTAGAGGCATCACTCATGTTTCTAAAATCCATTTCCACGTCCTGGCCGCTTTCTGAATGAGTGGCACCTATATCCTTGTAGTTGGGGAGACTCTGCTTGGCCGCTCGGACGTTGGTGCAATTCTTGTGGATGAATGCATCATCTAAGCGATAGATATCCTCTTGAATAGTCAGATGGTGTTGATTCCCACTAGAGCTTGGTCGAGCGCACTTGGCTTCGGGACGATTTTCGATACGCAAAGCAGGGATTTTGCTGAAGAAACGCAGGTGAGCAGTTGCGGCGTTGATGGACTTTACATAGCTGAGTCCTGAAGGCTCATACTGAAGTGAGGGTCTCTGTAGTGATGGTAGATCAATGACCTATCTTCGTCATCAAGATTACTAGATAACTTCATCTACATTCATCTCTTAGTAGAGCATTCATAAGATGTTACGAGACACTGAGCCATTCTTTTCATGCTGCACTAAGGACAAATCAGATGCTTTCGTAAGATTAACCAACGCCGAGGTTAAAGAAAGTCGACTGTTTTTTACACCATCTACTTTCAGCTTAGGGGCGCGGTGCCCCCTGGATCTGACCCCAGTCCCCCTTGTTGGGGTTGACCGAGCCACAGGAAGGCCGGCGGCTATACCGGGAAATTGATTCGTGCACTGGAAGAAGAGTAAACCCAAAGTGGGTTGGACGCACCGCAAATTTTCCCAACCCAGATCCGTTTTACCAATAACAGATTTGTACTTTACTATATTTGCTATTGATTGGCCCCGTCACTTTGATTAGGCCCACAGTCCATATGTCTTTGTATCAGGCCCCAACCAACATGTAGTGCTCGGAAACGAGTGTCCTACTGGGTGTATTTTCACTGATGGCCAATGGACCCCAAATTCACACACTTGGCTTTAAACTATCGCTCCATCCCATAAAATGAGCACCCAGCGGACTTTAGCATCGTCGATTAATGATTAATGGCTCATTTAGCTTATGCACTTTTTCATCATGCGTTCATACTGGTGGCCACAGCGATCGGAATCTACGGTTTGCTTTTGGCATTTCTCACAACTGCGACCTTCCAATCCCACGTTGTTTACTTACATGCGATTAAAATTCCATGGTTCGAGGATCTCAACATTCCTGAAAATTTTGGTTTCCTAAAAAACCAGGTCACCCCGTTCGCTATTTCGACTGCGGATGGCGAACGGTTGTATGCTTGGCATATTCTACCTCTGGAACTATATCGCAAGAATGAATTCTATCTTGTAGATGAACCTAGCGGATTCATCACGAACATTACTTCTAGAACTTCTTTCAAATTGTTGAGAGAGGACCCTGAGGCCCGATTGGTCATTCACATGCATGGCGCTGGCGGAACTGTTGGCTCAGGCTACAGAGTTGCTAACTATCGCGCATTATCTGCAGGACACCCTGAGAAAATCCATATTTTGACCTTTGATTACCGTGGATTTGGGAAAAGTTCAGGGTCGCCATGTGAGGCTGGCTTGGTGAATGACGGCCTCGCTGTCGTCGAGTGGGCTATAAACGTCGCGGGGGTATCTCCTTCCCGAATTGTCATCTTTGGCCAATCGATGGGCACCGCTGTCAGCATTGCTGTATCCAAAAATCTTGCATTTCGAGATGAACCAATTGTCCTTGCTGGTACAATCCTTGTGGCGCCTTTTGTTGATATTGCGACACTGGTCTCGACGTATCGAGTGGCGGGAATTATTCCGATACTGTCACCGATCGCAAGTTTCCCGTCGCTGTTTGAATATCTCAAGTTGTTCATCCACGATAGGTGGCTGAATAAGGATGCAATCGCGGAATATATTCGGATCAATGAAGCCAACGAGAAAAAATATCGACTTATCATAATACACGCCGAGGATGATTATGATATTCCATGGCGCCATTCTCAACTCCTCGTTCAGCACGCAGTTTATGCGTCAGTTCCAGCGGAGGTTAGCTTTGAAGAAACAGAAGATCAAATATCGCAGTTGGAGGTGGACCTAGGTGCTGGAGGATCTAAAATGGAATGGAAGTCTCACAATGGGATCATTAAGAAGATGATTTTGAGAAAAGGCCTGCACGATGTCATAATGGGATATCCCATAATCTCAATGACCGTAATAGGTATTTTCGCTGAAAGCGACTCATTGTTGACATATTGATCCTAAAACAAAGAAAAATATCGCCAAGGACTTTTTATATTGCCAGTGAATGATTAGAATGATTAGAGGAGTGTTGAAGCCATCAGGGACGCCCCATTCTGACCAAAGGTTTCTCTGGATAACCAACTCTATCGCTGGGCACGTCGCCAAATCTATGTGGAAAAAATCGATGGAAAAAAGTTGAGCAATGCCATTCTATATCTATAAAAATCTAAATCTATCTATTTACTGTAATTCTGAGTGTCGGTTTCAGTATTCTTCCTGGAGGCTGACTTGGCAAGAAAATATATCCACTCGTCTATTCCGCTCTTTTTGAAGCCTTTGTTCTCAATTTCATGAGACCAAAGACAAGAGCATATCCCGCAATAGCATATATCACGGTTATGCCAGCATCTCTCCATCCATAATAGTAGTGATTGATGTTCAGAGTGGTCAAATAGTCGCTTCCGGTTGTGTATTCGCATACTTTGCAGGCTGAAGTGGCGTCCGGATTTATCAAATTGACCCTCCATCCCTTTCCATTCATATAATCAGCCAGATAATCCCCACAGGTGCCATTGAGTGGGTCAAAGAAGGCAAACTCGTCTTCGTTGCATGTGACCTTCTGGCCCCAAATTCCAAATGTCAACATGCCAGAGACAACATAATTGAATGGGTTGAGCCAGTACATCCAGTATTTCCAGAATACGTTGAGCTGGTCGTAAGGAACAAAGACACCACAGAAAAGAACCAAAACACTGATAATGAGAGGGTTGACAAGAGCCGCAAAGGTCGGATTTGGTGCGTAGGCGGCAACAAATTGCCCAATACCGGTGTAAATAAATTCGTAGATCAACATAATGAAGAAAATAGCACCAGAGCGATTGGAATCATGCGGCAACGTCCACACCGGCCAATACCAGCAGACAAAGTAGAGAACAGCGCAGATACAGAGATATGGAAACTCTGAAACAATCAACCCAGTAACAAAAGCAACCCAAGAATACATCTTGGATTTCTTTTCACGGGCATCATAGATATCACGACGTTGAATGAACAGAGGTTGAAGCTGGTTGATCACACCCGGGGCAACAAAGACAAAGTTGAAGATGGTGAATAGTCGAAGTTGCAAGGCTGTTACACTTGGACCAGGTCTCCAAAAGGAGAAGCCGTTTAGTAATGCCGAAATTATATGAAGGGAAAACTTGTTGTTAACGTAGGCGGTATTGCGGAAGAGCGAAATGTTCATGCGATGAGTGACAATTTTGATTTGTTCCCAAAGAGGCATTGAAAACTCAAAGCCATCGTTGACTGTACCAGGCGGCTTGCTAGCTGCATCGTCAATCATCCTGTCCAACTCAGTGATCATCTCATTATGCTCAGGAGATTCTAGCCAAATTTGATGCCAGTCTTTATCTCTGGCTGTTTCGATGCCACCAGTCACAACGTCAATCATGAATTCGGCCGGATTAGCATCTTGTGGACATTGAACGCCATATTTGTCAAAGTAGTGTTTGATAGTCGCTCCATTATCACCAATATCACCAAAGTAGACTGTTTTTCCGCCCCTCGCAAGGAGAAGGAGTGTGTCAAATTGAGCAAATAGCTGAGCGGATGGTTGGTGGATTGTGACAAGTACCGCTTGACCAACATCTGCTAGCTTTCGCAAGAAACGGACCGTGTTGTATGCGGATTGACCATCTAGGCCCGAGGTTGGCTCGTCCAGGAATATAAGAATACTAGGCTTTGAGACAAGTTCAACTCCGATCGTGACACGTTTACGTTGCTCGACGGAGAGACCGTTTCCAACGGAGCCGATCAAGGTGTCGGCTAGATCATGGAGTTCTAGGAGGTCAATAATAGTGTCGACGTACGCAAGCTTCTCTTTCTTCGGGATCTCCCGAGACTGTCGAAGGAGAGCAGAGAACTCTAAGGCTTCTCTCACTGTGGCATAAGACTCATGAACATCAAGTTGCTCACAGTATCCTGCCATTCTCTGAAAAGATAGTGGAAGAGGTCGACCATCAACAAGGATGGATCCCTTGATGGTGCCTTCAGTTTTGCGTTGAGCGAGAACATCAAGCAATGTTGTTTTTCCTGCACCCGAAGATCCCATAAGAGCTCCGAGCATGCCTGGTTTGACCCATCCATGGATATTGTCCAAAAGAACCCGATCTCCAGTAGGTGTTTTGACCGTATAAGTAAGGTTTTTCCAAGTGAAGATGGAAGTATTGCGAACAAGATTACCATCATCCACTTGGACAGGTTCATCAGTAATGGTTCGAGGTGTGTTATTGGCTTTTTGCTGAGCTTCCTCGTCATTACTGGCTCCATGTTTTCGGAGATTCTCGCGCGGGATTAGTAAAGAAGATCCTGATCCAGCTCCGGCCTTCCAGAAGCATGTACAAATGATTGTCATGACCGCAAAAAATCCCCACCAGGCCCAAAGGACACCAAAGTTTCGCCACATCTCAGAGTGTTTGTAGTGGAGAGAAGAAAGGTACTGGTCGCCAGTCACGTAATCCGCACCTGGTAGAGAACCACCGACGCCAGCGCAAGATTTATGGGCGGATCCAACATCCTCATATCCGGGACCACTAGGGATAAGATTCTCTCCAACACAGTCAATATGCTGTCCATGGAACTCATTTGACAACGCTGCTTGAAAGGCATAAGCAAAAGGATTGGTGTAGTACAACTCAAGGAACCAATTCTTGATTTTGGGCTTCGGAATCATATAACCGGCGTACATGACAATTCCCTTGACTGCCGTTCCGCTGATCTTAGATGCTGCTTCAAAAGTACTGAAAGCGGCACCAATGAATCTGAACAAGGCAGTAATACACTTTTGATAGAGAGTCAGTATGAGTTATTGATTATCCAAGGATAAAATGACATCGCCTCACCAGAGTTGTCGTAAAAAGAATTGCCCAGAAAGTGAAAAATGCAGCTGCAGTATGTTTTAACCCAACCATCCAGTAGATGACAACTGAGAAAATAGTACACTGAAATAGCAAAACAGGAAAATCCGCTGTAATTTGTGCCAGGCAAAATGCAGCCGGATGGTACATGGCGAACGACTTGTGTTTTGTCAAGATCGGACGCCCTTTAAATGATTCGGTGACCTCAGACATAGCAACAATGCAGTTGTACAGCAGTGCAAAGAAAACAGCACCACCTTTGGTAAAAAGACCAGCAGATGTCTCGGGAGAATTATAAAAACAAGATCCAGCGATCAGTGCCATGATACACGACAAGATTTGCTTGATCAAAAAAGTGCTTTTCTCACCCCAAAGAATCTGGTACTGTCTGACAGTACATGCAATGAGTTGAGCCCAAAAGCTAGTGGTGAGGCCACTTCCCCTGGGTAAATGGTTTGACTTTTCCCAAGACACAGACTCTTTGAAATCATTTGTGCGATTCAAAGCCAATTCACTGTCAGGATAGTCATACAAAGATACCTCGTTCTTGTAAATTGATGAATTTTGGTACTCGGTCAAGATAGTATCGGCAGTTCGAGGGAATCGATTCTCCCAGCCAGGCCTGATTTTTCGCTCCGTGGGAACTGTGACACCTGTGAGGAAATCGCCTAAACGTGATTGTTTGGTTTAGTACCTGGCCAATTGATACAACCTTAGAGTTAATATGGGGACTGGGAATCATACCAATATTTGCACCGTCGGCATACACAAATCCAAGGCTTTCCATAAAAGGTTTTGCTTCTGCTGCCGGGCCATAGTATATTTGCTTCCCCTCGTCAAGCACGAGCACTTTGTCGAAAAGATTATAGATTCCATTCCCCGCTTGGTAAAGCGTAACAATAGTAGAAAGCCCAAGAACATCTGTCATGGCGCGGAGAGCCTTTGCCCACTCCAAAGCAGTCGATGCATCGAGTCCACGTGTTGAATTATCCCAGGCGTAAACAGAAGCCCTCGTTGCGAGGCACTCAATAATAGATACTCGCTTTCGTTCTCCGCCACTGACACCTCTGACAAACTCATTGCCAACTTTTGTATCAGCTGTATGCGTAATACCCATAGACTCTAACAGAAATTGCTTGGTCTCTTCTCTGTACTGCGCAATAGTCTTGGATCCATCTGGCAGATGAAATGGAATTTTGAGTTTTGTTGCAAAGTCCATCGTTTGACCAACCGTCAAGCGAGGGTAAAAAAGTTCTTCTTCCGTATTCATCACAATTTGACCTTGATAATTGGATGCTTCTTCCGAAGACATACTACCAAAGCGTACATCCCCAGTAATTGTATTATAACCTTCGCGACGGTTAGACAGCATCTTAAGAAGTGTTGTGCATCCGGAACCAGGTCTTCCCAAGACAAGCAACATTTCACCAGGTTTGACACATCCGTGGCTGTTTGACAATATCGACTTGAGAGGTGGTTTGTTGCGGAAATCCTTGATGAGCCGAGGAATGTTAAATTGAGAGATCATATTTTCTTTGACAGCTGCCTCGGCAGCAAGAACCTCAACAGAGAGATCTTTCCATGTCACCCCCAATTCCCGTCTCTTGAAGCCTGCTGCCTGCTCGCGCTCCGCGTTTTGGATAACCTGAGATGTCATACTCCATTCGAGCTTTTTTGAGGGTTGCAAAGGAGACTGGTTACAAGCAAAATTCAAAGTCTCCGCGCTATCGGCCACTCGAAGGTTGGTCTGGGGTGCAACGAAGGTGTGAAATTCCTTCTCATGTTTGTCCTCGGGTGGTGTTCGAGGTAGCGGTGTCTCTTCAGATTTTTCTTGCTGTTCCATGGTGAGATTGTTGATAGAGAGTGGAGAGTAAAATTTGGGTTGAATTATTTTTTGCTTAACGTATGGAAACAAGAATTACTTTATAAAACCCATGAGTACTCGAGGGTCGACATGTCTTATCCGTAGTCCGGTATAGTGGAGCGAAGAAAAGATATCGGAATTCCAATTGCCCCTCCCTCTATTGGAGATGATGACCAAGATTCCGGTAATGATTCCGTCCATCGGACGGGTGAATCCTAGCGAGAACTAATGATGCTTGTTTTACTCCTCCTATGAACAGTTGCATTAGCATAAGAGGAACGGGCATGGCACTAGAATTTGGAAAGTGGAGCAATATGATTATATAAACAACCAAATTAGGATATTCGACATCGATCTGCTGGGTCGGCTGAGATGCCGAAATGTGGATCTGGTTTTATCCGCGAGCAACCGTCGATCCAAATTCTATCAACATGAGGGTTTTATCTGGGCCATTGAGGGCTCAATTAAAGGGCCCTATCAGATATATATTTGTATTTGTAGTTGAACTTGAGTCCATTCCAAAATTTATTTCTAACAATTGATCGATTGGACAAAAATGGACGTCGAGCATTATGACAATCCCCGAAGGTCGGTTGAACTAGTCGTAGATATCAGTAACTCTCATGTTACTATCTCCTATCTGTAAAATGTAATAGATCGCTTGCACGGAGGATCTAGCTCAAATAATTGATCTGAATTGTTCCAGACCCTCAATTTCGGCATCCGGAACATGGTTCAGCGACACGATCGGCAACTCGAGGGACTAGGAGGTACTCAGGAGGCCGGGTTGCCGGATAGTAGGAGTATTGATGCCGATCTATCCGGCTTGAATGCACCCCTCCGTCTTCCTGATTCGCAGCGGCGGGCTTGGTAGGACAATTTGAACGAATGATAGCGTCGGCATAGTATTGTGATATTTTGAACACATATTCGGTAATTTTTTTACTAAAAATGCCTTATATAGCGATCAAAGGATGAAATCAATTTACAAAAATTATGAGCTATTTTTATTAGACTTTAAAGGAGCCATGAAGGTCGAGAAACTGCATCGGTGAACTCAAGGAACGTAACTTGAACTCTTTCGAACCTAACATTGGGGCCCACAGAGGCTCATGGCTAGTAAGATTACAAGCCAAAAAAAACTCACTAAAGTCTTAAGCAGCTGCCTCTGAATAATCTCAGGTGCATTTTGCCCTGGTAAGACATATTCATGAAATCGGATAGATCTTACTTTATTAATCCGATATTGCAACTTGTCTTTCGGTCTAAATTGAGATTACGCTCTCTGAAGGGATTATCAAGAAGTTTTGATTGAATGATGTAGTATTATATAGAAAATGTAAGCTTCCGTGTGAGAGAAGTGAGAGATAAAGACGCAGTCGATATGAGAAGAAATCCAGGTCTTTCGGTCGAAACGCAGATGACGGTTGAAAGAAGGCCGAAAGAGATGTGAGAGGAAGAAAGCGATGACCTATAAGGATTCTAGTCTAATTTATATTAAAAGAAGAATCAGGTTCAGGATTCCTAAAATAGTATCTCCGGATTGTTTCATTAGGCGCTTTACACCGGGGCGAAATGACCTATATACAGGGCTTTGGACGCTGCAGAGAAAACTTAGCTCTCCGTTCAAAGTCAAATGAATGAAAAGTGCACAGAATATCGCAATGGCACTCAAAAAGACGCTTGACTGGTAATTTTCTTCATCTAAATTGTTAATTTCTAGAATCTCAGCCTAGTTCTCCAGCGAACGATGTCTGAAGTGACGACAAGAGGGATAGCCCCAACGCGGGCTGACTTTATGACATATAAACTATTGATGAAGGTAGGTCGAAAGAGAGGCTGTCATATTTTTCCTTATTCATCATTGCTGGGATCGGATCATCCTGCTTTGATTTTGCGCTCGTATAACAGCTAACTTGAGACCTGGATCCATCTCCTGAATTTCTTCTCCAGCATTAGTGAATCAAACATCGCGAGCTTAGATTTCTTGCACATTCCTTCTTCGTCCCAGGCCTCACTTCCAACCCCTAATTTTGTGATAAATAGCTCATCCGGATCGAACTTGTTCTTAATCTTGAGTAGGCGCAGATAGTTATCCTTGCCCCAGTAAACGTTCTGGAAGTCCTTCTCGTTCGGATCACCCAGATTGCGATAAGAGACTCTGGTTTCAGAATTCATAGAGTATAAAATAGGCATATAGAGGTTTGTCATCTCATTCAAGGCTAAAGTTTTGCCATCGATGGATGGCTCAACACCTCGCACGTAATTGATCAAATGTGCAGAAGATCGCCAGGCGGGATGCAAGGGAATATCGACATTATTCGCCACCACGCGACCTCCAGTGTTGCTACTGAAAAGTAGGTCATTTTTACCCATAGGTAACTTTGCAAAAACCTGGGCAATACGAGAAGGACCTTCTTCAGAGTTAAAAGCTTCCTCAGAAAGCAACACGGCTCCTTCCAAAATACCATAGTTTGGAGGGTTAATATCCGGGGCCGTGCGAACTTCGGCACTCAACCGATGACGAAGTTTTGACGATAGGCTAGAGACTATCTTGCTTCTTTGGAGATCTTTCATATGGGGCTCTATGAAGGCCTCCGCTTTTTGAATCTCCGTGGAATTGATGAAATATAATGTCAAGGTTGCAAGTTGCGCCTCATCGCCTGGAGGAAAAACGATCAATTGACCGGGGATACCACCTTTGTTCGAGGACCTCAAGAGCTTGAGCAAAGAGGAAATACCAAACTCCCAAAATGAGGTATCACAACGCGTAGACTGTACTGTTACTGTGCTGACAACTCCTGGATCATCCGGATAAGATCGAACTGTGACCTCAACGACGACTCCGAAGGTTCCTCCCCCTCCACCTTTCAGAGCCCAGAAGAGGTCTTTGTGCTGATGTTCGTTCGCAGTGATAAGTTCTCCCTAAGGAAGCTATGAGCAAGAGATCACAATTCTGAAGGAGGTAGCTCTCACGCTGCTAGTAACTATCTTATACTCCAAAACATTATCGACTGCAAGGCCCCTGGTGAAACTATGGAAGCTTGAAACACCTCCACCCTGGAGGAATCCACCAGCCATTCCGACAGTTGGGCATTCCCCACCCACTACATGGTATCCATGCTTGGCGCCATGTTTGTATATCTCCCAATGCATGATGCCGGCGCCGACAGTGACTGCCGGACCTGAGGATTCACTCGTCCCTTGAGCTGTGAAGCTTGTGTGGTATTCGATCTTTTTTAGATTTGTGGTGTGAATCTGCAACGAATTTGGTGAGCTAGATCGCCCAGACCCGTCATGGCCTGTGTTTTTGATCACAAGGCGAAGATTGTGCTTCTTAGCAAAGATTACAGCGGTCTGGACATGTGCCACGGATTTAACAGCAGCAGAGTAAAGAGATATTCGACCTTGGTGACAAGTTGTTTCCGTGCTTTGATTATCGCTTGCCACGACTATTGGACATGTTTCATTAAGATGAGAGCCACTTTCCCATACCCAATCTTGGAGCGTAGCTTTTGACCTATCATAAGTTAAATGCATGAGAAGGGAAATTCGGAGCCGGCTTACCTGGCTGGGAGGCTCTCCAGCCGCTGTCGAGTGCCAGATCTTGTAGAGCATCACATGCATACCGGTCAAACTTGGGCTCATGACAAACAGCTCCAACAGGCTCCAGACGAACTAAATTTCCTTGAATTGAAGAGTTCAGAGATGCCCATTTCTCTTGAGTTGGCCAGCAAGGTTCCCATGGCCTACACCGACATGTGTTTTCGAAACTTCGGCTCACCAGCAAAGCCCATCCAAGGACCAAGCCAACCGCGGGCGCAAAAAAATGGTACATTGGTGATTGGAACCGACCTGAAGAAACCAAATTCTCCGTTCGCGGTCTGGAGATTATTAGGTTGATTTACCGCACCTATTTATTGGCGTGCCGCTACCCATCAACCCTTGAGTGAGTTCTTCTTGTCACACAGAGCCAACATACTATATGCTTTTGATAAGCCGCGATTTAGTATCATGTTCTGTGGGGATAAAAGTAAGCTGTGGGAACATAGACTATTCTCAATATTTTTCGGATCAACCAAGCCACCATGAGCTAGGCGATAATTGTGAGACATGAGAATCCTTACTATAGGCTACATGAATCGTGTTTGAATTGTTCCAATCCACAACCAGGTGAGATGAACTATATGTTGTGCAACACTATTATCCCGAACGTTTGTCTCAACTACATTGTTTCTATCGACCTTCCCATTCCCTATCCTGTAGAGCCAGATAATAAAAAGAAATATGGCTCATAAGTGGTGCTCTGTCCACGGGTAGTACAGATTTCCATAACTTGGTTTTCGTTCTCCTTGTACCACCTTTTGGCATTGTTTCTTTTTTTTGATCCAAAAAAAAAAATCATAAAATACCATTTTTTATAATTGTTTTCACTTTTCTTCTTTCGTAACATCTGATCTCTTGTAAATTTTTGCTATATTTATTTCACGCCTATGAAGCCTATGGCAATGCACTCGAGAAACGGAACGTTCTCATACTGTAAGTTTCTAACGGATAAACTAGATTTATAGGTGCTTAACTAAGGTAACAGATATAAAAAGAAAGAAAGAAACTAGTGAATTTCGAACTCGAAGCCCCCAAGGTCACAAAACTTTAGCCGCGGGAGGATTTGCACCTCCAACCTCTGGCGTCGATAAGCAACGTGGTGACTATTACACTACGCGGCGGGAGTATGATAGTTGTACTCATTACTATGATAATACCACGCCTTTTGACGTACATCGCAGTAAAAGGATCAACGTTTCTAGGAGCAATAGAATACCTTAATAATAGTACTCGTATCAAGGCCAGTGCCTGTTAGTGATTATATATATTAGGACTCTAGCATACTAAATACAGCGTGCGCACGGAGGAACTTTCCCTTAAGCTTTTTGTCAACAGTTCGCGGCCTAGCTAGATTGAGTCTTAAGGTCTTGCTTTCGCCCTTCATATCTTGAAGCCATGCTACTAGTACATCCTGTAAAATAACTTCGCCTTATATAACTGCGCCTGAGGCTTTAACGAACTTGGACTTTCGTAGAAGTCACAGCGTTGAGGTGAGATAAAGCTACTATTTTCGCCCCCTAAAGCTTTGGCTCCACAAGCAGTAGTTTCTGTATGGATCTAATCAACCATAAAATATTCACTTAATACGGTCGCACCTAGCTTATTTTTCAATATGTATATCGGATATTTGTGATTTGGTTTAGTTTCCAAGGACCCAGGAGCCAGAACAGCTCGGCCCATACTAGTAATTTAGAGACAGTGATCAGATGAATGCACACTTTCTTGTATTTTGCGTAGACTCTGCTAGTCACAGAGTAGCGCAGCTCGCTAGTGAGATACGTTAGTGGTAATATTCTGGGATGGTGCTGCTATTTTTCAAGCCATGGACATTTCTTTTCTTGTTCTACTCTCTAGGCTAGCCGGCGTTCGGATACTCTTTAAGTCAGTTGAAGACGAGGACTTCGAATTTTCCGAACAGATAGTTGTTATTATGAGAATAGAAATATTAGCCACGCCTATATTCAGTTAATCGGAAAGTTTGCCCGTCCTAGCCTTCCCGGCATCACCACTTTCTCCCATCCTATTTTTTCTCGCTGGCTGATCTCCTCCGGAATTTCTCTTCAACGGTAAATTGATGATTTGAGAGGTCTAGCTTCTAGTAGCACCATTGGCTTGCTATCGCTACGGACTACATCGTCTTGGCCCATACGGCTGTGTCCTTGATGCTTCTGCCTTCTGTTCTCATCTGCTTCCATTAAGTTCGATACTCACGACTATATTTTCATATATACTAGACCTAGTGGTGCATTGTATACACCTCTTCAAGATCTAAATTAAGACCTAAAGGAACATCAGGCTGTCGATCGCTGTCCTCTGACGACGTTCCACCGACGCATAGGGCTAAATGTCCAATCTCACTACACATCCAGCTGTGCCTTGGGGTAATTCGGCATTCTGGGATCTCCTTGACTCATAATTAAATCCATCTTAATACCCAGGCTAGCCGCGCACCAAAAAGGAGTTCTTTTTCGTGGTTATTGTTGATTTGTGGTGGGCGCAGATCTACCAAAAATTCACCATTTGGAAGGTGGCCGGCCAATGGGATAATCCTAAAAACACTGTGATGAACCTTCCAGACTATATGTACTACAGAGATGTAATTATGCGCGCTTCTTATACATCTGAATGCGATGGAAAATAACTTGATTCGGCGTTAAATTCAACGCTTGCGACGGCTAACATGTCCCTCTCTCTAGTCAGTCATAGTATATACCGTCTGAATGGTCCCGCTCAAAACTTTGACCACCACAAAAAGAGGTACTAAATAGAAGAGAACCTGGATGAGAAATGAAATGCAGCTGAGGGTTTCCACAGGTCTGAACATCCCAGCGCCTCCTGTTTCTCGATACTGGAGGTTTGTCCTTTTCTTCAGGCTAGGGACGTGCTTGAATTCATACTTGGACCCTCCCTTGAGCATTGATGACCCCAAAACTGTATCAATGAGGAACTGTTTTGATAGCTTGATAGAAATAGAATTAGTAACATTCCTGTGAATGTTGACTGGTTAAATATACTCACATTTGTTAAAAATCTATCAAAAAATGGAATCCAGTGCTGCAGTCGACAAATCACGATGAGAATACCACAGTACCCTCGAAAAAGCGCCTGGAAAAAGTAACCCGGTTTTGAAAGCCCTATCTCATCTGCCATCTCATCATCGTTCATCTTTCGAACACCAGTCTCAATCAGCGATTTAGATATATTGATCCCCGGGAAATCGCGAATCATTTCAATAAAATTCATAGTAAGAACTTTGGAAGCCGGCGTGGGGCCAGGCTCGCTTAGCATGATGCTCTCCATAGTAGCCTTAGCCTGCTCAACGGTCGCGAAGTATTCTGCTGGAGTTCCTAGAAGATAGGCAATATAGCGATTCACTGCTAAGTATCCTTTTACCAGTTGTGGATCGGGTTTGATTCCTAGCTTGGGCAATTGAACAAATGGTGTATTGCAAGCGAAAACGCAAATAGCATGCATACAATCCAATAGGTTAATGGGTGTGCCGTCTCTTTCGAAATCGTAGTATTCTGGGTTTTGTTCCGCGATTTTCAGAATCCGATGGCGCACCATCGCATGCAAGAGCCTAACTCGAATGGTGGAGATATGGCCGTCCCCACCAGGCTGAACTGACTTCAAGGACTGAGTGGCCTGGATCTGCCACTGGAACGTTTCAAGGAATCGCTTGGGCAAAACGCGTACATTAAAGCCTCCAGTTCTTATGAAGACCTCTGCGGTCCCTGCTGTTGTCTATATGAGAGGATGACTGTTAGGATATTACGAGTGCACAAAGTAATAATAAGGTAAGAGAGCACATACGGCATTTTCTCCCAGGCAGCCCTGAAGCACAATACCAGTAATATTCGGTGCCAAATATCGATAGAGGAAGACTTGGCCCTTTTCAATCTCTTCCCAGTCTACCCAGTCAGGGACAGAATGGGTTTCCTCCCAGAATTGACGCAGGATGCTATCTTTCGCATAGTTTTCCTTCAGCAGCGTGTACAGATCGGGTCTGTTCACCCCACCCTTCTCTTGTTTCTGAGCGGCCACAATGGCGAGCAATCTCTCGACAACCGCTAGTCCAAGCTCATCAGCTTGCTTTCTCAACGGCATGAGCTGCTCTGCGGTCAAATGGTTCTTGGTCCATTGAAATTCATAACCCCTGACATAGCGTTTGTTGTCAGAGAATGATTTTTCGAAAGACATTCTGAAAATTATCTTGAAAAAGGAAAATATAAGTGAGGTTTCGGAGCGATAAAAGTTTTTTAGAGTTAGTGCTGAGCCTGGGTATTTATAGCCAATCAAATCCTGCATGAACTAATTGTGTTCAAACATATAATGTAGCACGTAGAGCACGCAGAGCCTCCCAACATAGGCATTGTAAATCCGGTTGGGATATCCACTGCCTCATTGTTTGCAATTTGAACTCCCCTTCAGTGCACCGGTTAGGCTGGGGGCCAGTGGCAAAATGATTGTGTCCTCTTCTAAGGAAACCAACGTGGCTTTGTTAGCACTGTCCCGAGGAAATGGGTAGTGGAGTAGGAGATTTGAATTTCCTCAGTACTCTGTACATCGGTTAGACTGGGAGCGGGTGAAGAAATACCCTCGACCCGCAATTCGAATAGAATACCCAAATAGCACTGTTAGTAGTGGAGCAGGAAATTTGTATCCCCCTTCAGTGGATATAATAAGCGCCAGTGGCTGTGCGTTGGTTAGACAGGGGGCCAAGGTGTTGGTTAAACTGGGGCCGGTGGGCAGTAAATTGGCTAGACTGGGGGCCAGGCAAAATCGTCATGCCCCATTCTTGGTAGACTAACTTAGTTCCTTTTGCACTATCTACGGAGTACTACGTACTACGTAACTAGTGTTCTTGAAATGGACCATCCGAGACATTTATCCAACCGTGGCTGTGGTTGGAATAATTAATGTAGCAGGCTGGTAATTAATTGGCTAACCTGAATATCAATGACACCATAAAACATCCCTTTCGAGGCAGATTAGTGGAGAATACATGTGATATCAGGGGAGATACACATACCGAACAGCAGCCAATAGGCATACGGCGTGTCATCTCAAATAGCTTGGCTCAAAGGTCAAAATCAAGTTCTTGCCATGATATACCCTTGCTAAGATATTTTCTGTTTTTATGGGGCCGATTTTTGTGAGAACTTTATGCGTAATCTGCTGACAGTCAATACTTGAGAAGATCCACCTAAGCACCAAGCCAGTGCATTATCAACGGTAAAAATGACCCAATAGAGCCAGAGCCGTAAAAGAATTCTCGTTAATACGTAGTTGATTTGGCACTAAAACCGGCCCCCTTGAGTCAAAAAAGTTCTGGCCCACACAGAAAGGTTATATAAAAGATACAGCTGTTAAGCATTGGACTGATCCCTGCCTCCACCATTCCTTTTAGCTCTCTGCATACATTACAGGTGCTGAAAACATGATCGAAGAACAAAAGGTCGTTAAAGTAACTTTACCCGACTTGTTTGTCGGCTTCCTGGCTCGGAAACCCGTGTTGCATCAGGACTATGAGCATGCCCGTGTGGCTTCAGAATCATGGCTTTCAGAGTATGTCATTCAATAGAGCCTTTATACCTTACTGACATCTTGAATAAGTCTATGCGATTTCCCTCCCTCTTTACGAAAAACTGTCCATAAAATCGATATCGCTTACTACTGCGCCATCTTGCTACCTCATGTGGACGGAGGGCGTTTCCGTACAGTCTGTGACTGGATGAACTGGGTATTTATTTGGTCCCACTGCCTGTATAGTAGTTTAAGAGAAGGTCTGACTTTAACTCCACCGATAGGTTTTCCCATTTGATGATGGTGCGCCAGACAAACCTACTATGACTGCGTCGATCCTCTAATAATCTCCTCAACAGCACTAGACAATGGTCCCCTCAAGGAAAAGCCCGAAGAAGTCAGAGATTTGGTCAACAGCCTAATAAGAGTATTCGATACAAACACGGCCCAAAAACATCAGAATAAGCTTTTGCTTGCTTTTGAGTCGATTTGGCTTCGTGTCTGCCAGGTGCGGATAGTTCTCTGATCTTATACAAGCACCTGACCTGCTAGATATTAGAACTAATTAATAGTCAGGACTCTTGCCCTGGAATCCAGAGGCGATTTGCAGATTCGATGCGAGATTACTGCGAAGCTATCTTTCAACAGGTTGTTGTACAAAAGGGTAACAGCCAGAACCGACTCGGGGTAAAATCAACTCTGCAAATACGGCGGCGGTCCATTGCAACAATGCCATTATTTGCGTTGGTGGAGTGAGTTTCGTTGTTTTCTCTAAAATCTCATAGGGCTTTTTATTAATTGTTTGCAGGTATGCAAACGCCTTGCGTATACCAGATAATGTATTCGAATGCCACAGCATCAAAGAAATTCAACGAGTCGGCACCGATTTAGTTTTATTGTAAGCTCTCTTTCATAATATTCCATGAAAATGGAATTACTCATTTCTAGCTTTAGACAAAACGACCTGATATCATATCGTAAAGAGAAGGTACGCGAAATTACACAGATCATGATCAGTCACGTCTCTAACGGACCTATTATAGGCACTGGGCGAAAGCCACAACATAATATCTATTTACCAGCAAGAAGGATACACCATCCAAGAAGCATTCAATGAAGTAGAGCGATCATTGTCTATGTGTTATCGCGACTGGCATCTTGCATTGGCACAGCTACCCAGCTGGGGAGAAGAGATCGATGCGCAGGTTCAGCTATATATCGATGGTGTGCAAAATTCCGCCCTTGCCAATATCCACTGGAGGTTAGTCGTCGCTCTTGCGCCAATCGAATTATCTGTTTATTGACTTTCCTTCCATAATAGTTTCCGAATAGATCGTTATTGGGGAAATAACCAGGACGTTCGCAAGACGCGAATTATTGATCTTCCAGCAGAAAACGTTGCGCCGAAGCGACGAAAGATGGATATTCATATTTGGAATGGGGGTATCTTATTCTCAACCATTGTTCTGCTAGGGGTCTTTGGGTCGAAATTTGCCTTTCCTCAGGTATTTGATTTTGCTTCATGATTGTGAGACAACGTCATTGGTTTTTTGGGTTGTGACGGATATATAGAAATCTTTTCCCTTCCTTAGTTCTCATGGTTTTGAGAAGAAGAAATTTCGCGTCTCTTTTTATTTTCACCTACCAGGATACATATTGTGTAGGGGAATATGCCAACTCGGCGAGCACCCTGATTAGATTGAATACCGCGCGAGTCATTACAGATATTGTCTTTATCTGCCCCATAGATAGAATAAGAACCTTTCCGCTCTCTTCAAAATTCAACATCCGCTTCTCTATCAAGAAAGCCTGCTCAGTGTGATGGTTTTGTGGGTGGTTTGTTGATCTGATCAGCCCCTTTCTGCTTGAGCTACGAGCTTCCCTGGTTGAATATGTACCCCGTATAATTGAGTGTCATTAATCCAATCTGTATATCGAATTAGAGGAACGCCGCAATAGTTAACCCAGAAATTGTTCCCATTTCGGGTCATTTCCCATGGATTGTAATTGAAGCTCCTGTACCAACACACCCAACGCATATGTGGTGCTAGATCGACAATACTTGATTACTGATAACCCGTCTCTATAGACCAACTGGCTACCGTGAGAATGGCCACAGCTACAATTTCCCTTCGCCAGTCCCAGGTGGTGGCAGTTATATTCTCCAAGAACCGTGGGCCTGTATAATTGTATGGCCAGCCACACGAAGACAGGGCCGCCTGAAGGGCGAGTTTGCACCTTATCTAAGCCACCTGTCGCTGTGTCGGGAGCCAGTTTATCGTGGACATCGAAATAAGCACGCTGTCGCCGTCGTCAATCGCGTGGGGGCCAGTCTTCACATCTCCAAGGTCACCCTAACGCATGCTTCGGGAATAGCGGCGCCATTTTCAGGTACAAAATCCCTGGCTGAGGACGTATTTTACAACAAGTGTATCATCTAAGAAAGATAGGTTTCTAGGTATAGCTGCTCAAATTCTCATGTTGGTGGACATGGCAACCAATGTCGCTTTCAAGAAAGCCGTCTCGTTTCTGGGTCGGCAGCTGTGTTTGATCCCAATTTTCTCTTTCCCATCGAACCCAGAATCCCTCCCTTTCCCCTCCCCCGAACTCAACACTTTCTCAATAATGACTCCTCTAGATACATCAGTTATTCTCAACCATCAACTCCAGCAACAGATTCCACCGCCTTTTAAGAAAGCCTCTGTCTACCTCGTGCACTTACAAAAGCAGAAGTCAGCCCGGAACACTCATCACTCTCCAGCATAGCTACTCAATTTCGATTTTCGAACTCTTTCCCTCGGTTTGAAGCCGATAGATGCCAAGCATAGCTTGTTTGTTAAAGTCTGTGTTGTGAAGTCGGAGTGCTATTGGTTGGATTGAGACAATCTTCGCTCTTTACAGATGAGTATTGATCAAGCGCTTTGTTTAATTTTTAACCCAAATTTTCTCCAAGTCTGGACTCACGCCGACGTTCATGCCCGACTCGCAAACTGGAACAATTCTTTTTCGATCCCAGCATCCCATACCATTTCTACTAAAGGCCTTCGCCGGATAGATGTTGATTCACCTTGTCTCCTACACCTACACTTAGCTTCCCCTTTCTAGTTATATTAATCAAGCAGGTAACCTTACAAAATAGGCTTACTATATCATTTGATTGCCATTTAAAGATACATCGCATCTTAACCCATCAGTGATCTCGCTTAGGTTTTAGCGCGTTTCATATGATCGGCAGTTGGCGCGAACACCCACGAAACTAATTAATCTCTCACGCCACCCCGTTTTGTATATCGGAATGGCTTGATGAACTTCTGAGAAATAATTTTTGAGAATGAAGTGATAAAGAAGAAAATATTAGGGAGAGTCAGTTTTGAAATTTGGTTGAAGGCCAGTAGCAATGAATGCCGTCTGGGCTGCTTCACCACGAGAACATAGACCCTGGATCTCGAATGAATCATGCGTGGATGGTGGGGAAAATCATTCATAGACATTCCACCGTAAAGGATCTCTTAGCATGACGCTAATGAGATGAAAGGGGCTGTGGAGACAAAATCAAGCTCTCGAGATCCGACCAGATCACAATGGCCAAACACTTCACGGAACTGTTTTGGCGTCATTTGCAAGCCTGATCGATGTATTAATCATTTTAAATCTACCCCAAGGGGCTCGATAGCACATTTCTATTCGCGAGATGCAGTATTCTGAAACAGAATGTACCTTGTTCTGAGGTAGATTATGTTGCATGCGGTGTAAGTGTGTCTGCTTAGTGTTCTCGATTGCCGAGCGAGGAATAGTTCATGGACGTACTCGGATTCGTTAAATAGATGATCGTTTCAATGCATCACTTCCAGTTTGAAAACTCCAGAAATCTGGTTTTCATTCCTTCTCTGATCGAACTCTCTTCGTTCTGTTGTGAAGTTCATTGATTGAACTTCGTTCCATTCTTTCCTTCTTTTCAATATATCCGCTGTGCGTGATTCTTTTCTCTTGTGGCTTCGGCTCAAATGTCTCTCTCTAAGATCGCGAGTCTTTTCATAGCATCGGCTGCACTGGTTGCAGGCCATGGTTATGTGACTAGCATTGAAGTCGACGGGACTACCTACGGAGGCTATCTGGTGGACACCTACTACTACGAGTCCGATCCACCTGAGCTGATCGCCTGGTCGACCAATGCGACCGATGATGGATATGTTTCGCCCACTGCCTACCAGAGTTCAGATATCGTTTGCCACCGCGGCTCGGCCCCTGGAGCTCTTGAGGCGTCCGTCAAGCCTGGCGGTTCTGTCAAGATGACTTGGAATACCTGGCCGGATGACCACCATGGTCCGGTTATCACGTACTTGGCCAACTGCAATGGCTCATGTGCTGATGTCGACAAAACGGCCCTAGCTTTTTTCAAGATCGATGCTGGTGGCTTGATTAATGACGATACCGTGCCGGGCACTTGGGCAAGCGATAATTTGATCGATAATGACTATTCCAGGACCATCACCATCCCATCCGACATCGAAGCAGGCAGCTATGTTCTGCGACATGAGATCATTGCGCTGCATGGCGCTGAGGACTTGAATGGTGCCCAGAACTATCCCCAGTGCATTAACCTGAATGTGACTGGTAGCGGCACTGCAACTCCGAGTGGTACTTTGGGTGAGAGTCTCTATAAGAACACCGATCCCGGCATCTACGTCGACATCTGGCAAACTATCAGCACATATACCATACCCGGTCCAGCTCTCTACACTGCTGGCAGCACCGCCACCACAACAGATACTGATGTCACTACGACGGCAGCTACCACGACCGCGACAGCTGAAACGGCAACTACCGAATCCGCTGCTTTTGAGACGTCTGCCGCAGCAAAGACAACGGTCTCTTCTTCGCTTTCCCAGGCAACTGAATCTGTATCCACCAATAGTGGTCAGTCTCCTGATAGCCAGTCGAATCCAGGAGGCAGGATCTCTCCTATTGGAAATGCTCCCTCTCAGGCCGCCGAAGTGGCTAGCAGCAGCACCACTACAAGCAGTGCGGCCTCAAGCTCATCCACTTCTTCCTCCGGGATATTGAGCGGATCCTGCAGCGAGGAGGATTACTGGTATTGTAATGGAGGCTCGGCTTTTCAGCGCTGTGTGAATGGCGAGTGGGATGCGTCGCAGAGCATGGCAGAAGGTACTGAGTGCACCGCCGGAATCTCTGAGACACTCACCATCTCCGCCTCTAATCAGCGCCGAGATTTCTCCCATCTTCGTCGCCACAATGCGCACCGTCACCGTGTTTGAGCCGGATCTCCGCGGCAGACGGTGATTCTTGAGGTTGTGCGGGTACAATACTGAAGCAAACTACTGTTATCTCAGCATGTGTACTTGGGCCCCGTCAACTTTCCCAAATTCTGAAATCCAGCTTTCTGCGAAGCCAAAATTCAACCTTATATATAGAACCAAATTTCACGTGTCCAAGCTCAGAGAACCAGCGTCCGTAACTTTCGCGCTTGTCGTCATAGATGAGGGTAGTTTCCCGGGGGTCTTCTGGTCATTGGAATTTCCAGGAAGTGTCAGAAATAGAGGAAAGTAAGTTTTCCATTTCTCTGGTAGTTCAAATTCCAGCCTTTGTAAATTAATCTTGAATTCGATTATCTCAGTGCGTCAGGTTGGCATAGTCATCATAATATAAAATCGGATAAAAGCTAGATTCAAATGCTAGTAGTGGTGGTAAGATCCCTATAATTGTCCTTCACACATAATGACCTTAGTTTCTCTCTGTCGATAGTGTGACATCCGTAGTAACCATAATTTCTTTCCCATTCGGTGAGAAACGGGGAGTTTCATCGCTAGACTTTGTCTGTTCAACTATATGTTCCTGGCTCTCACCACTTGATCCCGGTCGATGTTTACCCCAAGCTAGAGATGAAGAAAGCTCATAGGGGTGGAGGCCGTTATCACCGTGACTCCTTGATGTATGAAAAAGACTACTCCGCTTGCCATTCGGCGTATTGCTCACGCCAGCCGATGCACTGTTACTATGAGTGGAAAACCAGCGCGAATTGCTAATGAGTGGCTTGATGCCGGGCGCACAGACCGTTATTGCCGATACAAAAGCTTCTCGGGAAGCCCAGCCAAGAGCCGTGGACAATGTAGAGATATCGCGAACGGAGTAATAAGCACGGAGCACTGCGGCCACCATAACAAAGACTCCCGAGGAGAATAGGAGACAAAGTAATAACTTTTGTCTCACCGGAATCCCGGCTTTGACAATCAATGGTATAGGCACGGCCATAACCGCAATGTCGGTTCTGATTGAAAGTTGCTATTAGCTTTTGAAATTTGAAGTTGACAAGTAAAAGTCTGACTTACATTATGCTGAGCGTCTCAATAATGATATAGTTCAACGGTCTAATAGTACAATTATCTGCTCATTGGGTCAATCCAAATCATTGAGTATAATATAAAGCTCCGGTCATACCACCAGCGTAAGGTTTAATCTGCCAGCTTCTGTGGACTGGCAGACAGATGAAAAGATGCAAGAATATCGATGCCATGAATGTGCAGAAAGAGAATACTGCGACGGATATTGTAAGACGGTGCTCCCAGAGACCTTTTCTGGAGTTTTTCATATCTTCAATTAGTTTCAGGGGTCGGGAAACATTCGAGACAACCTACGTCATTCTGCCATAGAGAAACATAAGCACCCCCTTGAAGGCCCATACCAAAGCAATGTATGAGATCCAAGCAATGAAGGCGTCAATAGAGCCGGCGCGATAGTCTGCGATCTCATCATCTGGTATTTCCATAGCCGTCTTGTTGTTGAGCCCAATGTTTGATTTGTGAACGGCTTTTCAGTACGTCAGTATAGGTGCGACGCCATGTTTTCGAAAAAGACCAACCTGTGCAGAGATACAGAAAGACTGTAAGAAATGTCCAGAAAATCTAATTTCCCTATTAGCACTGCCCATACTCGGATGGCCGATGTAACACTGACAACGACAAGTCCTAAAAAGAGATCATCCCAGTGAAACCGCCCTTTTCCAACTGACCATCGGGCATAGAGACGAACAGCAATAATAACCATTCCAATTGCCCATTCACTGAACATTTCTGCCGTCAGATTATAGGCCATTCTTCGTTGTGGTGTCCACCTCCGTGGCAATCTGCGATGCTCAGAGGTGCGGTTAGAGAATAGATTTCGACATAGCCCTCTGTAGAGAGAGACCTGAATAAATGTGTAATGGATCGTATTAAATTGAAGTAAGCAGATTTAAAGGCATGGAAAGAATCCTTTGTTCTGTAAATGGCTCATTCCCCCTTTTAGGAGGACTTTTTCGAGAGCCAGAGAAGGTGAATTATACTTTAGAAAAGAAGATCTCAATAACGAGGGAATCACTCCTTCTCCGTGCCCACGTTCTACTCACTATCGAACTATTTTGAATTAGTGCTACTGAAGGATTTTAGTCTAAGCAAATTTTTCTCTAACCATTCCAAAGGAAGTGGCAATTCTGGTTATGATCTACGTCAAGGATCACTACCCTAAGAATCTGTAAACAGCAAACGAAGAATTATTTCGTTGGCTTGAAACTGAGCTGATTCATTCTGGGGCCGTAGGGTATTTCTCATAAACGTCAATGTTTTCTCAGTGCTCAAGGACCGTTTTTTGAGCCTGAATGTGCTGGACTTGTGCGACCAACGTGGAGGAGACGATCCGTTGACATAGAAGAGCTCCACATTATGGAGACTTGTATCAGGCTAGATGGCTTGGAGTTATTTTGTCCCGCAGGATTTGTCTCCTTGACACAAATCCTGCTCACAAGGAGACCTTGGCACGGGCAGATCCCCCTATGCTGGGGTTCGAGTGATGGGGCCAAAGGGCTTCAGATGGGTCAAGATGCATGCAGAGGATAAATTTAACCGTTAAGGTAGTCTAAAATAATCCATTCACAGCTAACGTTCCACAAAAGTGCAGATCTTAGATGGAAGAGTTCGTGTTCTTTCTCCATCCTGTACGAAAATTTCTTTTCGTATGCAAGGGACTTACTTCACAACGTGGACCTTTGGATTGTCAAGAATCGACCACATATTATTGATGATAGAGGGGTGGTCTCAGAGCTTTCTATGGTATTGGTAGAGGCACGGGAGATCTTCTTCTCAAGTTATCATGCTAGATGGGCAAGTAGGTATTGTACGTACTATCATTGTCTTCCGTAATTGAGAAAAAGAGGTCATGGATGTCCCCACCGCCTATTTGGGTCCGCCCGGAGCACCGGAGGATCCTTCCGGTCCCCACCAGTCAATTGGCCCGCGAGGCAGCGTCAGGTCTCTTCCCCGATTTCGCGGCTAGATCCACAACGGGAGATTAGTCCATGGCACCAAAATTGTAGTATGAGTGAACTGGCCGTAAATCCTTACCTAAGTTAGAGGACCTAAGTTAGAGGACACTCACTATCAGTGGCGTTCTTGCGCAAAGTGGTGGTGCAGGGTGCAGGCGGGGTCAATTGTTTTCAGAGCAAAAGCAATTATACTTAACTATGATAAACCCAGCAGTTCTCTGAAGAGAGATCTTCATCCCTGCTTATCTCGAGCTTTTTTTTCCCAACATGGATATTCAACGAATTCAGGAGCTCTTGGAGAAGACCAAAGCTTCATTTGATAACTATAAGTCAAATGGAGTGGAGGCCAGCCGTATCGAAGCACAGGAACAGGCGTTTAGACTAGCACGCGCATTGGAACGACCTCGAGATGCTATTCTCAAGCTGGCCTACTCCGTGAGACTAATCTCCCATTGAATTGTTCTTAGAATGAATTAGTAACGGTCAAATAAAACAGCCGGCTATTGTCATGGCCATGAAGGTGGCTCTTGATCTGAATGTGTTCCCTGTGCTTGCGCAAGCCACTTCGCCAGTGCCCTTAGCCGAGCTGGCAGCTGCAAAGCCTGCAGATCCCATTTTAGTCGGTATGTGATGAAACAAGAGATGCGAGAGGCGGCTGCTCTAACACCATCCGCTATTAGAGCGTATTCTACGGGTTCTTGTCGCCAATGCCGTAGTGGAGGAGCCTGCTCCAAGCGAATACTTGCCGACCGCATTATCAAAGGAATTGACCAAACGTCCCTCAATTGGGGTCCTGGAGTCTCTGTAAGCCACTTAAGTTGTCTACCAGGGAAAGGCACACCTAAACATTGACATGAGCTAGATTCTGCGAATTCCTGCCATCCTTCCAAAAGACTCCCGAATTCCTCAAGTCCACGAATTACCGCAATCCGGATGACCCATTGGATGCTCCGTTGCAGTACACCCACGATCTGGGTAGGTTGAATGGATTTACTTGGCTGTGCCAGAATCCAGATGCTCTGAGTCGGTTCAATAGCTTCATGGAAGGTCAAAGAGCCGACCGCCTCCACTGGGGCGATTGGTTCCCTGTTCGCGAACGAGTTTTGGACCATCCAGAGCTCACCGCAGAGACCCCATTAATTGTTGACATCGGTGCCGGTCGAGGACATGATCTGATAGGGTTCCGACAAAGGTTTCCAGATGCTTTAGGCAAATTGGTTTTGGAGGACCTCTCGACTGTCATCGAAGAAGTTCGTGGTGCGCAAGATCTTGAGGCAGCCAAGGTGGACACCCAGGTGTTCGACTTTTTCAACGAGGTCCAGCCGGTGCAAGGTAAATGCTTGTCAACTTTTATAATGCGATCGTGCTAATATCTTCTGTCCATGTAGGTGCGAGAGTGTACTATTTCAAGAACGTTATGCATGACTGGTCCGATGAAAAGGCAGCCATCATCTTCAACAACCTTAAGCCTGCCATGAAGCGGGGATTTTCGAAGATTATCATGGAGGAATACATTCTTCCCGACCAGAACGCCAGCTCGCTTCCATGTACCACGGACATGGCAGTTATGATTTTCTGCTCGGGTCTGGAGCGATCACGTCAGCGTTGGGACAACTTGCTGTCAGCCAATGGTCTTCGGGCATTGAAGTACTGGGCCCGTGAAGGAGATGGGCTTGGTATTGTTGAAGCCGAGCTCGCATAGTACCCTATAGATCTATTGTTTGGACATATGACCAGATCAACGCTTATCAGCAAATGCAAATCTCTCCAGCTCAGTTACAGCCTGCGCGTCGACGTTTGATGATCAGTTTGGCAAATTTAGGAGTCGAAGTCTTTAGGCAATTTGTGTGCCAGAAACAGAGGACCTTGGATCGGCCGTGTGGTTTAGCATATTGTTTCGTGATTGTAAGGATCTTCCGTTAAATTCAGAAATCAATGTCTCATCAAGGTGACAAAGATAATGTGTACGAATGTTTGTTGGCAATTTTGTACTTGATTTCGCCCCCAAAGTCTCTGTTGGGCAGAGATAATTAGCTTCGCGGCCCCCAAACAGTATGACGCAATTGTGGGTGGGCTGAAGCAACAAGCATACATGCTCACCGGGTTGGTCATTCATTGCAACCTGAGGTGCTAGGATGAGAACTCCATGTATAATGACGACTGCATACAGCTTCTTTTGTATACTACTCATACCTTATCTCGAACGACGATGTTCACCAACGACAAACAGCATAATGCTTGATGAGTGTTACGTAAAGTGGGCTTGGGATAGTTATGTAAAGAAGCTCATTCTCGTACGTAGTGGTTACGGCATAAGAGATACTCGCTGACCAAGCATGAATGCATCTAACAGTGAGTTGGTCCCTGATTACCTTCCTGGTTGTGAATGATTTTCATGTCCTCCAACTCCGTCATTAACAGCATTCCCGATTGCCTAGATTCATCTATGCCTACTTGTGTAATCTCTCGCAGCCAATTTCATTATGGTTGAGCAAAGGTGAAGCGTCAGACATATAAGTTTTAGAATACTGCAAGCCGTGTTCTGGTTTGGATCTGCAAATTTTAGTAATCAAACAAAATTGCCTGGTCATAATTCCGTCAATTCTACGACTCCTCTTATATGTAGCGATTTGTAGGAGAAACATGGAAAGGTAAAATTGAAATGTCCTTCAACATTGAATAAATGAAACTCAATATTTATTTTCACTACAACCTTGGAAGGAGAATCAAATTTTAGAAGATTGCATTTACAGGCAGTCTTGGGATTTTTCTTGACTCGTCCACTCGTCATCAAGATATCATGCAAAATGTCCGATCTAAATCAAAATGAACCAGATTATGATTCAGATGGTTTGCCTTCATCTGTTAGACGGTATGCCTATGAAGGAACAGATCACTTTTCTCGAGTTCTTGCACGTGAAAAAAAAAAACTGCTCGATTCAATTCGCGAGTCTAGTGAACTTTTCATTCTCAGCAAAGCATCTGACAGCACCAAACTAGAGCCAAGTACTGAGATCAGCGAATACACTATCTTTTCCATTGATCCCATCACTTTTCATATGGATTTCATCGATCCAAATGCCATCCCTATTCGTGGGATCCGAACATCTTACAACCCGAAGACCGAATTACTTATTGTCAAGATGGTGACACAAGAACACAGTCAAATCGCCTTCGCCCTCCACAGAGCCGTTGACTACAGCCTTATGCGCATGGGACTCAACCAGGCCGTCTTTGATTATATGGGAGTCGATATCAATGTCAATGGAAGAGTCAAACAGCCAGACATGGGCTGGGGGCCGAGAAGACCCCCTCGGGGCTGTTCTCAGCGGCCAACGGTGGTTTTGGAAGTCGCTGTGTCAGAGAGTGAAAGCAAACTTCGCCGTGAAGTCACTATGTGGGTTGACCCTGCTAGAGGGAGAGCCAATGTTGCGATTGCAATCAACGTCAGTCGCAAGAAGCCCATGGTAAGTATTGGCACGTGGATATGGGATCCTGTCAATGGCACATCCCTTGAATCCCAACATATTGAGGTTTCAGAAAGCGAGACCGATGAAGTCAAACTGTCTGGAGGTCCCCTCATCATTCCCTTTCATCTATTTTTCCTAAGAGATCCTGAAACACCTAGAGAAACCGACGTTATTATCGATAAGGAAGGGTTGCAGCAGATTGCCGAGTGGGGATGGGATGCGCAATTTCAGTAAGGACTCGAGGTTGATTTCAAATTCGAATTTGATGATTTAGCTAGTGGATCTCGTATGTTTTTAAAAAACATCTTGGTTCAGAAACATCATCCTCCTGCACTAGCAGATAATGAAACGAGAAATCAATGTCGTCCGTTCGGGCCAACAACCGGGTAAATGTGTATTTCCATAATGGGACTAGCGCGTTCTGCCTGCACGCGTCGGCGCGTCTCACTATCAGAGGGGAACGCCCAGGATCCCAGATCCGACCTAATGACAATAATTGAGACGCTTGAATGATTCCTTCGTCGCCAGCTTCTCTTACCTCTTTTGACCCGGCACTCCACCTTCATTCTGAAGACCTTCCAAACGCGACCGACCCTCCTTCCGAATCCTTCGCCGACGAGATCGAAGCGATCCATCTCCACCGCCAGGAGCAGACCCGCAACAAAGTCGTGATTCAACATCGGGCCTGGGATTTGTCTGATGTGTTTCGCAGTGACGACGAGCTAAGACCTGGTCGGATTCACAGAAGCATGGTCATCAAGTGTTTGCGCTAATGAGCAATCTAGACACGCCGACGAAGACCTCCGCTAATACTCCTCGGAAAATACCGCTTTGCCAAAACCAACACTTCGCTTTTCTTCCCTCGTCCCCTCCTGTAACAAGGATGCCATTCATCTCATCCCCGAGTACCGCGGTGCTCGGAAATTCGGACGGCAATGCACAAAAAAGGAAGGCTACTGATCCAGATCAAAGCTCGCCGCAAGCAGAACCGAAGCGACCGAAGTTTGTGGGTGGATTTGTCGACGATGATGACGACGACGAGGCAAGAGATGATATTGCCGCTTTGAATGATGCACAACTGAAAAGCCAGTTCGAGCTGGAAGATAACCCGGAGCCCGCGCCGCAAGACCTACCCGGAATCCCAGAACAGTCACAGATATCATCATTGGCAGCTTTACAGAACGACGACTTTCCAATAGCTTCCACAATTCAAGCCGAAATGACGTCTCGACCCGCCGTTGCCCCGTCGAAGGAATTCCAGATCAAGACTTGCGATGGCAAGACACATCATATTCCGTCACGAAAGGCCCAACCCTCGGTTTCTTACGAGCGTATCATTGCTAGTCGATCTGAGGCCGACCCTGTCAGAGCGCAAAGAAGCTACTACGGCATTGATATCCATAAGTTGCTTGATGAAACCGCAAAGGAAACAGCTTCTTCCGAAGCACCGCCCAGGCCTCCAGTCCAGCAATCCATTGAGCGGACTGAAAAGAATGCGAAGCAGAGAAAGGCCGACTCAATGATGTGGACCGAGAAGTACCGCGCCCGCAAATTCACGGACCTAATTGGAGATGAACGCACGCACCGGGCTGTGCTTCGCTGGCTCAAATGCTGGGAGCCAATCGTATTTCCAGGCCTGGCCAAGTCGTCCAGAATAAGGAAGACTGGTCATAATGCAGACGACGAAGAGCACATGCACCGCAAGGTCCTTCTTCTCAGCGGACCACCTGGGCTTGGCAAGACAACTCTGGCGCACGTGTGTGCCAGACAGGCTGGCTACGAAGTACTTGAGATCAATGCCAGTGATGAGCGCAGTCGAGATGTGGTTAAGGGTCGCATCCGTGACGCATTGGGTACAGAGAACGTCAAGGGCTCAAACGTTGAAGTGGGTGAGAACAAGGTTCGACGTGCTGCCAGACCTGTCTGCGTCGTTGTAGACGAGGTTGACGGTGTCGTTAGCGGATCTGGCAGTGGTGGCGAAGGTGGCTTCATGAAAGCACTAATTGATTTGGTGCTACTTGACCAGCGAAACTCTACCAGGTCTGCTGAAAATGGTGGGAAGTTCGGTAAGAAGCGCAAAGGCGATACCTTCCGCTTCATGAGGCCATTAATTCTGGTTTGCAATGATTTGTATCATCCCAGCCTTCGGCCTCTGCGCGCGTCTTCTATCGCTGAAATGATCCATGTTCGACAAGCGCCATTGGAGAATGTTGTTCAACGTGTAAAGAACATTTTTGTTCGAGAAGGAATTACATGTGACGGAGACGGTGCAAGAAGGCTGTGCGAAGCAGCCTGGGGTTTGTCAGGCAGAAGGCAGCGTAATTCAAAGAACAGCGGCTCTGCAGAAGGTGATATCCGCAGTGTCCTTGTTGCCGCAGAATGGGTAGCACACAAGCTTCGCAACGAGTCCTCGACTTCTTTGCGGCTGACTCGAAATTGGCTAGAATCCCGAATACTTCGTGCATCGACTGAAGGGGGCACATTCTTCAAGGAGATGAGCCGCGGGGGTGTTCGGGAGATTGTGAATCGCGTTTTTACTGAAGGTGCTGGTTTCACAGATGCCCCTGTGGGCATGACATCCTTCCAGGACCGATTTAGTGGGCCTAATAGCAAAACCCCAGTGGGTGTAGCGGATTTGCGAAAGAGACATGCTATTAACCGTCTACGTGAGATGATTGATGCCAGCGGTGACCATGACCGGTGCGTTACGGATTGCTTCGCTGCATATCCCATCCAGCAATACCAAGACGACACTTTCTTATCCAAGCCCACCGCGGCGTATGATTGGCTTCATTTCCATGACTCCATCTCCTCCAAAGTCCATTCATCTCAGGAATGGGAACTGGGCCCTTATTTGAGCCAGTCAGTTCTCGCCTTCCACCATTTATTTGCTTCTGCAGCTGGTAAAGTCGACGCCCATGAACGAGACAATGAAGATGAGGATGCTGAGGAAGAGCACCCTTTCTCTGGTCCCAAGGCTGAATACGCTGCCTTTGAGGCTCAAAAGGAAAACCGGGCCATCCTGAATGGATTCCACTCTTCCTTCTCAGCTCCTATGACGCGAATATTCCGATCTCCCGATAATGTCATCACCGACCTGGTGCCGTATCTAGTCCGGATGTTGTCACCGGATGTGAAGCCAGTGATTGTTCGAGGGAGTGGCGAGCAGCGGAGCACGGCCAGCGTACGCAAAGAAAGCGAACGTGCTCTCGTACAGTCCGCCGTGCGCGTTATGTCCAGCATAAACATGACGTTTGAGAAGGTCCGAGTGGAGCATGAAGGCGGAAGCCACGGCGGATGGGCCTACAGAATGGAACCGTAAGTGATTTCCAGTTTTGACTTTTTGTTGACGGGGAAACTGGACTAATTCTCCATACCAGACCCATCGACTCGCTAGTGGCGTTCTCAAAAATGGCAAGCAGCACTTCGTCATCTGGTACTGCACCTGTCCGATACGCAGTTCGTCAGGTTCTTGATCAGGAGTACCGCAAGGAAACCATGCGAAAACAGTCCGATGTTTTGAATGCAGCTGGTCGCAATTCTGTTCTCGGAAAATTCCCAGACGAGCAAGGAAATTTGGCTCAAAAGGCGATGAAAGAGGGTGCTGTCAAACGAGATTTCTTTGGACGAATTGTTGCAGCCCCTATTTCGGAGAATAAGACTTCTGATGACCACAATGCAACTGACGAAGCTTCAAAGGCTGGCAGGAAGGTATGGGTCACCTATCATGAAGGATTCTCGAACGCGGTCCGCAAGCCTATTTCACTTGGAGAATTAATGGCCGGGCTGTGATTTCGAGCGTTAGTTGTTTCCAAGTATATCTTTGACGTTCTTTAGCAATTTACATGTCAAATATTTTGTTTCACTTTAGTACGATTTTTAGGCATGGCTGCCAGTTTTTGTTAATATAGAGCTAAAATATAGAGTTTGCTTGCTACGATAGTGAACGACACTCGTTTAGGGACTCGGCTCTTTGATCAAGGATCAATTGCAGAATGAAATATTTTTCAAGATATATAAGTGAAAACCTCTAACTAATCCATGAACGAAAACCTCCATTTTTATGTTTCTGTCATGGTGAACAAAGCAGGACAAATGGAAAAGCAAACATGAAAAAAAAAAAAGAAAGCACAGAGTGGCAAGGCGCAGAGTATATAAATCGAGTACAGGTATTAAATGTGTATGTCATTCCATTGTCGCTAAAGCGGCTCCATCGAAAAGCAGTGGTATCAAGGTCAGAGAGAAATCAAGAAAGCGCAGATGGCGGCAGGCGTTAGATCAAAGCGTGGCTCCAAGTTCCAGGAGTGTATTAGATGGGCAGGGAGCCGGTTTTGGTTTCATCGTGTCGTGATTGCATATTGGATTGTCCAATAGACTTGCTTTATCATTCAGCGCAGGCTGAAGTAGCTGGCAACTGCTTCATTGTGTGTGGCCTGTTTGGCATAGAACGCGTCTGACTTGGTGACATGCTTGGGCTCGGAGAGCAATGAGAACCACTTGTTCTTCGAGAGCTCAGTACCCCTGAGGGTGGTTGCGGTGGAAACCGTGGAGTGTGTGGAGGCAGCGTCGCTCGACATGCTCTTGGAGGAACTCTTGGAGCTCTTGGAGGAGAGGAAGCTGGACATTTTGAAAAAAGTTTGGCCGACGGTGAGTGAAGTGTTGGGAAGAATGGTGGGAATTGTATAGATGGTTTGTTTGCGTGATGCAATCAAAGTGTTGTTTTGTAAGATGGAATGAGGAACTGATGGAATCACTGATCGTGATTTATTTTCTTTTGAGTGGATTTGATTTGGATAGATGTGAGAATAATCTATTTCCACCTGGGGATCCTGAAAACTTATATACTTTGCAGCTCAGCTTGATACTTCCCAGTCACTCCGTGCTCACTCCGAAGTAGAAAATTTTCATTAGAAATCTAAAAATTCTTAAAGCCACGGCTCCACTATCCAAGCCATCAAGAATGGATTGAAGCTCAAATAAGCCCCAGATCAAAAAAGACGTCAGAGCCAGGCAGCCAAGTGGGGCTCGGCGAGGGCCTCGGAGTAGACTTCGGAGTTGCCAGGGCGCCAACAGAGTCGATCGAAGGATGACCAATAGCCCCAAGGGCGCGCACATGTGCCATTTCACCATCACAATACTGGCCAATGCCTGGCATTTCCGAATGATTTTTAGCCTAATAGGGCAATGGGAGCTTTTGAAGCCCAAACGCGGCGTCCTGATCCGGACGTCCCAACCCTGCGGCTCACAAATCCTTACGTCTCGAAGGGGCTCATTACCCCGAAACTCTAGATACGGGAGATCCCATTCTATCATTTGTCAAAGCCCAGCGCAGATGATCCTTCTTCCCCGCCGGGTTGCGTGGCCGCCTCTCCTCTGCGCCTGTTGAACTGAGTCATGGTATGAAGCCTCGAGTCTGGACTCGGTGTCGGAGGCCTGCCTAAGCGATCAGCACGAAACTACCGTTGGCGTATTAATGAGATAGCGAGCTAGTATGTATGTATCATCGTTCTAGGGAGGTTGGGCTCTGATGGCTCTGCGACTTGTGCATACAAAGTCCATTTTGGCTCCGCGGGGCCCATAAAAAAGTATAGTAAGAAGGTCGGGGTCTTAATACGGAGTCAGGATGGGGCATATGGCCCTGGCGAGACTGTCTCCGCGGTTACACGCGGTGATCACTCGCCTATTATAGGCATTATCGTCAAAAACGAGGAAATCTCTACCAACAAGAATGCGATTACTTTGGAAAAACACGTCAACATGGCGATGAATCTATTAACCACCGAGTTCCATATGGGGTCGCTTCCGTTGCCCGGACTTTACCAAGGCAGTTCTTTACGAAGTGGCTTGGAATGACTCAATATGCGGAGTTGTCCAAGCATCCAATCAGCCATCCATGGAATTCAACAAAGACGCGATATCATCTGCATCCAACGGTGCTTTGAAATGCAAAGAATAATAAACTTCTCTTTAATTCCATTCAACAGATGTAAAAAGTGGCGTGATGGGAGGACTTAAGTGGTTAGTCCGAGGGTTAGTCCGACGACCGAGTTTTTACTCCGAGCTTAATCCGAGGACCCCCAAATAGATCTACTACAAGCAACTAGCAGTGCGACCTGATTGAGGCAAGAACCAAGAGAAAATTTTTATTCCGAACATTATTCCGAATCATGATCTTGACCCTCCGGCTTGAAATGCAGCCACAGAGTACAGCCTTCCGCGATGTGAGGCTGACTACGTGGCCAGACAAGTCCGATCGATATGCAGTCAATGCTTGCCATGAATTCTGGCGCTTGACTGGTCGGATATCTTTAGCCACAGGTACTATGACGCTTGACCCATCTCGTATTTAACCCGGTGCCGATTCCTATATGATGACCAAGCCCCCCATCCTCGTGTTTTGCTCTCTAACATCAGTCTAAAACACGCCCTCCGGTCTTGGAAGATCGAACAGGTCCACTTCTTGTCGACTATCGCCAAAATGCAGAGAGCAATCTTTATCCATTTACCCAAGGGCGTCGCTTCTGGATACCCTATGCAGATCCATGACTCAACTATTGGCGGATATATTCTAACGTGAACTATCTGCCAAGTGAATCTCCAACATTAATAATCCAACGTGAGGAATTAACTTCCTGTTATTTCACTTCTCATTCAATCTACATGTATCAGTTCCTTTCGTAATCTCACATCCGCAATCGGTCGACTTTATGTTATCGTTGGTCAAGCGCTGACATTTAACGAGTCCACTTGTCAAGGCCATTGTATCTCGAGGGAATGTCTCGCTCGAATGTCGTACCATGTGAGCATGAAGGCTTTTGGAACTTGATATGATATCCTCCCCGCGCTCCTGGAGGCCCGGGTGTCCCTGATTACTAAATCTCACTGAATCAAAGCGTGGATCATGATGCCCTCCCTACCCCGAGCCTGACAAGTCCAGCATCTTGTGCAACACAACGGCCTCAGCGAGAAAAGATTGCGGGGTAAAAAAACATAAACGAAGTCCTCAGTCAGGGGTCAATCGCGGAACAAATGCCGTTTGGACCGCATTCTACCAAGCTCCCTCGGCCTCGACGCGACGGACACGTAATTTGTCAGCGAGCCGCCAGAGTGCCGATGCCGAAGCATGCTGAATAACTAAGCGCGGAATACCATGATTAAGCCAGGGACCTTCGGCAATTGAAAAGCGAAAAAAAAAATGGGGGGAGAGAGATAATTGGCCAATGGGGAATCTGAATAGATATGATATAAAGATGCGCTCAACCAGGTTTCTCTAGCCTTCATCTCATCTAGCATTTCTCTCGTTCAGTTTCTCTGCTGCAATTGCACCCGCTGCCTACGCTACCTACACCCTCAGCCCCAAATATGTCGCTCAAGCCTATCACTCTCTACGGCCATGGAGGCGGTCCCAACCCCTGGAAGGTCGTCATGACCTTGGAGGAGCTCAACATTCCCTATGTCTACAAGATCGTCGATTTCGCCGACATCAAGAAAGAACCCTTTATCAACGTCAACCCGAACGGCCGCGTCCCTGCTATCGAAGACCCGAACACCGACATGACTTTGTGGGAATCGGGCGCCATCCTCGAGTACCTGATCGAGACCTACGACAAGGAACATGTGATTAGCTTTGACGCGGGCTCGAAGAACTATTTCCTTGCCAAGCAATGGCTACACTTCCAGATGTCCGGCCAAGGCCCGTATTTCGGTCAAGCCGTTTGGTTTACCCGCTATCACCCTGAGAATGTTGAAAGTGCGAAGGAACGCTATGTTAAGGAAATCCGCCGCGTTTCGGGAGTGCTGGACACGGCCCTGGCGGATAAAGAATACCTTGTGGGCAACAAGTTCAGTTTTGTCGACCTTGCCTTCATCCCTTGGTTTAAAGTCACTGTGATGTTCGGCATCGACCTGGCTACGGAGTTTCCCAATGTTGATGCTTGGCTCAATCGCCAGAAAGCCCGGCCTGCTGTCGCCAAGGCCCTGAAGATGCAGGAGGAGGCCACCGCCGCTCACTAGAAGCTGCCTTTAATATATAACGATGCAGCCGAAAGTTAAAACTAGATTCCTGATCAATGAGATAAAATCAACGTAATAGGAAATGAGCAATGGAAAAGAAGACCTTACATATCCCCATGGTTAAATCGTCGATTGATTGCTGCTTGTAGAGGTGTGCAAAAGATTTTCGCATATATCCGATCTAATAATCAGCTGCTTCTATCTGAAGATAGCATATCAGCCCCTTCAAGAAGGACAGAATCCATAGAAGTATAGAAGTATAAGAGATTAGACGGCCATTTTGTATCGATAGAGATTCCGAAGACCGAACAGAACAGGAAAGACACACTAATCCTATTTGGGGCTAGCGGCGGTGTCAGTCTTGGCACAGCAACCGCGAGTTTTCCGTGTCGCGACATCCGCCTCCCCCATTGATTGAGCACCCCGTCCAATCATCCCCCCTGACCTGATTACCCATTGGAGTCAGCAATTTCTCATTCTCTTTGGCTCATCTCGCGCGAATATTTGCTCTTACGACGCGTAACTCGTTGCGCCCTTCAGAAGAAGACAGCGAACGACAGGGCAAGGAGTTGACCTTCCGTCGCCTGCGACAGCAGCTTTGCTTCGGTTGAATCATCATGGATGAAACTCCTGTCAACCCGGCCGCGGCGCCTGAGAATGTTCAGACCGTGGGTGGGATAGAAGGCAGTGCAGATGCAGCCCACGCTGGCAGTGGCTCAGGTACGTCCTCGCCCAGCCACCCTCCTAATGTCACATCGAAAACTGACCAGATGAACTAGAAGCGCAATCGCGCCAGGAGTCTCCCGAAAAGAAGACCGAAAATCTTGCCGGCTCGGACAACCCGCTGGATGCGCCCGCCTCCCCTAAGCCTCATAACGGCGATGCGGAACCCGAGGACGAGGAGATGGGTGGCACCGAGACCGATGCCAAGCCTGACACTGAAGGACTAGAGGATGCAGTAGGCGAGTCGCAGCCGCCAGAGCAGGCCACAGAGGGCCTGGAGGATGCTGTGGGCGAGGACCAGCCCGCACCCAGCAAGTCATCTTTGGAAGCTTCCGCCCGCGACCAACTCGTCAGCCAAACCCACGCCATCATTCTTCCTAGCTATGCTACCTGGTTCGACATGAACTCCATCAACGCCATTGAGAAGAAGGCACTCGCAGAGTTCTTCAATGGTCGTAACCGGAGCAAGACCCCGGCTACTTATAAAGATTACCGTGATTTCATGATTAACACTTACCGATTGAACCCCATCGAATATTTGACTGTCACAGCCTGTCGTCGCAACCTTGCCGGTGACGTGTGCGCTATCATGCGCGTCCACTCGTTCCTTGAACAGTGGGGTCTTATCAACTACCAGGTGAGCTTAAGGGATGTATTTAGTTGACTTTGGGTTCCTGCTAACATTTGTAGGTTGATCCGCAAACCCGGCCCTCCAATATCGGCCCCCCATTTACCGGGCATTTCCGAGTCATCGCCGATACCCCCCGAGGACTGCAGCCTTTCCAGCCTGGACCTCACCCCACTGTCACACCGGGCAAGGCTCTTCCGGCTACCGAACGTGCCGCCTCTGCTACACCCGCCAAGGCCGATGTCAACCTCGAGCTCCGCCGCAATATTTATGACGAGAAGGGCAAGGACGTCACGCCGGCTGAAGACAAGGAGAAACAGACTAACGGTGAAGCCACAAACGGAATTGAGCCCTCGGAGCCAAAGAAAAAGTTTCACTGCTTCTCCTGCGGTATTGACTGCACACGTCTTCGATTTCACTACGCCAAGTCGGCCCCGACGTCAGCCAATGCCAACACTCCTGACACAAAATATGATCTGTGCCCCAACTGCTTCCTTCAAGGTCGTATGCCTTCCAGCCATAGTGCTTCGGACTTCGTCAAGCTTGAAGACAAGGGCCACTCTCAAGTCGCCGATAAGGATGCCCCTTGGTCAGATTCGGAGCTTGTCTTGTTGCTAGAAGGCCTGGAGAACTTCGATGATAATTGGGAGCAGATTGCAAACCACGTCGGCACCCGGACACGGGAGGAATGTGTTATGAAGTTCCTGTCTCTAGAGATCGAGGATAAATATGTTGAGGACATCCCTGAGCTGCGCTCCGGCGCTGTTCGAGACCCCGTCAGCCAGTCAGAGAACCCTGTGCTCTCGGTGGTCGCTTTCCTGGCTCAGATGGCCGAACCTGCTGTGGCCGCCGCTGCTGCAGGCCGCTCCGTTGAGGAAATTCGGAAAGAGCTGCGCGTTCAGCTGGAAAAGGGCGACGCGAAGAATAAGGAGGCTGTGAAGGCCGAGGACTCCATGGACGTCGACCCTGTCCGTGAGGTCGAACAGGCAGGGAAGCCCAAGGAATCTCTTTCCACCGTTGCTCTGGCTGCCTCTGCCGCCCGCGCTGGAGCTCTTGCTTCTCACGAGGAGCGTGAAATGACCCGGCTGGTTGGTGCCGCGGTTAACGTGACCCTGCAAAAATTTGAGATCAAGCTGCAACAATTCAACGAGATGGAGGAGATCATCGAGGCTGAGCGCCGAGAATTGGAACAAGCACGCCAGCAACTCTTCCTCGACCGAATGGCCTTCAAGAAGCGCGTCAAGGAAGCCCAGGATGCTCTCCAGGCTGTAAGCCTGCAGGGTTCCAACGAGCAGACCAACGCCATGCTCACAAGTGCCGCCACCGCCGGCATCGGCAACAACTACAACTTCCAGCCCGTCGGCGCTGATGCCCAGGCTAGTGCTCAGCCTTTGAGTGCGCAGGCTGGTGCTGACTTTAAGACTCTTGACCTGTGAGCTTTCGCCTTCCTCGATGCATGTACGATATCCAATGGATGCGCGGGGGGTTGGGGCTATGAGATGTAAGGAGAGCGGGGGAAACTACCATTTTCCGGTGGTGTTATGAATATCTTTTTTGAACTTGTCTATCTGTCTGGCTAGGAAAAGGCGCAATATCTTATTTTCCGTCGGGAGTTTGAGTTGATTGATTTCGCGCCCCCCTACGAGAGCCATGAACGAGTGGGCTTATTGACTTTCAGGGGATAGGAATCGGGGGGCCTAGGGCTTCTACCTTTTTTCTTGAATGTGTTTACTTTTTTTTTCTAATCATATGTTCATCATGGAAACGCGACCTGTTGCTTTGCAACAGTATTAGTAGGTTGTGACTAGTATTTGGTATCTTTACATTATGTTGGTAACTGTACAAATGCCTATAGCGGCTATTCTGCGTTCTCGGTCGAGTGATTAATCGTCAACGAATGAATGAACGCCTGCCATGCCTCTGATCCATAGGCCGGGAGATCAACTCGAGTGTTTTCTTCTGCGCCAAGCTGCGGTCCTTCAGGAGAGGAATCATCACTGTTGACGACCGAAGCAGATAAAGGTTGCGGCTCATCGTCGATGCGACGCCGTTTATGCCGATTCTGTACAAGACCTTCCTCGAGCTCTGTGATATCATATCCATATTCCTCCCATTCACTGCGGTGTAATGTACGATCTCGCCAGTCCACCAATTCTTGCTTAGTCCTGCGCTCGCCAAAAGGCTTTTGCGCGGCAAGCTCTTTATTTTTTTCCTTGTCATCTTCTTCAGAGGACAGGGGTTCTCCCAGAGAGAGCGGAGCGGGCTGTTGTAGCATCCGCCATAATTTCAATTCTTCACTTCGGCTATTTTCTTGGTCGACATTCTCTGCATAGCCTTCTTCTGGATCCAGAGGCCCTTCATCGGGAGAAGATAGGGGAGAGGACAGTTCGAAGTCCTGTGAGGGACTCCTCCTTCTACTCGGCGATCTGTAGTTAGCCTCGCCATCGGAGCTTTCCTCGTGGCTATCTCCGTCGTTGTCTCCATCGCTATCCTCATCGCTGTCCTCGTCACCGCTTGATTCAGTGGTCAGACGTGAATCTCGCGTTTGTTCAAAGTAGTCGTCCTCGCCATCTAAAATCAATGCTGCCTCGTCGGAGGTAAATTTGCGAGCGACCCAGCCCTTCCGCTTGCGAACGTCTATGATACTTAGATCATGACAGGCCGTCAGCTTGGCAAGGTTGGGACGAGTATTTTGCATGCCTAGGGTGCTAATAGCCGCCTTCACGTCTTGTTTGCGAACAGCACCTTGTCTGTCAGCACCCACTCGACGTGAGCTACGCAGTCGACACATGGCAAAAAAGAGTGACGAGTGGACAAGCCGGCGCGTGATGCTGACCACCAGAGCATAGAAATTCATATATGCATCTCCAGTCATAGATGGCGATTCATCTTTTGATTTGATGATATGTACCCAGTTGTCATCAATGCGTGAGCCACCAAAGTTCATGAACAGCCGTCGAGAAAGCTGGATCCACATTGGAGTATTCAAAAGATTGGCAGCTAGGTTGATGCCCCCTGGCATGGGAACGTCAGTCTCAAGATCGGACAGGGATTTCGCCTGAGCTTCATCAATAATCCAATAGTCGTTGTATCGTCGCCTAAGAGCCGGTCCAGCCAGGGCACTTTCCTGCATTGTCAAGGTGGCTGCGTATTTGTCCAGCTCGGCACAACAATCCTGGCTAACCTCGGCAGCCGCAGGGACGTCACCGATGGTGATGGTCTTGACATGTCGCTCATGCGTGTGATGCTTTTCTAAGCCCTTGTGGAGGATCCTGAGATACTCCATTACCTCCAACTCGGATTTTGTTGCGATCGCGGCAGCAATCTCCTTGATGCCATTCTTTCCCCTGCGGTCCAAGATGTTGTAGAAGATATCCTTCTCAGTCGCTGTCCAGATTACAGCTCCATGTTGTGACACATTATTTCCCTCATCATTCTCGGTAGCAGCTGTAAATGTAATTTCGTTCTCCATTTGTTTTAGTAGCGCGGTGTAGCCCTCGAGGGCTTTCGGCGGCAGGGTGCGAATGTGTTCATTATAGGCTTGTTGGGCAATATCACCCTTGTCCACGTCAAATTTTTCATTGGCTTTCTCGGTTTGACCTCCATCCAAGAATTTTGGCAAGGTTCTTTGTCGTGAAGAGGAGCGCCTTTCACGTCCGGGACTCTGCTCGTCGTACTCCAACTCGGATCCAGACTCGACCTGGGAGTCATCGGTGGGGGCGTAGGATGAAGAACTGCTCATCGTGCAAGCTTGCCTTGTTGCAGCACATCCGTTCTTTCTGGATGTGAAACCATCACAGCAATACCTGTATGTTTGAGGAGGATATTATTGAAGGGAAAAGGCGAAAAAGTTGCTTGCGACAGCTCCACCAAAAAGCGATCTTATCGCAGTGCCGATAAGAGAATGTTTGCACTGTTTGAATTTTTGGGATGGATCCACGGGAGCAAGCCGGTTGATCGACTGCGTCGTCTTGCCTTTCGAACGCCCGCATGGAGTTTATTCGCAGATTTGGGCTAATATCAATTTCGAGACCGTGGCGCAGACCTCCAAGGAATGCCATTATATCACGTTACAAGCACCATGTGCGCTTCAACTCCACAGTCCCCGCCCTACCGGGCTCGGGCATTGTGCTCCGTGACTACCAGGAAGAATGCATCCAGTCGGTGCTCACGTACCTAGATCAGGGCCATCGGCGTCTAGGAATCTCCCTAGCAACAGGATCTGGGAAAACAGTGGGTAATTCATGAATCATTTACATGCATTGCGCTAACTTCTGCAGGTCATTTTCACCCAGCTCATTAGTCGAGTCCCTGCCCGTGATGCGAGAGGCACAAAGACCATGATCATCGTGCACCGCCGCGAACTTGTCGAACAAGCAGTGAAACATTGTCGACTCGCTTATCCAAGTAAGATCGTGGAGATTGAAATGGGGAATAACGTTGCAACCGGGCATGGAGACATTATCATCGCGTCAGTACAAACGCTGGCGCGAGGACGCATCGCCAAATTTGACCCCGCCTGGTTCAAACTCATCCTTGTGGATGAAGCCCATCATATTGTTGCCCGATCATATCGCGATGTTCTAGGTCATTTTAGCCTTAATGAGCCATCACAAAATGCCCCTGTGCTAGTTGGTGTTTCAGCTACGTTCGCGCGGTTTGACGGACTCAAACTGGGTGCCGCCATTGACCACATTGTCTATCACAAAGATTATGTGGATATGATTGGGGAAAGTTGGTTGACTAATGCGGTTTTTACGACCGTCAAATCTGAGGCAAATCTCTCAAATGTCAAAAAAGACAAGTTCGGTGACTTCGCCCTAAGCTCGCTTTCTGAGGCGGTCAACACGTCAATCACAAATAACATTACCGTTCGAGCTTGGATGGCCAATGCACGAGACCGCAAATCGACATTGGTCTTCTGCGTGGATGTAGCGCATGTCCGGCAGCTTACTGCAACATTTCGTGAGCACGGCGTCGATGCACGTTATATCACTGCCGCGACGCCTAAAAATGTCCGCGCGGAGCAACTAGAGGCCTTCAAGAACCGGGAATTTCCAGTCCTACTAAACTGTGGTCTTTTCACTGAGGGTACAGATATCCCAAATATCGATTGTGTGCTCTTAGCGCGACCAACTCGATCCAGAAATTTGTTGATTCAAATGATTGGACGCGGACTGCGCTTGTTTCCCGGAAAGGAGAATTGTCATATCATTGATATGGTTGCATCGTTGGCAACGGGTGTTCTGTCAACCCCCACACTCTTTGGTCTTCATCCAGATGAAGTATTGAACAAGTCCAGTGTAGAGGAGATACGTAAGGAGCGCGAAGAGCCCGACTTGGCCGAGTCACCTCAGGAATCACAAGCTATTTCTACAAGTGACAGTGACATAAATCTGGAATTCACCCACTATGATAGTGTCTATGATTTGCTAGATGACACAAAATTTGAAAAGCATATCCGGTCACTGAGCCCCAACTCATGGGTGCGGATTGGTAACGATAAATACCTGCTGTCAGATGCCACCGGGTGGCTAACTCTCGAAAGAGAAGGTGATGTGTTCAACGTGCAGCATGTTATGAAGTTCACAAATCCAATGACCGAAACACCACAATTCACTCGTCCACGGACCATTGCATCGGGTCCGAATCTAGAAACTGCTGTCCGCGCAGCAGACACTTATGCAAGCAGCAAGTTTGATGAACGGTATATTGCTTCTTGGAAGCCGTGGAGGCAGAGTCCAGCTACTTCAGGGCAAATAAAACTGCTTAATAAAGCACATATACGTCAAGGCGGGCTAAGACCGCAAGATTTGACCCGAGGACAGGCAGCTGATATCATTGTCAAACTGAAATTTGGAGGCAAAAAACGATTCAAAGAGATTGAGAGTCGGCGGCGCAAGGAGGAGCGCAAAGAGCAAGCGTTGAATGAGCTACGAAGTAGAACCGATGTACGGGTTGGGCCTCTGAAAGGCTAATTGGTTCAAATCAGATTCAAGCAAGCCATAGCACAACTCTCACAACTTGTATATTTACCCTTTCATGTACAAATCTAGCGTTTTCCAGTAGCTCGGTGACGATCATTACAACTCCGTTGTCTCTGTTCTCGGGGATTTCCCTTCAGAACAAGCCTGGGTAAAGAGGTAATTTCTGGGGGCCACGGCGATTTAGGCTACAACTCATTGAACCCATGGTCGAAAATAGTTGAATACTTCAGTCGAGTTCAGAGGGGCCGTGTCAGCGGAAAAAACAACCTGACAACATGGAACTCATTTCATGACCCCAGCCTTGATCAGACCTTCCAATTTCCATGGGATTGGGAAAGAAGATACGTCGAAATTACCAGGCAACATGCGCCGAGCAACGCAGTCATCGCCGAGAAAATTTGCAGGCCAGAGAAGTCGGTCATGCCCTGTCGGGTCAGGATGCCACCCATGATAGGGAGGCCGGTGAGGCAACTGGTCTTCAGCTGAGATGTTTATTATGGGCGTTCAAATAAGGAGCAGGAACTTACCTGCCCGATATCACCATCTGGAACGTCCCAAACCGCTGGCCAAGTGTGTCTAGGCTGCCGGATTTCGCAACACATGGCATGAGCAAAGACACTACAGCACCACTGACAAACCCATACACAAGAGCAAAAACAATAATTCCTGGATGAGAAGGGTGGTAGTTGAAAGGAAGCCACAGACAGAGCATTGACACCCCAGTCAACATGGCACACATCGTCAATACATTGAAATGACCGATGTGATCGGCCAGGTAGGGAGGAATGAGGCGGCCAAACACAGAAGTAGCGCTGTCTCACTCGTATCAATTCGTGATTCTAGGAAGTCCGGTGCAGATGGATATGGGTAAAAGTATTCGTACTTTATAATAGAGATCAGATATAATGCAAGGGTCGAAGAGAAACCTTTCGCTTCAGCCATGCTCGAAAGAAAATCGAATGGGCCCCAAAGCCCCCACCTATCCAACGTCAGTAGCGACCTCTTTAGCCTATAGAACAGGGTATGTAGGGACATACATGACCAGATAAGCTCCCCATGTATAGAAGGCGAATTGTTTCTGTTTAAATAGGGACACATCGAACCACGGCGTTTGGTTGTTCCATTCCTTGCGCGGCAATCTGGATTGGATCAAAAGACAGGATCCCGTCAGTAACACGCCCACAAACAGGGCTGTGTATCGAACAGCCCCATAGAAGCCAACACTCTCGGTGAGTCTGTTCAGAAATAATGGGAAGATAACCCCTCCTACGCTGGCACCGCAGCTCGAGATCCCGATTGCAAGTCCCCGTCTGCGGGTAAACCATTGGCCAACGCAGACCATGGCCGAAGTGAATACGCCACCAGCACCCATCCCAAAAGCTAAGCCTTGAGCAAGGAGTATCTGATAGTATTTATCTGCAAGGCTCGTCATGCATAGACCAAAGACGCACAGAAAGCTGCAAGGATACAGGACTGGAGCCGGCCCATAGGTATCAAGAACTCGTCCATAAAGTGGGCCAAGAAGCCACATTAAGCATATTTGGACAGCAAAAATCCAGGATATATCAGATGAACTGTATTCTTGAAGGTAATCTTTCTGGTAGGTTGTCTGGAAGACGCCGATCCTTGGCCAGCATCAGAATCATGTGTCATTGAGTATTCTCACGAACTTACGCATTCAAGAATCCAAAGGTGCAAAACAGAGCCAAAAATGAGCCAAATACACATCTCCATCCTTTAATACCTTCCTCTGGCGGCAAATTCACTGTTTCTGACGTGGTGGCCTTTTCTGATAGTGTCATTTTTGCGGCTTGCTAGAGAGGAAATTTCAGAGCTTGTCGCGATGATTAGAGGGTTTCGAATCACTCTCGAACACGATTCATATTTATTTCGAGGGTTGGGGTCATGGCGGTCACTAGTTTAACCCTCCAACAAATGGTACTCTAGACAGCGATAACAACCCCGCTGTTTAGATGGCCCATCGGCGGTCTCCGATCCTAAGTACCCCCATGCACAAAATTTTTCTTCACTGGTAAACTAGAAGTTAAACTTTATTGAAGTCAGGTCTATTTTTGACTTAAATTTTCTCCGGCAGGGAATATCAGCGTGGGGAAAATTAGCATCTGGGTGGCCTTAGAGGATTTACGCCTACGTTTAGTAGAGCCCCATCACAGACGACATATTGAACTGACTGAATTCGGTCTATCCCGCGGGCAATGGGAGGTAAATTGGGAGATGCGGGATATTTATGTGACCCATGTCTCTATTCTATATCTCTTGGCAGCTAATTTGGACCATTTCGGACTTGGTTCTCGGCTCCTTGGAAGCTGGTAACCGTCATTATCCCACATCCACTCTCGAGAGTCGAGACTGGACAGGTTTGGGTTTATCTAACCAAAGATTGGGAGACCAAACAAGCAATTGGGCTTGTGGTTTAGTGGTATAATACCCCCTTAGCATGGGGGTGGTCCGGGGTTCGATTCCCCGCGAGTCCAACTTTTTGGTCTTCCCGTTTCCCCTTCCCGGTGCTTGTTTAGTGACGGTGTAAGGGAAACCAATTTTTTATCCCGTGGTCTACTGATGCATATGTAAAGTATTTTATTGGATTGAAAAGCTCTAATAAGTCGAGAAGGTTATGTGAATAATTTTTGGACAGGTTGGATCATCGTTCTGTAACGGTTGTTGGGTGTGGTGCATATTCATATGCTAGCTAGCATGAAGTTGGTGATATATATATTCCAGACAAACGAACATAAAATATACTCACAAGTACCTGGATAAATATTTGAGCTCCGTAAATGCCCAACCAAAAAGGATACAAAATCAGGAGCCATTTTTAGCTACACCAGACCCTTCAGACCTTCGTCCCGATTACCCAAGCGAGTAGCCATGCTCCCTGACTATGGGATTTTCCACTTACCTTTACCATCCCTTTTACTATCGATGTATCAAGGTCTGGATATCATCTTTGCTTGTCGTTAGCCAATCAGCTGGGCTTGTGGTTTAGTGGTATAATATCCCTTTCGCATAGGGATGGTCCGGGGTTCGATTCCCCGCGAGTCCATTTTTTTGGCCTCGTTCGACCCTATTCTAGATTGTCAACACCCAAGGCTATGTTCCGTACTTAAACATTTTATTTATCAGTGGGGCTTGTGGTTTAGTGGTATAATATCCCTTTCGCATAGGGATGGTCCGGGGTTCGATTCCCCGCGAGTCCAAATTTTTTGGAGAGTCCAGCCTTTTTTTTGTTTTCCGTTTTCCGTCTCGTAGCGCATTCAATCTACCCTCGACCCCCTTTTCCTACCTTCCCTTTCCTTTCCTCTTCCTCTTCTTTCTTTCTTTTCTTTTCTTTTCCCAATTCTATCTGATCAGAAGATGGCTCTTCTTGAAAGTCTGCGCTATCTATGCACCCCAATCAAAATGAACCACCAAACAAACTTTGTTGTAGATGCCAATGGACATTGAAAAAGACCCAGGCCAATACAATACACTTGACATGTATCTCATTTCATTGCTACTGTCGAAACAAAGCCACATACAATGAGCGACTGGGTTAATTATGAAATAGGCGGACCGTCTCTCACATGAAGCCTTCTTGTAGTATGAAATCCGATTAGAACATTATAATGTCCCCAGTACCTGATATCAAGAGATCAACTCCTTGATACTCAACATGGTATCAAACAAAGTCTTACAATGTCCTTGTTCCAACTTAAATCTTTGTTCACCTCATTCCTATGCCTAACCTCCATTGTATTGATTTCCTTTATTCTCGAGCAAATGGTATAGTCAGCAGGCCAAGAAATTGCGTGAGATTAGAACTACAAAAGAGCTGTTCCCCCTACCCCCAAACCTGCAGACAAGTCTTTATCATCCAAAACTTGAGATTACTAACAGTCCATACACCATTCGAGTCAATATCAAACGTAGACTCTGAAAGGTAACAAAACCAGAAAAAAATCGTCACTAATTGCCACATCCAGCCCAAGGTATTATTGTCCACAACCCGGAGCGGATTTCCACACAGGAGCGTGGGTAATTTAAATCAGCGTGATGGACCCAGAGCTCAAGACCACCGTATTGAAGAATTTCAAGGTAGAGCGTAGGACTATTGTGGCACACCTCAGAGCACTATCCAAAGGGCAAATAGAAGACGGAGCACTCCAATGGACGAAGACTAACTTGGTTCGTATACGAAATACCCTGTCTATGTGGTCTTTAGCCCTGGAAGAGACCGAAGTGTCCTTCTTTGCATGCTACCCGCAGAAATGCGAGGCCCTCGCAGCCATCGCAGAAGAGATCGGGGATGGCTTGGAGTTGGTCAATGGAGGGATTACCCCAATCAATCGGAAAAAATTGGCTATGCTGGCCATGCAAGTGGGAAGGCTCACAGTGGATGGCTATACTGAAGTGGACTCGGTGTCAGTGAAAAGTGCCATCCAGGCTGAGAGAGAGCAGCGGAAGTGGGATATCCGGGCCCCAGAAAGTGAGACAGAGCCAATGCAGAAACTTCGAGAAATTTGGACTCGAATGCATATCAAAGTCAAAGAATGCGGATGCCGCCAATGCTTGGACTGGTATCTACCTTCAGTTGATCCCCCCCTTAGCCCCCAAATATTACCTTCGCCTCCTCCGAGCCCTGAATCTGAGTCTTCTGGGTCCAGTGAGAACTAAAATAAATCATTTACTGGCAGCAGACCATTATGAATTATACTAGATCAAAATTCGCGAGACAAAGAACGCTACAGTCCCATTTTCAAACTGGTCACTTTATGTACCGTTATCTGCCGTACTATGATACTAGCGAGAGGTAGGTCTCACTGAGAATCTCTTCTTCATATTTCGTTATCCTTCTTTGCGCCTTTTATTTCAGACTGAACGAAATAGCAATCACTGTTAGACCAAAAACCAAATATTTTAAATAGCAACCTCAGGGACTTTCCGGAAAATTCTTCTATGCTCTCATGTCCTCCTAGTTTCCCCTCGAATGAATTTGAATGCTGTAATGATTTCATCGCGGAGACTCCTTGAAAATGAATGATGCTATGTCTTCATATCCGTGTATACCCGCCGAGATGTGAAGTAGACACTACATTTGATATCACAAGTTGATAAAGCAGTATACTATGATCTGCTGAATATGGATTCTCTGATCTCAATTTTCCAAGGGAATGGACATTATTTCCAATATAGGCATAGAACAGGTCTTCGGACGAAATCGGCTAAACAGCCTCTAGATATAGCCTCTCCAAGCACCCCTATCGAAAATTTTCCTACCTGAGGAAGCTAAGCATTTCAAATCAGAATATTTTCTTATTACCCATCCCCATACATGATATCTAGACCCAAAAACCCCTAAAAGGGTGCAAAAAACCACCTGTCTCTAAAGTCCCACAGGGAATCCCATTCAACTCACATATGTGAACATCAAGCTCTATTCCTCACGGCAACGCATCCAACTCTTCCTCAACCTCCCTAAGCCTCGCCTCAATCCTCTGCACCTCATTATCATCATCAAGAAACCGCGTTTTGATGAGCCGAATCTCTTCACCCAAATGATCGGCCCAGTCATCCAGCAGCGTGGCTTCGGCGTCTTTGCCCCCACCCTCGACATTGCCCGCCAGGGCGCCGAACAGATCTTTTAGTCCGCCACATTCGCCGGGTGAACCGAGGCTGAAGAACCTTCGCTTGGTGAGAATGGAACGACTGAGAACGGTGTATTCATCTTCTAGAGCTTTGCGGCGCTGGAACTGAGCCGGCGTTGGAGCTGGTGGTGGGGAGGGCTGTGGTTCTTGTACTGGCTGTGTTTCTGGTCCTGACTTTGGCTTGGACTCATACTCGTACCTGGGTTCAGACTGGAGCGGCTCGTGGTCTTGAAGTAGACCACCTCTCTGTAGGGGCTCTTTGATCTGGCTGGTGCTGGACTGATCGAAGCGTTGGACTTGAAATCTCACGCGCTTGGACTGTGGGAGAAGGGGCTGAGCAATGCATTAAAGAGGGAAATATGAGGGTAGAAAACGAACTCTGCGCAGAGATGGGGCTCTTATGGCTCGTCTGCGTTCATGTGTACCTGCCATGATTAGGCCGGGAAATCAAATTGTGGCCTAGGCCTTGTTTGTTTGTGTGATGTACCGCGGGTAGTTAGCTGTACCGAGTCAGATGAGATCTTGGGGTTTGAATGCTGATGAATGCACCTGGGACGAGTGTGTCGAGTATCAGGACAAGAGTATTCAGGTTGTGGAAATTGAATGACATTCGGTATTGGCTTGCGATTGTGCTATGAAGTCTGGAGGCACGTAAGAAAGGTACGCCCAAACTGGGTCATTATGATCAATACTTTATGTGAGGTGATTTTAGGTCGAGAAGCGAGGATGTTACTTTCGTCCAATGTTCTTTCGCTAACGGCGTTTCATTTGGATCTACGGCTGTGAAGGGCAGGCAGGCTATGTTTACAAGGTGACCCAGACTATGCACTCTGAAGTAATTGATATCTGACTATCACGCCTGAGACAGAATATTCCAAATTCCAAAGCGTGATTATGAATGATTGATCCCATCTTATGATGTGTATACTGGAGGAGTTGGTCTTATTAGGGGTTGGATCTATCTGCAGTAGTCAATACCTTATACACATACCAAGATGTGCAAGAGGGTAAGACATGGAAAAATAGCAGCTCTCCCTTTGCTTTGATATTTCCGAGATTCGCATGATCTGCAACATATATAAGAACCAAATCGAATATAGCATAACAGTACTGCAAACTGTTGAGCTTAAGTGACGGCATGGTTTACCAAGGAATTCTACGCAAAGAAATGAAACAAAATTGATCTGAACAGCCTGAAAAATATATTTTGTCCTCAACACAGCAAACTATGAAATTCATCAAGTAATCATAAACTCCATAACGAGACAGATCAGTCTCTGATTTAGATGTCATCCTCATCAGAGAAGACCTCCTCACCACGCTTACGGCGGGCAGCACGCTCCTTCTTCTTCTTGCGGAGCTCGGAGCCTGGAAGGAAAAGAAAACGTTAGACACAAGTACTATTGATATCAAACCAAGAGTTGTAGTGGAATTAAACTTACCAGTGAGCTTCTTCTTCTTCTCGACAACAATCTTGTTACCCATGGCATCGAACTTGTCCTCCTCGTCATCGCCCTTCTGGTCGAGACGGGGGCCGGAGCCCTGACCCTGAACCCAGTTGTGGCCGGAGGGGGTCATGAGACCGTGGTTGACGGCCCAGACTTCCTCAGTGAGGTTCTCAGTGAACTCACGGGAGTGAGTGATGATGATGACACCACCCTCGAAGGACTTCAGAGCCTTGGACAGAGCACCCAGGGAGTCACGGTCCAGGTAGTTAGTAGGCTCATCAAGGACGATGACGTGGGGACGCTGCCACGAACAAGCGGCGAGAACGACCTTGACACGCTGGCCACCGGAGAGACCACGCATACGGGAGTGGGAAACCAGCTCGGCGTCGAGGCCGAAGTTGGCGCAGTGCTGCTCGATCTCCTTGCGGACCAGGGGACGGAACTGACCGGAGGCGAGGGCCTCCTTCTGGTCAACCTCGGCGACCTGCTTGGAGTGGGACACAATGATCTCGGAACGGGGCAACCAGGTGTTGTCGTTGGACATCATGGGAACCCACTTCTCGGACTTCATGCCGATGTTGTCACCAAGAGACCACGAGATCTCGTACTCGTAGGTGTTCTTGAACTTGCGACGAGAGTGAATGCCGATGACACGACGGAAGGTACCCTCAATCTTGTAGATCTTGTCCATGGCCTTCTCGTCCTCCTCGGTGACGATCTTGTTGGCACGGTCCATGGTCTCACGGTCCTCACCGGTCTGGAAACGCCACTGGATGTACTCGGAGGGAGTGGAGTTAAGGTGGTTATCGATGTGAGCGAAAGCGTGCTGCTTGATGTACGCAATACGGATGTTCTCGTGCTGGTAGACATCACCGGAGGTGGGGATGAGCTCACCAGTCAGGACGTTAACGAGAGTAGACTTGCCGGCACCGTTGGGACCGATAACGGCAATACGGGAACCCAGGGAGACCTGGAAAGTAATGTCCTTGATCTGGGGCTTGGGAGTGTTGGGGTACTGGAAGGTCATGTTGTTGACACGAATGATAGCCTTGGACTTGGTCTTGACACCCTCGAGGAAACCGGGCTCGGGGAACTTGAACTCCATGTCGGAGGCACCCAGCTCGTAGTAGGAGCGAGCGGAGGGCACACGCTTGACGAAGTCGCTCAGGGTACCACGGTAACGCTTGAGCTTGAAGCGCTCGTAGTGGATAACGTGCTGGATGACGTGGTCCAAGAAGCGGCTGTCGTGGGAAACCATGATGGAAGTGCAAGGGGAGCTCTTGAGGTAGTTCTCGAGCCACTCAACGTTCTTGACGTCCAAGTGGTTGGTGGGCTCGTCAAGCAGAAGAATATCGGGGCTCTCGAAGACGGCACGGCACAGAGCGAGCTTCATCTTCCAACCACCAGAAAGGGCGGTGATAGGGGCCTCGAGCTGCTCGATCTGGAAACCGAACTCGTTGACCAGCTTGTCACGGACATCAGCCTCGACGGGGGTAAGGCCGACCTCAACCAGCTTCTTCAGGGTCCAGCCAATAACGGTCTGCTCGGTATCGGCGGCGTCCAGGTCGTGCTCGACGTAGACGGTCTTGACCTCATCCTTCTTGGGGAAGCCCTCCAGCTGCTCGTTGTTGATGGCGCGCATGAGGGTGGTCTTACCGGAACCGTTGGGGCCCAGGAGACCGTAACGCTGGCCACGCTTGAGACGCAGGTGGGTCTGGTTCAGCAGAATCTTGGCACCATAGGCCAGAGAGAAGGTGCAGTTGCAAAGATCGACACCCTCCTCCTCATCAGAGGGGATGGCATCGGCAGCAGAGGCCTCAGGGGAGGCGCGCTTGCGCAGGGCCTCGGCGATGGGCTTGGCAGCCTCCTCACCGGCAATGGCGACGATGTAGGGGGCAGCGTTCTGAATCCAGGTGGTGTTGTCGGAGTCCTTCTCGTCGACCAGCTGGCCGGCGATGGCACCAACGTAGTTGATGACGGCCTCGGAGGAGGCAATGCGGTCCTCGAGGTTCTTCTCCTTCAGGATCTCCTTCAGGATAGCAGCGACGGTGGTGATGTCACCGGCGGTGGAGATCTCGGGGATCTTGCCATCCTTGACGGCACCGACACGGGTCAGGGTGTCGAGAGCCTGGCGGGTCTTCTCACGAGCCTCGGGGTCGGCCAGGGTGTCGTGGTTCTTGTTCAGACCCGGCAACATCTTGGGCAAGAAGGGAGCGACAATCTGGGGGTCCTCCACAAGCTTACACATGTTGTCGACGATGACGGCGGACTTACGCTTGATGGCAGTCTCACGCTCGACGAGACCACGGTCCAGCAGGGGAACCATGATGGCGAGGGTGGGGCCGGTGACATCGGAAACGAAGGTGGTGGCACCGAGCAAGTGAACGGTCTCGGGGACGTTCTCAGGCTTGGCGATACACTTGATGAGCTCGGGAATGAAACGCTCGATATCCTTGTTGACAATCAGACCGCAGACCTTCTCCATGGTGGCGTAGGCGGCCTTCTTGATCTCGGACTTGGTGTCCCACATGGCCTCGGACACGACGGGAATGAGGCGGGGGACCTGGAAGGAGAGCTGAGCGGGAGCAGACTGAATGAGGGCCTCGAGGCAGGTCAGAGCGGCCATCTTCTCCTGCCACTTCTGAGCGTTCTGGAGGGAGTCGAGGATGGTGGGGACAACGGCCTTGACGGCGTTGCCGTTGACAGCCTGAACGATGGCGGCGGCGGCGGACTGGGCGGCCTCCTTGACGGGGACCATCTTGTCACCGACCGCGTTGAGGACGGGGCCAAGGAGAGACACGAGGTGAGGCTCAACACCAGGAGCGATGGTCTGGTGGGCGGCGATGGCCCGGATACCCTCACAGGCGCGCTCACGGGCGACGGCATCCTTCTTGTTGGCGAGCTGCTTCTTGAAGGTCTCGACGGCCTTCAAGGGCAGGGCCTGCTCGGGAATGGGACCGCTGAAGAGAGTGGCCAGGTTGCCGGCGGCGGCGTTGACCTCATCGGCGGAGGTCGAGATGTTGAGGTTCTTGATGAGATCCTCGAGGACGGCGACCGACTTAGCGGTCTCCTTGCCAGAGACGGCAGGAACTGAGGAAACGTCGACGGCAGGCATTTTGGAGGAAATTTTGGCGGTTGGGAAAAAAAACGAGATTAGAAAGAGAGATTTTTTTCTATGAGGGGTATCTCAAATGTGTGAGCAGTGGGCCCAGGGCTGCGTCGGCTGTCCAGGACGCAGCGAACCTCGATAAGAACTGAGGTCGTCTATTTCTGTCTATGCAGAAACGAAAAACAAAGAAAAAAGAGAGGACCAGACCTCAGAAGTAAGAATGGGGGGGGATTAAGTGGGAGGGAGGAGGGGAGATTAGAAGGGGGGCGAGATATTTATCGTGGGTGGCCGAGTGGCCCCTCGCCGCCCAAAAAAAAATTTTTATGCTCTTTTGGCGGGCAGCCCGCGCTAAACCCGGATTGGATTGGTCGAGCGTGCAAGTGGTTTGGTGTTGCTGGAGACTCGCCTGGCACCGGGCGCCCGTCTGATTGGTGGTTGGCCCGTCTCCCGAATGTCTAGGGATTGATTGGCCGTCTGCGAGAGGAAAAAAAAAGTGAGGAAAATCAACTGGGCACCCGTGGTTGGACCTTGAGGCCTGATGCAGTGAAGGGGGGGATCTTGTGTTGGGGTGGGTTATACATAGATGCCTATACAATAGATGTCTATAGATGCCTATAGATGCAGGCCTATATGTGCCTGTTGGTGACTATCAATACTATAGCTGGCTATTGCTGTCTAAGGCTGTCTAATGCTGTCAATATCGTCTCCCTCACAAGCCCGATTCGGTCGTATCGTAGCCTAGGGGCCCGTAGCATATCGAGAGTATGTACAAGCCCGGGAACCTACGAGGTATCGATCGCAAGCCTCTTTGCGACGACAATCTATTTTTTTTTTTTTGGGTCTTGACTTTTTCGGGAAGGAAACTACCTCTTTGGGACTGTTACTATAGTTACAATCAAGAACTAAATTTTTTTTTTTTTACGGGCGGCTATCAGAAGAGGGCTCGAGTCCCCCCAGCGGATCCGGTCCGCAGCAAGACAAGACACCGACACATGCAGGACTGCGCCTACATAGTCTGTCTTCGGGAGAGAGAATCCGGGGGTTGAAACAAGTCAACGGAGGACCCGGTGGACATGCTCTATACATGCTTGTCTGGACTCCTGTAGATGATGTGTTGGTCAAATGATCTGACGATCGGTAATTCATGCTCGCGGGGACTATAGTACTATCCCCTCCTCCCGTCTACTTTCAAGCTGGCTCGCGACCTCTAGTAGTAACTATTGCTCTATACACTCTATATAACATAGAGTACTCTGGTAATTGTTTCAAGTACCCCTATTGTTCACGGTACATCGTACCGACCGAGGAAACCATCTCGCCCAAGTCGCCACTCGCAGTGACGGGGTGGCGCAGTCCTTTCTATGCATCCGGCCGTTGAGACCCAATCATCTCGTCCCGAGATTAAGAGTTTTCGAAGCAAAAGAAAAGCCCTTTCCCCCCCCCCCCCCCCCCCAAAAAGAAAAAAGAAAATCAAAAAAAGAAAAACAGAGCATCTGCCGAATCATGAGAATTATTTTTATTTTTAGAGTTGGCTCAGAACCATTTTTTGGATCGTGTTTTCTCCGTTCGTGAACCCGGCAAAGGAGGCTGACTCCCGTTTTGGTCCGCCGACACCCTGGTCAGCACATCGATGTACCTACATGTATGTCCCAGGATGGACGCTGCTATTCTCACCAGTATCTACTCTATGCATTGCCCCGGGGGCTGCAGAGAGTCTGACTGAGGCGCTCAGCCGCGGGTTGCGACCAGCCCTGGTCTGAAGTGCACTCTATACATAGTCATCAGCTCACAGGGCTGGACATGGAAGGCCAGAACTCCGCGAGTCAGCATGCAACACCTACACGAAGCACACCCCAAATGACCGGGGTCCAGATTAATTAATAAAATTAATTGACAATTTATCCTGAAAAAGAAAAAAAATACAGCATAAAGTAAAAATCAAATCTCATCAAAATTCATCCCCATCCAGGACGCGCCGGAAACGGGATCTGCAGGCTTCGATCGACAAAGGTACCTCTCGACCAGAACGCCTTCAGGGGTTAAAAACATTTGCCTAGGCTCAAAATTTCCAGAAGTTTGCACTCAACATGGCTCGGTATCCAGGGATAAATGGTGCTCAGCGCTCCAAAAGGACCTCCAGTGCAGTTGATGGTCGATGAGAGAAACTCTTGATCTGGCTTGTCGGGGATATACTTCACAGTACGCAACACAACACCGCTCTTTGGCCTCACCGCCTCCCGGAGGTTATCGCTTATCGCGGACGGTTGCATCGAAGAGTTTTTGGTTTCCTCGTCGTCTTCGTTTCGCGTTTCTTGGCACATTTAGGACTATAGACTGCTACAGTAGCAAACCTGCTCCTGCTCTCGCTCTTTTGCTGCTCCATCCCCGGCTTTCTCCCGGGGAGTTCCCCTTATCCGCCCTAGGCATCAGATTCCGTATCATCCCTTATCCCCCGCGAAAGCACCCGGGTGGCAAACACCGATCGGGTCTGGCGGCCTAGTGGGTCTTGGAACTCAACTGGAACGCAGCCCAGGATGTCGGCCAGTTCGGCCCTTGCTGTTTTAAGAGGTACATCATCACATTCATTCTTGGTCGGAAAAACTAGTCAGAAATTTCCTGTGAAGGTTGACCCTATCCTCTTCGTTCCGAATTCTTTTGAGTTCACTGTCCATTGTCCCGTCTCGTCCTGGATCCCCGAGCCATCGGACACTCCGTGATGTATTCGCTCCTTCTGCTCTCTGGCTTGCTCCCGACTGCCCCGACTTTCCCCCCTTGGATAGAAAGTTCCCTGGAACCCGGGCCTTCTGGAAGCGACCCGAATCTGTTGATGCAGGGCGAAATGACAAATTTTTCAAAAACAAAGTTCGGGATCTGATTTGTCCAACCAATTCTTCCGTGGCGTGACTGGAGGCCCGCCACCAGAGCGACCACTACGAAGCCTGAAACTGGACCGATAATTTGGTCGTTACGTCGCGTCGAAGTCATGACTATTTGCTATCCGGTGCGATCTATAGTCCTAGTCCTAATCTTTTGCTCTCTATTTTTTGGTCTTCATTCCATATCTACTCCATATCTATATCGTCGTTGGATCTTGGGGTCTGGGGGTGGATCCGCATGGTGAGCATCCTAATGCGCCCCAGCGTATCGCCCCATCGCCCCAGTTGTCTATTCAATGGGGCCTGCTCGCCTTATCCTTTTTTTTCTTTTTTCTTTTTTTTTTTTTTCCCTCTTTTTCTTTCTGGCGCTGATGGGGCCTGAGAAGTATCCACCCCTTTCTTTTTGTTGCATCCTGCCGCCGCCCCCCAGAGTCTGCATCGAATAAATCTGGGGTAGATCCACGTAGGGAGGAACGAGGTGATTCTGTAGGATGATTTAGATCTAGTGAAAGCCGTCTCCAGAATGAGCGGATCCAGGGGGAAAAAACCGAAGCGCGGACGAAAATCTTGTTCGGTGTTCTTGCTTTGCTGCGTGTTTTCCCCTTTTATTGCTGATGGTATGAAACTACCCCTGTCCTATCACCTTGTACTTTTTTTCAGCCCCTTTTTGTTGCCGAAGTTGATTTCGTTGTGCCTTGCCCCTTTCTTGTCACAGCGCTCAGACCTATGGTCTGATACATAGTCTCTGAGCTGTTGAGACATGGTTGGCTCGACGTGTCACTATTATTGTCGATTATCCTAGGTGCGTTCAAAAAAGGGGCCGCAAATAACGAACTATTGTCCTTTTCAGCAGTGCTGGGGTAGGTGCTCCCGTACCTGAGATCTACTGCCATACTGATCTGACTTGAAAATGCCAGGATTATAAAACTTTGAGGTCTCTAATTTCCTTCATCCCTGTTTGCAGATTTGGCGTTTGTCTGTTCTGAGTAACATCGCATGCATGAGACTACAGCCACTTCATATTATATAAACGCCTAACATTAAGCCAACCTAACAAAGAGAATTGATGACTATCAAAACATCTAGGCAGATTATTGATACTACGTAAGCTTGTGATGCACATGTGGATTGATTTAACAGTTTCCCTCCGACGCCAAACTTGCAAGCATGTGACACAGGAATCTCCCTTTATGGATAAGGCTATTTCAAGGATTCAAGCAAAAGAAGGTCTATTCAGAATCATCACTGGCGTCTGTTGTACCAGGGATGCCAGTGTTAGCGCTGAATCCCTGGAGTTCCTCGAGGCGCCCATTCACCATCCAAACCACCTTGTCCAATCCGGGTCGTAAGTCATTTTGCAGGCTATTCAGCCTGTGAGAAATAGAAATGATAGTGTGTCCCTGACTCGAAAAGTGTTCTTTTAAGATCTCCTGCATCTTCGTCTCTGTTTCAAGGTCTAACGAGGAACTGGCCTCATCAAGAATTACAATTGGTTTCCGTTGGATAATCGCAGAATCGTAGCCGCGAGTTGATGGTTGGGCTCTTAGCAGCGTCTGAGCTAGGGCAAGCATCTGCCTTTGACCTGTAGACATTGGTGGGAAAGCAGTCATTGGCAGATCAAGAAAATTCGAATTCCCAGTTTTAAGAACAAGACCGTTCATTGTTCTGCTCAGGGTATCTTGAATATCGGGCCAAACTCCAGTTCTCTGGAGAACTTTCAAAATATAAGCATCCTGATGTTGATTATATGGGTCAAGGTTGAATCGAAGGCTCGCGTTGGGAAGAATGAACGGGTCCTGGGGAACTGAAATGAAGCAGCGCCGCCGTACAATATTCACTGGCAGCCGAGAGATGTCCACACCATCAACCTCAATGGTGCCACCATGGAAAGTCAATAGCTGAAGCAGCATGAGAAAAAAAGTGCTTTTCCCACTTTGGTCAAAGGCCAGAATAATCAGTCAGTTGGGAACACTTGATTTATTGGGAGCTCCTTGGAAGCATCCATCTAAATACCTTCCGGTTCGGCCACATAGGACAAGGTGTTGGCCAGCTGGGATGTCCATATCAATATCATGGAGAACGGGGCTTTGTGAACTGCAAGGATAAGTTGTTAAAAATGAGTGACCACCATATTTTGAAAATCAAATACTGACCTGTAACCTGCTGATAGATGTTTAATCTTGATAGACCCCATATTTGGCCACTCCTGCGACGGCTCTAAGGAGTCCCAGTCCCTCTTCTCAGAGGGGGTGTCCTGGTCAACAGAACGCAGCCGTGCCACTGATCCAAGGGATGTCTCAAGAGTTGTCCAATTCTCAACCAGTCGAAGTAGTGTCGTATTTGCAGCAATAATCATGTTCAATGCTATCCCAATGCTAGCACCCGTGGCTGTTTCACGGAATATCATTGCCGAAGTAACAAAAGATACAGCGATACCTGCAATTAAAAAATCCAGAACCACATTGAGCCATCGCTGTAGACAGAGGAGAAGATACAATGGACTCTGAGCAACCTCAAGCTTTTCGATATTGTTGGTTGCAAATTTACCTTGCCATCCAAACGCACGAATTGTATTGATGCCTTCAACCTGATCAGGAGTCAGCACTCTTGACACTTGTTAGAGCTTGCAATTATGCTCACTGTCTCTAGAAAACTTGTGTAAAGTTTTGACTTTGACTCTAGGTCAATAAAACGCAATTGTCGAGAGGTTCTTAGGTAGATTCGTTGAATGAGATATACACAAATTGTGCAAAACGGTAAAGTCATGGCCATAGTGGGCTGAACCACAAACAAGACAATGGCCTGCATGATCAATTTGAAGATTTCTGGAATTTTACGGTTAGTTAAGGTAAAAGACTCACAAATATGGACCTGAGCATACGGGTGCTAAGATTTGCGAATGCAGAGGGTAATTCCTTGTCAACAAGCTGAATATCCTGACCAAATCTAAAGTACGCAAAGTTGAATATACCACTCCTCAGCTGGAGTTATTCTTTCGCACCTGTTTAATATGGCACCGATCTCAAAAGTCGAAAAGTATGAAAGCGGGCAACTATAAGTCATATTAGAGACTATTATATTCCTCACCTGTTAGGTGCATGTTCAAAACCGACTTTATGATCCTCTCAAGAAGTTTGAGGTGCAGAGCATGACCAGCTTGTGGAGCGATGACGATTTGCGTTGACCTTGAAATCTAATTCAGCCGTATGACTCCATCTATCGGAGGAGAAAACTCACCACATGGTTCCATTTGTTGCTATCCAAGCCAGTAATGAAAACATGATATAGAAGATCATATATGAAGATGAGTTCTTCGTTGTAGACTCGGCCCACCACTTCAGAATGTATTGTGAAAAAGTGAGAGAGAAAGCATATATTGCGGTGCAGCTCGCCATAAGCAGGATGTTCAATTTGCCGGCCGAGCCAAAGTAATAATCTATTATTGCATGAGTTCATAGTAGTCATCTTAAGATAGGTGCTGTAATTACCATAGACTGCCAAATCGCCGGTTCTTCTTGATGTGTCGGCAGCGGCGTCATCTATGCGGGTTCCATATGCAAGTGATTTGGCGCTCTCTTCAAACCCAGCACCTTCTGCTGCTCTTCTTGAAACGCGGATTTTTGTCATTTGTGTATTGCCTTGTAAGAATTTATCTTGGGGGCCCAGGACTTGTACTCTTCCTTCATTGAGTAATATGACCTTGTCGGCCAGGGGATAATGTTGAGCTGAAACAGGTTAAGAAGGATATGGAGCAGATAATGGAAGAGACCTGACATACTACTGTGAGTAATCAGAAAGATAGTGCTTTTGAGCTTGCGTAAAATTCCTTCAGGTCCAAGCAAAGCATTGACAATGTGGTCCTCGACTGCCCCATCTAAGGCACTAAATGGATCATCCAAAACCATAATATGGCACCGGGAATAAACAGCACGGGCAAGAGCCTTGGAAATTTCGTCAGTACTAGAATGGCTGATATTTGAATAAGAAAAACCTTACAATACGAGACTTTTGGCCCGCGGAAAGGTTAATGCCGCCGTTTCCAATCAATGCCATATCTCCGTCAACCAGGTTTTCTAAATCAGCATTGAGATTGCAAGCTTGAATAACAGTCTGATACCAGACCAGATCAATGCTCGTTGATTGCCCACAAACCACATCGCGTATTGAAGCAACAGGAAGCCAGACTAAAGGACTACAAAACGCGATACGACCATCCCGGACGGCAACTCTGCCTTTTGTGACATTCATTTCTCCCAGGATAGTCAGTGCAAGGACAGATTTCCCACTGCCAATAGGGCCTGAGCATATGCAAATCGAGCCTTCATCTAGGAGAAGATTTACATCCTGAAGTAGTGGAGCCGAGCTGGAAGAGAGTTGGACGTTCACATTTTCCAGCACGATTGCGGGTCGCTGGCCAGGCAGTCGTTTATAGTCACTCCACAGGGAAGGTGGAAATGTAGACACACGCTGGTCTCTCAATGACCCTTGGGTCAAGTAAGCTTGTAGTCTTTCGAAATTTGCCAAAGAGGTAATTGCACGAGGAATAATAGTCATGACCATGTTGGCTGGATGAGTGACAAGGGCGAGAAGAGCAATAGATGTAAATACCATGTCAGCATCAAGATGGTCCTGCATCTTGCGGGACAATGCAAACATTACCAATGTCAGGACCGGAGAGAATATACCCAGTAGATTAGCTAGATTCATCAACCAGTAGTTAGTCAGCTTCATCGCCTGGAAGGGTAATTTTGTGAACCTCAATGCTTCAAATTAATTAGATTGAGAAATGGTTGGTAGCGTCTTACCACTAGCATTGTATGCCACTAATATCCACCGCAGCCTTATCGATTTTTCAATCTCTTGAGTTCTCAAATCTGAAATAAGAGAGCTGGTAGCCTGATCAAGACCTAGAATCTTCATACTTTTGATTCCCCCAAGGACAGAAGTAATCATTGACAGACGGTCTTGAGTTGCTGTACTCCAATCTTTTTGTCTCCCCTTAAGATGTTTCGCAACATATGCGCTCATTTGAGAACACCCTGCAGTGACTTAGCTCTTATTTAAACCATTTGGTGTGCTTGTGTCATACCAGGTACGATCAACAGAGGTAGGAGGGCGAACCACCCGATTTCCCTTGCAAGCAAAGTCGTTCCGACTATTACTTCCACAACTTGAGCCCAAGTCTCATGAAGCATCTCTGCACAGGTATCAACGCTGTCAACATCTGTGCTCATGAGTGTCAAGGCGTTCCCGTCCTGCGCAGGAGATTTTTCAGCCGTAAGCGATCGTGCATGAATGAGACCAATAAGAGCCCCTCGTGTCATAACTCGTAGCCTGTTGAGTCTGTGTCGATATAACGAGGTAGATATCTATTTAGTAGTCTGATCAGGTAAATTCTCTTGAAATAGTCGTCTAGGAGCCTTACTGCCAGACCACAATACACAAAAGCCGTGAGAAAGACAAGCCAGTACTCAGAATCCATACTGTCATCTTTCGAACTGTCCTTTTGTACGAATTTAACAGCTATACTGATAACAGCTGGCTGTGAGTAGCGAAAGAAGATCAAAAAAATGCGTGGTAGAATTGGCGATAGAATTTGTCTCCGGAAACAACCCAATAAAACACAAAGCAAGGAAAACCTGTCTTGCTGCTTTGCTGTATAATGGAAAGAAAAATGATTAGGAGTTCCAGTTCAAGCCTCAAAGGGGTAACACACAATGCTTACATCTCTGCCTCCATGCCTTTGTCAATCGTTTCCGTAAGGCTTCCGAGGAGAGCGATTGATCAAGTCTTGGTAAATCAGTGCTTGTCAAATACTCATGATAGCCCACCCTGAGAATAGGATTGATCCACCAAAACAGGGCACAACCAAACACTCCGGTCAGCTCTTCGGGTGCAAGATTTTTGAAGCTAGGTTTCAGTATTGTGGTTTTGTTTTGTGACTCCACTACTAGAAGGCTTAACCCGAGCACCAGTCTGATACTCACAAGGAGATATTCTGCCATTTCGAGGTCTGTCGATGGCAGAGTCAGAGCAAGGGAATCTTTGATACATAATAGGCCCAAATATAGAGTGACTAGCGTAGATGGGCGCACATTCCTACGGTGCTCCAAAAATGACAACATAGAAAGACCGAAGGCAGCGAAAATCGATGTACATGATAGAATCCAGTGATTCAGGCCTCCCAAGAGGTTGCTTGTTTCACGAAGGGAAATAATTTCAGTAACTATCAGCCCTAAGGCCAGGAGCTATCGAAACCAGACACATACATGAGTAAATGTTGCAGGAGTCCTTTTGTGGGGAATGATGGAGGACTTACAAATTTGAGACGACCCTCAAAGTTAGGAATAACTTTGGTCGCTGAGTCGCGCAGGTGCCTCAGTTGAAAAGGTAAACATAGCAGGAAGAGTAAAGATAAGAGGGACGAGTATAGACTGAGCCAATGATGTGTGTCAGACATTTCTGAGGCGGTTTGGAGGCCGTGTGAAACAAATGTCGATCAACACAGGGTCAAGCCGATTTTAGGTTGTGCTTTTCCTTGTTTCCAACGGGCTATGAACTTTTCAAGACCTTCCTCAGAGAGAGAGGGGTAATTTTGGAATTCAAGTTTGCCCGGATGCTTACGCACTCACTACACTAAGGGGGCCATGGGGCCAAGTACCGAATACGTATACAAATGAGTTTCGAGCTTTCTTCGGGATGGCGCAATATCGGGTGCTTTTAATTCGTTTAGTTAGCTCTGGATAAAATTGTGTATCATTAGGGTGGGGTAAGGCAGATATCTGTACTCGCAGTAATATAAGAGAAGGTACCCATGGCTGTTATATTAGATTGGTTTGATTCGTTGGTGGGCAGAGGTTTAAGATGTAGTCGCTTCTGCTGAGACAGCTTCCAGAACAAGTCTTTACTGGTCGACTGAGCGAATACATACACATGAAACAATCCCAAAAAACTAATTGATGACAAGAGAATAGCTTCGTCTCTTCTTACTAACCCAACGAGAAGAAAGACAAAATCACAAGTAGCCTCAGTTAAAATGACATTCTATCGTAAGAGGCTTCATCTTCGGATTTTTCTCGATCAACCTGATCTGGGTCCTGGGACAAACTGTTCAAACCGCCCTGATTGACAGTGTCGCTGTTAAAATTGGTTGGTTGTTCCCCGCTAGGCCGACGAGTGTAGGGGCATCTGCAATAGCCTTCGCGAATGAGGGAGTGATGGGGATACAAGAAGAGAAACCGCACGAGAATGGAAAAGAGTATTAGGAGTGAAATGAAATGGAGGGTCTGAAGAAGAAACAGAGCATAGTAACTCCGATAGTCAAGCTCCATAGGAGGATCCAGGTAGTAGACCTTGAAGTAAGGATTACAGAAGTTGAAAAAGCAGCTGGAGCATTCTGTACACATGATGTCTCGAATTCTGCAGTCTTGGTAGCCCTTAGCAAGATCTGTTGAAATGATGAGTTCTTGGTTCTTGCTGTGATGGAAAGAGAGCTGGAAAAGGCCAGAAGGCTGAAAGATGCGGTTTTCGATGATCCCTAGGGCAAATCAATAGAAAAGAGGATGAACAAGGGATAGAAAAGGAGAATCAAAAAAATATGCTCCCCTCAATCAGTTCATTCATAGTTCTTTAATCTTGGGAAATCAACAAAATTTCTGCTTCGCTTCGTGGTTAGGTCGTACCAACAAACAACCTGGGTATCTGTATAACAACCGGGTAGAAGCGTTAAAGCTGGCTACCTAAGTCGTCGTTTTCCCATCACTCATCACTCCATGTCAAGTGGAGGTGATGATGAAGCACAGAATACTGAAAATAAGGTCCAAAACAGAGGGGTGGAAAACACCCTGTGATTGAAGATATCAAAGTTCCAGAAAGCATTTGCATATGATCCTGCCCTTCACAAAAAACCAAAACCAGCTGATCAAAGCCCATACCGAAATCTCGAAATAGCTCCAAACAGAGTGGAAAATGGAGAAAAGCATCTTGTAGCACCATCCCAAACGACACATATGACGGCCTCACGAGTGCCGTAGCTAAACGGGGCTGTCGCGCTCAAAGGGCCCCCGGCGAGCCTGTATAGAGAGGGAGTGCCCGAGTCGGACGGTGCCAAACGTGGACTGGTGAGATATTGTAAGGTCCAGAATGGCGGCCTAGTCGTGGAGGCAAAACAAGTGGAGATTCCTGGATGTTGCTGGGAGGTGTGAGGAGGATGAGAGACGGAGGCGCTCGCATGCGCATGTGGAAGAAGTAGTATGCGTAGAAGAGCGCAAAAAGGGGAGAAACGTGAGCAGGAACAGGAGAAAAAAAGGCAGCGAGACCAGGAGCAAGAGATCCAGGATGGGGATGAGAGTAACGAGGAGGATGGAGGGATAATTATTCCCCAGGTATTGCAACATCCTAGCTGGGTGATGCGAAGTTGTTTGTAGATAGGTTGATTCAAGAGAGCACTGGAGTTGCTTGAGAGAATCGATGGTTGAACGGAAGAGAAATGTCGAAATAGTATTTCCTCGACTTGTTTTGTTCTACACTTTTCTAAGCAGCCAAAGATCAGATCGATGCCAACCTGCTGCAATAATTGAAGGACGGACAGGATTCAGAAGCCTTTTTGGTCAACACAAAAGCACCAGATATAAAGAATACAGGTTGGACAATTAATATGTGGGTTGAAACAGGAATCTATCAAAAGCCTCTCCGCAACCGCACACAAGTCAAGGCAAACACCGCCCAAACCAAAGCCGACATGACGCATCCCAGGAAGAAAAAGAGAAATAAAACAAAATCTATGTCCAGATCGCCTAGAGCAACAACGGGTGAAAAACGACAAAACAGGGAGGGGTGCGAAGAAGAGGACGGAACGGTAGAGCTCGAGGTATATACACAAGACCTCTAAAGAGACCCGGAGATCGAAGTCCGGACTCATGAAGCAAGGTAGGGTCGTCGAGTGGGGGACGGCGAGTGGAATAGAGGTAAGGTAGCAAGAACTCCGATGACAAGGTCAGGGTGTGCTGTCGTCAAGAGAGATTAGATAGGGTGGGGGATGGATGGGCTGTGTAGTGTCGATTTTCAAGCAGCAGAAATGGAGGGTAAAACGCCCGTTGAGAGATAATATCAACGACGGGATACCCTGGTTTTCTCTTGCTATCCAACCACACAGATCAACAGCCAATCCAACCCTAGAATATAATCTGTACAAGGGAAAACGCTCAAACTCCATGCCCATGCGCAACACCGGAACAATCAGTACAATAAAGACCGGGGAAAAATAAACACGTTATCAATCAACATTGGGTGACAGATTTCTCTTTTCTCATGGCTGCTTCTTAATATGCCTCTCTCCAGATTCGGCGGGCATCTCGTCACCATCTATAATGCGCCACAGTCGACGTGGGGAGAAGTTGTTCCCGACCAGGTAGATTCCAACGAACCAGGCAGCCAGTAAATTGGCTAGGTGGTGAAGGAGATAGGCGTAGGTGACGCCGTAGACAGCAGAATACATGGCAATGGCGAAGAATATCGTGGCCGTGACGTGGCGGAAACGATTGGTGATGCGGGGAATCATCGCGCCACTAGTCATCGTCTCGACGAGGAGAAGGAAGGGCATGATGGAGAGGACATTGTGGTGGGAGGAGAACGGCATGAACCAGTGTACGACCAGGTTGTGTGCCCAGACGAGCAGAACGAGCACGTTGATTGGGAGGATCCAGAGCATCAGAATTAGAATGGAGTGGGCGTAGTTGCCGAAATTAAGGTGGGAGGTAGATCTCTGCGTGATTGTTAGATGCCTCGCATTGCTGTCTGGATTGATTGAAAGACGTACGGTTTCTTTGGCATGCCATTGCGCGCGCACGCACGTTGCCAGCTGCACAATACAGGCCACCATGTAGGCGAACTGGTAGGGGATGATCGTCGAGACAAGGATCAGAAGGATGGCGGTGTGAATCACACGTCGCCGGGGGGTAGGGGCACTGAAGATAGGTGAGTTGCCTCGGTCCTCACGACGGATATAGCCTGATTTGCTATTCACCGCTCCATAGATAAGAGAAAAAATGTTCACCAGTAGCAAAGCTACATAGTTGACCAGAACACAAACGCCGACACTGATGAGCCCGAAGACCGGAACGAGAAACCAAAAGAAAGCATCCTGAGATCCGAGAAGCAGATCATTCTTCGTGAAATCGAGTGGCGTCTCGGTCGAATTAGTGCGCCAGTGGAATGGATCATCGGACTGAGGAAGGGCCTTCGTGGTAGCAAGCGAAGACGCAAAGAGCGACATGGCCACAAACAAGAGCGGTAGAGAGGAGCGCAGAGCCCGGTCGAGACCATCGGTAAACGGGATGAAATAACCAGTCTCGTCGTAGATCTGGAATTGCTTGCGGAGGACCAGAGCAACAACAAGCAGCGGGAATGCTGCAAAGACTGTGCGGTACCGCATCACCAACTCGCCAAGACTGCTGGCTATATCCACCTGCAAGGAGATATCGACCGTCGAGCCGGAGCTTGGATCCGTCCAGAGTTGGAACGAAACACCGCCGGTAGCAGCCTGATCACGAAGGGCAGACGGCATATAGGGGGCTACGCCATGTAGGTTGACATTGACCTCATTCACATTCACAAAGAACTTGGACTCGTGGGGATCAGGGATAGACTGCCGCAGGAGCGGGGCAAACAGCTCCTCCTTCTGAGGATGGCGGGTGATCTTGAGCTTATAGTCCAGGAGACTGGAGTGCAGTGCAGGAATCTTCACCTCCGTCAGCATAGGCCTGTTTGCGGGCAAGCGCATCTTTAGACCGGCGCTCAAAAGACTGCCCAAGCCAACCTTGGCTCGTATCATGGCATCCGAGCTGTCCGAGAACTCTGCAACCAAGAAGCCAGGGGTTGGCATATTGGCCTTGTCCACGACAGCCACAAACTGATGCTCCGCCAGACTCTCCAAATCATATTGGAGATAGGAGAATGGTGCAACACGATCGTACGCATTCTTCGATTCCGGGGTGGAGGCAGGCAAGTGAATGACATCTTCGGCGGCGCTCTTACAAGCTAACCGGGTTGAGCCTATAGTTCCACCCGAGAAATCGAGATTCATGGAAAAGATCGTGGACCGGCCGTTGTTCAGCGGAAAGACGCTGCAGAAGAGGACCTCGATATTACCCTGTTTGTCTAACGACTGATCTGTAATGAGGGTGAACTTTTTGCCCGAGACACCCTGTGGCGGAATCGGCAGTAGGCGTACATCAGGACCATGCCGCTGGCCTAGTTCACGCAGAATCAGACGTTGGCCTTGGGCAAGAATGGTGTTGGCATTGTCTTCCAGCGTCAAAAGTGTGTTCGGTTCCTTCTGCGATAGTGTGCGCTCCGACACCGACTCCAACCCAGTCAAATACCACTGCTTCAACACACGCATACGCTCTGCCCGCGGCTTGGTCTGTGACGGTCGTCGAGCATCGATAATCTCAAAGAGGGACTTGATGATCGCTTTCCGAAACTGGTCACACCAAGTGATCGACAGATGGTCCATGCCGATCCACACGTTGGGCATGGACGAGGTGAAGACGGTAAAGCCGTGTGTTTCGGGAACCAGGGATGAAATGCTGGTGTAGTCTGACGGCACCACAGTGTCGCGTGTACCGCCGGCGATGGAGATCAGGGTGACATGCCACAGCGGGTTGTTGTTGGCCCATACTTGTGAGTATGCCTCTCGCCAATAATCGTTAATCTGTTTATAGGTATGGACGATGTCGGAATCGAAGGAGACCGGAGGCTTCGCGTGGGGTGCTGACATGGTGATGATCGTGTTGACCGAGTTGGCCTGGTAGTTGGCCATGGTGAGAGCGGTCCGAGCCACGATGCCACCCATGGAGTGGCCGATCAGAAGGACAGCGCTGGGATCGGGGAGCGCGGGATCGCGGCGGGTCCGTTGGGGGTCGTGGTAGAGCGACAGAATATAGGAGATGGCCTCGTTCACATATTCCGCCTGGTCCAACAACGTTTGCCCGTGGAAGGCCGCCATGTCCTCATTGAAGTCCACCATGAAAAAGTCCAAGCTGCGGGTGCCAGCGGCGTGCCGGTCTTCGTCGTGCCGAACCACGTCGTAGTAATGCCGCGAGGCCTCTGCGGCCAGAGACCGGACCTGCCGGTAACTGCCAGCGTTGCCGGGAAGGAAGAGGACGGGAACGCCGTTTAACTAGAAGACAAGTCCATCACGATGTCAGCCAAATATCCCTCCCGTCTCTCATCTTTTTCCAACACGAACACTCGCGTTTCTCGGCTGGTATATAGGGTTGGAGGGCCGCGGTTGCGGGTGTTCTTTCTGCTTACCCCGATATTGTCCTGAGTATAGGGATCCACGCCTTCCTCCCGATATAAAAAGAGGTTGTATTTGCTAGCAAACCGAGTATGTTCCGTGTCAAACTCCAACATCCGAATAAAGGTCGGGCTCATCATCGGCACACCGCAACCATCCCCGCCGACCTGGCGAGCCGTAAAGGAGTGCACAATGGAGATGAGGAAGGCGATTGCAACGAACGTGGTGAAGCCGGTGAGGATAGAGGTAGACCAGGGACTCCGGAGGCGAGCCTGGCGGGCGCGGCGGCCATCGGGGGAGGGAGCCTCCATAGGCAGGCGCGGGGAGCCCAATGGCATGGTTTTGGTGTCGTTGGCAGGTTGCGAGGAGGGGGTGCGCCACAGGCTTGAATTCCGCGAGCGCGGCGTGGAGGAGCCGTTGTCGCGGCGAAGATCGAAGCTGGTGCCGTGCCGGGCTATCTGGGACCGCGACTTGTCGGAGGGCTCGATGACATTCGCATGGCCCTGCCCATGGCCGTGATCGTCTGGGGTGCGCGCCGGGGAATCCTCAGTGTCGTCCGCGACAGGGGAGCCCGACGAGCGTCTGTGCATTGGAGGAAACGGGAGTCGGAACTCATCCAGCGGCCGGCGCACACAGGAGAAAAAAAGGGCTGGGAGAAACCGATCTTGGCAAAGGGAGGGTCGGCCTCACAGGACCCAATGAGATGGTCAGAGGGAACGAAGGGGGGAGGGGGAGGGGGAGGGGGAGAGGGGGGGGGGAAGGGGAGGAGAGGAGGAAAGGGTTCAGTGGAATGCGAGAGGTTTGAGGGATGAGGAGGAGAGCCCGCGGCAGCAACAGCAACAGCAGCAGCAGGCAAGGACGCCGTACCAGCCGTACCAGCTGTACTGCGGTACCGCAGTACCGCCCTCGCAGGTAATAATTTGGGGGAGAGTGCAGGTACCGGGCGGAATGGGCGGCGCTGGTTGGTCGAAACCCCGTTCAGGAGTCCCTGACGTCTCGGGCTACCGTCGCATCTGCTCTGCTCCATCACGCTGTCTGGGACGCTACAGTCATCCCTCTCCGGACTTGGTTGGACGTGGGATAAGTCCCCAGGGGCCCCAATGGACACTCCACTCAGCAGTCGAGTATGGTTCGCGATCCAGTTCTTAGATAGTGGAGCAGAACCAAAACCAACTCGCTAGGCAGAGATTTATCGAACCCCGAAAATTTGATATCTCAGGAATTTGGTGAAGAAATCGCAGAGCATTGTATCCTGGTTACGATCGATGGGCTTAGATCCAGTATGCGGACGACCTCGCGACCTCAGTTGATGCATGAACCACATAAATTACCTTAATGGTTCACTATGACATGAATTACCGGGGAGGTGTTTCTCGACTATCTTCTGTTGTTCTCGAGGTCCAGACCGCCCTTGGGCACTCGAGCGAGCGAGGCAGGGCTTGGCGGGCGGCTCGACGCTGCTGGGGCTTCGGGCGAAGCCGACGCCCCGACGTTGGGTGTTGGTATGCAACGAGAGATAAGTAATGATAGATAGCGAGAATATCACAGTAATCATCATCCGCGTTACGAGCTCTCGCTACTTCTCAGTATCTGTCAATCTCTATCTCTCATTCTATATTCCTCGCCCATATACATTCGCCTCCACTATCTCCGTCCTTCGTATGAACTGCCTGTGTTGTTCTCTTCAGCCAACTTTCCCATAAGGGCTGGCTCGCCAGGCAATCAAGTTCAATCACCATAAAAAAAAGAAAGAAAAAAAAAAGAAAAAGTTAGGGGCGAAAAAAAGAAGAAGAAAAGCTGGTTGCTCCGATCGAACAATCAATAATATCAATAATGACCAATACCGGGACCTGCAGGACGCGTATTGATTGCCGGTGACACCGAATCAAAAACCCTGCCAAGCCACCCTGAATCCCTTTGCGTACTCGGTCGATAGGAAGAGGGAAATTATATTCAATACATGTTACCCTCTAAGCTGGGTCACCTAACCCTTAGCCCCCTCTTAGCTAGCTTTAAGACAGAACCAATAAGATCACCTTTACATCTCCCGACTCTGTCACAATACATCTATAAATATTACTTATGATGCATGTATACTAGATCATGTCTGGTAACCCTTGACGTTCCCAAGCCATTCTAGTGTCCACCCTCTCACCGCTTTGGCGCACTGAATAGCATGGGAGCTCGCCTGTGATCGACCTGAGCTGCTCGGCTATCATTCCGTAATTAAGCTGATCCACTGACTAGCCCTGACCAGCGCATTCGTCTTGCTGCTTATTAAGCTCCCTTCGAGGAGTGACCCGAGACGCGCTCGCTCGATCCCTATCACTGCAACCTTTCCCGTTTCAGATTATATCTCCTATCCCGCTCAGAAAGACGTAGCGTCGTAAATCTGCCACTATTTTGGTGATTTTTGCTGTGACAGAACAGGATGTATATAGTAAATACCGTCCATTTGGACAATCTCACTGATCGAAGAGATCACGCTCCAAGGAGCATTCTCTACGTTCGCCGATATATTAGCTATGTTTGGGAGAAATACAGAGACGAACGTGATAGGGTGTGTTGCCAAGATAGGTTACTAATTTTCATGCCTGTCTGCGAGCCAGGTTCAGCCTCAAGAAAATAGTAGGAGTGCTAGAGAGAAGACCTAGGAATATAAAAAGGAGAAGGTAACTGAGTGTCTGCCTTCTGCGAGCGGGATAGTCTTACATACATCAGTCCTGAGCCATCCCTGCAGACCGCTACTTCTCCACTAAAATATTGAGGAACGTGTTGATACGTGTCTATATCAAGGGTTGTTTTAGAGCCGATAGCTACCAGCTCTGCTCTGCCCAAATCGACTCTGCGAGAGCCCTCAGGTGTTGTTCTGAAATCTCTAGATCTTTCTCCCTTGGGAAATCGGGCACGCGATGGAAGAGAGCGTCGAACGGGATTATCAAAGGATGACCAATGGTGGTAACCTCGCCTTGGTTCCTAATCATCCAAATAACCTGGGAGCGATGGGTTCTATTGTTCTGCCGCTCCCATTTTTCAATCCGAACTTCTGGCTGAGATTTATTCATTCGAAGTGTGAGGCATAGGTCGGCCTTTCCATAATCAGGATGCAGCCAGAATCGAACATCCGAATTCAATTTGGAATCCGATTCAGAGTACGCGACTTCGAGGGCAACGGAGGGACCGCATGCTCTTCTTTTCGGTCCCCAGCCATAGTCAGGCACTTTCCCTCGGTCTTCACCTTCAACGGTGAGCCCCGGATATTCCTTCAGAGCATAGTCCAAGCCCATTGGACTTAACGCCTGGCGAATCAGTATGCTCATCTGAGAAATCGCTTCGTTATGTGGACCCAGAGGCATGGAGACGAGGAAAAGCTGTTCGCTGGTATCAAACGAAGAACAAAATTGAGCGATATCAGTGTCCTCCGTGACAGGACCAAGGAGGGTTTCAATGGTCTTCTTGTTTGCACGAAAGAGGACGAATTCACTCGATTCAGTCGAAGCTTCGGAGAGATCGGTTTCGGCTTTCAAGATGTTGTAGAATTGCTCTTTCCCTTTATATGTGTATCTCTTAATAACCGGGGGTAGATCCTCGAGGAAGGGGCCATCCAGGCTAAGATTGTAGCTGCCTTGGTGCTCCCGCATCTTGGCCCCAGTGATACGGAGATCAACAGAATCACCGAGAGCTTTGGAGACGAGGAGCCGCTCAAAAAGATAAGAGTGGTGATTCAAGATAAAGCATGCCAACTTCGTGATGAGGGGAGGTCCGTTTGGGGGTTTGAGCTGGGGAAGATTTGTTTACCTCATGATGACTCCTTCAGCCTGTCCACTTTGAAAGTGTCGACGGGAGGCGATGTATAGTCTGAGGGCGACGAAGAGAGCCTTGTTAAGCTGGCCGCGAACGGCATTGGTTACTTCAATGTCTATTTTTGCAAGGCTTCCTCCTTGAGCGTAGGATTCTCTCTCCACCATGGGGCCTTCTACCGGGGGAAAGTGGCGCAGTAATATCACTGACCATCAATGGTCGACACGATTTTCGAGACAGCCCGGCATAACCTGGCCAAGCCAGGTACACGTGGGGTATAGAGCAGAGCATGTAACTGGTAAGGTACGTGAAGTATGATTGGATTGGTAAAAAGTGGATTAAAGGGGGCGATGGATACAGGAGTGGTAGGTATAATATAGTTATTGGAGTGACAGGCTTTTAATTCTGGTTGAGGGCGTGACCGGCGATATCCAAGAATATACACACTGTACGTTCGGGGCAGCCGGGGAAAGTAAATTGAGCCAGGAAAATTCAGTTCCATTCAGTCAAGCTATTATGTCAATCAAAATATCTCCGGCGTCGGGGAAGCCGGACTGGCCAACCCGCACACCTCTAGCTATCGTCACATCATTCCTCAAACATAGAATTCAAAAGAAGGGAGGGGGATTCAGTCGTGGGGGTATATGAGGATTCTTGAAAAAAAAAATCATGATAAAGACAACGTCCCCCAAAATAAAGGAGCGATGGTCTTGCTTCAACCATGAAAACAACGGGGCGCAGGAAATACGGTGCCAGCTTTACTCGCGCCGCGAAGCCATCGCCTTCTCTGGATCACTCTCGTCCCCATCCTCGCGGTTAATGCCGCGATGAGCTGCGACGACCGCCATATCGGCATCGTGCTCGGCATCGAAGTTGCGGCCGAGACGCTCCGGCCCGGCCAGCGTCACCAGAATAGTGTAGGCAAACACACAGCCCATAAAGATGCAAATGACTTTGCCGTACTGGTAGCGCTTGGTGCCCTCCTCGGTCGGGGGTAACGGGAAGCGCTCGCCGATGGTCGACTCGATGGTCGAGCTGGCGGAGGACACCAGGTTGCCCAGCTGGTAGGCTGTGCCGACGGCAAAGGTACGGATCGGACCCGGGGACAGCTCCATCAGGTGGATTGGGATCACGCCCCAGGCACCCTGCACCATGAACTGCTCAAAGAAGGCGGCGGCCATGACTTTCTCATTCGCCACAAAGGTGTAGGGGTAGAGCAGGGCGCCGCCGACGATGCTGATCACGATGATGGAGAAGCGCCGGCCGAAGATCTGGCTCGCCCAGCCGCAGAGCGTGCCGCCACTCAGGGCCCCGAGGTTTGCGACCACTTGGGTGACAGTGACTGCATTCTTTGAGAAAGAGAATTGGTTTTCAAGCATGGTCGGGTAGAGATCTTGGGAGCCGTGAGACTAATGAAACACGAAGGTTAGCGGAGATGCATATTGGATATAGTATTTTTCGGAGGGGTGGGAGGCCGGGGTTGATAGGATAGTAGTATGACATACCATAAAGTTGAAGCCCGCCATCAGCAAAACCAGGTAGATCAACAGCAGCCAATGTCTCTTCAGGGCAACCTTGCCCTCCGACATAAATGAAGCAGCCACACCTCCGCGCACCTCCTCCCGAGCCATCTGGCGGCGGCGGAAGGTCTCTGTCTCCGGCAGACATAGTCGGAAGATGATGATCAAGACAGGGGGGCAGGCCGCGAACCAGTATAGTGGGCGCCAGCCGTGAGGGGTGGTATCCACCAAACCACGGGCAAATGCAGTGGCCAGTAGATAGCCAAACGCATAGCCCTGCTGCAGAAGACCAGAGACAATACCGCGCGCCTCGGACGGGCAGTCCTCCAGCGCCGTGGCGGCTGCGTTGCCGTAGAGTCCGCCCATGGCAATGCCAAACAGGGCGCGACAGGCCAAGAATTGCTTGTAGGTCTGGCAGAAGCCAGCGCCTAATTCCAGGACCACGAAGAGCAACTGATTCACGACAAACGGCCACTTCCGACCCCAGCGATCAGACGCGATACCGAAGGTGATGGCACCCACAGAACGTAGCATGAGCACCAATGTGATACCCCAGGTGATGTCTGTTACAGACTTGTCGAAGGTCTTCGCAAGCTGGGATGTCGTCAAGGAGACCGTGAAAAAGTCAAAGGCATCCCAGGACCACCCGATAAACGCAACCTATAGGGGCCATGATTAGAGACGGGATGTCGGCAGTTGAGATTGTTATATTCATGGAGAAATCTGCGATTGGGGTAGAGCTTGGGGTGGGAGTGCATACCGCGAAGAATAGCCATTGTTGACGATTCAGCAGGGTCAGTGCCTTGAAGGGGTTCGGGGCTGGGTTCATCGGCGGCACCAGGGTGGGAATGCGCGTCGCGATGTACCGCCCAATGCTCATTTTCTCCTCGACATCCGGCGAGGCGATGTCGGGGACAGGCGTATGCGTGGATTCAGTCTTAGAGTCGGCCATGGCGACACAGTTGCTGCCGGAAAAGGGCTCGGCTTCTCGGACAGTAGAATTAGGTTCCGAGAAAAGTGCCCCGGCAAGGGGAAAAAGGAACCCGAGAAATAGGAAATCCGCGCCGATGGCACACAAGGAGGCCCGAGAGTAGGAAACTGAACTCGATGGATGCGAACAAAGAGAAGAGGGGGCAGAAGAAGCGGCGGGGGAGGGAGGAGGGTCCGGTCTAAATACGACGGTACCTCGTCTTCTCCTTTCCTCCTCTTGACGTCGGATGACTTTTTTTTCACTCGTGCTCAACCCTACGAGACATGGCCCATGGGTCGGACCCCGCTTCCTTCAAGGTACAGGGATCCGAAGAGATACAATTCGTTGGCGGGCCAGCTTTTTGTCTTCGGGCGAATGATGACTGCGGCCCAAAGGACGGCCGCCGATCTTGATACACTCTGGGGAAGGGAACGTTCCCCAGACCCGGGGAAGAAGCGTTTACTCGGCATTCCTGGTGTGCCCGATGCCGGCGACAGCGAAACCCATTCTCCCTTCGTTGTGGAATAGAGTCTCCTAGCGAATTACAAGCCCGGCTTGTTGAGATACAATCAGCTCACCAATTTCAAGATCGGGCATGTCTTGCATCTTTGCATCTTCCTCTCCAACCACATCTGGAGGGCCTCTCGACCCACCCCCGGCCCCCCGTGAGAGGTGACTGGAAGATTCGCTTGTGCGTGGCTCGTTCCAGATTGGCTCTCGTCGCCGTCCAGTTCCCCAGTTTTTTCTTGGTTGTCAAATTCTGCTGCACTAAACGACACCAGGATTGGAGAGATGAGATATACTTCCAGCCAAGAACGCCCTCCGCGCTGAACCGAGGGACGCAAAGCTTCAGCGCCCGCCCCCGGCTTGACTCGACGTCACATCGGGCGTTACTCACCCCTCTCCGATTCGGATCTTGTCCGTCAGCATTCATTTCCTGGCCCAGACAGCAGAAATCAGCCAGCCTCGTGAGCAGGACAATTTTCGGCGCGTATGCGCTGCAGTTACGCCCGGTTTAGGTTTTCTCCGACGTTGTTCTGCCCAGACCTGGGGTGTGGAGCGCGATGGAGTCACGCACAACCCTCTCGGCCCCCCGCGACCCACCCCGTCTCTAGAACGCTGGAGCGGTACAGGCTTACGGGCTCTGTCGTGGTCGCAGTCTCTTTTGCCGGACTTTGATCGGCCCATCGGTCTGTCAACCTCGGCCCTGAGGGATGGCAGGCCAGTTGCCGATTTAGCCTATTCTAGCCCGTGGACTCCGTCTCGGGGAGAAAGACTCCACCTCATAAGCGAAGATATGACTCCTTTCACGTAATGACAATAGTCATCGCAACAAACCGCACAGAGAAATGACCAGCAGACGAGCCCTGAGTTGCATGACAAATGCCGATTTTCTCACAGGCGGGGTTGGGGGGTGGGGGGGGGGAGGGAGGGGGCGCGCTGGGAAAAAACGTGTCGGCCCTGAGCCTCCAGAATGATACCCCCGAGAAAATAGTCTTCCGAGACTCGGCGGTCCGGGGGATGCGAAGCTTGGCGGGATAGGATTCACGACGGACAGGATTGCGCTCAATGGCTTGCACACAGTTTCGGACGATGACCGACGGGCCACACGCAGCCTATGGCGCGTCCTTCTCCGCAATCGATCGGGAGAGAGTGGTGCGAGGAGCATCGGAATTGGCTAGGTCAAGTGAATTTTTGCCGTATGACAGCCGAAAATGCCGGCGAACAGCCTTCTCCGGCTTCAAAAAGTATATGGTCATAATTGCCGTTTCTCACGGCGACTAAGTCTTTCAAATTGGTAGATGCTATATCGCCGCGAGGTCCCCTCCCTTGTCGGAGCTGGAGTATCACCCACCCTCAAACTTACGACAAGATCCGAGACTCGAGGCTTGACTTTCTTGGCTGCAGTTACCATGGTGTGCCATGCCATTGGCACCAAAGCTTCTCCTAACCCTACCTAAGCAGCCCCCACGTCTCTACAGAGCTTCTATAGGTTGCTCTCACCGCGTTCATTTGTACTTATCGGGCAGTAGTATCTATCCACCGTAGCCACCCATAAGTATTATGGTCGCAATTGAAGATTTGGAAGTCTGCAATAGGTCTAATTCTAGTCCTCAGATGACTGCCAAGCACTGAGGGGTATCTTGGGCAGGTATCTTCTGTCGCTCTGAAGAGTAACTGGTTTTTGACCGAGATTACCGATCGGCTAGCAACACCTTGTTTGCTGGCTTGCTTTCTCGTGTTCGAAATTATTGTTCTCTGGCACTAGTGTCGAATGACGTCCTTATAATAGGGGTCCTAGTAGGAACATCAGGAGTGAAATCCCTTGTGAGAAGGTTCAGATGCTTCTACACTGGAGTATTTGATGGATATGCTTTTCAGAATAGGGTATTTGTCGTCTACAACAGTCATTGATGTAATTGCTAAAGTGGCGCTAGTACTGCCATAAAGTTGACCTCTTTCAGACGAATCAGGTGAACTCTATGGGGACAAATATAAATCGACTTTGGGCTAAAAAATGCTATTTCGCGCTTCCGTTTTGGCGTTGTGCTCTTGATAAAGGTTCAGAGCCAGATTAATCGAAACCTTATGGCAGTTGAGAATAACATAGTATCGAAATTCAACCTCAAGCACTCAAGACTTTTTCATATCCGTAGGCCTAGCATCGGGCCCATCCTCTTGATAGACCTAAAGGAGGACATGATTGAGAGAGGAGAAAACAAATATGTGGAAACTTTCTTTCAAATTTATCATCGACGGGGTGTCTTCCTCAACCCTAGAAATAATACGTTTTCACAAACCACCACAAGAGATTGGCTTCATTTGAATGATTTATTGGACTTTCTTGAACCATAAACAAAAGCACTTGTCCAAGCCACTCATTTAACAACTCTAGGAGTATCATATACGAGACGGCACCAATTTTCCTAGAATTAGGCTCTCTGGAGCGCTTAGCTTTCAAACATTACTCTGGTACTATAACTGAGAACCAAGTCTCAGTTCTGCAGAGTCATTAAAAATTTGGTCTTTGTAGGTGACTAAAATTAGACCAAGCTAGCCGCCGGAAAATAGAATAGATATACCAAGGGTCCATTCAAACACAAGTACCGCACACGAATCAAGACACCGCCCGTGTACCCTGACAATCATTGTAGGGAGATAGGGTCATCAGGAATGTTCATTGCAAGATGATCCGTGCTAAGACTGACTGGTAACGGGTCATCGAGCGAATGTCACCTGACAGCCATCACTGCTTGTCCACTCAATTCTCTCCAATCGGCTCCACCAGACAAGCTGTGCCATATGCACAGATCTGTGAGCATGACCCGAAGCTCGCGACATCGAAGCGAACCGCGATAATTGCATTGCCCCCACGGCTCATGCACTCACCCACCAACCGCTCCATCGCCTCTTCCCGCGACTGGTACATTAAATTGGTGAAGATCCGAATCTCACCACCAACCGCGGTTCGCAAGGCCCCACCAATGTCGGCGCCCCAGTTTCGCGATCGCACGGTGAGGCCGTAGACGGTGCCGAGGACTTTCTGAATTTTATAGCCTGGCAGGTCATTCATGGTGGTCGTAACCACACCATGGGTATCGCTGAAGCAGGACGGGATGTCCTTGTCTTTTTTAGGTGCGCTAGCCATTTCTGGGTGCTTGGCTGTCAAGTATTCGATGACTGATTTCCGGGTTATGCCGTGTTCGCAGTAATATAGGATGTTGGCGACTGCGCCGGCAATTGAGATAATGTGAGACTTGTTATTCTAGCCAAACTTGAGAGTGTGTAGAGGACTGATTCTGATTTCGAGAAATCGAGACGCCGACCGATGCGATTGTGCCTCTATATAAAGAAGAGGTGGCCTCGTATTGCTGTGCCTCTCTTTCATCTGACCGCCAATCAGTGCTGTCGTATCCGCCAGGTTGCGGCATTTTTAAGGTTCGTCACTTTGCGATCTCCCTTTGCGGCAACTTTCGTATCAGGCACCGCTATGAAGTCTTGAACGTCCGCTTGGCACGTTTAAGTGGTAACTTTGGGAGCAATTTGCTAAAATCAGTCTCGCCTCTGTTGGGAGAAGAAAACTCCAACTGCATGTGATATACTCTGGGGCATGTTAAATCGAAAACAACGGATCGCAACGGAAGAATACGCCGAGGCATGAAGTATGGATTTGATAAAATCTAATATGAAACGACGAGGGCCTGGGAAAGGCCGTAGACAGTTAAGCCTCCTCTCTATTGGCTGAAGAAGGTCGCTCTACCTTGAGTGCAGAGTACAGAGTCACCCCGAGTGAAGTAGTCTATATCGGTAGACCAAAAGATCAACAGGGGTGCAAGTCGCCGGAGGAAAAGAAAACCATGTGTCAAATTGTGGGGCGCAGAATAACCATGACTTTGTCTCGAGTTTAATTTCCGTCAAGGACCCTGAGGCCAGTTATAGAATCAGAAGAAATGTTACCTAAGGAAATTAAACAGTTGCAGAACATAATGCATACTTTATTTGTACGCTACAAGGCTTAAATCTATTTGACTCGCTACATCTCTCTTGCCTTTTTGAGCTGGGGCTGAAGAGGAGGCTGTGCTGTTGATGCCAAGAAATGATGTAACTTAGGCAGTGCAGTTCATTTCACTCGCCCCGCTTGCCGCGGGCTAAGATGCGCTGGCAATCTATTTAATTGTCCGATATCCTCCCCCGTGGTTGTCGCGAGGCTTCCCGTCATTTCCACCGCCAGCCGGCTACCATCATTTGCATCCTCGGACTCCCCGCTCCGCTATTTAGTCAGCACCTCATTGTTCACATTCCCAGGCGACGGCTATCTCACTATGTCAAATTACCCTGGGGACTATCCCGGCCAGCAGGGCCAGGGATACTCTCAACAAGGATATCCCCATCAACAAGGATACCCTCAGCAAGGATACCCTCAGCAAGGCTACCCTCAACAAGGTCACCCTCAGCCGGGATACCCTCCCCAGCAAGGCTACCCCCTCAACAGGGCCATTACCCCTCCCAGGTGAGTGTCAGCAACGCTTTAGGCGTACCATGAGAAAACACGATGCGTTGAATATGATTCTTTCGATTCTATTGCCGAAAATCATCCAAAAGCTGACATGCAATATCTGTAACAGCAACCACAGCAACCATACGGCCAGCCCCAGTATGGCAGCCACTCCCCGGCACCATATAACATGAAACAGGAAGGAGCATCGCCTGGACAATGGCAGGATCCACACTACAACCAGCAACACCAGTATGCAGGCGACGCAGGATATGGACAGTCTCAGCAGGCTCCTCCGTACGATCGTGGTAACTACATGTCGAGCCCGCCTCAACAGGGTGGAGCAAACTCCGATTATTACAATACTGGGCCACCAGCCGGGCCTCACCAGGGTCAAGGTGTTCCTGTCGGTCCGGAGGGTGAAAGAGGATTCGCAGGTGGCTTGGGTGGCAGCGTGGCGGGTGGTTACCTGGGTAAAAAGATGGGGGGTGGAGTTTTGGGTACCATTGGTGGAGCAATTGTTGGAGGCATCGGCGGGAGTAAATTGCAAGATGAAGTGTAAGTTTGCTTCTTTCTTTGACCTCGCAATTTGGAGTCAAAGCTGACTTGGTGTTCTCGTTATAAACAGGAAAAAGAAGAAGAAGAAGCACCACAGTCGTCGCAGGTCCAATTCCAGCTCAAGCTCAAGCTCGTCAAGTTCAAGTTCGTCAAGCTCTTCGGATGGCCACGGCAAACACAAGAAAAAGCATCACCACCATTGATAAGGTGGTTCTCGATGGATAATGGGAACGGTTTGATCGCAAATAGTATCAATAGTCATTGTATGCAGTACCGCTTTATGTTTTAAAGATACGAATGAAGTTATATGATTGTAAATTTTTTTTCGCAGTGCAACATCCAAATTTCTTGACATGAAATGAAAAGACAATCTGTTTTGATTGTTTGCTTTGAATCTTTCAACTCTTATTTTATGTCGCTGGCCTATTCATATATCTCAATTTCAGACGACACTTCTTATCCAATGAAAGCTAGTGTCTTCTATCCTATTCCAATGATCGGCCATAACAAGAAGAAGACCCCTGTTTGGGCTCTCTCGTGCCTTTTTTTGTGACATCAGTTACATGTCCTAAATATATATACCATGATATCTATTTCGATGAAATCTCAATTAGAATATCAAGAGGAAATGCATTCTGATTGCTCAATAAATCCAAGCGCTAGTATGTATGTGATGCGTTGTAATCTTCTTGTCATAGTATAGGGGATTTCGTCCTTGCTTAAGAATTTCCACCGACGCCTCTAGGAAGAGAAAGAGAAAGCATCTTTAAATTCACAGCTTGGAAGACATATAGACAGGGCGAGTACCCAAAACCCTGCCCAAGTAGATCGTGTCTCGGTTGCATGAGATAGCTCCGTTTTCTTCAACAGTAAAATGCCAGCCAGCAGCCACGTCGTGCTGATTCATGACCATAGTGCTGTCGTCACAAGGACTCTTACGCTCGAGAGCAACAATATTGGCCAGCGAGTTCTTCTCAAGGAAGCTCGCAAGCTCAATAAAGAAGTCTAGATCGACCGAGACGTTTCCGTAGCTGGCCTTGTCATTGAAGTACTGGTAGGGAAAGAAAGTTCCGTCTCGCTGTAATCGAAAGACATGGCCGTAGACGTTTTCCGAGGCTAGATCGGAGGTAGAGAGGGCCTCCGTCTGGTATCCCTGCGACTTTTCGAGGACATGAGCAGAGGTACCGATGGCTGCATTGCCCACTGGGTCCGAAAAGGGCCCATGGAGGAGATGCAATCCGAAGTACTTGTGGGCGCCATAGCTAACGAAGAGCTCACCGAGAGCCTGGAGTGCGTTTTCCGGGACAGCAGGTTGTTCTGCGGGATGGGGGAGGCTATTGTACCTAATATCATTCACATTTATTAGCAAAATAGCCATATAATTAGATTAATCGACGGCTCACAGCGCCTGAGAAATAGAAAGGTCTTCCGCGGTGGGCGCCCGGTGGTAACCAGGAATACACATGGGGAAAACGCAGGCGGCGGCCATCGTGAAAGATCGCGAAAAATCAGTTACAAATGGAGTCTCTATTGAAGGATACGGAGCTGGGTACCATAAATATTTACAGGTAGACATGATAGGAAGGAGACATGTTACTTCTTAAGGGGCTGAAGATTGGACCAACAGCGTCTACCGGTGGCTAGATGCGACCTTAATGTTGCGCGTTAATGTTTTGGAAGCGACAATCATATATGACCCATTATTAATACTGAACATCCAAACCTATCATTTCATGGGGATTAAGCGCCCAAAGATTCCGTGTCAGAAAATAACATACAGGTCATCTCATATGGTGTATTTGTTGGCGGCCTTAGCGCGTTGGGAAGTCTGGCGTCCTTGCAGCACATGTATGAATTATCGGGGGCCCAGGACATGACTGAGACCGTTTAGGCCCGGTTATAAAAATAGACAATAGCCTTTATCATCTCCGAGGTGTATTTAAACAGCCCTGAGTCGCACCATGGAAGCTGAATCCGCACTCATCGGGCATCTCACAGATCCCTCCAGCAGACCTCTCCCCGAGATGATCAAGACCCTTTGCCTCCCATCTTTATCTTGATGACCCACTTAGAAACATAAGAAGACCGCTGTGAAATTTCGAAATTATGTCTGGGATGTTTCATTGTAAAAAGAAGTTGAGGGGTTTGTTTGCTATAAGTGCATCGTCGAGGGTATATGGATAATGTGTAAAAATACAAACATAGAAAAATCATTCTGTGTAGAGGTTGTCAGTCTGCATCATTTAATGTAAGCTTGATGCTAGACCCGACCATTCAGTCCTTGCCGGAAGTCATGCATGGAGCTCCTGCATCAGCCTGGTCTTCAAAAAGATTATTTAAATTTGCTTTCACGTCAATCTCAAAAGCCAGCCAAGGTAACGATTTGGGTGTCTCCCAGGAAAATGACCACTTCTCTGCCTTTTCGACCCAGTGCATCCGAGGAACAAGAGAAGAAATGCGTTTCCAAAGACGACGCATGAATCTGTCCGTGATCTCGTGCGGTCGGCCGTTGGCATGTTTGCCAAAAGTATGGCCTTTCTGGGGCCCATCCGTTAGAAGACTCAAGATCAGACTGTCTGTGAGGTCCTCGCAGATGTCTGAAGATTTGGCCCGGGCCCGTGGTCGAGGTTTCCATTCTACAGTCCCTGCGATCAATCCATCCAGAATTTCGAGATCGGCAGTTGGGAGAGGAGGTAAAAGACTATCCATCATATTGGAGAACCATTTTCTGCGAATATTCACACGGCGACGTCGGCAAACAGGTCTCCCCCAGCTATTTTGATCGGGTATAACAGGTTGGAGGGACTTTAATGCAGGCCGAAGACGGGATGATGTGACGATCCCATTGTTCATTTGGGATTTGGCAAGACTGAGCACGATTTCTGTTGGCTCCCAGCCGTCTTCAAACTTGATGGGCTGCGCGATCAGAGCCTCCACAGCGTTGGTATCTTTCGGGACTTGGGGGGTCGATATCCGAGCCAACAGCTGGTGTCGTCGTTTTCCGATGCGACCGTATGACATATACAAGACTCTTTCAAGAGGGCGTTGGTAGCCTTCATTTGCTCGTTGAAGCAGAGACAGCCCATGCCTGGCAGCCCGAGCCAGTTGGTGTTCAGGTCGGCCGGCATCCCGCGCGGCTAGAGAGCGGCGATAGCGTTCCAGCACATGTTCGCGCATATAGGTTCGGGCAATGGGATCAGGGAGGTAGGTGCATTCTCGCAGTGTAGCACGCAGGAGATGCTGCCATGTTATCGGATCTCGAGGGTGGAAAGAGGCGGATAGTCGTGTCGACGCCATGAAGATGCACAACCCAAAACGGCGAAAACGCGAAAACCTTGGCGGGAAGCGTGTCACGGGACGGACGCGCGCCTTTTCGTTCCTTTCCCCCAACCCCGCGACTCGCCTCGCCTTGCATTGCGCCTCGGATCTTGATCTTGATCGATTTTGACACATTCTTGTGCATTCGATCAGCTCTAGACCATTTTGTATGGGTTTTGCTGTTCCCTGTTGCCGTTCTCCCTCGTGAAGGGTGGTAGCCACGCGCCTCCTTTTGCCCGCGTCTTCCTCTATCCGGTATCTCCACACCAATATTTCCTACCCTGGTCATTTTTAGTCGATGCTGACCCTGCCTCTAGAACTTTGCAGCATGTCATACTCGCAAAGCAGCACAGGATCAGTAAACGGTTTGGCTTATAACATCCTCAACGCCTCCCAATCCCTCTCGTCCACCCCTCGCGCTACTCCTCCGCCCCCAAAAGGCTCACAAATGTCCTCCTTTGGCATGTCCAACGGTGCCTCACGAGGTAGCTTTAATGGTTATGACGGATCAAATGACTATGGCTCGGCGATCTCGTATCAGGAGCCGCAGATCTATCGCGTTAGTTGCCCTCTCATTAAACGCCACCGGATATCCCCTCTAACGCCATATAGGCCGTCTATTCTAACGTCTCTGTCTATGAAATGGAGGTCAATGGTGTTGCAGTTATGAAACGTCGATCTGACTCCTGGCTAAATGCAACCCAAATCCTGAAAGTCGCCGGCGTTGTCAAAGCCAGACGTACGAAAACCCTCGAGAAGGAAATTGCTGCTGGAGAGCATGAGAAGGTGCAAGGTGGCTATGGAAAATACCAGGGAACGTGGGTAAACTACCAAAGAGGTGTTGAATTATGTCGAGAATACCGGGTCGAGGAACTATTGCGTCCACTATTAGAGTATGACATGAGTCCTGACGGGTCTGGTGGTCCCTCTCAGGGAACCCTTGATACACCTACGAAAGAACAGGCAATGGCTGCACAGCGCAAGCGACTATACAGCGGCGCCGAGAACCGCAGCATGTCCCAGCCACAACAAGGGACTTTCTTTCAGAACATCTCACGTACAGCGGCAACAGCCGTCAATGCCATCAGCAAAGCTCGCTTTGATTCTCCTAGCTCAAATAGCCGGCGACCCAGCATGATTCGCAAACCATCGCAGATGAGCAGCCAGGAATCCCAAATGGCATTCAGCAGCCAGCAAAGCATGTATAACATGTCTGATAGCGGGTTTAGCAGCCTGCAGAACCGGTATCAGGTACATGATGACCACGAGGACTTCGCAGAACCCCCACGCAAACGTGTTCGCTCTTCATCACATCATGCTCCACTAATTGGCCTGCCTCGAGAGCCGTCCAACTTATCCATGCACGAACCAACTCCAACCGAGCCTAACGATTCTTTCTATCAAGACTTTGACCTTCCTCCTCCCCCTATGGATGATGGCCAAAAGCGAGGAGTTGAAGCTGTGGCGCCTGCCTCGGATCCAGAGGGGTTCCAGAAGCAAAAATTGATCATGACTCTCTTCCTTGACAAACGAATTAAGGACTTTTCGAGCCATCCTGCACTTATACAACTTTCTGGCGAGGACCTTGAGCTTCCCCTCGACGAATATCGAAATAATGCTCTTCACTGGGCTGCAATGCTTGCCCGTATGCCTCTTGTGAATGCCCTTGTGGCAAAAGGAGCAAGTATATCCCGTGTGAATGCGGCTGGCGAGACTGCTCTTCAAAAATCAGTGGGAACTCGGAACAACCTCGACTATCGAAGCTTTCCTCGTTTGCTTCAAGCGCTTGCCCCAACCATTGACATGGTAGATTACAGTGGCCGAACCATCCTCCACCATATTGCTGTCATGGCAGCAACTGGCGGCGGCGGACATGTCTCTGCTAAGCACTACCTGGAATCTTTGTTGGAATTTATTGTCCGACATGGTGGAGCTACCCTGAACACAAACGGCGATCGCGTGCAGAATGGATCGCAAGGCGGCGAGGTCATCTCCCTAGGACGTTTTATATCTGAGATTGTCAACCTACGCGACGAGCAGGGTGATACCGCATTAAATCTTGCAGGGCGTGCGCGGTCTGTTCTTGTTCCACAACTTCTAGAAGTTGGAGCCGATCCCCATATTCCTAATCACACGGGTCTCCGGCCTGCTGATTATGGAGTTGGTGTGGATATGGTAGACGGGAATTCACAATCACAACAATCTGGTGGTCGAAATGATACTTTTATTGATCAACTGGCAAAGTCGAAGAAGGAAGTCCTTGATGGTGAGCTTTGCGCTATTCTTACTAATTCTTTCAAAACACTAACATCGATCTTAGCGGCTATGTCTCAAATCAGCGCTCTGGTCGAGGAGGCCTTGGGAGGTATTGACCGTGATCTTGCGTCGAGCCTCACACAGAAGCAAGAGAAATTCGACCATTGGCACTCTAAGATTCGCGAGTCCGCAAAGGCTCGCCAGATTGAGCAAAAGCAGTTAGACGAATTAAAACTCAAGGCTTCCGAGCGAGTGGAACTTGACCGTCGCATCAAGAACATGGAACGTTCTTCCGATGTTTTGCTGACTACATTGAAAAACTCGAAAGGATTTGACACCTCTCATATTGCTGTTGTTGGCGATGCAGATCATGATGCCGGAGTGGATATTGTAGCCTTTGAAGCCCTATTTCCCGAGAATTTCGACCCTTCATCCGGATTCTCTGATCAACAAATCGCTTTCTTGGGTACAATTTCAGCTCCAGACTCTCTGAAGCATAGGCTTCAGTGCTATGAACAATTCAACCTCGGCATCACAGCTGATGTTGACAGTCTGAAAGCCAAGAATGCCGTTCTGGGTCAAAACTACCGTCGCATGGTGATGGCTTGTACCGGATGGAGCGCAGAGCAAGTTGATGAGGCCGCAGAAGGTCTAACCCAGTGTGTCAAAGACCTGAACGATAATCCTGTGCCGGAAGATGAAGCTATCGAGATTCTGATGCGGGATCGCGGGCAGGACTGGTAGTTTATGGCCATACTCGATCCTCTGGGCGTTTGGGTGTGACTTTATGGAACGGCGTTGATACATTCGATTGTGTGATACAAATACCCAGGTGGTCTGCACTGATGTCGATTTGGCAGTTTTTGTACTTAATCATTTTGAACACATTCTGCATTCTTGTACAAGCGTTTCTTGCTCTCTGTAGCGTGCGGTTCAATTTCAAAGTACACTTGCTTGGCCTTGCAGTATAGCCTAAATATAGACCTGACATTACCCGGACCGACGTAGCAACAGACTTGGCCTCCTCATCTCAGGCTGATCCCGTCGCTACCGCCAAGATGGACATCACTCCATTTCCCCGCGTTTGAGAACTTAACTATGGAGAAGTTTCGGGTAAACAGGGGCCTCGGGACATGCAGATTTATTAATAGGGCCTTTGACCCAGCTGAAGAGCAATCACCAGGACTTTCTCTTTCACATTTACGCCATCCACGCAAAAAGAATTAGGGTGACCATGACTACTGGGGTCCTCCGTGTGAAGGGCCAAACCGTTGTTGATGAAAATGGCCAGCAAGTTGTTCTACGAGGAGCCGCCATTGGGGGATGGATGAAGTAAGTCGATGTGAATCTTCATTTCATCACATGGTTCAAATCTGATGATGTGCAGTATGGAGAACTTCATCACTGGATTTGCCGCCCATGAATCGCAGCACCGTGCCTCAATGAAGAAAGTTCTGGGGAGGGAAAAATATGAATTTTTCTTCGACAAGTGGCTGGAATACTTCTTCACAGATGCTGATGCCAAATTCTTTGCTGAGTTGGGGCTCAACTGTCTACGAATTCCATTCAACTATCGCCATTTCGAAGATGACATGAATCCACGAGTACTGAAAGAGTCGGGATTCAAACATTTGGATCGAGTGGTAAATCTGGTAAGTTATTTTTCTGCTTTTTTTACAAGGTCCAATACATCCTTTCATCCATGTTGATGTAGAGAGTTTGGTAGTGTGCCACGCGTGGTATCTATACCATTCTCGACATGCATGCTGTACCTGGAGGTCAGAATCCTGATTGGCACTCCGACAATCCCACCAGCTATGCTGCATTTTGGGACTATAAAGATCATCAGGATCGTACGGTGTGGCTCTGGGAACAGATCGCCGCTCGGTATAAGAGTAATCCCTGGGTTGCTGGATATAACCCACTCAACGAACCATGCGATCCAGAACATGTGCGGCTCCCAGCCTTCTATACACGGATAGAGAAGGCTATCCGGGCTATTGATCCGGACCATATTCTCTGGCTTGACGGTAACACCTTCGCCATGGAGTGGAAAGGGTTTGATTCGGTCCTCCCAAATTGTGTTTATGCCATGCATGACTACTCAGTAGGCTTTATACCCACTATTCCAACCACTGGGGTCTCCGATATCTAATTTTGAAATAGTCGATGGGCTTTCCCACGGGAGATCGATACAAAGGTACACCCGAGCAGGCCGAACTTCTTGAACGACAATACCTGCGCAAAGCACAGTTCATGCAGGACAATAGCACGCCAACTTGGAATGGTGAGTTTGGGCCTGTTTATGCCGATCCTGCATTTGATAGCGACGCAGAATCCATCAATCAAGAACGGTACAATTTGCTGGGAGAGCAACTCCGTATCTACGACAAATACAACATTCACTGGTCCATTTGGTTGTACAAGGATATCGGCTTACAGGGCATGATCTATACTAACCCAGAGAGCAAATGGAACACCACTATCAAACCGTTTCTGGATAAGAAGAGGGACTTCTGGCTTGATAAATGGGGACTTCGTCCTGCGCCGGAGCCCGAGGCGGCGTTGAGGCCTCTCGTGAACTGGATCGACACTGTCAGTCCAACGGCAAAGTCCACCTATCCTACCTCATGGAACACAGAGATGCACGTTATGCGCAATGTGTTTAACACATTTCTTGCAGCTTCTTTTGTGGACGAATTTGCAAATTTGTTCCAAGGGATGAGCGAAAACGAGCTCGAGGAGTTAGCACGGAGCTTCCATTTCGATGAATGTGTGCAGCGTGAAGGGCTGAACCAGATACTTAAGGATCATGCTCGGGTATCTCCATGAAGACATAGAATATACAGCATTTTTAGAATGTCAATTTGATCTCCAATTTTATTTGCAATCAAAGAACCCCATAGAAGTAAAAAGAGGCCCGATGAGGGGCACTAATTAGACCCGTGGCAATAAAGCGGTTGTGGGCGGTTCGTAAGCAGGAAATTATTCTTCACACGCACATTCTGTTATTCCCACCTTATCGATAAGCAGAAAAATCGAAAAGATCGCGGGGTTTCGCACTTTAGACGATCGAGGTTTCGTGGAGTCGACAGATTCTGGCCCATTGGATCGAGAACTCGATACAATCAGTCGATATGGCCGAATCTCCCTATCCTTCAACGCTGAACGGCGTCTTTGATGCTCCGCTCAAGGAGCGATATGATCCCGTTCGTCTAACCTCCGACAACATCCTACCGATCCTCGAGCTGCCCCTAGCAAAGATCGTCCTGGGCCATGATGCTTCCGATAACGAATCGATTGCCAAAGTTGCCACCGGCGATATCTCTTATACCACATTTATCGCGAACCAGGCCCAGGCTGTTCTTCGAGCCTCGCACGCGGACCTGACCCAGGAGCAAGTGAAGTCTCAGCTTCTACATGTTGGCTTGGCTGCTTTATTCAGCTTCCTACAATCAAATGTTACTGGCCCACCACTGGAATTCAACTCTGCCGATACTGTCATTCCTTCCTCCCTGCGCAGCGATGTCGTAACCCTTCGAACGGTTCGAGCGAAGATCATCCGGGACCTGTCGGTGGATGGAGAGGCAGCCTACAAATTAACGCCCAACCCAGAGCTCTTCTCCGTGGCCAAAGCTCTCTTGGTGGATAAAAGCAGTGATGGATCAGTTCTCGCCAAAACTGCTCGTATGCGCGTCAACTTCCTTCACCAAAAGATGCTTTCCGAAGTGGCCAGTACCTTGCAAGATGTGATATATAAAGATGTTGAGCAATTGGCAAAAGCAGGTCTGGATGCCGACGAGACTGGACGGTTTATGTTAGAGCGTGCGATCATTCATACTCACCACGGCTTCGATGGCAAGGCGCGAGCAGATCTTGACCAAGCGTCCCAGGTCCGGAAATTCGAATTTGCTTTGACTGGTAAGATGGGCAAGAGGACGAAATTCCAAGAACGTGATACCAGCCAGCTTGTGGTTTTGGCCAAGAGCGCAGACGAAGGAACAAAATCTACAGAGTCCTCAGGCCCTAAGAAGCTGGACTTGAATGACGATACCCTCCTTGAGGCCATCTCTTTCGCCGATAAGAAATCATCCACTGTCCAAGATGATCTCTCGGAGGTGCTTCAATCCGTTGATCCAAATGATCAGCCTATTCTGAACCCGGTTGATTCGGCCATCTTGCTGGCGATGGCCTCAGCAATCACCAATACCGCTCCTGAGAACGGCTTGACCCGCGAGGAGACACAGCCTTACGCAACTCGAGTGTTGGAGGGTGGTAGCTCAAACTGGCAAATATATACAGAGGCACTGTTGGTTCGAAGTCGTGTGGAGGGATATCGATCGCGCACAGTTGAAAGAGCTGTCCTCCAGATGCAAGCCCTTGTCGATCAAGTTCTTGCCGATACAGCAACAGATGACTCTGCTGCGCAGCAGCCTTCATCTGAACCGACTACCTTCCTGCCCCGTCCAGAGAAGTCAGAATCTGCTCCTGCCGCAGACAGATTGGAGTACATCTGGCTCCTCAATTTCTCAACCAGGTGGCATCTAGAGGCCGAGCTTGCTAAACGTTGGATCGAACTGGGTGGACTTCGTACTGCGCTCGAGATCTATGAGCGACTTCACATGTGGGCCGAGGCAGCATTGTGTTACGCTGCAACTGAGCGCGAGGCCAAAGCCAAGGCAATTGTTCGCCGACAGCTCTATGAAGCCAAGGGTGAAGATGAAGATGACGAGAATGAGTTGTTTGAAGGCCCAGAGCGATCAGTCCTCCCGGCAGATGCTCCTCGTCTCTTCTGTATCCTGGGAGATATTGATAAAGATGAAACGATGTACGAGCGTGCTTGGGATGTGTCAGAGCAGCGCTATGCTCGAGCTCAACGGTCTCTTGCCCGGCATTATTTGGCCCTCACGCCACCCGAACTGGAGAAGGCCGAAGCGGCCTACAAACAGAGCTTGCATATCAATCGCCTCAATAACAGTTCGTGGTTTGCCCTTGGCTGTGTCCAGCTCGAACTGCAGAAATGGCATGATGCGACCGATTCTTTCACTCGTGCTGTGCAGCTAGATGACACCGACGGAGAAGCATGGAGTAATCTAGCTGCCGCCATGCTGCGGACCCCGGCACCAGAGCCAACACCAGAGGTAGTAATCGACGAAAGCACGGGCGAACAGTCTACTATTGAAGCTGATCCACACAAACGCAAACGTGAGGCTTTGGCGGCGTTGCAGCGTGCTGCTCAGTTGAAAGGTACAGATGCTCGTATCTGGGATAATGTCCTGACAGTAGCGGCATCGATTCCGCCACCTTCAACTCCATTCCGCGATGTTATCATGGCCCAGAAGCGTGTCATTGAGCTTATTGGTGCGAAGAAGGGCGAAAAGTGCATCGATCTCCCAATTCTTGGCATGCTTATTGACTTTCTGATCACTGCTTTTGAGTACGACTCCCTCCTTATTCAATCTGATGATGGCCTCGTTGTTCGGACTGGCACAATCCCTGGCCAGATTCTTTCGCTTGTGGATAACAACGTCGTCCCTCTTATCACTCACTCCTCTACCCTCTGGCTCCTTGTCTCCCGCGTCGAAATGTTCCGCAATCGACCTAGCCGTGCCCTCGAGGCCCAGGAAAAAGCCTGGCGCGCCACCGTCGCAGCTTCTGCCCAGGGTGCTTTCCAGATGGGTGATGAGAAGCCGTGGCTTGAGGTTGTGCGGTCTACTGAAAAGCTCGTGCGTGAGGGATATGCGCGATACGGACCTATGGATCGTGAAGATCAAAAGCTCGAAGGTGACGCCGAGGCAGAGCCGGTTGCGCGTGACTGGCGATTCAAGGCCAGAAGTGCTGTACGAGGAATTATGGGCAAAGGAAAGGAGTTCTGGGAAGACAGCGAAGGCTGGACTCGTCTGACTGAGCTCCAGAGCGAAGTCACAGGCAACTAGTATATACATGGATTTCTTTTCCAAAAAATAGCATCCATACGGCGGCAATTCGAATTATGTTCACGAACTCAAAGCCACTTGCTTTTAAAAGATATTAAACTTGTTCTTAACTCTCGCGGTTGGATTGGCAGCGAGGAGCTTACTTTGCTTATTTTGCTTCCATCTTCCGCTTCAGCATTCCACAAAAGCTCTCAAACAACACGCTGTCTGTGCCTTGAATCCAGCGTATCAATACCTGCGTATCCCTTGGCCCCTGAGTCTCTGTGGTGGTCAATTTCAGTTGAATATGAACTCCGAGGGCCACCTGATCTGGAACCTTATCAATATTCATTGGCCGGCCCTCTTGTCCAGCAAATTTCATCTTTCGACGAGCTTGCCTCGACCACACATTCTCGGATGCAAATCCTGCACCGGAGCTGAGACCTTGGTCCCAAGTCCAGTACCAGGCCAGGGACATAAGCTCGGCATTCATCGTAGCACTTGTCGTATCGATAGCTGTCGACGAAAGGGTAAATATGAAATCTGTGGGAAACGGGAGGAGATGTTTCGGGAAGCCTGGGATGCCTCGTGATACACTCTAAACTTTCATGTTAGAATTTTCGTCCAAAGTAAGGGGTTAGAAGCAGTTGGAAGACATGTACCATCGAAGGTCGCCGGTCTCCCCATGACCATGCCACAGCCCAACGTTTCGTTTTGCTACCTTGCACAAATTCTGTGACCGCATAATTATGATTTTCATGTTTCATCAAAGCCTCAACAAGTACAGAGACACTGCTCAGCTTGCCAAGCATAGATGTATACCATTGGATTTTGTTCTGGAGCTGCAGGCTTTCCTCGATCATGCGGGTCACAAATGCAACTTCGCCACCAGGAGTCACCATTTCGACTTCTGTACCAGTGCATACCGAGGAGGGTACGCGTGCTTTGGCTTCTGCGGATCGTGACATTTCCTCATGTGATGAATAGAATGGGGGGTTGCACATTGTGAAGTCGAGACTGAATCCTCGTCAGAGCATGTTCTCGGTGGAGTTTGGGTATGATATTGAGGTGGCATTTCATACTTCTTCAAGTTAAACTTGTCAAATTGAAACAGTTGATCATCCGGGCTTGTTTTCATAATCCGGATTCTTGAATTAAGGTTGTTAAGTTTTACATTATGCTCTGCCGTGCGCACATTGTTATCATCGATGTCTGCACAATGTTAGTATGAATTCTTGCAAGAAATGCAAATAACAAGGAGGATATGGCAAAATATACCCGTCGCGATGAATCTCCATTGTGGGCGAACTTTACACCCCAGGAGAGGGTAAATGCTGCAACAACCTGTGCCGCTGCGAAAAATTAACTCCAGATTGATGGTGCAATACTGAAGAGTAACATACATATCGAGTCCCACTATCTCTCGACCAGAAACACATTCATCACTGACAGTCCTGGCTGTGGAGTCAAGTAAGTCTTGCAACCAAAAGATGTAGTTCAGCCTGTTTGGTTAGAAGTCATATGTTCGACGGGGAACTTCGGAGAGCTCATCCTACCTATTCGGTACCTGAATCATTACAAATGAGTCTCAGTTATTTAGAAATTTTTAATTAGTGTACACGTACCGGGGGGCAAAGTCGATCTTCAGGAAGTTCGACCTTCAGGCCAAAGTCCACTTGTAGCAAGCTGGTAGTCAGTTGCCTGGATTCGTTAGTCTAACGCGTTCAATGACTTGGATGTCTTGCGGAGAGAGACTTACCTGAAAGCTTCTGGGTCATTGAAATCAAGTTGCTTGTTCGGGTGGAAACTGCAATTTTGAATCAGGCCAAAGCTCTTCTCGCTCATGTGTCTAAATCCCAACGCACTGTTTCGCAAAGTCGCGCGACTGCAACGCGAGAGCTGCAAAATCAACATCATTCTTATAAATATCTCGGAACAAACCCATTGTCATTCTTTCTGGTAATAAAGCCGTACATCCACGAAATTTAGTTGTCAATGTTTGACGGTTGAGTTGAGGAGGGTGAGGAATGCACATCATCCACCACGCTCTTGGAGTCAGGAAGGCTTGGCGCACTTTTGCCTGAGGCCAAAATATTAATAACGAACGGGTTGTTCTACAAGGTTCAATCGACAAAAGGTATACCTCTCAGCTCCTGAGTGTCATAAAAGAGAAGGATTCTATGTTGGAGCATTTAGATCTCAGCAGGAGAATTATCGAGAATTGTTCTGCAGGCAACCATATAATGAGATCAACTGCAGAGACGGTTCAACTTATACTAAAACTGGTCAGATCTATATACGTGTGGTCTAAAAGTCAATAGATACGGCAAACAAATGTTGCAAAGAATTGAAAACCAAAATATGTACCGCGAAGACGCCAAAGCCCAAGTCATTATGTCGTGAAGGGCTTGGCGCGCACATGTCCAAAATGAATGCCTTCGTTTCTGTAACCCTCGCCATCCTGTTGAAGAGGACTTGCTCGCTGATATCTCAAACATATGGATGAAATTTTGTGTGAAATGTTTAATCTTCCCCGTCCGTGTCCTAGGCCGCCTCTGCCTTTCTTTTGAGGCGCTCAGTTCGCTCAAGTCGCCATCCAGCGCCCCAACGCATCTCAATCAAGAGAAGTGGAACCATGCCAAGGGTGATGCCGGCGAGTATAATAAAGGTATATTCGACTGTGAGAGTATCTATCATAGGCTGCACAGCAGCAACACCTCCAGCACCAATAAGGCATCGCATCAAGTTGTTGACAGCGGTCGCGCTAGCACTCGCTCCAGGATAAAGGTCGATAACCAAAGCGCTGTTAATAGTAAAAATGGCAGTAGCGCAGTAAGCAATGATGTATTGAAGGATGACCGGGAGAGCAAGGTGAGCACGAAGTGAAACACCGTAAACAGCACTGCATACTATGAAGAGTGCAGTGATCCACCAGGTGTTGCGCATGCGAGCATACTCAATCGGAAAATCCGGGTGAGTTTTAGTTGTGATACGAGTGTCGAGAGGAAGGTTGTGTTGGATGCAGTACTCGCGCTCAGTTCTCTTATGATTAAAATCCATAAGATAACCGATACTGTATGATCCGGACATGCAACCAAAGCCTATTTAATTGTTAGATAACAGTAAAATGTATCACCAGCGGTAAGCTTACCATTTCCCAGAAAGGTGAGTCCAACCTCCAGAGAGTTCAGCCCGTATGTTTGCTCAAAAAGGTCCGATGTCGATGAAGTCACCATGGACCAGACTGTGTACACAATAGCACCAAAAAACAATGTGATAAAGACATCTTTCTCGCCCAGAAAGCCCAGGGGAGCTAGGATTGTCTTAAAGGTGACCTTCTTCTTGTCGCCAGAAGGAACAGCGCCCTCCTTAATATGCTCCTGGCCAATTATAGAATAGATCCAGGGTTTGTGGATTCCATAGAGGGGGACACTGCCATTACCAGCGATCGTACGTAGAGTTTCAGGAAGGAAAAATAGAATCGAAAGTAAACTCAGTCCAGATAGGATAATCAGAAACCAGAAGATGGATCTAAACCCCAGGTACTGAGACAGAATTCCACCAAACACTGGACCAATGCCCTGACCAAGCATACGAACTTAACTTGTTAGTCCAATCTGACTCGTCATATCATGAAAAGGAACTTACCTCCACCAAAAATTCCGACTAGGCTACCTCGCTCAGCGGATGTGGTGATATCTCCAATTACGCCAGCGCCTAATATGATTAGATGATAAATATGAAGTAATGCTAGAAGGATACATACCAATTGATATGGTCGCTGCACTGCCGGCAGCCTGCAAAGCACGAAATGCCATAAGTTGCCCATAATTTGTCGATACTCCGAGAGCAACGTTTGCAATTATGTAGACAATAAAGGTTCCAATGAATATGGCACGGCGGCCAATGACATCAGAAAAAGACCCCCAAAAGCTGGGTGCAAGGCCTTGCACAATCATATATACAGTAACTGTCAAAGTCACCAGCGACATGGAGACATTAAGCTCCTGAATTAGGAAAAGGTCAGTAACTTTCAGATCATACCATTTCATTTTGATCGACAAACATTTGATATGACTCCGAGGGCCGGGAAGTAGATGTTGGATGATAGAGGAGAAAAGATGGCAGCTAGAGAAACAATGCAGACCATCTGTAGCTTTTGAGAGCGTGTGAAGACATGATATGGCGGTGGTGAAGGAAGTTGACTTTCTAGATTGATCGAGTCTGAAGATGGTGTCGCGAGTTGTTTCTCATCCCGGGCGGATAGACTAGGGCTGGAATTGACAGAAGTTTCCGTCACACAAGGCTCCTTAAGAGACTCTGGAGATTTGGAGAACATTGGGGACGTATGATAGAGAAGTACAACGCTAAGAGTGCATAGCTTGGAATGAACTTAATATGAACAGGTTGAAGACAAGATTCCAACCAACTGACCCTGGAGCAAAATCCTCTTGGCTTGAAGATCAAAGTTGGAATGGCATGGACCCTTTTGTACTCCGACGTCAGCCTGACACCCCTGATAGCACACGTCCGGAAACATCAGACAGGCCCATGCATCTGAGGAGATTCAAGACCATGTGCTCCACTGTGGGTTCTGTCCGGAGACCCCCTCTCTCCTCCCCTTGGCAGTGGAGGGGGGCAAGGATGGGACAAATATGGTAAGCCGGGTGCTGCTCAGGTCGTGATAAATGGAGCCGGATCAGCAGGGAGACCTTCTAGCTTGAATTCTTGTGGACCTCGAAACGCTTTCACCAAACAAAATATCTGCGTTTTGTTAGGGTTGTGCTTCTCCGAGGCATTACATCCTGGAAGCCTCAACAATTTAGGTCTGCTCATCTTTCTTGCGAATGCCAAGGCAAATTAATTGCCATGGTGTATACGGTCACTCGTGAGACATGAATCGATTTTGCCTGAAAAGCTTTGTACTCAAATGCCATTGCTCGCTGGAGAATTTTTCCCAGGTCGGCGCACGCGTGTCCTGCTCATTGACTATGAAAGGATCTACATAGCATTTGCAGCACGTAATCACGTTTCACGAGGAAATTGTCAGAGAAAACAAGGTCCTCGGGCAATAACGCTCTCAGTTTCTATGCCTTCTAACTGCCTTTACTCCGATATTCTGCAGGCGGATGGATCCGTTTGATAAGAGCAAATTAGAAGAAATAGTCAATCATAGCAACGTTACGGCCTCTTGGCAGGGCCAGTAACATGTATATGGCGAGAATCCAGGCTTAGACAGATTTTGTACTTCCGTGTATGACGATCTTTGGCCGTCAAACAAATGCCAAGTATCTCCGACCTACTGGCCACAGTGTTTCAGGGGCGAATACAGAATATAGTGATTTTCTTCCTACGATGACTAGTTACGTGGACTGTCTCCTTTTTTGGGATAATTTCATTTTTGTCGTTCATTTTAAGGGTACGAGGCATAAGGGACAAGCTGCCCTTGCTGTTTGGGCACAGATCCAGGTCGAATCGGGGAGAAGAAAGGGGCCTGGAAGGACCCAGGGTTCTGGATATAGCCCAATGACGATGCATACACAAGCCAGATAAGCGTGTGAGGCTGTACCTACCCGCTAATGCGGCCAATGCATCTGCAATTCATTAAATCCAGACATCATAGTGGAGCTTGAAGGGACAAGAATGCGCCTCTCGGCCTCCCACGGCCAAGTTCGCGCTAGCACGGGTATGATCGACAACCGAACGGCCTCTCCGTCGTCAGTACACAATGGTGCCAATCCTCACCCGTCGATCAGCCCCACCTGCTCACCCCTTGGCGCTGTTGTGGACAGGGGGGCGTTGTCCAGTGCACTCTCCTAGTCGTCAAGTAGTGCTATGGAGATATTGAGTAGTGTCCGCGGGTGCATGGTCTGCTGTCCACCAAGTACTCTGTAGTTTCTCGACCATTGTCTCCACTCTGTGTCCTAGAAGAATACGCGAAGCTGCCCAGACATCAAAGTAAAAGCTGCAGGGCCTGGATCCTTCCTTCCCACGTAACCTTTCACCAAAGTAGATAGAATATCACTTTGGCTAGCAGAAAGGTTTAGGGGTTCTGGATCGTTCCTTCATCGGAAAAAAAACTATCACAGATCATGGCATTTGGGATATGAAGTCAATATTGTTCCTTTCTTGGCTCCCTGATGAGTAAGTCCTCATAGGTGCCTAAATTTTCAGTTTCAGCCAAGGTGCCGATAACTGCACCGACACCTCCGCTACCAATGCCCAGATCTTGGTCGTCGCGCTCGTCCCACCGAGAGGATCCCGACTCGGGTAGCCGACTGCAACCCCTTCATGCATGCATGATGAATGACACGAGTTGTAGATTATTGGCCTATCGATATCACTCGCTCCATGGCCACCCAATATCTTCAACCCCTCATCATCGTGGGGCCTAGAATCCCCGAATCTACCATTGGAAGGACATGGGGTTGGGTTATACCTTTCAATAGGACAAGAGACCCTTGGGCTTAGGCTTGAGATGCGCATCTCGGCAAGAGATACAGCTCCAAAACCCGGCTTGAATCGAATGACATCGAGATATCCTGTTCCAAAAATTTTCGCCGGCTTCCCAATTCTCCAAGGTCCTGGCGACGGAGCTGTCATGAAATTGTCTTTTTGCCCTCTCATACACAGTATCTGGCCCACATGATCAACCTGATACAGATGGTGTATAGCATCTGATTATCTGAGAAGTTTCGCATATCTCAACTCCCTTTCTGTAGCTCATCCATTTGGAAGTTTCTCTTTCTGTTCTGGTCATCGGACAAAGAAAACTTTATCTATCAGCGTATCCTTGGATATTGACTTTGGAAGAGAATTGCACCACCCTGACCGGAGACTTTTCTAATTCTGTGGCTCGAAGTCCAGCCTGTTGTTGCTTCTTCAGCACAGACTCCCGAATACCCCTTTTCTTTCCCTGGGTTCGCAAAATTGAATTTTATATCAAGCTGCGAGAAATAAAATTTGTCTCTCTTTGCCTAACCTCTTGCCCTCTATTGCAAAAATAGCAATGACACCATGTCCTAAGAGACCGTATAAGTACTCTGTAATTGATTCAGTATCCGACCTGCTCATGTACGAAGGGATGTTGCCTGCGGAGCCGGAAGCACAAAGCCGAAGCCGACCCATGTGTTATCTGGTTCAATATAACGCTTTGACCATGTCGTTTGCACATCTAGCACAGCCCCCTTGGGCTGAAGACTGACTGGAGTCGAATTTTTATGCGTTTTAGCTAGCCCTTGGACATATGGTCCACTCCTCGAGGTGAAATAAAGGAGTCCATTAGCCATCTTACCAGAAGTTCAGGAGACGCAAGTCTTTTTCAAACGCCGTATCCGGTATACTATCAACACGTGGTGGCACCTCTAGAATCCCTAGGCTTGGAACCTCCAAGCTACCGAGGTATGAGAACTCTGAACACGCAATTCGATTCACAAAATTCGCTCTGGCTCGGAGGAGTATAGCTTGCGAAGTTTGCCACTTGACCAATCGTGAGTTCATAGCCCCAAATTTTAGTCTTATCAAATTACTTTCTTGGCAGAGTGGGACTAATACAAGGCAGATCTCTCCAGCCCAGTAATGGGCTTATTTTTATGCAACCAATAGCGGAAACATCGGGGAAATATGATCTGAGGCCTTATAGGGCTCTCGGAAGGCCACTGATTTTCTGGAAGATGGAGCACAGATGTCGATCACAGCGATTGTGTGATTCTTGGTGTGTACGTCCAATGAAACCCTGGAATCCGGGAAACACAAGTCAGATCGTGACTGATTTGCCTTGTAGAGCTCCCATGAAGCCTTCGGTTTTCCTCAGCCATAAAATCCAGAGTGAAAAATTTTGGTTGTGTCACTACTCGTGGTATGCAGTCTCCAATGAGAAGGCACCAAGCGGTGAAGATCCTCCTTGGCGATAACTTTGGACTCGCCAAGGAATCCCATTCAAACTTATGCATGATGGTTGCATTTCCAGCGCTCCGACGGCGAAGCAGAACCTTCGTGTCCGGTTTGATGGCTTCTGATGGCCCAGTTGGAACCCAGCAGCTCATTGCCTAAGCTGGTAGATCTTTATCTAACCTCCATCGCTAATGTAGGATCAAAGCAACTAATGCACGACAACACCTGCAGTGTCAACGCCAAGGTCATGGCGTACGTGATGCATCTGCTCGCGATTGGAGAATACACGGGCTTGCAGGGCCTCGATGTCGGTCAGTTTGAATCTCGGAGAGCCCGCGACACGCGCGACAGGCTCGGGGACTGTGGATCACCTAAGGACGGGTCATGTCGCGACAACCTGAGAATAGAGATACTTTTAGGACTTGGAAATCAGAGGCACATGCAGTTCAGCACAGTGGGTTTTCAATGTAGCCTTGTCACGGAGGGAAGTGGTCGCTTTGGGGGAGCCTAAAGCCCATAGCTGCAAGGGGGAAAGAAAAGTTGCAGAAGAACCCAGGCTACCGACGATATCGATCGACATAAGCGAGAAACATATGGGATCCGAGCGACACCACTATCGGCGAATATGTCTCGGGACAAAGACGGTTGGCAAACGTGATTTATGTTTGTGCGTGTCTCCTTACGGCTAGTGCTTCGTACTAGGAAGCCGAGAACGTCCCGACCGAGCCACTTCGGCCCGAGATGACCTCGTGCATTGTTACGGAAAATTAATCATGATCAACGACTGTTTGCTATTGAATGAAGAATTACTTGGTTTAGGTTCGTTCCTCGTGCTGTGTCTATTCTGTATTGATGGATCCGGACCACATTGGTCTTGTTCCAGACTTCAATGTAAGATAGTCCTTACTAAAGGAATATATAATCTTATCACCTACATCTATAATTATATTCTGCAAGCTAGAAACCCCAGCATGATTCCTTCGACCATGGAAGAAATTCAAGTAATCCTGAAGGGTTAAATCAATCCAACGAATGCTCTCCTGAACCGTATAGAACATACAATGTATATATTTGGTGTACATATACTTCATGGTGTATGTCAATGTCGTCATAGCCGAGAAAGCTCACCGCGCGGAAAGCATATTCCGCCGTTTCTTCACTATTCGCTAAATTGCATTGACAAAAAGGCCTAAATGGCCCATGAAAACGGAAAGTGGATGATTTTCTAGTCCAGCAAGATTTTCAAGGCTATATAAAAGCATCTTAGTGACAGAATACGACCAACTACCAAACCACATCCCTTCAAGACAATCTAAGCGATAATTCTGGACCGCACCATCATGTCCCACTTGAAATACTACAATTATGAAGGCGTTGGTGAGAGGAACAAGAAAGACTTCTGGTACAGTCAAGCTGTGAGAATCGGTGATCGTATTGAGTGTGCAGGCCAAGGTACAGAAGCCCTTTCTGCCGATATTTATTCCATAGCATATATTTAACCATTATTTTATGCTAGGTGGATGGGATCCCAAGACAGGCGTATTTCATCGAGAGATTAATGCCCAGATCGACCAAGCATTTGAAAATGTCGACTTGAACCTCAAGAATGCCGGGGGCAAAGGCTGGGAGCAGGTCTTCCGAGTCAACTCATATCATGTCCCTATCAACAACGAGGCGCTTGATGCGATGGTGCGCAACTTTAAGAAATGGATGCCCGGACATCAGCCCATCTGGACATGTGTTGGAGTGACGAGGCTCGGTGAAGACGACATGCGAGTGGAGATCGAAGTAGTGGCCCACGACCCCTGAGAGAAGTATTTGGGTCGGCATCGAATCTGTCGTGAGGTGTCAAAGGGACTCCAATAGGGAGCAAGGCTAGGTGTATCGAATGAGAAGAGATAAATTGATGAGGATTACTTTTCTCAACGCCGGCCCCTTTTCGACTTGCTCTTTCCAGAACGTCCCCTAGAGATACTCTTTTGCATGCTGTGCAGGTCTTGTTTGCTCAGATTCAATGTACCTCCCGAAAATTTGCCAATAGATGACCCTCCGACCCCCCGTTCTCTTCGTCCAGTATTTGATTTGGAGACCTTTGAGGGCCTCTCAAGAATGATGCCGTTTTCTTTAGCTTCTCGCCGTCGCTTCTCATCCTTCAAGGCGGCTTTCTCTTTGATTCCACGTCGATGGGAATCTGGCATATTCTTTTGCTTATAGAGGGAGTCCTTAGCACCCAGAGACTGCATTCTTAAATCGAGCGCTTTTAGGCGGTTCTTGCCAGTGGGGGCGAGATCTGATGCTGAATCGAGAAGGTGGGACTCTCTCAAGAGTCGTTGTAGGTCAAGGTCATGCTTTAAGTTGTCGACGTCGTTGTCGTCGTCCGAGTCGTTCTTCTTGGAGGACTTCGTGATTTGCTTGGTAGGCTTCTCGATAGAAGACGGTGGTTTTGCGGTCTGTAAGGTCAAATTTATTAGGCGAGATTCTCGAAATAGAGAGCCAAGCACCTACCATAAAAGCTTTGCGGGCCTGCTTGTTCATCATGTCCTTTGGCTCGAGACGAGTATCCTGGTGTTCAACAACTTCCACAACATTGCCATCATCACTTGTCCTGGAGAGGCCATCCCAGTCAGAGTCCAGCTCTGATCCATCCTCGTTTTCGTCTAAGCCTTCACCTTCCATCTCAGAGTCCAAATTATTGACTGTGTCCTTGCTAGGCAAGTCTAGAGGCTCAAATTGCGCTTCGAAATATTTGCGGAAAATATCCTGCGCATTGTCGGCAGGTGGTGGGCTGGCATCGTCGCTTTCTATAACTCGCGACACAGGAGCAGTATCCCTCTTTCGTTTACTGATCTTGGAGGCCATAGTGGACGAATACTGTCATCAAAGTTCTGGCGTCAACAAGCCGGGGAATATCGAAGTTTTTTTTCGGACAAAGCTTCTGATCACGTGCGATAAGCCCGATAAGTCACAGCATCACCATCGGTGCCTCATTAACTTTGGCGACAGTCTTGCAACTTCAGAGAAAATGACCAAGTTTCGACCGTGTATTGACCTCCACTCGGGACAGGTCAAGCAGATTGTGGGTGGCACTCTGAGTAATGTCGCTGAAGATCTGAAAACCAACTATGTGTCCAAACTGCCCGCCGGTCACTATGCGGGACTGTACGAGAAGCACAACCTCCGCGGGGGACATGTGGTGAAGCTTGGACCGGGGAATGAAGAGGCAGCTCTGGAGGCCTTGAAAACCTGGCCTAATGGTTTGCAGGTGGCCGGAGGTATTACGGATGATAATGCGCAATATTGGATTGATCAGGGTGCTGAGAAGGTGAGTGCGGTCCCTGCTCAAGCTCGCATTGGCTTGACTCATTATTTGTGTGAGATGTTGTTTCTTCATGCAAGTGGTTTCAACTTCCTGCCCTATGATCTGCCTTCTTCTCATATTTGGGGTCGTTTTCGTCATGGTTCTCTGCGATGACGCTAATCAATTCCAACGGAATGCGGGACAATAGGTGATCATCACTTCATTCCTTTTCCCGTCTGGAAAATTCTCCCTTGAGCGGCTCGAATCGGTTCTTACGGCTCTCGGCGGCGATAAATCCAAGCTGGTCTTGGACTTGAGCTGTCGACGGAAAGACAATACCTGGTTTGTTGCGATGGACCGCTGGCAGACTATTACCGAGATGGAGATCAACCAAGGTAGGTTTCTGTGCGCGTGACTCTGATCTCAATTGACACTTGGTAGAATCAATTGCTTTTTTGGAGCCCTACTGCTCTGAATTTTTGATTCATGCGGCAGATGTGGAAGGCCTACAACAAGGCGTGGATGAAGAGCTTGTATCCAAGCTGTCCGAATGGTGCACCATTCCTGTGACCTATGCTGGCGGTGCCCGCAGTCTCCAGGACTTGGAGAAGGTACATATCAGCAGCCAGGGCAAGGTTGACCTGACTATTGGAAGCGCCTTGGATATCTTCGGGGGCTCAGGCGTGACATTTGACGAGTGTGTTGAGTGGAACAAGACTCATTAAGTCATTGAAAATAAGGCCGAACTAAATATAGACCCGCCCTTCAATTGAACTAGAAATCTTGAGAATGAAGAAAGAGATGAAAAGGCATTCACGGTCAATCCAGTGCCAAGGTCATTCATCAACCAATCAAGCTTGTAGAGTTTTTTTTTGCTTGTCGATATATCTTTTCAGTTGTACTCCAAAGGCCCGGCTCAAGTCGAAGCCGCAGTGCCTGCCGCCTGTCCGAAAGCGGTTTAGGGGCTGGTCATGAGCTCCGCCCGCCAACCTCCGTGTCTTCACACCCTCACTTCCATCACCACTGCGCATTCTCCTCTCTCTTTGACGCCCCGCTGCTATTTGAATGAGCCTGAGTAGATTGCGGCTCTCCTTACCGTCATTGTTTCTTGTTTCTCAAATCTTGCCAAAATGAAGCCCGTTGTGTCGGCGTTGAACGCCTGGTCTTGGTAGGCTCCCGCTCCGTCCTGGGCAAGGCCCAAGGCTTTCATCTGCTTCGTGCTGTAACTAACATATCTCTTTTTTTCAAACAGCGTTGTCATCTCTCTTTTTGCCATTGTCATCCTCTCCGTTCTGGGCTCTCTATTTGGCGTATGTTCTCTCATACCATTACCCGCCCATCCATACCCGCCCCATCTTGCGCCCAGTGATTCCCTGCTCCTCGGATTGATCCAAATGGAAACTAACTTGTGTGTCCTTCCTGCAGAGCAACCACCACGCTTTCACTGGCAGCGAAGGAGAACCTGAAGATGGCCCTGCAGTCGCTGCCTCCATTTACGTTGCCGTCCTTGTCTACGCTGTACGTCATGCGGACCTCCATTTTCAAACAAATCAATAGTGCCTGAGGGCAGGATCATAGCTAATGGATGTCCGTTTTAAAATCAACAGGGTTTCTTTGTTTTCTGCGGGTTCCAGGCCTACCTTCACATTCGAGACAGCAGGGGCGGCGCCATATCACTTCGCTAAATAATAAAAAAAACTACGATCTACTGTTTTTCATTCGGGTCTTAAACGGTTATTCTGCTGATTCGCAATCATTGGGTCCCGATATTTTTCGGTATAATCTGGGGGGGAGGAACATGGCTATCAGGGTCTGAGAAGGCGGGGGAAAGATCTGAAACCAACCGGCGGTTTTCGATGACCGGGGGTTTAATCGGCCCTCCGATGCACTCTCCTTCGAGTTATAGGAGTCCGTCGGTTCACAGTGCTAGGCGCTGAGTCGGCCTCTTTCAAAGAAGACATTTGCAGGGCAGGTTTCCCGGTCTTCATTTTGCTAGAGTACATACCGATAGCCTCACTACAAGATACTGCATGTACATAAGCCGCTCGGAATTATCGTTTGTTCTGTTCCTTGACACTCAAGATGGCTGCTATGCTTTGCTACATATCGCAATCATGTATACACATTTCATCATTGTTCATCGTTATCTGACAGGAACTATTTTTTGAGCGGACCTCCCAAACGCCTATAAAATGCATGGTCGATCTCGGAATGAGATCTGTCGGTGGGTATCTCCAGGGTGTGCTTACTCCTCGCCCTCGTACGGGTCCAGCATCTTGGACATGTACGGCCCATCGAGGGTGTATCCAAGACGGGCATAGTAGCTTCGCACCCCAACACCAGAGATAACACTGATCTTGCGGCTTCCATGCTCCTCACGGGCAATGCGCTCTGCCTCCTCCATCAGCAGCGTTCCGAATCCTCGGTGTTGGAATTTGCGAGCATCACGGCCATGGAGGGGCACAGCAGAGCCATACACATGCAGCTCGCGGACGATACTGGTCTGTTGACCGGTGAATTCCGGCCGGAAGGTGTGGGTGTCGCTGCACTTGCGGAGACGAAGCAGACCAATCAAAATATCCTGCTTAGGATCTTCATAGGCCAAGAAAGTCTCCCAGCCTCCGTTCGCGGTGTAATCGCGACGAATAAGTTCAACCTGGGACGGGCGAATCTTGTTTTTGACTTCATTGATACCGACTTCACGGGTTCGGACGTCTCGGCAAGTCGTTCCGAAATCCTTCATTCGAGCCAAAGCCAATTCGCGCAAATTTCCATTCTCTACGCCCGATGTGACAAGAGGCATTGGGATATCACGCTGAACACGGTAGATGCGGGTCCACGGAGGAATCAGGGCCAGGATGCGAGCCACCAGGTCAATTAGAGCATTCGGGGTGTAATTCTTGTATCGGCCTGTTCGCCAAAGCTCGTAGAGTCCAGTACCACGAATGACAAGAGTCGGGTAGAGCTTGAGACCATCAGTTCGGAAGTCCGGGTTCTCGAAGTATTCTTGGAACTGGAACAGGTCACGCTCCATTCCGACGTTTGGCAAATCAGGCATCATATGGCTAACGACCTTGAAGCCGGCATCCTTGGCCAGTTTAAAAGTCTCAGCCACCGCGGCCACGGTATGACCGCGGTTTGTGTCTCGTGCGACATCTTCGTACAGGCTTTGCACGCCAATTTCGAGTCGAGTGCAGCCATAACGGAGCATGCTGCTCAAATGGGTGTCCAGACAATAATCTGGTCGAGTTTCAATAGTAATACCAACGCACTTTATGTTGCTCATTTCACCGGCCTGTACGGCCTCGTCCACGTTGTCCGTCTGGTATCCACTTAGCGCATTGTGAAGCTGGGAAATGAATGAATCCCGGTAATCCTCTGGCAGCGACATAAATGTTCCACCCATGATGATGTATTCAACCTTATCCACACTGTGACCCAGAGATCTGATTTGGTCCACTCGACCTCGGGCTTGTTCAAATGGATCATAACGAGCACGAATTGCACGCATAGATGTCGGCTCATATCCAGTATAGGATTGTGTTGAATACTCAAAATCGGAGTCCGGGCCACCGGGACAATAGACACAGATATTACCGGTATAAGCGATATGGGGACAACGGTGAGGCTTGCACATGACGGCCACGACGGCGATTCCGGACGAGGTCCCTGTGAGGCAGTTTAGCTTCAGGGTCTAGCCCACTTCTAACAAGATTGACTCACGGATCGGCTTCGCAATCAGCTTCGGCAAAATGTATTTCTTGTAGTGTTCCGGCACGGCTGCAATGATGGCCGTCAGTGGTGGCTGGGTGGCCAAGGAGTGCTTCTTCGCGATAGTGCCCCGCAGCTTGTTGAGGTTGATATCCTTCCGTGGTTTTGAGGAATCCTTTTGCTCCTCGTAGTCTTGAATGAGTGCATTTGCGATGTCGGAACAGGCTCGCATGAATCGCTCGTTCTCGGGAACATTCTTGTTGTTCTTCTTTGCCGTCTTCTTCGAGAGCGGCATCGTCACTGTCATAGTCGCCATGATGAAGAAATTTCACCGCACAGCGGCAAAGGAGCCTTCAGAGAGGCAAAAATTTCAAGAAAACGGAGGCACAGAATCGATCGAGCTCGATACCGGAGACGTCACGGTGGTGGGGTTGTGAAGCGATTAGATAGAAAAAAAGTTGGTGGCCGAGGCTGCGACCCGAAGTCAAGTCGGGTCCGCTTAAGTAAAGGTTTGTCCCGAACGAAAACTCCCGGGCGCGCATCCCGATTCCTTGCTTCAACTCTTCCCCGAGTCAACCTCTTTCCTTCCACCCTCTCCTCTCCTCTCCATCCTCCAATTACCCTCTTGCAGTCATGCAGGCCTTCCGCCGTAACACCTTTTCGGCCCTCCGCAATGTCGCTGGTCAGCAGCGCCGGAGTTACCTTAAGGCCACCTCTGCCTATGCCGACACCGTGAACAACCTGCGGATCAACAAGGACACCAAGGTGCTCTTCCAGGGCTTTACTGGCAAGCAGGGAACGTGAGTTTCGACCTCTTTAGCCAAAGCCGACTCCATGCGCCGAGTACTGACGTGTATTTTTGGGACAGTTTCCATGCCGAGCAGGCCATCGCCTATGGTATTTATTCTTTCATCGCGATCTCAGAAAAGACAAGCAGAGCTCACACACACCACAGGCACCAATGTTGTCGGTGGCACCAACCCCAAGAAGGCTGGTACCACTCACCTCGACCGTCCCGTTTTCGCCAACGTTGCCGATGCCGTGAAGGAGACCGGTGCTACCGCTTCCGCCATCTTCGTCCCGTATGATTTCGTTTTCTTGCCCTGGAGAATGGCAAAACAATGCTAATGATACATAGCCCCCCTCTTGCTGCTGCCGGTATCGAGGAGGCCATTGCTGCTGAGGTTCCCCTGGTTGTCTGGTGCGTACCTTGACCCGGAAGCTCCTGAAAATCACATTTACTAACTTTTTTGTCTGCGCGATAGCATTACCGAGGGTATCCCCCAGCACGGTACGAATCGAAACATCGATCCTCAAGATTAACATCAGCTAATTCCTTTCATCAGACATGGTCCGCATCACCGATATCCTCAAGACTCAGAACAAGACCCGCCTGGTCGGCCCCAACTGCCCCGGTATTATCGCTCCCGTAAGTGTACACCCATCGGCACTGCCCATCGGCATATCGAGAAGACATACTCATTAAACCTGGGTTATAGGGCCAATGCAAGATCGGTATCATGCCTGGTTTCATCCACAAGCGCGGTCGCGTCGGCATCGTTTCTCGTTCCGGTACCCTGACCTACGAGGCCGTCAACCAGACCACCCAGGCTGGCCTCGGCCAGTCCCTCGTCGTTGGTATTGGTGGTGATCCCTTCTCCGGCACCAACTTCATCGACTGCTTGAAGATCTTCCTCGAGGACCCCGAGACCGACGGTATCATCATGATTGGTGAGATCGGTGGTTCTGCTGAGGAGGACGCCGCCGAGTTCTTCAAGGCCAACAACAAGTTCAACAAGCCTGCCGTCTCCTTCATTGCCGGCATCTCCGCTCCTCCTGGCCGCCGTATGGGTCACGCTGGTGCCATCGTCAGCGGTGGTAAGGGTGGTGCCGACTCCAAGATCGCCGCCCTGCAGGATGCTGGTGTCATTGTTGAGCGCAGCCCGGCTTCCCTGGGCAAGACTCTGCTTGCCGAGTTTGTCAAGCGTGATCTTGTCTAAGAATTTGGCTGTGCTGTTGTCGTTTGATTCCCCTTGATATCCATGTTCTTTGGTACGCAGAAATCCTGGGGGATCTGAGGTATATCCATCATTTATCAGATGGGGGTTTGCGGTCCATTCCCTCTAAGCCGCTCCTGTATTCTTTTCTCCTTTGTGTTAGAGACCCTTGAAGTAATTAGTTTCTTGTAACTTTTACTTTCCATTTGATATGTGCATTTTGGTAGACATTCGTATAATATCTATGGGATCCTTCGCGACATGTCCATACCACATTGGCTTCTATTTTGTTCCAGAGGATAATGGTTGTAATAATCTCTTTTCTATCCTAGGGAAAAAAAATAGATTCAATGCGTTGAGGATGGTGTTTACAAGCTCTGCCCTCATTAACCCGAACCTTCTATCGCCTGCTCCTAGTCGAGGAGTCTTCATCGAGATATTTAATATATTCGTGTATTTCTCGAGTTGAATTTTGGCAACTCGGAGTATATAACTTTGATGGATTATATGCTCCATTATGCCTGGCCAAAGCCATGTGGACAGACAGACCTTTTCAATCGTCCCACTCCCTCGATATTTGAAAATGAACCGGGCGATGACAATGAGGAAGAAGTAGAAAGGCCGTCCAAGAATACTAAACCAAACCAATAATGGGGAGTCTGAAGAAGATTCTGGCTGTTATTTAAAGAACAATATTTGTGGTGGGAGGCAATGGAAGCTGTAGTTGAAACAAGATTGAAGTACAATATAAATTTCGGCGTTAAGGAGTCAGAGCGGTTCAAAATTGACATTATTATTTCAATGATATTTAAAAATTTCTCAAAATCTCGACATAATCCCCGCGTAGTATATTTGGAAGATTGGAAAAGAATAGCAGAACATTAATACACCCCAAATGTGATCAACTTCAGTTGTGGATTGTGCCCAGGGCCTCCACAACTTCCTTAGTCCCAAGCACATCAGCAAATTCACCATCAAGGCTGGCAATTGAAACCTTATGAATTGTTTCTGGATCTATTCCGGCCTTACCAAAGGTCGCAGTGGCATCGTCAACTAGAATAATACGTCCTTTCTCAACACGGACTTCATTCTCTCGGGTACCATCTGCTCTAAATCGGAGGGGTTCATCGTCTAGAAACCGATCAACAACGCCTAGGTTGGCAGCCATCCGGACTGTTGTCGAAACGCAATGATCGGTGGTCAAGCCAGCAATGATAATTTGTCGAATTTCTTTGCGCCGCAAATAAGATTCAAGGCCAGTACCGATGAATGAGGAATTGACATTCTTCCAGAACACAGGTTCCGAACCATCCGCTGCCGGTTTTGAGAATTCCAGCGGTTTGATTCCTCCCGATGGATGCGAGGAATGAAATGGAGATGATGGAGAATCAGAGGAATGGAAAACATGTATCACTTCCAGTGGCGTAGAAGACGAGGAACGTGCTGTCCGAAAGGCGGAAAGGAGGGCTTGGAGATTCGCTTCATAGAGAGGGTTGGAACGACTAGTACCCCAATGAGAAATGGTGGCCGGGTTTGTAAAGCCCGCTTGGTTGTCAATCAAAATAAGAGCCGTGGAGAGGCCTAGGTCGATAAGAGTGGTCATTTTTCTTGGTAGATTCTTGATTTCAAAGGAAACAAACAGGAGAAAACTGGACGTGGCTCGAGGTGTGGGAAGTGGAGTTGTGGCGTCTTATTATATGCGGGAACTGTCGGTATTTTTCTGAGTCACTCTGCTCACTAATTCAGTCAAGGGTGTCTAAGTTGACCGGTTTATCTCCGCCTAATGAAATGGCTCGCGGTATATAGATGTGTGGCTTTTTTGGTAGACTGATGAAAAAGTATTTCAGTTGTTTGAATACCAAGTTCGGAGTAACTTTCCATATCTCGCCTTTTTTCTCAAAAACCGAAGCATAATTATAACTCAACTAAATGGAAGAACCAAGACACTCTTCTAACGGACTATATGGAAATTTTCATTTTCAGTTCTGCTCGCTTATGTTTTCTGGGTGCAGAGTTGACGGAAGATTCGTCTCCATTAAAAGATAAAAGTATCGTTACGGCAAGCAAGCACCTGTACTTGTACCAGTGGTATTTACAAATACCATCCACAATTACGGTCGGTCAAGATGCTTTCTCCATACCCAAATAGAGGAGATTTGAGGCGAGGATTAAAATCTTCCGCTCGATTCAAGAATGTTCCAGGAGATAAGTTGGAATTAACTCAGAGTGAATAATCGATGATACCCGGTATTATTGAATCTCAAACATATACACGGCCCGTGAATGGCCAACTTGATAACCAGACAATGCATTCATTTGACAGACGGAGCCTGAATATCATCGCCCATACAAAAAGGGGACACAGGGTATCATGATATTAGCAACGAACCCTGTAAACAAAGCCGAGACGGATCTAATGTAAACGATTGGTTCAAAGTAAAATCCAAAAGCAGATGCACCGAACGATATATCAGTGCAGAGTTGATCATTATATCGCTTTGCAAAGAGAAGGCCAATCCCGGTGCTGCAAGCGAGCCAAGTACCTAGGCTACAGTGTAGTAAAAACGCCTGCTACCAGATTGTCCCCGAAATATCCAAAGAAAGATGGATCATCATGCAGTTTTGCTTTTCTGACTGCGCGACAGAAGAATAGCTTGCTAATTTTGAAATTGGCGGATATTAGAGTGTGGGGAAGAGACATACGGAGACATTTCTAGGTCGAGGACCGGCGTAGTTTTGCTCGAGCCATCCGCCTCATATGCTTTTGACTTTTGTCTCGCCTATCCAGATACCTGGCCTCACAAAATGTCAGAGGGGTTTGGCCAACCCTCAGTCTAGCTAGCTGTTACTGACTCTGTGCCCGAGGTACTTGCTGTGGGTATAGATGCCTCCGTTTAAGCCGACTTGGCAAGAACTCCAGGACTCGCCAGAGAATGGAATGAGTAGCATTGGGCCGGCATTTTCGTAACTCAGAGTTTTATTTCCGATGGATAGATCATGAGAATATTGAAATTCAAAGTAGGCACTTCCAGACTCAGTGGGCTGGCGGGTAATAGCGGCTCCTGGAAAATAACGGATTGGTTGTTGCTCTTGAAGAAATGTTGGAAAATGACTCTGAGCCTGTTGGGAGGTTGAACACTGTGCTTGGTAGTCCTTAGGTGAGATTACGTCTCCCTATCTATAGAACGGCAGCGCTTTACAGGGTTCACCCAAACAAAATAAAATTCTGGCTGCTTTGTCGCCCGTCTATTGGATCTTATACTGGCTCAAGAGGCCTAGAGCTTTCAGTTGGTGTCTGATATCTCCAGCAAACTGCCAAACGAGAGACAAACTGAGATGAGTCATATAAAGATAGAAAACTAGAGGACTGGGTCATCGAGCCTTTATGTTCTATTAATATGATAACCTACCCCACCTTTGAAAATAATACAGAATGTCAGCTCTAGATGTAGTTGTAAAAGAGGATTTACCTTTGTATATTTTGCGATCGGTAGTTGAACTTTCAATACGACTTTACATTTGTTGAACTTGGGCTCAACAATGACCACCTCCACTAGATCATTCTGAAAACCATCTTCCTATTATCACTACCTTGATATTGAATCGGCCGAGATGGTGTTTCTATTTGTTGTTAATTTTGTCTGCTATGATGATATATCGATAGTGAAGAAGTCCTTCATGTAATAGTTCCTGAGGCCGATCAAGAATGGATGTAAAGAACTCGCGACCAGATCAAGAAATTCTACCTGCGCGAATGACAAAATGTTATCGCATCATTTGAACTGGCGCGCAGCCCGCCAATCAAAAATGAGACGCGGGTTTGTAACAGCTCATGTTTTGCTTGCCCCTCCAGGCCCGAGCTGTGAAGGATAGGTTTTAGCGCCAAGGACGTCACACTGTTGGCCTGCAAATCTGTGATAAAAACGAGGAGTTCCTGTGCTTGATAGGTACCAGATCTGGAACCACGATCTTTTTGCTTCAACTGACACCTGAATGACTCTGTGATAAAATTTCACTTCTTGAAAACAGCCCGAAGAGGAGCATGGCAAGATCTCGGAGATGTACGAAAATCTGAAACACTTGTATGACAAGGCTTTTCGCTGATCACCAAATTCCAAATTTTGGTTTGATCTTCCCGAGAAGCGCTTAATGGGCGCCTAATGGTAGGCTTCCATCGTGTTGCTATGTAAAGAACAAGAACAAGCTGGCTTAAAGGGAATTTCCGTCGCACTCTTGGTCACGGGTCGTCTTCAAGCACTACCATAAAGACCTTGATTTCTTTTGACCCACCGGATCTTCCAGGCGGAATATTTCACCAAACCTGTCCGATGGGGCCTCGCTTCTCCCGTGTATGCCGTACACCTCGTATAGGCAACACTCAAGCAAAAGCACCGACTATGAGAACGAATTATTCACGAGAAAAGGTGCAGGCAATTCTGAGCGACTATGTCGAGGCAAAAGATCCGTTATTACTTGACCTGGTTGTAGAGTCGCTTTTTAAGCTATTGCCTCAGAATGCGCCCGAGTCAAATGAGATTTGGAGTTTCGGAGAAGATTGCTTTAATCTCGCAGAGATAAACAGCTACAAAAGTGGAGTACATTCGAGATTAGCCCAGCTGCTTGAATCTTTAGGACTTTCGAACCAGTTTAGAGGATGGGACCCAGTGGTAAGTGTGACAAAGCTCACTTTTGACCGCTGCTGACATTTCCGTGAATCAACCTTAAGACAGGTGAAGTTTGGGAATTCGAACACTTAAAAAATTCAGTGGAAGATCACTGTATTGGTAAGTAAATGCATTTGGAATGAAATTTCAGAGGCTCACCAGTATACCAGGCCCAGATGAAGGAGACCCGGACCGATATGTGAGCTACAATTCGTTTTTAGCTCATCTATACGAGCATCGTATCTTTCCAACTGACCCTACATATGCTATGTGGGCTATGCGAGCCGCATTTGAGGAAAATAGGGGCGAAGAAGAAAAAATGGTTCGCAGTGCCTGGATCTTGGGTGCAGCACAGTGGATTCTATGGCACGGACAAAGCATATTCAATCTACTATTACACCCTGCTCTCTTTGATGTGACCCTCATGACCTGGCCTGATCGTCAAGCATGGGACTCTGGTCCTCTGTATACAGGCTCTGGTGGACTGTCTCTTGAAAGATGGCAATTTTGGAAGCGTAGTTTTCAAGATATTCTTCAAGAGTCCAAAGTCACAGCGGAATGCAAAGAGGTGTCTATTAAAGCTATCATGATGATGAATATGTTTGAGAGAAACATGATGTTCTAAAGAACCTCTTGGGAGGTTTGATCTCAAAAATAGGCGTTGAATGTGGTCTTTTTTCCGCGCTGCAAAACCATATAATATAAACAAAGACTTCTAATCAACTCGAAATATTGAATACCTGCTGAATGTTGTTCAACTAGACGGAGTTTCGCCTTGCACTGAAAATATCCGAGAATTCGTCGCATTCGCGCTTGGAAATAACTTGGTACTCGGGCATGGGATCGCAATAACATAGCAGAATCCTCGGATTATGCGAGAATTATTACGTATTTACATCTTCCATCCAAGTTTCTCCTGTTTCTCCTTTGTGCCCTCCACACTTGGCGTTTTAGAGCTGGTTATACTGCTAGAGTCGTCTTTCACGTTGGATGTCACGACTTGCCCAAAATTGCTTGGCGCAGCACGATTGCACGGAATTCCAGACCCATCAATGATGTTTGTACACTGATACACCTCATCCTGCAAGGTTGTATCGTACATTGGTAAGCCCAAAGTGTGGTTGACAGAATCAATCTCAATGTCCTCAAACTTGATGCCTGGACAAGGGTGGACATCCGAGCAATAGATAGAAGCAGCAATATTATACCGTGAAGTGCCTTTGATGTTAGACCATGTTATGTCTTCAATGGCCATCTTCGACGTATTGCAGTTCTGCCCATTCTCAGTGTAGATGCACTGAGAAATTTGGATAGGTAAAGCAACGTTTGTGAGCTCGAAATTGCGGAACTCCACGTTCTTAATTAAACCACTGCCGCCTCCTCCAGCATCCCCATTGGAGCTGTCATCCTCAGGAACACCTTGCCAAGTCTTTATGAAGGCAGCTTCCATGCAGTTCAAGCATCTGACGTCCTCGAATGTGACATTCTCTACATAGTCGGGCGTTGCGGGATATTGCCCAACCGAACCGATTGCCATACCAAAGCCCCAGTGACAGGTCACATTTTTGACGAGAAGATTTGTTGTATTGCCCTTGACCGCGATACAATCGTCACCATTGCTGACAACAGCATTTTCCACAAGTAATGTGTCACTATTCCAGGAGTCGTAACCATCAGTGTTGACCGTCCCCCACTCATCATTGCTAGTGGCATTGACAAAAAAGTTCGTGATTGAGACATTTTTGCTCTGCCAGACAAATGTCGCCCAAAATTGGGGCTGAATGATCGTCAATCCGTCCACAAGAAGATTTGTGGAGTTGTAGAAAGTCATGCTGATAGGCCGACCAGGCTGGTTGCTCTGGTTTCGATTTTGAGTATACCACGCCTGGCCTTGGCCATTATACCAGCCACCTTCCTCACCTCGAAAGGTGACATTTGTACCTCCGAATAACCAGGCCGTGGACTGGTCCTGGAAAACGACGGAGTAGGAGTGCGAAAGCCAATATGAAATGTCTGTCGAGAAACGGAGCTCGCCCCTCAGCGAAACATCGCAATTTTCCAGGTTTGTCGTATTCATCACAGAATTGATATTGAAAACGTGACCTGAAGCAAATATGACTCTACCATTGGTGCCACACTTTTCAAAAGCACTTTGTACAGACGGGGCATCATCAACGGGCTGTCCATTGTTATTGAGTGATTCGGGGTACAGCGTGCAGGTACGACCTTCTTGAATAACATAGCTAGCTCCCAGAGCAGCGAACGCTAATGGGAGCCATAAATGCATCCTGGTCAAAGGAATGTGTTTCTTCCAAGATCTGAGGGTATATGCCTACTGGCTGGCTCTTTTGAGGAAAAACAGTTGGTGGAGAGAATGTCTTCGAAAGGGATCAAGGGATGTGTTTCATATATGCTCGGCATGTATCCGACGCGCCTACGATTATCCGCTGTGTTGACCCCTGTGATCTCAGTTCCGACTGCACCAAATAAGCAAAGGTTACATGTTACATCCTCCCCCGCAGTTTATTGTCCTCTGGCCCTGAATCAGGTGACTGACATCCAATCACCATAGTTCCTGGCGACAGCAGATCTTGGCTCGACCCACGCGGTCTAAGCGCTGAACGCATGGAGGATATTAAGATGTGAGGGGACTGAAAGTGATCTGTGCCTCGTGATGAATTTTCGTCCATCATCTGATAAACTGTCACCCCCCCCCCTTGAGGGGTATAACGAGGGATTTACGAGTAGGCGAACGGGAGGAGATGGCCCTCTGATCCATGTTAATTTCTCTGAAGGGCGAAATTGAGTTCATGTTAACTATGAATGAATGATCCGGATATTTAAACTCCGTGATAGATCTGGAATACTCCGTGCATATCGAGCCGAAGAGTTCCAGGCACGAGTCCCTAAGTAATGGCCATAATTTCCATCAGGAGATTTCTTGAAGCAGTTAGGGATGACTGGGCCGGCTACACAGAAAACGAGGGGAATTGGAGAGAAGTCTTTAATTTGAGGACTATTAGATTATGAAGCTAGAAAAATGAGAAAAAATATGCACCAAGAACTTTTAATTCTTAACAGCTTTTCTTCAGCTCTGGCCGTGGGAATCGACGAGTTCGACCGCGCAACATTTCTGCTCGCTCCTCCAGAGTCATGTTGACCTGGTCACCGATAGGGATGAGACACTTCGCCAAGTGGATGTAGTTTTTGCGCAAAAGATGCACTGTGATGAAGATATAGTCGACATTTCGGAAGACAAGCGCTCGCTCCTCGGCATAACGGTCCTTGCCTTTGACAAATGCCATAGGATGATCTCTCCAGTGGCGTCGGGGATTCAAGTGGTGCGAAGTATGGTATCCATCATTAAAAGAGTATCGATTACTCTGCATCAAGTATTAACCACTGCGTTATCAGAAGTATGAGACTCAACTTACCGGAACATCAATCAACGTGATACTAGATCGATAATCGGAATCAGGATCAATAGGATCCACAAAGGCATGCTGGCCCCAATTTCCCACCATCAAGCCACACCGCATTACCACGAGAGGAAGGATAAAAACAAAAAGGGTAGCGCGAGCATTGACGTAGTTATATAGAAGGTAGATGGAGGCGTAGTTGCTGAGCTCCCAGAATGCTGCCTTGCACGCATACTTCATTTGACCTTTCCGCCAGAAGTAAAGGGGAAGTTCCAGCCAGATCAGGAAGAAAAATCGGCCAACGTAACAGGCAAAGTCAAAAGCACTGTCTCGGTCGTAGAACATGGTAGTACTAAGATCTTGTTCACCGTTTCCCTCGACGTGATGGTGCTTGATGTGGTGATAGAAGTAGGAGTTCCAGGTATGCCCAAGCATCGGATCCAACAGATACGGGAACAGATTATCAAAGATCCAGTACCCAGGAGCAAGGACTCCATTCATATGGATGTGTTGATGCTTCATGAGAGTGAAGGCGCCGCAGTACCATAATTGCATGACCCAATGCAAAACACCATGCATCCAGGAAAAGCGGTAATACAAGAAAAAGGCGCTAGGAACGATGGTGGAAAAATAGAGCAAAAGATGTGTCACCATAACAACATCAGTCGGAAATCGCACAACACTTTTCGCCCAGGTAAGGTAAGGCTGAAGAGCATAGCGCTGAATGATCGGGGGCAACTTAGCCCGAAGAATTGGAGTATCCCAGAACTGAAAAATAGTGGGATCAAAGTCAGGATGAGATGCATCATTCATATCATGAAGCTTTTGAACAACATCGTCATCACTAGGTCGTTGTTTTGATAAGGATGATATGGTCTCGCCTAGTTTCTTTTCAGTACGCTGTTCGGAAGAGCTGTTGTCTCGGACTGACCATTAGAGACCCTCCCCTCCACCAGTGTTTCAATGACAATCAAATCGGCCAAAGTGAGCTCCGGATCTACGTAAGTCGCAGGATCCATGCTGGGCGACTGTGAAGAGGTGTTTAACGCAATTGCACTATTGCAGGGGATGACAGACTTACTCACGATGAACAAGCGGAACCCCGGAAACAACCTATATCATCGAGTTCGTTGAAATTCCACCGGGAAAACAAATGGGACCCGATCAGAAGATGTTTGGAAAGAAATCAGACTGATCGGCTCAAATCTCAAGCAGTATTCTCTGTTTGGATAACGCGCGGTCAGGGGTGAAAAGAGTTTTCCAGGAGCCTGGAGTGGGTCCAAAATGTAAACTGACAGTTAAACATGGCCAAGCCTCAAGGGCCACCCGATGGTTGCGAACACTTATCTAGCGCATAGGCCCCCCGGAAAAGCTCACATTATCTACTACAAATAAAAAGGGCTGCTCAGTTTCTTTCATCATTTGGATTATGAATTTCTCGCGGTGTTCGCTGCCTTCAGGATGCCAGTTCTCACACGGATAGTCCGGTCGGAATGGAAGCTACTAAGCTATCGCGGGAAGAATACATTCCCCCTGAAGACTCCTAGACCCCGTGGGCGACAATCCAGCTTAGAATGGATCGAATGCTGATTCTAAAATTAATTTATGGGGCTCTAGGAGTGCCCGTCAATACCCACGACCAAGGGTTGTTTCGAGGGCATCGTTGAATGTTGACTGGATACTTTGGCATATCCGTCCCTTCTTAGCTAGGCTAATAATACACTGAGCTGGCCGCAAGGGCCAGCTCCCTGGGCCCAAAAGAGTATGCAGCTCACCGATCAGCATTCCTCGCTACCGCTTCCAAGCCATATATGGCCTGATCCTCAAAGCCCCCAAAATCATTTTCTGGGTAAAGACTGACTTTAATACTGAACTTACTGACTAAATATCCTCATCTATATCCGAAGGGAAGTTTTTAAGTAAGTTTTTCGAGGCAAACTAGAAAGAATTACGAAGAAGCGAAAGACTTTTTAGAAATCCAATGAACTCCGATTACATCATTCAACAAACTTCTCTGCATTGCATACTTCATCCAATGGTACTAATCATCTTCGGACAGTGTTCAAAGTTTGCCGTTTTCGCTACCTAAAAGCTGGCAAATGTCAATTTTCTAGCAACTTCACTTTTTCCATGCATTGCGATGGAATATGAGGGCTACTCCTATGGAATCGCTCAAACGTATCACAACCAACCGGATGCGGGGTATGATTTTGGGGCGTGGGCATGTCTCCAAAATCTATGGAGCTTGCCGTCATCGTTGAATTAATAATGCGACTGTGCTGAGATATCGTCTCTGTCTTCTCTCCTAATCATGATACTTTCCTTTCGAAGGCGTGCTGGAATCTACCCCCGCCTTAAAGGCTCAGGCATTGCCACCAACTCTGTCCCCGTCAAAACTCAATCGCACATCACGTATTTTCGGAATCTATTTCGCGAAAAAGCATCGATTAAAAGTCCTACCAAGTATTCTTCATCATCTCAAGTGGCTATTCAGATGAAAAAAGTGACCCCGATCGATGCTAAGAAGGGTGTCAAGTCGAACGGATTGACTGTATGCAACACAGAAATATGAGCACTGCTGCTGCTTTCTCAGTAAACCGAGGGCATGAGCATGGGACTGCTCCACTTCAGGTACCTTCCCAGGGTGCGGACGTTGTGATCATTGGTACTTCCCTACGCAATTCCGGTTTGAATGAATCTTTTCCACTTACAGGAAAACGGGGGCGGGTTGGGGCGTGTTCAGATGATCTCATCTCGGGACTCGGCACTAGTGCGGAGTTAACCCCCGGTCTGTCATCCATTCGGCCAAGTCGGGGCCCCGAGCTCGATCTATCAGATTATCTCCGTTAACTGAATGCTCTAATGATGCTTGAGTCTTCACCAAAATGAGGACTCTTATTTGCACTGGCTAATACTCCGTTCAACCACAAGAGTATGACATCCTCAACATCCTTCGCAATGTCGCCCATCACGCGCATCTTATCCCGAGCAGTCAACAAACCATATCGCACTAAAGAACTGCAAGCGGAGATTCCTCCTTTTCTTAATGAAGATGGCTATATCGATTTTGCCCCTGGTGACATTGAAAATCCTCGAAATTGGTCGATGCGTCGCCGCGCTGGTGTCACTATAGCTGCCGTCCTGCTAGTTGTAAATGCGACTTTCGCTTCCAGTTCTCCAAGTGGATGTTTCACCTCCATTTCGAAACATTTCAATGTGTCAACTGAGGTGGCCGGCCTTACCATCACACTTTTCTTGCTCGGATACTGTGCAGGACCCCTCATTTTCGCTCCACTGAGCGAATTCTATGGCCGTCGATGGATCTTCTACATCACTTTTCTACTTTACCTCGCTTTCAATTTCCTGTGTGCCTTCGCACCCAATTTTGGCAGCCTGCTAGTAGGCAGGTTTCTCACCGGAACATTTGTCTCGGCCCCGTTAAGCAACTGTCCGGGGGTTCTAGCTGATGTATGGAATCCTCTGGAACGTGCGAATGCAATGGCCGGTTTCTCGGCAATGGTCTGGATTGGACCTGCCTTGGGACCTGTAGTTGCTGGCTTTCTAGAGCTGAAGGAAGACTGGCGTTGGAGTTTTTATGTACTCCTTTGGCTTGGGGCTGCATCCGCGTTGATTATGTTGACAATTCCCGAGACGTATGCGCCAATAGTTCTTTATAACAAGGCTCGACGGATTCGGCAAGCAAAAATCCTCGGATACGAACATGTTAAAGCCCCGGTCGAGGATAGTGACCGGACATTGGTCGGTATCTATAAAGTGGCGTTGATCAGACCTTGGATTATTTTGTTCGACCCTATCTCCTTGCTGTGCGCTATTTACATGGCATTCGTTTACACCTTGCTATATATGCTCTTCAGTATTTATCCTATTGTGTTTCAGGAGAAACGAGGGTGGAACTCAGGTGTTGGGGAGTTACCACTGCTCGGTACTGTTGTGGGAGCTCTCTTTGGTGGTGCGATTGTTTTGATGGACACTCACCGTCGCCAGAACAAAATCAAGAGGGGCGAACTGCAGATGGAAGATGCCGTTCCTGAAGATCGACTACCACTTGCCATGATTGGAGGAATAGGCTTTGCGGCGACAATGTTCTGGTTTGCATGGTCTGCCGAATACAAGTGAGTGCATCGGAGCCGGCTTTCATGACTTTCTTGACGGATCTAACTGTGGTCTTAGCGATGTTCATTGGATTGTTCCCACAATCGCAGGAGCACTTCTTTCAAGTGCACTGCTTCTGATATTCGTCTCATACCTCAACTATCTCGTGGATGTTTACCTGATGTATGCCGCCTCGGCCATTGCTGCGAATACTATTGCTCGTTCTGCCTGTGGCGCAGCCGCTCCCCTTTTTACAAACCAGATGTTTTCGGCTCTAGGTGTGGGAGGAGGTGGCAGTTTGATTGGGGGCGTTGCAGCGCTCCTAGCCGTCATACCTTTCCTATTTTACAAGTATGGGAAGCAGATAAGGATACGGAGCAAGTTTGCGCCAACGAAAGGGACTCCTAACAGCAATGTCCAAACGATGAAGGACGAGGAGGCCGGAGTTCAAGAGCAGCCAGACACAACTTCTTCGAGCTAGATAAAATGAGTATGTCTCTATATAAATAATGAAAAGACCCGAATACGCTACTTCAAATCCATTCCGTATTACGCAGAAGAATCCCCCTGCCCTCCAAAAGTAAAAAAGAGTGTGGAAAAGAAGAGCAAAAGAACAAAGAGAAAAGAACTCGAAAGCCGAATTTTGCATTTAGCATGTCATCAATGAACGCCAACTTGCTGCTCAGCCTCAAAATGGGGTCGTCACGGGTGCTACCTTATCAACGCCCTGAGCTTAGCCGACTTACAAAAACACATTTCACAGAAGCATGTCTTGGGCTAATAAGATCCGGAAAGTCATTTTCCCGGGCAGGTGTACCACAGGTGATCTAAGAAACATGAAAATGCCAGTTTCTAATGTGGGGACTCGCTTCATTGGACAGTTAGGAAAGAATGTCTCAAAACCCGTCAGCTCACTCCGCCTCCGACTTGCTAGAGGTCGAATGCCACCATTCCAGACGCGGGGAGATCTGCATGAACAAAAATGCTAATGGTAAAAATACTCTACGTCTCCACAAGCTTTGGCTATGAGACGCACGGTCCTGTAACTTGGTTTCTTCTCTCAGGCCCGAATTTGTGGCTTGCGAGGGCGGCCCTATCGCACATGGCTAACAAAGTGGAAAAGTCCAAGCAACCACCTCGCATATAATTTCCAACTTCGCGTGATGGATATTCGGGCGGCGATGAAGGCCTGTCCGATCACACCCTGCAATGAACCTTGAGGCTTATATAGAAATTAATGGCCCCCATCGGAATCAGCATATAAAGGAACCGCAAAACTCCCACCCATACAAACATTCCCATCAGTCAAAGCCCTTCTTTCAAAACATACAGCATGAAGCTTTTCACATATCTTACCCTGCTGACAGCAACGGTGCTGGCGACACCCGTTGTGAAAGCACCAAAGGAGTTCCACTTGAAGACTGCTGGTGCTAAGAACGCCAAGCACAACAACCTCTTTATCTATACCTACCACACAGGTGCCGGATTTAACGACGCCGTTCTCGATAAGGATGGCACTAATGCCAGCCGTGTTTATCTCAATGGTACACAGGCTCTTGTTGACTTAGATACGGAATATCCTTGGGGTTTCATCGTCCCCGGAGATACCAACTATGCCTGTAAGTCTTTGTCAACTGATGGTCATTGATGCGATCGCTCTTGTGGCTTTCCATATTATATGAGGGGTTAATTTCAACAGCCTGGGAGGCCATCGAAATCAACGCTGGTGGCGGAAATGATGGATTCTCTATCAAAAATGGCAACTTTGTATGGTCTGAAGCATCTGGTTTTGGAGGTTGGCTAGGTGAGCCATGACTTCTATTACATTGATCAAGCAGCAGTTGCTAATTATCCGTCGTGTTTAGTTTGTGATTGGTATCATAATGCCCCCCAGCTGTTCTACCTGAACAAATATTATACCCCTGTTATCCCCTCTAGCTGCAGCAAGGTCCAGCTCAAGCCAATCTACGTCAAATAAATAGGGGGCCTGCTCCGGCAAGTTTATTGGCAGTAATATAGCTCTACATACTTAATATTAGTATTTTTTCGACGGATATTGAAGCCATTGCCTATCGTCCACAACTGTAGGGCACAATGATCAGTTGGAAAATGATACTGTCAACTTCAGCGCAGATCTGGGTTCGACAAAATGATACATTGCTTCATTATCATCTCCGATGCTATTCATAAATCATTACATGGCTCAACCGCTAGGCAACTTCGACAGATGGATTGCCTTCATAGTAGCGGCGGTCCATGCCGGCTTGTAGGCGAGCTTCCTCATTGAATGGTCCCCGAAGGCTTCCACGGAAATATTTCGAAACATTGGTGCGAAAAACCTTAACAGGATCAGTCCCTTCCTGACCACAGATCCATGTCAACCAGCGATGACCTGTTGTAACGTGCGTAATCTCGTCATTGTGGATAACCTCCAACGCCTCGGTGCTTTCGTTATCACCAGAGAGACGGAACTTTTTAATGGTCATGGGGTTCACATCCAGACCTCTAGCTTCATGTACTAGGGCGATGATGCTGATTCTGGATCGCAGGTCGTGAGCTGTATCCATTGCCGACTCCCAAAGACTGTGGTGCACTGGGAGCGCCCCAAATTGCGAACCAAGCTCCTCAATCCTGGCGCGCAATAGAGAAAAATGTTTAGCTTCATCGCTTGCAACCTTCAACCAGTCATGGAAGAATGCCCGTGGTAATTCTTGATGAGTCTCTTCGGTCTTGAAAGTAGAGAATCTCACACAAATATCGATTGCCAAGTCGATCGCCCACAGTTCAATATTGGCTAGCGCATGAAGCATGGCGATCCGACTTTTTAGAGATCCTCCATTCCCTGAACGTGGCATAGATCGTGCTTCCACCTCAATCATGTTCTCACGTGGAGGTTGATCAGGTGCGGTAACAGTGCCCCTCCCGATTTCCATGGGTGATGAAGAACCCTCGCGGGCGGCAAAGATCGAGAATAGATGAGTTGTGAGTTCAATTTTATGCTCAGGATTCGCAGTAGACAAGATATGGACGGCCCAATCGCACAAAGTTGCATCGTCATCCAGATAGCGTGTCGTCCCAGGGTCCTGCTGCTTCAGGGCTAACTTGTCTGACGGTCGTGCATGCTTCAACTTGACCTTTTCGCTGACTGGCTCGATTTTGTTAAGTTCAACATGATCACCATCCTCCAATGGGAAGCTGATTGTCACAGATCCATCCTGGACATCAACGGGGAATGTGCATGCCTTGATACCCACGCTAGATTCGCCAGTCTCCACGTTGAAATCATATGCATGCCATGGGCATGACACGATATATGCCGAGTCTTCAATATCGACCTGTGCATCGGCCATAGGTCCTCCAGCATGGGGGCACTCCGCCTCCATCGCGTAGTATGACCATCCTTGGCTCTCGTTCGGCCTGGCGCTGGATGGGTCAATAGACGGGAGGCGAAACAGGACCAGGCGCTTTCCTGACGAAAGATGGATCACATATCGGGTTTGAGTGAAGTCTGTTAGAGGACCACAGCTGATCAACATTCTGAATCCCGGGTCGTCGAATAAGTTGTTGCCGTCAAAATGTCGCCGGTTGGCGCTTTGCAGGCGATTTTTTTTGAAGATCACGTGTAGATAAGGAAAGCCGCGGGGTGGTTTGTTTGCCACCTCGGCCAACGCGCAAAAACACCAAGAGAGTAAAAAAGGCATTCCAAATGAGAATAGGGAGAGAAGTGGGACTCGCGAGGTGGCAATTTATACTGTAAGTCTCTTCGCTTGAATTGCAACGTATAATTGAACGAATCTCCTTGAGGCATATGCATCCGTTTTCGATGCGAGGAGACTTCATCTATCGGGGAGGGAAAGGCCCTTGAATGTCATTGAGTCTTCCTCTTTCTCAAAAAGTTTGAGCTGCTCTTAAGCATCAAGTGTGTATACTTCAACAAGGTTCCCAATACCCGTCTCAACAAGATTCCCATTCCAGCAAGTCCCTCGGGAGCGGTTATTTCCGCATCCTCCAGCGTGGCCCCCTAATTCCTGCCCCGCCCAGCTTCGATAGCACAGAAAACCAACCATATTAAAATGAAAAATCCTTGTGAGATTAGCTTTTACGGCACAATTCTTCTTTCAGAGTATTAGCGTTGTGCAATTGTCCCCCAACCTCTCTTCTCTTATCATCTAGGTTCCGTGATCATTGTGTCTCGAAATGGCCGCCCCAGCAATAAATAACGAGATTATCGATGTCTTGGCCATTGACGGTCATGGTCTACAGAAGTTGCTGCAGTCTGGTGAAGTAACCAGTCTGAGCCTTGTTGGTCAATATCTTGCTCAAATTGAAAAGCATGAAAGCAAGCTTCATGCCATGATAAAGACAACACCCAAGGATCTGTTAGAAAATACAGCCAGATCGCTTGATGAGGAGAGAGCTGCTGGCAAGTTGCGAGGCCCACTGCATGGAATTCCAATCATTATCAAGGCATGAAATGTCGCACGCATGTCCCATGCTTTTCCTCTGACATCTCCCAGGACAACATTGCTACCCATCCCGACCTCGGTCTTCCAACTAGTGCGGGCAGTCTGGCTCTATTAAACTCCAAGCCTCGGCGGAATGCAAAAATCGTTGATCAGGTACAAAGGCTCTATCTCAGACTCTGTTGTTACATATTTACTTATCAAGACTTAGATTATCGCCGCAGGCCTCATTATTCTTGGAAAAGCCAACTTAGCTGTAAGTATATGAAACTTCTTTGAATTGGATCTTGACCACTAAGCCTTCTTCAGGAATTCTCCAATGTTCGGTAATGAAGTCTCAATTATGCTTGCATTTATATAAATATCTGTTTCTGACAAGAGGACAGAGCATCTGGAGTACCAAACGGTTGGTCCGCTGTCGGCGGTCAAGTTCAATCGGCCTATGTTCGTGGAGGAATTGATCCAGATGACTCCCCCGAGGGCCACTCCGTAAGCTTTGATATTTCAGCCCTCTTTGCGCTTCTACCCAGTATCTGACTATTTCAAGAACCCTTCGGGCTCATCTAGTGGCTCCGCAGTCGGGGTTTCCGCTGGATATGCACCATTTTCGATCGGAAGCGAGACGGACGGGTCCCTCACAGTCCCGGCTGGCCGGGCTGCTCTGTATACTATCAAGCCCACGATTGGTCTTGTTCCTTCAGATGGCATCGTTCCCATCTCCATCAACTTTGATGCAGCCGGACCGATGACAAAGTCTCCGTACGATCTGGCTGCGCTTTTGGATGTGCTGTCTGCACCATCTCCTTCGATTTCGTTCACACAATATTTGACTGCATCCTGGTCAGACATTTCCGTTGGTGTTCTCGACCCGGAGCAGTGGCGACTTCCTGAATCCGAAGTCAAGCATGCCGAAGGTGCAGAGGCTCAAATGGTGAGTGCATGTCACTGCCAAATGGGATAGGAGTGTTTCGTAACCGAAATAATTATACAGATGCAAGATATCCGCCAGGCGTATGAAGTCATCAGGCCTCATGCACGTAAATTTGTCGACAATATTGACTTGGTCCAGCCCGATAAATTCGAACTAGATGGAGAAAATTGTGAATGGAGAATTATATGTGAGTACTGACCGGAGCTCTTCTTGTTTCCCTCGGCTAAGATGTTCCACGTAGTCGCAGATTTGAAGCGAGATCTCAATGCATACCTCGCAGATCTTGAAGAGGCCGAAGTGCGATCCCTCGAGGAGGTGATTGAATATAACAACAAGCATGCTGATCAAGAGCTTCCCCCTCGTATGCACCCCGCTGGATATCGGTCGTATCTCTCTAACCGAAAAATCACAGACCACCCGAAACAAGACATCCTTATTGCTTCTCAGGATCTGGAGATGTCTCTGGAGGAGTATGAGCGACGCTTGGCCCACCTCAGGCATGTAGCAAGAGATGAAGGTTTAGACCGGGTTCTTAAGACTCATGGAATTGATGTTATTCTTGCACCAACTGAGTCTGAGATCACTTCAATCGCCACAGGTGGAGGTAGAGCCCCCCAGTCCTCTCTTTCGTGATTTACTTGGCCTTGAATACATATCGTGAAACTAACACAAACGCAATTTAGGATTTCCCCTCTGCTCTATGCCGCTCGGGTATTTGGATTTCAACGGCCGCCCGTTTGGTGTTTCAGCCATTGCGGGTAGAAACCAGGAAGCTCTCTTGGTCAAGGTTATGAGCGCTTGGGGAGCTACATTTCCGGCACGATGCCCCCCTCCACAGCTTGTTGAGTTATCCTAGTTTAAATCCAAGCCCCCCTTTCAACTTAAATCATGCATGTTGAACCTGTGATTAGACCTCAATTTGATAGAGAGTATCGTTTCTTTTTTTGTCATCTGGTCCCTTATTAAGTATATTTCCAAACGGAGTGGGATTTTGGTGCGATTAGGCAACAATCCAATTATCTTTGAGCCTGCCTAATCCTGTGTACATGAGTCATCCAGGCAGGTACGACTCATAGGAATTGCAGAGTTAACCAAACAATGGTACTTTCCCATCTCCGGCGTGACCGTTGTGGCGTTACACACAACCATAGCTGCCAATGGTTAACGTGACTGTTGCATAAGCAAGCATCAGCATGTGAAATATCATTATCGATCGAGGCGTTTATAGTGTATATGCGCTGCCTAAATCTGTGCTAGTGACTATATTGAAAACAATTTCTCAATTAGGACCAACAGCAAGATATATATATGTCCATGCATGTACATATTGCAATGCCTAGTTACCCGAAACCTGCTAGATCCCTTTCAAATCTCACATCATCTTACCCTTGCGAGGCTTATCCAAGACGGAAATCGATCACATCAGCATTAATGCACCACAAACGACGTATTCAATATGTACAGCCAGGCTGTTCAATCCAGCAGTACCGATCTACAGTAGAGAGGGTGAATTGCCGCGAATGAGTGGACGGAGAACTCCGGACGAGTGGAGCTGGGGCTAGTTCTCACACCGGTCAAAGCGATGTCTAATAATGAGAGGGTCTATTGGGATGATCCTAGGATGCCTGCTCATCTGGTGATTCCTAGACTGCAGCAGAAAAAGCTTGGTCCTCTGAAGATTCCGTGGGAAGTTTGTTGGCAGGAGGCCTAATACAAATTGTGATTTAAGGGTATGGTAATCTTCACCGTCCCCTATACGCCAGGCCCGCCCAGCTTTGACCGACTTTGCTTTGGGCCGACCGAGCGCCCGAGGTTTAGTAATGAGCCTTTCAGCCGGAGCCCCCTTTTTGACTTGGCGGAGCCCCTGACTTTGCGGGGGAAATGGAACCAATTCCACAATCGCGGGACGTCGCTCGGCCACCGAAACAGAAGGCTCTTAATGGGCAATATTCAGGAAAACTATGATTATGCATCGGAATGGACCTTAGACTCAAATCTGCCAGGCCAATCTGCAAACTAATATGTAGGTGGAATAGCCGGTGTAGGTGAGGGATCTTCAGCTCCAGGGCCGAGATCGGGCTCAAAGCGGAGTTCAGGTGGATACTGGCGAACTGTAGAGTCACAATGCAAATGCTCGGCGCGACGGGCCTAGCTGACTCAAAGGCTTTATTTTTCGCACCGGCTGCTCGTAGCCTGCTGATTTTTCTTTTGCTCATTCTTTGTCTGCTTTGCATTTCCGGATCTGCGCGTTGAGTGTGGCCTAGAATAGTGTGGTCTCTGTGCCTCAGCATACTATCCCTGCAGTCCGGATTGATCAGCGTGTGAGGCCCCGTAACGCCGAGACATCCTCCTCGTGGATTTTCTGCGATTGTTCCTCGGCAACTTCCCCTCTCTCTCACCTAGTCGCACTGCAAGTTGACGATCATCTGCAATCATGGCTCTAAGTGGTTCGTTTCACCCAATCGCATATCAGCCCTTCCGCGGTGTACATCTTCTTTGCGATTGCATGCGCTGCATTGCTGGCCTTCTGATGACCCACGCTGATAGCTCTATCTGCAGACTGGAATGACAACGACAAGGAAGAGACCCAGCTGGGTGCTCACCCACTGGGCCCAGCGCAAACTGGAGACCATGAGCATGATCATGACCTCGCGCCTCTGACGACCACAACGGAGCGCAAGCTGATGGCCAAAATCGACTGGCACATTCTGCCATGCCTGTGTGTCTTGTACCTCCTGGCCTTTTTGGATCGGTAAGGAGACCGTACACTCTTGCATTAGCTGTCGCATGTCAGATATACTGACTGTTCAATCGTCACACAGTGTCAACATCAGTAATGCTGCGATCTTGGGCCTGAAGACGGAGCTGGGCCTTGAGACTGGCACAAAATACAACACGGCATTGACCATCTTCTTCGTCCCATACATTCTCCTGGAGATCCCATCCAATATCCTGCTCAAGAAATTCAAGCCACATGTTTGGTGTACGTTGGCCAACCTGATAACTGGAACTGTTTCTGCAACAGCTGACTGACTTTTTTTGTAAATAGTGTCACTTTGTATGTTTGGTTTCGGCCTGGTAATGATCTTCCAGGGTTTGGTGAGCAGCTGGGGTGGGCTAATGACCACTCGATTCTTCCTCGGTGTCTTTGAGACTGGCATGTTCCCAGGATGTGAGTTTTGGGCGTATGAAATATCGTGGGGATCACAGATCTGACATAAATTAACAGGCTTCTATCTCATGGGCATGTGGTACAAACGCAGTGAAGCCCAGAAGCGATTCAGTTTCTTTTTCAGCTCGACCACTCTTGCTGGTGCATTTGGCGGACTGTTAGCATATGGTCTAGGTCAAATGAGTGGTGTGCGGGGTTATCTGGGCTGGCGTTGGGTATTCATCATCGAAGGCATAATCACTTGTGTGGTCTCCATTGCTTGGTTCTTTCTACTGCCCGACTTTCCTGAAGATGTGAAATGGCTGAGTGAGGAGGAACGTGAGTTTGTTCGCGCGAAGCTGGCCAAGGACGTTGGCAAATCAGCCCATCATGTTAAGATGGGTACACGCGAAGTTATCGGTGTCCTCAAGGATTGTATGTGGCTATCCCCGCGCGTTTCACAGTGCGACCTGGACACGTGGACATGGAACTAACATTCGACCTCTAGACAAGGTTATCATCGGAGGCTTCATGTACTTTGGCCTCATTGTTCCTGCCTACGGTCAGCCGTTTCCCGCTCACCTGGATTTGAAATTTCACTGACATCTGATCTCTAGGATATGCGTACTTCGCACCTTCCATCATCCAGAGTTATGGCTACAGCGGTATGTTTCTCGCCCATGATTTTCCTTTCTAAATCTCACAATTCCCTCCGCTGACTCTATGTTTCTGTAGCGGTCAAAACCCAACTCTACTCCATTCCTCCTTGGGCAGCGGCCTTCGGTTTCTCAATGGTGATTGCCTATTTCTCTGACAGATTGAGGTTTCGATTTGCCTTCACTGTAATTCCGATTCTCTGTGCTATTGCTGGGTTTTCCATGCTGCTCACGATCCATGGCAAGGAGAACAAGGCTGCTCAGTATGGTGCTCTGTTCCTGGTTACATGTGGGGCCTACAGTGCCATGCCAGTCATTGTCTGTTGGTTTGCTATGAACCTGGGTGGTCACCACCGCCGCAGTGTGGGCTCCGCATGGCAGGTTGGCTTCGGCAACATTGGTGGTATTATTGCCACCTACTCCTTCGTCAGCAAAGATGCACCAGACTACAAGCCGGGTTACAGTATCTGCATATCCTTCTGTTGCCTGTCAATCCTGGCCTGTGTTATGTACCTCCTTGCACTGATTCACGAGAACCGGAAGCGTGAAAAGACCGCTTCCGAGCAGAACTCGATTGACGAGGAAGAAGAGGAGTACCTCGGCGATTTGGCTCCCACCTACCGATACCAACTCTAGATGACGTTTTCTGGGGCGAGGTGCACCTATGGTTCATGGGGGTTTGCCACGGTTATAACCTTAGCATCCCCTTGAATCATGAGTCTTACGAAACAATGACAATGAGCAACGGAGGCTATTCTATGATGAAGGCTTTGAACATACCCATTGAGCTCTACGTGGACTATCTAATTACGTTTTCACATAATGGAAATAATCAAACTGATATTTTTTATTACGCAATTCTATGTGCAATTTGTTTGCCCTACACGTAAACACTAGTCGATGACCAGCATGGAAACCCTATTTCCACTTTATTTCCACCTTCCCAGGGTTATGCGCAGTGTGTGATGTAAAGGGGTCACGTGTACAGCTGCTGGATGCTCTCATTTCGGTTAGCGCCTCGCTTAGCTGAGTCAGCCACCCACTACACAAATGCGCCGTCGGCCGCTGGTAATTGTCTTTCTTTCAACCATCTCTCCTCATCCTCGCAGAAGCGTGAGTCGCCTTCCAAAGTTTATTTTTTTAATGACATGACAACTGACAAGACTACAGAACATCTACGAAGATGAGAGCTAAGTGGAGAAAGAAGCGCGTTCGTCGTCTCAAGCGCAAGCGCAGGAAGATGCGCGCCAGATCGTGAGTTTGCACAATCCTCGCCCATTGCTCTGTATCCTTGAACTTGTTGCTAATGACCATGAAGTAAATAAACTACTCGCCCCATCCATCTCAGCGCCGCATGTCGATGCTCACGTTTGAACGCTAAACACGACACTTTATGAACTGATGTCACGACTTATCGTTTCCTTCGTTCAGTCTCTCAATTATCGAGTTGCCTGCCCGGACATGATTTCCGCCTTCATATTGTGAAGAAATCGCATTTCTTCGATGGAATCCGCTGTTCAAACAACAACCCGCTTTCCCACCATTTCCAATCTTTTCGGATTCATTCCAACATCGGTTGAATTGATATCGGGCATGTTATTTCTCGGGAGAGGCGCCTGTGTGTTTAGTCAGGGGTTGGAGGATTAGTGCTACGGGTTTCCGCTGCCTATCCCATCTGAGTACGTCACTGGGGTGACTGGTCAATCTACTGTTTCCATTCAACAGGCTTCAGAAGTATTCAGAAGCCTGGGAGCTATGGAGAGGTTTCAGAGAGTTTCCACCAATCAAAAAATTACTGGATCAAGTTAATTCTTGAAGAGTATCTATTTTTTTCCCACTTCCGCAGTAGTCATCTGTAGCTTGAGTAGCTCTACCGTAGCTTGTGCATAGGTCATTTCTCCGGGCAATTTTGGTTTGTGCGGATGTTAACCCCATGCCGTTTCACCGCCTTCCCAATATTCTGTGCTAGGAAATTTTTCTGCCATCAACTTTTTGACATTTATTTCACCGCGATATAACGGTCGATCACTCGAGCTGTACCTCGGAGATTTCTGTGTGAACTCTCCTGTGATCTCCAGAAACACAATGCCGTCTATCAAGATTGATAAGAAGCGCAAGCGCGCTTCAGACGTTCATGGAGGTCCCAGCAAAAAGCCTGCTCTGCAGCTTCAAGCGCTTCCGCCGCTGGCAGCTAGCCTTGTCGAGGACAAGAGCGAGCTGGCCCCAGTAATTGGTATGTGCCACTGGGCTGCTAATGGAGGTGAAATTTTACTAATGCTTTGTCTGCACACTAGCCACCACTCCTGGTGTTCTTAACTCCAAATCCCTCCACTGGAACCCATATACCAAAGCCCGTCAGGATGTCGCTCACTCAGCCACCCGTAACCCCGGTATTGCGTCTTCCGAAATGCTCCTGCAGTCATCTGAGCATGAGAGATTGGATTTTGTTGGCCGTGAGGGGACTGGAGAAGATGCGGACTCGCAGTTGAAACACTATGTCGCTATCGTTGATCCCGAGCGCAAGACATGGCAGGTGATTGAGGCCCGACGGATTACACTCCGTGGTGGTGTCCGCAGCGTCCGACAACCCGAGGAAGACCAAGAATCCGAAGATGAGACTGTATGTGTCTTTGTGGTCTATTTGCCAAGAGTTTGGTCGGAATATGCTAACTGGAGTATAGTATAACATTCGCGCTCAGCGCACTGCTCTTACCAACACATTCGGTACCAAGCAATCCCGCAAGGCTGTCCAGTCCATGGCAGAGAATGCACAGCTCTCCACAGCGCCCGCTGGTTCCGTCACCGAAGCCGGTGCTGCTCTCATTTCGTCCTTGCCTGCGGATGTCGCCTCCGGCGTGGCCAAGGCATTGGACGTGCAGGCCGAGGTGCAAGCCGCCAAGCCTTTGCCCACCCCCGATCTCACTGCCGCCCATCCCTCAGACGTATATTCTATCGAGACTTTGGTTCCTGGTGGCCACTCGACTCTTCGCCAGTTGACGGGCGTGGACGAATGGAAGCAACAAGTGGAGGCCGGCGTTTCAGTTATCACCGGTTCTCGATATGTCTCGAACCGCGTTGTAGCCGTTGGACAGTCTGGCAATTCTACACACATCCAGGTTCTTCGGTTCATTCAATTGTTGCTCGAATTCGCACGCTCTCTTAAGGGCATGGGCAATAAGGGCTCTGGCCCTGGCAGCAAGAAGCTCCCGCCGCGCGAAGATCTCCGCAAGATTCTCTCCAGCACATCCGGTGTCTCAAAATCTGGCAAGGATGACTCCGAATCATCTACAGAACTTCTCCCCGACTCTGTTGTTGATGCCGTCCGGCGCCGCTTCGCCCCGAGCGGCGGCTTCCTTTCTAAGCACGACCTCACTCTCCTTCACACTACTATCTGCGCTCTTTCCTTGCACATACCCCCTCAGCCGGCCAAGGACGGCGGATCCAGCTCTCTCGGTGGTAACTCCCCCAACGAACTAGCCACTGATCCCTCTGATCTGCGCGATGATCTTCGTCTGGACTCGAACACCATCCAACAATACTTCCGCGAGCTGGGATGTCGTATTGACAAGCCTCGTGAGTCCGAATTCAGCAAATGGAACATCAAGGGCGGTCGTGCGGAGGCCGCTGCGCGTCGGGTGGCCCGCCTGCGTGTTCCAGTCGAGTTTCCCAAGGTCAGCCGCGGTGGGAGGAAATAGATGTCTGTTTCCTCAGCTTGTTTGGATTGTTCCTGTAGCGGTTGATCTCGTCATGTCCGGCTATTTAAAATCTTTGTTGCCATTTATGTGATATATCCGGCGTTTCTATTTCTTATTTGTCACATCTCAAAAAGTCTCCATATCAATGAAATATGTTGCATATTGTGTTGCTGATCATGTATACAATGCTTTTTAATCGATGTCGTATTTGGACGCATCAGAGATGGATGTATCTTCATTCTAGACTCTACCTCTTCATCTCTTCATTTACATTGATATTTTATGAACAAGTACATCTCATATCTCACATTTACGGGTGCACGTAAAACTTCAAATGATTGCATCTAATATTGAAATTGACGGTCATGAGAGGAGTAAAAATCTAAGAATTTATGATGCAAGTCTATCACAATGTCGCTAATAGGAAATAATAAGAAACAGGGATCATCTAGGCATAAGGTTCTTCATTGGCATGCAACTGACTTGCCCGCCGACCATTATGCCTCAAGCGGTCTGCTTCCAGCTGCTGTGCGAACTTGCTCTTCGCTCGAATATCAGGTCCCTTCCAGTAGAAGACATAGATTGGGATTAGGACAAGAAAGCCAACACAACCAAGAAGTGTGCTCGCCCACTGAAGGTGATATTTGCCACCGATATTTTGGTACATCGGAGTCGAATACATGGTGGCAATACCGGCGAGGAAATCTCGAGCAAACCCGTTGCCGCCAGTAGCGGACGCGGAGTATGGACCGTAAGCTGCAACCATATAGTCGATTGTAGCCATGTAAATGGCGTAGTTGGCCATCGCAATCAGACAGGCAAAGATACAAGGTGCGATCCAGGGAATTGGAGGACCCATAGATGTCCAAGCGAATCCAAGCAGTCCGATAGGCTCCAGAGGTGCGATAAAAAGAAGCAGAAGTAGTCGACGTTCTGCGAGACGGCTGCCAGCGCCTTCAGTTTTGCGCAACTTTATTTGCCGGTGGACGTCCGGGAGATAGATAAAGTAGGCAATCACGTAGCCGATCAAAATTGAACAGAAAGTCAGTCCAATGGCGAGCGTACTCATGTTCCACTGATCGAAGACCAGAGTAAATGACTCGGTAAACACGAAGATCAGCGCATCAGAGAAACCTGAGAGCAAAGACAGAAATAGCACAATCGGCTCGCGAAGGAACATCTCGAATGGTCTGCGCCAAAGTCGAAGGACGTCGTGTAGATCCAGGCGGGGAGTCTTCAATTCGTTCGGGCCATATACTTCGTCACCATTCTTGCGGCGGCGCTTTGCTTCGCGGTCAATTAGAATTGTAGCTCGGGTTTCGGGCACCACGAAGAAGTGTAAAATTTGAGTGATTCCACCGAAAATTAACTGAACCCAGAAGACCCAGTGCCATGAAAGGTACTGGCCAATAAAGCCACCGAACACGGGTCCGATAGTAGAACCACCCACAGATGACAAAACGACATAGGCCACAGCAAAGCCCTGGTCGTCAGACTCCCACATATCAGCCGTCATGCCCAGTGTAACAGAGCCACCGGCTGAGCTCAAGCCTCCGAGAATCCGGCACACTACAATCGTGCCGAAGTTGGGTGCCAAAGCACATGGAATTTGCCAGATGTTCACCAAGAAAAGGGACAGCTGCATGATCGGCCATCGGCCGAACTCCTCTGACCAAGGCGCCCACAACTCACATCCGAATGCATAGGCGACCAGAAAGACACACTGTCCAACTCTTGCGGCTTGTTCGCTGATATGAAACTCCTCCGTTAGACCAATGACTGCGTTGGCATAGACACCGGTGTTGAAGTTCATGGACATTTGCACGACAAAAATGACAGTGAGAATAGTCCATTTCTTCCACCAGGGAAAGCAGAAGCCTAGTTTATCGTAGCAGTCGTCCTCGGTGAGTTCTCTTTTGCCGGACTTCTCAATCTTGGGGGAATCATCTTGGCTTGTACGATCCGATTCAGATGCATGCTCTGCATGGGTATCGTTTCCATATCTAGCTTTGCCGGAACCTTGTAGCTTCTCGGTACTCTCATCTGTCTTTTGATTGTCTCCCCTCTTCTCAAAGAGCGGCGAATCGACGGGGCTAGCCATGTGGTAGAGTGGGGCTTGGTATGTTGATCAAGTGTTCAAACACCCTGTGTGTGCGGAGAAAAAGGAGAGTGGAGGATAGGTGGATATGGGGTAATAAGTGGACATCGAGTCCTTGAACGCATTTAAACGATATCTATGGCGGCGCCTGTGCTCCTTATATGTATTTCTCCGGGTCCAGGTACCGCAGCCTCGCAGGGACATGATTGCCCTATAACAGGAATAAGATAATGGCGCCGGTGGCTTTGGATTTGACATCTTGCGACTCGTACTCCTTGTTCAGAAACTGTCTCCACTACCCCCGAGTACATATTGATTTCTAAATGGCCGAAAGTGCCTGGAAAATAATTTAACAGAGCGGCAAAACCTGTTGCGTCGTTACGTCTTACGGCCCGTGGGGCGTCGGAGGCTCGGTAGCCCGATCGCTACGTCATATTAGCCCGAACTACGTCAATTTATGGGAAACATTCTCCACTGTACGCTGAAAGATTCACTATTCCAACAGAATCGTTCGCCAATAGATGATTGCAACAATGAGCGAAGCGGGTCCGGAAGAGAGACAGACGGAGAGGGTACACGCGCGATGTTGTCATCGATTTGTACATGTTTATCAGCAACCAATCAAGCTTGGCACGCACCATATCGATTCTGAACCAACTGTAGATGCCGACTGGGGTAAACGGGAATCAAAAACAAGAATGATGTAAGGATCAAGCCGCAAGTCCTATCTAGTAAGACTTCAAGATACATGGCGATATGAACATAAGGCATCAATTTAATGCATATATACCAAAAAAGGCTGGTACTGTTGGCTTTCCCCTTCGTTCTATTAGTGCCTTACACTGCGCCTCCCCCTCTCCTCCCTAACCCAACGATTCCCACTAGTATCTAGAAAGAAAATATCACCTTCCTGGCGTGCTGCTTCCGCCATTTCTAGTGCTATATCTTGATTCTATGTAGGATCTGGTAGCGGTGATATTTCTTCCACTGCTTAATTGCCCGCCTCCGCTCTACCTCTGCTTTCTCATCGTTTCTCTTAGTAATAGAACGATTGATACCTCTAATTGAGAGCACCCCTATTTTGCTAAGCGGCATTTTGACCCAGCCCCTAGTGATTGGGCACTATAGTAAATGTCAAGCTTCCCTAATCTAACGAATTAAATTATTAACTATCTAGAGATTCTCTATAGTACTCTTGTTATAATAAAATAGGCGATCAAGATTCTATTGCTACCGCGGTATAAGACCTCTTATTAATATCTAGCAATCTTCTTTTAATTCTTCTCTAGATCCTATATAGATCTAGGCGGCGATTTATCGATACTAGAAGAAGATATATGTAAAGGATTCTGTATAGCACGCTTCTATAATAGCCTTAATACTTTACCTCTCCTACCCTACTTAACCTATTATATTTACTAGATTATTCCTAAGTAAATCGAGTAAATTTAGTCTAAGATCTAAGACTTTTTCTTAAATATTTCAAGATTTATTCTATTTAAATATAGGATGTATTATATTTCTGTACCTAATTTATTATTAATACTAATAGTCTACTACGCTAATAAGTAGTACATTTATAGTCTACATCTTCTTTTTTAGTTATCTAAAGAAGAGATAATAAAAGAATAATATAGAGAATATAGGCATTATTTGAGCCATACCTTTATAATATGTTATTACTCTAGTAGAAGATCTGTCATATAAAATACCTCCGGCACAAATAAATAGACCTTGTGATACAAAACCGTAGCTAAACCTAAAACTATTGCACCTTCAATACCTTGTACTGTATTACTGAACACACCTTTTAAATAAACAGCTGCGTGAGATACTGATGAATAAGCTATAAGTTCTTTAATATCTATTGTTCTTAATGTACTAAAACTTGCATATATTATAGTTATTACACCTATTACCTACTCTACTATACGCGGATTTTTATGGAAAAACCAAATGTATAATACTTGATGTTATTCTGGCCAACTTCGGATACGAATCGTATGCATGATGCATATGCTTAGACATCATATCCATGCTCGTAGCTGAAGAGATGGGAAATTCGAAAGATACTTGAAATCGTTGTGTATGATGGGATGGTTATCAATTATGACGATAGTATCGGTCGTTCCCATCAATAGCCTTGGAAAACATCACGTGGCAGCTACCATGAGATATTATATGCAATGAACATTCAATGGAATTAGATCAGACTATATTAACCTAAAATAGCCTAAACCGGGGCCCAAGGGGTAAAATGGAATTAACACGCTAGATACAACTAGAATCTTGGCGGTCAACCTACACGATTTCTATACTGCTTGCCGATAGGAAATTGTTAAGGAGATTTAGCCTATCGATTTGAGAGGCAAGGTACAATAAACCTGTGGAGGTGACTCAATGAAACATCTATTCCGAAGCTTTTGACCATTAACAAATTCGTTTTGAGACACTATCCTGGAAAGTCGCCGATGAGGCCCATTCAGACTCTATAAAAGGCTCTCTATTACCAGGATCCTCCATCCATAAATTAGATGATAAAAAGAAGATGTGACCTCCGCAAAAAGTACCTAGCATAGGAGGTAGCTACTCAAGAACCCCAGACAACCATAGCAGTGTTATGCTAGTGGTAACTTGGAATATCCATCACCCATGAATACTCGTAGAGCTTCGAGACCATCAATGATGGTTTGATGTTCATTGACATAACCCACCCGAACAAAGCCCTTGAAATCAACTCCGCCTCCAAAGCATTGGCTCCCCGGCACGAACATCACCCCGGTATTTTGTTGCAATTGCTTGCAGAACTCCACATCATCAACGGGACTTCCGCTCTTGTCACTGAATCTAATAAAAGCGGTCGTGCCCGCTTGAGGGCGGGTCCATTGACAGGCATATTTGAAATCCGTCACAAATTCGTCCAAAGCTGCCAGGTTTCGTTGAGCCAATGTGATATTGCGGGTCAGAAGATTATCCACCGTCGGGCTGTCAAGGGCAAAGGTGGCAATCTGATCATCAACTTGGCTCACTGATATCACGGTATAATCTCTTGCGGATGCACATGCTTCGATAATTGCGGAACTCAAGGAAACGATCCAACCAAGTCGGATGCCAGCCAGACTGAACGCCTTGGACATGGAGCCTGTGACAACGGTCTTTTCGTATCCAAATGAGAGTACAGATGGCGGGTTCTTAGTGTTTGCGGCCAGCGAATGAAATAGAGGTCGATACACCTCATCGCTGTGAAGGATGATCCCATGCTCTCGTGCGATATCCACAATTCCTTTCAGGTTTTCGTGAGACAAAACAGCGCCAGTCGGGTTTTGAGGATTGCTCGTCGCAGTCAGCGTTAGCCCAATGTAGCTTGACCATTTGACTTACTTGATAACTATGTACTTGGTGTTGGGGCGAATTAAAGACTTTAATTCATCAAGATCGAGTCGCCATCCTTCGGTTTCTCTGGACTTCCACAGGCTTACTTCGGCTCCGAGGGACTTGGGCACAGAGTAGAGTTGTTGGTAAGTAGGGTAATGACAGATAACGTGGTCTCCAGGGCCAACATTTGTATAGAGAGCCAGGAAGTTCGCCTGGATTGCTCCGTTAGTAACAAGAACCTGGTCTCCCGGTACTGGGGTAGACAGTTCATCGACGTATAGACGAGCGATGTTGGTGCGTAAAGCTACAGATCCTCGAATTGCACCGTAGACCTGCTTCTTGGAGAAATCCAAGACCTTATCTGCCTGCGCCGAGTTCCCCGAGAGCTCAAGAAGATCAGTCAACGAGATTGAAGCGCAGCAGGTCTCAGCAAGATTGAATCTGGCATCATTCTCATAATCGTCCATCCACTACGACGATGTTAGTGATGAAGATGGAAGGGATTTCATCGGCGTCGAATAGCCTTACCCGCTCAACGGCAAATTCGTCTATTTTGACCATTTTGAGGAGAAGTTCAGAACAATATTTCAAGGGCAGAGAATTCAATTGAGAAGGAGAAGGAGATTGACTAACTCGATGGGAAACACAGCGTCTTAAATTGTATTCAGTGGCCACCAAATCAGGCGGAGCACCTCCGTTGCATGCATTTGATTGGTTGAATCGCATACATATCCCAATTGGGACAATGGCGGGTCCCAAGGTTATTCAGGTTCAGGTTGGGTTCCCTTCAGTCGAGGAAAACCGATCGAACAATATTTAAAGAGGCTCCAAGTAATTTACATTTTCATCAGAGAAACCATGTCTTCCAAACCCGTCATCGACTTTGCTAGCGGTTTCCCCGCCACATCCCTTCTGCCAGCCGACCGGTTAAAAGAGGCAGCCACCTCAGTACTTTCAAACCAAATAGTGTGGCAGCCTGGATTGATCTATGGCCCCGATGAAGGATTTTTCCCCCTCCGTGAGAACATTTCTAGCTGGTTGACTCGCTATTACAAGCCTGCCAACCCGATATCTGCAGACCGTATTTGCATCACCGGCGGCGCCAGTCAAAACTTGGCCAACATCTTGCAGGTCTTCACTGATCCGGTCAAAACTCGGAAGATCTGGGTGATTGAACCTGCATATTTTCTGGCGTTTAGAATCTTCGAAGATGCTGGGTTCAACGGCAAGATGCACGGTGTCATCGAGGACGCGGAGGGAGTCGATATTGCCTTCCTGGAAAAGGCACTAGAAGCAGAGCGCGAAGAATACAGAGCCTCTGGATCATTCCAAACATCTGTGAGTTAATCAACCCCTTACTCACAGAAGAAACGGAAAGAAATACACGAGCGGTGCTCTAATTAGAATGTGATCAGCAAATCAAAGCCTCATGTGACTATCGAAAGCTCTATTCTCATATTATCTACTGCGTCCCCACATTTTCCAATCCCTCTGGAGCCATCATGTCCCGTCCTCGACGAGAAGCTCTCCTTCGTCTGGCACGAACATATGATGCTTTGATAATTAGCGATGATGTATATGACTTCTTGAACTGGAGCTCAGATCCAGAAATCGAAACACAATCTCAATCGACTACAGCTATCTTGCGAATCGTGGACCTTGATAGGACTCTGGATGGTGGACCACGAGATGGCTTTGGTAACGCTGTCAGCAATGGCAGTTTCAGTAAGATTCTGGGACCGGGCTGTCGCGTTGGGTGGGCAGAGGGAACGGAAAAGTTCATTTATGGCCTTTGTCAGAGGTGAGAACCCACAATCCCCCCATTGTCAGTCTCGGAAATTATTCCGTTTCCTGCATCTATAGAGTTTCTCCCCTTTTAATAATCCTATTATTGGCAGTGGATCAACTCGTTCCGGTGGAGCGCCTTCGCAACTCATGTCGACTTTCGTTAATGACCTTATGATGAGCGGCTCCTTAGAAGATCATATGGCCTCAACTATTCAAGCATACAGACGTCGCTACTTCACCATGTTCTCAGCAATAGAAACTCAACTCCTACCTCTAGGAGTTTCATTCAACCCATCCTTGGTTTCTAGCGCTACTGCTGGCGGGATCTTCTTTTGGCTTAAACTCCCCTCTCCGCTGACGGCAAAGCATGTGGCTGATTATGCTAGGAGAGAGGAAAACATCATCTTCGGGATTGGACCTTCATTCAGCCTCCCAGAGGGAAATGTTCGATTTGATGAGTTTGAGGATATGATTAGATTATGCTTTTCCTACGCCGAAGAAGCGAGTCTCATTTATGGGGTTGCTCAGCTGGCAAGGATTGTGAGGAAGCTCTTGGAAGAGCAGTAGAGTTCATCTAGCGGTCTTTCGTACGATCAATTTTCCAAATGTATGTTGCACCTGTGTGACTTTTAAACATTGAAAATGGCCAGTGGCTGCATTTTTCCTTGTCTGGTTCTATGAAAGATAAAGTCGGGCTCCGGTAAGGTGGGACATCCCCTTCATATCTTGACTCCCCACTTCCACTTATAGCCCAAGCATGCCCATCGGGACATTAAAAAGCCACTTAATGAAATTGCAAGAACAACACCAAGAAACACGACCAGGCGTGATGGGCCGGCCGCCTGGAGTAGCTGTCCGCCAATGGGAATTCCAATCAGGGTCCTTATCCGAAGAAGTCAGCATATATAGTTACAACATCTATCTGAGGAATTCAAGCTCACCCAAAGCTAGCGATGAAATAACACGTCCCAACCCATTGCCCAAACTCTTCAGTTTTGCAGATTTGGCCGACGCATACGGGAGTCAAACTAAGAATGCTTCCGGTCCCAAATCCTAGGAACCAGACAAAGGTGTACAGGACCCCAATTTGATGGCCAAATGGATACCACAACACAAAAATGAGAAATGTAGTTGTCAGCATCATGGCAGAGATTGTGTTGAAACGGCCAAGGTGATCCGATGCAGTTCCAGAGAGCCAGCGGCCAAATCCTGACCCGCTGAATGTTTTATTAGACCTGTGCAAGACAAGATCAGGATGATATTTCCAGGAAATGGGGATCACATACGCATTCATTACAGCCAATAAATAGAAGCCAGTTTGTGAATCAAAGCCTTGTGCCGCTGCATATGTCGGTATCAAGCCCAGCGATGCAAATAGAACGATTTCACTGACTTGAAGTTATTAGCTTCCAGGTTAAGATTCTTTTCGAGTCTTGAGTCCGAATCGGAATTTTCCTTGAGAGAACGTACAAAACACTCCTACTGTAGCCCATATGAACCGCGAGTCCGTCAAGTATCGCACGCTAATACTCCCGTTTTGTTTCTTGATTGGCAATCTACTTCGAATGCAGATGTTGCCGATGACAAGGAAGAGCATGAAAAAGAAACCCAGAATTCTGAGTGCCCATGCCCAGCCGAGTCGCTCCAGTGCTGGCCTCAAAGCCAAAGGGAAGACCACTCCACCCAGGCTGGATCCAGCCATTGCAATACCAGTTGCGGTACCCCGACGTTGATGAAACCAATGTGAAAGAACAGCCATACATGGTGTCGAGATCATTGCACTGCTCACCCCCCAAGTATACCAAGACATAAGAGAAATTCATATTATTCCTCATAGGACCCCAGGAGGACGATAGACAAAACGTAGAGAACGGAGCCCACGACCATGATCCAGCGTGGACCATACCTATCAAACAGCGGGCCAACTTGGACACTTAGTAAGAGGTTGAGGAACACAAATGCTGACGATATCCATCCTATCGTACTTGAGGAGTATTCTCGAAGCTGGTGTATCTCCCAGTAGGACTGGAGCACTCCTACCGTGCTCATCATGCCAAATGTACATGTCAGCAGCATAAAAGACCCAGCAACCACAATCCATGCTGCCAGTCCCCCCTCGGGATACTCATATGCAATACTCTCATTGTTCCGATTCGTAAGATGGTCGCTGTTGGGGCTCACATATTCTGGGTCTGCAACTAGCGCCAGTGGTATGTCACTGGACCTCACCTCTGCGATCGATCGGGTTGCAGACGACATCATGTCATGGGACCTACAAGCTAACAGAATCGCGTTGCTGAGATTCAGGACTTTATAGTGACAGGAACGAGACTGTCAAAAGCCCGCGTTCTTCTTGTTGAATGGAGCATAGTTCCCCCCCCGGGTCTAGGCCTATTTCGGATACATTGCCGATCGGACGAATCACAGACCGCATTCTCCGTGGGGGAAAGAGTTCCAGTCGCGGTGGATCTGAACAGCGCGGGCCCCCCGTCTCGCCATTACCCACTCGAAGCACAATCAGACTTGCCAAGAGCCTTTTTGATGGACTTGGTCTTCGTCGTCAGATCCAGAGCTGGGTGGAGGTTAGCAAGAGTCCCTTTTGGCGAAACTGATGGAACTTGCATGACTCGGAACGCCAAGCTGAGTCATACCGGTGGCAACGCCGCACCAACCAGGGCCCAGAAGCACCAGGACACGACCAAATCCCCACTACTCTTTTGAAAAATGAACGAGAAGGGTTCCAAAGCGAGTTCATGATGGAAGACTGATCAGGTAGATCAGAGATGGCTACTCGCGCTCGTTTTCCTGCATCCAGGCTCTCTGGGACGTGACTTTCTCTCGAAAGCAGACATGGCTCGCGACGGTCAGTCACAAAGAAGACGCGATGGCTGTGCAGAATGTCGGAGGAAAAAAGTCAAAGTAACTTTTTTCTACCCCTGGTAACCCAGTAATTTCACTAATTGAATCTTAAGTGCGATTTGGGTAAGCCCATATGCTCGCGGTGCACGCGATACCCGCGGGGATGCATCTACGAGCTGGGTATTATCAGTCAGAGTCCAAACAGCTACTGCTCAGAAACCGACGAGACTACCAAACACGTCGAAGGGCAGGGTGTTTTATCCGTGGATGGATCGATCGTCCCCATGGTCGACGCTGTAACAATTGCCAGCAATGTGACACACCAGCCGACCTTGTATTTGTCCCCATTGTTGTCGACAACAGAATCTCGATTTTTCATGTACATGTTTAGCACTGAAACGGCCACCAGGCTATTCCCAGCCGCTCCCAAACTCTTCCTTCAAAGGATGATTAGTGGTGCTCTCGAAAGGCCCCATCTGTTTTATGCTCTGCTGGCAGCGGCCTGTGGTCACCACAGCCGTCTTGTCCAGCAAGACACGAATCCAAGGTCGAAGATGATCGGTCTGAAATACACAACCTTAGCCATATCCCATTTACGAGCTGCGCTCACAGACCCTGACGAGATGCTCGAACCGGAAACTCTTACCACTGCAATGGCCCTGTGCACAAATGATGTTTGCAATGGAAATATGAACATATGGAGTGTCCATCTTGACGGAGTCATCCGACTACTGACTGCGTTCCTGGAGAATCAGAAAGCTACTTCCAAACATGACCCTTTCGCCCAATGCTTGGTAAAGTGGTGTATCACTATGGATGTTCTGGCAGGGTTTTCGAGACTCCGTACCGTTCAAGATGGACTTTTTGCCCAATTTTCAACTGGATCCACTGAGACAATTGATGATATTAGCGGCTTTTCCTTGCGGCTGGCTCCCCTTCTCGCCCAAATGCCGCATCTGGCACAACGTCATCATTTATTAACAACCGGCGAACCTTATATTTTAGAGGAGATTTCTCCGGAAGCGGAGATACTCGAGGCCAAAATTTCCTCTCTACTTGACGCCTCGGTATCTGAAAAAACATTAAGCCATATGGGCGAGCTTTCTTCAGAGCTTCGAAGTACTCACCTCGCATTCGTGCACGCCGCTTTACTATACCTCCACCGCCGTATTCAAAGCCTTCCGAGGAACCATTTCAAGGTCCGGAGCGACATCACGAATATTATTCACTCTTGTCAACAGATTGGTGAAACCTCCTCGGCTAATATTCTTATTTTGTGGCCGATATTCACCGCAGGGTGCGAAACTGAGATCATCAGTGAACGCGAATATATCCAAAGCCGGATGAAGAAAATGCAAGACCTTGGAATGGGCAATTATACGAGAGCGCGAGAATCTCTGTATACTTTCTGGGCTTCAGAGACCTCCTTACCCTGGGATGCTCATTTCTCGCACATAGGGAAAGAGGTTGTGCTATTTTAATATCAATGGGGGCGACTATGATCTAACCGCCTCGAAGTGAGCCCTCACCAGAATCTGACGAGTGGCCGGAAATTTCCATTTCATACGAGATAAGCCTCAAACAAACCCTGATTGAGGATACGGAGTAGAGCGAATACTTTGAATATCGTGGCGTGGATGCTATTGACACACCGCAGAAATACTATAGCATCAAGAGTCCTCGAGCAGAAACTTCGAAAAGCAGCAAAATCAGAAGATTATTGTGATTTCTTGCCGAAAATTCCGTTCAAAGATATTGACAGTAATTTGATGACGGGAATACCGGATTTCATTGGTTCGTAGATATAGCCATTGCATTCGCATAACAAAGATGGTAACCCCTTTTCACTAAAAGCAAGAACCATAAATATGGGAAACCGGAAGTCATAGTAGACTTTTAAGAATTCCAAACCAAACTTATTTCCTGAATTTCGGTCATCATGAAAACCATCGAGGTTGCCCATATCCAATTAATGAAGCTCCCTCCTGGCCTTATTGAACTGATCGTTGTTCTAGTAAGGTGAAAGTCATATCAAACACTGAGTGGTTGGTGAAGATATGGAAATACGGTTACATTGGGCGTTCTATTAGAAGAGAAGGAAAAAAATTCCACACCCAACCAAACCGATTCATATTGAATTGCCTTTTATCGCCTTCCTAAGGTACTACATTGGATCAATGCACATACAAACAAAAGATTCTCAAAAAAGAGAACACAAGATGAACGACACTTTACACACACAATGATGAGATGCCAATGCGGTATAGAGCAGACGAAAGGGGCACAGACAGGTATGGAACATCGGTGTTCTTCAGGGAGAGAAAATAGTCCAAAATAGTGGTAGATGCAATATGTTCATCTTCCATGGATGTTAATATAATTAAAGGAGTGGACGGGAATACTTAGATTGCCCTGAAGCCCGAAAATATGCCCAAAAAAAGGTAAGCACTTAGGCGGCCACACCCACAGGTGCGGAACCAATCGCGGAATGTGCACTGGCGCCCAGAGGAGTAGAGGTCTTCATCGGGGGGACAGTCGCTTTTTCAACGGCCTCAGCGCCGAGCTCGCGAGCGATAATCGTCTCGAGGGGTTCAGTGTCATCCACTCCAAGCTGAGAATGTTCCCAGATGGGCTTATTAGCATCCTCAGCGCCTTCAACACCAACACCAACAAAGCCACCAAGGCTCTGCCAGTCGCTGGCGCGCTTGATACCCAAATCATTCCAGACAGCCTGCACTGCCTGGACCAAATGGTCGCGCAAAGGCTTGGTATGACCAGGGGTTGGAGTAATACGCAGGCGCTCCTCTCCACGAGGGACGGTGGGATAGTTGATAGCCTGGACATAGATACCGTGCTCCTCAAGGAGTTTATCGGAGGCCCGCTTTGCGAGCTCGGCATCGCCCACGAGGAGAGGGACGATATGCGAAGGATTTGGAATGACGGGGATGTCAAGTTCCTTCAGGGCAGACTTGACTGCACGCGTGTGCAGCTGCTGAAGAACTCTGTCGCGCGGCTGCTGAGATTGGTACTGGATAGCAGCATCAGCACCTGCCATTGTGGCAGGAGGTAGAGATGTAGTAAAAATAAAACCAGGGGCTAAAGAGCGGATGGTGTCTACCATGTTTGCGGATGCAGCGATGTATCCACCAACGCAGCCATAGGCTTTGCCCAGAGTACCAGTAATGATATCCACGCGGTCCATGACGGTGCCCTTGGTGCTTTGAGGAGCAGATGTGTCTTGCGAAGCATAGACATCATAGTCGAGGTGCTCGGCGACACCAGCTCCATGGGGACCGTACATGCCGACGGCATGAACTTCGTCCAAAAAGGTAATAGCACCGTACTTATCAGCGAGATCACAGATCGCCTCAATGGGCGCAATAGATCCACACATGCTGTACACAGATTCGAATGCGATAATCTTGGGAACATGGAGGGGCAGAGAAGCAAGTTTGGCTTCTAGGTCCTGAAGGTCATTATGCTTGAAGACCATCTTCTTCGCCCCAGAGTGGCGAATACCCTGGATCATAGAGGCATGATTGAGACTGTCGGATAGGATCACACAGTCCGGGAGCTTGCTACCAAGAGTAGCCAATGTGGCATCATTGGCAACGAAGCACGAGCTGAAGACCAATGCACCTTCCTTGCCGTGCAGCTTAGCCAGGGTGTCCTCCAAAGCGACGGCGTGCTTGTTGTGACCAGAAATGTTGCGGGTACCGCCCGCACCTGCACCATAAGTATCCAAAGTGCGGTGCATAGTCTCCAAGACCTGCGGGTTACGACCCATGCCGAGATAGTCATTGGAACACCAGACGGTCACACGCTCTTCGGCGGAACCCGTGTGAGCTCGAGGGAACTCCTTAGCCAGTCGGTTGATGTTGTTGAAGTAACGGTAAGACTTGTCCTTGTGCTTCTTCTCTAATTCGCCGTCATAGAACGCATTGTAGTTGAACCGGGAGTTGATCGGGGCGTCGGGGCGAGGACCGTGGAGAGCGGCTTCGGTGGTGGAAGAAGAGCGGAGCGGAGAAGCCATGTTGGGGTGGACTATGGATCAATCAAAACATGAACGATGGTATTTCACTTTCAAAACGAAGAATTTTGTCTTACCTTGCTCGTTCTTCTCATAGGTCCCGGGAGCAACACTGGCGGGATGACCCCCGGTCGTGTGCAACATCCGCTTGCCGGGAGCGGGGCGGAAAGGCTTAATACCTGCAACGCCAGCGGCACAAGAGGTGAAGCGCTTGGTACCGCTCATGCGGGCACTCTGCACGGCAAGAGCCTTGCTCATGACCGGGCAGCGGCGGGCAAGGACCTGGAGATTGGACATAGTACCACCGCCGGTGCTAGGACGAGTTGCCGTTGATAGAGTGCGCAGAGTCGTGGGTGAGGTGCGCTTGAGAAAAGGGCACATAGCGCGGGACTGCTGGAGCATGGCCTCCATGGTGAAATGAATTGATACCAGAACAAGACAATTCCGGTGGATAGTGGAGGAGGAAGGGAGATGGATTCGAAGTGAATCAATGGGACCTGGGGGAGTGAAAATCATTCGGGCGGGGAGGGGGCTTCTGACTCAGCACACACAGCTTACAACCACGACCCCGTGATTGGCCGGTACGGACCGCGGGCCGGGAGATTTTGCCCGATTGGGCAGCCGGACCAAGCCTTAGTCAGCTGTGCGGTCGCGCCCAAGCACATTCATGTTTTGTCCGCCTGGACGGGGTTTGAACTGGCTTAAGGATGTCGGCAAAGGGGTTCTTCGGTGGCTGAGCTCTAGTCTTGAGCATGTGCAAAGGAACGAGTGAACAATGCAATTCCCTCCTCTTTTCCACCGTCTAGTGTACTAGTAGAATTAATGGTTCTATACGAATTAACTCGGAAAAAACGTCCAAATCGGTGATTATTCGGCGAGTGGCAACATGATCAAATCCCGTAGGTCCAGGCACATGCTAGCCGGCACTCGGAAATCTCGGTCCGCCACCTTCAACACACGAGTCTCGTGGAATATTGATTTTGCCCCCCCCCTCCTCCCATAGTCAAATATGCAACTGTCTAGTACAGATCAATCAAAGAAAGTGGTTTACAATAAAGTAGCCAACGTTCTAGCCATGGTCAAGTTCATAATATGGACATAGTTTTGGGCCTGTCACAATCTCGAATGCCGAATACGAGAAAATTTCCTCATGATGTAGCAGTAGGCATTTCTAGTCTCGCTCTAGGATGTGAATTAGATTCCTCTAAAGGCACTCAATTGCCATAACCGTTGAATAAATCCTACAAATTTAGCTTGAGACAACACATAAGCATCTTTAACCGAGGAAAATCAGATATTAAAAAAGACTGTCGTTTTGTATGAATTTCTCCTTCACGTAAGTGAGACAAATAGTTATGCTCTCAATATTGAGATGGTGTTTAGTTGTCTAAGGAGGTAATCGCAGGAACAAGGCAGACATGAATATCTGCTTCATGATATTTCAAACCACAACGTTCGTTAGAAATTAATTGAATATGCACCAAACTGAATCGTAGCATAAATTAGGTATTACCTAAAAGTGGTTTCAAACGAGCCATGCTAAATGTCTTTTCTCATAAAAACAATCTCTATATCCCACCTGTTTCCATCTCCATCCCAAACATCATAGTAATTCGGCACAACTTTCAGCGGCTTATATCCACGGCGGCCATACCAGGCCTCATTTGTAATCTACAGAATAAGTCAATCGATAGTTCAACGCGGGTCGTGTCTGACAAGACTCGAAGGTGTTTGTGGATGTATTTACCTTGGGGATCGCGCCGTACGTAGATATTGCAAAGTCCTCTCTCATTTGGTGGGCGCTCGTGACAGTATCCAACATGAGGGTTTGCGCCCAAAATGGTTCCCTAGTCGCCATATCTTCGATCGCATCCATGGCTGCTCGACCAATTCCTTGGCCTTGTATGTTTTGTAGGATAAAAAAGCTTTTGATCCAGAAGACTCTTGGTGGTAGCTCGAGACCAATCCTCTCGGCGTCCTTGTTTTTGGAATCCAGTGAGATATGGCCAATCGGGACAAAAGCCGAGTTTGAAGGCTCTCTTGAAATTCCATTGACGGAATCTGCTGTATCATAGAGTACTTCTTCGCTAGTATCATTGTCAGGTGCTCTGTTTTCTAGATCACCATATCGACGAACCTGTGAACCCTGTTAACAAACGCGCCTTTTGCGGAGTATTCGGAGAAATCTTACAATCCAATACATGCATTTGTTCCCTCTGAGCTGTTCGTCTTTCCATTCCTTTTCCACCTTTTCATAATCCCAATTACATTGCACTCTGTTACCCTCTAAGCTGGGTCAGGTGACCCGCAGTTCCTTCTTAGCTAGTCTTAGACAGAAACAATAGGATCACCTTTACATCTCCCGACTCTGTCACAAATTGGTAGCAAACCCATGCTCCACCATCCAAGGGCACATCCTTCGGGTTCTATTTCCATCGTTTTCTTGCCTTCATTCGACCGCTGGTTCATCCCCTCGAGTTCCGAGGAACCTGTGAACCATCCATTCCCCTTTTGTGACGGACGTGGGTGCCAACAAGCCAATCGGGCTGGTTGAAGACAGCCACCAAGCGGCCCCACCACCATCACACCAACCAACCATCTCCCGTCTATCATTCTATAGACGCAGCCGTTACGCTTGATTCCATCAAGCAATCATCTCATAAACTACATGGACAGCCAGACCGACAAGCTCCTTCGTCGTGCCATTGAGCTCGCCCATCAGTTTACCAGATATCGGGAAGGAGCACTCCGCTGGTCCCGTGATTTCGACCTCCTCACACAAGCTCGATCCGACCACCTCCAAGCATCCTATCCCCTACCTCCATCCGTCACCAAAGACATCCCATTTCCTCCATCTTGGGGAATTGACAGACCAACCCTTTCCGCTGCGGTGAAAGAATTTCTGAATCTCACTAATAAGCTCCCGGACATCGCCTCCTTACCTCCGGTAGTAGGTGATCAGCCAGAGAACCCTCTAGGAGCAGCGAGAAAACGCCGCAGTCGCCCCCAGCCTACCCTCCAAACCCTTCTCCATTCCGAGCCCGAGCAAGCTCCATCTACCCTCTCCCAAGCTCCATCCGAGCCCGAGCAAGCTCCAGCGACCCTTCAAAAACTCCCCGCCACAATGCAGTCCGACAACGGTCAAGGGCCCTCCCGAGCCGGACGCAGAGCCACCTCTTCTGAGTCCCTCGAAACCCACGACGCGCTCCAGCAGCAAAGCCACCGCCCAAGCCAGGCGAGTGCTTTCGGTACACTACCCTCCCAGCTCCCTTCTCAAGACCCCGGCGACATGCCTCTCACCCTAAACACAGCAATGAATCTCTTCCGACAAGTCCTTCGGGAGGAGCGTCAAGCTGTAGGCCTAGGGCGTCAAGGTCCGGTCGGTCCGGCCGGTCACCCAGGCCCCCCAGGTCCGCCAGGTCCCCCCGGCTCCCCAGGCCCGCAAGGGATCGAAGGACAGCCAGTCCTAAGCTCCCCGGATACTACCTGGAAGCCATCTGATATCGGTCTCTTCAACCCTGAAATCCGTGACAATGGTGAGGGCGTTGCGACAATCTCTAATGTCACGAACTATAAAGATGTCTATATCTTTATTGATAGGATGAAAGACCTCATCCCTACTAAATCGGAAGAAATCGTTCGTTCTAACATTGCATCCTGTCTCCGCGGCTCCGCTCTCGGTTGGTACACCTCCCAGCTGTCCGAACTCGAGAGAGCGGCCCTCCGCTCTAACCCTGTCCATTCACCCGTCGGCTGGTTCAGCACCCTTGAAGCCAAGTTCAGACCCCCCCGTTCAGAACTCCTCCATAGGTTTAACACCACAACCTACGCCAAGCGCGACATCCGAGCCGGCACCCCAGTGCGTCACTACGCACAGCAAATGTTGCGCCTCGCCCGCGGCCTAGGCCATACCTCCCCCCGCGACCAGATGATCCAAATCCGCCAAGGTCTGGAAGGCGACCTACGGCGCGATGTACCGGTCCCATCCGACTCCACCACCATGTCAGAGTTCATATCTAGCCTAGAACAGAAATATCTCGACTGGAAGGACGAAGTTGATGACAGGAGCCGTGCCTACCGTCAAGCCCTGCAACGGCGACCTCAAAGCCAGTTGCCCGGTTCCCAAAACCGCGGCGCCAGCAACCGTATGCCCCAGTCTCAGAACCCTCCTAGACGAGGCCCTATACCGGATCGTCGCTACCCAGAGCGTAATGATCAGAGAGCTGACCAAACCCAGAGACGAATCTCCAACCAACAGTGGAATCAGAATCAGAATCAGAGTCAGAATGATCACTGGCAGAACCGGCTCCCAGCGCACCAATGGCAGCGACAGGCCCCTAGGCAGCTAGGATATCAGAATCAAATCCAGCAGCAAAATCAAGTCGTCCAGCGTCAAGCCCAGATCACTCAAGCCCCCCAGCCAGCTCATTATTCAATGTCCCAACCCCGTCAGCCATGGAATCGCACGCTCCCGTCTCGCGACCGGAACCCCCAACATGCATACCTCGCTGATCCGGAACCGACTAACGACATCGAAGCTGACTATCTGCCCGAGCTTGACGAGCCTACGGAACCGACCGCCGAAATTCAAGAAGTTTTCTCCGATGATGAGGAGGTAGATCAGGAGGCATATCTCGCCGCACGCGACGACCCTGAGGAATATGACCTACCCTTCACTCCTACCGCCCAAGCCTGCTTCCCGGAGACAACTGTCACATGCGCCCATTGCCGAGCTGGTTTCGCCTCGAATAATACTCTCCACAAGCACCTCCAGGCCTGCAAGCCACGCGCCGCAGCTGATCTTCCCCTCGAAGCTACTGCCTACCTAGCAACATCGGCTATACCTGTTATTAAGTCGACCCGCCAGGCCCAGCACGAGCCAGGCTACGCTTTTCGTAGCTGGCGATATGCTACCGCAGCAGTCGGACTGAATTCGAGAAACGACGTCACGATGTGCTGCCTCGACTCTGGCTGTGTCATGACACTAATCGACTCCCAGCTCGCGAAATCCCTTAACGCGACCATCCAAGCTAACACACCCATCCCGGTCAGCGGCATAGGATCACAGCATATGTCCTCCTCCTATATCAATCTAACCCTCCTGTTTTTCGGACCTACCGCCACAGCTGAGCTAGCCGTGGAAGCCCACCTGATGGATAGTCTCCGTGCTAAGCTTCTAGTTGGCATCGATGTGATGGGCCCACATAGGTTCAAGCTAGACTTCGACCGACGTCAAGCGACGATCGCCGCCTGCCAGGATATGAATTTCCCTATCGGCCTCCAGGCAAAGCCCCACCATGTCCCTGCTCGTCCAGTCTATGCTGCCTCTAAGGTTGTCATTCCTCCGCATTCCCGAGCCAATATCCCAGTCCGTGTCAAGCAAGCGCTCCCGACAAGCCGAGACTTTGTTTTCGAGCCCTCCCCTGCCGCGTATGATATACAGGCATCGCTCGTTGATTCAAACTTTTCGTTTGTCCCAATAACCAACCATTCAGATAGCCGCTTAACCGTTTCCCGCCGAATGCGTATCGGCACCCTTCAAGAAGCTGACTACGCGGAGGCCCTGCAAGTTTCTGCGGACGCTGCCGCGTTGGCAACCGGCCCCTCTAAGCCAGCCCAAATATCACTGCCCCTACCCCCGCTCATGAAACAGTCCTCCCTAACGGTATCACCATCTACGGTGCCCCATACGTCGTGCGCCAGCTCCAGGCCGTCATCGATGCCTACGATATCTGGGGCCACCCTCAAGTCGCAGATATCCCTATGGATCAGTGGATGCGTATCCCCCTCGCCCCAGGCTGGGAAGACAAAATACCAAAAAATCAGGTCTACAAATGCGGAACCGCAGATCGCGCTGAAATTGACAAGGTGTTCGATGCCCTCCAAGCCGACGGCAAGCTGAAATTCGCTTCTTCCTATACCCCGAGTGGCTATCCCGTCTTTGTCATTTGGAAATGGAAAACCAACGATAAAGGGGATAGGGAACGGGTAGGCAGAGTCGTCGTTGACCTTCGAAGCCAGAATAAAATGGTGATCAAGGACGTCTACCCTGTTCCAACCCAGTCAGACATCGTCGCGATTACCCAGGGTAAAGCGTTCATGTCCGTCTTCGACGCCGCCAAATGCTTTTACCAATGGCGTGTTCATCCCGATGACGTGCACCACCAAGCTGTTATCACCCACCGAGGCCAGGAGATCTTCCAAGTGGCCATTATGGGTTTTTGCAACTCGGTCGCATACGTCCAAAGGCTTATGGACAATATCCTCCGCCGCTTCCGCTCGTGGTGCCGTGTCTACGTCGATGACATTGTTACCGCTTCCCCTACCCTTCAAGCCCATATTCAACACCTCCATCTTCTATTCACAGAACTAAAACGATATAATATTTACCTCGAACCCAAGAAAGCTTATATCGGTTTCCCATCCATTACCCTCCTCGGACAGCATGTCGACTCCCTCGGCATGTCTACCCGAGCCGACAAGCTGCATGCAATCACCACCCTCAAGTTCCCCCACACCCTCAAACAGTTGGAAACCTATCTAGGCCTGACTTCCGCCTACCGCCACTATATCGCTAAGTATGCCCACAAGGCAGAGCCTCTGCAACAGCGCAAGACTACCCTCCTCAAAAATGCACCCTCCAAGGGAGCCCCCCGCCGAAACCTCTCACTACGGACCATCCTCAATGAACCCACCCAATCCGAACTCGACTCTTTCGCAACCCTCCAAGCTGAATTCGCCAGCGCCCCATGGCTCGTCCATCACGACCCTTCCCGACGCCTCTACGCTGACCTAGACTCCTCCAAGGAGCAAGGCCACGGCGCCGTGCTCTTCCATCTCAAAGAAGGATACGACCATAAGGACCCTTCTAAGCCGCCCCCAATCACCTCCATACAGCCAATCCAATTCCTAAGCCGCCTACTCACAAGTGCCGAAAAGAATTACTGGCCTACCGAACTCGAGGTCTCCTGCCTAGTCTGGCTGCTCCGCAAAGCTAGACATCTTATCGAAGCAGCACCCCTCGCCCTCCCTCCGATCATCTACACAGACCATAGCAGCACAGTCGCTATTGCAACAAGCACCAGCCTCCGCTCTGCTAGCTCCGAGAATCTCAACCTCAGACTTATCCGCGCCTCCCAATATATCCAACAATTCAACCTTAAAGTCTTCCACCGTCCCGGCAAGACTAATAAGACAGCCGATGCCCTGTCACGCCTCCCAAGCGCTAGACCCACTAAGCCCGCCGAGCACGACGACCTAGATTCGCTCTGGTGCAACCCCTCCTTATGCAATCCCGATCCCTACGCCGAACTCCCAACTATCCCAGACCCCCAAGCTACGGCATTCCTCGCCAGAGTCGCCCAGGAAGCCTACCCAGCCGATACCTCAGACGGCCACCAGCTGACAACCTCGATCGTCCATTTGTCAGATGAATTCCGTCAGCGCCTCAAAGCTGCCTACATAACAGACTCCCGCCTTTCATCGATCATCGATACCCTCCAACAAGCCACAGCTGATCCCATTCCCCCCTACCCTCCCGTACGAGTTACATGAAGACCTCCTCTATATGCGTCAGGTTGGCGGTCTCCGTTCCTTGTGTATCCCCCGTTCCATGTCAGGAGAGATCTTCCAGATTATCCACGACCAACAAGGTCATCAGGGTCTGGATAGATGCTGGGCCAAGATGCGTGGCATTGTCTTCTACAAGGGCTTAAAGCTGCTAAAAGACTACATCGCGCGCTGCCCCGAATGTCAGAACAATGCAGTCCACCGTCACCGGCCCTACGGAAGCCTCCAGCCTATATTATCCCCCCTATTCCATTCCATACACTTACAGTGGACATCATCACAGGTCTCCCTGTAAGCGCCGGCCCAAGCCCCTACTCCCCCCTGAAAGCTTCGACGCTATGATGACATGCACCGATAAGTTCACCAAACGAGTAGGATATATCCCCGGCCGTGCCGATTGGGACGGCGAAAGCTGGGCCAAGCCGCTCCTGACCATGTTCATGTCCGGCGACTGGGGCCTACCAACGGTGATTATATCAGACCGTGATCCCAAATTCGTCCAGGGCCTATGGGCAACAATCTTTACCATCCTCGGTATTAATCTCCTCTACACAACAGCCTACCACCCCCAAGCCGACGGTCAGTCCGAACGCTCGAACCAGGTCGTTGAAATCGCCCTCCGACATTGGATCTCCACCCACCCCCAAGCTGACTAGTCATCGGCACTACCAAACCTCCAAGCTTCCATGAACTCCTCTATCAACGTATCGACCGGCTATACCCCACACAAACTTATGTACGGCACCGAGCTCCGACAAGCGTTCGACATGATGCCACAAGCTTTCGATCACGATACTGAATTCCAAGCCCGTGTCGATGCCGAGCAATCCTTAGCATATGCCGCTATGAAAATGAAAACCTATTTCGACAAGAAGCATAAGCCGATACACTTCCAAGCCGGCGAATGGGTGTATCTTAAGCTTTCCACCGACACCACAGATCCAGGTTACTCAATCCCAGCCAATGCTGACAAGCCACGCAAGTTCAAGCAAAGATATCTCGGCCGTTTCCAAATCCTTCACCGCGTAGGCCGTCTAGCCTACAAGCTTAAGCTCCCCGACAGCTGGCAACGACACCCAGTCATCAGCGTCGAACATCTCGAAAAATGCCCCCAAGGCCCAGATCCATGGGACCGCCAAGCTGATAATGGCCACCACATGCCCACCGACGATGAGCGCTTCCCAGACGAAGAAAGGTATGAGGTTGCCAAAATCCTCGCGAAGAGAATCACCAAGCCAAGAGGAAGACCGCGCGCAGACGGTACAAGCCGCCCATCGATCACCAAATATCTCGTTCGTTGGAAAGGCCAATCCGCCAAGGAGGATCAGTGGGTAGCGAAGGAAGATATCGCCGCTGACGATCTCATCGCTGAGTTCGAAGCGAGCAGGCCCTCCAATTAATAATCTGCATTCCCCGTGTTTATCCTACAAGCCTAAGCCCCATACCTCTTACCGATTCCTCACCTGATAACCTCACTTCATACCCTCACTTCATAACCTCACTTCATACCCGCTCCTATCCATCTCACCATCCTCACCCCCCTTCCCATCATCTTCAATATCAGCATCTTGTCTCATCATCATTCCGTTTCATCATTATCGTTTTCCCTATTGTTATAACACAGTCATGTCTACCCCGACCCCCAAGCGGCGCCGCCGCATGACCAACACATCCACAGCATCAACTGAGCCGGAAGGCTCACCAGCCAAGACACCATCTAAATCGAGACCTGCCTACAACCGCGAGCTTACCGATGCCCTGTGCACGGCTGCCGATCTACAAGAGACCCGAGACTGGATCAACAAGCAGATCCAAGGGTGGAACTCTAAGCCACCAAAAGCGTCCGCCCTCCCTCCCTACACCGCGATGATAATGACTGCCGCAGGCGAATACCAGCTGCCCCCTATGAGCGTCAAGCTCTCAGATGAACACGTCTATATGGTCACCAAATTCCTGTCCGTTAAACAGAGGAAACAGCACGACTGGACCGAGGACTTTAACAACGCTGGTGAAATCCGTGCCGACCGCACCCCACTAGCTCCAAGCCCCCTCCTCATCGCCTTCAACGTCCCATTTATCCCGGTCTTCCGCGGATATTACATCCTCGCCGGTCCTCAAGCCGCCAAAAAGTACGGCACATCGTCTAACATCAAGAACAATGCGACCACCAAGGCAGCCGGCACCGACTGGCTAGTCGGCCCGGTCATTGCCTCCCAGGCGTTCGTCAACGAACCAAGGAATCTCATCCGCATATACCATGACACTGCGGGAGAAAGGGTGACTACCAAGCTAGGCGACCTAACCTTTACAGGCCTTATGCCAAGCGAGAAAGACCAGCCCGCAACCCCTAGCCGCCATGATCGCGTCGCAAGAGGCCACTTTGATTTCTCACTCTGGCATAATGGAACCGCCCTCCGTTTCATTAGTATAGCCGATCATCCCGACTATTACGCAAGCTCGAAGCCACGACCTGTCTCTACGCCAGCTCCAAGCCAAGCCCCCGCCCATGCTCAGCCAGACCCCGTCAAGGACGCCCTCCTCGAACAAGCGCTTGTCGAAGCCGATCCTACCCTACGCAACATCTTCGACGAGGTCCACCAAGCTCAACGAACCTTCCCCGAGGCTGTCGACACAAGCCACTACCCGACCCTGATTGGGAACCTACAGCTCTTCAGGAAAGCTCGAGCGGAAATCGAGAAGCTGGACTCCCACTACGCCGCCTGCCTCCAAGCCTGGACAGATATTTCCGCTAAGGTCGAGGGCCTCCGCCCAGCCGCGAAACAATTCATGCTAGACCGCCTCCAGCCTCTCAAAGACCACCTAAAGACCCTTGCAGTCCTGAAGCAAACCTGCCAAGGCCCCGCAGGGATTCCATCACACCTCCTGCCAAGCCCGGACATACCGCAGCGGCCACCGTCCCGTTCACCCACTCCGACGCCGATAGCTATAGACTTCGCGTACACAGAATATGACGGCCCAGTTCCCGACCCGGTCGATCAGACACCAGAATCTACACCCCAGCCACAAGCCTCCACCCCTCTCCCCGAGCCGACCGTCCAAGCACAACCTACTGAACCCCTTCCGCATGTTTCCACCCCTACTACTACCCGGCCAGAGCCTCCTACCCCCCCGTCCGCCTGTCTTCACTCCACCACCCCGCATGCCTACCCCCCAGCACCTATCCAAGAAGCTCCGGACCTACTCCCCCAAGCGGAAGCTATTCCCCCTCCGCCAGACTGTCCTCCGCCACCGGGCTCCCCTATTCCCCCCCCTCCACCAGGCTCCGAGCTGGATAATGAAGCCCGCGAGGCTATACGAAAAGCAAACGAAGCCTGGGCAATCATTCAGGCCGATCCTGAAAGCTGATACTGTTTTCATTACTTTTCCGCATCAGGGACGATGCTTTAAAAAAGGGTGGCATATGTTACCCTCTAAGCTGGGTCAGGTGACCCGCAGTTCCTTCTTAGCTAGTCTTAGACAGAAACAATAGGATCACCTTTACATCTCCCGACTCTGTCACACACTCTCTGCTCATAGAGCCATTTTACATGGTCTTCAGATTTAGGATCCCAAGGAAATAATGAGACCTTTAAATTCGAACTCATCATGGGCAGATTGAATACAATAGTCAAAGATGAACGAACAATGTGCAAGTGCCGTGATTTTAATTAAAAATTAAAATTTTGCCTCTCATGGCGGCATCTTCCGCCGAGGGTTATGAGGGTTATGAGAAGCTAAACTATATTAAGCAAGTGACACCCCGAGGGCCCACTAAAGATCCACCGAGGAATTCGTACTAATAATCCATCATAAGTGAAGATGCAGTGGGTTATGAAACGTTGGCATTGATATAACCCCCTGGAAAAACACTATCAGTTGAATAGAATACAATTCTATCTTTATCGAAGCGTAAAAATTTTCTTTTGGCAAAAGATGAGGGGTTTCGATGATTAAGCAGACGATCTTTTTCATTAAATGTCAATTCCGGTACTCTGAGACTTTGATTATCTATATAAACTGAAGCGCAACACTTGAGCACCTCCATGCCTAAGATTGGTGAGTGAAATGTCTTAATGCATTCATACCGGATCATTAACTATAGCCCGTAAACCCAACGACCAAACAGACCAACTGTCATGTAGCCCTCAGGCGATCTTGCTTTCCACTCGTTCCTCATACTGGATCTGCTCTTTCTGTTCCTCCACCTTTTCTACCATTTGTCCCTTGACATCGTCGCCTTCAAATAAATAGGCCAATTCCTCAAGAGTTGGGCCAGCAGTCTCAACGAAGAAGAAGTAGACAACCAGGAAGACAATCAGCACCCAAATGCAATAGTAAATATAGAACTTCCAGCCGATATTGTTCAACCCGATGGGGTTCACGTAGCTGCCGAAGATGGAAGACACTTGAATGGTAAGGAGAACGAAAGCCCATGTCTTGGCGCGCATCTGAAGGGTAACGACCTCAAGGGGATATGTGACGATGAGGTTGGTCCAAGCGAAGGTATAGAACGCTTGGAAGAAGAAGATACACGCAATGACGAGGCGCCCAGCCGCTAGAGAGTTATGTTCAAGATAGCGCTGGGCGGCAATAGTCCAGACAATAAAGGTGATAAGAACACCGCCAGATCCCGTAAGAAAAAAGAACCGGCGACGGAAGCGATCAATGATCAATGTGACGAAAATGGCGACAATATACTGCCATAGAGTAACCATGCCATTTATGAGTGTGATCTCATAGTCTGTCTTCAATCCCGTGTCTTTCAGAATTTGGGTAAGATAGTTGGAGACGAGGAGGTTTCCCGAACTCTGACTGAACACTGCAGTACAAAAGCAAAGGAAGATGCGCTTCAGATTTGCTCGAGATGAGAAGAAATCCATCCATGACATATTGTTTTCTGATTCCTTGGAGATAGCCTGTTGGATCTCCGCACACTCAATCTCGACCAATTCCGAGTTGGGGTCGCATTCACCATGATACTTGACAAGGATATCACGCGCTTCCTGAAAGCGACCTTTTGCCATTAACCACCGCGGGGATTCCGGACAAAACCAGATCAGACAGAATTGATAAGCCGATGGAATGATTTGAATCAGCGTGGGGAGCCTCCATGACCACTGGCTGCTGATTCGATAGCAGCCAAACGTTGCCCAGGCACCGATGACATATCCAAGCACGATAGATGTGTTATAAAATGTGGTGATTTGGACACGTTCCTTGGGGTGGGACAGTTCGGTTACCAAGACGGGGGCACCCATCTGGATTAGAGATGAACCCACGCCCAGAACAATTTTTCCACCAATGTACATGTTCAATGAGGTGGCAAAGAATTCGATGATGACACCAACAATGATGACAATTGAGCCCAACGATGTAGGAAGGCGACGGCCGAACCTATCACCGATCCAGCTCAGGAAGATGAACGGTATGACACCGCCAATGGCGTTTGAAGCTCCAAAGAAACCTAATTTGGCCCCTTGAGGATGTCCAAATCGGTCTTGCCAAGATGAGAGAACTTGCATGCCGTTTGTCATGGACTTCACGAAGAAAAGCTGTTAGCCCTACTCATGCAACAGGTATAACATGTTGAAACTTACTCCATCTATACCGAGAGCAGCGCTTGCTAGTAGTGATGATGTAAGGAGAAAGTACAACAGTATACCATTCTTGCGACGCCAGAAGGGTGGCATAGACTGCACATCGATAGGCGATATGATCCCATCTGCAGCATGAGCAGCGGCAGGAGCCATGGATTCGATGAGAATTAACCTTTCCTGAATTTATCTGATGACAATGTCAATTTCCGGTTTACAATGGTCGATCAAGTTGGGAGGACAAACGTGAAACTGAGATCCTTTTCAATCAGCCATGTAGGCCGTCCTACGCTTCTTATAGAAGGAGGAGACAATTCCCTAGTGGGGAACAGTCATGCGAATCAATCAATTTAACCATGCAGTGTATGCATGGGAAACTAAAAATGTTCTTTGCTTCGCGGGGAATTCTGTGAGCCCCGTGGGGAAGAAGAACTTCAGTGGAAGAATTGGGTTTGCGGAAGACCGTCTGCCATCGGAGAAAATACGTCGGGGAATTACAATGCAAAGTCTCCACAGCATTCACTAAATCTCCGATTCCTCCTAGAGTAATTCTCCAATTTCCCCATTCTGAAACGCCACGACCGCCTCTGCCGGAAGCTATAAGGTATAACGTTGATTTCTGGAAGTTACAAAGCTTTATTTCACCTGGAATTGACTGACTTCCATTCGACACAACCTGCAAGGATCCGCGAAACTGCCCTTCTGGGAAGCCAACCTTCTGGTAACCATGACATCCACGTCGCTGCCAAACAACTTTGAGTGGGGGTTCGCAACAGCTGCATACCAAATTGAAGGGGCTGTTCGAGAAGATGATCGCGGGGAGTCGATTTGGGATACTTTTTGTCACCTTGAACCAACAAGAACTAAGGGTGCTAACGGCGACATCGCATGCGACCATTATCATCGCTATGAGGAAGATTTTGATCTTCTTGCGAAGTATGGTGCAAAAGCTTACAGATTCTCCATTTCTTGGACGCGAATCATCCCGCTTGGTGGGCGAAATGATCCCGTCAATGAAGCTGGAGTGGCTTTCTACAACCGACTGATCGATTCTTTACTCGAAAGAGGAATAACCCCTTGGGTGACACTTTATCATTGGGATTTACCGCAAGCGCTTCATGACCGGTACAAAGGATGGCTGAATGTGAATGAATCGCAACTCGACTTTGAGAGATACGCCAAAGTTTGTTATGAGCGATTTGGAGACCGTGTGAAGAATTGGATTACGTTGAATGAGCCGTGGATTGTTGCCATTTTCGTGAGTTTCCTCCTCATTTGCAACTTCCGTGCTCAATGAATAACCGAGTTTCAGGGATACGCGACTGGAGGAAATGCCCCTGGACGAAGCAGTATCAATCCACAATCAAGCGAGGGCAACACTGCTACAGAACCTTGGATAGTTGGGAAAGCACTGATTATGAGTCACGCTCGAGCGGTTGCACTGTATAACCGGCAGTTTCGGAGGTCTCAAAATGGAAGAATTGGTATATCCCTGAACGGCGACTTCTATGAGCCTTGGGATAGCCAAGATGAGCGCGATCAGCAAGCTGCAGAGCGGCGTATGGAGTTCCACATCGGATGGTTTGCAAACCCTGTCTGGTAAGTGAATGATGCTAATATACAAACCTCTATGAGCGATACGCTTACAGTTGTATTTGCGCCAGCTTGGCGAAAGATTACCCTGACTGCATGAGGAAACAACTTGGAGAGCGGCTCCCAAAGTTCACGCCTGATGAGTTCGCTCTTCTTGATGAGGCTAACATCGACTTTTATGGGATGAACTACTATACTTCACAGTTTGCTCGCCATCGAGATCGACCGGCGCCTGATACCGATTTTGTCGGAAACTTGGATGAGTTGCAAGAAAATAATAAAGGAGAATCTGTCGGCGAGCCGAGTGGTGTCCATTGGCTACGGTCTTCACCAAACCTTTTTCGCAAACATTTAACAAGAGTATATCGCAAGTATGGCAAGCCAATCTATGTCACTGAGAATGGCTGTCCTTGCCCCGATGAAGACAAGATGGGGGTTGATGAGGCTGTAAATGATACGTACCGCATTCGGTATTTCGAAAATCATCTCGATGCTGTTGGGTTGGCATGCAATGAAGATGGTGCAAAGATTCTGGGCTATTTTGCATGGTCTCTGTTGGACAATCTAGGTATATTGGACTATACGCGATATTTGATTTGGCATCAGCTAATTTTTCATTTAGAATGGTCTGATGGCTACGGGGTCCGTTTCGGCGTTACTTTCACCGATTATGAAACCCTAGCAAGAACGCCCAAGCAGTCTGCTCTACTGTTGAAGTGCATGTTTGAGAAGCGAATGAAGGTCGATGTTCACCTCTAATCTCAGCATTCGATGCAAATAAGCATCAAGGACAATTCTAGAACGTCCATCTAAGAGGAGAACCAAAGATCAGAGATGCGATATCACCGATTGCTTTAAAGTCGCTTTGTTACTTGGTAATTAGACCTAGTTGAAAAGATACTGCCACGAACAAAGTTTCAATGAAATATTCTCTTACGTATCAACAGACTACTGATTACAGAAAGGAGCATGTGCTTTGAACAGTAGTTTCGAAATAATCTTTACCAGAACTCTTTTGACTTAATTTCCGGAAAAAAGGATCCAAGACGTGCTGTTTTGATTGCCGAGTTATAATGTCGGCAGAGCTGTAGAGTAACATATATACCATAGTTGTTGAGCTAGTGTTATGATATTAAAATGCCTCATAAAATTATGTAGAGCCACTTTGATGTTCAAGCACGATCGTCTACTCCGTCCCACTTGTCCTGGTTTGCCTTTCGTCCCACCGGAAAAGCTATGCTCTCATTCATTTACTCTATTCAATGAGACGGCCTTAATAATGGTGATAATTTAGTTTTTCTACCTACCATTTATATATCGATCAAGTTTAGGAGAGTGATTGAAGGATGCGTCAATGAAATTCCAAGTATTTGTTGGAAAAGTCAGATCATGAGACACTTTTTCAATCTACTTCATCCATGTCACAATGTCGCGGCACAGCGTGGGTACTCTGAGAGGATCCAAAAAGAGTGTAGTATCCAAGAGATCTCTGAGCAGCAGTTCCTGATCTATCTTGGCTTCCAGCCAAGATAGGAAATGCTTGTCCAGATGGCGCAGCTGATACATCTTGAACCGGCTCAAGTGATTCATGTGAGTGAGCAAGGTTGCTATCAGTAGCGAGAGTGTCAAGATGCTCTAGCCCTAGAGGCTTCTCACTGCCTTCTAAGGCTTTTCGGTGCATAGCTTCAATCTCTTTATATTTACCCTGGTGGGCAAGCACAGAACCAAGATCTTTAAGGCTAGTAAGGGTGTAAGGATGTTCTAGCCCCAGAGTTTTTTTATAGCCTTCTAATGCTCGTCGGTGCATAGCTTCAGACTCTTCATATTTACCCTGTCGTTCAAGCAGCAAACCAAGGTTGTTAACGCTAGCAAGAGTGTCAGGATGCTCCAGCCCTAGAGCTGTCTCACGACCTTTTAGTACACGCCGGTGTATAGCTTCAGATTCCTCATGTTTGCCCTGTAGTGCAAGCACGAAACTAACATGGCCAGCACTCGCGAGGGTATCAGGATGCTCTAGCCCTAGAGCTCTCCCACGGCCTTCTAGTGCTCGTCGGTGCATGGCTTCAGCCTCCTCGAATTTACCCTGGGGTGCAAGGGCGAAACCAAGATAGCTAACACTTGTGAGGGTATCAGGATGCTCTAGCCCTAGAGCTTTTTCACAGCCTTCTAGTGCTCGTCGGTGCATAGCTTCAGCCTCTTTATATTTACCCTGTTGTGCAAGCACGAAACCAAGATGACTAAGACTCTTAAGAGTATGAGGATGCTTTATCCCTAGAGCTTTTTCACAGCCCTCTAATACTCGTCGATGTATAGCTTCGGCCTCCTCATATTTACCCTGTTGTGTAAGTGCGAAACTAATATGACCAACACTCGCAATGGTATCAGGATGCTCTATCCCTAGAGCTCTCTCACGGCCTTCTAGTGCTCGTCGGTGCAGAGCTTCAGCCTCTTCATATTTACCCTGTTGTGCAAGCACGAAACCAAGATGACTAAGACTCTTAAGAGTATGAGGATGCTTTATCCCTACAGCTTTTTCACAGCCTTCTAGTGCTCGTCGATGCATAGCTTCAGCCTCTTTATATTTACCCTGTTGGGCAAGCACAGAACCAAGATGGTCAACACTACCAAGAGTGTTGGGATGCTCTAGCCCTAGAGCTTTCTCGCTGTCGTTTAGATTTCCAGTAAGTAGATGATTGGCCTCGTCGTACCTCCCATCATTTTCTAGCGACCTTGCGACCCTTGAGGTAAATCCAACATATTCAAGTCTAAACTGATGGAACTCTTCGCTGTTTGTCAAATACAATGCGTGGGATAAGTATTCTCTCCACAATTCTCGATTGTTATGATCATCATCAGGAAATAATTCATCCAATTGTTGTGCAACTCTGTGCACCCAACGATCTATAATCTTGGTTTTTCTCATCCAGTTTCGCATGGCCAGATGCACCAGTCGATGAAGACTGAATGAGCCAGTATAGGCGTGTTCACTAATAAAGGAATACGCCTTTAAAAGGCCCAATGCATCTACCCTTTTCTTTGTCGAGGGTGCAGGTGGCAGAATTGACTGAGGTATATCTCGTGGGTTGATGCAAGCTATGAACGATAAATAGTCTATTGCTAGACTATCTAATTGCTGGATTTGTTGGAAAGATATCAGCCAAGTAGTAATCACTGGATTCTGGGTTTCAGCGTATCGTCCATCATCTTCAAACTCCTCACTTAAAATCTCAGCTGCGCTTATCTCCTTTTCTTTCAAAAGCGCCAGATATTGAGATAAAGAGATATTATTTTCATTGACGTAAGCTGCAGCTTGACTGATTGCAAGGGGGAGAAAACTAAGCTGCTCCAGAAGCGTATTAGCTCCATTCTGGTCATACAACAGATCAGTCTGGATAACTGATCTTTCCAGGATATCCATGGCAGTACTTTGATCCACATCAGGGATAGATAGAACATTGAGTGCCGCTATTTTGACTGCTAGTTTTCGGTTACGAGAAGTGAAGAGAATGTGACCATTCCCACTGCGAGGGAGAAGGTTTTTGAGTGGTGGTGCAGTCGTGCTTCCCTTGATCCACATTTCCATATCATCGGCGTTGTCAAAAATTAGAAGCCATTTCCCAGCACTTTCTTGACTGAGATGGAATTTTACTTGTTCTTTCGCCTTAGCCGGCTCTGTGGTTGAGATGCCAAGGGCTGAAGCGATAGTCAAGTAACTCTGTTCCACACTCTCGTAGCTGATACATGGAATCCAGAATATGGAGCACTCGGGAAATTTTTGTCGTATGCTGTAAGCCAGCTCGAGTGCGATCTGTGTCTTTCCAATCCCCCCTAGTCCGTGAATAGCGATCTTGGTCGGGCCAGATGTATTGGAGATCAGCTTTTCAAGGCGATCGATCTCTTGTTGACGGCCCACAAATCGAGGATTTCGAGCAAATGGGATCATCCAGTGGTGCCTCTCTTTCCTGTGGAGGTTATGGCTATGGCTGTATAGAGGTACTACTCTTAGAAGAGCTCTAGCATAAGAAGCAGCAGTAAGAGCAGCATATCCCTGCCATTTTTCATTCTTGTGCGAATCGCAGTAATCGCAAACTCCTCTGATCACTAGACACGGCAACTGATCCATTATACCAGCTGCTTCCATTTCGAAGCAGAGGATATCCAGCTCCTGCGCAATAGCGTCCCGTTGGATAGCGTCTTTCATAACTTGATTGCCAGACGCAATCAGACCATAATGAATGACGGGCTCATTTGCCTCTCGTGATGGGCGCGTGACTAGTTGGCACTGATCACATTCTGAGCAGTCGGCATTCTTGCCGCTATGATTGTAATCGGCCCGAAATAACCAGTCCACGTCTGGACGAGAAAATCTTTTTTGGTGATTTGGGTGTCTCTGAAGAGCCTCTGATGTATTTTCGTCAGTCAACGTAGTACCATCTAGAGCGTCACTGCGGATTTGAGATATTGCAGTCAGCACATATTGCGGCGGCTTATTGAGTGACCTAGTGCGTTCAAAACATCCATCCCGAATTGTCTTCCCATAGTCATACTGGATCACGCCTCCAGAGGTTGCGGTTGGCATGCTGACGACTACGTCGCCTAGTCTAATATCGGCGTTCTTGCTCGGTACGCCACCCCCGATGCCTACCATCAACCCGAATCGAAGAGCAGGGAACGTTTCAAGAGTGTGAGCGAGGACGACTGCTGCAGACGTGGTTCCGTAAACGCCCGACGGCAAGCAGGCCACGACCACATTGTGCCCACTAACGCTCCCGAGTGTGTAGGCGTTATGGTCAGATTTGGACTGAGACAGATCGGGATGAACTTCGTCTAAGACCATCTTGGCCGCTGTCATTTCCAGTGGCAACGCGCAAATCCACGCGACCGTATAGTCATGGTGCGTGAATGGCATTTTGGTTGTTATAGGCAAAATAATGACAGGTAAAGGTAAACATGAATCAATCTGGTTGATTAAAAACTGGTTGGAGTGCTCCACATTACATAGAAATTTCCAAATTGTTGAGGTTGATAAAGAGGGGTAGCGCTGCTACGTGTCGCGAGCAAGGGCCAGGCGCGTAGCGAGCCAATCGCTCATCTTGAGAAGGTCAAAAGCAAAAACGAAGGCAAGATACGAGGAGAGTGTAGCCTGTAGCTATCTGACCAAATAAAGAGTTTAGATGCTCAAGGGTAACTGGTTCTTTCGGCTTCTAGTGTAATTATATCATGTCGAGGAATTCTATGTATTTGTTCCCGTAGCTCTGTCCCACTTTCCGTAATGAGAGAGATCGTAGCCATTTCCGGGAGCGAAATGAAAACAAATTGGATATCAGTATACTATATTCAGGACTATACCATATTAAGGCTAGTACGCTTCATATGAGATTTCCTGAATTAATATGCAATCATGGAAGAGTATTTAGGAAAATTTCAGTTCGAAATCTACTGTACGGACAAGTGAGTCGCTTAGATCTAACAGGAAATGGCCATGAAGGGTTGATTGGCCCGTCTATCGGGTCCACTGACGGCGAAATGCGAAAGTTGCGGGGTGCTTAATTGTCCGAGGCCCATCCCCAGCTTTTTTCACCGACAAATTTTCCCGATATTCTTGATTCCACTCACGCAGCATGCAATGGCAACAGACGGCGACAATATTCATCCACGGAGTTTGAGCAGAGCCTGTGATCGATGCCGACGGAGAAAAGCCAAGGTAGGCTTTTGAGGTCCCTTAAAGATTCAAAATCTTATGCAATTGATATCGGAACTGAACCCACACGTTCTTAGTGCGACTATTCAGATCCTTCATTAGCATGTGCTAATTGTCGCTTGGCTTCTACAAAATGCACATTTGATCTGCCAGTGGCCAGGCGTGGACCCAAAACAAAACGGCGTATTCCCAACGGCGAGGTTCACGTAGAACATTGTCAAAGTCCCAGCACACCATCATTACGATTGCAACGGCACGATTCTACAGCTCATGGGGGGTTCCCTGCACCTTCATCATCGGAAACTCTAGAAGCCTGGAATGTTGGGCTCGCACTTGATCCTGCTCTTTCACCAGAAACTGTTCATACAGTTCATACCCCGATTTCCGAAGCAACATCGACAAGACTAATTGCGGCATTGCAGCGTTGGGATGCTTTGGCCCAGGGGTTGTACATCTGCGATCCAACAGCACATCTGGAGCGTACCGTAAATCGATGTTTTGAATTATTCTTCGAGCACCTGTTTCCCTTAATCCCCCTTGTTCATGAACCCAGCCTCCGAGATGGACTTAGCTTCTTCACTTCCCAGAACAACGCGCATGCTATGCGAGGGAGTATTTCAGCGGTCGGTGGACTACAACACAGGACTGCCGCCTTGAAGTATCCTGAGCTTTGGCCTGATGTCACATTCACGTTAATTACTTCCGTTTGCGCTGAAGCAGCGTTTTTGCTTCCGAGGGATATACTTCCCGAGGGAGACATGATTGCCGACCTATTTCTCCAGGCATCGAGAAGTTGTTTAGCAACTTATCTGGAGGCCGATCTAGAGTTTCCAAATGCAAATTCCGTGGCTATTCGGTATCTCCACTCCAACTGCATGCATGCAGCTGGAAAGCCCCGGTTATCTTGGCATATATTTGGAGAAGCAACCCGCTTGGCACAAGTTATGCAGATGCATGATGAAGAATCCCTGCAGGGACTTCCTCCACTAGAAGCAGAGTTTCGACGGCGAACTTTTTGGATCTCATATATTGGGGATAAATCTGCGGCGATCTTGAACAACCGCCCAATCACAATTCATCAATATTCTTTCGATTCTGGGATCACAATTGGCTATCCCACTGGCATGGAGGATGAAATCACAGCCACACCAGGAAGCTCGGGTCCAGATGATGTGACTACCCGCAAAAATTTCATAATAGGCTTCAATGCGAACTTACGTCTTTGGCAGACTGCGTCAGACTTGCTTCTCGAAATGCGGTTGCTGGAGAGTAGGAAGAATGCAACGCTCCTTCCTCATACATCACCCACGACAGAGGAGAGGTTGCAGCTGGATCATCTTTATGTCCTTTTTGTGACATCTCTAGACGACTTGCCTCACTTTCTCCGAGATGATCAATTTACTCCAGGTATTAGCACCGATGCTAACCGTCTAACCGGTCTGCTGAAGCTATATATTATTCAATCAGCGAATCTCTATGTATCACTACATTGTTTGAAGATGGTGATCATGCAAAAATTCGAAGAGTTTGGATATTTCCCCCGGGGCATAATGAAATGCTACTGTTGAGGAAGACCGAAATTGCTCGCGACATGCTGCGAATAATTCGCGATGCGCCTTTCTGGGCACTACAAGTGAACGGTGAACCATGTGTGAGTGCTGTCCTGATTCAATACATGGAAAACAGATTCTGATATTTTGGATAGGTGGAAAAAATTCGCTTGATAGGAGCCAGCCTCCTGGAAATTATCGACCAACATGAGACTTCACCACTCTCAGCGCGAGCTCGGAACGATCTGTCGGTACTTCTTGACATTTTAACGCGGCTCGACTCCAAGGCTTCAGATACCTTACGCCGGTCACTGTAGCTCCAACGAAACTTGACAGCATTGCCGAGTACTAAATTATATGTGAAATGCTGGCACCTTTGCAGTGTACACAATAGTTCTCGGGACAGTCGACCCTCGATGCTAATTTGTTGCTATAAGATACCATGTTCTCAAAGTAGTGATGTAACAGTGCGGTTTAGTTTGATAACTCGCTCGGGAAAATGATCTTTCTGCCCGTATTCTTGACTGACCAGTACAGTTCTGGACAGAAGGGAATAGAGATTCGGACCTCCAGCTCGGTGCTCAGATCCAGGAACCCATATTTGTCGACTTGGAACTGGCCACTGATTAGAGATGAGTTTGAGCACTACCCTGAATGATAGCTCGGCGTGTGAGCGCTTGCACGGGAGATCATAGACCTAGAACAGGTTGGGGAGCTCGATTTGTCGGCTGTATCGGAAGAGTGGAGGACATCTTGGTCGCAGAAAAGAAGTGAGTTGACAAGTAGGAGAAAAAAGAGAGGAAAATAAGCTATGGAAAAACTTGAGCTAGGTAGCACCTATTATAGTACTCGCTGCTCAAAAGGGAAACTATGGGATGGCTTATACCTACTGAGCTTAATCAGGATACCATAAACACTATGACACCGCCAAAGCTCTAAGATCTATTCAGGGGCTCAAGACCCAAGAGTGATGAGCGGATCCTCTTGATATCATAAGCAAATAGTGAAAACCGAAAATCTATTCAACGATTGTGCGTCTGATTAATAGGGGTTAGGGTATCACCTTGGCCGCTAGGAGGCAAAGCTGAGGCTGTCCCTATGATGGTATTCAACCTGCAGGCAAGGCAGAGAGGAAATTTTAGACTGATGCAGATGATTTGACATTTCTAAATTTCAAGGCATCTATATACTGTAAGTGAGGAAAGCGCCGGTCTTTAAAGCATATGAGAATATCGAGACCTGTCTCTCCTCTTCGACCCAGTCCTCAAGATTATCATCCATGTCACCCACCCTAACTTTTGGGAGACTTGTTGCCGGTATAAGGACTTGTGAATATTGGATGAGTCAATCTTGTGATTTCAGTACAACTGCATCAATAGGGAGCCTTATTCTCCTCATAGTGTGGTCGTCTGTACTTGAGCTAGGTCTGACCCGATACTCATTGCTGCTTTTTGGGTTCCAGCCATGCTCGCAGTGTCTTTGCAACAGGAGGAAGAGGCCATGCAAAAAGATCTGTGGGATCTTCATATACTTCTCCTGTGGTAACCATATCCACGATTGCAACAGCCACATAGCCACCAATAGCAGTAAAGATATGCCACCTACATGAACAATTTAATGAACCGGTTCGTCAAAAACAAGGACAGTTCGCTGAATTTTAAACATACCACCCATGCAATTCGGTCAAAAATGCGAGAGGCAGGCCAATCGCATGTCTGGTTTGCGTAAGAAATCCGCAGGCCAGACCATCAATGAGCCACACAAAGTACCCAAAGGCAAAGCATGCTGTTTCCGGTCAGGTTTTGCTCAGCACACATAAACAATGAAGACAGACGCACCGCAGCCGAAGCTTGAAATGTAGCGAAGATTCTTCCTGGTTCTAGGATCGGGAACTTGCTGAGGAATGATCTTCATCGTGCGCGTCGCGATCAGATAAACTGCCAGGCCGAAGGTGGTAGCATGCAGGAGGAATTCGTCCATCACCATGTGGACGACCATCACAATGGTGAAGAGAAGAGAGAGAATTGCGCCGATCAGTTTCGTGCGTTGGGGAGTAGCCTGGAATGTAAGAATACGATACAGAAGAGGTGTCGTAAGGAGGTGCATGGATAGTTCATCCGCTAGAAGGTCCCAAGTATGAGAGATAAGGGCGTTAAGGGAGTGAGCAATGAGGGAGACCTACACATTTGGGTGTGATATTTGAGGGTCATATGGTAGCCGGCAGAGCACACCCCGACTCCTATCAATCCAAGGTATGAAATCGGGCGGAATCCAGTTAGCTGTTTACAACGGCGGAGCTGCTCCAGGCCGTAAAGTCCGTAGAAAACTGCGCGCGATATTAACCTACACAGGCCAATGCGTCAGGCACAATGTTGCTGACATACCAAAAACAAGGCTACTGAAGGTGTTTATGAATTCCGCGACAAATCGAGTTATGACATAATCCTTTTTTGACAGATCAGAATTTGTTCTCTCTCAATATTTGAATACAGGGAAAGCTTAGGGACAGAGGCTCTCACTTCTTCACAGAAACTATATCCGCCGGGTTAGCCGTTGGCAAGAGAGGGGCTCGGGGCGGAATCGCAGATCACTAAGTAAGCGTACTTGAGATAGGAGGTGGGAGGTCCCCAAAATGGGGTCATGGCGGTTGAATCCATCACAGATTGAATGCCTATCGTATTTCAGGTCCCAAATGACCGGTAAAGAGGATTGTGCCCAGAGGTTCCGAAGCAAGCGCAACACGTTTTCAGCGAGGGCACTCGGAACGCGCGGCCAAATCGGCCAAATCTGGACGATCGTTGCCTGAATTAGTGGAGCGTCGACGAAACATGCCAAGACTTTGGTAGATAACATGAGACTTGCGTCTTACGCCTTGGTTTATTCGTACAAAAGCTGCGCGAGTGACTTTTGATCCTATTTCAGGCGCTTCCCTTCACAGCGTTGAGCCACTTGACTCTGGTGCTCCCCAATCTGACAGACAATAAGTGAGCACAAATTCGAAAGGCAATCAACCTCTAAGGTCCAAATTAGGGGGAACCTGTCGATATAGTAGGATACGGTATAGACTAGGAGAGGCGCGATCCAATGGAACAGGAAACTCAATGTGATGATGTCTAATATAGCAACTATCTGGCAGGGAGTGTTGAACATCTACCGCCTCGCTGACCCACACGCTACGGCGCTAAGTCCTGCGTCTACCCGTAAATACCAAACAAAACTAGTGAGGAAACGAGTATAAAGTGCGAGACGCACAGCGGAATATATGGGTCTTCGCCGTATTCAGGCGCTTCTCATTCTCGACAGTATCTAAAAATATTTTCGAGTCCTTGCTCTCGTGTCATTTAGGGAACGCTTCAGCGCCTCTAAAAAAAGAATGACCCAATTCATGACGGGAGGGGGGGGGGGGGTCTATGGGTTCCTTGGTGCCAAAATTAGGGGACTGTACTCAAGCCCAAGAAGTATTTAAATCCCAGCCGTTGGCCTCCATCTAATTTTTCATCATCAATCAATCTATTCACTACTCCGCTATTTTTTTGCTTTTTGCAGCTCAAAGATCAATACTCTGCGTGTACACATACTCAATATGCCAGTGAATGACGGATCACAAACGGGGGCGAAAACAAGTTATGATAGGCAAAGAGAGAGACTTGAAAGCCAGATGAGGGCCCTGGAACTTGATCAAAAATCTAAGAAAGCAAAAAGCCAGCCCTGGGAAACAACAAAAGACGCGAAAGGAAAGACCACTGGGGTGAAGAGGAGGTCCACGAGAGTTGTTGATCTAGAACACGCCCAAGAAGTGGACAAAATATTCAACTCGCATCTTGATGGTTTAATTGATAACACAAAGAAAGCGTTATCATCTCTAAATAAAGGGGGCTCCAAAAAGTCCAAGCATCCTAAAAACGCTGCAGCCAGCTGATGATGGTTCTGGTTCTGTGAAGAGCGACTAAGTCTCAACATGTGCTAGCTGGATTTCTTTTCTTTTGTTCGTTTGGTGATAGCAGCTTCAAACTACGTCTATCAATGTACAATATGTCAGGCTACAACATACAAGTTCGCGAATGCAAAAATTCTAGATGATGTAGTAAGATCTGCCCTAGTTCTGTACCTCCAGAGAGGAAGCGTAAGGGCATGAGCCAACTGCAAACAAAAGAACAATAGGATTCATAGATAGGAAAAAGAAAGAGCACCCCGAAACAACATACATAATGAAAATCCAAAAGAAGAGGGAGTGCAGAATCCAAGAGAAAATCAAATAGTTTTTTTCACATCTATCATCGGTCATCTTTTGTTCTCGGTAATTCGATTCATGCATAAATTCCACCCCGCCATCCACAGCACTTTCCAAAATAAAATATCCATGAAGGATGTTCAAGGGTTTAAAAAAGAAGAAATGGAACAAAACAAGACAAAAAGTAAGAAACACAAAAAAAAGCCAGGGGTCTGTTGCCAAACAAGGCTCAAAAGCTCAGTTAGGGTGATGTATTGATCAAGGGTTGTACGGTAATACACAATAGAAGACGGGGGAAAGAGCCTGCCAAGTCGGACACAAAAAGAGAAAAAGAAGGAAAACAGGTAAGTGAGAACATGGCATCACTGGAGAGCACAAAAACGCCGTCGCCCATTTGCAATATTCGAAACAAGTTATCCAGGTGATTAGTTGAGTCCGCCATCGCCGTCGATCAGTCGGAGGCGCTCGTTAATGGTTTTGGCACGTTTGGAAGTGCCTTTCCCCGGGCCGCGGCCTCGGCCTCGCTTTGCAGCAGGGGCTGCAGAAGGTGGAGTGTCGAGATTGTCGGACATGGGTGTTGCCGTGCCTGATGGCTTGGCGCTGGCATCGTCAAAGTTGCCCTCGCCTGTAGAACACACCAGTCAGTAAATGAAATTTGCGGTATGAGTACTCGTTTGTTTATGTAGAACTGTGCTCACCTTCATGATACATATCATCCAACGTAAGATCACGTTTTCGCTTCGGCGCAGCCTTCTTTCCACCCTTGGCGGCTTGAAGAGCGTCTCCACGTTCAAGGGCCTCCTTCTCCTTTTGTTCCAGCAACTCAGCCTCATCATCATCGGCGAGCCACATAGCAATGTCTTTAGTACGATTCTCGCGAGTGCGAGTGTTGAAGTCGACACCACCAGCACCACCACCGGTGATGACAACGCGCTGCACCTCTTCTTTCTGCAAAGCACGCTTACGGATTCGCTCTTCAATCGTGCCGCGGGTAATTAAGCGGTACACGGTGACTTGTCGAGTCTGTCCAAGACGATGAGCGCGATCCATGGCCTGCGAGTCGATGGTCGGGTTCCAATCAGAATCGTAGAAGATAACGGTATCGGCAGCCGTCAAATTGATACCCAAACCACCAGCACGAGTGGATAAGAGGAACACGAATATTTCGGTATTTTGTTGGAAGTCGGCAACAGTATCGCGACGGTCTTCTAGCTTGGTACTTCCGTCGAGTCGACAGTACTTGTAGTTTCTGTAGGTCAAGTATTCCTCCATCAGATCGATCATGCGAGTCATCTGGAAATACAACAAAACACGATGACCGCCGGCCTTCAGCTCCCGCAGCAGCTCGTCCAACTTCGCCAGCTTTCCTGAATCCGTAACGAAGCGGCGCATAGAGGGAACCTCGATGTGCGTGTAGCGAGCTCTGAGAGAAGTGGGCGGCGGGAGCATCGGGGAATGCGAATAGGGAACTGGGTCGACCTTGTTCGTGATGATCTGTTCCTCTATTTGCTTGGAAGGAGTGGGGTATAATGCCTGGCGGATAACGGGGTTGAATAGAGTCTGTTGGGTCTCACGATAGGCTGCTTGACCGGAACATGAAAGGGTAATCGGGGGTGCTGAAGCGGCAGGAACAGCGCATGGCTCAATCAAGTTGAGACCTTGGTCTTTGAATGCCGATTGAGAGACATTCATCAGAGTCCGCATTCGGCCCTCGGTGGCAATCTCACGGAGGGCCTGGCGATCATTACGTTCCACAATGTTGAGCATAGAGTATTGCCAGACTGACTTGCCCAGAGACTGATTTTCCTTATCATCATCATCGTAAATGACGTTCAAGCGAGACAACCGATTCGGCTGATCACGGCGGCGGACCGCACGCTCAAACGGACCAAGACGAGAGTATTGACTGGCCTCTCCTGCTGATGTATCGACGAAGCGCAAGAATGAAAATGCTTCGTCTTCACGAACACTTTGCACAATGTTTTCTGGGGTGTGAATATTCATCATATGCGAGAGGAAGCTGCTTTGGAAGCCAGCACGGTCATTTCCAGGACCTGGCAAGTCCAGACGGCCTTCGGAGCTGCAGAGGAGCCGAGGCAAAGGGTACTCAATGCGGTTCCTAGTGGAGTACCGAACATCTACGAAATATCCTTCTCGGACGAAAGAGGCACACTCGGCGAAAGCTCCAACAGAGAAGGGCGACTTGGTCTCTGCACGTTCGAAGAGATCAGGATGGTTGCAGACTTTGCGGAATTGCATGACCAAGTTCATCAGAGTGGTGCTATCACTGTCATCGCCAACGGCCGCCTTCTCAATAAGATCGATGATGCTGACGCGATTCCGTAGGTTGGCATAAAGAGCACGCTGACGGTAGGTAAGATCGCAGAAAATATCCTTCTCGACCTTGTCGCCAAGCTCCTGCTGAACGTTCTTTTTCACGCGACGAAGCATGAAAGGCTTCAAGATCATGTGGAGACGTTTAAGCTGGTCCTCGTTGAGCTTTGTATTACTCTGAGCATGGGACTCAATATCTTTGGAGAACCACTCGCTGAATTCGTCATGGGAATCGAACAGCGTGGGCATGATGAAGTGCAACAACGCCCACAACTCTTGCATGTTATTTTGAATCGGAGTACCTGTCAAGAGAAGACGGTTACGGCAGGAGAACCCTAAAAGGTTCTTCCATCGTGAACTTTGCGAGGACTTGATAGCCTGGGCTTCATCCAGAATCATGTACTGCCACTTCACTTTCTGGAAGTATTGAGCATCCAAGACAACGAGTTGATAGGACGTCACAAGAACGTGAAACTCAGACTCGCGGGTGTAAGTTATGTGCTTGCGGTCCCAGAACTTGCGGAGAATTTTACGATCCTTTGCGTTACCCCAGTAGGGCAGGACCTTGATGTTTGGTACAAACCTGGTGATTTCCTGTTGCCAGTTGTGCAGAGTGGAAGCAGGAGCGATGACCAGGAAAGGACCCCAAATGTTGTGGAACTCGGCGAGATAGGCCATCACGGAAATAGACTGGATGGTCTTACCAAGACCCATCTCGTCTGCCAAAATACCGTTGATACCCTGTTCGTACAAATTGACGAGCCAGTTCAAACCCTTGAGCTGGTACTCCTTCAACTTGGCAGTCAACATGGTCGGCTGAGAGATCTCAATGTCACCCAGACTCGTGGGGTTCTGGAAATTCATTTCTCCTTCATCGAATGCAGCCATCTGGTCTCCGGTCTCGTTGTTGAACGCACGGGCGCGGTCTTGCGCTTGCTGCACGGCATTTTGAGCATTAGCCATAGCGGCCTGCTGCAAGGCACTCTCGTCTTCGGCATCGAAATCCAAATCTTCGAAGTTGGTGACCTTGGCATTCGGATTCGCCACGCTGTCGGGAAGGCTGATTGTGTGTGCTGAGGATTTACCGGGTTGGACTGTTTCGTTGGTGGCAGCGACTTTCCCATCGCCAGCGGCTTGGGCTTCCTCTGTTTTAATCTTCCGGCCAATGAAGTGAGAGTACAGCTCGGTCTGCGAGATCAAGAAGTTGAGCTTGCGTTTCTGACGGTTCGCTTCGCGCTCGGCTTCTGCCTTTTTCGCGGACTCAAGCTCCTGTCTCTCAGCCAAGCGGCGCAGATCGCGCTCCTCGCGCTCGTTGCGCTTCCAGAAGGACATCATTTCACGCATGGTACGCTTGGCACGAGCCTGGGTGTCCTTGGTGCTCTTGTTCGTTCGTTCCTGCCACTTGCGGGACTGTTTGCTTGCAAGCTGGGCGGTCTTGCGCAGATTCTCTTGGCGAGTAGACATGGATGTAGTCTTGATGCGGTAAACTTTGGGAATATCCTTGCGGGCGATGTCTCGCCAAATTTGCTCATAGATCTGATTATAGCCCTTGCTATCATAGTGCAGGTGCAGCAAGGGTGTCCCCTCTTTGGACCGTACATCCTTCTTCGAGTCGCGGGGGGTGAGGTAATTCTCGTCGTCCAGACCAGCCAGATAGGCGTTTTCGGCAGCATCCTTTTCGGCCTGCTTCTGCTCCTTGGACTTCTTTGGTCGGGTGACAGGACCGGCTCGCCCAGAGCGGCGGCGTGAGGGCGATCCGCGGCCAATATGAAACGAGCTGGTGGTGCCGCCTTCGAGATTGGGTGCCAGAGGGGTGACCTCGCCGAGCTCATCCTGTGCACTTCCGCCCTCCAAGGCGCGCTTGGTGGATCTGATTTTCTTTTGGGCACGCTCAGCCTCACGAAGGAACTTCGCTCTCTCAGACGAATCCTGAGCCTTCTCCGCTTTGGCCTCGGCCTCAGCCTTCTTCTGAAGCTCCAGTCGGACGGTATTCTCGCGACGTCGCTTTCGCTGCATGTCCTTTTTACGTTCCTTCTCGTCTTGGATTTCCTTTTGTTGGACTTCGGCGATGACTGAGGATGCGTTGACTGCTCGAAATCGTTCGGTTCCCAAAATAGCCTGTTTCTCAAAAGATCGACCAAGCTCGATCAAAAAGGCGTTGCGACGGCGCTGCGAGACGTGGTCAATATCGGGGACACGACAAACTGCGTGCATGTGGTCGTTGACATACCTTGCGTCGAAGCTGCTCTGCCCGGTGGCTTTCAAGAGAGCGCTTCTGGCCTTTTTGGTTGTAAATCTCTCGTTCGGCATCGAAGCCAGGGCCTTCCACGTCACTTTTTTCGCCGTTCTCAATATCGCTAACAGCGCGATTGACTTGCTCCGCATCCACGCCTGGGGGCAAAGGCTTCCGTGGCGGTACACGGGGCGCCAGAGTGGACAGCTCCGACCCCGGCTTGGAGACTCCATTGGGGGCGAATGGCCCTTTCGCGAGGCTGACAGACTTCTCTGGGCTCGACCCTTTGTCCGACTTGTGATAGAAAGTTCCCGGTACCGGACCCGAATCAGGGGCACGACGATCAGCATGTGAGTGTGCTTGCGGAGGTGATGCGACTGCCGGGGGAGTGGATGCTTTCTGTGCGGGTTGCTCTTCCGTTGGTCCCGAGAGAATGCTTGCAAAAGACATGGGGTCGGCGGCGCGAGCAGGCTTCTGCGTAACATCGTATGGTTAGAAAAGGGGAAGAGGAATGACAGACGCCGAAAAATTATCACAATCGGAGTTCGAGACCAGAGATCCGGGTGAGGGTCAAAACATACCGATTCCCGAAGGGGGGAGGCCGCTCTCGGTGCCGAGGGTGCATATTCTGCTCCATTGCTTCTCACCCGATATGGTGACTCTGATTCCCGTGTCGGGGACTGTGAGTGGCCTTCCGGTCGGCCAGAGGGAGGCCCATGTGGTGTGGACGGGCCATAGGGCGATGCCCCGTTACCCGACATGACCGAGCTTGAAAAGGGACGTGGAAGCGGAAGGCCGGTGTTGCCACTGGTCGAATGGCTGGGGTATTGTGACGAGGACTCCGGGTGGGTAGATGGAGGAGCCGGTGCCGCGCCGTTCAAGGGCGGGGGCAGAGAAGTCGGCATTGGCGAAGACGCGTGGGAGAAGTGTGGGCTTCGCGAAACGGAGGATGGACCGAACGCCGGTGGGGTCTGGGGAGGATGGGGCGAGTACGGTGGCTGCTGTGGTTGCTGTTGTGATTGCGGCTGCTCATTGCTTGGAAAGAACGGGCGGTTCTTGCTGGGCGATTCGTAGGAAGGAAACCGATGCTGTTGAGTTGGGGACTGGGCGTTGTATGGCGGAGCGCCCGTCATGATGGTCACGTCCCCGGCGCTGAGCACGCGCAGTCAAGAGAAGGGGCGTAGAAAGCTTGGGAACGAGATGAAAGAGGATGAATTGGATGGAGTGAGAGGTCAGATACAGCGCGTGAGACCCATGGATAGTCGGTGTCAAGGGGGGGGGTCGAATTAACAGGGCGCTAGTTCTCGGGGACCTGGCGTGGACGCGATGTCAGCGAGAGGATTGGACCGGCAGAATGACAGGCGATGAAGAGGAAAGATGGTAGAGAATGAAATCGGAGGAAGTCGAGATGCACGTACTGGTGGAAGGATGGGGTCCGTTTGGAGGTCGGCAGATGCAGGAAGGAGGATCTTTGTGGCCGCGGACCCAAGCAGAGAATGCGCGGCTGGGCTAGGCGAGGGAGTAGGAGCGCCAGTTGACCCCAGATGAGCGTGGAGATGGTGTTTGTAGAGGGGGGATGGGGTTGGGGGTTGAGGGGAGATGGGGGTTTGATGGAGGAAAGGGGAGAAGGGAAGAGGAAGGGAAGTCGGGGAGGTTGAGATGCTGGGAAGGGGAGGAGGCGCAAAGAAAGGGGACCGGCAAACGATGCCCTTCAGACGTTCAACTCTCGTCTGCTGCTCGACTCACACCCTCCGAATCCCCGCCGCCGGGGCACCGGAATGGGGCAGATCGGCTCGGTCACCCTCCTCAATCGTGTCGAAGTTGCTTGATATCGTGGGCTGGACTCGTCACGAAACTCCGACAGGCTGAGTCCCTGTGGTCCCAGGGCGCGAGGCATCCATACACACCGGCGCGAGCGATGAGCGTGATGCGGAGCGCGATCACCACCGTTCTGGAGATTCGTGGAATTCTACGCGAAAGGACCACCAGATATCGGCTCTCGACAGTGTTCTACGTGGTGCCTAGCAGAGACTCTCGATCTCCGTCATAGTGGCCCGGCCCCCGGGCTGAGTTCTTGTCCATCTGAAGATTTCATCGCGGCCGATCCCGTCGGTTTGGGAGTTTCGGAGGGCGCTTGGGGATTCGTCTACCTCCCCAAGCCCCAGCTAACTCGGACCCGATCACCTCCGCCCATCCCGGGATTGGATGCAGCTAACAAGGGAAGACAAGAGAGGACTAATATGTTTCTTGTCGCCCATCCGGACCGTCAGTCACAACAGTCACGTCCATTAGCGTCGCCACTGTTCGGTCATGCTGTAACTGCGGGCCGCCAAGGCCGATCCATGCGTTGGACTGGTCTGTTCAACTACTCAATTGCTCAAGGGGAGAGCGCCAGAACACGGATCCCACGCTCCCCGCCCCTCCAACGACCTTGTGTTCTCTCTTTTTCTCGCTCGCTCTATCTGACGGGAGATGTAAAATCTACTTCCATCAGAGTCCTGGTTTCTATAGTTCTGGAACTAGGCTACGCTAGAGGTCGATCATCGCGACTCGCCCTACTATACAGATATTCCCCAAGCCCGGTCCAAGTCTGGTTCCAGAAGCCTATCTGGATGAATGTCTTCAGCGGAAACTATCCCTTCAGAGAGATCTGCATTTGCTTTTCTTTTTAGGGGGCGGGTTCTAATCGGAAACCCCCAAGCCTCAATTCTCGTAGTTCATTCGCGAGCCCGATTGCTAACGATGACGTACTCCGCACTTCGCCATTTAGTTGGATGTCGGGATGATTTGTGAACCCCCTATGGTTCTGCCTCTTCCCGCGTAAAATACCTGTGGTAGAATCGGCAGGCATGCATTGGAACTCTCTCCGAAAGAAATTACTTGGTCCGACCGACTTGTATGGATGGATTCGAGAAGCACGGGGTACAGCCAGCATTGGATCACCTGACGTGTAGTAGTTGGTAGTAGTAGTTAGTAGTATTTAGTATAGTATTTAGCATAGTAGTTAGTATAGTATTTAGCATAGTTGTTAGTATAGTATTTAGTATAGTAGTTAGTAGTAATCAGTAGTAGTTAGTATAGTAGAAGTAAAGGGTATATTTATGTTCGGCGGGTGGGACTCCCGTTCCCACGAACCCCAACTGCCTTCATGCACTCACTTGATCGGGGTATGCTGCCAACGGTATGAGTGCGCATGCTTCGAAAGCATCGTAAGTATTTCTATTATGAACTACGTATATCCTTCATATGCAACAATCATCTCGGCAACCGTTTCCCGGACGCTTCTCCCCGTTCTTTCTTATCCTCTTGGTTACTCGTACTGGTATATACCACCACCACCGCAAGCACCATATGCTCCTGCTCCTGCTGCTCCTACCAATGTTGATCTCGATATGATACGCCGTCGCAAAAGCTCTAGCAGTGCGGAAAGAGCGGGGAATCGCTAGATATTTGACATCTCAAAGCATCTTCTGGAGATCATGCCACTAGATCGTATGGCAGTGGTGACTTGGTGCCCATCCAAAGCGGAGAGTGGGATGAGCCCCTGCTAGATAATAGTAGTGAATCCTCGGTCGGATTCAATCCAGCCCACGAAACGGACAAAAAGCCCCCTCGGTCAACAACACATTGATCCGGTCGTGAATTGCGGGGGAAGCGCTGGAATGCGTGGACGTGGACGTGGTCGCGATTCCCCCAAGGTACACGAGGCCCACCCGAATCTTACAACAGGCGAGACCCTTGTTTTTTTCTCATCTCGATAATCATCTCAAGGCGCAACATCTCCAATCATTTTCAAGTCCAGAATAATTGAAAGGAGGATGTGTGGCATGATTCTCGGAGATCGTTGCGACGTGGCGCGGGGGAGAAAACATCCGGTGGTGACGTCCTCCACTCCGCCTTGCTCGCTGCGAGTCTGGCACTCGCCGAAACTCCCACCGGCCAACTTCCCTAGACAAGGCGTCGCAAATCCCGGTCGAGTCAGACTCTGACGTAGAATGCTCGGGCTCTGATTCCTTGACCAGGCTCTGGACCCCCGGGTCTTGCCTTCTTCGGCGGGGGGAAGCAATGCATGGCAGAAGTCTTGGAGCGCAGCCATGCAGCCCAAGGGGCAATTCCGGGACCAATTGGCCAATTGACCAGCAGGAGCTCAACGCTGTTCGATGTCAGTTTTTTGCACTATACTGAAGCGGCATCTTTAACCCAGGAGCCCGGAGCTCCGAGGCAGGGGCCAAACCGGTCACGCAAAGCACGAGTTTGTGTCACGGAAACGGCGTGAAGACAGGACACGATCCGGTCGTCCATGGATTCAGGAACCCGGACACGCCGGATTATGAGACGGTGGGGAGATGGAAGAGCCAATGGACAGAAGCACAAGGCCATCTCGATTATCCGGCTTCTCTAAAGCAGGAGATCGGGAATTGACCGAGCCCGTGTTGCCATCATCGACCTTTGATATCAAGTTCTCAAGTGGCACCACCCGCGCTGACGGCCTCTGGTACTTTGTGTACTTGGCTTCCCACAACTGATTGAGGGACTGTTGAACACGGGAGTCCAGGGGGCTGCTACTTCTTCTTTAACAACACTGCTCCCCGTCAAACTTTCACTTGTCTCTTCTCTGCCTCCCTCAACTCTTGCCCGGCTACATCACTATCCACCACCACTCTCATTCCTCTCGGACACTTTCTCTCTGACCAGACTCCATCACGACTACGACTTCCGCAATGCCCACCATTCCCTCTATGCAGTGGGCGCAAGTCGTCGAAAAGAAAGGCGGCCCCCCAATTTACAAGCAAATCCCCGTCCCCAAACCCGGCCCCGATGAAGTCCTCATCAAAGTCAAGTACACCGGCGTCTGCCATACCGACCTTCACGCCATGAACGGTGACTGGCCCATTCCCCTGAAACTGCCGCTCGTCGGCGGCCACGAGGGCGCCGGCATCGTCGTTTCCAAGGGCGAGATGGCCGCAGGCGTCGAGATCGGCGACCATGCCGGCATCAAATGGCTCAACGGCTCCTGCTTAGCCTGCGAATTCTGCAAGACCGCTGACGAGCCGCTGTGTGCGGACGCGGCCCTCTCTGGCTACACCGTTGACGGCACCTTCCAGCAGTACGCCATCGGCAAGGCAGCCCACGTCACCGTGCTGCCAAAAGAGGTCCCGCTCGACGCGGTCGCTCCGATCCTGTGCGCCGGGATCACGGTCTACAAGGGTCTGAAGGAGTCCGGGGCGCGGCCCGGGCAGACCGTGGCCATTGTGGGCGCAGGTGGTGGGCTGGGGTCCCTAGCGCAGCAGTATGCGAAGGCGATGGGGTTGCGGGTGATTGCGATTGACGGCGGCGACGAGAAGCGCGCGATGTGCGAGAAGCTCGGTGCGGAGGTTTGTTTCCCCTTGCGATCACCCTAGGAGAGGAATTGAACAAGACCCCTAACGATCCCATTCGACAGGCTTATGTGGACTTCACCAAGTCCCAGGACCTCGTTGCAGACGTCAAGGCCGCCACGCCTGGCGGTCTCGGTGCGCATGCTGTGCTCCTACTCGCTGTGTCAGAGAAACCATTCCAGCAGGCTGTTGAGTACGCACGACCTCGGGGTGCGATTGTAGCTATCGGTCTTCCAGCACATGCGTTCCTCAAGGCTCCTGTCTTTGAGACCGTGGTGAAGATGATCAATATCAAGGGTAGCTATGTCGGCAATCGCCAGGATGGTGAGGAAGCCGTTGGCTTCTTTGCTCGCGGTCTGATCAACGCGCCTTTCAAGACTGTTCCCCTGGAGGATCTGCCGAAGGTGTTCGAGCTCATGCGTAAGTATTCTCCGAGTCACTTTGGGCCCGTGACTGGTTATCATGCTAATACGAGAAAACAGAGCAAGGCAAGATCGCCGGACGATACGTCCTTGAGATTCCTGAGTGAAAACACTGATGGAAATTGAACATGGTGCTGTCTTCCGAGGATATGGAGAGCTTGATAAATATCCGGCGAGGCAGACCACATATCCCATGGGTGCAATTCATGACCCTACATAATCTATTCATTAGGGCATTTAACGAGCAATGACGTCTTCTATTTACACTCCGTTCCCACCCCATAAACTATATGCCCGCGAGTATCTGGGAAATGTACCGAGACAGAGAAACCTGCTCCGAAAGAAGAAAACTAGAATGGGAAATTAGCCCAAATAAATAAAAAGGTCAACACCTTGACTCTCAATCCTTCCGAGAACAATCTATATACAAAAAAATCCCCACCGCAAAATATCTACTCCAGTGTCTTCTCCGATGCTCCAGTTCCAACCGCAGCAGCCTCAGCCTCGATCTGCTTGCCCTCATCCTCCGGGCTGACCGTAGTCTGCGGACCATGGAACGTCTTCTTCGCATGAAGGAAATAATAAGCCAGCGCGCCTATCCAGAGCGCCCCATTGATAACGATCGTGTAATTCATATCCTGAGCTACAGAGCCAAAAGAAGAGAAAGAAGGAATTCGGGTTAGCAACGTTCTCTCTGTCTGCAGAGTTTCGAGGAAATTCCAACTTACGCGACGGATCCGGGCCCTCGGTGGGGATCATCGAGAGCACAATGGCGAAGGCCATATAGATGACGGCAACCCAGGCAATCGGGCGGCTGAGGTACTTGCCCGTATAGAAGTCACCCGGGACGAAGCGGTCCTCGCCCCAGAGCAGACGAGCCAAGATGGGAGTGAGCCAGGCGAGGTCGTTACCAGCAACGGCGAGCGAGAAGAGGGCGTTGGCAGCAGCGTTGTCGATCAGCGAGAGGAGGCCGGTGACCACGGCCATGACGATCACGCCGCAGACCATGCGCACGGGCTGGTACTTAGTGAACTTGCCCTGGCTGACTTTGCGGAAGAACCAGGAAAATGGTAGCGCGCCGTCGCGCGAGAAGGCCCAGCTTTGGCGAGAGGCGGCCAGGACCTAGGGACGTGGATTAGTTGGCGGAATAGACATGGGAGCGACGAGAAACACGAACAATACTGAGGCCCATGAAGAATTGGACGATGGCGTTGACGGCCATGAATCCGAGGGCGCCTTTTTTTCCAAGAGCATCGTAGTAGATCTAATAGGGATAGAGTGTCAACAACGCACTCGTGAAATCGGATACCAGTCCAGCCAAGGAGCACATTACAGCTAAATCAACATACCTGTGCCATGGGTTGGCCAAACTTCGAGTTCAGGATACTGTCGATATCCTGACTCATCGAGGCCGCGATGCAGCTCATTGACAAGAACCCTAAGATGCCACAAGCGGCAATGGAAGAAATGATTCCGAGGGGCACGGCGCGAGTAGCATGGGTCGCTTCTTCACTCATATGAACGCAGGAGTCAAAGGCGCCGATAGTCCAGATAGGTGAGAGCCAGGCCAGCATGAAAGTCCAGCCGGCGGGCCAGGTGGTCAGATTCTCAACTTGACCGAAGACATACGACCCCGAGTTGATAGGAGGATTGTTCTCCGACTTCCCGACAGGCAGCGCGATCACGGTGGCCATGACGAGCGCAACATTGAGGAAGATGCAGACCGACTGGATTTTGGGCATCACTTTGCCGAAGAAGATGGCCATAACGCCGTGTGCGAAGACCGTCGCGACATATGTCCCATAGATAATCGGCCGAGTTGCCGTCCAGTTGCCGTCGCGGGTCAGGGATATCAAGGAGAGGAGCATGTTGGCGAATCCATCTAGTCATAGCAACCTAGGGTATCAGCGGATTTCTGGATCACGACCGCGGATATCAATAGAACTCAACGTACAGTCAATAGAGCAGAGACCTCCAATAAGCCCGAGGGTATTACTGTATCCAACCAGGAAGCTCAATGGGTTCTTCCATTTCTCAGCGCTGTAGTAATGCGTCCAGAAGTACAAGCCGCCGGCGGTGGGCATGGCCGAAGCCATATCGGCCTAGTAATTTGAAGCAAACGCGATTAGCGACATTTTATTGGATGAGGACAGGTTGAAAAGATATGATGCATACCATTGCCAGACCGACAACCATGATGAAGCAACTCGCAGCCAGCCATCCTATTATGGTGTCAGATAAAGTCTTGACGTATCAAGAAAGCTTCACGCTATCGGTACTTACCCTATTCATCTGTCAGTTAGTTTAAGTTTCTATTATTAAAGGAGACAGGCTTACCCAAACCATGCCAACGGGTCCAGCGGGCATTGAGAAGGCCAAGCTGGATGCGATTGAGGGCAGCAGGCCCATTATGCTGAAGGCCACCGCAAAGATCTGGATCGTCGAGTAGTGGCGGCGCAATTCCTGCTTGTAGCCAAGGGTCGCTGGCTAGCTATCAGCATCGAGCGAAACAAGAATGGCGGCCGTACTCCAATGCACCACGGGTCCTAGAGGAACTAACTCACCCAGAAGCTCCATATCCCCGGCCTCGGCAGGAGCCTCCACAATGGCCTCGGGGGCGTTGACATCGCGCGAGAGCGACTTTTTGATTTCGTCGGCCATGATGAACGCCAGTGACAGTCAGGTATTGAAGGTGAAAATTATTGAGAAAATAGAGAGAAAGGATAAGAAGGGCTGAGCGTGCCCGTACAACGTGAGAATGTGTCGAAGTAGTTTAATCTCAATAAAACAGACCAGGTGCACGGTTGCAGCACAACACGAAGCAACTGTTACACCAGCGGTCAGTGTGCTATGTGAGTTTGAATCCTGACCAGTTGTACCTAGCGTTCTCAAAAGAAGGGGGTTCTAGCAGGGAGACACAAGAAGCTATGAAGGAAATGCTATGCTTTAAACCCCCAACCCCTCCGGCAAATGCGACTCGCGATTCTCTTTCCATGTGAGGGGTTCGAGACACTTCAACCGCCTCCAAGCGGAATCGCCGGGACAATGCTCACCACCACCAACATCACCACCACTACCACCACCCCTCTGGCCTCGGGTCCACCGATAAAGGCTTGTTGGAGTTGGCCGTTTGAAAGCGGGGACGGGCTTGCAACAGGATTTGAGTGGCTGGCCACACTGGGCCGAAGCGAGATAATCATCACTATTTTGAGTCTGGCGCTTGGCACACTTGGAGCACCTCAGCGAGCCGGACGGGCAACGGGGCAACATTGAAGCAGCCAAGGAGATAAGAAGCGTGGGCGGGCTTCCGGTTGGTGGTGACCTACAGATAAGAAGCCTTTTTGCCAGGATAACGAGGCTTATTTTTTCTGGCTGATTGGCCACGTCTCGCGTTTCTTTCTCTCATTACTTGCCGCTTTAGGAAATTATCACTGGAGGCTGAAAATACTCTTTTGTCGGACTTTGCATTCGTCCCATCTTGTTGATGGCTCTGGCACTGCGGAGTGTTATTAACCTTATCACGCGTGGTGAACCAGATAAGTGATAAGACTTACCCCGGACTCGCCAGGTGGAGCCATGGAGCGGACTAAGGTCCGCTCGTGATCAAACACACGAAGGAACGCACCGCTAGCTGATTGGGCTCCAATCGCACGCGTCATACCATGCGAGCAGGACCCAAAAGGAGTTAATGTGAAATTGGATTGAATACGGTTTGATCGATGCTGTCTATTCTCCCCTTCCCCTTCCGTGTCATGCCACTTCAAACAGAAGCCAAGATCTCGATCTATGCAGACATTTATACAGATCTCTAGGGGAACATGATCCCCGCAACTCAACATGTATCATGAATTCTTGCAACCTCAAAAATCCCAGTTCTATCCTCCCAGACAAAGTACAAAATACTGGGAACACAGCCACCAGGGCTCCCGGTAAAGAAAGAAGAGGTGGAAGTGAACCCAAACCCAAACCCAAACCCAGACCCAGACCAGACAAACCCAGCTCAACCCCATACCCATTTCTGCAACCGAACAAAAAAGAATGCGAAAATAGAGGCAGCATCGGCCAGAAGAAAGAGAGCGTTTTCTGCTTACGGCAATGCAAAACTCCCGAGGTAACGCGAACAGAAGGTACGAAAACAAGGGGTGGGAGGGCTAAATATACATTCAGATTTGAGGAAAGAGAGAAAAAAAAAGAGGAAAGAATTGATCAAAGAGCAACCAATGCAAGCGGGAAGAATATCCATTTCATTTCTTCCATGAGGTATCACGAAATAATGTCATCAAACTGCCCCCGGTCCCTTATGATTCGACTGGTCTAGCAGCAGCTTCGGCTTAATATAATCTTCATCCAACTGGCGGAACCACGCGGCGTGATCGCCCGAGGGGCCACCAGAGAAGAGGTCCCGCAGGGCTTCACGCGCGGTGAGACCCTGTTCCCTATGAGCGGGAGAGGCGGTGGTGGAGACATCGTTGGGCGAGGGGGTGTGGGTACCAGGGGAGGGGTGTGAGGAAGTGCGCCGGAGACGCGAAGCGCTGCTCGCAGCGGGGGGAAGATCATCGTCAGATATGCCATCCAAGTCAAGGTCGAACTCGTCCGGATGGGCAACTTGGTTCGAGCGGCCTTTCCCGCTGGGGGGCAGACCGAATTCGTCGTCGCTGCCGTTACCACTACTGATGCTGCGACTACTAGGCCCGACGCCGCCCCCGTTGAGGAGTGTGGCAGTCGATGAGCGATCACGACGCGATTGGGCGTCCTTGGGGCTGTACGCCGCAGAGTACATTCGAGTGTGGCCCTGAGGCGGGCTTGGACGGCGGCTATTGCCAGTGGAATAGCTGTCAGCGCGGACGCCTTGGCCATTGCGTGGAGGGTTTGTGACTCCGTCGAGAGGAATGGTGAAGTCGGCTCGGCGCGGAGTATAGCCCAGAGCAGTGTCGGAACGTTTGTAATAGGTACCTCCATGAGTTACCTCAATATCGAACTCGTCGTCGGAGTCAACCTCCTCGACAACACCAGTCCGAATACCTAGGATCTCCAACATCCGGGCAGTGGTGCCTCCAAAAATGATCACGGTCAGCACAACGACCACCAGGACCGTAGCACGTAGCGTGGGCCCATTGGCGCCGGAGAGACCTGCGGCTAAGGCAACACCGACAGCACCACGAAGGCCGGCCCAGAAAAGCATTGCTTGATAAGCGAAAGGCAATTCGTCCGCGACTTCCACGCCGCGACGCCGGGCTCGGTACCGAATGAACCAATTGATGGCTTTGGACAGAGGGAAGACAGCTAGGTAGCGTGCAAGACAAATGCCAAGAACTGCCACAAAAATGAACAGAGGGTTGAATTGAAGATGCGACTCAACGAAAAGGTCCAGTCCCAGATAGATGAAGATAAAGTTCTCTGACAGCTGCGCCATGACCTGGAAAAGGTACTTGGTGGTTAGTTGGGTGCGGCGCGACATATTATAGTAAGCGTAATGTTTGAGAGTGATTCCACAGAACAAGAGGGACACAATGCCTAGACCGCTGAATTAGCTCTCATAACCACTGGCTGGGAACTCCTAAAGCTCTCCATTCTCCTCGCGAGGCAACGCTAGGTTTTGGAGAGTTGGGATAGGAGGTCCAGCTTCTATCGTTAGAAAGACTCACCAGAAAGATGCACGCCATTAGAAAAGAAATAGCTGGCGTAAGCAATGAGCACGATCAAACAGCTCTCGATCTTCGGCATGCGCCGCACATGCGTGTACTTGAGTCCCAGAGCGGTAGCAATACCAACCAACATACCGACCAACATACTGCCAAAGAAGACGAGCAAGAACAGCCCGATAGCCTCGAACAGATTCAAAAAGGTTAGCGAGCTAGCCTCCGACTCTGCATACTTCTGCGCAGTCTCGAAGAGAACGATGGCAATCGCATCGTTAAGAAGCGCCTCACCGAAAATCACGGTATACAGTTTCGGTTCGACCTTGTAGAGGTTGAAGATGGCCAGGATGGTGACCGGGTCTGTCGCGGAGAGGGTGGCGCCGACGGAAATAGCCTCGACAAAGGAGATGTTCAGGCCATCCAGCGGGATCCGTGTCCATAGGAAGAGAACGAGGCCCAGGACGATGGCCGAAATAAAGGTACCAGCGAAAGCGAAGGTGAGGATCGTGCCGATATGGCGGAAGAAATTCGCCTGGTGGAGTTCGTAGCCCGAGGCGAGGATGATTGGAGGAAGGAGAAGGTTGAAGAAGAACTGATAGTCGAAGGCGACGCTGTCCTGGAGGCTGGAGCCCGTGAGTCGGATAATCAGACCGACAAACATGCCTTAGAAATCGTCAGCGAGATATAATTGAGACTTCTCTTGGCTTCTTGCTTCGAGCACAAGTCTCGTATCCACCACCAAGGTATCCGCAGGGTGTCTCTTACCGGCAAAAATTGATAGGACTGTTTCGTGGACAGCTTGGATCTTCCGCTGCTGGAGGATGTAGCTCGTAAACAGGGCAAACATCAACAGCATGATCATGATAAACAGCGCCCAGGAGCTTGTAATCTCCTTAGAGCCTGCCTCGGGGGCATCTATTATCCAAAGTTCATTGTCAGACCGCCGCGACACCTAGACGGGGCATATCTTCATCGAACGAGGGGGGGGTTGGAGGGGATAGGAGCCGGGAGCTTATGCTTCGTACCATCGGGATCAGTATCTTCCGCCGCTCGTCCTGGAGGAAGACCAAAGAGTTAGTATAGACGTCCAGAAAATTAGACCGCTCCAGAGCGACACAGTTGTAGGGAAACGTACGGAGCAGAGCGTGGAACGCTTCGCCCATGAGTTGACCAGCCATCGCGGCTCAATCAGGGACCTCCGAGGGTCCGGCGCGAAAGACAGCTGGCAGCTAACACCTGCGGCAAGTTAAGACAGGGCAGGACCAGGCGCGCATAATCTGCCGGCAGAGTGCGAGCAGGATGGAGACCAAGATAGGTAGTGCAAGCCTGGATAGAAATAGAATTTAAGGTGACAAGACTTGGAGTTTCTGAGTTGAGTTGCATCCGCCGAGCGGAGGGACAGATCGGGGGGCTCCTGTATGGTATACGAAGTACAAAACACATTACGAAGGAGGCGCTGAAGGTGGCGAAGGGGCCAAGTGCAGAGGCGTATTTAGGTAACGGAACAGTACTGTCACAGAATAACACTGAATCTGACACGTGGTCCACTGAGTGCCGCGCAACTGCCAAGAAGCGGGCGGCAGGCTTAGGGGCCGCGTTTATTCTGAGGGCTTTTGTCGTGCGAATAGGGGCTTCGGGACTACATCTTCTCACAGTACTCAAGAACCATGAGCGGCTGTATCAGGACCATTGGCAAACAGCTATCTGTTAAAAAGATTGTGTCATGTCCCTGCTCCCCCCTTACATTCAAGGTGTGAACACCAATTGCATCCCCTGACCCACTTCCTCCGGACAACATCATCGGTATGTCCAGGTGGGACCCATTCACAAGGCGCGTATGGGCACGAGCCTCGTAACCCAGCAAACTGGATCTAAAAATAAGGAGTGCAGTAGAAGCGGTATTAAATCAATCCTTCTACGCCTGTCTGCCCTCCGCTAGTCTCTTCGTCAACCACGCTGCGGCCAACGCAGCACATCCGCCAAATCGGAGAACCCATCCCACGCTGTCATCCCAAGGTTCACCGCGTGGTTTCTGCGTGACTTTGAAAATAGCACTGCAGATTAGGCTAGAGAAAATCTGAGGAAAGGAGACGGCCATATTATGTAGACCTAAGACAATTCCCGCTTGCGCAATATTTGCCTCGGAGTGTGCCGAGTATTTTGCCCGGCCGTCTTCGACATCATGTTCGCGGCCACGGTCTTCGAGATCCCGCGGCTCATCCTCGCTGGACACCGGCACATATGAGCTAGAGGTGGTATCGTAGCCTCCAGTGCGAGCTTGGCCCGAACTAGATGCCCCCGACTGGTCCGGATGTGTATGCCGGGTCACATCAAAGCGGGCGACTTCGGCGGAAATCAAAGCGAACGGCGCCCATAGCGCCAAGGCCCAGCAAATACCGACAATGCCGATAACCACTGATCCAGCAGGATAGGAGGAGATGAATAAAGTACTGAACATGCATAGTGCGAAGAGAAGATGTGAAAGGAGCCATGTCCGACGCAAAGTCAAGCCGGGAATCTGCAGCCGCGAAAGCCAAGTCGGTTTCCCGTCTGCTCCAATACGTTTTCCAGCGCCTACCTCAAGCAGTGGGTCTGCAGCAGTGCCGACTGGAATGCTAGAAATTGATAGCCGCCGAGGTGCTTCTTCTTCTTCATCTTCTTCATCGTTTTCTTCCCCATTGTCATGTGCCACACCCTGTGCCAGCGGGGCACTGGTCTCCGAGACTTGTCCATACGTAGGAACCACGAAGAGCGGCATGAGGATATTCGCCAGGAACGAGATGATAGCGTATATGAGGAGAGCAGAAGTCCCGATTCGAGTGGCGTCCTCCCAGATCTTGTCGATCTGATCACCCGACATATCGGGATGGTCTGCAAAGATAGGATTGACGTACAATTGACCAACATACGTCGTTGAATAGAACAGGAATGGGAACCAGCCTACCCATGCAGCCACCTGTACCTCACAGACGCGTGCAATCTGCGGCGGTAGATTCTGAATAGATTTGAACACCTGGCGGAAGAAGGAAACGAGACCGAGGCCATCTGAAGAAGGGGGCCCCTCGAGTCTGGGATCGCGCTCCTGAATGTAGAGACAGCTGGCTAGTAAGGTGAAGATGAGGGAGAAAGAAGCCAATGCACAAAGGACTTTGAACTGCGTATTTCCCAAGAACGGTAGAATCGCTGGTAGATCCATATAACCAAAGCTAAATCCTAACATATTGCCAATCCCTGTGACTCGGCTAGCCCAAGCGTTGGCTAGCTCCTGTTGATGAGCAGGGCAATTATCGACAATGAATGCTCTAATTGCTGCCTGTACTAAAGAGTGCAACACAAAATAAGAATATTAGCTTCCGGCTGCAAGGCCCGGAGATAGGGTGGGGAGTTGAGGGTTACCGGTATTGATGGCAAAATCAAGACAGAACATCACGATAGTGGCGACAGCAATGGTCGTCCATTTCGTGCCGCTAGATTCTCTATCGATGCCAAATATCGATAGAGTACCGCCCACAATCTCACGTACCCAAGCAAGACAAAGCAGCGATACCACCGTGGCGGCGGCGCCCACCACCATGAATGGCTTCCTCTTGCCCCATGGTAAACGGCAGTTATCACTGCGAATGCCGATATAAGGCTGCACCAAGGTGCCGGTCAGCGGCCCAATGACCCAAACGACCGCAAGGAGAGACTTGCTCATCCCGAGGGAGAGCAAGAAAGGCTGTAGGGCGACCTGGTCAGCGGCGTTCACGCACAGCTCCCTCCCCAACCGCTTAGTTGATTCGCACGTACCGATCCATTTGACAACTCAACCGACCATACAACCTGTAGACTATATCAAAACCTCAGTATTCAGCACGCATTTCATATACGAGTATTCCCCACGCGAGGCATACCAGCGCAGCTCGGGAATAAGGCCGGGATCACATCACTTACCCTCCTATAGACACCGTCAGCAAAAACAGATACCAACCGCTCTTGGATGATTCATCCGTTCGGACCGCAGAGTCCTGGAAGGATCGGACCCTTGGCTCTTCTTGCTCTTGCGCAGTCGCCATGAGCAGCGGACCCTCGTGAACAACCGGTTCGCGCAACTATATGGAACGGCCGATAAGAGCAAGACCCACCACGATAGCCCAACGTTCAATAGGTGTGTGCGGAGCTCATACAGGCGGCTAGACGAGGGTTGGGTGGAATGGCGGAGCTTGTGTGCTTGTGTTGGGCGTGGAATCGCAATTTGGTAATTCAGGCGCGCGGAGAGTAAGTGCGGTCTTCTGTTGGCGTTGGGTGGGCTATCAGCCGTCAACAATCGTTGGTACCGGGCGATTAATCTATAGGGCTCCGGTCAGGAATGGCTGACATCTCGTGGATCGGGCGATCTGTTGTCGGTGCTCTGGCCTTCAACCACCAGGCTTGAACTCGGGTACAACAAGGGTTGGGAGGAGGTTGGGAGGAGTTTGGGGGGATTGATTATTCACAGAGCTACGTTCAGGCGTCCTGATCAGCAGCGACGTCAGTGCACGTGACGATCACGCCTTCTTGGCTGGCCCATGACTTGCAGGGAACTGAGGTATAGTTCTGTCCCCCACATTCCGTATTTTCCATCTGGATTAGGGCACCGGATCAGATAATTACTTCGATGTTCTCTCTTTTTCTTTTCTTTGATTTTGTTTGAGCTCGAGAGATGAATAAATTGTTTACGCGAGTATAAAATGGAAGTTAGAAGGATCTACAGTGGTGGCTCAACCACGTGGTTCGCAAGCCATCTTGTAGAACAAGACGCCTGCGTCTGGACGGGAGACAAAAGTGTTTCAAGCCAATTTTGGATCCAAGTCAATTCGTTAGATGTCTATATAAACTTAGCCGTGGAAAAGAGAAACAAACGGCGTACACACAGATACAAAGAAAACGACCAAAAAAATAAAAAAGAAATTCCAGCTCATCCGACGAGATACCCCGTATTCCAGTAAAAACAAGGCGGCTAGCAGTAAACGCAAGACCCAAATCCAATCACTGTCTCCCAAGATTCCCTCCCTCGGGAGAAATATGTACGCCACACGTTGCCCGTGCCCGTGCCCGCCAGGCAGATTCCCGCGGGTGTCGGAGCTAGAGTTTAGCACCGAGAACGAGGAGGCGATAATACAGAGATTCTTTCCTTAACCCAAAGCACAGCTAACCAATCGCAAGCCAGGACAAGATAATAAAAAAAAAACAAGACAAGATATCGAAACCAGGGCAGAGCATGCCATGCATATGTGCGCAAGACGACATCGCTAATATCACAGGCTCATTGGCTCATAGGCTCATAGGGTATGAGATGAGGTGCGACGCGATGTGACGGGATAGAATATACTCGGGGTGAATGGCCATTGCGGTGCAATAAAGGAGAGACCGGAAGGAATTAGACACCAGATCAAAGACGCCTAGGGGCGCCGAGAGATCAATCAAGACGAAGCCACGCCAAGTATATATAACTCGAAACAGAGCAAATGGTTTACATCTGCTGCTGCAAGAGCTGAGACGTGATCATCTGGGGTGCAGGAACCATAGTCGATAATGCAGAGGGCATGCTCATGGATGTAGCCATGGACGTCATGGACGGCATCTGGACCATATGGGGAGGGGCGGCATGATGCATTGGCGGGGATGAGTCTTCACCAGCCGAGTCGAAATCATTCCCGTCATTTTCAATCTCGAGGTCGTCTTCTGTTGCAATGGGCGCTTGGCCATCCTGCTGAGCTTCATGGATGCGACGGTGCCTTGGGACGACATGTTAGTAAATGGGGTAATTGTCAAGGGCAGGGGTAAGGGGGTGGCTGCAGGGTAAGCTTACTGTGCAAGGTTGTCGGAGCGGGAGAAGGCTTTGCTGCAGTATGGGCAAGGGTATGGTCGCTCTTGGGTATGTGTTCTCACGTGCCTAAGCGCCCAGGTTAGTCGGCGGCTAAAGAAAAATCTCATCACACCAGAGCTATTCTGCAGAAAGTCTGCAGAACCCCGCAGATATTTGACCCACATGGGTGGCAAGCCGGCGCGAAAGAAACAGGGATAGGGGAAATTAGTCTTACCTTTTGAGATGCTCTAGCCTCTTGAAGAGTCGCCCGCACGATGGGATTGGGCAGGAGTGGGACTTCTGGGGGTATGGTCCTAGCTCCATCATTGTGGCACTCCTGGCACGGCGTGCAGGGCCAGGACCCGCACGGTCTGATCGGCCAGTGCTGTTTTGAACCGCTGTTTCAATCGCTGCACTAGTCGGAAGAGCTGCCAGATCATCAGGGGCATTGGTCAAGGGCATGGAGTGCTGAGACTCCTCCATATTCTGCAATGGGGTCCCATGACGCGAGATTTCGTGCAGCAGATCCTTCTGTGGAAGGACGGCGCTTGGGTAGCTGCGCGACAGATCCGGCCCAGTTTCCTCTCCCTCCGTAACTGGAGCCACCGAGCTGGACACGGACCGCCTCAGGTCGCTGGGGCGGTGCGCAGCATAGGCGGTGGGCTGTGTGGAGGGAGCAGTGTGAGGAGGAGGACCAGTCACGGCGCCAGGCGTGCCCGTGGAAGACGCACCCGGGGTCACGGATGGACGCCGCCTCCGCTGCTTGTAAGTAGGGGAACCCTCCATAACCGAGTAGGCATTGGACGAAAAAGGCCGGGACACGGTCGGGTAAGGGCCGGCTGTAAAGTTCGATGGCGGTAGCTGCATCATGGGGTTGTTGTATGGCGCTCCATTGGCAAGATCTGGAATGGCCGTGTACAAGCCAGTGTCTTCATTAGCAATGTACGCGGGCTCAGCTCCAAGTCCAACTGAATGTTGCGGTGGGGTCACTGGCTCAAAGGACAGACCACGGTTGCTGTAATCCTCATATTGCGACGAGACAAACGATGGGGCCGGTGAGTACTCGTAGAAAGTCGGCATGGAGGAATGGCGCTGATGGATGCGGGCGATGGGCATTCCGCTACGGTCATACTGGATGGGGCCGTAGTCTTGTTCGCGTTTAATAATGCTCTGGACTAGATTGTTCGACAACGGCATCGGGGGATTGGTGTACATCGTCGGGTTGGCCGAATCGTCCTGAAGGAGCGGAATCGCTGGGGGAGCCATCTGGGGAGGAGGCATTGCGTCAACGGTCCGAACCACGGGGGAACTGGGCTGGCCATATGTCGTACTTGCGTGGGCGTGGGCAGCAAACGAAGACGAGTTGGCTTGTTGTGCCTTGGTCAACTGCTCATATAGGGACTGGGAGGAGTCGAATTCGAAAGACAAGGCCGGTTCGCTGACCGCCACAGTGGTGGCTTCCTGGCCCATCTTCTCACGTTTCAAATCTCGCTCGAGCGCATCCAGGAAGAGCCGGTCGTGGGGCACGCTGTACCAATAGAAGACCTTCTGCTTCTTCTGGGTCCGGATACAGTTGTTCTTGTACAAGAAGTCCAGGAATGCGCTCTTAGGTTCTTCCAGAGTGGCATCCGTGCCCGCCTTCAGATTGCGCAGATCGGAAAAGATGCCCTCTTCGAACTTCTTGGAGTTCTTGACGGGACGGCCGAAGGCCTGGAATCGAAACGCGAGGCATCGTACGATATCGGTACCGGAGATATGGAAGAGGTTGCTCCTGTAGACCGGCAAGAGCCGTAGATTAGTTGGGAGTGTTCATCGCGCGCGGAAGACTCGATACCCAGCGCCAGTTCGTGCGTTCAATCACCACTTACCAGAGAATACACGAGACGTAATCCCCCGTGGGGAGGAGGAAACGGCGAATCAACTGATCGGGTTGCCAGTCGACGGGGGCCGAGAGAAGGAAGTATTTCACTAGGCTGCAGTTAGTTGCACGGGCTCTATTATCTTGTTCCGCGACTGAGAAGGGCGTACAATTATCCACTTGCTGCAGGGCGACTTGCGCGTCATGTGGCAGACTTTGTTGGGCTTCGGTCGATAGCATAAACGTTTCCGGCTTCTGAGGCGGTGCCATCGGGGCACCAGGGTGGGGATACATGGTCTACAAGTCCACACACGCACTCTGCAAGACGACCGTCAGTATCGATCCGTCATCGGGGTCAGGAACATCGGGCGTTGGTCAGGTTCGCCAAACACACGACTGGGTCTGCATACGAATCCACCCGGCCGACTCCCCTGCTCCTGCTGATTCTGCAGATGTTGCGAATCGGCGATACGGGTCCCGAGGTCTGCACTCACCGTTTGATGTATGATTCAATACAGCCGTGGTGGGATCAACAAGGCGCGGGTCGTCAATGTCCACGTCGCAGGAAAATCACGAGCGGAATGCACTTTTGGAACGAGGATCTCGAAGTCGGGGGTCGATATCGGGGTCGATCGGGCGTTGGCGCGGCGGAGGATCATACGCGATCGACGGCGAACACACAAAAGAGGACCAGCCTCAAGATGGGGGAGGGAGAGCGGGTTGTCGGCGAGACAAAGAGAAAAGGCTAGAGAAGAAAGAGGGTTGCCAGAGAGTGCACTGGGCCAGCCGGTCGGGTCTCTGGGAGAAATTCTCGCACAGCGGAACAGAAACGAAGGTGAAGAGAATTCGGGGTCAGACGGGGTCCAGGAGAAGAAGTAGGGGGGGGGGAGAGAGAAAAAGGATACACAACGTCAGTGAGGTCGGTACTCACCATGCGGGTACTAATAATAATTAAGAGGTACCAGGGCTCCCGTCCTTCTCTCGTAATGGATCGCAGCAACATGGACGGTACCTCAGGTACTGGCGAGTCCGGACAACAGCGCGAAAGGCCAGACAAGCGCCCCAGACCCTGTCGAATTACATGTTCGAACCGGTATTGACCACGCTTGGCAGGCGCTCCGTCTCGATGCGCTCTCTCATCGTGAGGGGAAGCGGAGGGGAAAGGGGAGGGAGGGGGGTGGCCCCGACTGGCCCGAACGAATTACCGCGTCACGACTGGTTCTATACTGGGTCCATACGACCATACCACGATACGGCCACCCAGAGGGCCCGAGTCCCACTTGGTTGCGCCCACGCCGGCCACGCTGATTAGTTACGCGGGCCCCGTTGGACCAGTGAGCCTGCACGTCCGGACGCTCCTGGTCCAACCAGTTACCCAGTCCAGCGCTACCTGGTTTTTGGTCCACCAGAGCCCGACTCATTCCTGCTATTCTCACTGACTCTGCGGCTATAGTTCATCGACCGGGTCGGTCCTAGTTGCAGGCCTCATCGCCAACCCTGCCAATGCCCGACCAAGCTCATCAACGAGAAGGGTTCACAGTCCAACACAACGAACTACTTCGTCCCCCATTCCAGTTATTGCTGAAGGTCCTGAAGGTCCTGAATGTTCTGAATGTTCTGAATGCCCTAAACAGGTCATCGGTGCGGATAATCCCAAAATACAACACCTTTCCAAAAAAAGAAAACAAAAAAACAAAAAACAAATACTGTCGAAAAAAATACGTTTCTCTCCAGACTGGAAAAATGGATGAGCAAAATAACGGAACTCAAAAAGAAGATCTAAAATAACACCCAAGGGAACAAAAAACAATAATAATAAAATCAAATAAGATCAAATAAATGAGGGAAAAAATAAAATCAAAAAACAAACAATAATGCCCGGCCCAGAACGTCCTACGTACTATTTTTGCGCTCCGGGTCCTTCCTGCCCACCTCCTGGTCCCCTTCTCGCTCTCCCACTGGCCCTGGTCACGGGCCGGGTCTTGTTCCTGACCGATAGATCAGTCGGATGCCCCGGACAGACGTGACAGGACTGCAGATGTCGTCTGTGTGTCCGACGGGCTTGGAGAAGATCCCTGGCGAAAGGGAAGAGGAGGGGGGGGAGGAGTCAACGGGAGGGCCAACAGGAAGCGAGGCGGTGGAGACCCGGTCGTGCCAAGCCCGCGCAGGTCCAAACTGGCGCTGCGACCTGAAGCACTGAAGGCACCTGAAGCAACCCGCTGGTGGTTTCACGCTTGGTGGGCGCTTACCTGCAGCCATTGAAACGGCCTCCTTCCTCCCCTCCTTCTGCTCATCCCCTTTCCCCCTGGTGCCCATCTTTGCGATTGGTCACACCGGGGCCCAGTCCCTCATGCTCAACATGGGCACTATGGCTAGCATGGCATGGCTCGCATGGTCAACAGGGTCAACAGGGTCAACTCTACGGAACCTGAAAAAAAAAAAAGAAAAAGGAAAAGAGAGAGAGAGGAAAAACAACACCCTCCCCCTTCTTCTAGTGCAAAGAATAGAATCTCAACACTCCGGAACGTGGTCCAAGAGCTGCTGTGTAGAGCCCGTTCTAGCGGCGCGCTCCACCCTCCCCGTTTCTGCTAATTCTCCGATTCCTCGGTCAGACTCGAGTCCCTCAAGTCCTCGACGGCTGTGGCTTAAGCTGATCCCCTTTTCCCGATTTTCCGGACGGTCTTTGGAGATCAGACTTGACATATCAGAATCGCTCGGCACGACGAGTCGCAACGAATGACCCGAGGAGCCACTATCCATGGTGGCTTCGTCCGAAATGGCTCAAGAAATCCCATCGGCCCATGAGGGTCAACTGATCAAATCATCAAATCCTCAAATCCTCCATGACGTTTGCAATGGCTTCGTCCAGTCGAAGTCGGCACTTCTAGACCATTCGCATTCACCCCCTCCCTTCACCCCCTTCACCCCCTTCACTTCCTTCAACCCATCAATACCTGGGCTCCACGCTCCACTGCTTCCCTGCTTTCCTGCTCCCTCCCTGTTGTGGGTTCCTCCCGACCCCTGCTAGTCTGCTCAGTCTCTCTCTCGTTCGCTCCCTTTCTTCCGTCGTCCCCCCTCCCGATAGATTAAGTGGCGGGCCCCGAGATTCCCCCGGTGAGAACTGTACCTGGGTGCCGTCCGTTGCCGTCCGCGACCGTCTGGAGTGCATGCAGTAGGGCTGGCAAATTTCTAGCTCGCCCCGTTTTCCTTCTCTCCTGATCCAATTCCCTGGATCCATTTTGCCACGAGTCTCCCCGGGAGCCACAGGCAAGGATGGGTTTATACATTTGTGTGTACCGGTACTTCGGGACACCGCGTCAGGGCTACGGAGGACCCAACATGCCCAATATGGCCAATATGACCAATACGTGCGTCGACGATGACGGGACATCCCGTCCAAGATGCGCTCCCTCGCATTGACATTCCAGGCCATTCAGACCGAACATTTCCAACCTAACACAGGGACTTATTCATCCTGAGGCTGAAAGACAAAAAAGTTACAAAGCTTGGCACCGCCCGGGCTCGGAGCCATGGTGGTTATAATGATCTACTCTTAAGAGGCGCGCAATCCCAACATCCAACACGCACCGGGTGGGTAGATCATCGTCGTAATAAGAATAGCAATCCTCACAACAGTTCATAATATGCCAACAATACAATAGCCGCGAGATAAAAATAATCTAACCTACCAACAGCCGTATTAAATAATACATCCCCATTTTGAATGCATAATAACATATACTACCAAGAATAGCACGCGCCTCTAGAAACCCGGTCAGACATTCTGATGGAAAGAAAAAAAAAATGCAAATTCTATTAGTCCGGTTCCTCATGGGGTTGCTGTTCCCGACCCTCTCCTCTCGAACCCAGAAACTATGACCATTTTTGTCTATCTTGATTCAAATGCAAATGGCTGGGGGGGACTACTAAGGGGGAGGCTCTGTTGTGACCGAAACATGCGTGGTCCAACATTTGGGTTCCCGCCGAACCCTCTTTGCTGCGTTGGCATGACTTTTCGGTGTTTTCTGGAAGCAGGATCCCCCCCCCCCCCCCGTCGGCGTCATCGGCTCGCCAATAACTCACGACTTACCCCCGGGAACTCTCCAATACCGTGCGCTAGGTAGTTTGGAGCTGCCAGGGCGAGCATGTCTCACTCATCATGCGGGTAAAATCCCAACCAGCCTCGTTCGTTGCCTCTTCTCTAGTCTGTCCGGACTTGGTGAGGGTAGGGCCAGGAATATCTAGCCGAAGGAAAATGTCTTACCTGGCCCAGTCGCCAGATTCGAATGTTTTTGCTCCTCAGCACCCAATCACGAAGGACTCGCACGTCGAGCGGGGAGCCCGAGTCCACTCCTCATTGCCTCCGCTCGAAGATAGACTCGGCATCGAGGTTTCAACTTCTGCGGATGGGGCTATTCCCCTGGACTAGCTCGCCGGCCTCGGACGCTGGTGGACCGCACGGGGCAAGGGGGGCGTATGGCCGGGTTTGATCGTCTCTCTTGAAACGATCGAGAAGGTCTAGCATTCAACTCAAAGTCTTGCGTGGGGCGAAGCAAGAATTCTCCGTATCAACGTCCCTGCGCAACACGATCCTGCAACCCGCCACAAGAGAAGACTACTAGACGCATTCCTCGAAAATAATCATCCGAAGCCCTGGCCCGATCCCAGCTCAGTTACGATCCTCGACCTTCCTCGCCTTGATGGCGGGTCACTGATCGGCCGCGTCGCTGCTCGCTCCAAGATTTGTGCGCTGGCCGACGGTTGCCCGTGTTGCAACTGGGCATGATCAACCCCCAAACCCGTGAGGTGACATGATCCTCGCTGCAAGCACAGAGTATAACGGCCCCGTTCTCTTCCCTCTTCTGTTTTCAGACCATTGCAGAATATCCAAAACAACTTCTCCCATCCCCCTGGGAGAAAGAGGGGGTCGCATGTGAAATGAACTATAGGTTTCCGAAAGGGTAACGTTGAGCCCGACTGAGCTAGTGCATACGAGCCAGGTTCTAAACCACTTTCCGGAATACCTCCGGCTGGCGGTTCCTGTACCCATGCAGTTGGCTGCTCTAGTCGAAAGTGTATTGCATCCTCCTCGAACACTCTTCCATGGCCTTCTTGGCCCAGCCTTCTTGTTTTTCTATCAGTCTTATCCGTCGGAGTCGGGCCACTGGTGCCGACAACAGAGCCATTGTGTGGATAGTTCGCATTCGCCATCCTCTGCATTGCGTCAACGCCCAGCCCACATATCTTTATCAGTGTTCACTTTCAAACCACGGCGTCTCAGCGGAGAGCATGCCATGCATCCGTTTCTGTCCACGCACAGCTTCTTGCCTCGATGCATCTCCACCTGCATCCTCGGATGTGGGCCACTTTTTCACAGAACCCATGGTATACGTTGCACGCTTACCCTCCACCTCTAGGGGAACTTTTTCATCGATGGTCGAATTTCACTTGGACAGTCAGGGAGGGGGGGGGCATGAATTGAAAAGGGAAAGGAGCAACAGAGGCAGAAACACCCAGTCTACTAGAATCCTGCGAGGAACTTTGTTCGAAATCGTAGTTGTACAGTGGAAGCCAAAAATAGAACCCTCTGTAGCCACGGGTATCCACCAATTCAGGTAATCGGTTCCGTTTACTCAGAAAGGTTATATATATTAGTTCTTGAGACGCATAAAAGTCCTTCTCTCGGCCACTAAAAATGAGAGTACGACTTTCCTGTCACTGAGCTCAAGATCTAGTCTTATGTTTGTATCTATCACTAAATTAGCTTTTCTTGTCACAAGCAGGATGAGGTGGATCATCACCTAAGAAGAAACTTTCTCCCTCATTATCTTGAAACAAAGGAAAACAGAAAGTATAAGGGACGTCTTAGACTAGTGAGATTTATTGTCACTCGAAATGCTTAGAAGCTAGAAGATCAGCGATATATATATTCTTGAGAATTGTGTCCTCAATCATTTCGCCCTGCAGAATTGTCATCCTGGTCCTTATTCAAAAGCCATTTAATTCCAGTCATGAAGTCCGCTGCAGCCTTCTTGCTCTGTGTCAGCATAGGAAAAGTGCTCCAAAAAATATGCGGCATGCCCGAATAGACGTCGAGTTTGGTTTCCACTCCATTTTCGGCCAAAACCTCCTCATAGATAAGATCTTCATCGCGCAGAATATCCATCCCACAAACTTGGAAGTAAGTTCTGGGCAACCCACGGTGTCCAGAAGGCCAGATAAAAGGCACAAACATCGGAGATTGTTCATCTCCCTGTACCGAATCGTGGAAGATTTTCTCTAGCTCGGGAGACAGAACAGGGTCCTTTTGGCATTCCTTTTGGGTACGAGAAACATATTTGCTCTTCTGCTGTTCCGATAGACTCACATTTGTGCCGGGAGGAAGGATCATCGGTGCTAGGAGAAATGCACCGGTGATAGAGGGCGTCAAGCCTTCATCACGAGCGAGATGGCTCAGGACCGCTGACATGTTTCCACCTGCTGATGAACCACCGATGAGGAATCCTTTTGAGAGGGACACCCCCAGTTCCAATTCAGCATGTTTAGCGATCCATTTCAGCCAATCCCAAGCGTCATTGACGCCAGCTGGAAAGGGATCTTCCGGCCCTTGCCGATAGCCAGGTGCAATGCATATCACGCCTAGATTCTCAACAATCCAGCGACAGGATGGGGCTGTGTCTTCAGGCGACCCAATAGTCCATCCTCCTCCGTGGAAATACACAATCAGCGGCATGGGCGATGCAGTTGCTTTTTTTGGTGCGAAGACACACGCACGAAGTTGAAGGCCGTCTCTATTGAGAATAAAGAGATCACGTTCGGTGACTTTGCTATCTGGTCCTGCGGGCTTGTATAGACTCTTCATATACATACGCAACCCTACAATGACTTTGATAGGATCCGATGTATCTATGTCTGGAAATGAATTGGTTTTCAGAAACTATATTCATCAATGTTAGATAGCTCCATTTTCGGCATTGGAGGTAGAACTACCTCAGCAAGCTCAGGATCCATAGCCGCTAGACCAAGTCGTTCTTCGTGGGATAAAGACATGATGACGAGCAAATCCTACAATGAAGACCTTGGGCGGATCAGATTCAACAGTACGAGCTGAACAAAGGACAAAGGTAGAAGCGGTCCCTCATGCAAACTTTCTAGAGATTCAGGACACCCCTGGCTTACGATCCTTTCAGAATTCGGGGGTGGCCGTGATACAAAATAAAGAGAAAGGCTGCGCCCGGGGATAAGCGGCTTATCTCCATTGCATTCTCCGCCCACCACCTTGAAACGAAAGATTGGAAAGGATGAATACATTAGGCTACGCCATAAAATTGGCATTTAGGTAATGAAAATCGGGTATCTACGTATTCTTGTGTATACTAATGATTAATGATGACGCCTGTATAAGAATCAGTATGATCCCTGGCACCGGAGCCAAAAGATATCTTCCCATTCATCTTTGAACTTCACAAGATCAGAAGAAGGTCTCAACAAAGCCAAGATGGCTGGCTAGACATACATGGCCATTTCTCACTCCCGCTATTATGTGAAGAAACACAGCATCTCCTCAAAATATATGAGGCAGCCAAGTTCGTTATCACCGAGCCAACGTGCTGGGACCTGCAGAAATATTAGAATATAACGACCGCGCAAACAGTCGCCTCCAAATGCTTTCCTTCATTCCAGCCACTCTTGAAAGGCTGCGTCAAGCGAATAATTTGGAGCTACTGTGGCAGAAAAATATCCAACCCGTTTTGGTCTCCTCGCCGCTCTCCCAACAGACAGTCCAAAAGCATGTCTTGCAGAGATTGATCGCGTCATGACAACTTTCAACATTCCGCCTGATGGGTTTGCGGTTTCCAAAATTTACAATGGAACCTCACTTGCAGATTTCTCATTAAATCCCGTGTGAACTGAACTTAACTCGCGCGAAGCAGTCGTACACATCCATCCGAATGCCGTCGCACCATCCCCAACAGACCAAGTAAGACCCCTTATCGAGGTGGCATTCGATACAACGCGTACTGTGATTAACATCCTCTATGAAGAAATATTTCGAATATTTCCAAATATCAAATTCGTGGTGGCTCATTGCGGCGCAGCAGTGCCCTCTTTTTCTGGTCGCTTGGAATTGTTAGGAACGGAAAAATGGATGGCAAATCCGAATTGTTTAACTCGTGAAGAGATCAAGACCCAGTTGGGGACGCTCTATATGAATACTGCCGCAAATGCAAAGACCGTACTGCCTCCTATAATCAAAATGTGCGGCTTGCGTCACTTTGCGTACGGTGCCGACTGTGGTGTCCCATGCTCCACTGAGTTAACCATGGAGTAGAATCGGCAGAATATCAAGATTTTTGAGGATGAAAGTAAGATCCCTGTTAATAATATTGGGCGAAATGGATGGTATCGTTTCTCTGCTGCGGCCCATTTAATGGCGACTAATGAAGCAAGAGACATCCAACTCCACCAGGCTCTTGCCGGTGGATCAGTCCTTATCAATGACCTAGCAATTCAATCCCAAATATACCAAGCCCAAATCCATGTGCTCTCATGATAGATCAAATTCTAATGCTCCAAATTGTATTATTCTGACTTTCGCGATCATTTATCCCCAGCTTCATCAAAATTGACACCCAATCCCCTCTTTTGATCTCGTCCTTTCTGTCTGGCTTTCTTTTGGGCCTTTGAGCTAGTGCGCTGCTCGGTATGCCCATCGGCTTCACTTGGCCCGCCAATGTCACGGTGAGAAATGTCAACGCTTAGTCTCCAGGCCTTAGATAAGTTATCGCCATCCTTGAAGCTGGCAAGCCTTCGAGCCAATTCTTCGATAAATGCAACACTTCGGTGGCGCCCCTCTTCACAGCATACTGTGACAGTCACTGAGCGTTCTTTTTGTGCAATCTCATCATGGCGTTGGAGGTCAAGTCTCTCACCACTTGGAGATACACCTTGGTTTTCAAGATTTTCATTGCTGATAACTGGCAATGGGTCATTTTGAATCGCTATATTGGCCTCTCCGATAATTGCTTCGAGGAGATCGGTTCGGACTTTTTGCAGAAATGCTTCCACCATATCATTTTGGAGAAACTCTTTCTGGAGTCGTTTTGAGATACCCGTTGCATTCGCACGGAGATGCCGGGGCGGATTGGGCAAGTGACGAATGTTGTACGCGAGGAGCTTAGTCTGACATTCTTCTCCGGCTTGCCACACCACTGGCCCATATGCATGGCCATATGAGATCAGATACACACGTATCAACGGTTGCCATATTGAGAACTGTGCAGAAGCTGAGCTTGGTAGGACCGTGGAGTCCATGACGAATTTGATGGTGCAAACTTGGCTTGAAATTAGAGAAAGGATCTTATATTCTGTTTGTTGGCTGGCCCCTGACAAGCTATCTCTTGCTTACGGTGGACTGGGCTTGTAGGTGCTAGCTCAGAGTTCTAGGTGAGTCATCAGCGAAGTAGCACTGCCTCTGTTTAGGTGGACCCACATAAACAGGTCGTCTCGGCGGACCGAGCAGGCATTCATGGCATCTGTATGGAGGTCTATTTCAAAAGAAAAGAGCCGCGAACTGACCATATATATTTAACTACTAGTCTTTACAAAGCGAATACACACAAGCTGCCTCCCCTTTCCTCTCATCAGTCTACCGCCATCACTGCTACCACTATTATTATTATTGTTATTATTATTATTGTTATTATTATTATTATTATTATTATTATTATGACAAAGCAGTAACTACCAGCGAGGCGTGCATTAGTAGTTTCCTACGTGGCTAGACCCATCAATCAGGCAAACAGAGTTTTGAAGAAGTAGGCTTTTCTGCTAGCAAAGCTTTCAAGACATATGTGCTTGCAATTATGCGAGGATATGATCTGAGGATTTGATCTAATTTATTGAGTATTCAACAATAAGTTTGTTGCAGATAATCCTTGCTTAGAAAGTCCTAGCAAGTAATAGTCTCCTAAAATCGATACTGTTTTATCGAAGGTGCGTAACGATCATTATGGTCCTGTAAAAAAGGTATGCTGATCTTGCTGGTAATCTAGGCAACGAGGGAGTCGATAATTCTCTGACCTCTATATAGCGAACCTTAACGAAGGCCATCTTAAAGAAAACGTAGGCGATGAGGAAGCCTAGATTAACAACGAAGATACGTGCGAAGCGGTTATCAAATTCAGAAAATGAAGGATTAACCCTTCTTACGCTTCTATATCCGTGAACTTTGGAAAGAAGCTTCTGGATTTTTATTCTAGGGATTCTTTTTCTTACACGATATACGTATATCTAGTATTTTGAAATATAGATAGTGCGCTTCTCGTTTTGTTTTCAATAGACTTTCGTAATAAACTTTATCAGAATGATTTGGCAACGAATCACAGAGTTTTTAAATATAGTTTTATCGACTACGAGATCGTAACATAAACATCTAATAATCTAGCTTTGGCAATATACATAGCGTTTCTGTGTGTCATTGAATGAAGCTGAATATCGGGTACGAGATTCGGTCCTCCCTTCCTTCTTGAGTTGTGCTCTTCCTAAGTTCCTTCCAAACCAGACTTGCTTCGGGAACCCCTCCAGCATCGTTTTCTCTCCATGGCATTGTAAGTTTCCCTTTCCTTGAGGGCCAGATTCATGAGTGCCAAATTCCCAACTAACAGCATGGCGAACACAGACCAAGCAGTATCGGCCGGTCTTCGGCGTACTCGGATGGGTTACGAGCGTGTGGAGCTTCATCAGTCGTAATGGCTTCACACTGTGCGTAGCGTTAGGTCCTGTGAGCGCAGCGTCAAGCGCTGGGTATGAGGCGACACCAGCCTCATTCTGGGGCTCGTGGGCGGTCATGATCGGCTCCACCATCCAGTGAAATAAGTGGGTGTCCAAGCGTCCAGTGGAAAAGGAACATCAGGATAGTGCAGCACCAAAGCGAAATGCATGATCATCTGTAGATTTGGTTTCATATTGTTGTATAGATATGGAATAAGACGGGCCCACTTCCTGGTGAACCTAAGCTTCAACGCAGCCTTGCGCCACCAGCGTAGTCTATGTGCAATTTAATTCCGCTCTCAATGTCAGGTTCCGCCCCAGTCGAGCGAACACGAACTCCCTCTCTTCATCCCAATTTTGTTTCTTTCTCAGAAATCAGGTTTCAGAGCAGGGAGGGATCAATCATCGCGCCACGATGGGCAAAGACACAAAACTAGATTATGCTGAACGGGAGCGGCGGTGGCAGAAGGCACGCGAGCCCTGGATGAAGCAGATTGTCACTGGCCTCGTTCTTGGCAACCTCAGCTCATCCTACACCCGGGAACTGCTGAAAGAAAACCACATCGACGCAATCGTCTCTCTCGACGTCTGCCGAACAGGCTTGTGGATCAGGACCAGCAACGCCGGCGTCACCGAAGAGCGACACAAATTCGTGCAGTGCGCCGACTCGTCAACACAGGACCTGCTGGTCCACCTGGACGATATCTGTGACTTCATCGATCAAGTGGCCTCCCCCGCGCTGACTGTGCTGGCCGCTCTGCCTAACGAATCTAACGCAGAAGACGACGCACCCCAGCACTGTGAGCCGCCGCCGTCCCAGGCGGTTCTGGTCCACTGTGAACTGGGGATCTCGCGCTCACCCACCATCATCATTGCCTATCTAATGCGCAAGCTGCGGCTGCCCCGGGCGGAAGTATTGGGCTTTGTGCGCGCCCAGCGGAAGGTTAAACCAAGCGCCAATTTCACCCGCCAACTGGAGGGTTGGGAGGAAGTGGGGTATCAACTGTGGGAGGACGAGGCGCGGGCCGTCCCGAAAGCGCTGTACACGGCGTTTCTGGACGACCGAGCAGCACGGCTGGCAGAGATGGGCCTGACGGGGGATGAGCCGCTTGCGCCACTAACTCTGGATTAGACTTGTTTCTTTTTTTGAACTCAATGTATAGAAACTTGCTTAGAAAATTTCATCTAGTGTGATATTCTTAGTATTTTCCATATGCCGATATTTTAGGATACGTGGGATCCAATAGGACGCGATACTTAATATGATAGTATCCGACTATACTATAAACTATCTAGCGGAAAGTGTTGAGCGTATACTGCCTCTCTGACTAGCGTGTTACGGCACAGAGGTATGTGGGTCCTCGCCGTATTTGCGGCTGCTTCTTCTTGACAGCTTCCAAAAGAAGGGTCCTCGCTTCCTTCTCTTCTTCTTGTCTGTCTCCCCCCAAATTACCTGATATCTTCAAATTTCCAGGTAGCCTTCCCCGCTTCCAATTTTCCATCCTTTGCACGTCTCCAAGATGTGTCGGCTGTGTACCCCTTTCTTGGCCTCTATATTCGCAAGTATCAAGACCACAGGTATACGGCCGACGTCCTCCCCTTCTTCTACTTGCCGTCGGTTAAACATTTGAGGGCCCTAATCGACAATCCTGCTACTTTCAAATGGCCCGGAAAATATCCACCAAAGCCATCTAGTCTCATCTCGCTCGACCTGACGATGTTACGCGAGGGGCTTCTCGGTCAAGTGTTATCAACCACCCAAGGACTTCAGAAGCTTCATTGGGACTGGTACTACCGCCCAGATCTTCAAGATAAATTTGTCACGGATATTTTCAAATTGGATCAAATCGCCGCGGACCTATCTCATGTTCAAGAGACCTTAACGGATTTAACTATTACGGCAGGGTCGGACGTCTGCCAAGCGGATCCCGAGTGTCCGGAGGTCAAATTTCGTGGGTCTTTCAAAACTTTCAGCGGACTCCACATGCTGAAAAGATTGGAAGTTCCGATTTCATTTCTACTTGGATTTTCTCCGTGGGCGCCAAATGTGGTTTGCCTAAAGGATATACTTCCAAAAAACATCGAATGGCTAACGTTGACTGACGGTCTGGCTCGACAACAAGAATGGGAGTGGGTCTACGAAAATGAAGACCTATTGGAGGCCATTAGACCCTGGCTCCAAGACTGGAAGATCTCCACACCTCACCTCCAAGGATTTCGTCTGTTAACAAAAATATAGGTAGTGCGAGATTGGCGCCCTGAATTTATAGAAGGGCTAAAGCTTATAGGTCTCCAGTCCGGTATTCAGGTTCAAATAATCGAAGTGAGAGGAGCCAGGGCGTCAGGTACAATGTAATTCATAGCTCCAGCTTTGATACTACTATTCCCGCCACCGGTAGTTCTTCGGATTATTTTTCGATATTAGACTCTATATAACGGCTTTTGCTATAGCTCACGAACACTCTAGCTTCTCCCCGCATAATTAATCTGCTCCTGAAGAGTTGGGCCGCCTGCAAGATTTGCCAGCGTGTAGGGTTCCGACGGCGTGTCTGTACTTAAGACCTTGAGCCCCTGATCGCTGGTGAAAAGATTGCAACCCCAAAAGTCCTGAAAATTTGTTAGTTGGTCCTTGCTAGGAACATTTTCATAGGATATCGGTCACTTACCTCGGTGCCAGTTCCACATGGATCCATCTTTTTCCACCCTGCGTTAGCCACTTGGAGCCATGTACCAATTCTCGCTTTTTTATCTCTTAGACTGGTTCCGTGGCTTTCAGATTGGACTGTTCAAATTGAGGAAGATGTCGATATGTGGTACTCGCTGTGTGGTAGCAGTATCGGCGGCATCTTCTTCGATGAGGGTTGGCCCGAATGTGGGGACAACAATCAGTACGTGGACCTGTATAAGTACATTAATGACTACACCAAGCGTGCGCATCCCGGCGCATTCACAATCCTGAACCCTGGGTCGCCTATGGCGTCTTGCTTCGAGGATACTATGGACACACTGCTGACCTTCGAGCTAGATTACGCGGCGTACACTAATTCCTATACACCAAACGATTGGACACCAAAAGACCCGCGGAAGCTCTGGCATATCGTATACAACGTACCGGAATCTGCGATTAGTGAGGTTACTAAATTAGCAAAGGATCGTGGAGCTGGCTTTCTTCAACTGATAAATGATCTTTTACCTAATCCATACGATAATCTGCCTGCTGATTCCTATATGCAGAGCATGATCGGAGAGGTCGATGGCGGTTCTTTGTTGAATGATAATGCATCCTTATGGGCATCCGGAAGCAGCGCAGGAGCAGTATTAGGACTGTCGATCTCGACCTCGGACTATAGTTCCGCTAAATTGTCCTGGAATACGGCCTCGAATGCTCTTGGGTATTCTATATTTTCAGGCGACGATCTGCTTGCAAGCGTTCTAAGCTTAATGACTTCAATCACAATTGGCGGTCTCCAGCTAGGGGCTAAGAACGACTTGCACGTAAGTGCTGTAGGAGGAGGTGGGACTTTGGGGCCCTCTTCAAATATAGTAACTGTCAACACAAATTCTTTACCGGGCGGGAAGACCGTCATCAATTATCATTCCTCTCCTGGAGCGGATTCAACAACGATCAAGGCCGATATTCTCGTTCCTTACGCTTTTGTCCGCCTCTATATCTGGGATTCCGTGGGATGTGAGTTTGATACCGACCCCGGATGGAGTGTCAATTTCAAAACCGATGAATACGTCTGCACTAAATACATGGTTGAGGGAATCACGCTATATAATTACAGTGGCACACTTCCTGAAGGCTCCACGTCCCCCCTTGATCCTAGTCGGAGGTCGGGGTCATTAGTCTCAATATTACTGGCTACACGTACGAGTGGACACTACCCTTAGGAACTTCTACTATCGACACGAGCAAGTTTGTGATTCAGGCGCAAGGCTACAATCCTCTCCCCAATATCTTCGAGCCTGATCCTATTGACTATGATTGCAAGGGATCGACATTGTGTACGAACCCGGATTTAGTGAAATGGTGCGACCACGCCGTTAATACGCTATATCGATACGACGACCCCTACTACACGACCGAGTGAGTTATATTCCCGCATCGTTTTCCTACCCATTTAGCATAATACTCTCTCATAAACCCTCTACCCCTTAATCATATTACTAATTATGCACCTCTAGTGGGACCAACCCTACTGGAAATTGTTGGGGTGACCAGACTCGAGGCTGTGGCGTCTTCATTCAGGGCACCAATTGCAGTATTAGTGGTAACGACATGTGGAATGACTATCAGAATATTCGCAACATTGGTGGCTGTAAAAGATGCGGCTCATATCACCGGGAGGATGGCTGTCTGGTCACTATCAACTATGTCTATCAATGTGACAACCATGATTGATTCTTAGGCTAAGGTACTGACGGAAGGTCAAAATATCTTAACTTTGAATCCACTTTTCCCTTCAGATACACGCATAGACTATACCGTCATAGGTACCTAGAATAAGTTGGTACTTTCGGGAGCATCCCTCCACAATTTTCGAGACCTGATGAAAGATTTGGCGACAAGCTTGGGCTTGGCTCTAGGGTCCCTGACCACCAGAACAGTTGACCTAAGGTTAAGTACTGACGGCTGTGGACACAGATCCACATTTCTCAGTCAAGCCTGAGTCGGAGCGCTCTCATAAAGGCGGCAGCAGTCGAGATAGGAAGGCTCTACCCGACAGACAGAATGCTGTCTATATAGTCACATGTCCCTCAATCAGGTGACCTGGGCCGAGAAACATCACTCCGTCCGTATCAATCTCTCTATCTAATCACCATTTTTATCTAGCAAAGTTTCCGGCAACTTCCGATGCCACTCGACAGATGATCGGTCGAAGACCAAAGATGATGATAGCTAACTGCCATGAAAGACGGATAGACCCATGGGGCCTGACCGCCGGAACCAGACCCCGAGACCCAAACTCAGGGGGATTTCCGTGAAGGGCTATCGGATCCCGATCGCAGATGAGGCTGGCCGTGCGCTTCGAGCATTGGATAAGATGTGGCTGATTCACGAGAAATGCGGAGTAGTGGGGGGAGCGTGTGCACGGCGATTTAGCAAATCGATTCTTCTAAGAAGAATGGCGATGATCGACTGGCCCCAATGAAAGGTGAACCAGACTGGCTGACACTTGAGGTTCCCTTTCACGACCCATCCGCGCTAGACCAAAAACAGTCATTGTCTGGAGAGGCCGCCGCGGTGGATTCGAAAACCGAGGAAAAGGCCTGCTCGGATGGGGTGCGCGGATGATCGCGACGGTCTCGAAGGGTCCCAACGGTCGAAAAATTTTCATCTTTCTATCTGGCTTTAAATCCAAACTCTCGCAGGTTGCTTTTTTCCTTCTTCTCTTCCGGTGAGATGTGTGATCTGAGTTGGTATACGTGCGGCTCTCGCGGCGAATATCTATATTTGGCTGTCAGATCAGGCTACCAATCACGGAACTGTGAGATCATCGTCCCTGCCTTTCCCACATCGGGGAAGTCGTGGCGGCCAAAAACAAAAAAAGCCCTCCGATCGTGAGAGGCGCTTGCCTAGAAAGTGTCACAGAAGAGACTTTTCCACGTTTTTTCTTATTCGATATGGTCTTTTCTCGGGGTGATGTGTCTGGTCATGACGACCAAACCATAGGTCCGTATACCTCTCTGGTGGCGATATAGACATGTGCCAGAACTAACCGCCTTCTAGATCACAATATTCCGGGCGGCAACATCGAGATTGTGACCTGGGATGGACCTCAAGATCCCCAGAACCCGTACAATTGGTCTCTCCGCAAGAAGTGGACGCTGACCGGGCTGGCGGTCTTCGCAACCTTCATCACTATGATGAATGGCACCATCATTACCGTGGCCCACGCCGCGATCAACGAACAGTTCGGCATCTCAGATGCTCACTTCCCCCACTCATACTGGCCTGTGACATCCTGGGCTGTCGGCGGAGGCTGCTTCTCTCTTCTCATCCTTCCGCTCATGGAAGACTTCGGGGTGCGATGGGTCTTCCTGTCCACGTACATCGCCTTTATCTGCTTTGTGATCCCCCAAGCCGTGGCGCAGAGCTTTGCGACTCTGATCGTGACGCGGTTCTTCGCCGGCGGGTGTGTTGCTATCCTGGCGAATACCTCGGCCACGGTGATTGGCAACGTCTGGGACACTGAAAGGGCGCGCAACGTTCCCGTCAGCCTGTATATCGTGGCGTATCTAGTCGGCAGTAGCATCGGGCCTGTTATTGGCGCCCCCATCTTCCAGTTCCTGTCGTGGAGGTGGATCGGCTATCTTCAGCTTATCTGGCTGGGTGCATTTTTCCCAGCATACTTCTGGCTCTTTGAGGAGTGTCGTGGGATCGCGATCCTAGGACGCCGGGCGAAAGCTCTCCGGCAGAAGGGAAAGATGGCATACACTCAACACGAAATCGACAGCGAGGGGACGTCTATGTTGCGGATGGTCGCGCGCAGTGCGGCCCGACCTTTGGTCCTATTTTTCACAGAGTCCGTGGTGTTCGTTTCGTGCCTGTGGTCTGCGTTCACCGTCGGTACCTTGTACCTGTTCACTCAGTCCGTCGAGCAAGTTTTCTCGGGCCTGTATGACTGGACTCCTGCGCAGGCAGGGTACGTCCAAGGAGCAATTGTGGTCGGAGAGATCGTGGGCTGGGCTGGGACCTTATTTTCTGGTCGCATCTATTTCAATTCTGCTGCGCGAAATACTGAAATCCCCGGTACACCTATTCCTGAGGCACGACTGTATCTAGCTATTGTGGGCGGCGTCTTCGGCATCGCGGGGGGCATGTTCACTTACGCGTGGACCTCGTATCCTAGCCTGCCGTGGATTGCCCCTGCGGTCGGACTAGCCATGGTCGGTGCAGGCAGTGTGATTGTGGTAACTGGAATCTCAGACTATGTCGTCGATGCATATGCCAAGTACGCTGCCAGTGCCATTGGCATTATTGCCACAGGGGAAAACATGTTCTCAGCGTTCCTGCCCCTGGCGGCCATGAGTATGTATTCAACACTCGGGTTTAATTGGGCGAGTACACTGCTTGCTTTTATCTCGCTGATGCTTTCGTTTGCCCCGGTATTGTTTGTCCTCTATGGAAGGAAGATTCGGGCCCGGAGTCCGTTTATGAAAGAGGCTATGTTAGATAAACGTCGGAAGAGCATCGATTCAGTTTGATACTGATGAGTATGCTACGCCTTCCTTGTACATACTTTGCTCTCTTACCTATCTCAATAGATATCCCAAAGTCAACTGTTTTGACATACTCCATAAGTAGTATCTCAGGACCTAGCTTTTATTTAGCAATAAAACAATTGCTTGAAGCCAGCTAACAGAATCAGTATTCGGTATCCCATCCACCCCGCCCTACAGTAGCTACGGCAACTACGGCAACCAATCGTCTGGGCATACTCCGGATTGGACTAAGCTTCGACCAGTCAGCTTTTCCGCTTTAGCAACAACCTCGCCATATTTTCAAATCAAGTGATACATTCAATTTATTCCGTCGTCAACTAGGTTTAACTTGTTTTCTCTTGTTAAATTGCAGAATATTGTATTTCCAAGAAGAGTGATTGGATGGTTCGTGGTCCACAACGCGGGATCCGCTAACGGGTAAGTCCGCTCCCCGCTTATCATAAACTGGCAATCACCCGGTGTAACCGTTGGGAGAACGGCAAGCCAGCCCCGCGACTCCTCCTGACAGTTCAATCTGCAAATACAAGGACCAGTGAAAAAGGCTCGCAGCGTTCATTCCCTTTGTTCAGCTCTATTCGATTTTCAGTTTGTCGACCATGGAGACAGCCACCTTACCCGTGACGATTATCTGCGGCCTTTTGGCTCTCTATTTCTACAAGGCGATCACTGACTATGCTAAATTGAGGCATTTCCAGGGACCATCATGGACTGGCCTTTCAAATTGGCCTCATAGCATGGCCATCCTCGGGGGCAAGTGCCACGAGTGGTATGCCGAAGTCAGCAAGAAACATGGTGCGAGGCATCTTCCAGCTATATCTTGGGCGCCGCATCTCAACCGCGGTGCCATTACTCCTGCTGCTAACCGCCTCGACTCGATCCAGGTCCGATCGCCCGCATCGCGCCCAAAATTCTGATCACATCCTCGCCCGAGGTGTGGGCTCATGTGAATAACAAGCCTGGCTATAAGCGCTCCGACTGGTACTACAATGCTGCGCGAATTGAGTACCGGCGGGACAACGTCTTCAGCCAGACTGACAACGCGAAACATGAGCAACGTAGGAAGCAGATGGCTCCCGGGGTACGGTATCTCTGGTTCTCTTATGTCTTCTGCTTATGTCAACATCAGAATGCTGACAAGGAATGGCCTTGAAGTACTCGGGAAGAGAGAATCTGCACCTCGAGAGCTCTGTGGATGAGCGACTGAGAGATTTTCTGAACCTCATTCGGTCCAAATATCTTTCATCTGATAGCCATATCGTACCTATGGACTTAGCAAAAAAGGTCCAGTATTTCACGCTTGACGTGATTAGTACCGTTGGCCTCGGTAAGGGGTTTGGTATGCTGCAGAATGACCACGACGTGGACAGCTATCTTCAATCAAGCGAAGAAGGACTCGCAATTGGCAACACCGCTCTGGGTTTGGGTTTCAGCTGGGTTACCCAGGCGCCTGTAATTGGCAGATTCATAGCACCCTCGCCCAAGGACACCAATGGCTTCGGCAAAATGATGGCCGCATGTTTTCGCATCGTTGATGAGCGCTCTGCAAATTCTGCCGATGAGCGATCCGATATGTTGGCCTCCTTCATGCGCCACGGCTTACAAGGTGACGAGCTGCGCACGGAGGCGCTGGAACAGATAATCGCAGGATCCGATACCACTGCGGGTGGCATTCGTGGAACTCTTTTACACATCATAACAAATCCTCGTGTCTATATCAAATTGCAGCGAGAGATCGATGATGCCGTGCGCCGGGGCAGTGCGCCGAGAAAGGATGAAGGTATTATTACGGCCGCCCAGGCCAAAGGACTCCCGTATCTTCAGGCCGTGATATCCGAGGGCCTGCGAGTTTGGCCGCCTGTTGCAAACATCTTCCCACGCGACATTCCGACCGGTGGTGACACTGTTGTCGTAAATGGTGAGAGTGTATATCTACCCGAGGGCGTCTGCATTGGGTATTCAGCCTACGCTATGCACCACAGCGAGGACATATATGGCAATGATGCAAAGGTTTTTCGACCCGAAAGGTGGCTTGAAGCTGATCCTGCAAAGATGGCTGAAATGGTTCGCACCAATAACCTCATATTCGGCCATGGTAAATTCCAGTGCTTAGGGAAGCCGGTGGCCCAAATTGAGCTTGGAAAAATTGTTTTCGAGGTGAATAGAAAGAACCCTGTCTGCTTGTAGTTTCCCTCTTTTCCCATCGCTCGCTAATCGTTTTTCTATATAACGAACGCAGCTCTTGCGCAATTTTGACCTGGCACTCATAAGCCCAACACGGCCCTGGGTGGCACAGAATTATCTTGGGCTGTTTGCAGTCTCAGATATGTGGGTTCAAGTGACAAAGCGAAAACCTGGGCCCCTATGAATGAGGATGGCTAACAATCGTACAATCGTTCAATCATCCACAAGTTGTGGAATATCCTTACATACAGGTGCCAGCCGAGTCAGGAAAAATCAACTTGGTTATGCTATAGTAGTACAGGCGAAGCAAAAGAAATTGTGAATACTGGTCCTGTCTCTTTCTTTCTGGCTTTCTGTACGTTTGGTAATGAGTCATGATGTTTATATTTTATTTTGCCACACCTCTTTCCGTGTGCCAACCAGAAGTTCTCCCCGCACTTCCATTATGAGGTCACTCACTCACCTGTCTTTTCTCTCCCCCATTTATTCTTCCTGCCTTCTTTATTACCTATAAGATTGAACAAAGACTCTCAAACCCTTGTATTACTTGACGTCGGTCTCACAGAGAATATTAACCAACCAATCATAAGCCCAAGCAACTAAAAATGGTTAATACATCGAAGGACGATAATCCGCTGGTCCCCAGCTCCATGCAAAGCCGAAGCACCTTGGGTGACAGCGACAGTTCAAAAGGCCAAGCACACAAGCTCAGTGATCTGGATATGATCATCGATCAGAATGTGGCACCGTATGTTCCCGAGCAAACCAGGATAATGTCATGAAATCCAAAATATTTGAACTGAACGAATTATTTAGCTCTCCGAAAGCAATGTGTGCTGAGCTTGCGCATGAGCATGCCCTCGAAGATCTTCATAAGATCACAGATCATACATCTGAGCCGAATGACCCTACTAAAGGTATGGAAGCGACATATCTTTCTCTTTGACCCCTGAGCCTATTTTTGGTGTCTTTGCCGAAAAGCGCAATAGCTTACATGGTTTTTCAAAGGGCCCGTATTCTCTGCGAACTTCCTGGAGTATGCCACGCAATACGAGCCTCGTAAACCAGAGGAATGAATTTGGTAACAATCTTGGGACCTGTCTCTTAAAGCTTACGGACCCGCAGTCTGTTATTGTAAAGTGTGAATGAATCAGTCCATCAAAATGTATTAAGATCAAATTGATTTTTTCTCTCTCATTATATTAAAGGAAATAAAGATTAATCTCCTGAAATAAGCATATTTTTATCCATTCTTTTCTTTCGCACTGTCAGAGGCAACTATCTGTGCTAATGATGTCACCGTGACGCTGTCGCCTTACCCAGCTACATTTTCCCCACATGAAGAACTCATTTTAGAAAGCGCCAAGAAATTCCTAATACATTTTTATGTTGAAGTTCGCATGCCAATGCATGACCATCATAATATCCCCACTTACATTGTAGCTGAATATTGCTTGAAAGAAGACTACATACGACCTAATGTTCGAGGTGGAGATGGAACGTCATCTTTTACTCGCGAAAAGTTATGCTTCGAACTCAACTATCAACTTGGATCATTCTGTCAGTCAATATTTTTTCTATGAAGAACCAGCTTTTCAGAAATTTTTTTTCAGAAATTAAAAAATTCTTACTCAGGGTCTAGTCTCGTATTGCTTTGGTATTATTATCTTTACATATCCCAAGACCAATGGCGATTAGATTCCCGAGTCATACACCTTCTTACCCCGATACCATGTCTGGCACACTTTTGCCTCCAAAAGCTTTTCTGGTGTCCACTGCATGTCTACTACCAAGAAGTCCGCACTCAAGCCTGGCTTCAAGCTTCCAGTCCATGAATCAGCGAATCGAGCATAGGCGGCTCCAGTAGTAGCCGCAGTAGCTGCCTGGGTTAGAGTCAGCCCAAAATGAGGGTTGACGGTATCTGTGGTCTCGGGCTCGAGAGCCGACCGCCTAGTGGTAGCATTGTAGAGGTTTGGGAATGGGAAGTGACGCGCAGTTGGAGCATCTGTTCCAATAGCAATAGGGGCGCCGCCATCCAAGAACTCCTTGTATGCAAAAGCGCGCTTGCATCGATGGGGGCCAACCAGACCTGGCCACGCCTTGAAGAGAGCTGGATCAGAATGGACAGGCTGGATCGAAGCAGTGATGCCGAGTTGACCTAAGCGCTTCGCATCTTCAGAGGTGGACAGCTCAAGATGCTCGATCCTGTGCCGGCGACCTGGCGTGCCAACTTGAGACAGAACGTTAATAGCCTGGTTTATAGCACGATCACCGATGGCATGGATGGCACACTGCATTCCCGCGGCATCGGCATATTGAACAGCTTCTCGCAGCTTATCCTCGGGCCATATTGGATCTACTGGGTCCGATTTGCCTGTATATGGCTGCAGAAGAGCAGCTGTACAACCATCAACAACGCCGTCACAAATGAGTTTGATTCCTGCAATACAGAAATCAGGCTCCTTGTATTGCTTTCTAAGTTCAATTGCTCGATCCACATAGCGAAGATTGGCCTGCTGGTCATCTGCATACGGCACGAGCCAGTGGGCGGCGATATGGAACGGGAAAGATTTAGTTTGGCGGTATTCATTGAGGATTTCCCATGTTCCCTCATCCATGGCCATGTCAACAACTCCCGTATAACCAGCGGCAGTGTAGGCGGTAACAGCCGTGTCCAAAGCAGCAAGTTTATCTTCTTTAGAGAAAGTGCTGTCGACATATGGCCACGCGAGGTTCATCAAGGCAGATTCATCCAATAGTCCCGAGGCTTTGCCATTCTCATCGCGGTGAATTGTGCCACCGGGAAGGTCCGGGGCTGTGTGGGCCTTCATTTCATCCAGAGCAGCTGAATTGCACCACATGGAGTGGAGATCGAAGGAGTCGATGAAAATAGGTCGCGGATCCAGATCATCAAGCATACTAGCCAGAGCAACGCCATTAGTAGATGACTGAATCCACTGCCGACAGAAGATTCGAGGAGCCGAACGATTGGCCTGAGCATATGCTTTGATTGTTTCTCGAATTTCTTCGAGATTTTTGCACTCGATAAGATTGACTTTCTGCAGAGACTGCCCATAGTGTAAAATGTGTACGTGGCCATCAATGAAGCCTGGGATCAAAGTTCGACCTTCGAGATCAATGGTTGTGACATCCTCTGAAATTTGGGACTCGTCCAGAGAGCCCACATGAGAGATAAGATCATTCTTTATGATCATTCCCTCCGCAAACTCACCTCCGCCCGAGGAATCTGACGAAGGAACAAAAATACGGCCATTCTTGAATATGAACGTCATGGTCAGAGTTTAGAATGGAGGTCAATAGGGCTAACGATTGAAACCTAAGTTGGCGCTCAGAGAACCTATTTAACGGCAGGCGTGGATAAACCGGAAGCAATTTGTGATCCGTGGTCTCTAGAAGTTTCCTTTTCCGAATATCACAAACCGGAGGAGCCTCTGACTCGAAAAATCTACGATTTTTCGCGGGGCTTGCTGTCACGAGAGAATACTCAGGATCCAACCGTCAAAATCGGATGAGCAATGTCGGGATATGGAGCAATAGATAAAGGCAGAAGTATTTGGTTCTGATTGGTCAAAGGAAAAGTAGCCGATGGTGCTCGTTTCTTGGCGGCGCAATTTGACGCAATTGGTCTATTTTCTCTAAATCCCATGGGGAAGTGGATCCTTTTGATCCCCGTGCCAGATGAATGAGCTTGGGAGCTGACGATTCGATGAAAATCCGAGAGAAAGATAAACGGGGATGTGGATTATAGTTAGAAGACGAGTTGATATCTTACCGAAGGTATCTCGGTAAGACCGTGAAACTACAGGTAACTGGTCACCTTCGAATCTTCGCCAACCTCTTCATACTAGAGATTAATGAACGAGTTTCATTACAACTGAAGTGAGGTATTTCCCTTTGAGAAGATACAACCCCCATAACCAGATTATTTCCCACGCGAGAATACTATTTCAGAGATCATAGGTTGGCAATCTGGCCGCAGGGATCGATAATTACGGTCCACAGCATTAATAAGTTTAGTAAATGACATTACCCCAATCTCCCCCGGCTATCTTAAGGCTATTCCCCCGCATCGAAGTTCCACCAGAAGGTCAGTGAATCTTGATAAGCTCGTCTAAACCTTGCCACCCCATTGGCTGTTGCTTCAAACTTCCCTTTTAAGGAAAGTTGCATTCCTTCCGCCTCCCCGTTGTTAAAATTCTAAATGGCTGTTGACTATCAGCCTCCTCAACCGAGGATTACAAGAATTAACGGGGACACATAGATAGGGTTATCTCTATTTCGGAGTTGGGGGTTCATAAGTATTCTCCTGTGACCTCCCTTGGATCTGTGAGCTGCACAGAGATTCTACCCCCCCCTGAAGCTTCCCCTCTCAGATTGCTATTTTTCCAAACCAATGACTTCCCATGATGACTACATGGATGCCGCTTGGCCTCCTGGAACTGTTCGCATTGAAGGTGAGTGCGAGTGTGGAATTGATAATTCTTTCAAAAGTAGAGACAGTTTAGACTCACCAAGTGGCTCTTCGTGATAGAATTAACCCGGTCAAACGAAGGTTCGGAGGTGATTCTCGAACCAAAACCATCCCGAGATCCAAACGATCCATTGGTTGGTGACGTGAAAAGATCCTCGTTGGATTATCACCCTTATTAACCCAGATGTCTTGTTTAGAACTGGCCAAAATGGAGGAAGCACTTGAACTTTGCGTTTGTATCGTACTACGTTATGATGGTTCTTGCCTTGTGAGTCACCAAGAAGCCATAAAAATGATGAGAAGGGCTTGCTGACGATAATAGGATTGATGTGGCAACAGTGACTTGGAGTTCTGTGAATGCCGAACTCGGATTCAGCTTTGCGCTCCTAAATGACAGCTATGCTGCAGGCTGCGGGGCCCTTTGCATTGGCGCGGTGATTCTAGTTCCCTTTGCCCTCAAATTCGGCCGTCGACCGGTGTATGTGCTCAGTACAGCTGCTCAATGTGGACTCAGTATTTGGTCTGCCAGGATGCAGAATGTCGCAGATCTGATGTTGGTGAATATCTTGAGCTGTGTCGTTGGAGCACTTGCAGAGGTTCTGGTCCAGATGACAGTGGCGGATGTTTATTTCGTCCATCAAAGAGGCCTCATGAATACACTGTACTATTGGGTCACTACTGTTGGAGTCACCTTAGCTCCTCTGGCAGGTGGTTTCATAACACAGTCCCAGGGTTGGCGCTGGGTATGGTGGTGGATGGCCATCCTCTTTGGTATTGGTCTGGTCGCTTTCATCTTTTTCTACGAGGAGACCATGTTTTCCGCATCGTCTATTGACGGCATCCCAATAGCAGATAACACACAGACAGCGTCGAATGATGTGAAGAAGGATCCCGAGGCACCGAGCACTCAGGATACCGACGATGCACAAACGCAGAAGCCACGGGTCGAGACTATTGGAATTGACTATTCAATTCCTAAGAAGTCATACTGGGAAAAGCTTCCTTTATGGACCAATTCCCCGATGTCGTTTGGGCAGTTAGTAAAACACAGCTACCAGCCATTCTTGATAATGTTCAGCATCCCAGCAGTCTTCTTCATGGCCCTTGAGTATGGTATCATGACCGCATGCACTACTGTGCCCGTGACTACACTTTCCTCTGTCATGACTCTCCCACCATACAACTTTGGCGCTGCTCAGATTGGTCTCATGGGTCTCCCGCCATTTATTGGAACTAGTCTAGCAACCGTGATCTCCGGCCCGTTGAGCGACTCGATCGTTCTTTGGATGGCAAAACGAAATGGTGGAGTATTCGAGCCCGAGATGCGTCTATGGCTTTGTCTAGCATTTACACCACTTGTTCCGGCCGGTCTCTTCATGTTCGGAATAGGCCTGAACAATGGGTCACATTGGCTTCTCCCTGCCTTCGGTCTTGGTATCAACGCATTCGGTGTTGTTCCTGCCAGCAGTGCTGCCCTCACCTATCTTACAGACGCTTACACTGACGTGAGTTATATTCCAATATCCCCAAAACTGTCGCTTATAGTATAGATGCTGATCAAAACATCTTCGGTTTTAGATAATTGCGGACTCGATTGTTGGCGTCACTTTCATTCGGAATCTTATATCTACTATCTTTGTCTTTGCGCTTGCACCATGGGTAAACCGTGTCGGATTGACATGGTTCTATGTCACATTTGGCCTTATTGTCACGGTGATAATGCTTGGAAACATCGTCTTTATTTATTTCGGAAAAATGTTCAGAGCGAGGGTAGCAAGCCGATACCGCCACTTCAGTGCGCAGAGGCTAGGATAATCGAGGAATTTGAGAATGACATTGCCATAGCAGCATTAAGAGCACCTCAACTTTTAGTGATATGCAAATATTTGAGTTTCACAGCATATAGTAGTTGCATTCGTAGTACTGTCAAAAACTTTGATTGATGAATTTCTCCAGATTCAAACTCTGTTAATGCCTACTGTATCAATCAAAATGAAGCATGGGAGGAACTTCAAATGCGTATATCCGTGACAAGGAAGGCAAATTCTTCTGTAGGTAGATGGCCATTCTTTCGGTGGAACTGTCAAATTGATTCAGCCCTGAGGGACTCGGCGAGATGAGCCAACCATTACAATTTTCTTTAAGTTGAAATTTGGATTCCCGAGGAGCAGAGAATTTCAGCGAATCAAATGGGGTCTATCTTACCTTGCACAGACTGAGTGAAGCGGGGAACTCTGAAAGGAGAGTAAATTAGTTCCGAGGTTCCGTGCTATAAGAGCTCCGAAGCGCCCCCGAATACTGAGATCATCACAGCACACAACTATAGCATCCAGAGAAACTAATGAATGAGGATTATTAGCTGGTGGAATATTCGTCATGGCGACCTATAAGATTGCTGTCATACAGCTATATCCAAAGGTATGCTGGGAATGCCCTCGGTTCAGAGTCTCTCAACTTGTCGACTTTCACATACTCACAGTCGCTATCAAAATAGCCCAATGAGATAGAGTCAAACCATCTCCGAGCCGTTGCTTTTATCAAAGATGCAGCTGCTTCTGGAGCCCACCTGGCGGTTCTTCCAGAATACCATCTTGCTGATTTCTTTCCAAGTCATGACTCTGAGATCCGCAAACAGTGCGCCAACTGGAAGAGGTATCTTGATGGCTACTGCACCTTAGCTAGAGAATGTGGGATTTGCATTGTCCCCGGTTCCCTTGGCGAGTTGCACGAAGATGATACCCTTGTCAATGCGACCTATTTCATCGACAATGCAGGGGTCATTAGAGGTAGATATGAGAAGAAAAATCTTTGGCATCCAGAAAGACCTTATGTCAAGGGGTCGAAAAATGATAGCCGCCATGTTGCTTTTGACACTCCTTTGGGCAAGGTTGGAATGCTCATCTGCTGGGATTTGGCTTTCCCCGAAGCGTTTCGAGAATTGATCATGCAAGGCGCCAAGATGATCATTGTGCCTGCCTTCTGGAGATACAGCGACGCGGGCGATGTGGGGATGAAGCTAAATGCGAAATCGGAGGGGGATTTCGTTGATGCAGCCGTTGTCAGCCGGGCTTTCGAGAACACCTGCGCAGTTGTATTCTGCAATGTTGCAGGCCCTGCGAGTGAGGGCTTTGCAGGCCTTTCCCAGGTGGCACTCCCATTTCTGGGGCGTGTTGATAGGTTCGATAATAGCGAAGAGGGGATGAAGATTGTCTCGGTCGATACAAATGTCCTTGAAGAAGCCGAAAATGTGTACAAGGTCCGCGAAGATCTTGCGACTCCAGATTGGCATTACGGATATCATTGATAAAGATGCCTGCTATAAAGTTTTCAATGCAGAGCGGTATTCCTATTTCTCGGTAATTTCTCTATTCCAGCAATTGGTTACTCGAAGAAGAGCATGTCAAAGATATTAGCAGTCTGTGAGTGAATATCATGTCATAATTTCTCAGCTACAAATGCAAAATCGTATACACAGTTTTTACCGAGCGGCTTAGGACGCCATATGGCAGGACATGGTTGGGCAGAGCGTGGTAGGAAATGGTCTTAAGGTTCTCCACGTAATCCCCCGATGATCTCTCGTAAAGGTTGCGCACGCAATTTACAGGTCGTCTGTCAAAGCTTCGGACGACAGACAGGATTTGGTTCCCAATCCAAGTCTTTATGGCCATTTTTTGTCAAAGGAGAGGGTAACCAGTGGCTCATGGTGGTCATGTCCGCATCACGAGAACTCAATACATTGCCGCGTTTACTGGGATTGAATGCCAAGAACAACGGGAGACCCCAGCCGGAGATCGTTTGCCTCGCATAGATAGCGCGGGGGGCTGTGGTGTTGGAAGCAGGTTAAATCAGCCACACTGGGCAGTGATTCTTTTATTAGCCTTGTGGGGGCGATTGAAGCATCTTGAAAAAAAGTCGAAAAAGTGAATGACATTCATGAGACTGAAGTCGATTCGAGAAGATATTCGATGAGAGTCAAAAAAACGGCCGAATTATACGCGAGAGTGAAGGGCTGACACCAGCCGCCAATCCAACAATCCGGGATCGATTCTGGGTTCGTTGCTGCGACCTGCTGCAAAGAGATCATCAAAAAGCAACAGCGAAAGAGATGGCCAGAGTGACCAGCATCCTAGACCGTGATGTCATGGGGAAACATCTCGGGTCAGAAAGCCCAATGAACGTAGGCAACCCGGACACAGGACTCGTAATACCAGTCCCGTCAGCTTCATAGACCAACAAAAACCAACGCCCAAAAGCCATTAGCTGTTAAACGAGTTGGTAAACGTGGCGAACCGCTGGGCCGATTTTTCCGTCTTGCCGCCGGGAAGAGTCATTCAGTTCGGGTGTGAAGTCCATGTGCCTTTTGGGGTGGGGGCCACAGCGAGAAAGTCTGACGAGGATGAAGACCTTGTCAGACGAAGTCCAGGCCCAAGATATTTTGGGAGCTATCGAATCCAGTTCCATGGCTGATGGGGTTCTGGCGCTCGCAAAGTGGACAGGGTCTCACTCTCCTTCCAGAGTCTGGGGAGCTTCTCACGATCCCACACACCGCACCGGAAACTGGGCGCAGTACGCAGCAAACGGGCACTGAGCCCGACTCGCACGAGTGGCTAGGATTCGTGCCTGTTTTCCCGATCCACCGCGAGTTGGGGGCCGCCGAACGACGATTGGCGGCTGAGTGGACCCACTAGGCGATGGCGTGGGAAAAATGGGTAGTGACTGCGCAACGCTGGACGAGGATCCTTTTTGGACAAAGGCCGAAGATCCACTTGTGCGACCCTGGCGCTTTATTTGGGAAACTCAGATGAGCCTCACGGTGCGATGGAAGCAGAAACAAGGCTGCCTGGTTGTGTATTTAAACACCTCCACTCCCGGTACTCTGGTTTCACGTGCTACTTGTCTGAACACTTCGAACTCGTTGAGACTTCCAACCTTCTGAATTAAGCCTCCAAATCTTCAAAATCTCCTCAGTATTTGTGCTTGATCCACTTTTATCACCACCATGCAGTACAAAGCGCTTGCTACTCTATTCTTTGCCACTGCGGCCCTTGCCGCCCCGGCCGCCGAGTCCGATTCCAGCTCCAGTGATATTGATACCGCCATTGAATCGGACTCGATCCCAAGCAATATCCTCTCAGTGCTCGAGACCGCCGTTCCTACCACCTGGCTCGATAGCTTCTACACCGATGCGGCCTTCCAGTCCTCTGAAATCAACGAGATTTTGTCCGGCACCTACCCGGCTTGGTACAGCAGCCTCCCCGAGAGTGTGAAGCAGTATGCCACCTCCGAGGTTCTCGCGGAGGCTTCGGAGCTCGAAAGCTACTATACTGCGATGCCCACCAACACCGCTTCTAGTAGCGCCCATGGTGCTTCTTCTTCTGGTGCTGTGTCCAGTACTCCCCTGACCACATCCACCTCAACTGCCACAACCTCGGGCAGCTCCTCATCCAGCTCTGCCTCGGCCTCCGGTGAATCCACATCCACATCCACTGCTGGTGCTCCTGCTGCTACCGGTGGTATCGCCATGAGCCTTGCTGGTGCCGCTGGTATCCTGGGTCTTGCTCTTGCTCTGTGAACTGGGTAAAATGAAATACATGATGTTCCCGGTATTTCAATATCCGGTTTTATGGTCCCTTTTTTTTTTAATTTAGGGTGAATTTGTACTTATGGCCAGGACTCACTTCCCCCCTGCATGTGTTCCGACGAAGGATATGCCTTGATGGCGATTGCATCTTACCCTGTACTTAATCTAGAATAATGAACAGTTCTATCGTTGATTTAGTCGTCTTTTAAAGTAAGGTTTCCACACGCTCACCTAAGCTATGTACGACCCAAACACTCAGCACCCTGCTGGCGGCAATGAAGTCATTGACAACCCAGATTAAGGTCCAGGCAATGCAGCTCTTTATTACAGAATTATGACCATGGTCTTCACCAAAACATAAGAAAAGAAAAGAGGCATTAGCAAATTCACTCTTCAGGGGATGATCAGGCAAGATCGCAATATTGGGGTTGCACAGTCAGGCGCCCTCGAGAAGTTACACAACGGTGCCTACCTACTTCTTTGGTGGCAATCTAACGCATAATTCATGTCCAATATTGCGGTCTTCCGGTAACCAAAAGAAACAATTCCAGCCGCAACTAAAGGCATGGCCGAGTGTACTTTGTATCAAAATAATCCAAACCAGAGAGCCCCGGAAAGATCTCGGTTCCAGGAGCAGCGCGGGGCTGTGACGCAACAGATACGTCGTCCTCATGAGGTAATGTTCTTTTGACATCTTGAAGCCCAAATATGGCATATGTCAACTGCTGTAGAAATTTAAATCACACCATCAACAGCTCTATATGTGTCCAGTCGAGAAAACCAATATGGGTTAGAATGCCGTGGGGATGCTGATAAGGACGCCCTAACGATTGACTGAGATTGTGTTGAATACCGCCCGCGGACACGGTCAAACCCTGGCATTCTCATTCCACAAAGATTATGTTGACGGTCGGTAACGGGCTCGGAATCTACCTATAAGGCAAAAGCGTGGCGGCACTTGCGCGCCGTAAAGCGCGGAACATGCAAGGTTGAGGAAAGTGTAGGGATCATAGTGTGTGGAAGTCAGCCGGAAGAATTACGTTGCTGGTTTAGAAGGCTGTGACAACACCAAATTAACATATTCAGACGCACTGGGGTTCGCTTCCATGGAGTACAAATAAACAAGACTGAAACCCCGCACACGCCCCGGGGCCGGATGCGCATATCTATCTCCACATCCCGTCGCTTGAAAGACTCCCATACGCCTATTCCAAGTCTCATTCAAACTCTAACGACCCAACTTGCGGCTGTGCGAGGACGATCGACAGCCAGAAATATCCTGCTGATACTCAAACATTGTCCTCGGTATATTTTCAGCAATGGGAGACTTATATGATACTGTGTTGTCTTGTCATGGCGGAATCCCCGAATCAACCCCTGTGCTGATAGTTGGCGGGGGTCCAGTGGGCCTTTTCCAAGCTCTTTTACTATCTCGACTTGGTGGTAAGTTTCTGACCTCTGTTCAGATCGTGCTACTATTCAACAGCCTATATTCTCTTGGTGGGTGACATGTTTACTAATTGAGTTCTATGGCAGTACCATCTGTGATAATCGAACGCTATACTGAACGCCTGGGGGCACCGAAAGCCCATGCGCTGAATCCACGCTCATTAGAAATCTTGCGCCAATATGACTTGGGTGAGAAGAGAATTCGCAGTCTAGGAACAACCCGACATGATGGATACTGGGTTAATTTTATCACCAATCTTTGCGGGGACCAAGTTGGCAGACTCCCATATGAGCGCATGGATTCAGCTGTGTTAGAAGATACACCCGAGGTATGCAAATTTCTTGCCTCTACTCCAGATGATCTATGCTTGTAATTAACATGCTTGTTGAGATGATACACAACATCCCACAACCAATTCTTGAAGAAGAGTTTACAAAGATTGTCGAAAAAGATCAAAATATTATTTTAAAAAAGGGCTTCAGCATCTATGCTGTAGTACAGGTGCCGTCGGTCCCTCACCCAGTCAATAAATAAAAACTAATCGGTATGTATTAAGGAAAAAAATGAAGTTATAGCGACAGTTAAAGATATGTCCAATGGTCAATTCCACGATATCAAGTCTCGATACCTCATCGCCTGCGATGGTCATAAAAGTACAGTACGCGAGCTTCTCAAAATACCCTCTGACGGCGAAGACTCTGATCAAGTCATGATGACTATCCATTTCAATGCAAATCTTCGACCTGTGGTTGGTGAGCGTGTGGGTATGCTATTTTGGATTATGGATCCTCTCGCCGCAGGATTCATCATTGGTTATGATCTGAGTGGCACACAGGTTCATATTAGCCAAGTTGATATCTCGAAACAGCCTCTCAATTCATGGACAGAAGAAATGGCTCGAACCAAAGTTCGCGCTGCCATTGGGAGAGATGTCCCCTTTGACATTCTGAGCTTCCGACCTTGGATATTCAGACGACAAATTGCGACTACGTTTCAAAAAGGAAATGTCTTCCTGTGAGTTCCCTTGATTTATATGATGTCGAAGACATCTAAATGGATTTTGGATGCGGTTTCTGATCAATTTGACAAAAAAGAGCTGGGGATGCAGCTCACTCCTTCCCACCAACCGGCGGACTGGGGCTAAACTGCGGCCTTGCAGACGCCCACAACCTGGCTTATAAAATGGCTCTCGTACATCGGGGTATCGCTAATCCGTCTATATTGGCAACATATACTGCAGAAAGGCACAGTATTGCTGATTTATATTCGAAGCAAAGTGTCAAAAATGGAAAACAGATATTCAACCTAGTCCAAAGTTTGAAAACCGAAGGGGTGGAGGACACTGTCCAAGCCCGTCACAACATGATAGAAGCTCTACGGGACCCTGGGCAACGAGAAATAGTTGATAAAGGCATTGAAGGGCAAAGGGAGCACTTCGACAACGTAAGTATACGCGATAAGCTTTTGAGAGTAACAATGCTAACAAAAATATCCCACCCTCTTTAGTTGGAGCTTCATATTGGCTACGTATATGGCGCAAAGAAGCCGCCACCTCATGCCTCCCATTACCAGCCAAAGTTAATACCAGGAGCTCGATTACCGCATGTGTGGATTTCATTTCAAAATTCAGACAAGACGGCAGCAGTACCACGGCTCCCTGTAGATGTTTCATACGTGAAAGACCTGACTAGCAGCCAAGTAAGTGAATGTCAATGGAGCTCCCTGGATCTCTGCGATCCAGATGCTTGGACATTGATTGTTGGCAAGCAAGACGATAAGTCTGGCACACGGTTTTTGGCACTTGAGAAACATTGTGACGCTATTAACATTCGTTTAATTTTGCGGCGTCTCGACATAGACTTTCAAATTGTTAGGCAGCGATGGTTTTCGGAGGCCATATATCATGGCGGACTTCTTGTTCGACCTGATCAACATATTATGATGCGAGTATTACCCACAACCACCGAGGATGACTTGATCTTAGCCCTTGATGAGCACCTTGGGATATAGAGTAAGAGAAATCGTTGATTGCAACCATACATAGCGAAATGATACGCTGTTTTCCTACCTACCTGCGGATTATGCAAAGTGTTCAGAAGATCCGACTCTAGCCATCCCCTCATGGCCCACATTTTTCCTCGCCGAAGTCCCCCTTCCAATTCTGCGCGCCAGATCTGGACCCAACAGAAAAGGAACGGCAAGAGACCGAACGCTAAAAAATGCCAAGGCCGTTCAAGGGTAGCCGACATGATTTAGCTCTCTTCAGATTTATCAATAATTGGTCAGATCTCCCGGGTGCGGGCCGATGGTGGAGCCAAATTGTTGTAGTCGCTGGCGTCGGCAGTCAATTTGCTTTCGCGATTTCTAGCACGCCATCTTGCTCACCAATGATTTGATACTCATAGACGAAGAGATTCAAGTTTGATATCGAATAAATATCGGCATCCTGAACCCAAGCAGAAGTCCAATTTTCATCAACCTTAACACAATCCAGCCCAAGCAAGGTGTAACGAAGGACAATGGCCGACACCGTCCCGACATCGGCACCGGTCGAGGATGTGTCAATCTACAGAACACGTCGCGTCTGGTATCGAACCACGCTTTTCAATGCATTCATCATCGGGGGCGTAGGCTTCATGGCCCCAGGACTATGGAATGCCATGAACTCTCTGGGTGCCGGTGGAGCTGAATCGCCTTTTCTTATCAACGCGGCTAATGCGTTGGTTTTTGGACTGAGTAAATCTTCAGACGGGGACCTTCTTCAAAGCGAACTATGAAACTAATTAGTTTATTAATAGTGGGATTTCTGTGCCTTTTTGGAGGTCCTATCTCCAATCGGATTGGTCTCAACTGGACCTTGTTATTAGGTGCTGCTGGGTATCCAGTTTATTCGTACGTTCTATTCGAATCCGTGACATTATCATGGTTCAAGGTATCCCTGACTCGAATTATTCTTACAGAGCAGCTTTATACACAAATAATCGCTATGTGGGTATCTCTAAATCATCCAAACTAACAATGATCGACTAACCTGAAATTTTAGGGCAATGAGTGGTTTGTTCTTGTCGGAGCAGTTGCTTGCGGTTTATCGTCAGTTGCAATCAAACAGCTGTATGAAAGAAGACAGAAGACTAATTTATCAATGCAGAGCCGGTCTCTTTTGGGCTTCTGAAGGTGCCGTTGCACTTGGCTACCCTGAGCCGGAGAGGAGAGGGCAATATATGAAGTAAGTGCATTAAACATACCAATGCTTGACCAAAACAATTATTAATTACTGAAAAGCATCTGGCTCTGGTTTCGTACCGGTGGACCTCTGCTTGGGAGTGCCATTGTTCTTGGACTAAACCAGTAGGTGGACATCACATTTCACACGATATAAACCGACCAATAACCATCATCTAGTTCTGCTAGTGCAAAGAGCAAAGGCAAAGTTGGGTCCGGTATGTCAATCATTTCGTAATTGCAAGAATTTCTACCACCTGACTTACCCAATCATTTAGAAACTTACTTGATTTTTGTCGCACTCCAATGTCTTGCTGTGCCTCTCGCTATCTTCCTCACTCGTCCTGAAAAGGTGCAACGCAGTGATGGAACAGCCGTGAAGATAATTGTACAGGATTCATGGAAAGGTGAACTTATTGAATTGTGGAAAGTCTCTCTTCGCAAAGAGGTATGTATTCACAATCTTTAACTTTGCGATGAACAGTACGTTGACTGGGATTTGATAATAGATTCTTCTCCTTTTACCTATCTTCTGGGCCGCGTATTTTAACCAGTATAGTGGAAGTGAGTAATTTTAACTAGCTCGTGCCATGCCCTTAAATATAGAAGGAAATCACTAATCAGGCTTGATAGACTTTGAGACATACTATTTCGGTGTCCGCGCGCGAGCATTAATTGGCTTAGTTTGCAAGTCCTCTCGAGCAACAATTTCAATAATTAAACGTTTCATGGGCTAACACATGTCTCTAGCATACATTGCGGCCCTTCTTTCCTCATGGATTATCAGTCGATTCTTAGATTATCGTGGATTAACTGTTAAGAGTCGCATCACCTACAGGTGACTATCTCTCGTCATGGTGGCTGTAGATGCATGCTAATTATATATAGCTTCTATTATGTTGTTGGGGTTCACATTGTGGCCTGGGTTTATGGCTGGGTAATCCAAGAGAAATACACTGCCAATCCACCATCCTATGATTGGGCAGACAAGGGGTTTACAGAGGGTGCTTTTGTCATTATCTTATGGCGTAAGTTCCAAAAATTTGAATTCGACACTCGAACAGGAAATACTAACATTGAGATACAGAGTTTTCTCAGCAGGCACTGCAGAACTGGCTGTACTATCTTCTTTCTACAATGACGGATAACATCTCTGAACTATGTATGTTTTAAGCTTGAGCTTGAAGAACCTGGACTTGACTAACTGCCTAAAGCTCGATTATCTGGAGTCCTACGTGGACAAGAGAGCTTTTCCCAAGCTGTTTCCTTTGGATTGAATACCCGTGATTGGTACGGAGGAAGAGTTCCACTTGCAGTTAATACAATCCTTCTTGGTATGTCGATTTACTTTGCCCCTTTCATCTTTTCAAAAGTCAATAAGCCGCTTACAAAAGTATAAGGACTTGCGGTTCTTCCTACATGGATTGTTGTCAGGAATCACAACCCAGTGGAACAAAGTAAAAACAATGCGCTTAGCGGTGATGTCCAAGATGAAGAGCGACTTTCCTTTCAGGACTCGAAGGACAAGCCCGATTATATTGTTGGCCAAAGTGAAATTTAGATTCATTTTTATGCCTTCGGCACACGAAATCAAATACTACTTCCTTGAGAAAGTGAATATTGAACTTGGCCTTACGTCCCACGGGCTCAGCAGATTCCAAGAACGTACTTCGATTTAACCCTGCATTGAAGTACTTTTTAAGAAACATTCAAACTTCAAAAGCATGAAGTAATGAAATCATTAATTTAAATACTAAATCTCACCCTCTCCGCTTTCTCTTAATTCGAGTTTATAGATGCATTCGAAATTCCGGTGGGAGTTTTGGGTCTTACGTAGGCCAACTGTTTCCAACATTGATATTCCTATCGACTCTATAAGATCTCTTCCCGTCTTTGATTCCATGTATAAATTTGAAATCTTTGAATATGTATTCTCCCTATTCAATCAAGTTGCCTCTTGCATTCATAAAGCGATCCTGATTTACTTTGTAACACGATCCCACAGATTCAAAAAAGCTCTCTTGCAATAAAGACTTTCTTCATACTCTTTCCAGCTGTTTCTCTGAGAGTTCATTCCGGGCTTCGTCGTAAGCAGTAGGCCTCCAAAAGCCCGTTATTCTGGATTTCATACGCCGCTTTTGCTCTTTATGAGTCCATATGTACCATAGCCCAACTGTGAGAATGGCCAGGACAATGGTAGCAACGATAAATATCCAAAACTGTTTTGATATAGTGAATTCTTCTGTCGTTCCATCGTCAAATTTGAACAGGTTCATTCCCAGGACCGACTGTTTTGCTTTAGAACCAAGCCTCATCAAAAAAGGGAAAAGTCAATCTAGCTTACTGAAACAAGGCTCGCGGGCAGATATATCATCGTGACAAACGTTACCACTTTCACAGTGGCATTTTCATCGAAATTTTGATTTCCAAGTTTGAGTAACTCATCATTGATACTCAACATCTTGTGATTCATTCTCAGATTCAGCCCGATTTGTAACTGCGTACGTCAGCAAATGTCTCAATAACTGAAGATACGTATGTAATTACACGCTGTAGGACGTCTTTCACCTTCTCTCCAAGAACTTCGATGCCTGGCAAAAGGCCCTGGAGAGATTTTCTGTAATAGGAAGCATCCAAAGCAAGCCTGAGATAGCCAGTTTCCAGGTTACAACTCCTTTCAAAGAACTGGTGACTGATCTCTTCTAATCGTTCCAAAGTACTTAGTATTGCCTCGAGCCTGAATCTCGTTGGTAATATTAGATCTCCATAATAGTGAAGATCCAAAAGTTTTCCATCTCCATTAGCCGTCCAAAAGTCATCCATACCCGATGACTCGAGTGTTAATGAGTCAGTTACCTGCAAAAATATTAGAAAGAACTGAAAAGAGGGAGATTTGACTACTAACATATTCATCAACCTTTGAACCCAGGTAATGCAAATATAAATTCCATTGCTTCAGATATGGTGAAAAGACTGCTGCATGCACTGAGGACCAAATTGTTCCTTGGTCTAGCCGTATTTCTGATTGGGAAAGAATATTTTCAATGGAGATCTGAGCAAGAGTATTTTGTCCCGCGTGAAAAAATACCCACAGATCTTGCGGTTCTTTTTCGTTATGGTGATAGAAAACTCCAGTCTGTCGCATTGTCCAACGGCGGACTCTAAATTGTGGATAGACAAGGACGTAAGTCATGTCTAGATTCAGATATCAGCCATTGAAAAGATATCCATATTTCGATGTAGTCATGTATATGTCTAACCTTGAGCTTTATCCAAATTTGGGTAAATTTCCATTCTGCCTTCGCCTGCTCCTGCACTAGTTGGCTTTTGACCAAACACACTGGCTAAATCGAGCAGACATGGGCCGATGTTATATTTATTCTTCACACTCACGAGAGCCTGTTCAGAGATTTTGAGTGGCTCGATGGATGTCTGCGAGTATATCATTCTATGATTGGTGTCATTAGATTTGGTTGTCTTTGGTTTCGGATAAAGGAATGATGGGACTGCATTACATTACACGTAGTTGAGGTCGCTCGGTGTTTTCAATGAAAGATTCAAAGTCTTCATTTCGAGTATATCTCGTAGAGATAAAACCGGAACCATTTGTGGCTGGTTTCAGTTAGACTTCGTCGAAGACAGTTTATTTTTGCTTCGTGAAATAGCTCACATTGATCAAAAATCGATACATCTATTGCGTCAGAAGGCAGACAAAACGGGCTGTTTGGGGCTCCGTAGCTCATTCTGGATCCAATAAGTGGGAACAATGGAAATTGGAACTTGAATTTTAGATTGATAATAAAAGGTGTATGTTCCTGTTGCGATAAAGTGATCTAGAAAACTTTATACCTTGCGAACAGAAGAAGAATCAGGGCAAGGCGCCACCTAAAAACGCCTTGTGACTTGGGTGCAAACTTGATAACAAGGGGTATTCACCGGGTGCTCCGCTGGGTAAATTAGTCAGGCATTTCAGAAGAACTATTCAGCAGCTGGTGGCAATGCAGATAATATCCCCGGTTCTCAATGGTCAGCACTGCCGGCAGGGTGCATCGGGCGCAGGCTATGCCTACTTAGCCGACTGGGAGGGTGGTAATAATACTACGGGGGATTGAAAGCTCTGAAGGCCTGAAATTCTGACATGTTATTATAATCGGAGTACCCTCAACCTGCACCTCTTCTTATAAATACGAGGAGGGTTGTCTGGATTACCAGACATTCTTCCTACTCTGAAGTTTTGGCTGATCTGACTGACACCCAAGACTAGCTCCCAGACCTAGTGTGAGTTAAGATTTGATCCAAAAATTACCATGATCATGATTTCAAGCTCAAATTCAAATGAATGAAATCCGTTATCTACATCCAAACAATAAATGCCAATGGATTGATAAAATAATATAATATCAAGGTCCTTTCGAGAGAAGTCGAGGTCCTACATTCCAAGTCCGAATAATGATCTGCAGTACGTTGAAATACCTCTTGTGGATAAAGAGACCTTACACCGTTTTGCATTTTGCGTTAATTCACCGAGGAGCTTTCCCGTAGATCACTATCAATGTCGTATTAGCATGCACACTAGAAGATAGGACTTGTCTGACATACGATATTTCCGACTGAACGTGCAAGTTAGCATTTAAGCAGTGCTGTAAATGATAGATTCACATCTTACCACTTCCACCTTTCTAGTTGCGGTGAAGCTGTAGCAGCCATGTATATACTGTTACTCGTCCATTAGAACCTAAATGGGTCAGCTTTTGAGATGCATACTCACCCGAACTGCCACCTCACGACCAAGGATGCTTCGAAGCCTAGCCTCGAGCCTCTCCCTCTTGATATAGTTGCTTAATCCTTCTGGAATACTGTTGTGTATCATTGGGCTTGTTGGACTACTCGGTGCAGTACTTGATGACATCCTTGCGGTACGGATGGCGAAGCCAGTAATTAGAAATACGGATTTGGATCGTCGCCGCGGGAAGGATTCACAGTGATAGAGAACGCTTCCAGACCAGAGAAAGTAAAGTTTGGTTGAAGGGGGGATAATGGCAAATCCCCGCAAAAAGTCGGGGTCTCGAGTCATTATTTCCCCACGGAAGGACCCGCTTCGTATTCCTCATGGATGAGGCTGAGGCGGGCCGTGAATTTTTCGTTCAGTCCAGTCTCCGTCTGATATTTTCAACCAGCCTTTGTTTCTGATCGAGGTGTTTGGGGTGGCTATGGTGACAGGGGTCCCCCCGCCAATAATTATCTCCCTTCAGGCACTCACATGCGTCAGGCATGGGGCGGCGTGATTTTGGTTGCATGTTTGCTTCCCGCCAGCCACGCGGCCTGAACTCATAGGTGCAATCAGTCCTCGGACAGAAAATCATCAGCTGCGCATTTCATATTATTAAAATTAACTGTGTTTCGAATTGCTTGGGTATGGTGGCAACTGTGTCGTGAGGGGTCGGAAAAAGCAACAACTGGTCTGGGCTTTCTATGGCCCAATCACGATGACAGAATCCGCGTGGTATTATTCTACTGTGACTCAAAACTCAGTGGATGCCAAATCCGAGCATTCCTTGTTTATAAGTGCTGTTGTTATGCCCTCACTCTGGGCTGCAAAGCATTTATCTCTACTACTGACTCATGTGTTCGAGTGCCATATAATTAGCCCGTTCTGGGACTTGGAGTTGTAGAACTAGTTCTAAATTACCGCTTTTCAGAGAAATATACACCCTGAACGGTACAGATCTATTGATATGCCTTGGAAGTACTTGGGAAAAATGTCGTGGGTCAAAGCACCAGAAATGACAAGGAAAAAACGCTGTAACTAAATAACGGGAGGGCCTACCGGTTTAGCTCTAGTGGTCTCCTAGCTGCTAGCAGGTCGCATAATGTGTGCTCTAAGCTGTCGATGTGAGGCTCTTCCGGAGGGTTCGCTTTATTCGGCCTATTTTTGGATCAGTGGCGCGGAGCAGCCTTCTTCTTATTAAATCTGATAGTTCTCGTCATTCATCGAGTGTCAAAGTCATTTCATATGCCCCGTTGGCTTTAGCGACAATCGCGAGGTATCCTTTCGCATTTGAAGCTGTCAGTCGAACTACTTGACCTCTTCCTCTGCGAGGTGAAAATGGTTTCAATACAAGGGGGAGAGGATGATTCGAGAATTCCGTGAGTCTTGCAATCATCCCTCTTCAGCATCAGGTTATTAGTTCTAAGATTCATCATCAATCAGACTAGATAATCCTCCCAATGTACGACACCTGCACCAACTCGAACGTGACGTTGAGCATTTTTATACACGCGATGGTCTTGAGAATTTCATCAATCTCGAAACATTATTGAAAGGAGCGCAAATAGCAAGGAATCCGGAGGATCTTGATACTCCTAATCTCTCGCCCGCGGAAAGAAATGCCCTGGAAAAGGAGGATTCTCAATGGCTCTCTCAGACCAGAGACCTAAGCGTGACTATTATGGCCACCGCTTGCGCAGCGATCACACAGTATGTATATTGCGCTCTAGAGAGAACATTGATATTCATCTAATCTTTAATCTTTCAGGGGATGGCAACAATCAACCATTAATGCAAGCTCTCTAATGGGCTGGGATACTGAATTGGGCTTGAACGACAATAACGAGTTACTCCGTGGGTTAATAAATGCCGCCCCCTGGCTTTCAGGGAGTATCATGTACGCGGATTGCGTTCCAGGATCGAGTTTGAATTGAATTTCTAACCTCGGACGACAGAGGCACATGGTTAAGTGACCCATTACAGGAGCGATTTTTTGGACGACGCCCAGCGCTTTTCTTAGCCGCAATCTTTTGCGTCGCTTGTGTTATAGGTTAGTTCCAAATGATTTCTCATGAGATAAGCTGCGGAATTTCTTATAGAATTTACCTAGGGACTGCCCACTGCAGTACTTGGCAGGAGCTGCTCATTTGCAGGTTACTGCTTGGCTTTGGGGTGATTCGTCCTCTTCTCGAGTTCACAGCCTTTTGCTCAAAACTAACATTTCAATCAGATAGGTTCTAAGGCTTCTATTGCACCTGTATTTGCTGCAGAGGCGGCACCAGACAAGCATCGCGGCCGAGTTCTTATGATGTGGCAACTTTTTGATGCATTGTATGCCTCCTGCAACGGCTTTCTTATTCAACGCTAACAATGTAATAGTGGAATATTCATGGGATTTGTTTGCGCCTTTATAGTGCGAAATAGCTGGCGTGTCCTTTTATCGACCGCCATGATACCAGCCGTTGTACTTCTCTTTCTAATTTATCTGTGTCCAGAGTCACCTCGATTTCTCATACGACAAGGTAAATATTCTGAGGCATACTCTAGTCTGCGACATCTCCGTGGAACCGATATCCAGGCTGCAAGGGATCTATATTCAATCCATTGCCAACTTCAAGCCGAAATATACACGGTTTGGAAAGAAGGGTCAGATCAAGATTGGTTTTCGGAACTGGTCTACCAAGCGTGGATTGGAAAAATGAACTTCTTCAAAAGAATGGGAAAGCTGTTTTCAAATCCACGCTGTCGTAGAGCTTGTATGGTGGCGTTAATCGTGATGCTATCTCAGCAACTGTGTGGGGTACGTTCATAATACTTGGATACCCAAACGAAGCAGTATCTTACTAAAATGATGTCTTACTTTCAAGATCAATGTTGTGGCGTTTTATTCAACGGATCTATTCAAATCTAACTCGGATCAGTCCGACAATACAAAGATTAAGTGGTTTAATTTTGGTGAGTCTTGGTCAAAATGAGGGATTTATGAAAATTTTCTAATTTTTAGGCTTCGGAATCGCAAACTTTTTGTTTACTCTTCCATCCTATTATTTCATCGATAAGAAGGGACGTCGGCCTCTACTTCTCGTGTCTTTCATCGGTATGGCTGTGAGCCTCTTCGCCGTTAGTGGCTTCTTTTACATTACGAAAGAAGAAGTTCGTATTGGGCTAGTGGCAACGTTTACCATCGTGATTTTTAACTTCTTTTATTCCATTGGTGCTGGTCCAATACCATTCACTCTCAGTGCTGAGGTATTTCCACTTTGTGTACGCGGTATGGATCCTCGTCTCTCTATCTAGCATCTTTGAAAATGGTCAGAGGCTAATTTTGCACAGAGGTCGGAATGAGCTTCAGTGTCATGATAAACTTTGCCTTTCTGGGCCTCCTAGTACTCTTTGTTCCAGCCTTGACTAGGAAGTTTGGTCATGATAAAGTATGTGGAGAAAATGTCCCAAAAAGTGGTTATCCTTGTAATGGACAGGGAAATCTTTTGATATTTTTCTCGTAAGTCATCAATATGCTTTTACTAAGCTTTGATTTAACAAATTTCTAGTTGTCTGAATATCTTGGCTTTGATATTCATATTTCTTCTCGTAAGTGGCCACAGGCATAATTGATAAACGGATCTGAGTAGTAATTCGTCGTCTTCAGGTCCCTGACACCAATTCTGTACAGTTGGAGGCAATGAATTCCATCTGTGCGTTTCGCAATTTTAATGTAGCCATCTTTGTCTTCTCTACTAACTCTACACAGTTAACCAACACACAAAGGAGCATTGCGTTAATCATATCCGCACCTTGGGCCTTCTTCCAAAAAGACCCCCAGACTGGACCATCCCTAGAGAGAGAGGCGAGATGCAAGAATATTGAGATATGGAATCTCTCTATAAATTTCAGCGTGAAACATTTCTTCTGGATATTTGCAAAGCTGCTCAGTTCTTTTGATGGAAACACTTCATTTAGACATGTAGGGTATCACGATGTAAGAAAATATGCAAAAGATCATGAAACATCCCTCGCTAAGTACAATAATTGTCTATGGATATTGCCAGGCCTTATCGTGACTTTGAAAATCTAGATAGTATACTTGTGCTTGTACGCCGTGGAGTAGGGAGATCAGCGGAACCACGTTTTGGGGTATCCTCTTCCTTTGCGTCTTTCGCAATTTTCTTCATCTCAGATGAAAGACTTCGTCCCTTGTAGTAGCCGCTTGGAAGAGTTGCATCAGCATCAACAAGTATTCTGGCAAGCCGAACGTTGTTTTTCTCAATTGCAATCTCCAAGGGGCTTTTTCGTGTGTATCTTTTGTTGACATCGGCTCCACAATCGATGAGAGCATCAAATTTTTCTCGCCAACGACGTTTGCTCTGTTCGGGATACCTGTCAAAATATGATATATGAAGCATCAAAGGAGTTGTATATGAGATCTGTTCCTCTGGCAGATCTGGTGGGCGTAAATTAAAATCCATCTTATCTTTGAATGCGGTTATCAGGTCCACGCCATGCGTGATATTATTCACCGCATAGTGTAAGCAGTTCCACCTTTCGGGCCCTGTAAAGATCTCACATTTTGCCTTTTCTTCCAAGAGAACGGATATTACGTCAATGTGTCCATGGATGACAGCTTCCATCAAGGGCGTCAGCGAAGGTGCTCTTTCACCTTGGCGGGTGGAACAACTGTTCGGCAAGGCTTTGTAACTGAGCAAGGTTTTCACAATTTCAACATTGCCTATACGGGAAGCAAGAGACAGTGGAGTTTCCCCGTCGGAAGAAGGCCTTTCCAAGTTTAATGTCGGCCCATGCTCCAGTAAAACATTGACTATCTCATGATTAGATTGTTTTATTGCATTTATGAGAGGTCGATCGCCAGATTCAGTCATCTCGAAGTCGGCAGGTAAAGATTTCAAGGCTTGTTCCACTTGATCGAGTCGGTTTTTCTCAATTGCACTGTCCAGAGCAAAATATACCAACTGCAATTCCCCGGGATTTGGTACGCGTGTGCTCCCAGTACTCGGTGTATCTGTTTCTGGTGGTGATGGTGGTAAAACTTCCGCTGATGGTCGACGTGCCCTGCTCTCGAGGGCTTGCAATTTTGACCACACTTCTTTTGCATTTAGACGCATGTCAATGCTTATCACAAGCATCTTTAGAAGAAGATCTTTCATCCCTTCTCTGAGGTTAAGTTCGAAAGAGGTGAAGGTATTTGGCAAGTCGTCGATCCACGATTTCACATGCGGATTTAGAAAGGGTGGAGATCCGGCCACTTGTCGGAGGAAACGATCATCGTTATGGGGTGTCACTCCATCTGGACCCATTCCTCTCAGATTGTCTAGCCTGTTCAATTCCTCAGGTGAGAACCCTAGAGAAAACACACGGACAAGAATGCACCCCAGAGACCAAATATCATTTTTCGGACGCACAACGCTGTCGGGACCCTGATAAGAGCCGTAGTGACGCGCAACTGGATAGTTTAAGCCAGCATAGCACACTGAATCAGGCTTACTCCGCGGTGCAACTCGAGAAATGCCAAAGTCGGTGATTGCCCATTTCCCAGTTGAAGGCTTATCTGGATGCTTGAAAACAAGAATATTCCTAGGCTTTAGATCGAGATGACAAAGAGACGAAGGTAGCAGCTGTTCGGTCTCACTATCGGATTGGAGTCCATCATGAAGGAAGGCAATCGCACCCGCAATCTCTTTAGACTCTCCAATCAAACCAACCAGGGTCAGGTCAGAAGGCATTTCACAATGACGTCCTGCAATAAACTCTTCTAGATCCATATCTGCCCATTGTGATATAATGTTGAGCTCATTTCCGATCGTGACGATCGAAAGTGCTTGAACTATTCGTTTGTGGATAGTAGAGCTTGATCGGAGACGTTGCAACTGATTGACCTCCCGGAGAAATCCTGTTGAGTGAAATCGCTTCCGGGCAACGACTAACTCCCTCTGGTTGTGTCATCTTTCTATTAGTAAATTGACCTCGAGTGGCCAATTTGCACGGACGAGGCTTACCATATGAGGTTGGAATTCTCGAAAGCCTAGATCGTCATTTCGGTCGATAATTATTTGTCCACGAGGTATCACAGCCTTTGTCACTATTCCAAACCCACCTTCCTTCGGCTTCTGTGTTTCATCAAGTATCAATGGTAGTCGATAATCTTCGCCGTATGCATCGTTGTGGCCCATTTTCAACAGAATAGGGAAGTATAGCCACCTTTCTGTCATAAAAAAGTGTGCCATATTATCAGCCCTTCCCAGGAAAGATTCATGCTCAAGATCCTCCAGCCTGAGTGAGGCAATATTGCAATCGCGACGACTGTTTGCTATTGCTTGATCGGATGGAAAGAAAATAGCTTTGAATCTTGACCATTCCCTCCAGTTTATGGCAATAAGAAGGGATATTGTGTGCAGCAACTCTGTCTGAGCAATGCGGATTTGCTCATCTGTGAGTCCTAGGCGAAGCTCATTCGCAAAGTCTCCCAGGCGATTTCCAGCCCATATCTCCTGGACTCTAACACGAGGAATAAAAGCCTGCTTCCTTCCTCTATTACACAGCGCGTTGCTGAGCTCCTGGGCGATGCTTTTCAAGCTCATTTAGACGTGGCTCAGGTAGGATAGGTGGAGCCTGAAGTTTTTCATTCACGGGGCTGGGCGAACGCATGCGAATTCACGAGGAAAGAGGGGCGAAAATCCGGCGTATGTTTGTCTAAGCATCCAAGTAAGATGGATATATCGTGTCTGGCTTGCCTTTGGCCTTGGTTGGGGTGTTTGGAAGTTCTTTGCATCATAAAGTCAGTAGGAAGTATGGTGATCTGGTAAATGGTGTTGAGCATTCCAGATTAAGACAGAGAGCGGAGGAAAGCAGGGTTTGAAGCTACTGGCTCCAGACTTCTTCATCAAACCGTGCCAAGAAACAAATGAATCGCGGCACTGAGAAAGGCCAGCCAATCTGGGCAAAATACTGTATTCAGGGGCCATCTATGTCGCCAGCAAGTTATTGTTGCTCTTTATTCTTTCTTTCTTTTTCTGGTCCCAAATGAATTGCTAGTCTTTTCTACGTCATATTGCTCTGTGTTGATGTGTTAACCCAGCGGGAGCTGGAGAGCGGGGCTCCAAAAAACGCTACTTCTCTAGAATGCGGAGTATGTCTGACAAACGTTGGAAAGGAGGATGAGGATAACATGGTGCTGTAGGAAGCGTACTACTTCCAGCACCCTGGTGCAGAATATGCGTGTCCTGTTTCCACGTTGGTCTCAGTGGCGACATTGCTGCCCCACAAAATTCATTCAAATGTATGGTTTGAGGCTGACTGGAGAATCCAGCAGCGCTCCAGGCTTACCCCGGGTGAAATCTCGTATTCAGGCGGCCCCTGCATGGCCGCGTCACGCGGGGCCTGATTATTGTGCTTGCCCTCGTCTGGAAATTTATGCATGGTTTTCTAAAGATCTATTGCATTCCTGAGACATCTCGTTCATGGGATAACGAGAGGCAGATCCACCTAGTCGAGCGGTATTGTTCCAACCCTGGTGGTTTGCGGATATATATCACGTCAGGTTGTTGGGCAACAAGGGTTATTGATTTTCCGACAGTCATCTGCGAATCTTGCCAGGACCCGATTTCGTTGAATCAAAACAGCCGCCTCTTCTCAAGACCAAATATTTCATTTGTCTATCAATTTTGTCGTTATGTTTCCAAGGAGATTTGGATGTTGTAAGACTTGAGTCCTTAGTATAGAGAGGCTATGGGGCGGGTACGCTCGATTTACCGCCTGACCTCCCTGGAGATTGCTGGTTGGTTTCCCCGTCGAAAATTCATCAAGAAAATCAGCTTCTCTTTCTGGGGCTCATGTTTAAGAATTTGTTCAAATATCTCATTTCAACACCGAGGTTTGACCTGATGTTTGTGAGTTACCTGTCAACCTTCCATCCTACAGTATACGTATTTCCACCATTTCTGTCTACAAACAAGCCCTAGGTCGACGTGACCTTCCTGGCTAATATTCTATTGGGAGGTGGCACCTATACTTCTGATCTGTCATGTTTAGTTCACTGAACAACTCTTGAGGAAGTCCTTTTGGTCCCCTCGTAATACTAGTATGATCTGAGCTAGGTCAACTCCAGCAAAAAAAGGATATGAAGAGCTTCATACACTTCACTTCTTCAACAAAGTACGAAACTAATGTTTAAAGTTTGAACAAGATAATGACTGTATATTTACAGAGCCTACTACTTGTTACAATACATTGACTTGTCAAAGATAATCATTCCCGAACCTCGAATTGCTCCATCATGTTCTGCTGGTTGAGTGGTCTGACAAGAATGTGACCTATAGATACTTGTGCGCGTACGGAATAGCATCGGCGAACGGACATGGACCGTGAAGTTATTTGCGGAGGATTTAGAGATGGGTGAGACTTGTATCCATTGGCGCCAACTCCATCCTTACCATAAAATGCACCGACATGGGCTGCATTCATACATACATCAAGAAATCTGTCCGGACAGGTGCCCCCGACAAATAGACTTTCAAGTTTGATCACCCAATGGAGGAGATTTGTCCTTCTGAAAGGGGACTGGCGCTTGAAAATCACCGGGTTGAATGTGCATTGACAGGAGGAACAGAGAGTCTTTAGAGGCCAAGTGATTTCAACTACTTCCAGAAGTTACAGCGCCCCGACAAAATGTTTCTCTTCGTAAATGGAGCCTGGTGGATGGATGCAGATGGATGGTGGATTGAGCTATTGAGAGTGGGAAGAAAACTACAAAGGATTCAAAGGCTTCCTCGAACGACTTGCAATTTACCGCTAAGCTTTGAAGGATCCTTGGATGGGACGATGGATCGCAATTAGTCAACAAGATTGAGCAGGAACATAAATTACGTGGTGGAATGTAAACATCATTTATAGCCAGAATAGAAGCGCGTCTAGTAACATGATATAGACATATAATCATTAACACGACCTAGTCTAAATATTAAGACAGTAGTGGCGTCCATCGATAAACAGGAAGGTAGACGCAAGAACAAGGGTATTGGCAAGAAAATTGAACATTCAGGCTTGGGCGGATGCCTGGCTCTCCGGCTCGGTCGAAGTCTGTCCGTCTTCAACAGCCTTACCCCAGGCTCGCTCGAAAGCAGAGTCAGCTGCTTCCTCCTGGGAATTCTTCTCGAGAGTCTGGTCTTCAGCGGCAGTGGTCGTAGGTTCAGAAACAAGCGCTTGCGGCTCGCAGTCTACAAGGACTGGGACACTCTGTGTGATATCAGCGGTGGGGGTGATTTCCTCCTCCTTATCAACCATCACAGCAGCAAAGGACGAGGACGTCGAGTCTAGCCCCGCAGACTCCTCGCCCACATTCCCTGCAGCCGCAGCCGCATTTTTGGCACCAAGAAGCTCAAGGTCAAAGTTTGAGCTGTAAATGACCGCGGAAAAGGCTTCAAGCTCCCGTACATTCTGATCCATGGCGACCAGGTATTCATTGGGCGGATGAATTCCATTACCAATTACATGGGCCTGGCGAGCCAAAACGGCCAGCAAGTTCGCAAGCTTAGTCTTGTGCTCTGACGCAGCAGGAACAACCGTGGCCATGGAATCGAAGGACTGTGGCACTGTCTCTGGAGCAGCGACTGGGGCCTTGAAGGCCTCATTAGCGCACTTCTGGTCAACCAAGGTCGAGAACCCCTCATTATTCAGAAGAGTCAGAACGAAGGAGAAAGATGGGGAGTCGATGAGGTCGGCTGTTTCATCAAGAAGATGGCGCAGCTTCGAGGCAGTCTGCGAGGACGATGGATCCGCAACCCCCTCAACGCCAGATTCACGAAGGACGTATTCTTCTTCTTTTGATGGGGGTAGCAAGCAGGAGAGCCATTTCTTGGATCTAGTGCATCATGTATTGTTAGTTACGCCGAATCGATCTGTCCGGATCAAAAGGAACTGTACCGTCGTTCCTCTTCGGTGCTTCCCTCCACCTTCTTCCTGATCTGCAACGTCAACTCCGACAGTTTGGATAAACTAATATCTTCGCGGGGGTTGAGAGGACCGAAAACCTCCTCGACTGCAGGCTGAACCCTTTCCATCAGCTCCTTCCATCCGCGGTGTAGCAGCCACCAGCTGAAAGCCAGATAGCGACGATTGGTCTCGAAATCGTCACCCAGAGTCTGCGTCAGCTCGTCATCGTGGTCTTCCAAGCTGATTGTGGAGTCGGTCGGTGGTGTGGCCAGAGAAATGACGCTGGACAGGTAGTTTCGACGGCCGAGGAGGTTGAGTTGGATGCGAGTGAAGAGAGTAAGCAACGAGAGGGTGTAGATAAGCGTGAAGGACCGAGTGATGGCTGTGAAAAGAAGGATTAGTCGTTATGTATCGTCGAGGTGGGTAATCCTCCCGTATGCGGATCTCGGGACATACATGTGATTTTGACTTCATTCCACAGCTGAGTCTTGTTCCGTTTCACCTGAGTTTGTCCATCAGGATTGATTGAATCCCCAAGCTGGCTTGCGTGCAAGTATCCTTCACTCTGGAAGCTAGAGAGACTTTTCCGATCATCCTCGGTCACGCTGGGAGATACCGAGGTCATGTCCGAGCCCGCTACTTCCCCGGCATTGAGACGCGCCAGTCTCTCCGCCCGCTTCTTCTGAAGCTCCTTTGTCAATTCTTCCACGGGGAGCGCTTCTAGGATATTTTCGGTAGCAGTGGGTAACAGGGCGAGGACAGTATAGGTGCAATCGGTTTGATTCTGTTCGAATCGGCGTCGTAAACTGTACTCACGACTGGGTCAGTCTAGGATTCGGGGTACGCGACGAGTTTCGGCCCTATCACAGGTTTACCGGAATCGAGTAACGGGAGAAGCCTGTCGAGGGAGGGAGGAAGGGGAGTACCTACTTCTCTCGAGCAATCCGATCGCTGCTCATGCGCTCTCGCGCTTCGGAGATCTTGGACAGCACATACTGCCCGGCCAGGTAGCCAGCTCCCAGGACCCCAGCCCCGATCGCAAGACCTTTGCGATTGCGCCGGAGCCAGCGCCTAGCGGCACCGATCATCTTGAGGGGTTTTGGAGGTAGGCAGTTCAGATAGACACAGAACTTAGAAGTCTGGGGTCATGATATATGCGGGAGTGGGTTGGAGGTTGGGGTTGGGTAGGGGAAGCGGATTAGGGTGAGCCTAGCCGCCTCGGCTAATAGGAGCTGGACTGCGTCACGGGCTGGCCCGATGCGCCGATACCAAGCGCCCCGATTACATCGATTACATCGGCATCACCACCCCTCCCCTTCGTCCTCCCCCTCTTCTACCTTGAACGATTAGTACCCCTCTCTCCCATGACCCCCGCGTCTTAAGCCCCGAACTTCATACTGGATCGTTGAATCCACCACCTCCTAACCTCTTCCACCGGCCCAAGCTGGACCGTTCCTCTGCGGGCGGGGATGGAGCCCCGCAAAACCCCTCCAGAGTACTTTCTGGAGATCTTCGCCGACACCTCCACAGTGCGCGATGTACTGAAAGGTACGACAAACTAACGCAAGCTTGGTACCCCTGGCTCAGCCCTCATGCGCTCGCCGCAAAGCCTTGAATACTGAATACTAAACCCTGCCTCCTCTCGCCAGGCGTGCTCAACCTCATCTTCTTCCACCGCTACTTCCCCTCAATTCGCCCGGTGACCTTCGATGTGCTCGACCTGACTCTTCCGGCCATTAACGACGCCGACCTAGAAACCTTGATCGAGTCTCGAGTGAACGCCCTCGTCCGTCAGCACCTCACCTCCGCGGCTGGCGCACAAGACGGCACAGTTGGCGGAGGTGGCGGCGTGCGTGGCCGCATCGCAGTCGAATTCTACGAGAAAAAGCGGCGCCGGACAGGGCTGTGGTTCGGCGGGCTGGCCGGAAAAGGCGAGGAAGAGGTATGCTGGGAGATTTGGACGCTAGATGTGACGATTGCCACGCCCCGCACCGAGTCCGGTAAGTCGTCCCATGTCACGTCGCGAGTTCCACCCTTTTTCTATCATGAGGCTTGTCCTGTGTCGTTCTTCTGTTGCCCCCCAGGCTTTGTATATTGTTTCGGATGCTGATTCTCTATCTCCGCTCCAGAACGAGCCAAAGTCCGCAAAGCCATGGCGAACATGCTCCAGAAGGCGGCGTTGAAAATCATGAACGTCGTCAACCGCGATAAGGACCACATTCCGCCCATTACAACGAGCGAATCTAACCCCTTTCCCTACCGAATTGTGGTCAATCCCCGAGCCGATGGCTGGGGAAATCGCATGGGATTATATTGATCTCCCGTCCCATCATGGTCTGCTCTCGGACGATGAGCCATCTTCAACTGATGGCTCTCCCAGTCCTGGTGGTTCTTCTGGGTTTCTCTTGTGTTTTTTGTTAAGCTTAGATTGAGTATGGGGCCGGAGTTCGGTGTTGTGATTACTAGCGTTTTCTATCAGGGGTTGGACCGGCGTTGATGGAATCTGTTTCGGACTTTTTCTTGTAGTGCCGATCTAAATGAGTCCGTGTGTCTACATACCGCGAACGTCATTCGGATACGGCAGCCCTGCCCGGCTAATACTGGCCAGTTGGACGAGAATCGCCCCCTTCCCAAAAAAAGAAATATATATATAAACCGCACATTTTCATGCACTAGGGAATTTTCAAAAAGCAAATAGATGTACGTGGGCTATGTCCTCGGTAGAAAATCGAAACAAAGCGACCCGCCAAGCGGGCCTCCCTTCATCAAAGGCATCAACCAAATAAACACGCTACAGGCATATCTGAGACCACCTCTCTCACACTCCCTCGCTCTGGCATTCCGAATACTGGGAACGAGAATACAAACACCCTCGAGCTATCATCCCCGAAACCCAACTCGCAACCCCGGACTCGCCCCACTTCTCCTCCGCTTCCAATCAACTTCCACTCTATTGTCATCTTTCTTCCAAAAAAATAATTGCATGGCAGTGAGATCCCCAAGCCTCAAACGCGATTCACTGAGCAGTGTTCAGCGACAGCGCGGCGATTCAGTAGAGAACTCGCGACGTATACCTATCCTGCAGGCGCGGGAAAAGAAGAACTCATTTCCGAGACAGTTCTCTGCAAAGATCCTGCACGGCGCAGCGCATTCAGGTGGAGTGGGCCTTGCTGGCAGCCTCGGCCTGGGCACGGAGGTTGGCGGAGGTGCCGGTGCTGGAGAAGAAGCGGCCGACCAGAGGCTGCAGGAAAGAGTGGAAGACAATTTGGGCGCCGCTAGGCGGGGAGGGGAAATCGGTCAGATTCGGAATTCGTGGCTCTTGCAGGGCAAATTACTTACTTGGTCTGAGGAAGGGCCATCCACAGAACGAGGACGAACTTGAAGATGTAGTAGAAGGCTAGAAAGGGAGTCAGTGGTCTGGTTTCTTTCTGCTTCGGTCATCGTTGCACGACGGGTACATACGGAACCAGTAGGCGGCGTTGATGGCGCTCTCAATGACGGTCAGGAAGGAAAACACAACCCAGTACTGTGGAGATAATAGTTAAAACGATGATTTCAGGTAAATAGAGACGCCTTCATCAGTCCAATGATCCGGTCCGCGGCTCCCGGCCACCAACCAAATACAGGGAGAAGCTCAGGTTGCGGGTGCTCTTCAGAGCGATAGGAACTTACAGTGAGCCACTAAGTTTCATCGGAAGTTAGTACGGAAATAATCATTAAAAATTTTGCGAAAATGTGTCAATTCAAGGAAATCTCACCTGGGTGTCATCCGTGGTACCCGAAGTGAAGAGGGCGGCGAGGGAGTAGTAGCCGGGGAGGAGGAAGCCGGCAAGGTTGACGAGGAACTCGCCCGCAATGTTGAAGAAGACCAGGAAGAAGTACACTCCGACCAGGCCGAGAATGACATAGACCTTCGGGACGGAGGTCTGTCGCTCCAGGTTATTCAGGACGGGGTACTTGGACAGCTATTGAAGCAACGGAGCCCATGGCAGTCAGTGAACAGAGCTCTTATGTCGCTGATCGGGAATCATGGAGATGCCAGACGGGGGATGGGGGTTTTCTGGCGCTGCTCCTTCAGCTCGGTCTCTGTGGGCGTGGCACATATTACAGCGCACAAATGGCGGCGAGAACTCAAGCTAGTGAGGCACCAGTCAAACCCACAATCCCAGCACATCAACGACGTACCTCCTTGTCAAGCTGAGCGATGGCGTGCTGAGCACGATCCTGGAAAGAAGCCATTTTGACAGATGGGCCTTAATTTTTTGGGTACTTGATATCGTCGAGAAGAGGAGAGCAATGGAACGAGGGATGGTGAGAATGCAACCGGTCGAGCTGGCGATTACTGCACTGCCCGTGCGTTGTCACGTGATGTCATGACGTACTCGGGCCTCGATCATCTGCGTGCCCCATGTGAAATTGCCAACCTGAACTATGTGATAGCGAATGGGCCACCTGGCGAGGGGAGCCCAGACGTTCCGGGTGCCTCGCGTGCTGCATGCATCGGGGAGGGGGAAGCAAGTGCGTGGGATATGCCATCCAGAAAATGATTCCGATCCAGACCCGCTCGACACCATTCGTCTCTCCCAGCGCAATTTGGCTTATCGCTGTATTCCTGCACAGCTCACGGCTTTGTGGAAGAGGAAATTCTCTGTTTCTTTGATTCTCCAGCTCCCCTCACTACATACACCCTGATTTACCATGTTCAGCAATACTCCTGAAGCTACGTGTATTCTAGTCCGGAGGCTGATCGAAGCTGGCCTGGTGTATCCCGCATCGGAGCGGGAGATGACGTACCGGGCGGTTCGGGACACACTTTGGCGAGACACCAGCCAATTGATCACGATGACATCTCTGTCGGTCTCGCTCGCGCGGCTCGAGATTAGCCCTCGTGGTGCCTGACAGCCATTTAGAATTATCTTGGTCGCGTGGGGATGTACATGTCGTTATTCCCTTTTCGAACATCGTCAGCACTGAGGATCTGGCTCGCTTGTGGCTGTGTCACCGGGCTATCTGATCCTTGTATTTCAGGTCACTGGCATCTAGCGCATGGGACGGTGGTCGATTTGCAGCCGTCGCGATGGTATTTGAAATCCCGAAGGCCAACCTTACCATCCTGCACCCTTCCACACTCTCGGCTCCGAGATAATACTGGATCATGTGACCCTCGAAGTATAACTGCCCTCGCGTCCCTGCTTCATCAGAACCCACAAGGAGAAGGGCATGACAAATGAAACCGTATTCAATATCTTATGGGGAGCCCTGTCATCAAAACAGTGTCAGGAGGTTCCGAGCAACGGCCAGTGGCTATCTTGTTCACCAGGATAGAATAGAAAGTGGGCCAGACAGAATGGACTGAAGAAACGGAGACTTCGGTCTGCCGATTTATGAACTCCGTACATTCCAATCCGCATAATATTCTGGGGTTTCCATGTCCGGAGAAGATTTATACGAGTATTTCTCGCATATCTATAGCTGTATCCAGTGAAAGACAATGGGCGAAGGGGCAGCCGGACCGAGGTGGGGAGGGGCTGAGAGGGGAGAATGGCTTTGTGGAGAGGGGACTCACCGCCAGGCCCTTATGATGTGATTGAGGAGAGAGCCGGGGTGAAATGCAACCGAGTCTGAGGCTGTCGGAACATTGGGCTCTCGGTTTTAGCCTTTTTCTGTGGCCCCTTCTGGATTGACTGGGATCTCCGGCTTTTGGGGATCGGGTTGCGTTTTCCCCTGGTTGCAAGGCCCCCAGGCCCCCAGGCCCCAACAGACGCGGCACGAGGCTAAAGCCTAAAGGCAAGGTCCCGCACAAACACCTCCACCACCACATCCTCTCTCTCCTTCCCCTTCCTCAGCCTCAGTTCCCTCTTTCACTCTCCACCACCCTCGCGGACTTCTCTCATTTCCCGATCGCGACGTCCGTGCGTCGACCACATCCATTGAAGACCGATGTAACCGACTCAACTACCCTTGCTCTTCTATCGGACCCCCTCCTCCCCTCTCTTCCCTCCCCTCTCAAGGGAGCTTGACGATTCGACATTGAATCGACGGTGTAGCGCCACAGTATACAGTACCCTTCCGCTCGCATCTCGTGCATCCGCCGACCATTACAATTATCCCAGGACTCCTGATCTCAATCTCGATCTCGAACTGCGTCCAACCAAAACATTCACGATACGCAAGTCAAACGCTCTCACGATCCCGCAGTCTTGGCCATTGACCCATATCAACCCGGCGCTGTGGCTCCTCAAGTCATCGATCCCGCCCCCTTTCTGGTCTCGCGTCTAGACAAAGCGTCGAATTTTTGCCAACTCTCCCAATGCGACCCCAGTAAGTCGTGGAATCGTCCGTCTCGACCTCGTCCTTCTCAGCGTCTAACCACCCTATGTAATTCAGACGGGAATACCATATCGTGGTTTTGGGTGCAGGAGGTGTAGGGAAAAGCTGTCTAACCGGTATACATCCTCTCTCCCCATGCGCCGCTGAATCACACCGAACGAATGGCGTGTGCTTGGGCCTCGAATGAGACGCTTATGGATTTACAGCCCAATTCGTCCAAAATGTTTGGATTGAAAGCTATGACCCCACGATCGAGGACTCATACCGGAAACAAATCGAGGTAGATGTAAGTGGCATATTCCTTGTCATTGCTCTGACATGCGACACTACTGACGCCTCATCTCATAGGGACGACAATGCATACTCGAAATGTAGGTTTTGTTCTCCAGCCCATTTTCGGCTGGTTCGAGTTTATGGGAAGTATCGAAGAGACGCTGATCGTGTGGATATCGTCGTGCAGTCTTGATACCGCGGGAACGGAACAGTTCAGTAAGTTTTGCCGATCATCGTGTTTGCTTCTTTGCTAACAAAATTCATTAGCGGCCATGAGGTAAATATACGTACAACCAAACAGGGTCGAGTTTATACTGACGTCCATGTGCGTTTTTTTTTCGCAGAGAACTATATATGAAACAAGGCCAAGGCTTTCTCCTTGTCTTCTCCATCACCAGCATGTCGTCGTTAAACGAGCTGTCCGAACTCCGCGAGCAAATCATCCGCATCAAGGACGACGAGAACGTACCGCTCGTGATTGTCGGCAACAAGTCCGATCTCGAGGAGGACCGGGCCGTACCCCGGGCACGCGCGTTTGGGTTATCTCAAAGCTGGGGCAACGCCCCCTACTACGAGACCTCCGCCCGGCGCCGGGCTAACGTCAATGAAGTCTTTATCGATCTCTGCCGTCAAATCATCCGCAAGGATCTCCAAGGCTCCAGCGGCAATGACTCCTCTCGCAAACGTGAAGCCCAAAACAATCGTGACCGCAAGAGGGAAAGACCACAGCGCCGTCGATTACCATGTGTGATTCTATGAACGACGTCAACCCCCCCCCCCCCCTTTTTTTTTTTAATGAATCTAGCCCTGGAAATTTGATTCAAGTCTCCAGGTCTGTTCAAGTCACGCCTGCCTCCGCTTCCACGCATTACTTTGACGTGTCTCATGATCTCTGTTTCCCACTACGCTTTCTATGCATCTGCGCCTCTTGATAGAACGATGCGTCACCGCTTCTCATCATCGCCCCCGCCCTCTTATATCATCGGTCCCCCATCCTCCATTCTCCAATCTTCCCTTTTCTTTTCCATTCTCTCATATACCTTGGGTGAATCAATGAATCATCATGTCATCCAGTTTTTGTCTTCTCCCCCCCCCCCCTTCACAAATTTCTACCCCTCCTACATATCTAAACTTGGGTTCATATGGGACCTCCAAAAAAGTCAATTTTGATGAATAAAAGTTCTGATTTCCTTGAACGAAAACACATGTGTCTTTTGCATATTTCTTCTCTACTTGTGTGGCTTCAGATTTCCATCTTCTCACTTGTTGCTATATTTGACGGAATAAGATAGCGGGGCTTGATTCGAATCCATCTTCTTCACTTCGTCTCTATGATTAAAATTCTGTTTCATGTCCGGCTCTCATCTACATCCGGAACACTCCAAAGCGCGTCTGTATATCGGGCTCCTCTTTGCCACCAAGAGCAGCGGCCAAGCCAAGGCCCAGCATCGTTCTCGTTTGGGCCGGGGGGATGACGCCGTCATCCCAGAGACGTGCAGACGAGAAGATTGCCTCGGACTCGTGATCGATGCGAGCCTTCAAGGCTGGATCGGCAGACTTGCCAACAGCCTCCATTACGGCGGAGAGTTGCTCGGAGCCCATGACACCGATCTTGGCATTCGGCCACATGAACATCAGACGAGGGGAGTAGGCCCGACCACTAGCAAAGAAAAGGAAAACCATTAGGACCTAATTCACAGGGACAGGAGAGCCCGAGGACTGTGTTCGTTAGGGGGAAAGGAGGGGGGAACATACCACATGCCGTAGTTGCCTGCGCCCGCACTAGAACCAAATACAACAGTGAACTTGGGCACATCGGCGCAAGCGACAGCAGTTACAAGCTTAGCACCATTCTTCGCAATACCGCCCTTCTCCGCATCAGCGCCAACCATGAATCCAGAAATATTCTGCAAAAAAACGAGCGGAATGCGTCGTTGGGCGCAAAGCTCAATGAAGTGCGCCCCCTTGAGCGAGGACTCGGAGAACAAGATACCATTGTTAGCAACAATGCCGACTCGATGGCCATGAATCTTCGCAAAGCCCGTGACCAACGTAGTCCCATAGTCCCGTTTGAACTCTGCAAACTCACTCCCGTCCACGATGCGCGCGATGACTTCGTGCGCGGGGATCTGGCGGCGCAGGTTCGTGCCAACAATACCGTTCAACTCGACCGGGTCGTAGACAGGCTCTTTGATGGCTGCGGCTTCGAGTTGTGACGGCAGCTGGGTGACAGGGTAATTGAGGTTCGCCACTGAGCGGCGGGCCAGGATAAGCGCGTGGGCGTCGTCCACAGCGAGATAGTCCGTCACACCGGAGATTGTCGAGTGCAACTGACCGCCGCCCAGGTCTTCGGCGGACACCACCTCGCCCGTTGCAGCCTTCACAAGAGGCGGTCCGGCCAGGAAAATGGTGCCCTGGTTCTCCACGATGATTGTTTCGTCACTCATGGCCGGGACGTAAGCTCCGCCGGCGGTGCAGGGGCCCATGACGACCGAGAGCTGGGGGATACCCATCGAACTCATACGAGCCTGGTTAAAGAAAATACGGCCAAAGTGGTCCCGATCTGGGAAAACGTCCGCCTGGTGAGGCAGGTTGGCGCCGCCGGAATCGACGAGGTAGATGCACGGCAACCGGTTCTCCTGGGCGATTGCCTGTGCGCGAAGGTGCTTCTTTACCGTGATCGGGTAGTACGTGCCGCCCTTGACGGTACTGTCGTTAGCAACAATCATGCAGTTAACGCCCTCCACCGTCCCGATACCCGTTATGATGCCGCCAGCGGGCACGTCTTCGCCCTCGTAGACCCCTTGCCCGGCTAGCGGAGACAGCTCCAGGAACGACGTGCCCGGATCGATCAGCGCTGAAACGCGATCTCGAGGGAGCATTTTGCCTCGTGCGACATGCTTATCTCGAGACTTTTGCGGGCCACCCCGGGAGATGCTGGCATGTAGACTGCTCATCCGGTCGAGAAGCTCTTGCATCTGCTGGCTGTTCTCTCGGAACTCAGGCGAGGAGGTGTCCACGGTAGACGGGAGGACGGAGAGTGCAGAAGCATGGTGAGGATGGGTATAGCTAGCGACTGTCCTGGTCGATATTCGGGTGAAATTCTGGAGCAAAGAGAAGTGTTCTGGGCGACAGCTACGCGGTCCAACCCGTGGGCCCAGGCCCCGGAGGACGAGCGGGGACGGAGCGCGCATTGCGGGGATGAGAGGTGTGATCAGTTTGATGACTGTGAGAAAGAAGCGGTCGCAATTCTCTGCTGGATTTCAAATCAAGACAAGGCCGTGCTGTTGCTGGTTGGCATGGTATTTGAATCAAGAACGACACTTCGAGGAGGTGAGGGACAGCAGCTCCGCGTTTCCCCAGATCGTGCGGAGATGCGAGGGTTGCCGCTTCTACCCGAGCCCGACCGACGCCTCCAACCAGTGCGAACAAGCGCGGCTGCGAGTAGAGATTCAAGTAAATTGGTATACTGTGAATAGAGAGAATGAAAAAGAGATTCGCCTGTTGAATCTACAATGGCAGCTTCTTATAGCGAAAGTCCGAGGAATTCAAGACTTAAAACACAGGCGTGGGCATCAAGGCGCCGTGGTATACTGCAGGCGGTCTCTCCACGCCGACGGATGCCGCCCCCTCATCCGCATGTTTTAAACCGAGCCGCCCAAAGCTCCTCAAACATTGTTCTTCGCAACTCATATCCTCCCAGTTTCTCAAGCCTGTCGTAGCAGGATACTACAATGGCCTCTGTGTCCCTTCCTTCCCTCCTGCGCGCATCCACGCGCTCGCTCAGGCGGCCCACAGCCATCCCCGCATTCTCCCCAGGTTTCGCGCGTTCGCTGTCAACCAAACACCCGGCGGGTTTTGTGCCCCCAACAGAAGATGACCTTTTGGAACTCCGCGAGAGAGTACAGGAATTTACTCGTAAGGCCTAGGATTATCTCATGGAAGGTGTCATCATACTGACCAGCCCTTCCAGGACGCGAAATTCCAGCCGAGGTAGCCGCCCAGACAGATCAGCTGAATGAATTTCCGGCGGACATGTGGAAGAAATTGGGAGATGCTGGGTATGACCTCCTCCTCACATACTCATCAGCCAAATATATAGTTCAATGCGCTGATAAGCTCGTTCGCAATCTAGATTTCTCGGAGTCACAGCCAACGAAGAGTATGGTGGTCTGGGAATGGGCTACCAAGCCCATTGTATTGTGATGGAAGAACTGAGCCGAGCATCTGGTAAATATTACATGGTTTGCGATGAATGAGAAAAGTGGCCAAGAACCGATCTAATTTGTTTACCTTTTGCCCAGGAAGTATCGGACTGTCCTATGCCGCCCACTCCCAACTTTGCGTCAACCAGCTTTCCCTAAACGGCTCAACTGAGCAAAAAGAACGATTCCTACCAGGCTTGCTTTCAGGAGAGAAGATTGGAGCTCTCGCAATGTCAGAACATTCGGCTGGATCCGATGTGGTCAGCATGAAGACTACTGCCAAGGAGGTCGACGGCGGCTGGGTCCTCAATGGAACCAAGATGTGGATTACCAACGGCCCCGACGCAGACTACATTGTTGTATATGCTAAGACCGAGCCTGAAAAGGGATCCAAGGGTATTACTGCTTTTGTTGTCGAGAAAAACTTTGAGGGATTCTCGTGCGCCCGCAAGTTGGACAAGCTGGGCATGCGCGGTTCTAACACCGGCGAGCTCATCTTTGAGGATGTCTTTGTTCCCCGGGAGAACCTACTCGGTGAGGTGAACCGAGGAGTCAAAGTTCTTATGGAGGGTCTTGACTTGGAGCGACTCGTATTGAGTGCTGGGCCTCTTGGGTATGTGGCTCTATTGTGTATTCACCAGAGCAATCCTATTCATACTAACGTCTTCCCAGCATTATGCAAGCTGCCCTAGACTTGGTTCTCCCTTACACTCACGTCCGGAAGCAGTTTGGTACTCCCATCGCACATAACCAGCTGATTCAGGGCAAGTTGGCAGATATGTACACTAAACTGGCCGCCTCGCGGGCATATACTTATGCCACGGCTCGCGAAGTTGATAACGCGGCGGCATCACCGAATCCTCTAGTGATTCGCACCCAAGATTGCGCGGGAGCGATCCTGTACGCTGCTGAGCGTGCTACCGAGTGTTCTTTGGATGCCATCCAACTGATGGGCGGCAATGGATATATCAACGAGATTTCTGCCGGGCGTCTGCTTCGCGATGCGAAGCTGTACGAGATCGGAGCAGGTACCAGTGAGATTCGGCGGATGGTCATCGGTCGCGCATTCAACAAAGAATATGCTTAGGGCGGTTCATTAGGATTTTACGGGAATAGATGTAGCGAGTGTATTATGACTTCATAATTGACTTGATGAGGGTAATATTTTTTGCGTCCTAGGGGGTAGATTGATGCCTTCATTCGTAGTACTCATTACATGTCATTGGAGGAGATATTCCATCTGGCGTATGAAGAAAGATGCAGATCAGATTGAATCGCACGTCAGCCGCAATCCACTCCATCAGCCTCGTCTGGTAGATCTGCGCACGCGGGAGGGTGGCGGATCAGATTTCACATCGGTACTGGCTTCATTCTTCGAGGCTAGTCGTTTGGTTCGGGTTCGAGGGGGTTTCCCGCTTGCCTCGTTCGCATGTTCTTCTTCGGGGGAAACCTCGGCTTTTCGCTTGCGACCTCTCTTGGCCGGAGCTGTCACGACCGGACTGGGCACCTCCTTTGGCGATTGAATCAACTCCGGCGTTGTGTTCGATGCGTCCCCATTATCTGTTGTATTCTCCAGTGACAGAATATCAGACATCTGGTCTGAGCTGTCCGCCGGGTCATACTCCTCCTCGCAGGGGAATTCATCATCAGCAAAAGATGGCTCCACTAGTGATGTATCCATTGCCTTTCTCTTTCGCAATCGTGATTTGTCCAGCGCCGGCTGGGCAAATTTGAAAATCTCCCGCCAGTCTTCCAATAGTGCGACCTTGTCTCCATGCCCGGGCTCGTATATTTGAACAGCGATATCCTGGTCCTTCTCCAGATTTGGCGTCCTCCAAATGACGCCCTGAAAAGTGGTTACATCCGGCTTCAGGGTGGACTTCGGTGGGCCGAGTCGATTATTTGTTCGCGAACCAGCTGATCGGCGTGGCTTCGTAGAGGCATCGATCTCCTTCACTACAGCAGGGTTGTGTTTCACAGTCGGGTCGTCATCATGGTAGTCATCCGAGTAGTATTCCCAGTCGCTGAAATAGTCTTCGACATCCATCGCAGGGTCTTCGTACAAGGCAGCTTCATAATATGAAGTTCCGGCGAGTTCATCCTGAGCGAGGCCGGCACCTGATTAGCAAGGGTTCACTCCAAAGGGGGCGCCGAACATAGCCGCTGAACAGGACAACTCACAACGAGGTCCGGCACAAGATCTTCCAGCAGATACTCATCATCCCACTCGTAGTACTCGTCGTCGTCAGACATGCTTTCAGTCGAGTCCGGGAGAAAATCTCAAGGTCAAGTTCGAACAAATAAAGGCAAGATGAAGATTAAGGGTCGGACAGAAAAGACAGATGAATTATGGGTATATACCATGCACAAGAACCATGCAAGAAGAGAAATGAAGGGAAGAACTGAGGTTGTGCAGAAGGTGACGAAGATCCGGCTGATCTCTGCATTCTGGATGTCAGAGGAGCCTGCTAATGTAAGCCTTGGCATTTTTCCCGGCTCCACATTTCTTTTCTATATGGATCCCTTCTTTTTCTACCCACAAGAACCGACAAGAACCGAGATCCGACGAGAGATGATAGGTTGAGTCTTGTAATCAACATCTTATTAGGAAATGTGACATGAGATTTTGAATTTTTGTACCGCTTCAAGGTATAACCCCCCTGAATCAGGTCATATCTTTTGCCAAGCCAAGAATTTCAAGGCATCCCAGCACAGTCAGCACTATGATATTTGGGCTTGGACTCAGCCTCCATTACCTTGATCTGACTATATCTTAACTACTTGGACTTAATAGCACAACTGTTTGAGAACTGTTATCCTTGATTTATCTTCAATCTAGTGAGTGGTGCCGACGGAAAACCAGATAGACACAACTCCAGTAAATAGGTCCATTTCATCTGTCTTCAAAATTGCCACTCATGATTGAATGTAGAGAGCCTCGAACTGGATTTTGATGATGCGATACCAAGCATGTGCGTGCGTTTATATCATAAATAGAACATGCTTGGGTGTCAACAGAGATATACTTTCGAACGAGGTAACAGAGGGCCCTAGCTTTGTCGGCTGCTCGCGGTTGACAAGCATGAAGAATTTTCTAAACTCCTCCCGTTCTCCCGCAGTATATAGTGCCATAGGGTGTTATAACACACCCTCTTGATTCTTTTTTACGTATTTTTATTCCTATCTTGAGTTCCTCAGTTCCTGGGCTATTTATCTATCCAATGTAACTAATCCGATTCTCTTTTACACTGATGCGGGACCTTTTTGTCTTTTTTTTTTTTTTTTTTTACTTTCCACCTTTTTAGTAGAGGCCCGCAGCGGCTCTGCAGTCGGATCAGATCACCCTGTCATGAACCGGATTCAACGCCATTTGAACAATCGTTGCTTTCATATTGTGTGTCCGCCAATCAATACTCCACAGTGCAATAACCCCCAACTTTGAGTCATGATCGACACTGGTAACTACACAGCCCTATCGCACCCGAAACTCTAGTTCTATAGTTACTTCAACTCTTGAGCTTGGGTCCTAATTGCCCCTTTCGAAATAAACAGAGAACCAGGTCTCGATATTCGGTCATTTTACAGTATTTTTTGGCCGGGATGCTGGGGCATAATTAGCATCGTTCCCAGCAGAGCACATAGACGGAATCCTCGCGTCATATTCCTGGTCATACTTGTTATGATGATTACTAGGGGTCCCTTAGCAGTGCTCTTCGCCCTTGAAAAGGGTTGCCCCAGAAAGGCCTACCGAAACTCTCATCTATGGTCTTCTTGCGACAATTTGCGATTTGCTCAAGATCTTCGCGCTCAACAATACTCAAGTTGCCGTTTACTCGATTGGATATCACACATCCTCTCTTTTCGGTCAAGCCACCGGTCTTTGCACGATTTTGCGCAGTTCCGCGGCCAATCTGACCTTCATATTTGAAAGCACAGATCGCTTCGGCAGTAGGCGAGTCGCCGGGGGGGGCGATGGCGTTTCACTAGTGGGATTTGGGGGCCGCCCTCAGTGGCCAGGTTCCCGGCTGCTCATTTGCCCCATACGACTTCATTCAGCCCAGCGCACATGGGTTGTTTGGCTCAGCCCCTGCTAGTCCACCGGGCAAGCGGCTCCATTGCGCAGGGGTTTGCCCGAATATTTGTGGAAACAGACTTCTTAAGGCGTTGCGTCCCGTCATCGCCAGAATATTCAATTCCGCGGATTTGGTGAAACGCATGATTACGAGAAGCCACGAATGGAAGAACGTGGCAGCCAAATCGCTCTCTCGTCCCTGTCGAGGCGTGGATCGGAATCCGAACGTGCAGTCAGCCCTCTGGAAGGAAGCCCAGTGCACTCCATTCACGATCTCCCTCCCCATATCGATTCCGTTCATGTACCGCATGACGAGCTCCCGGCCTATTCGCGGGCCCCGCCAGGCAATCATACTCTAGGCCGTGGTCACAGCACCACGCTGCATCGCTCAGTGCTCGTTCCTTTTCTGACGTGCCTCTTTGTCGGTCTAGTGGTCTATTCTTGGGTCATCCTGGCGATTCTGTGTTTTCGCCCCATTAGCACCAAAAGTTGGGACGTACGGACGGATAAATATGGTTACTATCCGAAGAACCTGCACTATGACTTCGATGTACGGCTATACCGCTCCGCTAGAATCATACAGTCCATCGCAGGCGTGCTCATTCTGCCATGGACCTCAGCAGTCTGCGCTTATGCGGCAGTGGTCTTCGTCCAGAACCAAAAAGATAGCCTGGGCCTAAGTATGCGACAAATGATCAATCTGGCGGATCGTCGATGGCTGGATCTATCTCTGATTCCGGATCTGATTGCTGGAAACTGGAAAAAACATGGAAGTGGCTTCCTGGCCCTGGCCATCCTGCTCCACTTCCTCGCTCTGATTATCTACCCGATTCAGTCAATTGTGATTAACCCCGACATGCGCCATATTCCGGTTGCTCGGAACCAATTGAGCGAAATCGGTGACCTGGCTCACTTGGATCCGTACTATGATGATAATACTGGCAGCGATGTAGTGCAAACGCGCGACGCCTTTCTCGGGGCGGATCAGCATACCTGGCAGCTGCACCTGTGGCAGAATGGAGGGCAGCAGGAATTATCAACGTTTTCGAACTTCTCCACCATGGATGATCCGTTTTATGCACCTTTTCCAAATGGGTTTAATACAGGCATGATCCGGCAGTATTCTCCACGGCTCAATTCGACCGCCACTGTGCGAGTCATCGAGCCGGATGAGTACCCATCAGACTGCAACGCCAATTCAACAAATCTGTTCGCCAACTACTCATCCTCTTTAATAGACGACTATTATACGGCATCTTGGATGGTTTCCGGCTGCATGCTTGAATCCAACATTACCTCGCCCTGGACGGCAACGCGGAATCGCCAAGACTTTTACGAGGTACTCTATCTGAACGTGTCTGACTCGGATGAAAGATACGTGTCAACTTCACTGTCAAATGGCACACTGTTTGAGATCTCGCTCCGAACGACCGCTGGCTATTTCGAGCTCCCGAATTACATGAACAATCAAATCGCGGGTCTATTGCTCGACAATGACCCGACGACAGATTGTATAGACAATACCGGAAACTGTATTCAGCAAACCGATGAATATTATTTCTACCGCCGTCTCCGTCGTCGAAGTACCAGCAATATAACGGAACATATCTCTCAAACCCTTCCGTGGGATCCACTAGTCACTGAGAACAAGGGACCTCTGTTAACAACGGCCCTTGCCATCTTTGGACCAGGCTCATTTTTGGACACCTTCTTTTCTGACTTCAGCGTGGTTGGAACCAACATGAAAGCTGCCGATTCCTCAGAGAACCCTCTGTACCGTCGCATTGGTGATACCTACTGTATTGAAGTCGCTCCTTTGATGAATATGGGCAGCTCTACTATCTCTTCATACATTTCAGCAGACACTTGTGTCATGGCCTCCGCAGATTATGATACATATCCTGCGAGCTATATGGCTCATCAAGCGGCGTCAAGCTGGATTAAACGATTGTTCGGTGACAAGCTGATTCTGGCCAACACAGTCACTGCAGCTGCCTTTCTGTCCAATAAGCACTTTGTCGAAGCCTTGAACCCCTCGTATGAAACCTATCAAGATCTTGGATCCAAGATTCTGGTTCCACATTCTACCTTGGCCGGTGTGATTGTTGTGACAATATTTCTGGGTCCATATATCCTCATGTTGCTAGCACTTACGGTCTATGGATTCCGGTATCCGCGTTGGACTTCGCGCCTAGACTCATTTGCCATGCTACGCATTGGCGCCGTCTACGGCGAAGGGTTTTTCCCGATGCTTGTTTCGCTTGAGACGCGGAATGCCAAGGAGCTGGATCAGGTACCGGGCGTGATCCGTGATGTCGGTAATATCGCAGATGATGCTATTATCCCGATTGGTCGGATTGGTTTGGGAGAAGGGAAGCCCTTACGCCACGGACGGAGATACGAATGTTACGAAGGAGATAATGAGCCTTTAACTCTGACAGAGTTTAATAAGATTCGACGTGGTGGCTGATGGATGTAAATAGGCTGAATTTTAGAATCAATATTTTCATTGCTTAAAGATGTTTTTACATGGAAAATCTCTCAAGTTAGTTCCTGTAGTGAGAAGGAAGAGGCTTGTGATATCCTTATACTATTTAGTGGGGATAAGAGGAGATTCACAATAAGGCTAGACTGACAGGACTTCCAGATGGATAAGGTTTGTTGAGAAGGTTCAAAGCTTTAGCGAGTCGAAATGTTTAGAGAATAGAGAAGTACGTGAAGGTGATGGGTATTGACAGTCAACGTATTTAATGCCTAATCTGGTGACCTCAGTAATTCCTCACTACCATTATACTGTAGGGCTTATATGAGCTTCCCAAGCAAATCCCTGGGCTTGCACGAGCGGGTTATTGGATTCCGTAAAAAAATATTTCTCAAGGTATGTAACATCGGGCGTACCAAGACGCCAATTGTCACCAATCATTGTTCCAAACTCGAAAGAAAATGAAGTTTAGCTATCAAGTCATAGAATACCAGAACTTCGGCGTCATAAAGCCATAGAACAAAACCGGAATAATTACCACTGTATTTGCCCCGATGAAAACGTCACCTCCTATCTGTTCAATAGAACCACAGAGCTTAAGCGGTCATAAAATTAGATTGGGCCCTTTAATTTGTAAAATGAGGCCCTCAGATTACAATATTTCAATCCATGGTGTTTTGAAATCAACCGCTAACTGACCATACATCATGTCATTCAGGATAAAAGAGTGTTCATTGCTTGCTGATTTAGGAGGAAAAGGCTATCTATGGTGGCTTTGACAATAGAAAAGCAGAATTTTGGGCTTACGTGTAAATAGCTGGGATAGCGAATGGAAAGGTGTGAGAATATTGATGAGCGCAGCATACACTGCTTTTATTATCTTTCCTCGGACTCGATGTTCCATCAATGTCGTAATATTGACCATCAAAGATTAGCGCCTTATCATAAAGACTGTGTATTGTGTAAGAACGCCACACCTGTCTCTAGAAGCTATAGCTATTCCAAATTACTGGAAAAATAGCCTATGAGTCTATCTCAGCGTGGTAACCGTGCACTTCTGCTTACGAAAGTCTCTTGGGCAGTAGCAAGAGCGTCAAGCTTTTCTGCGGCCAATTCGCGATTTTGAAGTTCGTTCTTCTGCCAATTGATGTTCTTGATTTGCTCCTGGGCAAATTTTGCTTCATTCACAAGCTGACGTCTCTGAGCTTTTGTCATTGAACTATTTGGGGAAAGACTCATCTAGTTGCGATTTATAATAGCTTTAGCATCTGCTCGGATACCCTCCCAGGGAGTTGCTAAAACTTTATCCAATGTAACATTGGTGATTGCCTCAGTAGCGGCTGCTCGCAGCTTTTTTGCAAGGTCATCCTGTGGGTTTGCCGCGGTCATATTGATAGAAAGCCAATGACCCTTTTTTCGAAAATAGCTTGTAGTTTTCGTATAAAAAAAAGATATTCTAGGATAGTTTTCTGTTCAGATACGTTTGATCGGAATGCGCTACTATTATTAATTATAATTATATGCTCCGGTCAAAAATAGAACCAATGAGTTTCGAAATCTATTTATAATCCTGCGTTATATACGTGATGGAGCTAAATCGCTTTCTTCCTTTCTCTCCTCACCAATAAAGCAAGCATTCGTCCTTTAGTTCGCTGAGTCTGGCGAATGGGATAGGTGTGTACAATGCTGGGCTGTGTACGCAGTAAGACGTACTCCTTTCCTTCCCCAATAAGTCAAGGGCAGCAAAAAGCGGTCGTATCAGCCTTAACACCTGGAGGAAAACCTAGGGCCAACCCGCCTGTTCGCCTCAGGTTGCGTGGTGTTCATACGAAGACCCTGCGCCTCAAAGACAGGGTTGTTTTGACCGACGATCTGGCTCACTAGGTAGAAAGCCGATCGGAACCACTGACCGGACACTTACGTTTTTAGACCTGCATGGTGGCGAGGAGAATACCGTTCGTGATGCCAAGCTAGACAAATTTTGGCAACGAATCAGTGCTATTCGGTATATCCATGGAATAGGGAGGACTGGAGATGTAAGAAAATCCATTCATCAAAACATGAATTCAGTTATTCGCGTTCCATTAAGCATGGCTAGAGAATACTTTTTTATTCACGGCTTTAGTAAACAGATTACACAAAAGTAAGTTTGCTAGTTATTGAGGTGATTGATGACCACGAGGTAGTGAGATCTATTGGGAGGGTGCGCAACCCTGGACGAGCGGTACCTGATGGCACTTCTTGAGACCCTGACTAAAACGTAGGAGAGCCGATACTCCCAAGCCCTAGCAGACCCGTCTAGCGGCGGGCACTAGATCAGGATGCTGCTCGGCAAGCACAGGATAAGTAATGTCGAATAAAAGCCAAAATCGGGCAAACTACATCGATTAAGACGTCGAGGAGGCCGGGTGAGTGTTGGTGTGTTGATTGACGATATAATCTGCGCTCGATCGCGAATGGGCACCGAAGGGATTTCGATAGTCATGCCGCTGCCCTCCAAAATTCAAAGAACATCAAGCCTATTCTCAACTAGCCTGGAGCCAGCCCCTTTTTTGACGGCCCCGAATTTAAGCCCTCTTTGGAATCGGATAAATACAGGAAATGAAAACATCTCAGATCCGAAACAGATTTAGGCTGGCGCAATTAAGGCAAAAAGGCGCTCTCCATCCCGGCACACAAGCTTCCCCGCGTCAGCCAACGGAGGTCCGTGGCCTACGAGGACCAATCGACGGATGATCGGCATCTCGGAAGTCCAATACAGTCAACGCCTAATACTACTGTCGGATGGTGTCCATAGGCACAATCCAGAGGCCGGTCACACCTGAGTGGTCCGGTTAAAAGCCAGGACTAAGGATTTTGAATAATAACTTCCCATCTGCCTCAATTGTTGTATCTTAGCTTACCCAGACCCCCCCCCCCCCCCCCCCCGATCTTCTCAGAATTCTTTTATATTTGGCTTTCTCAAAGCCTCTGAACCCCTTTCTGTCTATCTTTGGTTCGCTTTGTTCAAAAACTAGGATTATCGAATTATTGGAACCGAGTATTCAGTATGACTGCAAGTGGTGTCGGCACCGAGCTGTCGGCAAAACGCCGACAGTTTGCGGGTGAGTCTGGATTCAAAGGCCTCGTGAGCAATGGCAGGACCTTCGCGATCGCTCTTTTCGCGTCTTTGGGAGGCCTAGTTTACGGATGTATGAGAAAGCTCTTTCATTTAATCCTGGGGATTTTCCCAATGCTAACCTCATGTTAGACAATCAAGGAATGTTCTCGTCAATTTTGACTATGAACTCGTTTCAAAAGCAGGTCGGTGGCAGAGATATTCGGAAGCAAAATGGCACAGCTCAGCTGATATCATGTTGTCATTTAGATCAAAGGCTATGCCGCCGAAACCGGAACTAAACAAGCCATCGTGACTGCAATCCTGGAGCTTGGCGCATGGGTAGGCACTTTGCTGAATGGATGGCTTGCAGACGCAATTGGCCGACGTGCAACAACAATTCTTGCTGTCATTGTCTTTTGTATTGGTGTCATAGTCCAAGCGAATACCAAGGCCGTCAGCTACATTCTTGGCGGACGATTTGTCACCGGCTTGGGTGTGGGTAGTTTGAGCATGATCGTACCTCTGTACAATGCAGAGCTGGTATGTTACGGAAGAAGAGTACCAATAATGGAAAAAGAAGTTTTTTGACATAATCACAGGCCCCGCCAGAAATTCGTGGTTCTTTGGTCGCCGTTCAGCAGTTGGCAATTACCTTTGGTATTATGGTCAGTTTCTGGATTGGATATGGATGCAACTTCATCGGCGGCACGGGCGAGACTCAATCGCAAGCTGCGTGGCTGGTTCCAGTTTGTATCCAACTGGCCCCTGCTATAGTACTTGGTATTGGCATGGCAGTATTCATGCCCCAGTCCCCCCGTCACTTAATGAACACAGGTCGCGAGGAAGAATGTCTCGAAGTTCTGGCTTGGTTGCGTGGTAGAAACACGGACGATATGCTGGTCCGCATTGAGTACTTAGAAGTCAAGGCCATGCATATGTTTGAAAAGGAGACTTCTGCCACGAGATACCCGCAGTACCAAGATGGATCTAGAAAGAGCCGCCTCATGATTCTCATCAATGACTACAAATCTCTTGTGACTAACCCTTCTCTTTTCAAACGTTCCACTGTTGCTGTGAGTAGCGTTGATGAATCCAGTTTCCCCACTCTTAACCACTTTCTGATCCTTGAGCCTCAGTGTTTGATTATGGTATTCCAGCAATGGAATGGAATTAATGCCATCAATTACTACGCGTAAGTGGAGGACTTTGATTGAATTATTCTTCAACATTGTTAACAGGCCAATATTTAGGCCATTTATCTTCAAAGGCATAGGCTTGACCGGTAACACCATTGATCTTCTTGCCACTGGTGTCGTCGGCATCATGGAGTTTGTTTTCACCATTCCCGCCGTTCTATGGGTTGACAAGTTTGGAAGAAAGAGCATTCTCATTGCTGGTGCTCTTGGCATGGCATCATGTCATTTCATCGTCGCGGGAATAATCGGCGCCTACAAAGATAGCTTTGAAACACACAAGTCTGCTGCCTGGGCTGGGGTGGTCTTCGTCTGGATTTACTGCATCAATTTCGGTTATTCATGGGGCCCAGTGGCCTGGATTGTTGTATCGGAAGTATTTCCTTTATCCATGCGTGCCAAAGGCGTCGCTCTTGGTGGAAGCAGTAACTGGGTAAGTCTCTCATATGTCGTCAAAATAAGAACGAAAGTAAAGATAGGATACTGACACTACATTTTCAAAAAGCTCAATAACTTTGCCGTTGGAATGGCTACTTCGCCTTTTATTTCCAATACTCAATTTGGAGCATTCATCTTTTTCGGTTGCGTCACCTTGATTGGTGTCTTTTATGTCTGGTTCTTCGTTCCCGAAACTAAAGGCCGTACCCTTGAGGAGATGGATGAGCTCTTCGGTGTCACAGGTATCGCGGCTGCTGATGAGGAGCGCAAGCGTCGGATTGAAAGAGAAATTGGTCTACTAGCATTGCTTGGCGAAGATGATGGATACATCGAAGAACCCAAGACTGGCTCAGATGAAGTAATTGAGCACAAGGCCCAGGGTGTGGAGCCTATTGAACTTGCATCAAAAGATGCGTAACTCTAAGTGGAAGTCCAGTCTGACATGTAGATTGGTATATATTATGGTGCCCTCAATCTAACTAGGCTCGATATTTGGTGCTGGTTGATTCATATATAGCGCTTCCCAACTGTTTCATCAGAGTCTTCATAGTCGAACCTTCTACCATACCGCAGCTCTTAATGGGAGTAGCAAGAAGTCTCTGTTCAAAAATTTATTAAGCTGTCTTGGTAGAGCTAAAGCCGTAGAGACTGTGCATTTCCATGAAATATCTTGCGGGTCTGCTTCTCATCAAAGAGTTCTTTGAGTTGGGCTTCCATCGTGCGATTGAGCATCTCCACGACTGGCGCTGGGGTATAGGGATAATCACTACCATATAGAAGACGGTCCGCCTCTCCAATCCTTAAGTATCCATGGATGAGATCTGGGAAAGCATACCTGCCAGATCAAAAAAGCATCGAGTTCTGAAAAGTTCTTTCACGCGTTCACTAGTCAATTTCTCGGTGCCTTGGAGCATCCTAGAAGAAAAGGCCGTAAACCGCCCAACAAGAGGAGGCAAGGTAGCACCACAATGAGAGACCAAGAATGTCAAGTTCTCAAATTGTGACACTGTTCCCGATAGGAGTAAATTGACCACGGCGCGAGTCCATCAATCTCATCATTACCCCGTCTGAACAAGGGGCAAAATGAGCTCCTCCGCCATCTCTAGATACTTCTGGGTGAACGTGAACACCCGTTTCCAGCTCGTATATCATCGGAGCCATAGCAAAACGATGGGTCGCCTCAGACACCGTCTCAGAACGGGCAGCTCATGCGGATACAAAATCACTTTTGTGAGATTATTCAGATGTTCAAGGCATTGACACTTGCGCTTTCGCTACAGGCGCCTCGCACAGATCCACATACTCGAGCCGCCCGATGCTAGCCCACCAGTAGCCAGGTTTGAGGCCAGGTTTAATAATACAGTTCAGCAAACTGACATTAGATAATCAAAACGTATTCTAGGGAAAGAAGCTCTTACTCAGAATCAAGGGGCTATTCTTGATGACTAGGAATGCAAAAGGGACTCGAAACACAAATGCGAATCGCCAGTTCCAGTCACCAATATGGAGTAGAAGCAAGCGCGCGACTTTGCCGCGCACTATCCGAAGCGGAAACTATCAACATACCCTCAAATCGTCCACTGTAAGCATGGCGAGGAAATTGGTGAGACTCCTATCGTTATTTGAATTTCCTAACTTTCTGAATTTACTATCTTTCGGAAATTTCTGGTACTATTCTCGGGGACCAGTAGAGCATATAATGGAGTCTCGCCGTGGGCAATGCGCTATTTTACCGAGTCTAATTGCATTGTCGATAATACGTAGAACGGGCTTGTCGATATGCACTCTGTGTTTCTTCTTAGTCGTAATCCATAGCTGAGCTTTCGCTTCAACTTATAGAATGCCTATACCACTCGATCTTGAATCCGAGTTCCTCTGGCTCCCCTGAAGAGAGCATACTAAGAAGTCCACGCTCCTCTAGATCCCGGCAAAATGTTTTTTTGAGTGAGAATTCCTCTGCTGAAATATGTTCACCGATACCGTCATAGCTATAACCACCCAAGTTTCCACTACTAGCTATTTCAGGCTTGCTTGTCTCTCTAGTGCGACAAAGGACGATAGCCCACCAATATCGGAAATATTTCCACAATTTGCGAATAAAACCGCTTATAACCGTACGCAGTTGCGGGGTTAATATTTCTTCGGCCGCGGTGTCTTTCGAATTATTTCCTCCTAGAAAGAATGTCTCTGTGTGCACGGCTAATTCCGCAATCGTGATATATTTATTGTGCCAGCATTTGATGATAACATCGTCAATGAATGAATCCCCATCTAAATTTGGAAATTCCATGTTCTGTAGTAAATCCACAACTTTGCGTCCATGCTCCTTAGGATCTTCGGTAAGGCTTCGGTCTCCGTAGACCTCGAAGCCGTAGTTGATAAGGTAGTACAATGAACCCAGGGCAAATTGTTCAGTTCGAGGACCTAGCACACCAGAGCTTCCACGTCGTCCGTGATGTTGCTCTTGGTCGTTGAGTAATCCAATAAATCTGTCATGAAGAGATTGTCCATGCTTTAAAGGGAACAACGCTTTTCTCACTGAAACTCTCGCAGTTCATGCGAGTGCCAGTGGAGAAAGACAGGAATATCCGTGAGAAGTTCACCGTCCATATGAAAAGTACAGAACAGGAACACATAAACACATAGTTTGATGCTTTCATATCATATCAGACGAGACCTCTATCAAATATGCGTATGAGCAGGTATATACGCTGAAAGACGCTGAAATTGATATTATCTACCAAGATTTCGTATCGACGCGCAACTATTGTTGAAGAATACATCAACTTACATTTGAATCAACGGAGCCGATACCTCAATCGTTATGCCGGGCACACCTGGTGTTTCTGTTCACCAGGAGCTTTGGATGTTTGTCAACCGGTGCCGCTTTACCCCTCTAGAAGCCCTTCGCTCAGCAACGCCTAGAGTTGTGGATCGTTTCAAGCCATCCGATTGAGGCATAGTTGAGCATGGTCGTTTAGCAGATCTTCTACTTGTTTCTGGGAAGCTTGACCGCTCAATTGACGATCTTGGAGATATTAGGATCGTCTGGAGAAATGGAGAGGCTGTGGTGAAAAAGTTATGGGATATTGGTACTTCTTAGTCTAGATCACCCGTCAAACTTTCGAGTCATCACTCATTCATCAATAGTTCTTTCCATGGCTCTTTTCAATATGATCGGCTAAAATTCCGTCATACTCACCCTCAACTATACGGCCTTCCGTAGACAACTCCAACTGGGGTGAGACATATAATCCCAATCCGGAAAGCGGTCATTGATTATGTCACACTCGGCTTTCCCCGCAATCTCTCGCTTTGCGTCGGCCCAACAAGTACCGCTCACGAGCTTCTCCCGCAGAAGAAAAAGCCGCCCTTTCTTTTCGAGTTGCATTCCACTGTTTTTATCCCTCGATCATGATACTGAACTGACTCTGTGAAGAAGTGGTCATACCTGTCTAGCAGCAGAGCAGCAGCACATCAAACGCTGCTCTCACCACTTATCCGTCATGACCCTCTCATCCCTTCTCCGCATTACTCCCCGCTTCGCCCCGACCGCGGCCCGCAGAACCACAAGAGCTGTTTCATCGATATCCGGCACGACGCCGAGCACCAAATCTTTGGACTCAATTCTCATCGCAAACCGTGGTGAAATTGCGCTGTATATACTTCCATCTCTGCTATACTTTCGTGGTTCTTGAAGCTGATGTTCCTCTGTGTGCTAGCCGTGTAGGCCAGACTGCGGCTGAGCATGGCATTCGCGTCACTACTCTTTACACAGACCCAGATAGCCGCGCACAACATGCGTTGAGCACGCCGTTCGCATTTAATCTGGGATCTGTTTCGGCATACTTGGATGGAGATCGGATCATTGAGATCGCGAAGAAGGAAGGCTGTCAGGGAATCCACCCTGGGTATGGATTTGTGAGTTGTCTATTCCATAAGCCTATCTATTGGAAAATCTGTCGCTAATTATAGCTTCTAGTTGAGCGAGAATTCAAATTTTGCCCGGAAATGTACAGAAGCTGGACTTGTGTTCATCGGCCCTCCTTGGAAGGCGATCGAAGATATGGGTGATAAGAGGTACGGCTGACATGCTGAGATATTGGTTTAGGAATATTGTGACAAAAGCTGATATCGATGGGACAGTCGTTCAAAGGAGATCATGCTGGCCGCAGGCGTGCCCTGCGTCCCTGGTTACCACGGCCATAATCAAGACCCTACCTTCCTCGAAGCCGAGGCCGATAAGATCACATACCCAGTCCTAATCAAAGCTATCAAGGGCGGAGGTGGAAAGGGAATGCGTATTGCCAGCTCCAAAGCAGAGTTCCAGTCCCAGTTAGAATCTGCAAAGTCAGAGGCTATGAACTCGTTTGGTGACGACCAGGTTCTGGTCGAAAAGTACATCACAACGCCTCGGCATATCGAAGTCCAGGTGTTTGCGGACAAGCATGGTAATTCTGTCGCTCTGGGAGAGCGTGATTGCAGCATTCAACGCAGACATCAGAAGATTTTGGAGGAGTCTCCAGCACCCCATCTGCCAGACACTACGAGGAAAGATATCTGGGCCAAGGCTCGCTCTGCCGCTCTGGCGGTTGGATATGAGGGGGCAGGCACTGTGGAATTCATTTTCGACAACGACACTGGTGACTTTTACTTTATGGAAATGAATACTCGGCTGCAGGTCGAGCATCCTGTAACGGAGATGGTCACTGGCCAGGATTTGGTCCACTGGCAGATCATGGTGGCCGAGGGTGCCCCTCTCCCTCTGACACAAGAAGAGGTGGAAGAAAGGATATCTCAAAGCGGCCACGCTATTGAAGCTCGCATCTACGCCGAGAACCCTGAACAGGGGTTCATCCCTGACTCTGGGCGGCTGATCCATGTCCGCACACCCGCCCTCACAGAGAATATCCGCATCGATGCCGGATTTGTCGAAGGCGATGATGTGTCGGCTCACTACGACCCTATGATCTCCAAGCTAATCGTCCGCGGCACGACTCGCGAAGAAGCGATCCGCAAGCTGGGGACCGCGCTAGAGGAGTACGAGGTTGCAGGACCCGTCACCAACATTGAATTCCTTAAAACCATCTGCCGCAGTCCCGACTTTATCGCAGGCGCCGTCGAGACCGGTTATATCGAGAAACACCGCGAAGAACTTTTCGCGCCAAAGCCACTGGAAGATGAGCTCCTCGCGCAGGTCGCCCTGGCATGTCTACATCGCGATACCTATCAGTCTAACCACCCCCGAGCCACCACGGGGCTTGCCGGAACAACGGTCGGGTTTGCCCCGAGTTACCAGCAGCGGCAACTCTCATTCACCGAGTCGACGGGGCCGAGTAGCGCCAGTGCCAGCCCTGCTACGTTCGACGTACGGGTCCAGCAGACATCGGACGAGACATTCGATGTCGAGGTCGGTGGACGTGTCTTCTCGCAAGTCTCGAGTCGCATGGACCCAGTCTCAAACGTCGTGACCTCGTTCTTCCCACACACCCGGCTAGACACCACCGTGGTTCGGGATGAGGACACGATTATCGCGTTCCAGCGTGGCAAGCAGTACCGGCTCACGGTGCCGCGGGCCAAGTGGATGGAGAAGGCGCTGGGCATGAAGGACGTAGCCAACAGCGTACTAGCGCCGATGCCATGCAAGGTGCTCCGGGTGGAAGTACAAGCTGGTGATGTGGTGGACAAGGACCAGCCGCTAGTGGTGATCGAAAGTATGAAGATGGAGACGGTGATCCGCAGCCCCCAGCACGGCACGATCGCACGAGTTGTCCATCAACAAGGCGTAAGTCGCCCCTCCTCCCCTCCATTTCTTTTTTCTCCCGTTCCTTTTTTTCCCCTCTTGTCCCTTCTAGCCCTGTTTGTCCGACGTCCTGTGAAAAATGTGAAAAAAGAGTGCTGCCCCCATGATTACGGGGTGTCAGGGGCGGGCCTCGTGACCTGGGTGGCCTGGATCTAGATCTTTCGATTATCGGCCCGAGCATTCAGTTCATTTCCCCCTTGATCCTTGTTCCCTTTGCTTTGGCCATTATTAATAGGGGTTCGTGAACAACCGACTAACATCATACCCTGACAGGACCAATGCAAGAGCGGAACACCGCTGGTCGAATTCGCCGAGGAGGCTGAGTCGGCGTCGTAGACGGGATTCAAATTAGATAAACGTGAGGGGGTCTATCGACCTTCAGCGCGTGTGGAGAGATGCGGGAAGGGAAAGTGAGTGCCGGAGACCGTTTGTGGTCTGTGATTTACTGCATTTGGCGTTGATAGGACTCATAGTAGATCGATTAGATCCATGCAATCACCTTGAATTCTAGGCCTTACTACAGTATGAGATCTTTTGTGGAGTACTGTAGATATCTTGATACCATCTAACGTCCTTTTTTCTTTTGTGGCTTTACGCGACCGGCCCAGGTGAAATTCTTCCCGCCTGCGGTGCCTTTGTTGGTGTCTTTGCTGGTGTCAAGTCGCGGAAATCAACGGTCCACTTACATATAATCCGGCGATTCCGTTGCAAACAATGATGGCCGACTCCCACTCGGCCACTTGGTCTCGTCCTCGTCTCGATGTGCGATAAACAAATTGTGGAGAAAGGACGAGCAAGTGGATCTGACGAGGACCAGCGCAAAGACTCCACTCTGCTGGGTGGGGAAGCCTTCTGGGGGCACATCATCTACATCTCAAGGACCAGCGGGCGCGTTGGTCGAGTGGGTCTTCCCGGGGGAAGTGGCTGCCCCCGATCGCTGGAAGGTCCTCTGTCATCCGTACGGTCCGGCGCCCGGAGGATAGATCCAGCGCCATCCTGGACTTGTAGAATTGCCACTATGACGAGTGATGGCTTCATCCTGCATCCTGTGCACGGAGATTTTCTCTTCCCAAGTAGTGGGTACTTGGACATCGAGCATCTGCCACTATTTTAGCCCCTGTTATCTTAGAACTCTTCTGATCAGGGAATTCTTGGTGAAGCGGGCCCAGACCTCGTTCACTGTGGTGGTTCTCAAGGTGGCAAAAAGGAGGCTGCGTCGAAATTGCAAATCAACCTGTACAGCAGATCAAGGCCAGCGGCAACTGCGGCTTGCAGGCCGAGTTGAGGTCCTTCCGGAGAGAGTGTTTTCTCCTGTGGGAGGATGGTGGAATTGGATGCATCTCCTGTCAGACAATTGAAACATCAAACATTTGAAAAGCGGAAGGGAGGGGGGTAAGAGGGATTGCGAGAATGAAAGAGAAAAAGAGCAGGGCGAGTTAGTCGTCTCAAGTACCCTGAACCCCCTCTAGGTGCCGAGAGTACGAGGATTGCGGCAGAATGGATGTATAGTCCTGCTTACGGTCGGGGTACCAGGGCCCGGCCGAGCAGGTACCGGTACATTTCAGGCACAGCGTCATCCGCAGGGATCCAAGCTGGAGGTCAATTCCACCAGGTCACGAGCCCAGCAGAGACTTCTCATGTGCGACGCGACTCGACCAGCGGCCCCAGCACCGTCGCCGCGAAGGGACTAGAGGGGGTTCTCTCTACTGCCTATATCGTCTACCCAGCTTGCTTTTCCAGTACTTTGGGCCCGGGTTGCTTTTGACAGCTTCATTGTCCGTATAGCCCGCCGCATAGGCCCCCTGGATCATGTGGTGTCGAGCTCTGAGCTCGTCAGCCAAACGACGTGGCTCGCCGACCCACTGGCGCCGATCGATCGCGCCGGCGGGGGGCCCAGCCCAGCGCACCCCAGTTAAACCCCGTTAAACCCCGTCTCGAACCCCCAGCTTAACGCAACTAGCTCGGCCGCCTGACATCACCTCCTGGAAACTCGCCTCCCGGGGACAGTCCAATGATCCAATAATCCAATCATGCTCCTCAACCGGACCAGAGGTCACCTCGTAAGCAAAGAGAAGCCCCGAAAATAAATAAATAAATTACCCCTTGGGAATTCAATTGTTCGTCCACTCGATTGCCCCACGTCCATCGATTATTGGAGGGCAAGCTTGTGTCTTATGGCTCACCGCAAGTGTCGCATTCCGCAGCTCCTGTCCTGCTCCAAAAGCTTCGGGCCATAAGTCCGCAATCATAATAATCCACCCTTCAAGTCCCCCCCTAAGGCTGATTGTCGAAGAACATCCCCTTTCATAACCCAATTCGAAGAGGCTGAAGCTCCGTCCTCGTTTTCCTCTCGCTTTCCTTTCTCTCTCTTCCTCTCTCCTCCTCCTCCACCATCAACTTTGGTCCACCATCCTTGTCCTCCCTTGCTACCCTGTATCTCATCCCTATTGTACTCCGCGATCCAGACAAGACCCGTTCCGGTGTCCTTCTCACGTACATACCAATTGTCTCATCGCCCCTCCCTTTCTTTGCTGTCTCTTCCCTCTTTCCTCCTCTTGCTCTCGTCGCCCTCTCCACTCTTCCTTCTTCTCCAGCCTCAAATCCAGCTCAGCGAAGCTCTTTCGAGCCTGTCCTAGCTTTTCAAATACATCCAACAACCGAAATGTTCGCCCGCTCGGTCACCAAAGCAATCCACACGAGCGCCCGTCCTGCAGCCCGCTCCTTCGTCCGGCCGCTCTCGTCCACGGCGATTCGCGCCAACAAGAAAAATGACCTGAAGGATCCTCTGCTCTCTGCTACCACCAAGGCTCCCGAGGGTGCCTCTGGGGAGCATGAGGGCCAATTCGCCCGAACCGACGAGAATGTGCAGATCGAGTATCCGCCCGACAGCGAGATGCCCGCCCAGCCCATCGTCCAGGGCCGTGGTGGCATGCATTTTAAGCGGACCCTGGCTCAGTTCTCCCTCGAAAGCAAGGTGAGCATGGTAACCGGGGGTGCGCGCGGTCTAGGCCTGGTCATGGCCCAGGGTCTGGTGGCATCGGGCTCGGATCTGGCGATTGTCGATTTAAATAGTACGTGCTGACCCTGTCGGTGGTTTTGCTGTTTTGTTTTTTTTTTTGTTCTCCTTTTTTTGGAGCAGAGTGAATGCGCAGTGATGGGTTGGTCGGAAATGGGGATGAGAGCTAATGTTTGCGACAGAGTCCGAGGCCGAGGAACAGGCTGAGAAGCTCGTAGAGCAATTCCGCAAGGAGAATCCCGGTTTGGAAGAGTACGTTCGTTATTTCGATCTCTCCTAAGATCTCTTATTTGGTTGAGGAATTTTTCCTTTTTTTTTTTTTTTTTTTTTTTTTTTTTTTTGATACCAGTGCTGGTGCGAAAAGAGGCGCTTGCTACAGATGGCTAACCTGAACTCCTCGCAGGATGCCTAACGTCACGGCCCACTACGCCGACGTCGCGAACCCCGACTCCGTCAACCAGGCCCTATCCGAGGTCCTGGAGAAGCACAACCGCATTGACAACCTGGTGACTTCGGCCGGGTTCACCGAGAACTTTGATGCCATCAGCTACCCGTTTGATCGCATGCAGAAGCTCTGGGGCGTTAACGTCGATGGCACCTACCTGTTCGCGACAGGTGTGGCCAAGCATTTGATGGAGCGCAATGCTCCTGGCAGCATCGTCATGATCGGCTCCATGTCCGGCTCAATTGTCAACGTGCCCCAGCCCCAAGCTCCCTACAATGCCGCCAAAGCAGCTGTCCGTCACCTGGCCGCTTCACTTGCCGTCGAGTGGGCTGGCCATGACATCCGTGTCAACTGTATCAGCCCCGGTTACATGCTGACCGCACTGTAAGCCTCCAGCTCGCATTCATTACCAAGTCTCTTGCATGGGAACCCCACGTTGGCTAACAAGTACCTTTCTCTTTCTTCCTTTCTTTTTTACAGCACTCGCAAGATCCTCGACGAGAACCCCCAACTTCGCGATAAGTGGACCTCCCTCATCCCCGTCGGCAAAATGGGTACCCCGGAAGACCTGATGGGCGCCGTGACCTTCCTACTCAGCGATGCCTCCAAATACATCACCGGAGCTGATCTGCGCGTGGACGGTGGCTACACTCTAACCTAGTCGCCTGTCATTCGGGTATTTCTTCCTTTTCTTTCCCGTGTACCGCATTCACGATGTCATTGCATGATTTCAGGGTTGTTATGTTTATTTTATGAATGCGATATAGACCGCTTTCGATTTTTGAAATTCTCTGCAAGCTATTCCATACGAGTTATACTGGTCATGAAAGCAAAACACCTTGTTGCTCAAATGGATACATGTGTCACCCTAATCCACCCATCCATGAGTGTTTCATTTCTTTCTTTTTTTTCCCTGCTTGGAAATCGGGACCTTCAATAGCTCCTAGCGGTGCTTTCCCCGCAACAGCTCGAGTCCAAGCTTCTTGCGTTGTAGGTGGCTGATTTGGGTCCAGTGGAAGTAAACCGGGGACTGCCCTGTTTGGTTCTTGTCAGTGAATTTTTTTTTCCTGCGAGTCATCAAAAGGGTTCATTGACATCATCATTTGCGCCCATAGGGTGCAGGTAGAAAGTTATGCTTTTTTAGTTCCGTGCGGGGAACCTAGGAGGAGATTGTCACCCTGGGACAAACAAACATACTTTCTGTAGATCAACAAAGGCCTGACGTATTCTAAATTCAACTTGGTCATCAAAATGTTGAATCTGCCATTGGATAGCAATGCCTCCTTTGCCTTGAGAGTGTAGAGCCAAGGACTATGCCCCTCGTATTATTTTCCACCCTGGAAATTCAGTCGGTCTGCCTTCCCAAGAATCCTGTTCTCGCGTACTCGGATTGTAGAGGATTTCAAGATGGCCTACGTGAGTGATTCGAATCAAGGCGGTCCCATGATGGCCCCGCAGTCATAATCTAAACAGGAAGTCCTGTCTGATTCCCCGAAACACCGCCCATCTCCAGATGGGCTTTTGAGCCAGTCCCTGTTTTTACTGCCACCTTGTGCACTCCTGCCCGTGTACAGGGTGTATACATTGCAGATCTTGCTCTCAGCCTCGTCACAGTCATCTATCTCCGAGATACTCCCTTCGTTTCCCCACAGGTCTATTCCCTGGACGCGCATTTTCACTTCTATTCATACCCAGAGCTGTTCTCCTCGAGTGCTCGGCCACCTAAGACTCGCAATGTGGATGCATATTCCTGTAGCTTCTGCACAATCCGTCCCTAGTGCCGGTCTATGCCTTTGCACTGTGCTTGCCTTATTTAGATTCCCAGTATCTGCCTCTAATCTATTCAGGAATACGCATAGATCAAACGAGCCTCGTGGAAATGGATTCCGCCAGGTGATAGGTCTCCCGAATCCGCCACCATGTTGTGTGGATAGCCGTGGATAAGTGCTATTATAGAGAAGCAGCTTGGTCTGGGGGATGTGAGAAGGTTCTCTCGTATTTGAAATTTTTGTTGTCGATTGGTGATTTGTGCTATATGCGTGCATCGATTTTGGGGATGGATTGATGCATCTATACAGTTTCCCCGATATCAATTCGAATATAAATAATCCACAAATGAGCACGATGTCCTGATCTTGGATGATGATTCAGACCACGAATTTACTGGCTGGAGCAGAGGCTGCGACCGGCGCAAACAACACCTTGAGGGACTTCCACCCCCGACGCAGAACGTACAGACCCAGCGTACAGAAGGAAATCCACGCTACGATGGCGCCACAGATCAAGAAGTTCGGTGGGATCCACCCAAGCCACGGAAGGGGATCAAAGCCCATCGTCTCCTTAAACTCCTCCAATTGTTTTCGAGCAGCCGCAAAATCGATATCATCTTCTTTTGGACCACTAATGGTCTGGATTTCCTCGACGGTATCACCATAGACATGAAACATCATGATCGCGGTTCCCAGAATCGTCAAGAGGAACATCCATAGGATCTTGAAGAAGAGCTCAAAGAGCCAGGCACCGCAGACAAGCAGCATCGCGAATGCTCCCGAACGTGACCGGCGGCCCGCATTGGCCAGGCGGAAGGCCATTGACCCATCATGCGGATTCCTCTGGCAGGCCACAATCAGACGGCAGACCAGGTAGGTGAGGAGGCTTGTTGAGATAAGAGGGTCGATGATGTTCCAACTCGGGTCGACAAAGTCAATTGCGGCGAAGGCCACCGCGGCAGCTGTCCAAAGGACCAGGAACCCGATCCTGACAGTGTTGCCTACTCGACCGCCAATGGAAGCCAGAGTAGGAGACATTATTTTGGTCCTTGCAGCAAGTCTGGAGACTTTTCCCCCAGGGGATGCGGCTCTTAATTTAATCGAATGATGGTTGAAGCAAAAAGATTTCGAGGATTTCAAAACTGCAGATTTTCACATCCTCAATACCCTTTTTTCGGCCCCCAACCACTGAAGCCCACTTTTTCTATTCTCGCAGCCTAATTTGCCCAGCTAGATCGTCGATTTTTCTTAGATTAAGGCTCATTCTCGTTCGATGCGGCTGTAACTGGATCATCCTGTGGAGACCTTTCCTTTTTATGGACGTCCGTACTCTGGACCCTTGTTTCGGGCAAAACTAGCCCGGAGGCCCACCGGTTTTGCACAGCCGACACTGCGAAGGGTCTTTTCTTTGCCAATTCACACTTGTCAAGCATTCAAATTCATTGAAAATAACATGCCTTTGCTTGCAAAGACCGGCTTCGAGAGGTTTTGAACTGAAAATATCAGACAGAGATTACTTATCCACCAGAGTATGCCAAGATATATACGGTGACAAAATCCTTTTGATGCTCCCAATTTTCATAAGATTTTACCACCCAATTTACCACTCACTAGTACCGATTTCTACACAGGATTGACTCATATGCTTCACTAATCATACAGAACCTTCTTGAATATCAATATTTTGTGTATTATCCCTTTACTTTCTTGACTGCTTTGATTCAACTCGGTCAATAAGCGAATTAAGTTGTCTATCTTCTTCTAGTCGAGTGCCCACTATGCTTCGAGAATAACCCCCCAAAATAACGTAAATGACATCTAATCTAGCTTATATATTCCCCTCCTAGCAAGATTAAGATAGAGGTCAAACTGCGTGTGGTTTGGTATGAACCAAATAACCTAATTTATATTTAGATTAGGCGAACAAGGAGGTTATTTTATCTGTCTTGTCCTTCGATCTTTAATTCTGATGATACAGAAATTATTAAATAAATTGGGTTGATCTTATAGATTTAATTTTCTTTATGGATTAGAAGAAGGCGTTTTTGAAGTGTCTAAATATAGGATTTTTTCCTCCAGGATATTAATGAAGTTAATCACTCTTCCTAATATTTTGAATTCTAAAGTAAATTCCATTTGTAATTTGTAGAATAGGAGAGAAAGACTTGACTCAGCGTCAAATCTCGATATCACTAATATATCGTACACTTCATCTTCTTTATAGGAGAGTTTTGTCATTTTCCAATCCCAATATCGTGCAGCGGTATGCCACGAAACATTATCCTCGTAGACGGCTCTCTAAGATAGCCTGAACTCCATTCGCAAAAAGCGCTCTAGCATAGAGGGCGTGAAACCAAATACCTATCTCAGGGAAAGATGATATGTTCGTTTGTGGATTACATGTAAATCCTTCTAGACTAATCCGTATCTGATCATTTGACTGTTCCGCTTCTTGGTACCTCGTGATGCTGAAGCGATGACATCCAGCAAAGGAGTAGCTGTCTGAGCCGAACCCATAGTCGACATAGCTCAATGGAGAATCTGGTGATTCAGAAATTCGCCTGTCGAGAAGTTGGAAAGCCCCAAATAATCGTGTACCCACATCACAAAGCTCATCAATTGGAATCTCCGAGCTTCTCCATAGCTCAGGTGACTGTGGGTCTTGCAAGAAATCTAGGGTAATCATTAGCCAGGTCCAGCACAGACTCTACGAACAGGACTGAGAGACTGTACTGGAAAAATGCACTGGAAGTATTCTCCAAGCTCCAGCGTTCAACAAAATACCCTCCATGCCAAAAACAAAGCCCCCGAAAAATCCCGAGGTAAATGATGACAGGATCTTCGAGTCGTTCATGCCAGCGAATGTGTCGGCAGTGAAGTCTTGCGAAATGGTATCTGATATCACTGTGTGATGATGTGGGTTGATGAGCTTTGCAGATTGAGACGTCAGAAATTCAACTCGGGCATTTTTAACCCAGTTGGATTTATAGAGAGAGTCGAAGAATGGCTTCCTCGGGATCATTCGTAACCAGGACATTGAGATGACGGCGGATTCCCGCAAATTTGTCGCAGAAAACGAACTGATTTTTTTTTTGGAATGAGAGATTCGATTGATTTTGTTCCTCAGATTTATTGACGATTTTATTCTTGACAACTCGTAATTTTTGCACTGAGTCATTTGCAAGGATGGCCCCACGTAAGCAAGCTACCCTGTGCCGTAAGCCGGTCGCTTCCTTGAGGCGGGTTGCCTTACCATCACTGATATTACGGATGTAGGCGCGTCGCCGCTTGGTATATTGAACCTTTAGCTAGCAGTGCTTCTTCGAGGCCTGTTTTCAGAAGTCTTATTTATTTAAACCACATTGAATTATGTAGCGAGAAAAATTTTTTTTCGAATAATAGAAGGGATGCGTTTGATAAGGTCCATCTGTGTAGTCGTCGGAAAGTTCCGGCTTAAACGAAGGACATAGCGAATAATAGTAAAAATGAATTCGTTTTATGACTTTCTTTTCAGGAAAGAGAAGCAAAGAGTTTTTAGTGTTTTCGAATCATTTCAGCTTGTTGTAAATACGTAGTAGGCCTATCAGTATTGAAATCAGCCCTATCTTAACTTTGGAAACACCGTTTTCGCATATGAAAATTATAAAATCGCGTGATGCATCGTTGATTCACCTTTGATGCTTTGATTTGCATCAATATTACTTCTCAAACACGTATTTTGGTATTGTGAGGGTGGACGAGGATGGTGATTGATAAGGAGAGGCGGGAAGGAAGAGGAGTGTGGGAAGACCTTTGTCACCTACGTGTATACTTCGATAAAAAAATGCGAAAGAACGATAATGTTTGATTGATTAATTCAAAATAGTTGGCAGGCTGTCTTCCTGAGCAACATTAGGTCCGATTCAAGCTGTCTTCAGTAAAATCTGGCCAATTGTATGTTGCACTAAAACAAAGGAAAATTAACTTGACATCACTAGTCAACACTATTTCCCGTCTTTATGCACCTACGTTGCATAGCAAATAATGGTAGTCAACGTTTGAAACCGCGGTCGGCGGGCTCCAGATTTTCTCGAAACTCGGCGCTAATTGCCCTTTTCTTATTATTGACGCGACAATTCTCTTGGCTCAATGTCGATCCTTCATTATCTCCGACTGCTAGTCCTTTTAGACCACGGAATGGCTCCAACTTCTGTCTTACGATGGCTTGGCAAGGGCCTGAATAAATTCACGTCAACTTCTCATTTCAGACCTCCAGCAAGGTCTGAAGTGTATCCAACGTCCAAACATGCAGTTCCCTTTCGCCTTGGTCTTAATGGCCAGCGCCGCCCTTGCGCAATCCACAACCCAAATATTCAATTTTACAAGCTATGTCGACATTGAAAACAGTGCCCTTCGCCCCAATGGCAATCTTCTTCTGACTACTTTTGACAACGGTCGCCTTTACACACTCAACCCTTCAAGCAAGGCTCCAGAGGCAGAGCTACTTGCCGCGCTCCCCGGAGCTACTGCTCTGTGCGGTATCACAGCCATCGCCGCGGACAAGTTTGCCATTGTTGGTGGGGTCCGAGGCCACTACAGCTACACAAATGAGACGCTCTACACAGTCGACTTCAGCCAAAATGCTGCAAACCCCACAATCCGCACGGTCACCCGACTACCAGGCGCTGTCATGCTCAATGGCATGGCATCCCTGCCTAAGCAATCACACATCGTGCTCATTGCAGACTCGCGCCTCGGATACCTGTTCCGCGTCGATACAAGAACGGGCGCTTCGAAGGTAGCTTTCAAAGATGAAGCCTTGACGGCGCCAGCAAACGCAACAATCCCCATCGGGGTCAATGGTCTCAAAGTCACCGGGGGCTACGTGTATTTCACGAACTCTGCCCGAAACACCTTTTCCCGTATACCCGTCAGCGCTGATGGACTCAAATTCGGCGCCATTCAGGTCATTTCTCGGTTGAATGCAGGCACCACAGGGGACGACTGGGATGACTTTGCGATTGATACCGAAGGCGTGGCTTACGTGGCGCAGCCTGACAATGCAATTGCAAGGATTTCCCCGGATGGCCAGCAGACCATTGTCGCCGGAGGTGGAAGCTCCAATATCATTATAGGACCTACATCGGTACAAATTGCCAATGGTGGGGAATTACTATACGTCACAACTCGCGGAGGAACAGTGGATGGGTTTTCATACAGCGGACAGGTTCTTCAAGTTCAACTATCTGGGAAATAGGGCGGACAGTCTCAAAAGCGGCATCTAAAACATCCAACACCTGGCGGAACGAATTTTCTAATATTTATATCGGAAGCTCAGATTCTCCCGATCTGTTAGATCATCAAAAGCATTGTGGAGGTTCATTTCCGATGCTCTCCAGTCCTCTTCCTGTAGAATAAATATTCATCATCAGTTTTGTCTAAGCCCAATGGTAAGGTGTTCTCATTTACCTGCAGCTTGTCTTTTCTCTCATTTTCCCTCTTCAAATACCATCTCAGTCCGAATAGGAGGATGGCGATGCAGATATAGCAACCCATGTGCACCGAGAAACATGTGAAATAACGTGGTGCATCTTTGGATTGGAATACTTGGGGCCCGATCATATTACCTACGGCCCAGGCAAAGAACAGTGAAGCAGTGCTAACTGATTTTTTCGTCTGGCCCGCCACATTTCGGGATAGCAGTGACATCAAGAGTACCGTCGTTCCCCAGAAAGATAGCGTGCACCAGTAAGCAATCAAAAGACCTATTCTTGTTGCATGTGAGATTGGGACAGCTGTAGGAGGTCAGTCGGTTGATTCTACACAACCCCGAGTATGGCAATTTACCCATTAAAGCTGTCGTCCCGGCAATATTTGGGAGCAGGAAGGCCTGTAAAAGTGCATTAGATAAGTGAAACTGGTCCAAATGAAGAGATGTCATTACAAGCTGGAACAGAATTGTCTGTTTATAATGACGAGACAGCCATGCTGCACCCAGTAGCACTACGCACTGGACGGCCCCATTCACCATCGATAGTAGTTCGGTTTGAAGCTCTGTAAATCCGAAGTTCTTAATCAGAATAGTAGAGAAGGATCCCAAGCCTCCAGTAGGTATTTGAATACTGAAAATAGAATGATCAGTCATCGCGCGAAGCGGGAAGAGCGAAAGACTTACATGATTTGAATTAAAATATACAGCCAAATCTGCGGGTCCCGAGCAGCTTCATACACGTGCTCCCTCTTGAACTTGCGATTTTGGATACCGGTTTGATTGGCTCTAACTCGTTCGATCATGAGCACACGGTCGGATTCCGAATAGCACTTCGCACGCATAGGGCTGTCAGGCATCCACCACAGAACGAATATAGACCAGATGCATGTAATGCAGCCGAGGAGCACAAATAGGAACTGCCACGACTTAAGGACGGGTGAATGGACATGACTCATTCCATACGCAAACAGGCCGCCGACGATGCCTTGGACGCCATTCTAAGTTATTTTGTAAGAGAGATTTGGCAACCTGAGACCCTTAAGTAAAACTAACCATTCCCTAATAATTTGTTAATAAAAACGCAATTTGCATCGAGAAAGGTTACATCTATACTTACATACCAGCAGGCGACAATATACGCCTGCTCCTCCCGCTTATACCACATCGATGAGAGGAGCAAAAAAGTGGGCTGCGACACGGCTTCGAAGATGCCAAGCAAAACTCTGAGAGCGCAAAGAATGGCAAAATTAAACCCGAAACAATTCATTGTGAGAGTTAATCCCCAGAGAAAAATGTTTGCCGCAAGATATTTTGCAATTGGTACTTTCTGAACAATAAAGTTGGTGGGATATTCAGCAAACAGGATGCCAAAATATATGACCGTGTGAAGCCACGAATACTGTTTATCTCTGTTAGTGATCTCCTTACAATGGAGCTCATAATAGTTATTTTTCATGAAGAGGGGATGTCCATGACTTACATCCTGTCCAACCAAATGCGCATCCTCCTGGATTCCCATAATAGCTGCGAAGCTAATCGCATTTTTATCTAGAGACTGGAGAAAGTACGTGCCCACCATCACAACAAGAACCCGCTTGTCAATCATTCGTCGAAGCCTTTTGTCCATGACCTCGTCGACTTGGACGGTATCAGCGGCGACAACATACCTGCGCAGTTCCTCATCGACTGCGGTATGCTTATTGGGGACACTATCTGGGTCCGGAGACCCAACATTTTCAATATGTTGCTCACTTCTCTTTCCATTATCCATTGTTGCTGGGGTAAATAAAAGCTGCAAGGTCCACTGGCTTCCCCACACCGGTACTGACATCTTACATATACCCTGTTTTCTGGCATTTCAAGTGCCGAAGCTTTGCGGGGGTGGAGATGGATAGTGGATCATCAACCTGGGGATGAGAGAAATTCCAGCTTTCCGAGCCAAACAAATTATCTTGGAACCCTTCTCAAAGAATTCGAACCTGTTGAAGAATAGATGTCGACTGCTAATATCCGAGTTGGTGCTCTCATACCGCAGGTTTCTATTGGTCGTCGGCACCAGCATTCCCTCGGATAAGTACCATCTAATCCCCCTAAACTCTAGCTCCCGATCGGATATCCGAGACGTCTGCCAACTGGTGGGAAATCATTAAAGCTCCAATCCTGCGGATATTGTCCAATCTGACATGACTCAGGATCCGGGGTATCTTTGTGAGGGGTTGGTGAGGGGCCAAGTCAGATCGTCGGGGAGAGGGACAGTTGATTGATGGAACTTGGCTAGACGGCCAACTCTGGATGTCGATCGATCCACCCGATCATATTTCTATAACAATATAATAGTGCTGAACAGGAAGATGAGTCTTTAAAATAATTTACTTCAAAGGAAAGCAGTCAAGAGGCCAAGTCAAGCATGACAGACGACATTTTGTCCGTGTTCCTCGCCAAAGATGGCGTCAAGAACATCCCTTTCGAAATCAATACGCCCCTGGCTCAGATGAGCTTATTTGACACCAAGACCTTGGCATTAAGACTTGTAGATAGTCTTGTTCATCTCAAAGATGACTCTGGCGAATATCGGGTCCCACTACCGAATGGCGGGTTCAAAGTGGATTCAAAGTCCTGGAACAATTGGGAGTGGACGCAGGGGGTCGGATTGTACGGAATGTGGATACTGTTTGAAATCACAGGCGATGAAGCTGTTCTGGCTCATATTCAAGCATGGTTCAACACACAGTTTGAGAAAGGCACGCCGACTAAGAACGTGAACAGCATGGCTCCCATGTTGACGCTGGCTTATCTGTATGAGCGATCGAGGAGATCGGAGTACAAAGCATACCTTGAGTCATGGGCCGAGTACATTATGGACGGAATCCCTCGAACAGAAGGTAAGACAGATGTAGTTCCGTCAAGTTTTATGCCAGCATAGCTAATGTTCCGTCAAAGAGGGCGGCATTCAGCATATCACCTTCCGACAGGTCAACGAGGGCCAGCTCTGGGACGACACTTTGATGATGTCGGTCCTTCCTCTAGCTAAAATCGGAGTTCTTCTTAATCGCCCAGCGTACGTGGAAGAAGCTAAACGCCAGTTTCTGCTCCACATCAAATATCTCACCGACAGAAAAACCGGTCTGTATTACCATGGCTGGACGTTCATAGAAAGGCATCACTTTGCCGAAGCTCTGTGGGGGCGAGGAAACTCATGGGTGACTATTGCAATTCCTGAGTTTATCTCTCTCTTACAATTGCCACCTGGTGATCATCTCCGAGAATTTCTAGTTTCAGCACTTGAACAGCAGGTCCTTGCTTTGAAGAAATACCAGAACACGAATGGGCTGTGGCATACTTTGATCGACGACCCAACCTCCTATCTAGAGGTCTCAGCTTCGGCTGGATTTGCATTTGGTATTCTCAAAGGGGTGCGAATGAAATATCTCGGAAAGCAATACAAGGAAATTGGTCTCAAGGCGCTAGAAGCAGTGATCAACAATGTGAATGAGAAGGGCGTGGTAGAGAACGTGAGCTTTGGAACCCCGATGGGACCAACCAAAGAATTTTACAAGGCCATTAAGCTTACGGCAATGCCGTATGGGCAAGCAATGGCGCTTCTTTGCATTGTGGAGAGAATAAAAGATTTTTTGTAAATAAAGATAGACTATTAAGAGCAACCTTTCTATTTAGATTGCAACATTAGCGCCTCTTGAGTGATGCAAAATGGTCCCCCTGTTCAATTCCTTTTTTTAAAGCCACTAGAATGGGACGGTGTCATATTTGCTCAGACTTCTGAGCTTCTTTCCCGTCTTGTAAAATACCCATGGAACAGGCATGAGCGCAATAGCAATGAATCCAAGCAGACTTGAGGCCCAGTCAATGCCCAGCCGGGTGTACACTAATGAAGTGTTAGAAAAGGGAACCAGCGTTATCAATGCATATCAAAGATACTCACTTTGAACGGTGAAAAGTGGGAATGCAGCAGCTAAACCATACCGGGCCAAGCTATTCGCACTCATGGCACTGGCTACGGTGAGGCCGGTATAAGTGTCCACCAGATACTGGATCGTGCCAACAAAGACACAGAGGTTTCCCCATGCAAACACCATAATGGCGACGGTAGGACTTCCCCAAGAGATGCTCTTCTTGGCAGTCCACGCAAACCAAAACAGCCCAATTGGCAGGCCGATACTGCCGATCATGGCAGGGTAGAGACGATGTTCTGGGGGCACAGGCCCATCATGTTTGGCGATTTGAGGGCGATAGAACAGAATATCGCACAGAAGAACAGTCACTGCCCCCAGCAAACAGCCTACGACTATCGCCAAGAATACCAGACCCGATGCTTCGATCCCGAAGTGATAGACTTCTGCGTAGACCAACGGGATAGCCGCAAAGAAAGAAAAGAGAGTTGCAAATTCACAAGCCACGTACAAGCAGATAAATGCGACGATCGGCTCTGAGATCATCATGTGAAGAGGACGGAGAAGCGTGATGGTTGCGAACCGTGCGATCCTATCAGCCAGTGGCGGGGCTTTAGGCAACTCTTGTCCTCTCTTTTTCGCCAGACGACCTTTAAGGGTGGGATGATAAGTTTCTCTTGCCAGTCCGATCGTGAGAATAGTCCAGATGGCGAAGAAAATCATCGTCCACTGTGTCCAGCGCCATCCCTTTCGATTGACGACAAAGCTTCCGATGACAGGACTACAAACTCGGTTAGCTGAACCAGCACACCACAATTGGGTTTCCATTCTGAATGAGGCTTACCCTAGGCCTGGACCTAGGAACGGGGTCAGGATAAAAATGGTCGTCGGGATGGCGCGAGCCTTAGGTTTGAAGGTTTCATTGATAGTTCCGGCTGCAATCGTCAAAAGAGGGGCATAACAAAAGCCAGCCAGGAAGCGTAGCACACACAGCCCCGCGAATGTTGGACTAAACCCTGCCCCAAGAGTGAAGAGAGTCCCCAGTAGGATTGAGCCTATGTAAACTGGGTGTCTGCCTATAGTCTCTGAAAGTGGCCCACCCACCACCGGACCAAGAGCTAGGGCGAAAGTGTAGAGAGACAGTGGCAAGATAGCAACTGTGCTACTGACTCCGAAGTCCGTCATGAACACCGAGTGAGCCGGTGTCAGGATGGATACCCCGACCGATCTGAGAATCAAATTAGCCGATCCAGTTCACATCTTGGCATTCCACGGGGCTCACGGACGTTGTGAAAGCGGCCGAACCGAGCATGATGATCTGTTGCACCTTGCGCTTCGTGGGCCAATTGTACGGGTTATTCGGATCCGAGTCCCAATCCCACTGCTCACTCTCTTTCGGAGAGTCCATCACCTTCTCAGAGCCACTTTCGGGATTCGCATCCGGGAGTTCGACCTCGGTGTTGGGAGGAGAACCTGCCATGTCCGGGTGGGCCTTGGCGGCGCCGTTCGCTTCCTGGGCCATGTTCTGGTTACTCTCAACTCAGTGGCAGTTCACGAGAATTTATAAAGTGAGCAGAGATACTCGTCAGAAATGGGGGATCTGGTGGGAAAGAAAGAGAATTGTCTGGCACTGGTGGTGAAGGGGGAGCATTCCAGCCGGGTGGCTCTTGTCGTGACCAGCGCCTGCCACTTCGATAGTCCGACGCTACCCTATGCGCTGCAGGCTCGGGAGCTCCAGCCAGCTCCCTCTTAAATTCACTTTAAATCCCCTTCGGTTTGTTTCATTTGTCATGCCGGTTGGCGGTTGTACGCTGAGATCGCAAGATGAGTCAACAGAAAGTGCTGCAAGGGTGTGATTGGGCCCGTGCATGACGCTACCGAGGTCGTGCTTCGACCGTGAATATCAGATTATTCAACAAACAACACCTCTGGCAATCGAACAAGGGGGGAAAGTGGAGCAGTGGGGAAGTTGGAGGTGAAGAAGTGCATAGGTGGAGATGTAGTGGATGTAGTGGATGAAGTGGATGTCGTGGCTGTCGTGGCAGGAAGGGCGATCATTGTAGAGACGCTATCCCCAATGGAGACTTGGCAGGCCTGGCACCAGAGGATGCTTGAGTATAGAGTCGGAGAACGCAAGACGATCAAGAGTGATCCACCCTTTTCCACTGCGATCCAATGAAGGGGTCAGAATGATACATTCGACTGGCGTTAAAGAAAGAATCCGGTGTATTCTCCGGGTATTGTCCCGGACTTAAGCTTTGCCATTTGAACGAACCTATGGAGGCACAACGTGAGTCGCCATTGCCACCTTGCTCTCTGAGAGATTACCAATGCAGTGGGCGCCTGTGAGAATCATCTTATTATGCTGTCAGCGACAAAGGACTTGTTCAGCAAAAAGAAAGCAGAACAAGACTGGCTTGGTCAGCGGATGATCGGATAATTCGTGGCCTTCATTTCACATCTGACTAAAAAAGTCCGATGCATTTTTTTCAAGTACCTACTGCAAAACCATGGGCTTTTAGCGTGGAATTCAAGGTATTAAGACCTATATGGTAGCAAATTAAGTAATGCACCCCCTCTCCCCACTTTGGTGTGTGATGTAGCACGAGCTGCAGGGGCTTAGTTCTATTACCAATTCTGTGTCCCCGAAGCGACACACTCTGCGTGCTGTAGAAGAATTTGAGGAGAAAAGGAAGGTAGTGAGAACTATTTCAAAGCTAATATAGTCAAATAAATGCTTAGATAAAAATACTAGGTGGGATGCTTATAATGGAAATCATATCGCACCTCTGGAAGAAACTAACCGAGGTCGGATCTTACTTTTTTGTGAAGATACCGGAAGCCTCAGACTCAATGTGAACACTAATGGTGGCTGCGGACCGGTAATTATGCACAATTTATGCGACACAGAAAGACCATTTTTGCTTGAGTTGCCCTATTGACAAAATTCATCTTTTGCATGATATGGGTCAAAACAGCCACCTGCGTGTCCTAGACATTTATCTTTCATAGAATTTAGGTCTCTCGATCCTATAGTATATTATCAGACTATTTGATCAATCTATAGCATATTAGTATGGCGGAAGCGACCAGTCTAATTGAGGTGGAGATGTCAATATCAGTTAGATGTCAATATCAGTTTGACTTCAATCCAATGAACTTCGGTGATCGTGAAATGTCAGTGTCTGTATTTTATTATGACTCTCAATTAGATGCGCTTACCATAAATTAGCAAGTCGAATTTTCGATTCTCGGTCTAAACCTCCATGTCTCTTCTGTAACTTGAATAATATTTAAGTGAAGTATGTCTTTACTCCTTTACTCTGCAATGCAACCTCTTCACACTTGCCCCTTTTAGCATCTATCATAATGGTCTTACATTGGAGCATGACATCCTTCGTTCTCAAATGTCCGAGCCTTTTCATATTCTTTCCTTCAAAAGTAGCTGTGATGATCAACTCTTTGAAGGAATTACGGCTCCTGAATAAGATTTTGCTTTTTCTGTGAGCTACAGAATCAATTGGCATGGCCGACTCTATCTCTCCTCAAATCAACACATCCAGACTTGTTCTCGAAGACTGCCACTGTAATATATGGGGGATTTAAGGGACTTCATACAATTGATATAGCTTCCAAGCTCCGTGACTGCACAGAGAAGCATATTCAAAGCCCATTGCGCCATAACACCCTTGCTTTGCTATTTCAACAAGTTCAAGGCATTCATTAACACTGCCACGCTCATAATTTTTCCACACGCAATTTCAAATTAGACGCAGAAGCTTTCCACATATATAAAGGAGACTTCTGCCCACACGATACTTCCACTCATAGGATTGTGTGATAGCGCTACAAAAGGCCTACTCCTCGGTATGCAATATTCCTTCATAAAATTACCGGGGTAGAATTGGATGAGTGCTACTGTAGGGAAGGGTCGCGGACACCAAAGCACGTTCTCCTACATACCCGCGATACATTCATCTGAGGGAAGTCAATGTTGAGCAATGTTTGGACACGGACTGGTCTTCGTCGAACCAGCTGGCAGATCACGATTCGATTTTATCAAACTCTCAGGCCACCAACTACGTGACAAAATTTATATTTCATGCTCTTGGACGGTCGTTCCAACCAAGTGAACTTTACTCTTCCAGATAACGAAAGTTTAAATCCCACTATCGCTTTCGCTGAAGTTATTCATGATTTGGGTAAATTTACAGCCCTGCAACGACGCTTTTACGCTCAATTCACTTGGAACTTCAGACTACTGGAGACTCGCTTTAACTCGCTTCCAGGAGAGCCGTAGAGCATTGGAGAATCAGGTTACCAGCCCATTATTTCTTTCAAACGTTTTAAGACTACCATTGCCAGCCCCTTCCAGCCAACCGATTTCACTTTAATTTCCTTATTCGACCAGCAACTTGCCCGCTATCAAGGGTCATGGCTTTAATACAGCAATCACTCCTCTAAAGACGGATTCTGAGAACCTTCACTAGCACAATACTAGTAATATAGGTCGTATTCCAACCGAGCTGTCAGCACCCACTCTACCACCGAGTCCCCGGAAGGAAATATTATTAATTAAATACATTCGCAGTATTCAAGCAGTTACCGGCCTCGGCCAGTCGGGCTTGAGGCTACACCCGGAGCAGCGCAAGCTAACTTAAGAAGCATATATCGCCCCTTAAGCGCTGTACGCCGCCTCCGTCTAGGCATAGTCTAAGGTCTACAGGAAATTGGCCTCCACTGAACCTAAGTACAGAAAATGAACGCTATCCAACGCCAAGCGGGATAACCAAGCCTTGGACAAAGTAGAAAATCAAGGATGTCTGGTCCACGTCCAAATATACCACCAATCTCGCGGCGCTGGTATTAATCAACCGAAGTGTCCTCGACCCATCCGCTCGTGTCTCCAAGTAATGGCTCGAATTCTCTGCGAATGGAAAAGAAGATATCAAAGTTTAGCACGTTTTGACACATTCCGCCAATCTGCCATCCTGGCGGCAACCCATCGAAAAATTCTATAATACTGCTCAAGTATCCGAGCGACTTACTGCGGAAGCACCTTGGTGGAGCCCAGGTGCTGCGACCTGGGTATCATTCTGTTATGCAGGGACATATCATTAGCAATCTGTTACTCCGTCTCACTGGCAACAGGGCAAAACAATTCATCGTGGATGAACTTGCATAGCCTCTGAATGTAAATTCCCCACTCAGGACTCTCAAAAAGACTTGCCCCGGACTCCTCCGCCGGAGTTTATCCCCAATACTGTGGCAGCGCGGGCACTCACAGCGCCTCTGATGCAAGTCGAATTTCTCCGGAGATTCCGGCCGTCCGGATTGACGAATTCCTTCTGGCAATGGGTTAGGAGATTCAAGTAATGCTCTGAAACTTTCTACTCGTTCTCCTGATGGGGGTCAGTGATGGGAGTACGGTTCTGAGCCCGGAGACAAATTAGCGCTCGCTTAAAATATTCGAGGCATAGATCACGTTTTGGAACAGGAGGTCAGACTTAGCTTCGGACTCGGGCTTTGTATGGTAAGTGGAATGGAATGGGTCCAGGAAGGGAAGTGCTACTGGGGCAGTTGGGGTGCTTCCATGGCGACCATGGATGTGAATATTAGAGTCCCCATTTGCTACACATCCTTGAAAATGAAAACACCCGGCACTACCGGAGACTCATGGATCCAAAGTCATGTCGAGGCATTTTACTTTGCCTTCATTAAATAAAGCCTTCTTGGTGGAAGAACTAACGCTCCTTCTGAATAGTGTGATAAATATCAGGAAGAAAGAAAGAAGCGGCTCATACTACTCTGAAGAGCATACAACGTGGTTATCTATTCCAGTATTCATAACCATCGACCTATTGAGTCGTGACAGCTTACTAAAATTGTAGTACTGCTTGATCATAATTGCCATAAGATACAAATGCATCTAGCGAATGTTTTTGGATGACATGGTGACATGGTCTGCAATCCCTTCAAAGTATATACAATGCCCTTTCTGGTGAATTTAGTGACCTCCGCAGTCAAGATGTCTAAAGGAAATGATGAGAGAGTTTGCAATCGACTCAACCTCAGGCAAACCCATCCTTGCTTTTTTGAGGCTTACTGGTCACAATCAGCATCTCTCCGCAAAAGTGACATACCAGATGGTGGGGACCCCGGTGGAGGCCAATGCGGGGTGTCAGTCAAGGGGGCTGGGTCCTCCGCAGGCTTCAACGAATGCAGACAAGGCAATCTTGCACCTGTGTGGTGTGGGTGTTTTATATTGGTAAGGGATTTAGCATTACTCCATACATTGACTTGTCAAGTACGATTCAGATCAACATTTCTCCGCCCTCACAGCCCGATGCATCCTAATTTGTTTGTGTGTCTAGAAGACGGCACACCAGGTTTACGCAAAACTTTCAGGGGAAACTTCCTCAATAATTCGTCTTCCTTCTCGCCCTCACCTTCTACCTTCTCATCTCAATGGCCCTCAGCTCTTATTTCTAAGAACTGCGAAATCTGCCTGCCAAGTACCTTGTGCCACTCTTTTTTGAGATAGCCGGTTGCCGATAGGGCTGGCTGAGGCTATCCTATCCCTGTTACCGTCGCAAGGGATGGGCAAATCGGAATGCGATGACGACAGATTATTTGTCATGGAACTACATAAGCTTGTTTCCAGCCATCCAATCGTCCATGGATTGCTTAGCGAGTGACTGGTCTTGTTAGTGGGTGCCATAAGGGGTGTTCAGAGGGCCCTGCCAGTCTATAATAGAACCAGCCCAATCCCGGGCCGTCCCGACTGTCCCGGACAACGATGACAGGAACCTGACGCTGCTTTTCTTTTTTTGCATGGAAATAAAATTGGCAGAAGTTGGGGATTTCAGTGAAACAATTTCCCCTGAAACAAATCTCCCTCCACTCAGTAATGAATTGAGGGGTCTTGGTATCACTGCCGTCCTTTGAGCCCTCACCGCTGGTCCGATGTCATCGTTCTCCACTCCTTGGCTGGTGTTTGCCTTTTGATGGAGATGTGATTTTCAACCTGTGGAAGATTATATCGTACGTTCTCTTCCATTTTTTGGCTTTTTCTTATCTTCATCAATGTCCTTGGTTGGAGGTGGGATAAAAGAGCCCCCAATATTTCAGTTTTCGAAATGTCATACTCTCAGGACCCGTCCGAATTCTGGTCAAGGTCGCGGGTTTGAAGCTCGGAGACACGTCATTTAGCCTGATCCATCCCTATCCTGGTATATTCATATCAAGAAAAAACAATTTCATGTTTCTTTCCGATTGCCCCATTCCTAGCCATACGTATTTCGGGTGGCTCAGATAATTCGCCACAACACAAATAAGAGGGCTACGCTCATACAGATTATTCTCAGATTCTCATCATTTCCTGACTATCTCGGTTATTCAGGGTGGTTCATCATAGGACTGGGTATCTTCTCCCTCTCCAATCTTCTGCAAGTTGAATCTATCAAGATTGTATCCACTAGCTCGGATTATGTCGTCAGCGCTCATCAACACTGCCCCTCTCTGACTTCTGTACGACCTTAGGAACACACTCGTCGCAAGGATACATTTCTGTTCCAAAGCTCACCTTTTCAAGACACACCATGATGGCTCAGAAGATTCCATCAAGCCTGGTGACAATATCGCAGATATCGTCCGAGGGGGTTCATGGGCATGAAACGCTGGATGGAACGGCTATTAAGACTCTCTGGCAAGGTATTCCCGGCAGAGCCTCCAATCCCGACATCAACATCATCACAACCGACCTGACCAATCTCGATAATAGTTTTCCTTGCCTCTAGAAAAGCCAGTCATAATGATATGGATGAGAGAATGGAATATCTATTCTGGCGGATCTGGAGTAGCCGGGCTCTCCTGGCCAGTCTCGACGTCCAAACACTCAGCCATCTGGTCTCACGAATCACCCAGTCTCCCGAAAATATGCATCTGAAGATGGTGAGTACAGCCATGCATTATTCTTTTTATTTCTTCATCCCTGTGGTTTCCATCTTGGAACTTTCGTGTCCTTTGTGTTTCTTTGCGTGTCTTATCAGTTGTTCGTCCAATAGATCACCATCTCACCGACCCCAAAGATGCCATCCTCGCATCAAATCAGAGCACACTCTCCAGCAAAACCTCGGTCCATCAAAAAGCCAAAGGACGCATTGCATCCAATTTTGAAGAAGCCCAAGAGTTTGCCAAACCAGTCGCACAAAACTACGCGCCTATTGCTAGAGAAGCCCGGTGATGGGAGCATCACACGTAATCCATCAAATCCACCTTCACCCAGCAGCCCAGACGTTGCTCCTAAGGAAGACTCCACTGTTCGCCAGCCACAAAAAAAGGCCTATTTTACAGCAAATCGACCTGGTCGTGGTGCGCGCCGCCGCCCCGTGTTCAACCGCCGCAGGTCATCGCAGATGAACGTTACAAAAGCGCTATCCCCTCCCAGCCTTCAACAGGCTCAATCAGACTCACCCGACATCTTTGACTTGATATCCGATGATGAAGGCTCGTCTCCAGCAACGCAGCCTCAGCCAACACACCATGGTAGTCTGGACATCGAAGCTCCCTGGATAGATCTTGACCAATTTGAGTTGACAGCGCCAGTCTCACCACAGCCCAACAGCCTTGTCGCAGCACCTTTAGAAACAGGTCTCGTCACAACTCACCCACACCGACCTCGGCTTTCTGAAGAGCCCTCACCGGCACTTCCCATGTCCGAAAAGCGGGACCCCATTCTCTCCCAGGGAATAGAGACGGTTAGTCTTGGCTCCAGTCCACACGACCAGAACCAATGTGCTAAACCCATGGATTCCAGTTGCTCTGAACCCAGTGAGTCGTTCGTTGAAGGCACTGACGTGCCCGGCTTTCCGGGTGCCAAACGTGTGCCCATGCCAATCAGCATGAAGCGCAAGCTTGTGGATATCCTTACTACCTCCAAATCTCCACAGGTAAGCAAGCCTCCCTTGCTCGTCTATCTCTCAGACTTCAGTATGCTCAAAACCAATTTTCCCGTCCCCAGGGCTCCCCACCTGCTTTTCTTAGCTACGTGATGACCACCCAGGAATCCTCTCCGTTGGTTGACCAGCCTTCAGACCGGCCCTTGGTTCTAAAGGGCTTTCGGGAGCGCTTCGCTCAGGTTTTAAAGGAAAGTCGCTGTGGCGAGGAGACGACACCGGCCTTGCCTGGAATCTCTGCTGCTCTTGAGGAAGAAAAGGAGATCTAATAATCTCACTCCCCCCAATCTTTTCACGGAGTGAAGGATACCCCTGCCAGCCCGAAATTTCAAACAGCCTCGGTGAGTAAATGCGAAGAGAAGGAGAGGTGTCTTACCCTGGTTTAAGTTGGTATCTATGCCTTCTCGTGGGTTTGAAAAGAACGGCACTTACTCTTATGCTCCACAAACGGGACGATCTGGGGCAGATACTCTATGTATTTCACGAATCCATAATATTCTAAGTACTTTCTCCAGCAATCATGATTCTATTACGCTTCTCGGGGCTTCTCGCAGAAAAAAGAGCCTTGTCAGATATATGTACGCTACGAAGAGAAAATATGTGCAACCCCTGTCAAACACCGGTACCCCAGAAACAACTCTGAAAGCAGACACTCTGGACATCAAAGCACTCATTTTGCCTATCAAGCGACTCATGACTTCCCCCGATATCGATATTCTCTTGCCTCTCTTCCCGACCACTATACAACTCCATCCTTCACCACGTCATACCAGCAGGAGCCGTCGAGAATAACTTTAAACTTCCTCGTGGGGATGTTGTTTCTCGGCAAAATCATCGTGGTGATCATTTTCGCCGTCGAATCCTTCATGTCCATCATGTTCATTGGGCCCATCAAATTCACCGGGCCCATCATGTTCACCGGGTCCATCATGAATCTCCTCATCCTCATGGCCGCCCATATCCATATCCATATCCATATCCATATCCCTCTCACCATCCTCTCCCATGCCACCCATACCGTCATCCATGCCACCCATACCATCATCCATGCCGCCCATACCATCATCCATGCCGCCCATACCGTCATCCATGCCACCCATACCACCACCACCCTCCTCAGCATCAGCGATATGGGAGCGGCCATTCTCACGCTTATTCCGCCACCAACGCCACGCAACAAAGCTTGTGGTCATCATCCACATCACCAAATTAATTGCATCAACATACACCGCATGCCGCATCCGCGTGATCTTCGACCCATCCCCAAGCTCCGAGTCCGAACTCGAGTCCGACGTCGCGTATTGGCCGATATACATCGTGCCGAAAATGATGAACATCACCAGCCACAACAAGACGATGATCGCCTCCCATACCAGCTGCGGCAGAAGGAATTCGGGCTTAGCCTTAACCCTACTCAGGCAGCAGGGCAAAAATTTGTGGACGGCGGCATCGATGGTTGCTATGGAGCCAACGGCGACAGCAAAGACCCATTTCGGGTTGGCCTGTTTCTGGTTGGAATGGTCTTTCGATACGTCTTGGCCGTAGAGACCGATGACGGTGAGACCCAGGACGAACTGGAAGAAGCGGATCAGGGATTTCAGCAGCGCGAATGACTTGCTCTTCTTGTTTCCTGGCTCGTTGGCAAAGATGTTCTTGAGGTTACTGGCCAGGTTGCCTTTCTCCGTAGTGGGAGGTGGGCCCTCGCCATCTCCAAAGTCCTCGTCTGGCGGTACATCACCACCGCCGGCCGGGCCCTTGTTCTTAGCTGAGAGTTCGCTCCAAGCAAGCTGAAGGAGTTGGCGTCCGACTGGCATTTTGGAGGTACTTTATTTGGGTCTGATCAGACCCTCAGGGACAGTATAGTCGTATATTGAGAATGGAAGTCTTCGCGACCATGCAATGAATTTCAACCGCAAGTCGGTTTAGAGGGGACTTTGCACAGCACGAAATGTCCCACGGCAATAGGCCGTAGCCTATTTATGAATAGAACTAAGGAGAAGTCAAGGATGAGAAAAAAAAAGCCTCAGATAGAAGAACGAGAAAATAAAAACTGAAGCCACTCGAGTTGGGAGGCTGTAGCCCTCAGCCAGGACAGACTATGCGAAGTCACCAGGAATCAGCGGGCTGGATGAATGAAAGAACAGAAAAAGAGTACTTGGATTTGGGACTGGACAAGCCTCTGGTCTGCGATGACCAATTAAGGAGGCAGAAACCGGCTAGTCTACGGTACATGACTGGCGCTTGAAGGTATATCAATGTTTTATAGATCCAACTCGGGAATCATGGAGCCACGCTACTCGTCTAACGCCAGAGTTCAGGAACTTTGGGCAGTCGGGAAATATGAGCAAAGCGACTGATTTTCTATTTTTGACAACCCTATGATACCATGACTCCATCCTACTTCGAAGGCTGGTGCACTCTCTGAAGGCCCGGCGGCTCGCATGGAGTGGATGTCCACCGGCCACGCTGACTCTGCTCCGCTTGGCCATACAGCACCAACGCTCACCTTGCCAGTGAAACGATCTTGACAGGAGTCGAGCTAAAATAAGCACAGGCGATCGAGGATCTGACGAACCCGAAGTGGGAGCGGTGCATGTTAAGAAGTTGGATGAGGTTTATAGGGGTGGTTCGCTTCACTTCGCGCGCGCCCAACACAACGACAAGTTGGTGTTTTTGACCTGCGGAGAACCAACCAGCATGAGGAACACGATTATAGGGGGAAACTCTGAGGATTGGAAGACCCAGTCTGGCTTGTACGAATAGACTCCCGTTTTGAGGTAGCTCAAAGTCGATTTAATTAGATTATGCACAATGCACAACTAGGTCGGGTACAACGGGGAAGTTACGCAGTCAAGGTCGACCACAACGCGGGCGCGACAGACTTGGAACGAGCACGATCTGATCTAGTTGCAGATGATATTGCAGTTATGCACATAACCCAAGACAGAGAGCTGTCCATCATTACAATTACAGAGACAGCCCGCATGGCATTGGGGGGGTGGGGGGACGGTCCAATGTCCAATGATTCGCTCGCCAACCCAAAAAAAAAATGCTGGAGGGGGAATTTCCATGATGCAAAACTCGTAACATCCAATCAATCCTCAATCCACAATGTCACTCAAACTCCTCCTACCAGACACGGATACCAGGAGGAAAAAGGCGAACAGGATGCTCACAAAACACCGCTTTCTGAGGGTGAAGCTGTCAGGCCGGTCGACTCGTCCCGGTGTCACTAGACCCAAGGGGATTCCCCATCGTGGCGGCGAGCTTGGGATGGTTGCCCCCCGGTAGGAGCGGGGGTTTAAGGTCTGTGGAAGATGCAGGATCCGGAGCCGGGATGGGCTCAGGCTCTTCATCATACTCATGACCAAGGTAATCATCCTCCGCGTGGCCAGAGCCTGTGGCTGAGGAGTGGTCCACCGAGGCGCGGTCATAGCCCTGGTGATAAGCCTGCTGCGACGAGGCGTTTTTGGAGGAGTTTTTAGGCGCCTTCTTTGTTTTCCGGCCCTTCATTTTCGCCTTTTCTAGAAGCCGTTTCTTCTCCGCGAGCCGCTTCCGCTCTTTGCGGTCCTTGATCTCATACTGCCGAATCAGCGCCTCGGGCGGATGCCCAAAAATGCTTTCATATTCACAGAATTCGCAGATCCAAATGTCTTCCAGGCTTGGAGGATGGTGGATATTGGTATACTGTTGTTGAATTTTGCGCTGGCGCGCGGCCAGAGCATAGATGCTGCCTGGGGAGCGCTTTTTCTTGCGCCCCACGGAGCCCTGTTCACCCACTTGAGAAGGCTGTGGCTGTGTCCCCATTGGAACCTGTTGGCTCATCGGGGAAGCCACATTCGGACTTGTTTGCGTTCCTTGCGTGGAAAAGCCTCGAGGATTCTGAGTGGTAGGAGCAAGAGGGGATGTTGGAGAGTGATGCGGCCCCGAATATGAATGCATCTGCATAGCCATTCCTTTCGCAGAATCCGACTCACAGGTGAAGGTGAACTGTGTCTTCGTCGGGGTGGTATTCTCTTGGTCTAGCAGACTCACATTACTAGAGCCACGACGAGACGAAAGGGTAGCGGCATTTGCAATGGCCGTGGAGATGATGCCTTGATCAGAAGGATCACCTAGAAAGGGTCAGCGTGAGTCATCATATCATTCATTGTATCGCGCTGAGACGCAGGGGAATCTGCTGGGATATATACCAGAAGGTCCCGGGGATGACATCAATCCATCCCGCCGACTTGGTGTCCGCGTGTTCATCCATGCGTTCTGAGCATTTGCAGACAACGGGTTTCGACTGGTGTTTCCGCGAGCTGTACTGCGGCCTAACCGACCTCGACCAGAACCAGATATTCCACTTCCCAACGGCGACGCAGGGTTCCCACTTCCATAATACGCACCCGTCGATGTTCCATCATTCACCGCAGTGGGTGACGAATTCGGATTCGCCAGACCCATGCTGGCGAATTCCGGGGATAAGGCTGAATGGTGACTACTCATGTTGCCCGGGGTAGGAATTTTTCGTTTCTTCTTGTTGTTTGTGTTCTCAAAAGCATCATACCCGTCTGGGCCAGCCGATGATTTTTGACTTCCTTCTTTACCGGAGAACCCTTGTGGGTGTGGGCTCGAAGCCGGTGACAATGAACCTCGAAACGCGGTGCTCCGGCGTACTACAACGGGACCATCCTCGTCTCCGCTCTCTAACTCAACCGCAGTGTCAAAGTTGTGGTGGCAGTCAGCCTCGGGGGTTAGTTCGTCGTGGTCTGTCTCGATGGTCTGCCGGGCGTAAGCTTTGGAGTGTGTGACCACCTCGTCCGTGTCTCCCAAGCCGTAGAATATCTGGGATGCCGGTGGGGTCGGAGGATAATGAATCGTATCGGCGGCATCGGTGGAAAGTCGAGAACGAAGGGTCCGCTTGGGAAGCGGCCGAATCAGGCGATCGGGGTAGACGGGGGAGGGTGTGTCAGGGGCCGAGTTCAACGTCCCGTCTACGCAAGCACACGTCACGTCAGTAACCGAGTAACCAGTAGACTGTTTTTTGGCCCGTAGAAGTTCGGAGCCAGATAGAGCCAACCTAGCCAGGTGGCCGGAACCAGGTTGAGTTCCGGTTTAGTAGACGTAGACATACTCAAAGTAGCGGTCATCATGCAAGTTCGAAGCACTTCCCCTCAGACCACAGTCGTCAAGTACGTGTGGAATGAGTGGTTGTCGGCCCGATTCCTGTTCCGTTTTCCCCCTCCACCGTTGTTGTCGCGGGTTGAGTGAGCCAGTGGTGCCAACGTTCGGATCTTGATATCGGGGGTTGGAGGAATGCCGATTCGACAAATCACTGCGTCTTCCGGGTGCGTCAGCCACAATCCACGTCGATAATAGAGACGAACAGCCAGAGATTCGGACAGGCAACTTCCGAGAGTCACCGGGGCTTTCGTCCTAACGAAGCTACCTCGGCAGTCCACAATCTTGGAGGGAGATCGAGGAACCCACAATATGTGCTATTAATCAGCACGGGCAAAACTCGGGACCAATGGAGTCTTCAGGCCAGAGCTCAAAAGAAGGACTTCGGGCTAATGGCTCTCGCAAAGCACCGAGCTGGAGAGCCAGAAGCAAAAACCAAGAGGCAGAATGACGATACGGAGGGGTTGAGATGTGAAGCGAAAGTCCAGCGAGTCACGGGAATTCGGGACGGTCGGCGCTAGCCCGATTAGGCTGACTGGGCATCCAAGCGGGAGCGCCGTCAATTCTGGGGTACTGCATTACACATCACCCTCGAGAGGAGGAGCCGGACAATGCGGAAAGAAAACATCGTTCCAGGACCAATCCCGCCCGAGTATCTCACGGGGTCGGTGGATATTGGCCGTGGTGGTTCCCAAATGGCTTTGATCCGAGCTACGTGGTCGACCGAAGCCTAAATCGTCATACCTGCATTGCCCGCAGGAGCCGAAGCCAGCGGGGAGCCCGAGAAAGAGGAGGCGTGAGCTCAAGACGGATGAGACCGAAAAAAGACATCCGTCCTGCTTTGCGGTACTCATTACTGGCAGACTTGAAGTGCGTTATCAAGCTATGCGCCATCTAGCGAGACTCATCTTGCTGGTCCAGATGGTCCGTGTACCTGCATCTTCGGTCATGAAGATACCATCGCCCGCCAGTTCCCTTGCGTAGGACGGCTCAGATTCCGCACCAGAGGCGCGCAACAGGACCTTGACGCCAATAATGTTACACCATTCTAGCATCTTATACTACAAATCCTCCCAGGTATGGGCGGAGGGGGAGGGAATCGCGGTCAAGCGATCTCGAATCTTGTCTCGAAACACATCGGAGACTCCAGGTACCAAATAGAGGTATCGAGCCCAAGTCCCCAGCCACTAGCGGGCTTCCCACACCATTACAACCCCATGGGCAGATAATTTGACTGCACAGTCAAGAGAGATGATGCTGTCTCAGGCAGATGGACTCTGTCACCACAGAGACAATCATATCCATTCTCTGCCGATTCCGTTGAGTCAAATCCCCACCCATGAGGTCGGTTTTTCCATCCTCCCTCCTTGCTGCCCACGTTGAAGTCTTGCAGTTCGGAGAAATTCACTCATAGTGTGGAGATTATGCCGAGTTCGAATCTTCGGCGATCAGAAAGGGAGAGCCTACCGGTCACCTTGCCGGTGCTTGGAAGGGAGGGGGAAGAGGAGGAGAAAGAAGGGCGTGCTGGGCTAGCGTGTTCTGGGAGACGGCAGAGGGTGTGCGCATCCTGGCTGGGGAGACACCGGCATTAATTCTCGACACAGCAGCCGATAGTCTCAAAGAAACAGTTGAACCTACCTGAAATCCATCCTGTTGTAATTGTTGTAGATCGACACCAACGAGGGGGAAGGGCGGTAAAAGGGGTCGCGCGTCGAGAGGCGTCGAGAGCGGGGAAGGACGGGCGACTGGATCTTTTGGAGTCCCGTTCCGGCGCTTTTCTCCTTCTCTTCGCCTCTGCAACCCCCGCCAACCTCACCCTTCTCGTCAGACTATGTAGTCATCGGGCTCTCCTTTGAGCCCTGTGACGCCTTGCTTCAGATCCAACTGCGATTCTCACATTGTCCTGCTCTCCTTCTGCACGAAGGAGCTCCCAATCGCGCGCCAGAGCTTCCTCGCTCCCGGTTCTGCTCGAGGCGTTTTGCTCGACAGAGTCCTTCTCACGCCCACGACCGCTCGTCGAATTCCTCCCTACTCACGCAGCCTACTCCCCTCGTTCTCCTCGGGCCCCTCCGAGGCTTGGATTCACCATCATGACCCCTCGTCGCTCTTCGCGAGCTCGCACCACTCAACCCTCTCCTGCCCTCCTCCAACATACCAACTCCTCCAGCTCCTCCGTCTCCCTAACTCGCGAGAGGAGCACCCGCTCCAATCATAAAAATCCTTCACCTCCAGACACATCGGCCCATCGCTCGCAATCCATCGACGATGGCGAAAATGGAGTGAGAACCGACCTCCCACACACGCGCCAGCGTCAGCGCGCCCGCGATGACGAAGACGACCCTCCCCGGGAAGAAGACGAGGAGGATATAGACGACGAGGAGGAAGAGGAAATCACCCGATGTCTCTGTGGGCAGCAGGAATACCCTGGACTGCCCCCCTCTCGTCGCGAAGCTCTCGGTCGCGCCATCGTCAAGCCAGAATCAGCCCAGCCATCCACAGAGCCATCCGATGTACTCCCAGATGATATTGGAAGTATGTTCATTCAATGCGACTCCTGCAAGGTATGGCAACATGGTGGCTGTGTGGGCATCATGGATGAAGAAACAAGTCCAGACGAATATTTCTGCGAAGAGTGCCGAAAGGATTTGCACCGAATTCGTGGAGAACCCAATGGGTAAGTTGAAATAATTCCTCCTGCAGACCCTTTATTTGCCATGTCTTTCTCTTCATTCTCTTTGTTGCTTGGTGATCGCTTTTGCATCCCGATTTTGTGGCTGTTCTTCCTGGGTCGCACCCTTGTGGCAACTTGACACCAAGTTTGGCTCGTCGCTTGCTAGGAAAGATGGCCTGAACACCTTCACAATGTCTCCTGGCAACTCATTTACACGCTCTCTTTCAATTCGCTTTTCCTCTAGACTATCCTCTTCTTTGGAAGGAAACACGCTAACAGCCCCGCAGTCAGCGCTCGTCAACCTACCTTCCCGTCGCTCCAGCGTCCTCGCCCGCGCCATCCTCCCGAGCCTCCTCGCGAGATACAGCCCGACGCTCCAGAGACCCCAAGTCTCGAGCTAGTGAGGGCGCATCCAACCCCAAGCGCCGATCGACTATGAATAGTCGTGACGCTGCATATGATGAAGAAGAACTAATCCGAAGAGCCATTGAAGAAAGCAAGGAAGACACGAAGAGCATCCCAGATGACACGGCCGCTCGGCGGGGTAAACGAAGTCGCAGTGAAAGTGAAACGTCCGTCTACCTCTACCCCTCGTGGTTTAGATCGCCAAATCGAAGATCGTGTGCTGACAATTGTGCCTCTACAGAAACAGACAAACCTCGAAACGCCCACGAACCACTTCTCCGTCGCCCACGGCTGTTTCAAAGCAAAGTCACCCGACTTCCCAGCCCCCCAGTGATGATGAATCGAAATCGAAGTCAGTCAATGGAACGCGGAGGCGAGCTGCCTCGCGGGGACAACGCGACAAGGAGCTTGTCAAGGAAACCGTCGAGCCAGTGGAAGCCGAAGTCCTAGAAAACGGAGCGCGTCGGAAGGAGAAACCTATCCGACGCAAAGGAGAGGGTATGTTTTTCTGTTCAAAGTTCTCCAATTGGCACTTCTTGTGCAAGTTCCCTCTGACACGTACATCCCTCAGAATCTGAAGTTGAGCCTGTTTCACCAACAAAGCCAGCTCCCCCCGAGCCTGAGCCAGCTACCCAGGCAAGCCCGGACACTCCTACGCCCCAAGAACCAACGCCTGCCCGGCCATCAACTCGCAAGTCCGGGCGTCCTCCAGCCCGACGAGGACGTGTTGGTCGCAACCAATATACAAAGGATCGCGATGTGAATGGGAACGGCACAGAGTCTCCCCGACGCGCCCAATCCCATGAGATGGGGAGTGACTCGCCCCGCGTCGGATATATGGGAATTAATGGTACACACATCAACGGCGGAGAGACCGGGCGGCCGAGCAAGCCTCGGCACATGCACCCGCAGCGTACGACAATGAACGAGATGAAGCGCCGTGTAGCCGCCATCCTTGAATTCATTTCACGAATGCAGGTAGAGATGGCTGTCGCCAGCGAGAACTCATCCACGCCTACTGGCAATGGAGACCGCGCGCAGGGCCTGCTTCTGAAAAGCATGGTGGATCAGATCGACAACGCCATGGCATCTGCGGCCAGCGATGGTGGCGAGTCGGCGGCGCCCACAACAGACGGTGATGGCGACGCGCCTTCTGCAGAGAAGGACTTTAAGGAACTCAGCAGCGTGGAGATGATGGACGTGCTTACTCGGCATCTGCTCAAGTGGCAGCAGGAGTACGGCAAGTTCGGCGAGCGGTAGCATTCCACCAGCCGTGCCACTGGGCCAGCAGTCCCGTTGGGCCATTCTTTTCACCCCCTCGGATGGATCACTCTCTCCATTCGCTCTTTCCGCCTTCCTATACTTCTCAATCCAACGATACCCCTGTTTCAACATCATCCCATCTCATATCATCTCATCAGTTGACCATCCTTCTCATCTTCGCGCTTCGTCTCCCGTTGTACATTAGATCTGTGTCTCATCTGAGCCGGTAATGCTTATTGGCGTTCTTTGCTCTTTTCGTTCACCACACCGGCGTCCTGAATCATACTTTATAACTATCATATGGCAGTGGCAGGGGAAAACACACCTCGAGGCCGCGGTAGACGGCCCGTCTGGCTAATCCTCTATATCATCTCTACCTGTTACTATCTTGCGTCTTCTGGAATCGGATTCAGTTTTTTTCCCTCTTCTTTTGTTTCTCATTTTCGCACTTTCTCTTTTCCTCTCATCCCCCGCCCAGTTTCATTGCACCCGTTTACGAACTACTTCCTGCTCTGTTGAGGTGATCATCTCTCCCCCCTCTGCTACAGGGCTGGCATGGCCAGTATGATTGAAGGGTCTCTATTCAACCCGCAATCCCAGTACCACTCTAACCCGAGCTTGGGATCTCATGTTCTTTTGCCTACGTTTGTTTTTTGTTTCTCTTCCGCCTTGGTTTTCCTTGTCTATTGCTGGCTCCGTGTTCGATTCGTTATGTCTGTCTGCTCGTGGTTCTGGTGCTTCCTTGGAGGTTCGGTGTTCTGGTGGGAAAATGACGGTCTTTTATATATGCATGAATCTCTTGTGTCCAGAAATCTCTCTTCTGCGCTCGTGAGCTCAATGTCATTACTCTTCCGTGAATATATCTTATATACCGTAAATTTAATCGGTGTAGCTGGGCACATTCTTGGTATAGTTATGCTAAGTCAGTAGAGGAAATAGTTTTATTCCTATCATCGGGAACCATGGAAGTGCAAGGGGTCAAGTGGATATTGCCCGCCGGGTGGGGGTAGCTTTATATATATTTCGGAATATACATACGTAGTCCCATCGGCAGGTAAATTACGTGCCCCAGACAGTAAACTACCTAATTTAGTTTGAAGCATATTCACCTCATAGTTCAAAGGTCAAATAGCAGGTTCCTAGTACTAGAGTAGAGCTAAGGCTGGCACGGCCATTGGTAGAGAGCGAAGGTGGCGGAAGTGCTACTGTCTGCGCATCCAGGCACCACAAGATACACAAATTTTCACAAGACTGACTCTCAAGGCTTCACCCACTACCAAAAACAAGTACAGCAGGCATCTTTGACCTTGCTACTTTACGAGACTGAAGCATTGATACAGAATTCATTGCCCTGATTCATTGACATTATGATCGTTTTAAGTACACGGGGAAACGCCGGAGCGAGCCGACGACGAACAAGATACAGGGGATAATCGAATCAGATTTTCACCAGAGGCAAAGCACAAATAAATCACAACCGTCATATGGAAGAGGATCGTCAGACAAAGGAAAGAAACATTTAAATAAAATCACACAAAGGAAGATTCATCACGCCATGGCATAGACATCGATGACCAACAAGTACCGCCAGTCCAACCCGATCGAGGAATGACAGGATACGGCCCTGGGCCAATCAAAGTCCAGTCATGTTAACCCATGGTTCCCATCAAAGGTCTAAAAGGGGAAGTGTCCCGACAACTGTCCCAAGAAGCCAAATCGCCAAAAAAGGAGCAATTGATTTACAGGCGGGAGCCGTGGATGACCTTGAAGTCGACAACGAGCTCACGGCCACCGTCGTTGATGACGAGGGCGCGGACGGAGCCACGGCCGTCGGCGAAGGCATCGCGGATGCGCTTGAAAAGGTGGCCCTGGGAGATGACGGGAAGACCCTGCTTGACATCGCCAGTCTCGGTCATGGCAACCAGCTTGCCGTCATCGCGCAGGTCCAGGATGCGGTAGGTCTTGTAGACGGGACCAAGCATGGTCTGGACGACAACGGAGGGGGAGGGGTTGGAGACGAAGCTCGACTCCTCCTGCAGCTGGCGGGTGAACAGGTCGACACCGAGGTAACGGTGCTGGCCGGTCTGGGGGGAGACCGAGATGCGGATGACCTGGCAGGGACGGCCCTGGAGGATGAGGATGTCACCAATGCGGATGAAGTGGCAGGGAATGGGGACGTTCTCGCCAGCGGTACCGCGGTTGCGGGGCTCGACGATGCGGACCTCCTCGCGGACACCGTCGCTGAAGCGGGCGGGACCACGCTCGTCGCTCACGACGACCTCCTCACGGTCATGGTGGTGGAGGGGGTGGAGGATGCGGTCGGCAGCACGCTCGACACCGCGGCGGAAGGAGTGGTAGTGACCCTCGTCGTCGTAGTAACCCATCTTGCGAGAGGCAGGAGCTGAGTCACGAACAATGGTTTGAGAGACCTTGACGTCGGAGGGGGCGTAACGGGAGGAAGAAGGCTGCTGGAGCTCGACCTCGCGACGGGAGTAGTCCTGCTGGTAGGCAGAAGCGGGCTGGGGCTGGTAGGTACGGTCGTACGAAACGTCGACGGACTGAGCCGGCTGGTAGTCGTACGCGGTGTCTACGGGCTGCGTGTAGCGACGGTCGTAAGAGACGTCGACTTCGTATGCAGGAGAGGTCCGGCGACGGTACTCTCTCTCGGTGACGTCGAGCTGGTTCTCGACGACCTGATCGTAGACTTGAGGGGGCTGGTCCTGGAAACGGGCAGCCGACTCGCGGTAGTTGGGATAGCTATTAAAAGAAAAAGAGAATCAAAATCAGCCCAATTGCTCCACGAAGAAAGTCCGGAGAGATGTAAACATATAAACAAAAAGAAAACACGAGCTCCGTCACCGCTCATTGGGGGGAGTGGAGCCCCCTAAGTGTATTGGGCGTGACACGTAATTTAGTCTGGGACTAAATCCGTAACCGCTCTAGACCGGGATGGGACATCCGACCTGCAAATAGTGGCGTCTTTTTGCAGCGGCTCCACTGCCAACACCGAGCGAACGAGGGAGCTCCAGAGCGAGTGGATTTCCCCGACTACTGGAGCGGGTCCTCGCTCGCTGGGCTGGCTGGCTCTTCCCCAGCCCCCGTTCGCGAGCACGACGAAAACAAAGCATGGACAAAATCAAAACAAGAGACGAGACATACCGTTCACGGGTTAGGTCAACCTCGGCAGCGGTGTACTGACGGTCAACACGCGGGGCGTACTGGGCAGTCGCGGTGCGATCTTCCTGCTGGATGCGGAAATCGACTTCTTCCTTTCCGTAGACACGAGGGTCGGGGAGAGGGGCAGCGACTCGAGTATCTTCCCGTTCGACGCGCGAAGTGCGATCGAGTTGAACTTCTCCCTCTACTCTCGTGTGAGTAGTTTCAGAGACAGCGTCACTCCGGTACGACGACGGGAAGACACTGAAGGGGATAGGGACGCGGGCGTCAAAGTCCAGATTGACTGACTTTGCGGCGTCTCTTCTCGAATGCCTTTCGAACTGTTATGAAACAACTCGAAAGGCTAGACAAGAAAAGACTTGACTGGGGAATAAGTCTTTCTCGGGGAGAAGATGAGAAGTGAGAGGATCGACGATCGAAGCTCTCGGGTAGTAGATGGGAGGAATGTAAAGTAACTCGTGGGAGTTTGGGGAATTGAAGAATGGAAAGGAAGACTGGAGGAATGGAAGATTGGAAGAGGATGAGGAATGGAAGAAGGAAGGAGGTCGGAGGACGGGGAAACGCCGTGCGGGTTTATTTATCGTTTCGCTGCTTTGGAAGGAAACGCTGTTTATTACGCTGAGTCAGGTTGTTTGTTTACCGGCCCGATCGAGCGATCGCCCGAGGTTCGTTCGCGCGAGGCCTCTACCTCCCCTTCTGATCATCGTTGTCGTCTTCTTCATGGTTCAATCGGCTAGATAGGGGGTCTAGCGCCTGGTGTTTTCTCTCTTTACTGGAAAGCGGTTGCTAGGGAGAATTGGACCTGCGCCTGGGGACACACCTCGGCTTGACTACTCTTTGGCATCTGGGCGACGACACGACGGATTGGAGCACTCGAGGGACTCCACCTCCTCTTATGATTTGCCTGCGGTGAGCTATCTGCAGTATGGGACTCTGTATGCTGGTATGTATTTATGATAATTGATAGAATGATATTCTTTTCTCTCGGATCCCTGCACAAGACTCTCCACTCGCCCCAGACCCTGATCTCTGCCTTAATCACGCCCGATCGGAATTCCACCTGTGGTACGGATCACCGAGTACAGAATACGGTGTATCGGCAATGGATACCACTGTACGGAGGACAAAGTTCCGTTGGAGGATGCGCCCATGCATGGCGACTCCATCGCGATGCCATCCACCAGGAGAACCAGCCTCCGCGCGGTCGCCTGGTCGGTCCATTGGGCCTTGTTCGATCTGAGCTTGCTTCTTTCACATGGGGCTGGCCCACCTCCCCCATGGTAACCTAGGCGGTACCGCCCAGTATTGCCATGGCAACCGCACGGGTCCGCGGGTCGAATCGGATATCGGGGCCGCCGATCGTGGCGGATCCACCGGGAACCGTGGTGTTATGATGATGATGTGTTTGCTGTGTGGGATTGGGGGGAAGGATTGACTGGCATTACAGTTCGAAAGATTTATGGAGGACTGCTCGAGATATGATCAGGGCAAAGTCCATCGGCATAGGGGTGGATTGATGTCTCGAATTTCCTTTTCCATCCTCGCAACAGCAGGGACGGACCCGTTCACTCCGTGAAGGCGAACAAGACCGTATCGTCAATACACCAAGGCCGCATACGGATTATTGAGTCGTGATTGAGACCCCCATTGGCCAAAAATTGGGAGCTGTGAAGAGGTGGAGCTCGACCAACGCCATCTCAAAAGTACGGAGAATGACTGTGCCTCTCTCGCGCTCTCCCGGTTCCCAACTTGCCCCTGTCTCGATCAGTGCGGGAAGGCCTCCCCATGAGGACCTGAGAATCGTCCCTTCCAGCCACTCTTTTCCCCCCAATTAACCCACCACGCTCAATGTCTCTCGACGAGACACATGAGGCATCAACCAGCTTTCTTAGCTCAGGTCTCAGTGCCAGCGAAAATGGGGCGGCATGCAGGCGTCTAGACTGATCGAATGGAGGTCGAGAGCGGTATGGCTGCTGTACGGCTGCAGTACGATAAATACCGAGGCTGGGGCAGAGACACGGGGGGACACGTCGAGAGCTGAAAAAAACCGGTCCAAAGTGGTTGGGTTGCTAGGCGGCTCCACTTCGCACATCATCATTGCTGGGCCTCTGGAACGGAGGAGCAGGCGCACGGGTACGTTGAGGTGGTTGGTGACTTTGCGTCGGTCGCCATCTGTGGCGGATGGAGTCCTCCATATCGAAGTAGTCAGTTATGAGTAGTGTGTAGTGAGACAAAAGGTAGGTGACCTTACAATTAATACTTCGTACTCTGTACTATGCACACTCCACATACGTAGCAAGGGTTGAGTACCGGTGGAGCAGACTGTGCGAGGACCGCGAGATGCACACACCACCAGTAGAGTATCTGGACACACTATGAGCATCTGCACTGCTGAAAGGATGTACAGGCTGCAAAACTTGGTGATTGGGGCTGGTAGACCGGATCAGGGGGGTGAGGCGTCATCGTGCTCATTTCTTTACAGCATCGGGCTCCGCTGCAGGCAGTCGTGGTATACGCAATCGAGGGGGAAAGACCCACGGTCAGGGATAAGGATAACTCCAAATTAGAGAAGTCCATTATCACTACTCCGTATTCTGTGCAGAAGAAACAACGGAAGATTGTGTACGCGCACGAGGGAGAGTGGTAAAGAAAGAACGATGAATAAGAAAGGCAGTCACCTCCGATTTCCAGGAGGGACCCCATCCAACCTCACGGGATTGATTTCAAAACTACAGTATGTCTATGAAAACAGCTGTCTAGAACAAGGGGAGAGATCCAGAAAGAAGAAGAGCGCCCTGCGGCACTTGTATGGGTCCACGGACATCATCAACGAGGGACAAATCGTACACGAATTGCAAGATCCAAAAAGGGGAAATAAACGAGGGTATCAAATATATATCAAGGGAAAGTAGATGGGTACTTCCTCTTATCCATCTCCAAGAAGAAAAAGAAGAAAGAAAAAAAAGTTGAAAAAGGAAGACCACGCAATCACCAACGCACGACAGTGCTGGGGAGGAGACAAAGCAGATTGGACGTGCTGTCAACCCTATCCTCCCCACCATCTCCACAAAAAGGCCAGATAAGACAGAGGGGAAGGGGAGGAATGAAGGGAAATGGTAATAACAAGAGGGGCAGTCGTGGATAGGACACCAAGTGACGTGGGAGGCGTATATCAGTCATTAAAGATTAGATCCACTCCGAAAATAGGAACATCCACACCCGTTGCCATCGCGCAAGGGCGAACCGCAAGATCAATATTGAAAAGGGAAGGTCGAGGAACCCCACATCAAAAAAAAATGACAGAGAATGAAAATAGAAGGAAGGGAAGGGAGGGCATTAAAACGTATAAGACGGATTGGGCTCTTGATGCATCGTAAAAATAAAGACAGGGATCTGGTAGCTTAGGTCATGGGTTACGCTCGTAGTCCAAATGCCTTTCGCAGAAGAGGGAATCGTTTCTTGCGTCCAGAGCCGGCAATTACCACATCGCGCGCCGAGACATTCGGCTCTTCGGCCGTAGTGCTAGTGATATCGGAAGCAGCGTCATTGATATCTTGTCCGGGTTCAGCGGTCTGAAGAGAATGGCGTTCTTTGATAGCGGCGACCATCCCAGACGCACCGGCTCCGTTAATGGCGGCGCTTCCATTGCGCTCAGTGTTCTCAGCAGGCGCCTCTGGCTTGGTAGTCTGCAGAGGCGACGTGGGGAGGCACTGGCTGTGCTCAGGGATTGGCTCGGAAGCGTCGATCCTAGGCTCAGGCTGGAGCGGCCAATGGTCACCACCGCCGGGCTGCCGCTTAGAGAGGCGCTTCACCAGTCTCGATGGCGAGGCTGGCTCAGGCGAGCCAGCCGTCACAGTGGTCACCACACCACGGTTCCCATTTAAGGAAGGCTCCTCTCGTAGTTGTTCACGTTCAAATCGCGAGCGTTCCAGTGGCGTATCCCGTCGGGAAGGGCTTTCGACATCCGCTTTGCGAATTCGGTTGTCAGAGTTCTTGGCCTTCTTGATACCGAGGCGGGTAAGTAGTCCTGGTTTACGACCACGAGGGGGCTGCATCAAAAACTCCTCTAGCTCTCGTTGGCTCATGCCGCGCTGTCGAGCCACAGCAGCGAAGCCCGACATGTTTGGCGCATTCTTGTCGCGAGAAGCTGGCGGAGTGCGATTAGGGAGTGGTGCAGCCACCACTGGGGCCCGCTGGTGGCGATCTTCTTCAGAGCTGTCTTCTAGCTCAGTCGAATCTCCATCGTGAGCTCCCCTGCGGCGGGGGATACCACGAACAGGGCGCATGGAATTGTCGCCCGCTTCCTCATCACTCGAGTCTGCAAAGCGGCTACGAAAGATCTGCGGCTGGGCTTCATCGCCTTCTCCATCTGAATCTGCGAACCTCGAAGGTCGCATGGACTTGGGAGGGGCTTTAGTGAACCGAGCACGAGGCGCCTTCTTGTTTGTGGAGAAAAATGAATATCGATCTCCTTCTCCGCCAGGGCCTCGAAGTGTCTTTCGCATGGTACCCGTACCCATTCCTGAATCCGCTGAAAGGGGACGGCGTTCAGTAGGAGAGTCTGTGTGTTCCGAGGGAATACGAGTGTTGATCGGACTGACACGCATGGTTCGGCGCATGGAAATCGGACCGTCACCACGAGTAGAGTTGCTCGCGCGTTTGAAGCTGCTCGAGGAATCGCTGCCATTTGATGTGGTCCGGCGAAGGGAGCTTGGGAACCCAGCAGATCCACCACCACTGTTTCCTCTCATCTGGAAGGCGGGGCCAAGAGAAACGGGGCGTGCATTGGGTTTCCCAGATTTAGGAGAACAGGAATTACTAGAAAACCGGGAATCTTGCATGTCAGAGGTACCATGAGCATCCACAGACATAGGACGTTTTTGCCTGTTGATTTCTGACTGTGTAATACCATTCTGCAATGTTGAAGGTGCAATCTTCGACCTGATGGGCATGGGTGGGTAGCGAGAGTCGAACCCAGTATGAACGGCAGGTGAAACAGGAGAATTTTCCGCCTGACGATCAACGGATTCCTGAGTGGGCGTAAGGGAGCGAGCTTCGTCGAAGGCCTGATCTGTAATATCTCGTGATTGGCCGTCAACAGCCGCAATTCGACCCGACGCTTTGGGAGTGGTGTCGCGACTCTCACTCGAGGCTCCTAGGGTCCCTGTAGATCGAGGGGTGGACCGGCTATCAACAATGGCATTGATCGAACCAAATCCGTCTCCGTCGAAGTCTTCTGGGGCATCACTGTAGACACTGTCCCCGGACTCGCCCTCAGTATCCACGTCATCAAGCTTGGGAACGGCACTTGCCACAGGCTGTGCCATCTGTGTAGAATTCGCAGACGCAGAAGCCCTCAAATTGCGGTCAGAGCCTGAAGCTGGGAAGCCTCCAGGAATGTGATACTGTTCGAGACTTGACCGGCTTGATCGCTGCTCAAAGCTTGGTCGATCACTGTCAACCGGTGGCGTAGCTGGCTCCACGGCAATGGACGGTGGGGGTAGCGTTGCGTTGACACCAGCCAAGGGTCGCTGCTCCGCCAAGCCCCCGATAGCGACACCGTCAACCTTGACGCCCGAAGCAGACTTTTCTTGAGACAGAGACGGCTTGCCAATGACGGAAAGCTGTTCAACAGATTTAACATCATGTGGCTGCTGGGTCTCTTTAGCTTGAACCTTAGGGAGGAGTCCGCCCAGGGCATGATCGTTTGAAAACGAGGTCCCCGCCGTTACCACCCCTTGATCCTCTGAAGAGGTAGTTGATTCATTATCACTGAATTCTGGAATCGGAGGAGCATGGCTAGCGCCATCTCTGTTTGCTCGTACACTTCCAAATGATGGTAGGGCGGGTCGGGGCTTCATGACCTCGTCGAAATCATCATCGCCCGTTGAGAAGTCCAACGGCGAGGTCTTCTTCCTGCCGACACCAAGCCAGCTCATACGAGACTTGGGTTTGCTTGGAGGGGATTCGGGCAAATAGTCCTCCGGGGACGTGGGAGGACTAGCTGCGACGCCAACAATTTCGGCCTCATCATCAAAGCTCACCTTGACAGGTCGCTTTCTGACACCAACCCGAGCCCCTTCATCCGAAGCCACCGAGGTGCCATCAGATATCTCGCTAGCGGGATGGATAACCCGACCAGCGACGTTGACATTCCGATCCGGTGATAGCGAGTTTCCACGAGGATGCTTCATTGCAGACTTGACTGGCGACACTGACCTTGGAGGAGGCTCGTGGACTTGATCTCCAGCTGCAGTGACAGAAAGCCATTTGGCAAAACGGGCCGAGCGGCCGGGACTGTTGGACTGGCGCAGATGGGCATCTTGTTGCTGTGGTGTGTGCTGTCTCTCGGCCTTGGGAGATGGCTGAGGGGATGGCTGTGGAGTTGACAGAGTATCGTCACGATCAATTGCCGGAGAGGCACCTGGCAATCTCGGGCCGGTAACAATGGGCGTGTTGAGACCCACCTCCTCTGGTTCCTGCTCCTCGGGGACGGTGGACGGCCATCGCTCAAGAACGGGTCGTGAAGCCGGATGTTCAGCCTCTGAACCAGCTACAGCGGTTGATGCAGGTGCGCGATCAGCACGGGATGCGGTTGGGCTGGTCACCGATGCTTCGTGGTCGACCCGTTCGGCCCTTGCATGAGTAGGGTCCGCTCCGGGACCACCCTTCAGCATGCTGACAGCTTGGGCTGCCGCGACCGCATTGCCAACTGTATTCATCGAATGGCTCCCCTCCGCAATCTCCGTTCCCTGTCTCCTCTGTCCAACGTTCACCGGGTGTTCTGAGATGGTCTGCTGGGGGCTGGGGGCTTTCGGCGATGAAACATCCTGATCCGCAGCAGCATTCAAGCTCATCGGCTGACTCTCTGTCGCCAACGTCGGGGAGTTCGGCCGCGCGCCTCGGGGGTATGAAAAATTGACTGAGCTCCGACTGGATGGCCGATCCGATTCTGGCACCGTACTCAAGCTGCTAACGCGGTGGTGTGTTGTGGGTGATATTGAGGCTCCTCCTTCTAGCCCGCGATCTACATTTGTCCAGCCTGCGCCTGAACGGGGCGGGGATGTCGGGGATGATCGTATTGAAGGCTCCATGCTTGCCGCCCGTCGATTCGGTGTCCGTCTCGATGCATACTGAGACGGCAACGATGGTAACGGGGGAACATTCACGGGGCTGTTCCCGGGTCGATCGACAGGGCCGGAGCTGGTAGAGGGGCGATGAGGGGACGGTTCACGAAAAGTCCTTGCGGTCATCGAGCTTGAGCTGTTTGTCCGGCGTAGGGGGCCGCTCACACTTGCGGAGCGACGACCGGCTGCTGGATTGACGGTCGACTGCGTCGAGGCCCGCCGCTGGACCATTCGCTTTGTCTGGACATTTTCGATGGGGGTCGGGGTGGGTGTGAGATTGCGCAAAGCGGCAGCCGCGGCAGCTGAAGAGAGGCTACTCGAGGAGGGTTGAGATTTCAGGAAAGCATGGCTGGCTGCAGACTGTGCCGATTGCGATGCGGATGTGGAGAGTGGCTAGAAGCGAGCAGGTCAATGGTCAGCGTACAGTCCAGCCGTCATAGTATTTCAATGCCTATCGGCAGAGGGTTGAAAACCGAAAGAGCTGAAATCACAGTGGAGACATACCTGGTGATGGGAAGAGCTTCGCTTGCGCCGACTGAACATGATTGCTCAGGCCCGAGCTGAGCGGGATAAGAGCAGGAAGGATCGGATAGCCGACCGGACACTGCGTTGAGCAGCGCCGGGGTTGGTCCGAGGAAAAAATGGACAACTCGGAGATGATGGGTGTCGCAGCGGGACTAAAAAAGATGAGAGGATGATGCGACGCGCAGCAGCTATGGAAGGATAGAAATTAGGCGGGACCCGAGGAGAAAAGACCGAACAGGGCGTATGCAATGGGAGGGAGTAGCAAAAGAAGGAATGACAGTCAGTCAGTGAGCAAGAATAGGACCGGGATGTTGAATGGAGGTGGGGGGTGAGGGAGGTTCGAGGTCTGAAGAAATCTTGGTAATGTTACATGCGCAGAGAAGGTGAGGTTCGGGAAGGAGGAAACTTGCGTCATGACTGGGAAACTCGGGAGGAGAACGTGCGCCCAACCACCGTTCAGGAAGCTGGTACCACCGGCCCGCGCAAGGTACAGTCCGATCTCCGCCACCCTGTTTACCTATTTACCTCTTTACCTATTTACGGGCTATAGTTGACGGATGATTGGTTGTCGATGATTTGGAGCCAGCATCTGCTATTACGGCATATTCTGCGAGGACCACCGGCCCAGACCCAATACCGCGTTTCTAACTCGAAATCCTCGGTGCGAAGGAGCCTAGGCGTAGGCTGATATTTCCCTCGAATCAGCGTCCTATAAAAACGATGTTCCGTTCCTCGGATCCTTAGATCCCTCCCCTGGCTTCTATCAAGGGCCACCCTTAGATACTGATTTCCTTTGCCCCGATCACCTTGGAAAGGGTCATGCAGCCTGCATTATCATGGCCCTGGATACCACGCCCTCGCCGCTGCCTTTTCCCAACAGTGACTTGAGTCGGCATGTCTCAACCCGTGAGCTGACCGCTGGTACGCGATATCATGAAGCTCATACATATATTGGGATACCGATCTGTCTAATGAGTCGCTGGACACAAGTGCGGTGCCATTACGGCCGCCATCTGCGCCTTGATACGCCCAGAATTTTTCTATGTAGTGGTCCTGATGAGCTATCCCTTTAGCGGTAGCCCAGTCCTCCTCTTCACCTATTACGGAAGGTAAGGTAGAAGATGTGAAGGTGACCATTGTTCTTAGAAATCCGGTGGCTGGTGGTAATAGGCGCTGATCATCCGGTGATCCTGTCTATTGATCATACCGCATTGAAAAGCCTGTTCGGCCCAAACTCGGACGCTTCTCTGTGCGCATGCTCTTGGGCCAGAGGCATTGCCCAGTAACCATTTTCTGCATCCGCCCTGAACAAGACTATCCATTTCGTCTATTCCCTCATATTGATGATAGGCTCAATCCGCCTCGTTGGGTAGTTGAATCCCACCGCGGCTACATTCAATTGGATCAACTCGTAAACCATTCGCAAATTCGTCTTAACCTTGAATGATGATATGCACTGCTGAATGATAGTTGCCTCTATGGCATTGGTAGGTCTTCTCCCTGCCATGTGTCTTCTTCCGCGGTGTAGCGGCACAGCTTTGGGGGACGAGACAACCTCCTAGCTAGCTTCGCCGACACACCCCAAGCTCCCGCACCCCCGAACGGCCCTTCACCACTCCCTTGAAGCCACACAATCTGGCTAAGAAACGACGAGGAAGCCCAGCGAGCCATACAGCCAGCAAACGAGGCACTGACATGACTAGCTGCACCACTTCCAGAATAAAGTTTCCACGTCTTTCATTTTTCCGCATCGAGACGATTGCTAGGGACTGAAGTCGTGCTGGCGCCCGGAGTACTAGGGCCTGGGGTGGACCGCAGCCACTTAGCCGTGGGGGTTTCGGTCCACGGCCGGTCACGTCGCTTGACGCAAGAGTGGCCCGGGGTGCTAGGCGCGGTTTGGTTTCGGGTCCAGCGATTGGTTGAGCGACGCTGGGAGTAGGAGGTGTTGGACGTCTGGGACCTGCCATATAGGCCGAGATCATCGACCTTGCTCATCGTCGCGCGGCCTGCGCACAGAGGGGGTTCTTGGAGGCCGAGCATGTCCTGCAGGAGACGCCCAGCGAGCCGCTGGATCTCCGCCTCTTCCTCGGAACGGGTGTTCTGGCCATCACCGCCATCGCCAACACCGCCATCACCAGTGCCACCATTGCCGCCATCACCGCCATTGCCGCCAGTCTGCTGCGCAGGAGAAGCTGCCGGGCCCTGCGCGGTAGGCTGCCCTGGGGCTGCCGGGGTCTGCTTGCTCTGCTTGCTCTGCGCGGCCTGTGCGGCCTGCGCGGAAATACGCTCAGAGAGGGCGTCGTGGAACTGGGCGGCTACCTGTGATAGAACCTTCGTGGTGTTGTTGTATTATACCCAGCGCTGGATTGTGTGGTCCTGGAAGAGGACCCAGGCCCGCTGCGGAGCGGTCTGTCCTAGTCGGTGGATACGACCGATGGTCTGGAAGAGGGAGTTGAAGTTCAGTGCACAGTTACCCTCCAAACCAGTTCATCTGACCTACTTGGTCATAAACCGCACCTTCCTAGCTAGCTTAGAAGATAACTGAATAGGATCCAAATCACGATATATCGGAATTCGGTGGACAGTGAATTTGGTTGCTAGCATCTCTCTCACATCTAGGACAAACAGGCCTCTCCACGCATAGAGAAGCCGGGTATCAAGGCATGCGATACGGAAGACGTCGTCGTTGCGACAGATGATAGTCGCTACGAAATATGAAGTAGGTGCTGACTAATGATAATGTGACACCTTTCGGGATTAAGTATCAGCACTCGAGCCCGGGATAGATCGGTGGTAGTAGAATGCCTTGGCAGCGAGTTCCCTCCTTCTATACAGAGTTACTAACAGGTTGTCATATAAAGTATGCTAGCAAACCTACTTTGCGAATACTACCATAATAAAGATAGTGAAGAGAAAGCTAAAAGTAATATGAATAGTACTATAGTCTACTACGTTGTAGAGTTTCCTACTAAAGTAAGCATATACTATATCTTAAATAGGAAATATCTTTATTCCTAAGGTATTTATATAAACTTTACTTTCACCTTACTTTCACCTTACTTTCACCTTACTTTCACCTTACTTTCACCTTACTTTCACCTTCCTTAAAACTGACTTTACTTCACCTTCTTTCTTATTAACTTAGTAATTTCCTCTCCTCTATTCTTCTCTAGGGTATTAATATATTATCACCTTCTGTTGCTATTCAACCGATGATACAATAGCTTTAGTTTATCATGACCTCCTTCTAAGGGAATAAAGGAACACCTTTACATCTACCCAGGTTCCTACTTGCACCACCTTCAATATTAAAACTCTTTCTTTCTCTCCTCCCTTTATTATACCATATACTATGAAGCTGTGATAGCAAAACGAAATAGCGTTATACTCATATTTTTGACTATACTTTTCTCATCTATATAGGGTCTTTTAAGGGTTTCAACGCTTTTTCATATTCACTGCTTCAACTACTTCTCATAGAAAGTCTTGCCTTGACTTTTTAAGAGCCGCATTTAGCAATAGCAGCAGCACTTGAAAGAATTCACCTTATCAGACATTTATCAACATCAGCTACTGGAGTGCCTACTATAGCAAACCTAGTTCCTACAGCCAAATGAATTCCACTCAGTTCGCTGGCTAGAGGATATCCCGATTTGACACGGACGTGAAAGATATTTCCGACCGGTTTCCGCGAGACCACGCAGTTGCATACTGCTAAATTGTTCAATATATTCAAGGGCCAAAACATTCAGCTTAGCTAAGAAGACAAAGTTGTAGACAGAGTACACGGCGGCGCTATAGAAATTGAATGTGTTATAGAGTCATCCCGAGCGAATGGTTCCTCGCCTCTCTCTATCCGCCACCGATTCGTCGCCTCTAGCGCTCCCGGTAACCCGTTAAACAGCCACCCCCACTTCCTTATAAACCCTTCCGACATCTCCCACCCCGAGATATCCCAGGGTGGTGACCACGCAATGATGCCGCGTCGCTCAATCTCGTCGTCGGGAAAGCCCTCGAACAGCCCACCAATGCAGTCGGCCCACAGATCGTCCTCATCAAAGGTGCCGGCCGCCCGGATCAGGCGATCTCGTCCCTCGGGACATGGGAAAACGTCGATCCAGTCGCCGTGCGGCACCGTCTGCTGAAGGGCAGTGGGTAGCAATTTTGGTGGGAGTAGCTCGGGCTTGGTCGGGTAGGGGATAATGTGGATTTTTTCCTCAGCACAGTCAAGCGGAGTGGTAAGGATGCCCGAGACGAGGGTACGATTGACAGCCAGGGCGCGGAGGGCATTAAGTTGAAGTAAGGTGATGAGGTGATCTGGACACAGAGGAAATACCATGTTGAATTGCTCTTTTTGAGATTGCTTGGATCTTTCTAGTAGCAAGGGCTTTCTCGCGTTGTATTGTTGCTGGATTCGGCGTGCGGGGACGATGGAGACTGATTCTTGCTCCATGTCCCAGCAGTCTACCCACGCCTCTGGTTTGATTGCTACCTCGCTTGGGGTGCCAGATGATTCGGCTTTCTTTGCTAAGGCCTTGCGTTTTCCTAATGGCCTATTAGATTATACAGGCTGGGGCGATGAAAGAGAGAACACGGCTAAAGCTTACGATATGCCCTTGTGTTGAGTCTTGTTTGTGCTCGTCTGCGTGCTGCAGCATCCTTAACCCCGGTCCAATCATCTTCCTCCCTTATTGCCTGTGTACAGTGAGTCAATCATGTTATTGTGCTGATTGAAAGCTTAGGGGGTTACGCACCTCCGCTAACTGTGGCATCGACGTGAGCTGGATGCAGAATGCGGTGGATTTGACAGGCTGAGATGTCCTCATCGTGATACTTGTGGGGGGGAATTATGAATTTCGCAGGTGTTTTCAACGCGGGTAGTAGTGTATGCAGCCTGCTCACATTTACGATCGGGGACCGGAGGAACTGATATGTCTTTGCTTACATTGAGGCGCAATTCGGGCCTTTAGTAAGATGGCCCTTCCTGATCACGACGGGTCTCACTTGTCTCACTTGGGTCTAGCGTCATGCACCCTGCTCACATTCTCCACTTTAAGCTCGAAGTCTCGCTGTTCAACGCATGTTTTCCTATTTTGGACGATGATGCTAACCTCTAGCACCATGCAGCTGGCTCACGGTATCTAAAGTCCGGAGGTCTTCTATGAGCCTTGAAGGATCTCGGGGATAAAGAAGAGACTATATAAAAAGCACCTTAGCCACACCTAGATATCAAATTTCATTCATATCATCAAAACTCTGGAGCTCTGTGACTATTGTATACCTCTGTCACCCATTGACTCCAATACTCGTGCCTTGTGACTAGCGACTATGGCGTTCCATCCCAATACACTTCCCAATCTCCAGGGCAAAGTCTTCATAGTAACCGGTGGGAATTCCGGCATGTCAGTCTCCCCTCCATCCTCTCTTCATTGAAGTCCTAAATTGCTAATTTCCGTCAATTCCACAGCGGCTACCATACCGTCGCCCATTTGGCTGAACATGGCGCCCACGTCTACCTATGCGCTCGATCCTCCAAGAAGGGCACGGCTGCCATCGCCAACATCAAGAAAATACACCCTAATGCCAACATCGACCTCCTACAAATGGACCACACGGACCTTGCCAGCGTCGTCACAGCCGCCCAGCACATCTTGACCCGCGAACCAGCCCTCCACGGGCTCGTCAACAACGCCGGCATCATGGCGACCCCTTTCGTGCTGACCAAAGACGGCCACGAGGCCCAGTGGCAGACCAATTACCTCGCCCACTGGGTGTTGACGGCCCACCTGCTGCCACTGCTGCAACGGACCGCCCAGACACTTCCGCCCGGAAGCGTGCGCATCGTCAACCTCAGTTCATCGGGCCACTTGGCCGCGCCCAAGGGTGGCATTAATTTCCCGGACCTCTCGCTCAATGCACGCAGCCCGTGGGCGCGGTATGGACAGAGCAAGCTCGCCAACATCCTGCACACTCAGACACTACACAGGATGTACGGGCCCGGCTCGCTCGGCGCGCGGAACGGGGAGGGCGAGATCTGGGTATCGTCCGTGCATCCGGGAATGGTCGAGACGAACCTGGCCTCGGCGCTGCAGGAGTCGGAGTCGGGGCTGGGCATGACGAGTATATTTTCGGTCGCACGTAGGCTGGGACTGATATTTCCCGCAGAGAAGGGGTCGTGGACTAGTTTGTTCTGTGCGGCGAGTCCGGAGATGACGGCGGAGCAGAGTGGCATGTATCGCGAGATTTTCCGGCGGTTTGGGGAGCCATGGTGGCAGAGTGGTGCGGCGAAGAATGAGGAGCTTGCAGAGCAGTTGGAGAACTGGACAATGGAGGCAATGAAGAAGGAAGGGTGGGTGCGGTGAATGCCTTCACATATACTTAGCTTTGAGCCTGTACAACTAATCCAAGAAATGATATTACTGCCCTTTTGAACCTCAGAGGTCTTGTTATCACAGACGAAAACGCTCAATAGACTTGGTAGACAATATATGTTGAGCTACTGTGATAACGAGATGGCAACTCATTGAGTCCTACTATTCGTATGCTAGTCTTCAACCAACGTCCGAGGCAAATCTGGTTGACCGGTCCAATTGTGAACTGTCACTGTCCCAACCCCTGGCTCGCAGGAGAAACTCCAACCGCCCAGTGGATCCAGTACGCAGTATAGGATATTCAGTTCCTCAAAGTGTAATGTTGAATACGAGCTCAGGGACACAAAATATTGGGGATATACGAGTGATTGCAATGAAACCAAGATTAAGCGGTAGGGATTAGCTGTCGATCCAAGCTGATAGTCCGGCATATGACCACTCTTGGTGGCCGGCTAGACGGCTATTAAGCCTTTTGGGAAGTAGGAAACTGGGGATCCTCGTATTTGAACGTCAATTCTAGTGTCAGCTATAGGGGCATTGTTATACATCGGGGAGCCTTGCAAGTTTGCGAGAGATTCTTCTATAAAAGTCGTGGTTTCTCGTATGTTCGAACATGAGCTCTTGTTGCTTTCGAGTATCAACGCAGCAAGAGGGGGGAAAAAAATTATATTCCCTCTCATTTGTCTTCAAAATGAAGCCTTCTACTTCTGCCCTCCTCTTGGGCTCCTCCCTCCTCACCGGGGTCCTGGCCAATCCTCTTGCAGCGCAGTTGGCCAAGCACCTCCCCGAGCTCACACTTCTGGAGTGGAAGGCGAGCTCCTGTCCTTCTAGCCACCCGTGGCTCTGTGATGGTTATTGTTGCCAATATGGTATCCGTTGCTCGAGACAGTGCTGTCTGCCCGGAGCCGACTACTGCAGCAACGGATACTGCTACTCTAACCGGAAGTCCTTCATGAAACTCCATCGGCATGTGCGCCGACCCTTTCTCCCCATCTCTTTCCACTAGGAAAGACCCAGCTATTGACGCCAGAACAAATCAACAGCTTTGTGGACACTCATAGGTCCTTGGAGGCTCTACAGTCGATAACATGGTAGTCCTTTGGTTGAGACTGTGATCAAACACCACACCCTAGACTTGTATCCTCATACTGTCATATAGAATCTCCTTTTGAGGCAACTTTCGAGGCCGTCAAAAACATAAAACCAATGATTGTTTGCTTTGGCAAGAGGACTCCTGTAGAATATATCTCAAGCCTGTGCCCTTCAGCAGAATCCACGGGCAACACCTCATGTACATAATATAGGCATTGGCTCCTTGGCGAGTTGGTCGTTTTCTGATAATTCTTATTAATATACTCAACTTACCATCGTCAAAAATTGCCTATATTGTGGCACAGTTGGAGATGCAGGGCTAAGTACTGGTCTAGAGGGGTAACAAGAAAGATGACTATGATTGAAAATACAGCGTGCTTGTCTACCTCCAAAGTCTTACTTATTCTCTAATAGGCTTTACGAACCTATGTATGTATTATTTATTGTTCAGATGCTCAGAAAGTCCTATCTCAAGGCATATACCGGAATTCTCAGCTAATATTCGAGATTTGAGGTAGAACGTATATATATATTCTTCGGCTGTCAATCATTAATTTAAACGCCTATAGACACCAATGAGCCAAACCAACAGCCAAAGACAGTCAGAGCATAAAAGAAAGATATGCCCTCCCCGATCAAGGAGGAGAGACCATGTCGGGACCACCCAACGGGCAGGGGGCGTTTTTAAGCAATACAGATTATTCGAGCAAAACCAAGGGAAAGGGTATGTGAACAACAAGACGATTCGCACGCAGATGCAAAAGAGGAAAAGGAAATGGGACTGCAGCTGCGGGTCATGACTACATCAAGCCCCCGAAGAGAGCAGCCAATGCCAGAGGTACCATGGCGAGCAATGTGTGCTGTGGGGGCATGAGCATTGCAGCTCCAGAGCCAATCTGACTTGTGGTGTACATGTACTGGAAGCTAATGTCGCTGGAGTTGAAGCAGTTTGTGCTGTTCACGTCGGCAACCTTCGCATCGCCGTCCTCTGCGAAGATAATATCGACACACTGCAAAACGCACGAGTAAGCATGGCTGGGATTGAATTGGAAAGAACTTCGGGGAGAGAGGGGAGAAAGAGCCTACGTTATACAAGGCAGCGCCGTGCTTTGCGGTTTCCACGACCTGGATGGTAGCATAGTCGCCAACTTTGACACTGACATTGGCTGGCAGCGGGACCTGGGGCAGGCAGACGGTTCCCGGCCAGGGGTTGTTGGATGGGCCGGTAATTTGGAACGGTGAGACCACCGGGTGGCTCATGTTCTCAGGAGTTTCGCCGAGACCGATGTTGACGTAGATCAAGGCCGTCTGGTGGCCCTGGAACCAACCAGGCTGGAAGGCGACTGCACCGCCGCTGACGGGCCAGTAGGTACGATTCTTAGATGTGGGCATACCACCGCCTAAGCCAAAGGGAGAAAACATAGATGGTTAGACATTGCATGGCATTGTGGAAGTCTCTTGTCATGGGGCCTTACATGGATAGATCCATTCCATGCCATACGGGTAGTATAATGAACTGTTCTTCGAGTCCCAGGCGACACCCAAGCCATCCGCCTCGCCGACAGTGCCGTTGGTGTGCAGGTTATTTCCTCTGTAGCCGGGGTAGGTGATGACGGTGTGAGCGTGCGTGATGCCGACACAGGCGAGGATCATCAGGGAGACCCATCGCGATAACGACTGTTGCCAAGTCATGGTGAAATATGTGGTTTGCGGATGGAAATCGAGCTACAGACGCAACGAATACGGTAGCAGTCGAACGATGGTGGCGAGAGAGAGGAGCAAGCGATAATAAGCAATCCGTGGGACCCGGCCCGATGTATTCAGTGTCTCGCGAAACCAGACGCTCAGCGTCGTTCAGTTTCTCATCTGAATTGCAGAACAGAGGGGTTCAACGGTGGTGGGAAACGATGGACATGAATCCAGAACGAGAACGAAGCGTGACCAAGACACAAGCCACGGAGGAATAACGAGGGCTGATCGGTCTCTTTTTGAGGGGTGCCCGCTCATGTAGTGCGGCCATGGTGCGGCGGGCGAGTCAGAACGCAGGATCCAGATGTGACCGAGTCTGCAGCTTGCACGGACGCTCAGTGGACAGAAGTGGCGGCGGAGAGCAGGGTTGCCGGGGATCATCACGGCCGTCTGCAAGTGCCATCACCAGGTCCCGCATGATGATTGGTGGGGCGTCCTGTGTTGGAAGCGCCGAGGGACGACGCTAAACAGTAATTCTGCAGAGGGGTTGGGCAGTTGGGACTCGGCGCTTAGCCGGACTGCATAAGTAGCTAAGTGATGAGGGAGTGCAACCAGCCAATTGTTTCCCTGAAGACCTAGTAAGTCCTAGTATCTTGCGTATCCTGCAGTTGCTCGAGTTGAGCGAAGGATGTGGTTCGAGTTCGGTCGAGAAATGTGGGGAGGGAGTCCTCTTTAGCTTCGCGTGATGGCAAAACGTGGACGCATGTTATTTTTACCTCTGCATCTGGTGCCTGACTCGGTCGGATAAGCATCTCGACTTTCGATTCCATGCGCGACCGATTGATGAACCTGTTCATCCAGAGAAGACGGTGTGCGCACTCATGCATTCGCGACCTAGGCAAAAGTGGAGACCGAAGACTCAATAAACATGGCCCACTTGGTTGGGATTTCCCCCACCGAGATCTCGCCCTGTTGTTGGAACGACGTCTTGTCTAATTTGGAATAGGATCCTTGAACTGTTGTATGTTCCATTTGAACTCTATTTCTCGTGCATTGTACTCAAGCATCCATCCGACAGGATCCCATTCTCCGGGAGTGTCGCATCCCCCGATGTCGTTCCACGAGGAGACACGCGGCTGACTAATCCTATCGATAACCCTATCGGCTTATCGATAACATCGGCCTCTCCACAGAAAAAAAAGAGACGAACCCTCCGTGACAGCACGAATTTCGTCTCAAATCACATACAGTCTCTCAATTGACACCTAGAGACCACCTCATATAACAATGCCACACACTTCTCGCAAGAAGCGGCCCACCGTGTCGGTGCAGAAGCGCCTCCAAGTCACCGATGACGACGGCTGGACGCATGTCACCTCTGGAAGCAACGTGCGGCGCGTAATGCGGACCAGCCGTGTGCGGGGCAGTATGCCGACCACCGCGGCGACAATCACCTCCACGACTGGAGACTTCTCCGTGGGGGACAATGCAGAACCGGTCTTCGGGCCGGCTGAGGCGCCGAGTCGCTTGACGCTAGAGGAGCTCCAGGCCCAATACCACGGGCACCGAGAGCGATGGGAGAGCTCCAAGACATGGGCGCGGCTGCAGGTACAGCTGGACGAGCGAGCCCAGGAGCGCGGCGGCGTCCGAGTCGAGGAAGAGAAGGGGAGTAGTACAGTGCGCGGACCGGTCGACGCAGTGGTGTGCATTGGACTCGGCAGCCCGAGCGGGTTCCTGCGAGATGGCTGGGTCGATCGCCGGAGTGTGTCGATGTATCAGCTCGCAGCGCTGGAGAGCATAAAGAACCAATTAATGAGTGCGTGACAAGAGGCCCCTTGTCCCTTTTCCCTACCCTTCTGCGACCTGTCCTCTTCCTCTATATTGTCTCTCGCCGCCTTCATCCCCGTTTTCCCTTCTCATCTGATATTATCATGAGAATCCGCATCACCGTCATTCTACATCTACACCTCCATCCAATCACCAACCCAACTCACTAACATCCTCCCCTCCAGAAACCCACACCGCCATCCCATTCTCCTTCCCGATCTACGCCCAAGACCCCGTCTTCAACGCCCTCGACACCGAACTCCTCACCTCACTCGGCATTACAGTCATCGCGCACCCTGCCGCCTTCGACCTAATCACGCCCAACACACTCCTCTTCTGCCCCGGCGCAGAGCGCAAGCATCTCGAGCAGCTCCTCTCCTCAGACCCGTGCATGGTCTTCGGCGGGCCACTGGAGAACGCCGAGGAGGCGGCGGCGATCCAGGCATACGCACGACGGGCAGAATCCCGCGCCCTGGTACCGTTCGAGGCGCAGGAGCATGCGTTCTGGGAGACGAGGCTTTATTACCGGGCCGGCGTTGAAGAGGACGAGAAGCGGGGATGAGCGGAAGAGGAGGAGGACTTGAGTGGCATTGCCGCTGGGTCTGGTAATTAGACGATGGGCGCTTTCTTTCTTTCTTTCTTTCTTTCTTTCTTTCTTTCTTTCTTTCTTTCTTTCATTTTTGGGAGAGATGCTTTGCATTTGCATGTATGCTGGAGTTTTGGTAGTGAGATTCCCTTTTTACTTTCTTTTCTTTTTTTTTTTTTTGGTTTTCTTCGGGATGGTGCACGTCGTTGAATGCACGAAGCAGCACTTTTCTGTCTGCGGTGTGGGGAGAGAGCAGTGATCCGGGGCAGGAGGGGGCTGGCTGGCCCTGCGAGCCGGGCGAGTTTTGGGGCGTGCCGGGTGAAGCTTACGCAAAAAGCCAGCTCTACAATATTGGCAACACTTAGACAATGGGGAAGTGAGTGAACAGGACAGGACCCGATGAGCCAGGATATACAACGGGGTATACGATTTGTATACTAGATGACAATGAACTCGCTACATCGAAAACCGCGTAACATAACAGGCACCCCAAAAAAAATAATAATCAAAAGAAAAATAAAATAACATCAAAGATCCCAAATCCGCAAAACACATACAAGAGACCTCTTGTCTCGATATCTCATGCAGGAAAGGCTCCATCCAGGAAGCACAAGGTATTTTTCAACGTACGGAAGGAGTGGGGGAAAGGGAGGGGGGTTCGGAATGTAAAACCTAACGCCTCGCGGGGAAAACATAGTGAGGAATGGAGCTGGGCGCCGCTGAAAGCAGTGGCGACAATGGCGATGGAGTCTCACAGATGAGTCAACTGGCTAGACAATGACGAAGATGCGTGTCCCACAGGATTGGGGATAAATCAGAAGGGGAATTTCGGGGGAAGAGACACAATGGATGATGATAGATAGATGGATGGGAGGAAGTGTGGTAGAGGTAAGGTCATGAGGGAAAGGGGAGGAAGCAGGGCTAGTATATGCATGCAAAGAAAGGGAGATAGGGAGGTGATGGAGGCAAATGTGCTGTTTTCATGATCATAATCCCGTTAACAAAGAACGAGGCCGGTGTTTTGATATGCTGAGTGCTCTCTTGCTCTCTTGCTCACGAAGCGGTCTTGCCGTCACAGGATGGGATTTTCAAGCCCGGTTTAATCTTGCGGGCTGCGTCCATAAGCCCCCACTTATCTTCCCACGCTTTGCCGGGAGTATTGTATTGGACTTTCCAGGGCTCATCGAAGGCCTCGAACCTGGGCAAGAGTTAGATCGTGACCACGCAGCAAAGAATATTGGATATCCAAAAAAGGAAGAAAAAGAAAGGAAAGCAAGAAATTAAATCCAACCAGCTTCAATGAAGAAAACTTACCAGAAATAGTCAGTGCCATTCTCCAGAGCCTGGCAGATCCAATCATTCATAAACTGGTTCATGTTGTCAATGCTCGCGACCGAGCCTGGGGTATCGGAGTCACAGACCGGGCTATCGCCGCAGTCTTTACCGCCACCGCTCGGCCAGCCAACCTCGGAGATGATCTGCTTCTTGCTGGTACCCTTCGTCAGGGAGACATCGTGGCTCTGCCAGAAGGACCAAGTCCACGCCGCGGCGACGTCGACCTGTACACCGGCGAAGAAGGGGTGGACGTTGGACATGACAGCATCGACAGCTTCAACCATGTCTGCGTTCCAATTGTCGCCTAGGTCGGACGTGGCAATGGTCATGTCGAGGTTGCGCTTGTTGACCTCATCGCGGACGTCGTTGATATAGCCAATGAGGGTCTTTTCGGCGCTCGCCTTGCTCGAGCCGGCCCGGTACAGAGCCTCGTTTCCGACGATGACGCCGTTGAAAATGGAGGTATGCTTCGTGTCGTCCAAAATATCGTACAAATGGTTGAGCTGGCGGGTAGTGGTGGTATCATTCGAGTCAATCCATACACCCAGCCAGACTCGCATGTCCGTCAGCTCGAGCTTGTCAATGGCGTGTAGGACCATCTCTGTTTGGTTGCAGTCGGTACCATACAGGCGGACGTTGTTGGTGAGCTGGGAGAGAACGGCCATGTCGCGGGTGACGTTGTTCTGGGAGGGCGGATACTTCAGGCACAGGGGGTACTGGACGCCCCAGGGTGTGTAATCCATACCAGGAAAGACCTTGTGCAGGTTATCATTGTTCATGAGCGCCTTAATCTCTGACGAGTCCTTGGTGAGATCGCCATTGGTACTTTCATCCGATGAGGCCGTATCAGTACTTCCGGACCCCTCGCTATGTTTGCTGCCCAGTGTACCACCCACCGCGCCGCCGACGATGGCGCCCAGAATCACCAGGCCCAGCACGAGACCCACGATCAACCCACGTTTCTTCCGGCCTGGCATGCTCCCGCCCAGGGCCTTTTTCTCCTGTGCAGCGCCTGCTCCCGCTTCCAAGCCGCCAGCTCCACTCGGAACTGGGCCATATTGGGGGTTGGCATGGGTATTTCGACCAAACATCCCGCCCAAGAAGCCACCTGCTACCGCACCCCCTGCGGCGCCCGCAGCTGCTGGCGCGCCTTGCGAGGCCCGATTCCGGGACGCGGGCATGAACTCGTCCTCCCCATCGTCCGCAATGTCATCGGGGTTGATAACCCCGGGAAGATTCCCCGTGCTATACTGGGACTGTCGCTGATAGGGGCCATCGCTGACGATGCCACCACCGGCGTAAGGGCCGGGATGCTGATCCATCATGCTGCGCCGATTGGCACTGCTATCGCTTAGATGTGTGGATGACTGGCCGGGGGTCTGGATGCCAGGAGTGGCGCCCGAAGCACCGAGGGCCATGTGCGAGCCATAGGACATCTCGGGTCGGAGGGACTCTGAGCTGGTATAGCCGGTGGCCTGGGGCACGTAGGGATTATCGGAGCCCGTGGTGTGGTAGCCGCGCTCGGCGGGCCCGGTGAAGCCGTCATGGTGGTCCATGGCGCGGACGGCGGCGATGCCGCTTAAGCGGTCGTGACTGTTGGCGACACCGAGGGCGATGCCGCTGATCCCGCCGCCGACAGAAGACGGGCCAAGGTTGTCGACGCCGGGAGTGACGGTCGAATTGTGTCGTGCCGAGTAGGAGTTGCGATGGGGAGGCGGCGCGGGGATTCCGTAGAAGTCGTCGTCTGGGTTCATTGGAAAGAACAAGACGGGAACTCACAGGGTTACACTCAGTCTAGGCAGGTAATTTGTTTGAAGAAGGGGACAAAGGAGGGATGCAGGGGGAGGACGATCGAGGCAGGAATGAGAGGTCAGATAATAACGAGCATGCCGCATGGGCTGTCGATCCACTGTTCCTCGGAGAAGGGGATTATGGCTGGGCCGGTGGGTAGGTGGGCCTGAGAGGATTCCAGCTGAGGCGCAGTTGGGGTCTTGGGTTAAGAGGGCGCAGGAGAAGCGAGAAGGTGAGAAGAGGAGAAAGAGGGAAAAAGAAGAGAAGATGAAGAAGAAGAGAAGAGAAGAGAGGATTCTCAATTTTTGAGTTTGCGCCCTCGAAGTGGCGGTTGGTGTTGGTCGAGGCTGAATGCGTCCGCTGATAATGCGGCCCGGCGTCAACAACATCGTGGCCGGGACAACGGAGACGTTCACGGGTCAGCCCGTGGACGATCGGACGACCGATCCCGGCCATGACCGTTCCAAGAGCCGTGGAAAGGTGGGGAAAAACCGTCAGAGCAGGTGAGTGAGGAGAGAGCGCAGAGAGCAGAGAGCATTGAGCATTGGGCATCGCGCATCGTCGATACGTCTATCTAGCAACGATGTCTTCGTGGGGAGTCTCTCTGGTCGTGGTTGACGCCAGGGTCCAGGGTCTCGTTTCCAGGGTTCTGCTGTCACGGTGGAGCAGTGGGTCCGAGGCCCACGCCCGCCAGTCAGCGCGCGTCTATTTTTGGGTGACCAAATGCTCCGGACCCGGGGAACAGCCATCAAAAGAGAAGAGCATCAACATAACAGCTCGAACAGCCTCAATTCAGGGGTCCTACAGAGTGGATATTGATACAGGGCTACATTGGTACATTCTACGTTTGTCACCCCGAATCCCCATTGCCGACAGGGACGGCTCCACTTGAGAAGCAGGGGCGGCACCTCTACCGCCTCCGAGGGATCTCGAAGTATACCGATGTGGAACCGTCTGGCGTATGGGATTCGATGGGGGAGAGTGCACAGCAGTCGAACAGGCAATAGCCGACCAAGGGTTCAAGGGAACTGCATTGTGGACACAAGAAGAGAGAAACAACCATCGATCATCCTGTGGCCCCAGCCAAAGCCATTCCTGCGCCAACCAATCCCGTCCATTCCAGCCTGATCCCTGCAGAAACCCGATCTCCGTCCATCAAGGGCGATGGAGGGAAGACGCACAGCCGTGGAGCATTCATCCAAGACATGTGAACACACGATGTCAATCAGGAAAGACGAAAAAGAAGATAGAAAGAGAAATCCAATCAAATCAAATCAAAAGCGGCACATAAAAAGGATTCCTCCATCTCCAAGAAAAAAATCAAAACGCTGCTCAAAAAAAGGTATCGTCGACTCGTAATCATGATCCCGTGAATTCCCACATCACAGAGATATACTCGTGTGCTATGGGTCCCCTTTTCTACTGGAAAGGAAGAAGGGGAGAACCTATACATCGTGTCTTGTGCCGTTGCAAGGCCATTCTCCATGAAATATCTATCCCCTATCCCTTCACCCTTGCTCACCCTTTTACCCTTCAACCTCCTCCACACTTCGCTGTGCCGCACTGCCAGCTCCGCCAGCCTCGACATGCCGGCCGCGGCGCTCCAAGAATCGGCGCTTGCCACGCCGCGTGTCGAAATGCTCGGGAATCTCAGTCGCATCCTGGCCCGCAGCCAGCATGCTGCTGCGCATCTTGTTGCGGTAGGCATCCACTATTTACGAGCAGGTTAGCGAGAAGGGCCGCGAAACGAAGAAGTAAACAACCTCCCCCGAAAATGATAACGAGAATCCCAGGAATACAGAAAGATCGGAGCTTCCGAGCTCGTGTTTCAAAAAAAAAGAAATAAAAGAAAAGAAAAGAAATAACACCAATTCTGGTAAGCCAGAAAAGCTTCGACGGGCTGAGACAGTCTCAGCCGTTGAGGAGGCACGTGGTCAGCCCGCCCCCCGTCTCACACGCATACACCCGTGACATCGAAGTATAAACCCAGCTCCAGAAAAAAGGAATCGACAAGCCCCGAATCCCAAGTCCAAACAACGATAAAAATAGACATTAAACGAACAAGGCCATTCCCATAAAGGTAAAAAACAAGACATGAAAAGAACAGAAAAGAAAAGAAAAAGAAACATCACTTACACGAGCGCTGCAAGAACAGCCTCCGTCCCGCAAACACGCGACTCTGACTCCATCCTAGCCGACACCCCAGATCATTCAGCCACACCTCCTTCTGGCATTGGCGGCGTGACAAGCGGGGCACGCCGACCTCGCACTCGCCGTCCAGCGACGGCGCCGGCACGAGCGTCCGGCCAAGCGTTGACTCCGGCGCATTGTCGTCGTCGACTCCGCGAAGGAAGCGGCGCGGCGGGACGGGGCGACCGGGGGCGCGCATTTGCACAGGGAAGTAGGCGCGCGGGAAGACGGCGTTAGTGGCGCGGTAGGAGTCCGGGATTTCGTCCATGTTAACCTTGTCGAGCATGACCTTGACGCGGACGCGTGCGCCGCGCTGCGGATCCTCGACGAGGATGAAGGTGCGGCGCTTGCCGGCGGGGAGGGCGCGGAAGAGGTCGTCGTTCGTGGGGCTGCTCTCGTCGTCAGAGGCAGCCGCGGGCCCGGCCGTCGCAATGGTCGGGTGCCGGGCCAGCGGGGCGAGGCCCGGGTCGTGGAGGAGCGGGGGCATCGCGGGCCCGGCGGTTGAGGGGGGGAACGGCGGTCGAATGGAAGACGTGTGCCGGGTGAAGGTCTGGTGCAGCGGGTGGAAGTCGGCCAGGTTCGACGGGGCGCTGAGGAGCGCTGGTGTAGTCGGTGCCTATCGAGGGAAAAAGGAAAGCCAAGCCGGGGAGAAATTAGCCTACGCTGGTACACAGGTTTTGGTTTGTTTCTTTGTTTGGTCTTTGGGAGAACGCGGGTCTTCGGCGTGCTCTTCGGACAGGAAGAAAAAAAGATGGTGGGAGGAAAGGAGGTTTGAAGAGGTTGCGCGGCGGCATCGAATGGTAAGCAAAACAGCACAGGGTATGGAAATTGTCAAGAAAAGAAGAAGAGCAAAGAAAGAGAAAAAAGAAAGAAAGAAAAAGTAAAGCCGGAGCAAGAAAAGGGAGAGATAAAAAAAGCAAACAAGAACATGACAGAAGGCAAGCACCAAGAGACAGGCCATTGTCTCTGACCAGATAGAGATACATCGTGCAATACATCTCGTACAAACAGCCATCATTGTCAACAATGGCACCACTAGGTTCACTCCTGCAACACATAGAAAGTCCCACGGATACACGTACACACAAATATACTTCAGATCAGTCGCAGAAGAACAGAGAATAAAAAAAGAAATAGAAGCCTCGTACACAATCCGGTCCATCAAAGCTCCAGAAGCAAGGCAACAGAAGAATTAGGGAATAAAACAGGGAATCAAAAGGGGGGAGAGGATTCAAGGATAACAACAAAAAACAAAGAATATTCATCGGGATGATCCCGCCGCGCAGATTGTCTTCCAACCCCAACAAAGAGGGAAACGTCGAAAGAAAGCAGGTCGTAAACAGAAGAGGAGAAAAGCAAAAACAGCACATCAGATCTGTGAAAACATACCGCTGACTTCCTCAATCTTAGGACTGCCATCCGGCTGCGCATGATGGTGGTGCAGCTGCGGCGGGCCCATCGCCAGCGGGCCCTGCGCGCCAATATTCGGCCGCGGGACCGGCGGCATAGCTGAGGTGCTTGGGAGGCTCGGGCCACCAACAGGACCCGCCGCCATGTGTGGGGTGGGTGGGGCTATGGACTGTTTGCGATAATTGACCTTGGCCTGGCGGCGGACGCGGCGGCTGCGCAGACGAGGATCCTGGTTGCTGTTGCGCCAGCTATCGACGGCACGCTGGATAAGGCCGCGTTTTCCCCGCAGGGCAGGGTTCAATTCAGCCAGCGCCCAGCCGACGGCGTTACACTCGGTTTCGTAGACCAGCCGATTGCCCCGGTACTGGTCCTTGCTGCAGCAGGCACGTGGGTAGACGCAGTTTTCGGTCTTGAAGTCCTGGCTGAGGGTGTCGACGTTCACAGATTCGACATCACACCGGATCGTGTACTCCATCTTGACACGGTCTCGGGAGTACTCGAAGGCGATCCATTGCACGCCATTGCTGTCCTGTCGCACCACGAGCGGCGTGGTGGCCGGGATTGGGCCGGGTGCAGCGCTCGAGCTAGTGCCGAGAGGGGATGTTTGGTGGAGGTTGCTGGGTTGAATACCGGCGTTGTGTGGTGTGGGGAGTGGTGGGTTGAGCATTGATCGTTGTGAAGAGCTGGGGGGTGGGATTGTGTCCATTTTCATGGCTGGGCTGCTGGAGAGGGCGGCATTGGGCATATGGGTGGGTTGATGAGGTGCCATCTGCGCGGTGGTCGTCTGCGGAGGCATCATCATGGGCTGTGACGTGAGGGGATGGGGTTGGGGAGAAGGATGAGCCGCATATGGCGACGGCGGAATCGGCGAATATGGCGGGTAGCCATACATCTGGGATGGCATTTGAGGCGACTGAGTATAGAGGTTGCGGCCATGTTGATCATGTGCCTGAGAGGCTACTGATGCTGGTGAATTGGATTGAGGGGTTTGATAGATGGGAGGGTAAGGCCGCTGCATCTGGGCGGTGGTGGCCATTAGGTCGGATGATCCTAAAAGACTATACATTAGGGTACTTTTCATTGATCAGAGCGCCTTGTACCGGTGCGTTTGTTTTTTCCCGGGAAAGAGGGGATGTCAGATGTTTAAATATGGCAGTTCAGCTCCAGGTGGCTGGTGGATGACTGATACTCGGGGTGAAAAGAAAAGAGACGGAAAGGGGAATATCTGGCTTACCACTGGAAGGATACTGCACCGAAGCTGTGGCTGTGGGATAGGAGTTGGGATTGCTGGCCGTATAGAAGTTATTTTCTTGCGGCGGTGGTCCGTATGCGCTCTGGGACTGAACCAGGCCGTTACCCAGGTGGTGATGAGTTGGAGTATATGGCGCTGGGGTCACAGATGCGGTTGAACACGATGGCGATGCGGTACTATGTCTTCCTATGGGTGGGAGACCTGCACGTTGCTGATGAAGTTGGGAATGCTGAGAGCTCGGATACCCCGAACTGTTGTGTCGAAGCTATGAGGCACATATCAGTCGACTGCGGCTTGAGGTGGGAGAGAGAGGGGGAAAGGCCAAGGCCGCGAGAGGTGTTCGAGAGCGTCAGGGTAGTACAACAACCTCAGAACGTGGAAAGGGAAAGGGGGGGAGCGAGAGGGGAAGAAAAAAAAGGAAACGAGACTTGGGCATGCGGCCAGATCTTCCGAGTGACGACATAAGCACGGGGATTTGAATTTCTTCAGGGAGTCAGAGAGGCTCCTCTGGCACTGGAGAGGTAGAAGAAGAAGGATTGCCACGGGCGAGGAGGAACAGGGATAGGCACAGGTGCGTAACAAACGACCGGGGTAGAAGACCAGGATGGGCCGCCCAGGGCGAAACAATCTGATGGATCTGTGTAGCGCCATGGACGTGGCTCGACACCTGCGAGTGGTTCTTTTCTTCCGATGGGACAAAGCACTACCAGCCCTCTTGTCGTGCGCATTCGTCCATCAGCAATGCTGATGACGGCTACACGGACTCGGGCGTAGCTGCCATCGCGTTGGTTCATTTTCTCGCTTGGAGACCCCCTGGGGTGGCATTGCGGCGCTGGATACACAACTGCGTCGGGGATCTCGCCTCTCGAGGGAGCCCGGTAGATATAGATCCGAGATCACTGGAGGTCTGCGAGGAATTGACAAGCGGCGCGTTCAGAAGCACTGTTTCAGCCGCAATAGCTCTGGCCATACAGCCCAGAGGCCCTCATAAATGGTCATGGTAGACGGGCGACGGTGCTTTTTCTTTTCCGGTCCCAAGAATCCCTAGATCGAAGGGTAGGGACGCCATGCCCATTCGTAGGATCTAGAGCCCGAAGCAGACGCTTGCCGTGTACATGCCTGGGACGAGACCCGGGTGTTGATGTCCTCTCCCAGGGATGCAGGCTCATATACTCGGCGCAATGTGTCGCAAGTATACTTTGCGAGAGCGCAGCGGGAATCAAGACCCAAATCACGGGAAGACGAAGGGAAAAAAAGAAGAAAAAAAAAGAGAAGGAGAAAAGAGAAAACATCGCTGTGATATTGTAATAGGAAAGGTTTTGCGAACTCAAATCTATGAGCGGTGCTCAAAGAGCCACACTCCCTTCCAAACGATAGGGAGACAACAAGATGACAAGGCCAGATCGAAGAGCTCGAACACGAAGAAACTGGCTGGACGAGGAAAGTAATTGGAACATTCGTTACTCACAGGGTCATAAATCGAATCTTCCTTGTATTTGGACACCGCAGGAGGACCCAGGTCCGGCTGTACCATGCCGGCCAGGTGAGGACGTGGTGGACTGGGACAGAATCACCGGCTCTCTCGAGGTGAGAGAAGGACCAGGACCAGGAGACCAGAAGACCAGGGCCACTTATCAAAAGGAACAAGGAACTAGGATGAGGGTTTGGCGCGCTCCAGGAAGAAACGCGCGTGGAGGACAACGTCCGGGAGCGGGAATGGGGGTCGATCCCGAGCAGGTTGGGGCTAAGCTGCGCGACACACTAGTCGGGAGGCCGGGGGTGGGCTCAGGGCACAGAGCACAGGGCACAGGGCATGAAGGGGAAGCCAAGTGGAGGTCCAGGGTAGGGCTTGGAAGGTTGGGATGGTCGGAGGATCGTTTATTTAGCAGCACCCGTGAGACCCATGTTCCGTCATGCGTGGCTTTCGAGGAGGGGACGAGGAGGAGAGAGGATGCTCTTCGGCAACGAGATTTTCTAAATTAAAATCCACGTCTCGCGTATGATCGAAGGCGAGAAGCGTGTGTACAAATAGGCGAAGGTCGTGTGCAGTATCAGGCAATCAATCCACATGGAGCATTGAACTTGAATGGGGGTGGGGGGGGGGAGGGAAATCAAATAAAATAATACGAAAGGGGAATAACCAAGAAGGGAAAAAGAAGAAGAATCATCAATAAGGCAGGAGCATTCAGAAAGAGTATAGGGTATAGGCAGAGAGTCCTTAGAATCGTTCGGAAGAAGAGGAGGGTAGTCCGAATTGTAGGGACAATGATGAGAAATCAAAAGAATCATGAGAGAGAAAATGCGGATTTCATCTTGTCTGTTTTTTTTTCTTCCCCGAAAAAGAGATCAGAACAGACCCAATAGGGAATGGGCGTGACAAGCCCAGGGCGTGGAAAGAACGCGGACAGGAGTCGAGATCGGTATGCTTCAAGCCCAGGTACCTGAGTCTGTGGGACCGCAGGCGGATTGGGCTGGTCACTAGTGGGAAAGCGTAGTGTAATCTGGGCCAGGATGGGTGCAGGAGGGAGATTATTTGAGGAGACTCGACGGGAAACGAGCCTCAGGTGGGGGGGAAGAAGAGGGGATGATAGACGGGGGAACGAGGATGGGGGAAGAGACCGGTCGAGAAAAGGATGATATGCAGCATGCAGAAGAGCCGGTGTGTGTGTGGAAAGAACCGTAAAAGAAAAAAAAATGAGTAAAAAAAAAAATAGAAATCGAGAAATTTGAAATCGAGAATAAAAAAAGAAATCAAAAATCAAATCAAAAAATAACCCGAAAAAAAAGAAAAGAAAAGGACAAAAAGTCAAGTCAAGCCAAATCTAGTCTGAGTCTCGGGGTGGAGCCCGGGGGAGGAGCAGGTCCATCACGATGATTGCATCGAGGCCCAGAAGTATAGTATCTAACGGGAGAGCTCACTAGCCCTGTCCGAAGTACCGTACCACGCCCAGAAGGACTGGACCGGAGGAGCTAGAGGGACTAGAGGACTACCGGGGACTAACAGGGACTGGAGAGAAGGGCGTTTGCCTCCCGGTGGAGACCGAGTTCTTTTGTTCCTTAAAGCGCCAAGGCCGCTCCCAGGCGATCTATACTCGGACAGTCCCAACGGCCAGGCGGATTCAGCCCAGTCGCAATGCTCCCCCCCCCTCTTTCAGTTTGCTCCGGTTCCTCGGAGTGACGGGAGACACGATGATACGTCCACCAGGGAGCTGGAAAATAAAGGCAGATCCACCCGTTCATGTCTTTCATCTCGTGCACGTTGATCCTGATTGCGAAGAGAGGAGGGAGGGGAGAGAGTATAGGGTTGGCTCGTTGGCCAGCCGGTCACCAACTGTGACATGCCATGGTATTGGACAGAAGATAGGAACTGGCAGTGCTTGTTACATGCCCATCCTCTCCATCCTGCTTCCGGATAAGCGCCGATGGAGGGGGGCAAGGAGGCCGATACAGAGGGTCAAGACTCGACAAATCAAGAAGCAAGAATCATCATCCCGACCGTCCACCGTTGCCCCGAATCAAGAACCCCCCGCTATAATCCTCGATATTAATTACTCTCATCGTCATCGCCTTCCGGTCCGTCCAGTCTGGATCTTCCCCATCTGTCGATCCCTTTTGCTCGCCTCTGTAAGGATTCTCAATTGATCAGGCTCGAACAGACTCGTCCCTTTGCCGACTCATCACGGACACGGCGCCCAAACCCCCGTCCGCGCCCGATCGCCTGAGGGCCCGGGGAAATCTCCAATGAAAAGCTGTCTGTGTGAGAGAATGGGAACCGTCACGAAATCCGAAAAAGCAAAGGGGGAAAGGGAAAGGATAGAAGAAAAACGACCGGCCCAAAAATGTTTCTGTCCATGACGTTAGGGCATCCGATCGGGGACACGGTCAAACGGGGCCCCATGAAAGACTAAAAACCCACACTTGCGAGAGGCTAGAAGGGATCAACGCCATGAAGACGACAGGCTTCCGGTGGGGCCCGGGAAAAAAAAAAAAAGAAACAGACGTATAACTCAGCACAGCAGAGGGAGTAAAATGAAAAAGAAAACGAAAAGAAAAAAGAAAAGAAAAGACAGCACAGACACCATTCAAAGGCAGCAATCGGCACCGAAATGACCGGCGAGCGATGGGGGCGAGAGAACGCAGGTGGAAACGCTCACAACGGTTTGACGTCGGATCGTCAAGAGTGACCAGTTTCAGGCTCTGGGTACTAGGTGCTGGGTGCTGGGCGCTGGGTACTGGCATGTATGGGACATGGCGATTGGGGGGTTATGATGCGGTATGGATCATGAGCGATTTCCCTCGGAGTATATCGAAGATCGGCAAGGGCGAAGATGACTCCAGGAGACGATCGAGCTGATGGCCGGTGACACACGCTGCGATCTGACGCTAGTTGGACGGCAGCCAAATCCACCTTGTCACTGTCCCCGAGTCTCGATTTCTCGATTTCTCGCCCTCTCTCTCTTTCTCCCCTATCGATCTATTGGAGCTCGGGGGCGGGTGCAATCCATCCTGGGCGCCTGAGGACGGAGTACGCTGTCCCAGCAGACTTGATTCATCCTTCAGTCTCAATCTCTTCGTCTTCCTGTGCGCCCCTCCGGTGCATTCCTCGATGACATCTCGGTCTTGTTTCCACGGCCCAACCGGCGAGCCCCAAAGCGATCCAGGCACGGCGCCACCAAACCCCTCTCTTTCTCCCCTCTGCTGCTCAGCGGGCCCGTCTAAATAAACTCGAAACAGCCTAACGGCGCCCATCACACGCTTTGCTGGCCCACTGGGCGTTCGTGAGT